TGAAGCTCTCCACAAGTGGTCCTTGGCTCTTGGACAACTCTTCTGATAATTCTTTTCACTCCTCTGTGAGAAATCTTGCGAGGAGCACCTGGTCGATGTCGCTTTATGGTGAAATGATGTTCTTTCCACCCCTGGATTATGACCCCAACAGTGCTAACTGGAACATTCAGAAGTTTAGAAATCCTTCTGTAACCAATGCCATCAGTGTGTTTTGCAACAATAGGGTTGTGAAGGTCTTGAGAGAGCTCTTTACTTTTACCCATCATGAGATGTTTCTTGTGTGATACCAGAGACACCTTTTTATAGGCCATCAGTTGGGATTGAACCAGCTGATATTAATTTGCACGGACAAGGGGCAGGATTGCTTTCTATTTACTGAGAGATTTCAGCTGGTGTCTTGGCTTTCCATGCCTTTTTGCACCTCCCTTTCTTCACGTGTTCAATACTTTTTCCCTGTGTCATTTCAAAGTATTACACATAACTTAATTTCTGGACATCTATGGTATGATTACTTTTATGTGTGGATTGCATGGGTTGTTACCAACATCTGGTGAAAATTTCATGTCAGTAGCACCTTTAGATGTATAATTACTGAGAAAAATGGTGATGTGTTCAATACTTATTTTATCCGCTGTAGTTACCGTAACAGTTAGCCTGTTGCCGCACTTGGTGGGTCACGCTCGGCGAGCTTTGATGTAAAACTCAGACAGTAAAGCACTTAATATAGCTTAATATTGCAAAGTTCCCTGCTTGTGATAAGTCCATAAGTCTACTTGATGGACAGCACAGCATTATCCGGTAAATCGCTCAGTAGGGGGTTTGCGGTAGCCATTTTTACGTCTTCTGTCTTTAGCTGCCAAGAGCAGAGTGAGGGGCGGACCGGCTCCCAGTAGAGCAGCTAGCTACATCAGATGCATATTGTAGCTATGCGTCTGTTTGTGACCAATCTGGTTATGAACGTGCTTACATCGTTCAAATTAGGGACGCTTGGGTGCTAATTCCAGGCACTGCTTAAGGATTTTTTTTATTTAGCTTGGATAGGCTAACTTTTTAATGCAGAACTGTAATCTGAGCGTGTGTGAGAGCACAGAAAGCTTGGGTGCTGGCCTGTGGCGCCATAGATATCCATAAAAAAGGCGTAAAGGCTAACTTTGAGTTGCTTTGCGCGAGTTGTCAAGGCTTAGACCACAATCAAGATTTTATTTACTTGTATGACAAGCCTATTTTTTTTTTTTGTATTAGTAACAGCCTTTGTGGATGTGCTTGTGTTGCGCTGTGAGTGAGACCAAGTCTGTATTACAAAGTTGACCCAGCAATTTGACATCAGTTGGAGAGGCAGAAATGCTCTTTCGTTTCAAAATAACTTAAAGGTGGGTTAGGCAGGATCTGAGGAAGTGCCAGTTTTTGGGAGAAATCTCCTCACCCCTCAGTCTCTGCTCCAGCAGGCCCCGTCCACAAACAGACGCTAGTCCTCGTTTGTTTCGATCTAATTAAATTCAGGTATAATGCAGATATATACTTAAGATAATAACAAATGGAGCTCAGTCAACGTGAAAGTAAACAGCATTGGTGCGATTGTAGATGCCAACAGACTACCAGCAAACACAATGTTTGCAGGACTTCTACAACTAGGATAAAATGACAGACTCCAGGACCCGAGGTCAACAGTTTCGCGGCACTACAACACGCAGCAGGTCCAGTTTGACAAGAAACACTTCTGTTACAGACACTTGGCTTACTTTGTAAAAGCGGTTTACCTGTCCAGCAGAAAGGTTACAGGGTCTATAAGATCCCGAAGCGTCTCAGTCGTTTATGCTTCGTTGATTATGACCTGGATTTTAAGCTCTTGTCCGGTCTACCTCCTTTTTAAACGCCCGTTATTCCGCCAGAGTCTCCAGTATTTATTTCGTTTTCTTGCTTGTGTTGGCATTCGTGGCTAAAAGGAGGATTCAGACATTTTTCTGTACTTTCTGGGTGGTTTCTACTGTCCGATATTGTAGCACGCTTACTTTGTTTGGGCTTGTGCACTTTACTCGAGGATGTGGAGCGTGCCTCACAACACGAGGGAGCAGTGTCTGCCTTGCAACCAATCAGTTTGGGGGAGGCGAAGAATGGCTTTGTTTACAGTCAGAACGAGCGGGCCACTCAGATATTCTAAAATGTTGGTTACACAGACATAACAGAACACAGTGATGTCATTATATTCCCAAATGTCATCAATAACTAATAGCTATTGACTGATATTAAAAGCTTTTTTGTATATACACCACAAAAAAATTATGCTTTTTTAACGGAATCCTGGCAACTTCACCTTTAAGCTGCACATGATTTTTAAGCTGTTTGGTTTGTTAGAAACAATTAAAATGGCAACATGCGGAAGATATTTACATTGAAAATAAATACATATATGTTATTGTTATATGTTATTTTAGTTATAGAAATATTACTAATATAACATACATGGACTAATTAAATGTTTTATAACTGCCTTGTGTGAAATAGAGAGGACAATCGTGGAATAAGCGTCTATGTGCGCCTGGTGTGTAAGGACCTTTAGGCTACAAGCTAACTCAAGGAGAAGTGTGCAGAGTAGCGCTGTCTCTGCCCACGACTTTGAGGCAAATTGCTAATGAGCTACCGGTGCTCCGCAGAAGAAAAGCCTTTGAAAATGACACAGATAATGTAATTTTGGCTAAAAACTTCATAATCACAGTTTAAAGACCACTCATAACACTTTAAGTAGTAAGAAGAAGAAAAAAAAAAACAATCGGAGTGGGACTTTAATGTTTATTTATGGAAATCCGTGGTAACAATTATTCTTGATTATGCAGGAACATACCTAAAACTCTAAGGTTTGTTACAAACCAAATCATTTGAAAATTGGTTTATAATTAAGCAATCTATGGTTACTTAAATGCTACATGCACCGTAGACTGTAATGTTATGAGTGGGCGAGCTGCCTGAAGCAAGATAGCCGTCATCCGTGGAAGTTGGTCTCCACTGGCTAACAGCGTGCGTAAGCCATCTAGCGTTTATATATACAGTACAGGCCAAAAGTTTGGACACACCTTCTCATTCAATGCATTTTCTTTGTTTTCATTACTATTTAAATTGTAGATTCTCAAAACTATGAATGAACACATGTGGAATCATGTGCTTAGGAAAAAAGTGTGAAATAACTGAAAACATGTTTTATATTTTAGATTTCTCAAAGTAGCCACCCTTTGCTTTTTTGATAGCGCTGCAAACTTTTGCTGTTCTCTCAGTGAGCTTCATGAGGTCGTCACCTGAAATGGTCTTTACTTCACAGGAGTGCCTGAAGTAACCCTGACAAGGTACTTCTGTCATCAAGTCCAAAGGGTGGCTATTTTAAAGAAACTAGAATATAAAACATGTTTTTGGTTATTTCACACTTTTTTTATAAGTACAAAATTCTACATGTGTTCATTCATAGTTTTAATGCCTTCAGTGATATTCTACAATGTAAATATTCATATAAAAAAAATAAAGAAAAGACATTGAATGAGAAGGTGTGTCCAAACTTTTGGCCTGTACTGTATATAGATAGATATAGATAGATATATAAAACGTTTATGCACAACTGTGATCTAAGCATGCGTGAGACAATGGACATTTCGAGTCTGCCCCGACGCTGGGTAAAGAGATTGCTAACGGACTGAAATACACATTTAATGGAATGATTAATGTAATAGCACGATTTTCAGCTACACAGCAGACAACTTTCTTTGCTCACGCTGGCTCACGCAGCTCATTGGGGCCTCCGCTCGCAGCGCCCTCATGTAGGCTACTGGCCTCCACTGTTCTTTAATGTCATCACATAAGAATCTCATACTGCCTATTGTGGAGTCATATGTACTATTAATTCATCATATTTAAGGTAGGAATGTGGAAAAAGAGGCCGTTTCTTTAGCTGCACCTGCCTCCCCACACAATTAGCCTATAACTTTCAGAATATTTCATAAATCGTCAAAAAAAAAAAAAAAAAAAACACTCCTTACGGGAGCTTTAAAGCAACATCAGGTCATTATATTTCGACAGTGATGGGGCTAGTATTTTTGCAGAACTGGCATAATCCATCACGCCCAACTTGTGCCTTGACACAATGGTTTATAGCAGCTTGTTTTTCCACAAGGCCACCAGATGGACCTCTTCAGTGAGCAAACTGCGGGGGTCTGGTGATATTGGTTTCACTGCCGTTAGGCCTATGTAAAATTAATGGTGGCGCTCAGGCTGCATGCAAACAAGACTGGGCGCGCGTTCAAACAGTCCATTGCTGAATTACTGTTTGGCTGGCTTCACGGACACTCGTCAGGACTGTTTCAGGACTTTCTCCTCCCCGAGAGCCTTAAGTGACTACCTCGCACTGTCCCTTTAACTTCTGAGCCGATTTCCAGAGAGCAACAACCTGTAGCCTAAGCTCAGTGATCCTCCCCCCACTGATGGATTATTTAACAGGCGCTGGGTCCCATGTCGCCATCTGCTATAGGTAGAAAACACTGCGTGTTTTTCCCAGGCACATGATCCGGGTTAGCAAAAAGGTAAACAGAGAATTAGGGTAAAATAAGTTTACTAGGGCCCAAACTCAGATTGAAACTTATTTGTGCAACAGGTGTCGAGCGTCCCGCGGGAACAGAGAGGGGAGACGGATAACCAAAGCACATCGTCGAAAGGTAAACAGCAACAATTGAGTTATCGAGACATAGGACTAATAATCCGATTGATGAGACTAACAATACTGGACTTCTATTTCGATCTGTAAAAGAAGTTATCCCATAGTGAAATGTCTGCGTTCGGTTACGGATGGTGCTTTTGACCACTTGGCTGTGTTGTGAAGACGTGGAGCGATAACTAAGCTGTAGGCGACCACACCACTACCCCGAGTGACTGTCATGTTCTGCAACGCTCAGCCTGTACGCACGATGAAGTGATCGGGCGCAGCTCAGTCAAAAAAGGCAGGAGTTGTCCAATCTGTAATAGTCATGGTGGTGGAGGGGGACAGGACTCTGCTCGCCGCAAGACAGGGGGACGTGCAGACTCTGAAAGTGCTTCTAGCGGCAAACGCACTAACCAGCGACATCAGGGACGTGATGGGGGCTTCACCGGTTCACCACGCAGCCCGAGCTGGGAAACTAACATGCCTGCGTTTCCTGGTGGAAGAGGCAGGTCTGCCGGGCAACTGTCTGGCTAACAACGGGGCAAGCCCAGCTCATGACGCAGCAGCCACTGGCAACCTGGCTTGCCTGCAGTGGCTGCTGACCCAGGGCGGATGTCGGCCAGAGGTGAGTTACCTGAACTATTACCAGTGATGCAGGCAGTGTCCTAATCCTCGGCTTCCTCTGACCTGGATGCCATCTCTCTGCCTACTTCAGATGGACTAGAATAGACAAATTCTAAATTACAGGGCAATGTTTGTTGTGAATTATAAATTAATAACAAGCAACAAGACAATATGTTTCATATTCAGTTTTTATAGCTGTCATTTCTGTTGTAATTCAAAGTGAACAGATTATCATTAGGCAAAAAAAAACCCTAATCCTAACCTGAATATTATTAAATGATAAATTTGCTTATGGTCCCTACATGCCTTGGACCAGACTCTATCTTTCCTTTTCTTTGGTTTAGTAGTAACAACAGCTCACGTAGTTCAAAATGTCAGCTGCCTGCAATCAGTCACCCTACCAACCAGATAGGGTCATCACCTTAGAAGATGTCAGAATTATGGGGTTGAAAGTATTTTGCTGAAGCACAGTCTACTCCTTATCCTCATACTCAGAGCCTGAATGCTGTTTTTTGTTGTTGCCTTTGTTAACTTGTTAAAAGTCAGCATATTATAACACTGTATGAAAAAAAGAAATCCAAGTTAATTCACCAAATGTCTACTTGTAGGAAACATGAAAAATGGTCATGTAACTGAGTTTGGGCAATTAAGTTTTGGTTTGAACTCTCTACCTCCCATGCTGTTCCCCTGGCAATGAAATATGCAAATACAGTTGCAAATTCATGTTCTATATACATGCTGAAAAAATCTCATAAAGGTTACACAAAACAAAGTGACAGAGTGGTTTGATGCAAGTGTAGACAAAGAGTTTGTTTGAACATGAAGAATTGAACCCATTTGAAGTGCCCCTGCTATTTACTTAAGAAGGAATGCAGCCTGGATTTCAAAGGAGTCCTGGTCAAAGCTTTATTACATTTGCATGCAATGTTCTCTACAGTACACTTTCATGTTCAGTGTACTAAACACAGTGGTAGAATAAAGTACATTTACCTGAGTACTTCAGTACTATAATCCTGTACATTTTTAAAATATGGAGTGTACTCAACCTGATACCATTTTTGATGAAACTTCTAGCTTGTAGTCTGCTACATTTGAATAATAAATACCACACCTTTAACTCCACTACATTTATTTTAATATTCTTCTTACCTGCTACTTTTTCTCTAAACTCGGCTGATGAATTTCATTTTCATTTTTCAGTCATATCTGAATGACAGTAAACCAGATTTTAGTAGTTCTGCTTTTGTTTTGCCTAAGTGGTGTTGCTATACCTGTGGGTTGCATGTCCCCAGGGCTAAATATACAGTAAACCCAGTGCAAAAGCTACTCCTATCAGGCATTTCTCAGGCAGAGAAAAGACAATGACCCCTCTCCTGAGCGTTCATGGTCATATCTTAAGCCCATGTCTGAGACTTTTGGAATCTACAATGATAAGAAATGTTTGAAATCACAAATAAACTTGATCTCAGCCTGCAAAAAAAAAACACCCCCAAGCTTGAGAAAGTATGGTTAGGTGTGTAACTAAGTAACTGCTTAATTAAAAAGGAACATTTTAAGAAAAGATGTGCTCATATTGATTTGTTGCCTTTATGGATGATTGTCCCTGTATTGTTGCTATTATTTTGGATCTGAGAATGTGGTGTGTGAGAGCAAATAGCCTAATAGGAACTATGTGTTTTAAATAAGCATAATGCAGCTGAATTATTAACTGCACCCATGCATTGTGAAAATATGTTTCCAGATATTTTAAAAAGTAGTTTGAGTGCTGTAGTTATTTCAGAAGCAACTATACCAGAACTTTTAACTCAAGTGACAATTTGACTGAACAACTCTCATTTGCATTCAAATAATAACTGATCCAGGCATAAATTTAGTTTGTCCCAAGTAATGAAACTGTGTTAATCCACCACTGAAATACAACTCTGTGTTCCCCTGAACACTATACACATGGTAAGGCGTACAAACAAAAACAATCATGATTGTTTTTTCATATCCAAAATGTAGCATTTATGAACATCGTTCACCTAACCTGAGCTCAGAAACTCCAGCAGACTCATAGAAACCATGTAAATCTATCAAAAACAGGAGCCAGCCTGCTACCATCTATCTTTGCACCTCTTTGGCTATAGTACGAATGATATGATGTGATCTATGATATTCCTTTAACAGTCTCACAGGGGAAAATTTCGAAACAACAGCAGCATAAATACAGATACAAAAAGAGGAATTAAAGGATAAAGAAACGTAGAGTTAGAAAAAGCTATTTATATATGAATGATCAAGCTGCTGCTAAGATATGATGACTTTTGCTGCCCAGAAATGATTTAGACCACCACTAATACAAACAAAAAAGGGAAGCTTAATCTAAATTAATAAGATACCTGATCTAACCTTGGTAATAATATGTGATGCTAAATATGCTACATTGCAAAGACAGTATTAAGAGCTCCATCATCTGTTGTCCTAATACCAACTGATAAGATACTTGGCTGACATTTGGTGAAACATATCAATTACACTTGCATGCAATCTACTTGATTAATAGTCCATTCGCTTCAACCTTTTCTAATTGTGTCTTTTCCTTTGAGTCACTGCACTCGGATCTTGATTTCATCTGTTATCATTGATGTTAATGTGAGGTGCTCCACTGAATCAGACTACAGCTTCAGCTTCTTTGTTGTTCAATCTTAAATATTAATACTCACAGAGAACTCATATTTCATACTATGTGTAAGCTCACCTGTTAAAAAAAATATTGTAATTTTTTCAAGTGCACATTTTTGAACCAGGAAGAAGCCAATTTCAATATGTTTTATGTGAGTCACCACTAAGATTATGACAGTTGTTTGTCTTTGATATCTAGGAGCTTTCAGATTTATTTTTTCTTTTCCCCCTTTTTCTCCACAGTAGTCTGTCTTTGCTATTTGAAATGCAGTGATTAGAAGCTCAAGGAATCCCATGAAGAATGTTAGCTATGTAGACAGAATTCAGGTTAAAGTATACAGTCAAAGTCTGAATGTCTACTTTGTTTTGAAGTGCTGAAAAATCCCAACACATCTGACCTAAATATCTCCAATCAGATGTGGGAAAAATAATGGATGCCAGAGTAAATGCCATAAAAGTTAACAAAAGTTAGTAACTACCACATTCTCAAAAACAGCAAGTAGTTCTCAATTAGCCTTAAATGAAAAAGACCACCAGCAGATTTCCATAACATTAAAGGGGGGTTATCATGCTTTTCCACAATTACAACAAAAACTGCAAATTTTGGTGTCCATACTAGATAGATAGATAGATAGATAGATAGATAGATAGATAGATAGATAGATAGATAGATAGATAGATAGATAGATAGATAGATAGATAGATTGATTGATTGATTGATTGATTGACTGATTGATTGTTAGAAATGTAAAAATCACAAAACAAAGCTCTAAACCTCCTTTTCTTTTGGTTGACAGCATAGGGACAGTTCTGGTGCCAACATTCTCCATCTTGCATCCCGCTTCAGTCATCATGAGATCACTGATTGGCTGCTGAGGAGTGGCGAGGTGGACCCTGGGACCTCCACTGATACAGGTGCCCTACCTGTTCACTATGCTGCTGCCAAAGGAGACCTGCCCTCTCTGCGATTATTATTGGGGCACAGCCCAAAGTAAGTGCAGCATGATTTCACCTCTACAGCTTTCATTACATTTTCTTCGCATATGTTCACATCTAAACAGATGGTATATCCTTAATATTTGTCCTATTCCATTGACTGTTTTGGATAATACTTTAAATTGCGGTTTAATCAGCCATGCAAAGACTGTTAATATCCTTTTCTCGAAGAGCATGCTTTCCATACATTGTATGTCTAATAAGATAGGCGTTTGCTGATACAAAGCTATACAGTTTGTTGTTATCACTCTAAGAGACAGCCATTTCATGTGTCCATTTTACTGTAGTTTGTCATTGTCCCATTTAAGCAGAAAAGGTTTATGTTATTTCCCAAACTAAAAGGTAACTCTGAACTAATTATCCAAAAAAAGCAACTCCTCACATGAAGACTGGTGAAATATGTTCATTTTAAAGGAGACCCTTGAAAAACTTTCAATGTTGTAGTCTGTACTTACAGTAGTTCTGTCTTGGTGTTTGTTACTGAGACAGGTGGCAGTGGATCTACTGTTGAGATTCAGATTTCAGTCTAATGCCACTTTAGCAGTCTGACATTGATAAATGATCCAGCAGATTCTGAAGGTAAACAAATGAACTTGTACTTATTTCTAGGTGATTAACAAAGGCCTTAAAAAAAAGAAAGTTTTCATCAGTAGATCATACAATTTAGGCTTATAATGATGCAGAATTTGCACTATCATCTGGTAGTGGTGGGGAACATTCTGAACTTTGCTTTTTTGATACCTGTGCAGCAATCTTAATACATTGTGCTCAAATCTCATTAAGAAAAGAACCTCTTACTGGTTTAACTTTCCCAAAATACTGCGCACTTCACCACAATGCCCATGCGCTGCTTATGTAATGCATCTACAAGTATTTCCATATTGTTGCCAAAAGCCTGGAGTGTAGCGTGAGAGCAATTTCAACAAGCAGTTAAATGTGATCTAATGTTATTTTAAGTCTGTATTTACTGTAGACAGTAAAATGAGGTATCAGGTACAGCTGCAACATACAATCATTCTCATCACTCATTAATATGAGAATTTATTTCACTATGACCAGATTATTTGACAATATTATTTAATATTTTGTTCTATTGATTTTCTGAACCTCAAAAATATACAGTTTATCAAAAAGCAATGAAAGCGGAAAAAATGTCACATTTTGAGTCTGAAACATCAAGTGTTTGGCATATTTGCTTTAAAATAACTCTTACTAAACATTATCTATTATCCGGTTTGAATTAATGTGTGCATGCGTGCGTGCGTGCGTGCGTGCGTGCGTGCGTGCGTGCGTGCGTGCGTGCGTGCGTGCGTGCGTGCGTGTGAATACTCCTTGATGAATTTCATCTCTAATCAGTGCAGTGTCAGACTGACCAGTGCCCTGTAGAGGTAAAACCCTTCCATTAGGACTGTTACATTGCTATGGGCAATGGTGAGGCGTTTGAGTGACTGGCTTATTTTTCTGGACATGAAGAGCACAAACCAGCCCCAGAAGATTCAACAAACTCATTTCATACAATGTGTCAAGTTGAACCTTGCATGAATCGGCTGTTAAGAAAGAACACTGATGCTGCAGGGAGTTAACCAATCAGAGTAAAGACTTTCACATGGTCACACAGTAGAGTAATTCAAATAGACAAGAGAAAGCCACCCAGACAGTTGGGGCTCAATGTTGCATATCATTTAAGGACATTATTTGATCATGGCATGGTACCTCTCATTTAGGTAAGATTGTTGCCGTCTCAGACACCCTCAGCAGAAACCATCAATTTTAAGTAAACATTGTTTTTTGGCTCATCCTGGTGCTTTTTCACATCTGGCATCAGCAATTACTGATGACTTCTAAGTTGCTCTTTTGAGTAAAGTTTATTGAGATCTGTGTTTTTACTTGTAGTTTATTTACTGTCCTCCTCTTGTCCCTGTGCTTCCCTAGGCAGGTATGTGGGCCACTGCCAAGAGGGCTAGATAGCATGGTAAAAGCAGGAGAGCCATTTGATTTGGAGTCAAAAATAACCTCAAGGTTTTAAGTAATATATAGGTAAATTATTGTTATCAATTTTTTTTGTTGTTGTTTGTTATTGCTTCAAAATCTCACAGCATTCCGGCGGTGATAATACTTGTGATGTTTTAAATATCACAACATCAGATTTTTCTAAATATCTTGCAGATCAGTGACAGTGGGAAAGACCTTTGGCTCCATGTGACATATTCTAGGTAGTACTAGTCTGGCTGTTACTGATTATTTAGTTGATGAGCACTCAGCCTCCAGAACCACCTTAGTGAGTAGCTGTTGTAATATATCCCCGACAGCTTTGTTTTGGCTGCTGTCTCTTTAAGGCTCCCCTCCACAAGCTTTCTTTCTTTTGATTGGCTTCTCTGGGGCTGGCTGAGGGCAAAGCTCAATGTGATTGGCCCGGCTCCCTCTATTGAACTCAGTCAGTGGAGCAGCATTATCCCCATAGACATTAAAAAAAAAGATATATATATATATATATATATATATATATATATATATATATATATATACTGTATTTATAATGTCTATGGTTACTCTGCTGTGGGTGTCACATCACATGCTGTTGGAGTCAGAAGCTCAGCTTCACCAGTAAGGACTGCCTTTAACTCTTAAAAAATTTTTTGAGTCTCAGGTTTCCTCATAAGGTCATGTTTTTTTCAGTTTACATTTATTTCTGAGATTATGACAACAAATGTTTACCTTGTGATTTGAAACTTTGCATACATGTAGTATGGACACCAAACTTTGTAACTTTGAAGTTTTGTTGTAAATGTGGAAAAGCATGATGCCCCCCCCAAAAAAAAAATAAATAAATAAATAAATGAATGATTATAAAAAGACAACATTCAATTTGAAGAAAAACAAAAGTTGTTTTTTCAAGGGGGAAACAGTCAAAATACCACCCTTAGAAAAAAGTCAGTGCTTGCTTGTGTAAAGTCAAAACAATAATGTTACTGAAAGCCACAGTTAACTCCACATTTGAGTTGTTGATGATCACACATAACTCACTGTCCAGGGTCAGTTCTTCCTCTGCTGATGTGATTCACTGCATGTAGGTACCATTATAACATGGAGGGGGTGCTGCTATATCTTAGCTCGCTGCTCAGTTTAAAAGAATATGTTAGATTTAAAGATGGGAGGAGGACAAAGACAAACAGGGAGATGAAAAATGGCATCTTCTGTTTAATGTGTTTGTGTATAATTGGTGGTAACCCATATAGGCAAGCAAGCATCTTGTGCTGGTTTAATTCTTGACTACATTAAACGACTGACTTCACAGATAAACAGATGATAATTTGCATTTCTACATGCTTGTCATTTGTTATGATAATGTATAACCCCCTTTTTTTTAAGTACACCAACACAAAAAGCAGAAGGGGATATGTGTTTACTGGTGCAGGGAACTCTGGTCTGTGACCATTGCACAACATATCTGTATGTTAGCAGCTGGTATCCACTGATTCATAAAAATCCTGATCCTTGCCACAAAGTCTGAATTGTGGCAGTAGTAGCTTTTTAGTAAGTTTACACACCTGCACCACCAGGTAACTTAGGATCTCTCCTGCTCTTCAGTAGGCTCTCCTTTTTGGTTAGATTCTCAGTGTGGGTGTCTTGAACACAAAGGTGCAGGAATAAAATGGGAGAAACTGAGATAATCGGCCACTGTTCTCTGTGCTGGTGTCCATGTCAACTATCAACAACACGCACTAACTGCTGCCATAAAGAAGTGGAAATATAATGAATTTATGAGCCAGTAATCAAGCTTAACAGCCTTGTCTGGAGTATTGTATGGAGTTTATTGACTTTAGCGGGACGAGCAGTTTGTCAAGGCACTAATCTTGTGTTTCCCACCTCCAATATTGTCAGGTTGCACCCCAGACAGGTGCATGAATGCTGAAATTTTAATGAGTCTCAGGGACATGGTAGCTCCCTGATAGCCGGGCCCCATTCACTCTTCCCTACCACTACTGTTGCTGTTTACCACCATCTCCACGGTGACAAACTGAAGCACCAACCAGCGATAAGATAATGAGGAAAACAAATCCATTTGAATGGACAGGCTGTTTTCTGGTGACGAGCCTCAGGCATTGTTAGAATAGGAATGATGCAAATGAGAGACAGCATTTTTAGGGCTTGATTCAAACTGTGTTTTTCCAAGCTTTGAGAAGTAGTTGGACTGTTTCTTATTTGCTCTGCCTGACAAATAAAAACAACAACATATGCTTGTGTTACATCATCACCTTATTAACTTGCAGCTAGGAGACAGTGTAGTAAAAGTGCTGCTGACAAGAGGTAATGGTACACACTCTAAGATGTTGAAGATACACCTGACCTTTCTATCATAATTTGTTTGCCACTTTACTCGAGAGCAGTTTCACATTCTACCAATAACTACTAACACCTCAAAAAGCTGCAAGACCAAAATCTACATATGTTCCACGCTAAATACCATTCAGAACCAAGCATAAAGATGAACTAGACAACTGAAACTAGCAAGTAATACTGTAATTAGCTCATTCTTTGTAATGCTTGGAAATCCCTTTTGAATATGACCAGTGCCATCCCCAAAAATGTTGATTTTGTTTGATATCTAAAAGTATAGTTTGTGTATTTGGTTTGAAGCATGCAAATGATTAACATTTTTAGTGACACCTTAGCTGGTGAAAAGTCCTTTGTTAAGTGAAGACATGTATTCAAATCTAGCCATAAAAACGTGGCAGTAATTAGCTGTCTGCTACATCATACAACTGACTGTCTGTCTTACAAGTGGCAAAGAGCAGATGCAGCTGTCAATATTTCAGTGTTAGTTATGTTCAGTACATACATCTGTGCTGACAGGAAGTTCCCCTGTCCATTCTTTGTGAACTCAAAACCAATATGCTGTCCCTCCACTGATAGCTTCTGTACACAATAGAGTCAATGAATGAAATAGAGAGAAAGAGCGAGGGAGAAAGTGGCAACAGACAGGTTATGCAGGCACTTAGTATGGATTAGAATTTTTGGCCAACCATAATTCAAGCATGCATTTCTGAGGGAAAGACTTTTGCATTGGCATTTGCTAAAGGGTTAGCCCTGTAAACCTCAGTTTGAAATACAAGGTGGACTCCCTGGAAAAACATCAGTCTTCCAAACTTAACCAGCATACAAGAAGTTACTAAACAGAACTATGTTTTTCTACAGGTTCATACAGTCCAGCAGATATTACATTTCGCTTCACTACTTCTTCTTTGAAAGTTGCATGCATAGTCATACTCAGATGGACAGACAGAGTTAGTGAGTAAATATGTGAGTAGGGTTTTTTACCCAGCCAGTGGCCGAGCTGCCCTTATTTTCCTCAGCAGTAATCTTCTTAATATCTTCTTGGAACAAGTTGGATCAACACTCCCTTATGTTCCCTTTTACAACAAGGGGTTTAAACCATAGACTGTATGTAGATTGGACAGCCTCCTTGCTGGGTAAAGCCACTCCGAGAACGGCACCCTCTATTGGCGGGCTGCAGTATAGGTCATAAATCCCGCCTTCGCCAGCAAAGCTTATGGAGCTGTGGACAAACTTTAGAAATATATTACACAGAATATAAATGTTTCTCCACCCTGCTTGTGATGTTGACATGTAGTTACAGTAAGACTGGTTTGTGCTCGAGTCCTCTTTGGAGGACTTGAGGTTCATGTTTTCTATGATTGACACCTGATACAGCCTATGGGCGTACAAAGATTGCGTAGCTCACCCGGGGACACGCTGTTTGAGCCGAGCGTCATCACAGTGACTCTCGGTGACTCTCCCGCTGAATGTGTACAATGCTACTGCACAGCGCTGGTTTCAGGAAATGAAGAAAAATCCCAGAAATACCGAGAGCTTTTTGGCTTCAAATCTGTATGCTGATGGGAGGCGGAACCAAGTAGAAAATGCATTAAGACATGCCTTTTTATGACATGATATACTCGTGTGAGACAACACTGAATGTTCCTGGTATTTCTGTATCCTGTCCTTTAACTTAGCTGTCCTTCTGTAGGCTGCTTCTAAATTCTGCTGTGAGCTGCTCTAGCTTCTTGTAAATTTTACACAAGTGTGAATAAATTCCCATGCCAATATATGATTTTTTTTAACTTCACTCACAGAAACTTGGGCATTCGGTTAAATAAAAGGTGTAAATAATATGACAGCCAAAACCACAAATGAGCTACACTAACAAGTCTTTATCGGGCATGAAGACTATCGTTCTGGCATCAATTACTTTGCTAATAATGAAGATAACCTTGGTCCTTGTTGCCGTGTGCAGTGGGGGAGGTAGAGGGTATTACTGAGGTAAATCACTCACTATTGCTGAACAGGACACATACTAAATGTCTGCTTCCTAGGTGTGTTTTTTCTTCTGCAAGTGTCAAAGATACAGACAAGACACTGTGGCACTTCGTCGCTCTGATATCCCACATGGATGATGACCTTGTTCTTGGCTCTTTGAAATCTCGTCCTGTTCTCCATAAACACTCTTTCAGAGGAGTGTCTAAACTTCTTCTCCCCAGTACTTTGTCAAAATTGTACTTTTTTGCCTTAAGTAGACTCAGATTTCTCTCACACAGAGGTCTAGGTAAGGATTAATGAAAATAAAAGCCTTTCTTCCCCACAGACCCCAGTGAGCAGGTGAACTTAAGCCCACTTTGGTTACAGGCATGAATAATTAACACATGTACTTACATCCTGATGACAGAACAACAGATTACTTCATCTTCCTTATCTTGAAATATTTAAAATCTGCTTGTTTTCCCATGAAAATGATCACACAGACTAGCATTTCTTTGGAAAACTTGTTTTTTCCTGAAACACAAGAGTATATCTTAAACTTAAGTATAGAACTGGCTTCACCCATAACTTTGTTGTGACAGAATTTGTTTCAAGAGTGCATATCCATTTTCTAATTCAGGTTGGGGCCAGAGTCTGATCATAAATAAATACAGTCTTGAAAATTCAGATTTCATGAAGAACGTGTCATCATCAACATCTTATTTTCATGCATACCCTGACTCACCAGAGTCTGGCCTTGAGCTATATTGTACTGAGGAAAGTTTGGCTGGGTCATGTTTGTGTCTACAATAGCTGCACGTCCACTTAAGCCCTGCCTCTCATTTTCCCCACCTTCTCTACTCTTCTTCACCCGCTGAGTGTGGCGTTGGCACTTGCGAGCCTTCGTTAAGTACAAAGCGAGTCAGGCAAAGCCAACGGAGTGATAATCAGCTTAGGAGACTCATTGCTCATTTGTCAGTGTCCAAATAAAGCACAACCTGATGGGATTTAGTAGTTTAGTAGTCGTTCACTCCCTGACCTCCAGCCATGATGGAAAAGATCTGGGACATGGAGGAATGCTAGCAATGGATGAGCCTCTGTATGGGAGGTGGGGATAAGGGCCTTTTGAAAGAATTGGAAACAGGATTTAGCTCAGCCTCTCTCCTGTCTGCTCTCAAAATAGACATACAGTATGTTTATTTAGAAGGTCTTTGGTACCTACAACCATCAGACTGTAAATAGTAGATGACATAGATGACATGACACAAGTGACGATTGAATTCCCCTTTTGGGATCAAGAAAGTTCTTCTTATCTTATCTGTTGTCCAAGGTATGTGCTGCTTGTACAGGAAACTTCTTGCCTTCAGACTCAAAGATTGTTGTTCCTATGCTCAGTTGTCTACACATCAGTGATTCTGAAATCCTGGACATCTTTAAGATGCAAGATTGGATTGCAGTACTACAGCTGTAAAAATCACAAAACAGAGAATACATTTTCAAGGAACACATTTTTTAGATGCTTGGGCTATATGATGAGGTGCATCATCCTGCTGGAAGCAGACATTTAGAAGAGTTACTTGTTGTCCTAGACCTCGGCACTCAGAAACTAAAACTCATCAAGCAGCATTGTCCATATTTTCCACTGTTGTCCACTTCTGTTAGTTGGTGTAAATTTTAGCCCATTCCAGAGGTCTGCTGCTGTAGCTCAAGTATTCAACATGTTGTAAACTACATATTTTGAATGTAACAGGTGGTTGATTATGCCACTCTTGCCTTCCCTCAGCTCCAGATTTTTTCTTTCAACCATCAAAAAGCTATGTGCACGGAGAACAACCACTCACAGGATAGTTTCTCTGATCCGGACTACCCTCTATAAAACCTAGGGACAGTTGTGAGTCTCAGACAATCCCATTAGATCAGAGGTCACCAAAATACTCCTAGCCCATCTGGCACCAATAATGATGCCCTTTTAAATGTCACTGAAGAATCTTTTCCCACCTTGACCATTTTTGCAGGACTTGTAGCTGATCAGATATAAGCAGTCTTAAGTAGTCAAAGTGGGAGGTGTCTATGTTCATGATAGAGTTGAATTAAGGCAATCAGTCTTGCTGAACATGAAGAAATGAAAGACACCCTATTCTATTACTAGAGAAATATTTCAAAGACAGCATGTGCCTTTTCATAGATATGTGTTCAACAGTTGATCCAACAATAAATGAACATGCAGCTTTTGGTGACAAGAAAGTATAATCAGACAACCGAGCATCTGCTCCAATATATAAAACATATGTTTTTGTTTTTTTTTTAATCATTTTTCATTGTTTGCATTCTTGGCAGGTTGGAAAGAGAGGATTAACTAGAGACTGCCAAAGGCTTAGTGATCCAGTTACAAAGTGCAAATACCAAGTTTCCTGTAGTTAACTAGGAGCACTTCTAGATCACTCTTTGGAGCTTTGGGAGCAGCAGTAAATTTTGTATTTCTGCAGAGGCTAGGTTACAAGCAGTTCAAGCTTTGCATTGAGAGGCTGAAAGGTTTTCATATCCATACTATTTTAACTGACTGACTATTCACTTATTATGTGAGGAATCTTTGCTTTCACATATACTGCAGGGAAATACTGCACATTCAAAACATCCTTCTGTGTGTGAGGGTGTCTGTGTCCTCAGACAGAGCAGTAAGAACTCAGCCATCACTGCGTGGTATGCACTCTTCACCTAAGAAGCACAAGTTTTGTGCTCCCTTTCCATTTCCCTTCTGTTTGATTTCTCAACAGTGTTGTAAATTCACAAACAAAGAACGGTGCCACACCACTCTATCTGGCCTGCCAGGAAGGTCATCTGGAGGTTATACAGTTCCTGGTTAAGGATCGTGGGGCAGATCCGAGCATCAGAGCCAATGATGGGATGACCCCTTTGCATGCTGCTGCCCAGATGGGCCACAACACGGTTATTGTATGGCTGGTATGTAACAAATAGTATTCAGTGGTTAAATGACATACTTTATTTTCTCATCCAAAATGTAGAATATTTTCCATTCAATGCCAGAAGAGCATAGTTTCCCCATGATTTGATTGTTTGATGTAAATCAGGTCGTCATATGTCTCATTTTCCTTCTCCTTCTCCAACCTTCTCCTCAATGGCAGCTTGAATTTTGCTCTTATGTTTTATTAGATGACTGTTACCACTGCTGTTTCCCTCCCTACTGTAGATGAGTTTCACAAATATCAGCCTGACTGACCGGGATGGTGACGGGGCCACGTCCATGCACTTCGCAGCCAGTCGTGGTCACGCAAAGGTGCTCAGCTGGCTCATGCTTCACGGGGGAGAAATTGTCACTGATAGCTGGGGAGGGACCCCTCTCCATGACGCTGCAGAGAATGGGGAACTGGAAGTATGTTTTTTGTGTCTTCATTTATTGATTCATATTATGCACAGATTCAGACTGAAATTAACAGTGAAATACAGCTGAACAAATGTCTTGGCATTGCGTCGGTAAAAGAATGAAACATGTAGCAGTGAACTCATCAGAGAAAGAGGGGAGAACAGAGAGAGACGATTCCAAATAATCAGTGTCCATCCATAATGGTTCATTACACACATTGTTTTGGTCAAAATAGTTTTTGGATTATGTAAAGTTGGTCTGTGTAATTAAAAAACACCAAGCAAGACTTGGCAAAGCAGGAAGATATTCATTCTTAATTCTCACATATTTGGACGTCTGTTTTAAATGAATGGTCTCTAGCACATATTTAATCACCACACTGGCCTGCTACTTTACTAACACTTTGTTGTCTCATTGACTGTTCATTCAGCTGTTTTTGGCAAAAGCTGAATACATCAAACAAACAATAAGCTTTTAGCGGAAATTACCTCTGCAATCTGAAAATATTCACCCAGCCTCTGACTTAAAAAGTGCTCAATATCTGTCCTGCAGTGAATATTGCTAAGAAGCTAACTACTCAAGAGAGTGGAAAATGGCAACATAAAGCTTGTTAATCAGAGAACAACAAGCTTAGTCCAGCTTTCATATGGCAGTTGACAGAGTTTTCAAATCAGATGCTTTAAGCTGTTGTTGTTTGTTGTAATCAAAAAACAAGAAACGTTTGTTGTTTTAGAAGGTAAAGAGAAGATTTTCCATCAGTTCATGGGAAACTCAAGGAAAGCCATGAATATTCTGCTTTTAGAACTTACATTTTACTTCCCTTTATCTCTTGAAATCAACCTGATCCTTGTTTTCTAACAAAAAGAATAAGCACACTGAGGAAACCCCTCGTTTCAACCATGCCCCAGGCCCCAGTTATATACCTTACCATACCATCTGGCTTTTGTATCAACCATGAAGCCTCCCCATGCAATTAGCACTTAGCCCCACATTTGTCCATTAATATCCCCTACAACCCACAAGTGTTGATAAGACTTGATAAAACTGAACAGGGATGTCACCTGGTGTTTTTTCAAGTTAGGCCCACAACACTTGAATATTAATTATGAAGCTAATCCTGGTGCAAATATTTCTCATGAAAAAGGAACAACACAGGTGACAGTGAATACACAGCCTGTGTTTTGGTCCCAAACGGTGGAATACTTATCTTGATTTTATCTTTATTCATACAAAGCCACCACCAGATTGATTTGAGTCATCTGACACCACTTTTACTGCTGTTGCAGACAGGGTTCACACCCTGTAAGATCTTCTAGTAATGGTCATACTAAGAGCCCTCTACATCCAACTTTCACTAGCCAACCCTAACTCTCTGTCCTTACTGTTGAGCTCCTACTACCAAGTCTTTATATAAACCTTTTTTTTCTGAAATAAGCCACTCTTCCACTACAACCTTCTGGGTCTTTATCAGTTCTAGCAGTCACTATTGCACTCACCATAACTGTCTGTATTTTCTGTCTTTTATTTCCCCAGTGCTGTCAGATTCTTGTGGTCAATGGGGTCGATCTTGGGATCAGGGACCAGGATGGCTTCACAGCAGCAGACCTGGCTGAATACAACGGCCACTCTCAGTGTGCCAAGTACCTTCGCACTGTGGAGAATATGGTAAGAGCTGTGCTTATCATGTCTTTGTTTTAAGCAGACTCAGCCCCTGACTTCTCAAGTGTTAAAACCACAGGTCATACATATTTGAAGAATCTTTGTGAAATGATTTTGTGTGAAAGGTTCCAGACATGTTTGGAGACAAATGTCATGTAAGTCACTGTTTTCAGTATTATTTAGCCCCAGCAGCTCTTCAAGAAAGCTTGACAAGTCTGTTTCATCATTGTAGAAATTCCCAACATCCACTCGAACTGAGCATTGAATCATATGTTATTTCATGACCAAATTTTCTACGCTGTGATAAAATGAGTTAAAAATTTGGTGTACAATCTTTCAAACAATAAAGAGCAGTTCTAAGTTGCACTTTGTGAACACAAGGCTGTGGACACTGTTGTAATAAAAAAAAAAGTTCCCTGACTGACACCTTTCATATAGTGACCTCCATGGCTTCTTCCCGCTAAAATTCCCAGTTGGCTAAAGGAATAAAAACTCCTCCCTGCTGCGCCCTCTTTTGTGTTTGGGAAACACATTTCCCCCTCTTGCACTCTTCCCATGAGAGGTTCTCAGCCCAGTCAAAACTGTGCTGTGGGAGAAGCAGAGAGCCCAGGAGGCTTTTTAATCAGCTGTGAGGAGTTTCATTAATGTTGTTCTCTTCTGTTAAGTCATCAGAGACAGAGAGTTAGTGGCATTTGAGAACTGACAATGAACAAGTTATACATTCATATTGAATATAATTGATTTATAGGCCTTGTGTTATGAGAGTATATCCTTTTATTACTAAATCAAATATAGATTAAGTGTTTTATTACTGAGCCAGTACTCAAGAAGTCTTCAATTAGGTTTTGGTTGTATATATTTAATGTTTTTTTTCCTTTGAATACCATTAATAACCCAACCAAAGATACATAATAATACTCTTATTGATTAACTGCGTCCTCGAACAGAGTGTGGAGCACCGTGTTTTGTCTCGAGACCCGTCAACAGACCTTGAATACAAGCAGCCAGACTCAGGCCTCTCCTCCCCAAACACCACCATGCCCCCTGCAAGCCAGGGGGCACACTTTGACATCAGCTCACCATCCAGCTCTCTATCAAACTATGACTCAGCCAACTCCAGCCAGTCCAGCACCGGGGAGAAAAGAAGCAGCTTAACAGCATCACGGGGCCCTCCAGTCAAGCTGAACACAGTTGCACACACAGGTCTGCATTAGTGAAGTAGAAAATGTTGTAGTCGGGAAATAAAATGTTGTGAAAATAGTATTAAATTCTAGCAACATGAAAAGAATATGGTTTTCTTGGGTGAACTGACTAGGCATTTAATAAAAGTGGTTGAGAGTTTTAAAGAATTTGAAATGATTTTCTTTTATATTTCTTGGTTAATGAGCTTATATTTTTATGAGGCATAGTGCCAGCAAAGTCAGGTGTTAGGTAGAAGGAGCCATAACTTTCTATGCAAAATGAAGTTTATAGCTTCAGAGTCAATGTTACATAGCAGCTTGTTCCTTTTGACTTTTGTGATCTGTGCAAGGAATACTGGTACTGCACCCTAGTGGTCTGTGTGTGGACATTTTGTTTTCCTTGGAGAGGTGAAATGTATTGTTCAGATTATTGTATCTAATTCATAATTCAGCAATCTCATAAGAACATAGAAAAATCATATGAAAACCCATTTTTTTGCATTGTTTTAACAGTTTGAATTAGCAGAAGAGACTGGGTGGTTTTTTGTAACAAACTCTACCTGAAAGATTGCTAAGTGGACTCTATCTTTGCTGCAGGTGCATCTGAATCCGCCATTTCAGACATGCAGGCATATATGGACATGCTAAACCCAGACATTGGCTCTGACATGCCCAAGAAGAATGAGATACCTGCTAGTGCTGCTCCCAGGCTCCCACCACCACCTACCTATCCACCCCCACCACCCCCACAGTCTCCCCCTGTGCCCCCTCCTCCCCCATGTTACCCAGCACCACAGCCCCCCAAGGAACCGTCATCAGCCGAGTTTTTGAAGGTGAAAAGCAACTTGCGGCATGTGGAACACAACACTGGCAAAAAAGAGGTGAGTGGGGATATGGCATAGACCTGTTTATAGTCAAAGACAAGAATGAAAAGGACTTGTCATTTCTAGACCAAACAATAGTCTTCTTTGGTTGGAAAAGTTCAATGTAGTGAAAACGACCCAGAACTGTTTTCATGTTAGCCATGATAAGAGCTGTTCAAATTCTTGATATGAAAAGGAACTTCATTACATCCTTTATCACCCCCTTTAGCAAAGGATACACTGGACCACCCTTTACAAAAGAAGACAGGAATATTACAACTCACAATTCCTTGCAGCAGAGAAGTTTAAAGTGACGCAGCTTCCGACTGTTCATAGAAACTATCAGCAAGATAGCTGTAGATTTGAATGCCAACTTCACCAGATGAAACATTTCCTCTAATCAAACTGATGATTCATGTCAACTGATAAATGATAACTTCTGAAAACTGATTGGTTTTTATTTCAATCAAACCTCCAATTAATCAATCTGATCATTCAAACTGTATTTATCTCATTTTATTGAAATAATACTGATTAGTGTGGTTACAGTATAATTACTGCCAGTATGAAGTATGATTTGTGCTGCTTTGATGACATCAATGATGCTGATGGCAAAAACACAATCATTGTTTTATTATAATTAATATAAATAAACATTCATCCATAAAATTGGAGCGTGTTTGTTTGCAGTTCATAGTGCTTCACACATGACTTCTAAGATGATGGAAAGACAGAACCAGTGCTGACTGTAAAATATCCATACTATCAATCAATTACTGCTTTATGTGTCCCTCAGTGGGGCACTTTGTTCATAGGAGCAAAGGTTCAAATGTAACAAACAAACTATACCCAAATACACACGACATGATAACAACAACATAATGCACAAGCGTAATACCAGTAGATAAAACTTAAAATAAAACAAGATAGAGTAAATGGAAGTAGTTTTTTCAACACACAACAGATATAATAAAAGAAAAGAGAATTTCAGAACAAAACCCAGTATATAAATACAAAGATCAAAGTTTAAACATGATACTTTTTTAAACTCACACTTAGAGAGAGAAATTTTTGAGGTACTCCCAGAACTTTTGGCAGATTGTTGCAGCAGCTGATTGTTTACAAGCTTTCCACAATTTGCAGCAGGAAACAACAGTAAGGATGCCTCAGGAGATCCATTCTTTGACATCTTTCTTTGATAGATTGTGTTTATTTTTTATTTTTTTGCAAAAGACATAGGTGACATAACACCCATGTAGTGTAAGTGCAGTTGGATTTTTCTGGCAGTTTTCTTTTTCAAACTCCTGCTTCATTCTCATTACACTTTTCATTGACCTCTAAATATTTTCCATTGAAGTGGACACATTTTGAGGCTTTTTGCGTTTGCCATATTTTTAATACAAACAGATTGTTATAATAAGTAAGTTATGTGACAGTTTCTTGTACATGCTACATTTATTTTACTATCATGGCACATTTTTATCATTTACTATCATTACCTGTTTGCTGAACCTGTGACATGACAATCCTCAGGAAGCAGAAGTAAATTGGCCTTTGGCTGTTTTTTTCCCTTGTGTGTAATCAGTCTTGTGTAACAATGAGCCTTGTCTCAGTTCCCACAATGATGTTATTGTGTTAGCATGGCTAACGATTCTCATTACTGTGGCAGGCCTTCTGGGTTGGTGAACACAAAAGTTGTTGTGATGGGTTTGATCCTAATTCCAGTAATTAATCTGGCTCCAGATCACTCAAAAGTATTTTTACAAGGCTGACAAGGAGCAGCAATTAAAACTGACATCAACATATGTGCTGTTTGAGGTGGTTAAGTACTGCAGTGAAGTACAAAGTAACTGACTGCTAGGTTAATATTCTCATGGCATTATACTGATTTGTTAAGGTAGGAGTCCATACATGTGTATGATCAGAGGGATCACTTTCCCCTAATGCAGATTGTGGCTTGGTATGAAGACCTTAAGTCTCTGACCAGTCATTGGAGTGCTTTACTGTCCACCAGATACTGACTGAGTAGTGTGTTTTATAGTTTTTCCAAATAGTTGGTCAGTTAGTCTCAAGTTTATGTGTTTCTCTATGTGTAAACCAAAACATGTTCGAACCAAAGTGAAGCTCCTTTGACTTAAAATAGGAAGTCTGATATACAGTATTTCTCAAATGGGAGTACATGTAGTTGTCCAAATACATTACATTTCTAATATGTTACACAGTTAAACTTCTCGTACTATAATACAGCAATATTAAATCTCAGCTTAGGCTTGGTGCTGAAATTCATTGTAACTCATGTTTGTATTAAAGAACATGAAAATGTTATTATGAGATTATTATTGCTTGAAAATAACATCATGCATAGCTATGGACACTTAGAAGAGCTGTATGTGAGCTACAGAGCAAGCTAATGTGAAGGCAATACAAACTGTGTAAACAGAAAGACCGAGTGTGAAGATGTGCTATGCAAAGCAAGGTTTTGTTCGTTGTTATATAATCCACAACATGTAGCAATATGACCTGTCTCTAGGGTTAGCTGTTTGTTGTGTGGGTGGATGTGTGTGTGTGTGTGTGTGTTTCTGTGTCAATGCATACATCGCCCCTCGACTAGAGGAAGAGTTTTAATTAGTGCCACCCCACCTTCTCTCTCCACCCATCTCCTCCAGGCTGTACCCAGGTGACCAGCTCAGGGTGCACCCTTGTTAATAATTGAACAAAAGCTGGTGCTTGGAACACATGAACACACACGCACAAACAGAGACAATTAAGATCAGCGTGTACCACATACATTGAAAAAAACAATCTACCATGGGCACCATGGTAACATCCAAGGAAACAGTGGATCAGGTGAACACGTTTTATGGCTCCATGTGTAAAAAGCAATGATAAAATACTCAAATATTGACTCACTTAAAGACAGATTTATTAAGCTGTTGAATTCAGCTGTAAGGGAAGGAAGTTCTCATGTTGGTCTGTTTGTTTAAGACTGCTTGCTTTCTTTGCTGCACTGTCTCTCTCCTCATTTGTCTGCATTTGTTTTGGCTGAAGTCAGATGATTCATGTAGAGTAGCCATACTCAAAAATGGCACGTTTTTTTAAAAAATATTTAGACTCACAGTCGTGTCTCCAGAAAACACGGACTTTGAGCTCTTTTCAGTGATTAGTAGACCTTCTACTGTGTTTTACTGCTTATTCAGGGCATTGCAGGCTGAAAAAATGCTAATACCTCTTAAAGCCTTAGAGATTTGAGTGTGTTCAGCCATGATGGGGGCAGCACCTAGGTCTTAGTGTTTTGCATAAGAGGTACTGGACAGAGTTGGGGAGTGGTTGGTCTGTGGATTGCTGGTGACATCATTGCCACTGCTGTGGCTGGTGTGATTGGTTATTGATGAGGCCTGTGGGTAAAGTGAGAGGGCAGGTAGAGTGACAGGCGTAGCTCTGGGCAGAGAGGAGGTGACGCTCTGGATTCAGTGACAGCTAGCCAGTGGTCCAGACTGGAGGAGAGAAGCAAGAGAGGACTCGCACAGCTAAGGTTAGTTGGATTTGGGAGTAAAAAAGCTTTGTTATTGTTTTTGTTTTTTTTTAACCATTGGCATAATCAATATGGTATCAGAGTTTGGGTTAGTGACACAGCATATTAATGCTCTGAAAAATTGGCTGTTGTCCTATGTCTGGAGTTGTTATGGCAGCTCCATGATTACACACTTAATGTATTGCATCTGTTTCTGTGTCAGAATGAGTACCCTCCATCTTTCTCTCTTTAAAATTTTGTTATTGAGAGTGTATGTAATCTTTTTATCTGAAAATGACACAGCCATCACCAGAAAGATATTTTATAATCTGACAGATGCTGAACCAAATCATAATCTGTCAAGCCTTGATAATGCAGACACAAGATTGGACTGTTGAAACAACCACTGTTCATAAAGTGTATTTATGCTGGCAGAAAGATATGCAGAACTGCGGGGAAAGGCTGTCTGTTGTATAAGCACTGACAGGGGGTAACGTACAATGCTGTGTACATTGACTACCTAACTAAAGAGAGACAATCAAACCATCTGTGGTGCTCCCCTACTCACTTTACCCTCCTCCCTGATGGGTGCTTAGGGACCGTGTCTTTGACAGCAGACATGAGTCAACTAAACAGGCTTATACGAACCCAGAACATGACACTGCAAAGACAGGGAGGTCAGGGGTCAGTTGTCAGTTGTCATTCATTTCTACTTCTGTTAACATTGGACATCTGCTTTATGTCTGAGGCTCTTGTCTGGATTTCATGACAAGCCTTGACATCATTTAGCTTTAAATGTAAATGAACTCGTCTTATGCTGATTCCTGGATTTGACAGGCAAAGTACACTCTTTGTTATGAATGCTAAGGAGTGCTTCTGATGAACTAGTTTCATAGTAATTCTTATAATAATACACCTTCAAAGGAGCTATCTTTTCCAACACCAACTCTCAATTTTCCTGTTTATAGACAGGGAAAAGTAAAACCTGATAATATTGCAAGTACTTTGAACCTGAAACATGCAAATGAGAAGCTTTTTGCATAAGGAAAATGTCACAGATTGAACTCAAGAAGAAGCATGTCAGTTGTAATGGCTGCTTGAAGTGTGGGCTAAGCTTATTCTCTATAGAAGTCTAGTTTCTTTTTATGACAAACAGTATTAAGTATTCGGGCTAACAAATATCCAAAAAGCAGCATGCATCTAGACTCTTCAGGCTGTCAAGAGAGGCATGTCCTGTCTATACAGTTTCTATTATGTAAGACGGATATTCAAGTGGAAAGCGAGAGTGCTTCACTGAAGGGGCCAAATTAGTAACCTTTGACCCTGTTTAGCTGAAAGAGGGGTCTCTCTTACATTCTTGAATGAGTTTCATGAAAACACTCAGGTTGCTTTGCCCGTGTCCTGAAATGAAAGATAAATGCTAATGTTTTTTTGCAAATGAATTAAAGCCTTGTTCTGTCATTGGAATAAGGCTGCTTTGGTCACGAGAAAGCTAATCTGGCAACAAAAGCAACTAAGTCTGTGTTAAAGTCTATTGTCCAACAAATGAAACATTCATTCCAAAAGCAGTATTTAGCAATATTAAAACTATTTTCTGCTATTCAACACTCAAATTAGCAGAATCAATGATTCTATTATTTTTTTTAGCCAAGCACCTGTTGGAAACTATCATTTTTAATAACTTTATTCTTCTTTAAAGCCTTTGTGTCATGGATGACAGTATGTTGATAGCACTTTATTACTACCTGAAGTTGCACAAACAAGTATGTTTTCTGTGGTAAATTTGATACTCTTTTATTTGCAACTTATTTCAGATGAGGCTAAAAAAAGTCATTCTTTTCAGAACAGAGTAGTGTTGTTAGTCTTCTGGTTTCTGAGTAAAACTTAAAAATCATCAGTGTTCAGGGTGATATGTCTAGATCACTTGTTTTGTAAAACCGACTTTCCGAATCTCAAATATTTTCATGCCACTGTCAGACAGTAATTGTATGTCCTCAAGTGTAAGAAGCCGACAGTGTTGTTTGATTCTTCCAACAACTAATCTACTAATCATTTTAGCTTTTCTTTGAATCAAAACGGGAGAGAGAGAAATAGAGAGGAACTACTATGAGAATAACACGCAAAGGAAAGTGAATGAGTGGACAAAGCTATCAAATTTATTTTCTCATTTTTCAATCAGCTGACCTCTGGAGAAAGCCACGACAAACTACGACGTGTGGATTCAAACAGGAAGTCAAGAAGCTTCAGCAAGCAGCCCAGCACTGGGGACTACTACAGGAACCTGGGCAGCGACACAGCAGAGACCCGAGTGTACAAAGGCATGGCACCCAACGAGGAAGTAAGTTAAATTACAGCTCTAAGTGTCAACATTAACATGTTGAATGATTGGAGCGTCACATTTGATCCTATGGATAAATAAGGCTTATAGATACATAAAACAGATACATTGTGTGTGTCTGTGTGTACAATGGCTCATAATAACATGCCATGCTGGTGAGGAAAACCAGGAAAAAAAAAAAATGTCAAAGTGTGCATTGGTGTTGAGTTACTCAAAGTAGCCTAGTGCTTTTAATGCAGTTTTAAATGTCAGTTAAGCATCTGAAATACATAAAAAAAATTACAAAACAGTGGTGTATGAAGTTAAAAATACACTGTTTTTTTCCATTGTGTTGGCTTAAAAAAAGATCCATTTCAAGGTTAGGTCTAGCTTAGTGATAGTGTGGTTGTTTCCATATTGACTGCACTATTTGTTCATTATGCCACAAAACCTGTTACATAATCCTGTGTTCTCTAAAGCTATTGTGTTTTACCTGATGGCAACCACCACCTTATTGAAAGGATTTATTGAGTCTCAACCTTCCTGTGCAAACCTTTAAAATTCATAACGAATAAAGCTCAGGACAATCTAGCAGAGAAATAATATCAACAATGTCTATTAGAAGAATAGTACATCTGAATTGTATTCTTTCAAATCTGATATCCTGGTTTGTTAATGTAGTCAGCGTCGCTTTTGTTATTGACCTAGCCTTCAGTATGCTTTTCTTTATATTCGTGAAAAGATGCGCTTTTCCCCTCAGGAAGAAAAAAATGAATGTGGTTCACCCACAAACATTTCTTTAAGATTACATCCAACAAAAGAATGGGTGAAAATGTAAAGGGTTGATTTACCTCAAGGGACAGTGCTTGGAGCACCATTCTACACTAGCCTCATGAAAGCTCACACATTTTAATGTGAAGCACTTATTTCTTTTTCTCAGGATAAAAACTATAGAAATGTAAATCTAGAGGATAAGTTGGCCTATGTACTTCAATCAACTGGCCTTTCTTCTTCTGCTCAGAGTTCATCAAAGAAAATCCCGTGTCTTACCTCAGGCCACCAAAAACTGTTGGTTAAACCACAGATTTGTCCCCCTGCATACCTACACAGAGGGTTGAATGAGAACAGTGTGTCAGGCTTTTATAAGCATCCCCAGAGAGGTAATCTCATGGGTATCAGGAGTGGGACTGTCCTGTGTGAGCCAATTAAAACCTCATTGGGGCCCCTCCTGGTCTCAGAGGGACCCTAGCAGATGGACTGGCTAATCAACAGAAGAAATGGCACGTGCAGCAAAAACCATCTGGACACAGCCCATCCCCCATTTCTCTAGGGGCATTTAAAAGTAAAAGGGACAACAATGAGGAGCATGCGCCTGAAGATTGGCGGGGCTGGGTCATGTTAGGTGTCATGGTTCATTAATTTGCTTCCAGCACAGATATGGCACGCTTTCAGAGCGTGTCAGACACATGCATGCTGGGGGTGGGGTGGGGAGGGGATGAGTCTGGGGGTTACAGCACTATCAATTGCAGTGACAGATGGCTTCTTCCCACAGTTTACTCTGTGAATTTTACCCTAGAGATTAGGTCACATTAGCCATGTAAGACGTAATAGTGTATTATGTCTGTTGATTAAAGACGACAGGAAGCAGAGGGAGATCACATGGAAAGGGGGCTGCACGCATCTGTCACCATCAGTGATCTGTGATGTGATGAATTTGATGGCCTTTGACCTCTTGTAGTTTCACTGACATATCAGTGCAGGCAAGGGGAAAATAATTAGTCAAATTTTCCTGTTAAATAAGACAAAACTTTTATTTATTATTTAAAAAACAAAAAACAAAAATGGAATTCTGAGGGAATTTAAGAACCCCCCCCCCAAAAAAAAATAAATAAATAAATAAATAAATAAAATAATAATAATAATAATAATAATAATAATAATAATAATTTTAAAAAAAAACAGTCCGTGTTAATGTTTATAAAGACATCTTGAAGGCCACCTGCTGCATCACTTTTATCAGTGGCAAATACCGTCCAACAGAGTGATGTGATGTGACTCTCACTGTTGTATTATTATAAACATTGCAATATTGAGTGGGTGTTAAATATAACCGGCTAATTCAGTTCTGTCCTTTCTAGGGCTCAGTGTTGTTGGAAGAACCCTCCGACAGCCCTGCCCAAAACTCTGAGAATGGCACCACCGATGAATCTGTTGGGCCCCCACCTCCTCCACCTCCTCCCCCTCTACCTCCACACAATACAACAACAATGCCCCCTCCACCCCCTCCATTGCCCCCAGAGATGCCACCCACCCAGAATCACTCTTCAAGGTGCAACTCCATCAACCAGCGACGTCCGTCTTCCTCATCAGGAAGTAAGAATGCCTTCACTTAATCTGTCCTCTACTTTGTCTTTTATTTCACTTTATTTCTCCTTGTTTCCTCCTTTTTTTTTCCTGGAAGGGAGTTAGTTTTCAAAACTGTGTGCCCAGTCTTTCAGTGAAACTTGTGCTCAAGCACATTATTACAGTTATTCCACAGAGGCAGAGCTCCTGATAGGAATGGACACACTTTATCTTACTGGGTCAAGAGGAGTTGAGTCTGACTCTTGCATCCTAAATAAGAGATTATAAATTCATGATGTAGGGCTACCATTACTCTGAGAACTGGTTTAGTGTTCAGCCATTTCCTTAAGTACTCCAGGTTGCCCTGGATGCAGCTATCTTCCATTGTATACACTGTTCTTGTCCCAGGGAAATTTGAAATAAAGTTTCTCTATCATACATCAATGAAGTCCTAGAATTTCTCCAAAAGACAATGACAATTGAGAAATTTCAAACTTGAATTGATATTTGATTCTTCACCATTAATTCTATTTTTACACATGACTCCTGTTTAAATGCACCTTTAAAGGACTAGTTAATTTTCTGATTGTCAAACTGACCCCATTTTGCTAATCATGCCCAATCATTCTTTTCATCACCTAATCACTTAATCAATACGTCTTTTTTCTCTCTGCACACTTCTCTGTCTTCCTGTCTCTTCGCTCCTGTTTGTTTTGTTTTCTTCTTTTGCCTGACATGGTCTTTCCTCACCGCTGCTGCTACAAGGTGGGGAAATGTCTGCCTCACAGGCAGAGGGAGGGGCACCGAGACAAATGAAAAGTAAGTACAGTTTAAGGCATTTAATAAGTTCCAGTTTTAGACAGGAGAAAAGTGTAATCCGTTAAAAGAAAGAAAGAGTTTGTATTCATATAGGGGGACCAATCACACATTTCAATTGAGCAATGATTCATCTTTTAATTCCCTATAAAAATAATCACATTACATGACAATTCTTTTACTCTGTTTTAGATTGAAGTGAGATTAAGATCATAGTCCACTTCATTTGATAAAAGATAAATGCTGATGATACCTGACAAAGTTCCTCATAACACAACAATAATTGTACTGCAGTTTTTGTGCCACACTGCTAATAAATAGTTAGGTGGCCTTAAAAATTAGAATCAATAAGACAACTGAGAACTCAAGGTGCATTTACAGCCCAACAAAAAGCAGGTTGCTGCATTAAAAATGCTGCTATGTTGGACTAAATGAAATTACAAAAAGTGTGGAAACGGTTAACCCCAGGCCGACTTAATCTTTTGTCCTCAAATAAAATCAGACTGTGGTGTACTGGGTTTGTTCCTGACCTCTGCACTTCAGATTTGTCAAGCCATAATGGATGTAGGTAGGCTGAATCTGTCTATCTATATCTCCTATCACTGCATCACTTTTCATGACTAATCAGCTTTCACTTTAAATGAGATTCAGTCAGAGTTTTGGTAGCATTCGTTGGCTTTTGCAATAGAAGTTACGTAGGAAGAATGTAATCTTCTGAGTGTATTAAGATCTGTCACATGTTGTCCCAATGTGTGTCAAGGTTCATGAGCTCTTTCCTCTTATCCACAAAGTTTTCACTGGAAACATTTTGAGTTTGCACAGGTTTTCATTTATTGAGGCATGGGGGTCACTGGTCCTTCTGATGTAGAAAATTTGGGGTGAGACAGTGTTCATGTCATTGATTTCCTAAGGACGAAACTGTGTCTAGCTTGTTGCATTGATGACTGGTCTGGTAGGAAGGACAAACAAGCTTCTGGTTGGTGGTTGATTCTTTGTGTGTGCAGTGTGTGAGTATGTGTATGTTTGTGTATGTGCACCAGTGTGTGCAAGGGAGGCTAACTTCGTCCATCCACGTGTGTGCGTGTGTGTGTGCGTGCGTGTGTGTGTGTGTGTGTGTGTGTTTGCGCGCGGGCATGTGTTAGTTAATTCCTTGCCGGCTTGCCAGTAGCTCGCTGTCACTTCAAGTTACTGGTGATTCCTTTAGATTTCCCCCGACTGTGATGATGGGTCTTTAATAGAAAGCTGGGCTGGTCTCCCTGAGAGAGAGAGAGACAGACAGAGGGAGAGTGAGGGAGAGCGAGGAGGGGTGGGAGGTAAGGGGTTTGTGTCGAGCTAGGCTGTTTTGTGGTCGCCACCACGGCAAACAATTTACAGGAAGATTTTTCCTTTTTCTGAGGGGAAAATGGATGACTGTTGAGACTCGGAGGATTTACTAAATTTACTGGAGGCTTACGTTCACTTAAAGCAGGTGAGCTAGCTGTTGTTGGGGGGGGGTCAGAAGCCTTAAAACTGAAATTTTAAATGTTGTAAATTGCAAAAAGAAATAACTGTGAGGTTACTAAAAAGAAGTTAGTAAATTGTGACGTTTGATCTGAACATTTTCAGCTCCCTCTTAAGTTTGTTGCTTAAATACAACTGAATAGACTCTGTTAGAGTTGACAGTAGAGTTTACTGTGAGAATATATTTCTGTCCTAGATTATTGACAGATTAATCTTTGACTTCCTGGTGTGTTTAATAACACAATTCTTTAAATGCAAGTTCGGTGTATATATAATGCCTTTTGTGTGGCTGTTTCTATCAGGAATAAGCAGGTATGAATTCTCCATTTCTCTCAGCTACATTGTTCTTTACCTGTGAACACCATTTTTCTTTGTGGGTGAATTGACAATGGAGGTTGTAGAGGAGGTCTTTAGATGTTGCATTGTTCACTATAAGCAGATTAAGATCAATGAAAGCTGAATGCATATTTGCCATAGACCTACTTTAAAAATTCTGCAATAGCTTAGTCGTGTCCACATCAGGTGGAACTCTGAAATAAGTTGTGTGCCTCCTCTCTTTGGGTTCGTTGTAGTGTAATAATTTTGAAAGGCTAGAAATGCTTTTCTCCATCTATTCCGTTACCTTATCAACAGTTGTCTGATGTGCTGATTTCTTCAATGTTTGTCTTTGGAAACCTACTAACCTGAAATCCCAAATTTTAGAAACAAGCCTTAGCTTCAAACTTTAATTTTACTGTTCACTGAGGGAATTTGCTTCGGAGGCAGGTGAAAACATAAAATAGAGAAAACATGTACACACAAGCCTTAAGAAAACTCTGAACCAAAGTGTTATGGGTGGTGCTTAGAGACAGTGGCTCAGTGCTTTACACAATCAGCTCCCATCACTGTTTACCACCCTCCAGGTCAGCATTGTTACTTGCCTGATCAGATGAAATATTTAACAGTGAAATGCCATCCAGCCCTTCTCTTGCTCCCTCTTCTTCAGTGTCTCTCTCACTCTCTCCATTTCTCTCTCCCTCTATTCTGTCTCTCTTTCTACCTGGTTTCACTTTTCTACTCCTTTGTCTACAGGCACAAAATCTTTCAACATGATGTCCCCCACCGGAGACAACTCAGAGCTTTTGGCAGAGATCAAAGCAGGGAAGAGCCTCAAGCCCACACCTCACAGTAAAGGCTACACCACTGTGTTTTCAAGCACTGGACCCACAGGCAACAATGTATGTTCACAGTCTTCCTTCTCTACTGATACAATCACATTATGCATTTGCAAATACAGAATTTCTCACTGAAACAATTAAGCCACAGTTTTTGCAATTTCTTGTGGATTTTATAACCCTCTAAAATAAAAAGCCTCTATAATAATGGAAAGGCAGAAATTAAGCAAAATGAAAGAAGCAACATGCTTCTTTTGCATATCCCTACCCCATTGTTTACCCCTGCACTAGTGCCTATCTAATCCTGTCAATCACAATTTGACTTTATGCAAACACGAAAAAGTAGTTCACTTGGATCATACCCCAGAATAAGTTCACTGCAAGGCTTCAGCAGGTGTGAGACTGCACATTTATGGCAACAGAAGGAAAACCTTTCTTACCTTTAAGGACACATTGCATTGCTCCTTCTACACTGTTGCAGCCCAGGGGTGTTATTGTTTAAATCCAGAGATGCGACAAATCTAACTTCCACAACAGTTTCCTAATACTGCCCTCTAATTGTATTTATCTAAGGAAAATGTTTATTGGTTGAAAAGTACCCAATTTTCTTTTGTGTGTTTACTTTATTTCTCTAGGGAAACACTATATCTCCACCAGAGACTCGTGCATGTAGTCCACCACCCAAGCCAACATCCCCCCCACCATCCAATAAGTCTGTCACCCCTACACCAGCCACCCCAAGTCCCAGCCCCAGTCCAACTAACTCTGGATCTGCCATGACCATGTCAACTTCTGCCAGCTATGAGCAGCTGACCTCCAACTCAGTGATAAATGGAAACAGTAGTGGCAGCACAGCAGGGGCAGATTCTGGGCGCAAGACAAGCATTGCAGATGTGGAGACACTTGTTCCCACTCATGATGAACAGGGGAAAGCAATCCCTGAATGGAAGAGGCAAGTGATGGTGCGAAAGCTTCAGGTCAAGATGCAAGAGGAGGAGGAGCACAAACGCAAGGTAGGAAAGCTATTGCAAGGTTGTGATTTTGATCTTTTGCTGTGGCTTTGCTATCCCATCTGTGGTCCTTAACATTTTAAGTGCTTTGTGAGCTTGATTACACAAGAAGTTCAGTTTCAATAATCAGCTACATAAATGGGATAGATTGGCTTGGATCTGAGCATGGATTTTTGTGATTTAGACCATAAGATTGTGTAGATGTCTTTGTTGGTATTTTGCATGATGTTGTTCCCTCCTTTCACTTCTCAGTGCTACAGTCCGTTGAAATACAGTTAGGGTGAAACTTACAACTGTTTTCGTTAACTCATAGTTCTTTAGATACACTGGTGTCACAGCAATGCTCAACTGGCTGTTTGGCTCATTGTTAAATGATTCATAATTCATACTGAAGCATTTTTCACTCTCCAATAACTCATCTAAAGGTTACTGTCTCTTTTACTTTATGACATGAAATCAGGCCAAGGTTGTGCTAATATTAATTATCTATATGCTCACCACTTTTAAAGTATTTCCTTTTTGCCTAATTCACCTTTATGCATGTTTTCCCCTATTTATGCTCTGAACTGTAAAAGAAAAAGAAAAGACTTTTGAGTGCAGTGAATAAATACTTGGCTGCAATTCCCATCACAACATTAGCACACTTGACAAATGAATTCACAGTGCGGGCTGGTGTTTGGTGAGGAAGTTTTGCAGCTCCAAGTTTGTACATGCTGATTCAGTGGTGTGATGCTAGGCCCATTCACACTACGGTCAACCAGGTACTAAAACAACAACAACAACAACAACAACAATAACAAAAACAACAACAATAATAATAATATTATTAATAATAATAATAAACCATTTCACTTTTCAAGTTACAACATCCTATAAATCAAATACTAAATGTGTGCAGTAAGAACATAATGGGATGCCATCTCCTCCAAGATGTCGGTTTTTGTCTTTTCCATGACCATGATATGGTGTTATGTTAAGGGGAGATTCCATTCCACACCAGGTTCCCAAATCATAATTAAGAAATATGGTTTCCCTGTTGGGTGATGGCCAAAGTGTGTCAGTCTGTTGAACTGATTGCTAGTACCCAACAACAATTTTTCACTGTATTGTAGTCAGGTCATGCATCATGGTTGCGGATTGACAATAAAATGTGTTAATATTCAGTAGGAGCAGAATCCTCATAGTTGATTTGTTGTAATTTAAATATGAAATATAAATAAATATGAAGAGAGTTAGAGCAAATCTAGATTTTAAAAAATCAGTATTATCTACTGCTATACTTTTCAATAACCCTTTCATATCATTTTGGTTAAATTAAAAATACCTGCCAACTAGTTTAAAAAGGACAAAGCTTTCTCTGTGCTCCCAGGCTCAAAAGTAGAAAGTTCTTTGCTTGTAATGAGGCAGTGCCATTGCACCACTAAATCCATGTAAATCCTGTTTGTCAAGATGGATTTGTACTGAAGCTTATGTTCACACCAGGAACCTCGAGCTGAAGGAATTCCTTCCTCCTTCCCTTCTTTCTTGTCTTTTGGTCTCCTCTGACATCTGATATAGTTTGCAGCAAGTGGGCACTACCAGCCTCAAGAATGGCACTACTCCCACATCCACAATGCCATTTTGGGCCCATTTGGAGAACTGATGACAGAGCATGACCTTAACCGAATTGAGAAGCAAATTGAGAACCTTCAAGTCATGCATAAGGTCTCAGAAGTTGAGAAGGAGCTAGAAGAACTGGAACGGGAGCTTCACCAGCTTTTACCAGTTTCTGCTGCTTTGAGTCAGGGGCACTTCTCAGTGAACCCCAAACAAGTTCATGGCCAAGCTGAAGATCTTCCAGCGTGGTGCAGCAAGATTTCCACCTTGCTCAAGAGTATGGCTATTCTTCTTGCCACACTAGGGGGCAAAGAGATAGACATTTTGGATTTTATACATCCCGGGTTCTATCAAGAAAAGTCAAGGAATGTGAGCACAAATCAGTCTGAACCAGTTGGATCAATTGGCAATGGATTTATTGGACGGTCTCAGTCATTTTCTACTAGAGAGGATGTGGAGAAGGAGATAAAACAGTGTGGAGTCTCAGTAAAAAACCTCAAGGCCAATTATGAAATCCATGGTCAGGCACAGTTTGCAGATAGCAAAGCAAATAGGGTGTACAAACGAAAGAGGTCACTGCCTGTAGTTAGTGAGTCTAGTTATCATCCAGAGACAGTTTGTAAAGATGGTGTCCCATGTACCTCTACTGAGATCCCTGAGTTTCATACCAATGGAGATTCCTCTATAGTGGAGGAATCAGTCTTACCACTTGTGGAAGAGCCAGTTATTGTTGCATCTCATGCTCAACAACTATATGCACCCTCTGAGCCAATGGCTACAACCAATATTGAACAGTTCAATCAGATTCTCTCTGCAGACCCTGTTTTAAAGGATGATCAACTGACAAGAAGCTTGGAGGTGCAGACAGATCTCAGTTATGTCCAGGAATGTATTGAAATGAGAAAAGAGAGAATTGTCTTCCTGTTTCTTGAACACTGGCGGAAATACACTATCTCTGAATGTTATCGGACTAAATACACTGGCACAAAAGGAAATCCTTTGAATGTTGGTTTGGAAGACTACAATCAATTTAGTGCACAGATTGGTGAGGAGATGCAGAGTGAAGATGACAAACTTCTGCTTTTCATGAAGTCAAAGCAAGTAGTGGGTAATCTCATCGGTCATTGGAGGACAATCATGAGTCAGGTACCCACACGCCAGATCCGCAGACTGAGTCATGCCCAGATGATCTACTGGCCAGAGCACTTCCTGCCACACATCAATGGGTCACCCATGAGCTATGAAAGTCTAACCCTTGACCTCTTTATGCTTGGATATTTCCAGTTGCTAGAAATGACCATGTCTCGCTCTGAGCGCAAATTCCGCCACCTCTTGTGCTATGAGATGTTTGACCGTCTTGGTAGTTATAAATGGGAGGTCATAAGACAGTTTCACAAAGAGGTCATGGAGGAAATAGAGAAAGGAAAGCGAGACTGGGCAGATGGTTTCAAAGACATCAAAATCAAGTACTTTGGAGACCATGACGGTGGTGGAGGAGTGATGACAGCTTCTTTGCACAGTATGTCTCCTGACTTGTCTATTATGCCAATTCAAGAGTTACCCCCTCCCCCACCCTCTCATCCTCCACCTCCACCTCCATCCACCCATCCTGCACCCCCACCTCGAAATGCACAGTCAACCCCAAATGCACAATCACCGCAACTTTCCCTGCCACAGTCAGACGTGTCTCCATCATCATCACTGACTGCATCACATGATAGCAAATCCATTGATTGCCAGTTTGTTGACCATAAAACCCAAAAGGAGATATTGGAGGACAAAATGCATAGGGATGTTAAAACCAGTTTGCATGTGTCAGCGACAGAGGGAGTGATTTCTAATAGAAACAGTTCAGAGCAGGCCCACACGCAGAACCTGACAACTGAAAATGCAGTTTACACCAGTGCTTCAGTAGAGTCAGATAAACTTCAGGGATGCACAAAAATGTCAGGGCAAGATTCAGCGAAAGTGGCTCCTCTTGTTACAGATCAAGTCTTAAAAGAGCCGCATACTGAAAAGTTTCCAACTAGAGATGAACATAATGAAGATTCAATTAAGGTGATCTATGAGCTTAAAGAGTTCAGCAATGAAGAGATCATCAGATACATTGACAGGAGCTTTGCTTTTTGGAAAGAGAAGGAAGCTGAGCTTTTTGATGTCTAACTAAAGTATATGTTAAGTGTTTTCCAGAGGCCAAGTTCACTAATGTAACCAGAGAGGTGATGAATTAAAAGCAGCATTAAGGATTCTATCCTTCAAAGTGGAGCATATAAAAGAAGAAAATATCTTGCGTTTGTTCAATACAAGACTATGTCAAAAAAGGCTGTAATACAGTGGAGCAAAGACATTCACTGATTGACCTGTTTGTGAATGCTGAAACAGTTTTTAAAAAAGCCTGTGACTTCAAAGAACAATGCTGTAAACACTTTAATGTATAATTGTGTTAAATGAACAGCTTTTTAAATACAATATGACTAAATGCCATGGTACATTATTTCTAGAAAACAATTTTTTTAATGATTATTTGCCATTAAAGTCTGTAGGGTGTTGGTTTTAATCATCTTTTAAATAAGCAATATTACTTTGAAGAAGTCTGTTTTTTTTTGTTAAGAGTGAAAGTGAATTTGTAAGACATCATACCATTTTAAGAGTGGCAAGGAATTTCCAAAACTATTAAGGATGAGCCTTTTAGCAATCTTTGTTGTGTAAAATGAAAGACAGAAACTTGGTGGTTGTTTGTTTTTGGTGGAGGTCGAGGTTATGTTGAAGTTCACAAATGGCCCTCAACCTTTTATTCATGACTCCATGACTTTGTTAATACAGTGTGTGACTTTCAGGATAGATTCAAATGATTAACAGATGTGGGTAATGCAAAGCCATAAGACTGTGCTCAGTAATTCTAAATTTTCAGTTTTAAGTCTTGTCAGAAAATGGACACATTCACTTGACACAGAAGCGAACTCTAAGAAGGTTTAATGTCATTCATCATTATTCTATCCTCTCCTGGGGGGATCTGTTAAAATGTCTTCTTTAAATTCATGCTTTATCACTTGGTTTTTACATTGTTGTTTGAAATAAAGTTGGTTGACATTTATGTGAAGAAATGATCTCAATTAATCTCATTCTTCTGTTACGATACAAGTTGGGTTACTCAGCTGAAACATGTAACCCATAGACATTTATCCTTGTACTTCCTGACTATCCAGCTAATTAAATGTATTTTAAATAACCTCACTGCAATAGAGAAAGCGAGTCTGAACACAAAGCTCTTGAGTGAGCAGTCCTCCACTGTAATGCTTGCAGAAGTAAAGAACCACACTACAGTGTCTGTTTTACAGCATCAAGATTACCTCCAAATAACCCTCTTAGCACCACCTGCTGTCATGCTACCAGTGGCTTACAGGAGTCATAAGGAGGTTACAGTGAATCTTGATCAACTCACAGACCAAAAGGGAAGGCATTTAGTCAGTAAACTTAAGGGTGTATTAATAGATTTTGGATTGATGTACAGTGTTTTATTCCCATTCGTGAAATACAGGAGGTGGTATGAGGAGCAGTAATCTTCACATACCAACACCATTGTTATAGCCTGAAAGACATGTACAGAGCTTTGCTTAGTGTCGATTTCAATCTGCAAGGCTTGCACAGAGCACATATGTGTTAACAGTATCACTTGACCTATACAAGTTACGATGAAGTCACAGAAAGAACTAAGAGGCTGACCCTTTTTTCATGAGCTGAACATGGTTCTCAGCTTGCCAGTATTTGGCTTCACTCTCTGGCTCATGTGCATGTAGTCTATTGATGCAGCCCTGAATAAAACTTGATGTTTGAAGCCCCATTAGGTCTGATAGCACAACTCCATGTCATTTAAAATGTTCTGTTTCCGTTGTTTTAAGACATTAACTGTAGCATCGCTTATGACAGTATAAAGAACTGGCATGACTGTTTCTTCCTATTTCATCTTATGTGATATTTTATTGAAGTCATTGGCAACATGATAGGACAAAACTGTAATTTGCTACATTACCATATGAAGGTCATGTGTACAGTCCTTATGTTGAGTTTGTTCTCCTGATTTTCATCCTGTCTCCACTCAGAGCTTTCATTAGCTCTATAGGATTGATAGAGGAATTTAATAATGGTATTTGTTAGTGTGAGGAACTTAATGCATGATATTCAAACTAAGATAAATAGTAAATGTATAACATTTACATGACTGAGAAAAGTAGTCAAAGAGGTCACTGATCAAGTTAGTAAGTTTGTAGCCAGTTTTAAAGTTGGTAAAGATAGGTGAAGCTGTGATATGTTGATTAGCAGATACAAGCCTTATCCAGTGCTTGCAATCCACAGCTAATCATGTGAACTAGTCAACATTGCACAAGTTTTCAGTTCTCTTGTCATAACAAATCTAATGTTAAATATTTGGAAACATTTTGCTCTGCTTTCTCAGAAATCTTACAAAAACACTGTGTAGATCACCTTACCTGGATTCAGGTTTTGCCAGAACGAATGGGAAAGCTTTGTTAAGAGGAACTTAAAAGAGTGATGTGCATGCCAGTTTGGCAAGATTAGAGGTCCAAGTTAGGTGCCATCTCTGCCCTTGCAACACATCCAGTTACAGTCCTGAAAGACAGAAAGGATCCAGTTACCATTTGTGTGAGTAGTTTAAGAGAACATTCCACAAAACAGTGTGCTTTCCTGTCAAAAGGCCTTACATTAGTGGGGTACATAAGAGAGGAGGAACTATTGTGAGCTGTGTTTGTTCTGATAAGTACATACATCAGTTTACGTGGTTTGCTATATGCAGTGACTGTTTGGGTATTCTGTACAGACTGTTTGCCAAAGATGTGCACACAGACAATGTTTATCAGTTAAACCAATGTTTTCATCCAATGTTCTCAGATTCAGGTGCTTTTCTGAACACCTCAGTTCAGCTGTTGACTGACATTGTGATTTCCAAATATCATTAAACCATTAAAATGTTTTATAAAGATTATCAGCCACCTAAAAATGTAACTCTTGACTGCAGTTTCAATAAGCAGGTTTATTGAATAATCTGGATAACAATGATGAGGTAGATCATGGAAATGGTCTGCACCACACAATAATGTAAGTATACGAGTGAGTGCTTTGTGACTATGTTTTACTAGAGTGCGTCTGTAGTGTTTCTGATGAGGAACATGGGACACAGTTTAATTCACTGAACATGGATGAAATACTCATCTGTCATTTTAAATATCCTTTTTTTTTTACTATTTATCTTCTTTTATCCCTCCCTCGTTGACAGTGAATAATGTTTGAATATCTTCCTAAAAATATCTAAATCAGCCATAAAAGACTGAACCTGTGACAGGGGTTTGATAATTTTATGTACTGCATCAACAAAGAATGTACTGTAATTCTTTAGTGTAGTCAGCCCTTAATGAGTGTTATCTTTTTGCCAGGAATGAAATCATGCGTAGCTAGATAGAAGAGCCCTTTTCGCAAAAAGATTTAAAATACTAACTGGTATGGGCCTCTATCTGCCTCTCCCCTAAACCCCCCTGTATCTTCACAGGCTGAGGAGGAGGCTGCACGCCTTGCATCGATGCCAGCCTGGCGGAGAGACATAATGAAGAAGAAAATGGTTGAAGAGAGGTGAGTAAGAGCTGCTTTACCCCATGTCTAACATACTGTTTAGTATAATTTATCCTACTTATTAAAGTGATTGTTTTATCTTTCCAAAAGTCTTTTATTATCTTGTTTAATCTTTTTTTATCTGTTGATGAAACTAAAATTTTCACAGTTTTATGTACTTAGTTAGTTTTTTAATTACAGTTGTTTCCACTCAATTCTGACCCTTTTTTTTTTTTTAAATCTCATGATATTATTGTTATGTTTGCTTGTGGAATAACTGTTGTCTCTGTTTAAGATATTTACATCTTTTCTCCGTGCATTTATGTTCTCCTGACATGACAGGGAACAAAAAAGGTAAGAAAGAAAAAAATGTATTTGACAAAATACGCTTGAGTTTCTTTTGATGTACTAGATCACTGAAGTGTCTGGAGTTTGTATAACATTACAGACTGCCTATAGGAATTTAGACTCTTTGAGAAGGTCTCAGGCTTTGCAGCTTAAAATCATTAAAATTTAGTAAAGCCCATAAAGATCACAAAGACTTACTAGACCTTATATGTGAGGTGAGGCGCAGACTTCTATAAAACTCAGCCATATCGCTTTTTTCCTACTATCTGATTACACCTTAAAACTAGATACATATTTAAAGTTAAAGAGGTAGGATTATGCTCTTTTTGGTCAAGTCATATCAAGTCAAAATGTAAAAGAGAGATCCTCTTTATATTTGCTCAAATTGTGAAATCCCAATGAATCGATCTGTACTCATACTCACCTGAGGAGTTTTTTGCCCCTTTCCAAACTTTGTGGGTCACATAGGGTCTAAAGCATATGTCCATATTTCATAATTTGTCATTTACAACAGAAAAACACCAGTTAACTCAGATAACATTGTGGCATTGCAACAGTGGTTGAGGGTCACGGCGTGTGCTTTAAAGTACTATAGGGACACATAGGCTAAAATTAAGTATTTGACAAATGAGACCATACGCAACAAGTCTAATAGTTTCACAGTAGTTATTTTTAATGTCTAAAAATGCTATGAGGGCGGCAGGTGTCAGGCCAGATGGATGACAGTAGGTCCAAAAGACAGCATTTTTTCACGACAAATACTTAGTGAATGATATGTTGTGGTGTTGAAAGACAACAGGATGAGGATTTTGTCTAAAAACACCACTCACACTTATACATGAACAAAATATAACAGGTATCACTTTCCTCACAAGGGTCGCAAGAACTAACACAAACCAAAGGTTCCTCTCAGCAGCTAAAAAAAAAGTGAAAGGGTTGCCTGTTCAACCAGTCTGCCACCTGTTGCCAGAATGATGCAACAACAAGACAATACCAAAGTACATGCTTGATGTCCTCCTCACTACCACACAATCATCAACTATTTTCATCAGTTATTTTCTTTTTCTTTTCATTTTTGAAATCATATTTTTGCATGATTAAGGTATCATGGATTTAAAAGAAAGTCTCTATAGGCATCTGATATGCCGTTCACAATATGATATGAACATTTTTATTTGAAGGTATCGGACAGTATTCTGGTTTGTTATCAATTTTTATTTATATTTGTTCATTGTCATAGGCCTTATTTTCATATGACCACCAGGGCTCTACCACCTAAAAAGTAGATAAATGACAGAATACAGTTTAGTGGGAAACAGAGAAACCTTAATAGTACAGCGTTGAGAGGTTGGTTATTTAAAACAAAGAGGTAGCTTACTTTAAATGATGTCAAAGGCACTTTCTTTCTCATTCCTCCATGACAGCTCCCCTTCTTGTAAGGGTCTATAAAGAAATAATATTCTGTATTTAATTTTGAAGTAGCATTTTACAATGAGGAAAGAGCTCTCAGTTATCTGTTCTTCATGAAAAACATTGTCAAATTTAAGTTGTTGATTTATATTCTAAATAGTCTTTTTGTTCATACATATATCTTTACATAAAATAATAAACTGATCGATACAGATGTTTGGTTCATGTTTTATTCCATCTAGAATTATTATGAAGCAAACTTGTAAAACCCACTGTATCATTCTAAGACCTTTCTGGTCCACTGTCTACCTCTCTTCATGCAGAAAAGCAGAGATACAAGCGAAACAGGCAAAAGAGATGGAGGAGAAGACAGAGCTGGAGCGATTACGGACCCTTGGCTATGACGAGACCAAGCTGGCCCCCTGGCAGCGACAGATCATTCTGAAGAAAGGGGATATAACCAAACAGTGACCTAGGACATCTCCTCCTCTGACCTGCAGCACTCCCATTATCACCCACTCCAAGGCCTTTACTGAACACCTAACCCCCCTGCTCTTCCACCCTGTGCTCTACGATGGTCAGCGGGGAAGAGTTTATCTCCTTTAATTCCTATGTCACTCTCTAGCCTCAAGAAACAGAGAACCACACTGTGGTTCCTGCTGTCCACACCAGCTTTGGTACACGTCATATTGAAGTCTTGTGGAACAGACTCTTTATCTTGTTGTGCTGAAAATATTGGTAACATGCACTGGTTGTCCTTGTTTGAGGCACTCGCGATAAATACTTGTCATCAACTTAACTAATATTATCCTTAGTATCTATAAATTGATTTCCTGTAACACAGTACAATATATGTCACACAAGACACACATTTGAAACAGGTGGCATGGGGTTACTTTTGGGCATTTCTGCCAAGGTGGAAAAAGCCATTTCATGTATATTTTTCCCTTCAGTACACATTCATCATAATGTTATAATTGAAAATGTAGCTCTATAACAGTTGAGTCATCTAAGGATGTCATGGGTATATTTTGCAAATGCATTCAGTATGTAGATAATATCTAGTTTTGTATCAAGCTCATAGAAGCACTTTCTAAATGGCTTCATTGTACTGCCAGAACTGTTATCTTAATACCGCTCATACTAATCACTTTCTGTAGCTTTTTGTCATTTCTCTGTGGGTTTTGAATATTAGTATAGATTCTACTTCAAGAATGTAAAGATTATGTAGCTGTGCAAATTAAATTTTACGAATTATCATTGACAAAGCTGCATAGTACAAAACTTAATTTTCCTCTATGTGACGTAAATATTAAGCATTTGATTATCAATATAAGATCTTGTGGGCATGTGTGGCATGAGTATCAGGAATATTATGGCATATCATTAAGCATATCTGACTCCGGGACTGTAAATTTGTCAGTGATTGACAAAAGAAAAATTTGTATGATCTAGAAATCTATTTAGCCTTTCAAAATAAAAAAGCAAATGTCATTGTCCTACACTCAACATTTCCTCCGCATGCTGAATATGATGTTTAATGACAGACAACATGAATTTGTCCTGTGTTTTGTTGAAGCCTTTGTCCCTCTAACCTGACAGATACATTTCTGTTGAGCATATTAGCCTACAGAATGAAAAGACAGAAACTTCTGTGCACAGTGTTCCCTTAATGATGCCAACTGAATATCAGTAATCTGTGAAGTCCAGTGTCAATTTTTATTCTTTAACTCAAGTATCAGATTATATGGCTCATCCTACTGTATGACTGACTTGACACACCCAGAGACAACTTTACATAGTGGGGTCGACACAAATATCTTGATGATTAATGTAACCAAATGGCAAAGTGAAGCCATCATTTCAATGGTGAACAGCTCCTTGCAACTCCAAGTTTTCAACAATTTTTAGAATGCACACCCCTGTTTGTCATGGTTTGTCAATTTGGGGCTAAACATGATGAAAGTGAACTTTGATGATGTATTTGGAAGAAGTCAACTAGACACCTGAGTGTTCCCACATAATGGGAAATGTTGCATCTATTCCCTACTTTTTGTCAGATGTATATTTATTTAAGGAGTATAAAGCGTACACATGGTGGAAGACATGTTTGTGGTTTGGAAATCATTTGGAAATATTGTAATTCACTATCATCAGATGCCATATGATGCATAAATTTGAAACTATGTAAACGACATTGCCATTTGATTTTATATATATATATATATATATATATATATATATATATATATACATATATATACATATATATGATCTATATTTCAATTGTGTACATAGTGTCTCGCTCAGAACGTTGTCCTTTCTTTCCATAATGCATTGTATTACATGTCTCAGCCTTGCTTGAATAGATTGTTGGCTAATTCATATGTAATTATATTTTCAAACAATAAATAAAAACAATCAATCTTTAATCACCTTACAAGTTCAGAGTGTGTTTAAGTGTCATCTGACAGACAGACACCATCTACAGTAAAACTACAATAGGAAGAACTGTAAACCCAAGGGAAATATACATGAGTTTTTCTGCAAATGTTGTTTCACTGGTGTCGACTGGTATTTTAGCAATGTGCCTTGTTGTATTAAACTGACTTCAAGAAAAGTTGTCAAGCTTCTCGGAATGAGAGCTGACATGAAAACCAAAGCTGAATATCAAATAATAATAGAAATCACCTGTGATCCTTTCACAAAAAAAGGAAGTGAGTGTAAAATTAAACACTTGTATTGGTTTGTTATGAATATGACCAAATGAGCATCAATGTGAAAAAAAAAGTTAACTCTAAGGGGGCAAAGTGCCACGGATTTTGCTTTTTGGAGTACAGTCCTTGTGTAGCAAATCTCACAGGAACTGGTGTCCACTTTCACAAAATCCTTGTAATGAAAAAGTGAAATTTTAGCAGAAATCTCTTTAAGTTGGCGGTGGTTGCTGGTGAAGTAGCCTATCCTATCTGGATAGACTGAGATTTATTTTTTATGTAAATGTCAATGCATTATGATCAGTGACGGTACTGTTCTTTGCCCTTTTGGTCACTAGATGGTAGTAGACAGGTTTATCTTGTCAAACGTGCAGATTGACGTATCAAAAAAAAATTGGAAAGATAGAACAAAAGCGGAAAAGTAGTTGAACGGGACACTGAGCGATAGAGACCTTGATGAACTGAATTTGAATATGTCGGTCATAATTAAGCCCCTTGCTCAATCTGCAACCAGTTTCAACCCTATTTGAGTCAAAGTCTTGAATGTTTGATGTCTCACTCTCAACTTAGACATTACAGCGATAGCCTAAACAGCCAGCTAATGTTTCATATTCAAATGTGCACCCATTGCTTCAGGTCTTTGTTTTTCTCAAAATCAACTATTTTCGGTGATTGATTCACGCTCACCTGGAGTGACGTAGGCAGTGCGGCTTAATGGGCGCCTGGAAAAGGAGGAGGAAGTGTGAGTAAAGAGAAATAAGTCACATCGTGAAGCAGAGGACTTGTGCCGTTTAAATTCTCCTGCCTTACACGGGACTAGAGCTTTCCAAGAACAAGCGGACTGATCAGAGCCATCGTTTATAGGACGGCTGGTGTTCCTCTCAACACAGGTAAGAGAGCTGTTTAAGGGCTCCCAGTCTCCGTGTTTGCTGGACTTTGTGACTACCCGCTGCTATGAGCCATGAGAATGTGAGGCAGACATTTTTCCACCCACCCTAATCCGTCTTCAGCCAGTTCTTGGGAATTCAGACTGCTTCTGAACTTCTTCAGCGCACAAGTGTATTTTTTGTTTTTTGTTTTTTTGTGTGTTAATGTGTGAGTATGTGTAGGTTATGTTTTCAAGAATGCAGTTAAACTCACTATCTAACGCTTTGTGGGTATAATTTAAAACTTTATAAGATTATTCGAGTGTCACCACGACATTATAACCTTTGCACATTGCACGACAGGAGTATAGCCTCACAGGTACACTAAGAGAATAATCGATGTGTTGTTGTTTTTTTGTTAGTTTTTTTTTTTTCTTTTTTGGTGCACAGATTTTCTGAAGCAGAAGTCTGCTTGTTTGTTTGACAACAAGTGCAGTGTGGGAGTGAGCAGTGAGTCACGGGCTGTGTCCCTCAATATGAGCCCTGACATAACTGACTGCAGGTCCACTGACTGTGTCTGTGTGTGCGGAATAGGTCTCGGGTGAGGATTGTGTCCCTCTGTGGGTCACTGGTGGTAGCCCCTTAAAGGTCGTCCTTAGAAATACTTTTCATATGAATAATGTGAAATGATCCCATTAGTGCCCCTGCTTTTCCTCATGTGAACCTTTAAGGGGACAAATTGTACTGCCTACACTTCAAACTTTTGTCTGTTTCTGCATATTAACACAATTTTCCCTTTCTTCAGATTCTTCCAATGCTGTAGTTCCTGCAGTGCTCAAGAGACTTGGGCACAGTGAATGGTGGAGGTTGTCATGTCCAACAGCCAGGCAGATAGCTGCATGGGGGACCAGGCCCCTCCAATTCTGGAGAGCTATTTCTCCACAGAACTCCATATATCTGAACCAGGTGACGAGTGCTGCCAGTCACAAAGCTCTCTGCCACCCCAATCTGAAGACTCCACTCCGCAGGAAGATGCGATAGACGGGGTAATAGTGCCTCAGCAGGTAGTTCTATGCACTGAGAGTCCTGCAGCTTTGAAAGCCGGCACTCGTCAACTCATTCCCAGAAATTTAGCTGCTGGTGGTAGGCCTAAAAATCGCCACCACACCACTGTGGTGACATTCCCAGTTGGACTGGAGAACTCCAGCAGTAGCAACAGGAGTCGTCATTCAGCCCAGGGTCCAGACGTGTCCTGGGAAGACTATGACAGTGATTGTGATGGCTTTGCTTTGAGAAGGAACCGCAGAAACAAATCCTACAGAGCAGCTGTGACCAGCCTGGACATTGAGGCCATAGCTGCAGGACAAGGGGCCACATCCCAACTGAAGCCTGTGAGGGAGGATAGGGCACCAAGTCCTGGCCCAGCTCGCAGTCTTGGAACCAAGGTAGTGTGTTGCGGTTTTGATTAACATACGCTGTCAATAGACAATATCAGTCATTTCTTGATAATTCATCCACTGCGCATTTAAAAGCCAAACCTGCTCAAATCTAGTATTAAATTGTGGTGCCAGTTCTGTTCTTCAGAAACAAACTTGGCACTGCAGTTTTATTTTCTAAGGTTGCATCAAGCATAGTCAGTTACATTAGCAGTGATTCTTCTTGATGATAGTGTGTTTCCATAACTGTCTGCTGTCCTCCAGACCATTACTAGGCTGGGGAAGTCCTCGTAGGGGTTTACCCGACTATATATGAAAAGAGATAAAAATAATCAAAGGGAAGTACTACAGAGGGAATGAGAAATCCAACAGAAGATTTACTAAACACTGTTTATTAACTCGGGGATCAGGTTTTCTCCAGTTTATTTATTTATTTATTTTTTTACGTCATTGCTGTCCTCTCTCTAGCGAACCTTTGGGAGAAGAAAGAGGAACCAGAACAAGCGTGGGTCCTTCAAAGATGGTAGGTCAAGTAATATGTCAATCAGTCCACTTATGATTTGAAGGTAGTGATGAGTTGTCAGTTTTCACAATAAAAATGTTGAAACAAGCATGACATGCTGTGTGTAAAACGACACAAAATCAGCTTGTTCGAGTTTATTGAAGACAGCTTAAAGCAGCAGGAGAGGAACCAACAGAAAATAGTTGAGGGTGAAGTATCAAATGATGAGATTTGATGTCCTTCTATTGAGACCCTGTCACTTATTCCCTTTGGTATTGCAATAATGTTTTTGAGTACATTTTTAAGTATAACTTTGAATTGACCTTGTTAAGGGGCCTCGAGTTGGCTGGATAGTCAGCATTGTGACTTTACAGAAAGATGGTTCCTGATTCAAATCTCAGCTGAGGCATTTCTGTGTAGATTTTTTATATTATCCCTGAGCATGGGTAGGCTCCCTGTATATACTCCAGATCTTTCCCAATGTCCAGAGCTCATTAGATAAAGTGGTGACTTTAAATTGCCTGTAGGTGTAAGAATGAGCATGTCTGGTTGTTTCTTTCTGTGTGTCAGCTCTTTGATAGACTGGGGACTTGCCCAGGGTGTACCCTGCCTTTCACTTAGTGGCAGTTGGGATTAGCTTTAGTATCTCTAAACCCTGGATAGAAAGAGCTGTATGAATAATAAACAATTGATTTGATGTTTTTGTTTATTTGAGTTACCTGTATGTTCTACACTGAAAATCAAACCTGTGACCTTTCCCTTTTTAAAAGGATCTGTACTCGTCCAGCAATGATACACTCCAAGCAGTAATCTGAATTTAAAACATTCAGTTTCCAAGCAGATTCATTCTCACCTCCTACGCTCTTATTGTTGTCTGAGTGCCACATGTGACGATGTCCACAGAGTCCATCTGTGCCTCAGTGTTTCATATATAACGCTCAACAGAATACCTACAGTTACCCTTTTCAAAACATCTGGTTGAAGAGGGATTGATGAAGAATTTTCTTTTGCATAAGCATACTGTAGAAGAAGTGTTTAGGTCAAGAAGCAGGTATTTAAACCTTTTTAACAATGCCTTTTTTAAGGATAGTTTTCAGATGTTGTTCTCCACAAAAATGAAGCACGTGTGTAATTCAAAGTCTAACCATAGACCTTGAGCTGAAACACAGCTGATGTTAATGTGATTCTCAGCTACACCGCGCCTCTACCAGGAGATCAGAGAAAGAGGGCTCCACTCCACCAACCAGGATGAGCTGCTGGATGACTTTGTGATTGTAGAGCCTCCCATAGAGGACCAGGGCATTGTGGTCAAGAGCTACAGGCCTGCACAACTCACCTGGAGCCAGCTGCCACAGGTAAATCCACAACTGCAGTGACATACAAATGCAGTCATGAAGAGAAACAAAGATGCAGTAAGAGCAAAACCTCTGAGTTTTGTGAACAATTTTTATTCATGTTTATTAATTGTCTAGATATTTGCTTGTATCGTTCTTGTTCTCTCCAATCTAACTATTTGAATTCATTTTGGATTGTAATCTGTTGTAATGACAGTAAATTTTTGCAGCGATATAAATCTTCAATTATTGTTAAGCTTTAGTCCAGTAGGCAGTCTTTTTTCCAACTACTGCATTAATTGACACACACTATGACCCAATGTCATGACCTTGTGAATGTATTCGCCAAGGTTGCCCAACCGGTTGGGGATGTTGGGTGTTCATCTTTATCATTTTCGAAACAAGCTATATCTCAAATATGCAGAAGAAATGCAGATAGTGGCTTGACTGTCTTTATTATATCTCCTTTAAAGGTGAAGGAAACAGGTATCCTGACAATGATCTCAGCTCAGGAGCGAAAGAGACAAGAGGTAAGTCTGTGTGTGAGTGTGTTTACATCACATGTGCTGTACCCACTAAAATGTCTTCAAAGGGATTTTCACGAACTTAAATTTGCCAAAGAAAGTTGAATAGCTAGTGCTTATTGTGATGGAATATTTTTAGTTCAAACTGAGCATAATAAAAATCTCAGGACTTCCACTCTCACTCACCATTTTCATCAGTGTTACAGATGGCAAAACAGTACGGTTTCAATCCACAGTAGAATTTTGGTCTGTGGTTAAAAGACATCTTTCCTTAGTGTCTGTAAATATGTTTTTTGTTATTTTTGTGTTCCAGCCACTGAGGTAGAGAGAAAAGTATGTTCAAAATCAGAGCAGCAGAGGCCAATGTAGTTGGACGTTTATCTGCATTCGGTCAAGCCCAAAAGCAGGAGGTCCTGTATTTTCCTCTATAGATCTCAAAGGTGATTTTTGTTAGACCTCTTCTGCCTCCTTATTGCCCTCTCCCCTCAAATCCTACTTGCCCAGTGTGTAATGCTGGGTTTCAGTAATGTAAGAGAAGACATAGATAACATGGATGACATAATCTGGGAAATAAAGCATTATTCTAATAAATTTCTCAGCTTTATTATGCCTGCTGCTGACACTTTTGAACAAGCTTAAATTCATTTTAGAGACTGGATGAAAAGCTTTGTAAGGAATTAAGAGTTTCACTGCGTTGATACAGTACCTCCAGGTAATGTGTGTGTGGGAAAAATTGAACACCACAGCTTTATGCTATCTTTTGTCTAACACTATCTGAGGGTGTATTTCCTCTTTTGCAACACCCCTTCTTAACAGCAGATGTTATGTCAATACCAAGTCCACCCTGTGTGCACAACGGTTCATGAGTAAAGCCACACCCTGTCAGTGTGATCACATTCAGTTCGTGTCCCTAGCAGGGTTTGTTTTGCTCTTTTGGACTTCAGGTTTAGCTTTAGTGTTTGAATAGTGGTCCCTAGATATTTAGCCATTTTTAGCAACCGAATGGCAGCTATTTAAGGTTGAGAAACCATTTTTCTGGTTGATTTTTTTTATTTTATATCCCAAAAGTAATACTCATGTGGTGTGCATACAGTGTTACACCAGAAGGGTTCGGCCCCAGGCAACAGGCAAGACTATGGAGCAGGCAAACTCTCCTCGACTATTTTAAAACAACATGGTAGTGTCATTTGGTTCTGTCTGCTGTGTCACAGGCATCTGATCACCTGCCTAAGATTCTGACCATAAATAGCACTCTACACAGCTACAGCTCCCCCCTTCAAAATATGTACTCTGCTCTTCATCATAATCTTCCTCTAACACTTCTATAAAGAGGATTCTGATGACTTATTGCATTTCCGAGTCCTACATGATTTCTTTGATAGCTGCTACAACTATTACCCTCTAGTATAATGGAATGACTAAAGAAGTCTATCACATGACCAAATGAGATCAGGATTTTGTTTCACTGAGAATGAAATCCTAGATTTTAAAAAGTCTTCAGCACCCAGCATGTGCAAGTATTCATAGAAAGGGAAGAGATATTTAAGAGCAGCATCAATATACCAGGATGCATTTTGGCCACTATAACCATTTTACTTTGTTTCAGGGATTTTCACTCGTGCTTTATTTGAAGAAATAAATTATTAACTGTTCTCTATCTTTGCATTAAACAGTCAAATTCAGACGACGGAGGCAAATCAATCAGTTTTCCTTACAGAAGTAGATCAAAGATTTTCATTATACTATGACCCACGTGTTAGATGTGTAGCACAACAACTTCACAGCATGATTTTTACCTTTTATTCCAAGTTTTCAAGCTGTAAATAATGTACTTCGCAAAATATAAATTTGCGTTTCACATGGGCACTAATTGACACATTGTGATTATACAGGCCATATTTGAGATCATCACATCGGAGCACTCATACTTGCACAGTCTGGGTATCCTGGTGCGTCACTTCAAGAGTAGTGAAGCCTTAAAGAGGACCATGACGGCCACAGAACACCATCACCTCTTCTCCAACATCTCTGTCATCCACAAAATCAGCCAAGGGTAGGCACATCTGAAACCTGCTGGCAGTCTGGCTTGTTTATGTGCTGTATGTGTGTGTGTGGGGTAGATGAAAAGCTAGTTATGGGGGAGGTTCACTACCTCAGTAAAACAATGGATGATGTTATCACTGTGTGAAGCAGTTCAATGGACCTGTCCTCGGTAGACAGTATTGACTTGAACTTAAACTGTGTGATATTGTTCAGTGTGAAACAATTCTCTCACCAAGAAAAGATTTGCAGGGTAAATTTTAGAAAATCAGGTCAACTATTTGCCCTTAGAATGTCTAAAGTCTCCTGTAGGCTATATCGACATGTCAAAACACGCTAGTCAAACAGGTTCTCCTGCTCTGAGTGGTATTCCAAGGCTTTAAGAGGATAATGTGTTTGAAAGCAGCCTGTGTTATCCTGTATATTTCTTATTCTTATTCTCTTTAAATGAGAATAGATTCTGTTTCACCTGCAAAGAAATAACCGTTCTTCTTTACCTTTTTTCCCATCCATTTCAAAAAAACAAAACAAAAAAAAAACAGGACCTGTGAAACAAGAATGCAAAAAGTGTCTCACAAGCTGAAAGGCTCGTGTGACTTACAGTATGTGTATTTGAATGAGAGCTCTGCAATGGCTTCCTGGGCTGGGCTGTTTTTAAGGTGTCATTTTACTCTTTTCATGTGAAAAAGGCTCTTAGCATGGGTGGGGCTGAAAGTCATTCATGAAAGGTTTAACAAAGCTAAGGTAGAAAGGGTTACCTACTTTTTGCAGTTAAAATATGATTTACATATTTAGATAATCACACACTCATATCCTAAAATGTATAAACTTGAAAAAAGTATCCAGCATATAATAATAACTTTATTATTCATATATATATATATATATATATATATATATATATATATATATATATATATATATATATATATTATTTTTTTTTTTTTTTTTTTTTTTACCTTGACTATATATAGTCAAAGTGGAAAGTAACTGATTATATTGACTGGCATTTGAGCAAGTACAAAAAAGGATCGCACATACCTGTGCTAAAATCACAAAAAATCTGACTTTTCAATCCCTTTTTACATACCACCCTCTGGGTCAAATAGCACTTAGTACGCAGCAAATGTAATACTTTTAATTTTACTGAAGCAGATTTACAGATTGGTACTATTTTGTCTACTCAAGTCAAGTGGATTTTTATCAAAGAAACTTTATTTTAACCTGAGTAGAAAACTTAAATGTATCCCAATCAGTTATTCAGTCAGTGGGAGCAAAGTCCTATTTTAACCTCCTCCTCTCTCTCCTATTCAGGTTTTTCGAGGACCTTGAAAGGCGTCACTATGACAACCCAGTAATCCGGGACATTAGTGATATTGTTCAGAACCATGCTACCAATCACTTTGAGCCCTACATTGTGTACTGCTCAAATGAGACATTTCAGCAGAGGACGCTGCAGAAGCTGCTGTGAGTGGCAATGTAAATTTTAAGACACTGTAGCTATTTGTAATATGCTAAACTTCTGTCCTTATTTCTGTCTTAGGACCAGTAACACAGCATTTAAAGAAACGCTTAAGCAAATTGAAGGGAGCAATGAATGTGGAGGCCTGCCCATGATCTCTTTCCTCATCCTTCCGATGCAGCGAGTCACCAGACTACCTCTACTGCTGGATGTCAGTTTAATCTTTGTTTTCATTTATAAGCCACTGTCAGGATTTGGCAGCACCTTCACAGTATTGTTTTATCATTCATTACTTGTTTTTTTCATCAGCAAAAGATTTGAAGTTGTGTCATGTTATCAGACTCGTTGTCACTTTCTAAAATGCTCTATAAAAAGGCTGTTTTGGGCTTGAGACATCCGGGGACAGAAAAACAGAGAGAGCTGAGGATGTTTTTAAGTGTCAGTGTGAAAATTATTAGTGTTGGACCCATAGTAGAACCCTGACGACCACCGTAGTCTGAATTATGGCTATTCATACATGACTCTCCAAGATGGATATGTCTGCATTCATGCACACTTGTTTTGTCTTTTGGAAATAATTCTGATACCTTTTTAATTTTCATTGCACAGACGATTTGCCAGAAAACTCCAGACAAGACAGCAGAGTATTTTGCTGCTGTTTGGGCACTGCACGCCATGAGTAAGGTACAGGTGCTCAGAAAAACCCAGCTAAAGGCCTGACAGCCATTCTTAAGCCCCACATAAAAAGTGGACTGTGGATAGAGAAAATGTATCTTCAAGGGTTCAGCAGTCATTGTGTCCTAAATGTGACTATTACTTTCACAGTTGGTTGCTAGCTGCAATGATGGGGCTAGACGGATGGAGAGGACAGAGCAGATGTACACTATCCAGAAACAGATGGATTTTGGAAAAATCAAGGTAAGAGCCTACCAAATGTTCCTTACAAACACGCTAGAGGAAGGAAATACACATGGAGTTCACAGGTGTGATTTTTATGATTTTCTGATACAAATTTTAGTCTGATAACTTGTGTGCTTGAAGCCATTTCCCCTGGTGTCATCATCACGGTGGCTGAAGAAGAGCGGTGAACTGGCTGTCAGCAGTGAAGAGCTTAGCATCTGGAGGGCTTTTAGCACCAGGAGCTACTACCTGTTTCTTTTTAACGATGTACTGATTGTCACCAAAAAGAAAAGGTCAGTGGGATTGAAATACACTTAATTTATTCTGATTATTATTTAGACGAAGTTTAAAATAACACTGCAGAAAAATGTCAGACTGTATTGTGAATTCTAAAAACCTAAAGCATCTTCTTGTCAACTCTCACAAAAGATTGCTCAAGTAGCAAAAGTTTGGTACTTGCTGTAATTGGAGGTTGCTCAAAATGACAAACTTGTGAATCACAACCAGTAAAGCAAGTTATTAAAAACAGTTCCCAAAGACTCCCGTAAACTTTGAGTAAGTCCAGCTGAATGAAGGGGAACACGGAAAACAGAGAGGGAAATGCAGAGGAAGGGGACAGAAGAAAGAGAGTGTGAATGTTTTGCAGGCATACTTGAGATTCTTCAATCTAGCATTCAGCATGTCAGCTCTAAAGACTTCAGCTTTCTGTTTTGAGTTAGGGAGGAAACAAACAATGTCAGCTCAGATAGAGGAGTGGCCCACAACACTGGAGTCATTTTTTTTTACTTTGTCAAGCTCACACTACCCTCCAGTCTTAAGATTATAACTGGGAGGAAATAAAATTAGCAGTTAGTCAAGGAATGTATTTTGAACAAGCGTGCTTGTTCATTGAACATTCATACACAGTGAAAATGTCAGGATTTAGCAGAATTGAAATGTGAAGAAATGGGGATTAAACCATGTTGCTCTCTGGCTTTGGCTCACTAGGAACATCTTATCTGATTTATGTGTCTGCAAAATATCATGAGAAACCAGATAAACCCAACAAACAAGTGTGTTTTTTTTGTCTAGTGAAGAGAGCTATGTGGTCATGGACTATGCCACCCCAGAGAATGTGGAGGTGGAGGTTGGTGAGGATGCAGAGGGACGGATGTCTCCTCCCTCCAGGAACAGCCACTATCTTTCCTTCAGACTGCTGATGAGCAAGAATAGTGAAGGGAGAGCAGAGCAAATCTCTCTGTTGGCTGAGTCCAGGTACCGCAACTTTCAATTCCATCAAGCCAGTCATATTGAGATCAGAAATCTTGCAAGGGCCTATATCTGTTACTTTTTTTCTTATGTTTGGCTCCCTCTACTGGCAGAAAGGATATAAACAAGCTAAAATATTGTATTCAAAAATCTTTTGTCTTATTATAAACACAGTAGTGCCAAAAAGAGTTGGATTTATAAATAACAGTACTGTCTTGTCACTGTTGTTAAGAGTGGACCGGGCACGTTGGATAGTTGCTCTTACTGAGCGAAGGGATATGGGCATATCCACTCCTACTGCTGGTAAGTCATCATGACCAATTTGGCAGTCCTTCAATTACATTTGAGTAACCACATATACAAAATGATTTTATTCAAATTATAAACATACAATGCATGTGAACAGTTACTGATCCATAGCAGAGTATTGCAACACAAGGTGGTTCCTAGTTTAGGTTGTACAGGTTCTCCTTATGCACTGCTAATCCATACTTGGGTAAGACAGAATACCAGGGCAGAGGTCTGTATTTTGGTTATCACTCATGACCACACTTACTTGATAAAAATACAGTCATCGTAGTCCCTTGTGGTATTTTGTTAACACCGCAATCAAAATGATAAAAAACTGGCAGCACTACCTTTGTGTTTTTGTGTGTTTTGAGAATTAGTGTATCTCTTTTTAAGTCAAGAAAAGGTGTATAGGATACATTTTACTGCAGCGAGCATAATTCTGAAATCTTCACTGCAGAGCAGTATTGTGAACCATTAAAAGTTACAAAATGAAAAATTAACTATTGTTAAACAGTACTCTAATGAGTCTTTTATGATGGCACTGTGTTTCAGGTCAGCCGCAATATGAAGCCACAAAAGCCTACATGCCTAAGGAGCCTGATGAACTGGGGCTGCAACAGGCTGAACTTGTTATTGTCCTGCAAAAGGAAGAAGGTGATGCCGTGTGTTGACTGTAGCTCCATCTCCATTGACAATTCATCAAAAACAGCTAAACAACTTATGTCATTTCACACTAACATAAAAACATGCGAGTGCACTTACAAGATTATCTGAACTCTGCTTTGCTGCAGCCTGGTGTTATGGGGAGAGAATGCGAGATGGAGAGAGAGGCTGGTTCCCTGCAAGCTGTGCAACAGAGATCACCAACCCGACTGCCATGGAGGACAATGTGCAACGCATGAAGCGTCTGCGCAAAGAAACTAATGTGTGAGAAACCCATCGGCTTTATCCTGATGAAATCGTCTTTAGGATTGATGTGATGTTTAGTTTTGGTTGAAACTGCACTGCTGGTGACCCATACTCGAAACATGCCAATTATTTACTTTAACAGTAAATTTTACACTAAGACTTGCCAATCTCTAATTGACACAGGTGTAGCCCAAAGTTTAATTTTAGTTTCAACATATTAAATTGCAATGTTAAATTCTGTACATGCATCAACAATCAGAATTTGTATGCAATATTTAAGTGTATTACATACACTTGCTTTCATGTCACCTAGTCTCAGGATTAAGAACTTGATCATAAAGGCTATCACATCTCTCAATGCATCACAATATGGTTGTATGATGCTGTGTAGAACTTCATGTAGGTGAAAAGTGACAGCTGTGGAATTGTCAATATGATGAAATGTTTTCCTTTTAAGATGCAGCTTGTATAATTGTACTATTTTTTACTTGGTTAATGCATAAAGATGGACTACATTTCTCAATCGTCGAGTTGGAGAACTAATATCTACAAATATGTAATTTTGTATTCAAGGGTTTGGTTAGTTTTGAGTGTATCATACATATCAAGGACAAAATTCACACATTTTTCTGGTTTCTTGACTTTTATTTGAGCTTGCATTTTGTTAAAATGTTTGAATACATAAAAAGTTATTTAAAAATGTCAAACTGACCAGATATCAAATTTCATTTTTTTCTTTAAAAACCATTTGGTGTAAAAACTTAGGATAGATTTAGAAAAACATTTGCTGTTTCCCCAAAATGTTTTGTTGCTGTCACATAAAAATAATGGAAAAAAAACAGGTCTGCATAGATTCTGCAGGCAATCGGTGGTAATCTGGTCAAATGCATGGTGCAAGCTTGTGACGATCGTCAAGTCAAATCTTTATTGCTCAGATCTTGTTTGATGTTTCTTCTTGTTGACAAAAAAACTGCAAAAAATAAAAAATAGATGACATTACCATTATGTAATCATCACCAGGTAGAAGAAAGATAACAAAGGATGGGCCCTGCACAGATTCCAGACAGTTCGCTTTATCAAAATTTCATACAACATTTCACATGGAATCACCTACTACAGAGCTGAAGGGTAATGAAAAGCCAAGCAATACTCCTTAAAAAAATTACAATCTTAAAAGGAAAAAATATTGTTCTGTTGGCTCTGTTTAAACCTAGATGCTCACACAACTTAATCTAAAATTATTAAGGACAGAGTAATATCTGCCATATACTAACCCGGACGATGGTAAAAGATGGTAGGTGCCGGTGGGCAGGTTGTTTCCTACTCAGCCCCACCCTGCTGGGCTTCGGGAGCGGACGTTTTCTCTGCAGATGGGTCACCTCCTGTCTTGGGCTCCTTATTTTCTTGGCCAGGTTTTCCACCAGTCTGTTGGCGTCTGCGGCGGTAGTTGAAGTTGCGGCGATAACGCCGCTGGCGGGGCTGTTGGTTCTGACCACCTTCACCGCTCTGATTCTCCTTGTCCTCCTCACCGTCCCGCACCGGTCTGGGACGGGGTGGACCCCTGCTGGAAATAATAAAACCACTCAGCTATAGCAACCAACAAAAAAAACACTAATATAGAATTCACTGCAGAGAAAATAACAGCCACATAGACAGGATGCAGCCTCAAGTCAAAATACAAATTCTGCAACAAAGAAGTACACGTGGCTCATTTGGATGCACAGCTGCGACTGAGGTTTTGCTGCAAAAAGGGAGAGTTTCTCTGGGAAATTTGTACTTGTTTGTTCTCACCACCCCTGTGATGTCAAGTGGGAGAGCCAATACAGATGGCATTTGTCAATCAGGTAAATTGAAGTCAAATTAAGATGTAGAGACTGGGGCTATCTGGACTGTAAAGAACTTTTACTCTCCAATTGTTGCAGCCCTGCATTTATGAAGCCAACATGCAAACCTTGGTCTGAACCTTGGTCGGAAGCCTCTGTAGTAGTTTTGTCTCACTGGTTTGTTGCCCTGGTCTGGACCTCCCTGTCCCTCGTCACCCTCACCTCCCTAAAAGAAAAAAACGGAACAAACAACTGACACAGAACTTAAAAAAAGTCAATACAGGCAAAAAAGGTAATGATGAAATATCTGGTCTCAAGTGGTGATGTGACTGGCCAGCTTGTTGACACTGACAGAAGTGCAACACCAGGTAGGTCCATCAAAAACTGGTAAGAGATTTATTTAAGTCAATTTGCAAGATATTGGCAAAGCCCCCGATACACCAAGATTTATTGTTCACAACCACGTGACTATTCAAAAGGAGAGGATTTGAGTTGTGTATGACATCAACCTATTAAAAGTCCCGACTTTAACATGGGACGGCTGGGTGTCTGCTTCAGGATAGTAGCCCTGTGACAGCGTACCTCAGTCATCTCTCCACGTGGTGCGTTGGTGTACGGGGGCCGGCGGCCGTAGCGTCTACGTACAAAGTATGGGGGATAACGCCGTCTCCCAGGGTAAACTGGTCTGCGCTGCTGTTGCTGTGAGTCTCCTTCGGGGGCACTCTCTCCCCCATCTCGGCTGCCTTTGTCACGGCCTCCATTTCCTGGCTCACCCTCCCCGTCGCTCTGGTAGTTCTCTGGATAGTCTCCACCACGGGGTGGACCCCTTCGCCGGGGATAGCGCCTATAGCGGTTTCTATCAGCGGCGTACTTACTTCCCTGGACTGCTACGCCTCCTGGGCCAGTGACATTTGCCGCCTCTGCTCCCTGAACATAGTATAAGTTTTATTTTAGAAGACAGGTTCACTTCGAAATTACAGACATGATAACAACAGTAAAGTGTGTGTTCAGTTGGACACAAGAAGAAAGCAGCTACATAAAAGCACAGTTCACCTTCTCTCCCTCCACTACATCAAACTCCACAGTTTCTCCATCTCCAACACTGCGAAGGTATTTTCTCGGGTTGTTCTTCTTAATGGCTGTCTAAAATGACAGAGATAGTTACGACGTAAGATTAATTTCCATGAGCATTTAATAGCGGAATATAAATAAGATAAAAAACTTACCTGGTGTACAAAAACGTCCTCTTTCGTATCATTCCTTTAAAAGGAAACAAAAACACAGTTCAATTTATACTTGTGCTTTGAGTACAAAAATGTCTCACTACTACTGCTGGCAAGAGTATAAGAGTATGGATTAAATAAGTACAGCAACAACATAGAGGGAAGCTGGTATAATGACCTGCCAGCTCTGTAAGCCAAACAGCTATAATAGGATTCAAGATGTCCCTTCTCATGAGCAAAGATGTTGTCATGGTTTTTGTGGACAAGAAAGGGTTGGAGCCATTTACCTGTTGATAAATCCATATCCATTCCTGACGTTGAACCATTTGACTGTACCCAAGACTTTTGTGGCTGTAACAAGAAACGTCAGAGAAAATTATCAACCATGGCTAAGTTGATTGAGATAAAAAGATGATCAATGAAATTTTGTAAAGTTCAAGCCTCTCTTTTACACTATACCTTAAGCCATGAGAGACAGCAAGCACATATTTAAACAAATGATCAACAACCAAGGTTACACATTAATTGGTAGATATTTTTAAAACTCAACCGTCACCCTTTTAATAGACCATGATAGTTGAGGGGGGGAGAGACAGCTGCACTCTGAGGCCATGAGCCAGTGGCGATTATGCTTCTTTCCCACGAGAAGTTGTGTTCTCCAAATATCTCTGCATCGAGTTTATGAAGCTTCTACAACGCGATGGGTGATACACAGTCGATATAGAAATACTGCGATCTAGACGCTTACATCATACCTAAGTCCAGCAACGACAGAACTACTGCCCCCTTCAAGTCGCACGTTTAGTACTAAAGCGTTCACACGTGGTAATATCGCGGCCGGCTACGTTAGCGAGCAGCATGCTTTGGTCGCTTCAGCAAAGGAGCTAAGTGGCTAACTGGGTCTCAACCATGCGGTTGGATTAAAGCCAGCAAAGGGAAATTGCCGTAACTGTGACATATTAGTTCATTTTTAGCGAGCAGGTGTTGTAACTACAACGAGACTAGTCACTTTTGTCATTTGCTTTGATTTTACATGAAGATTAAACAGCCAAATAAATTCATGGATAAGTCGGCGGACATTTTGAGTTGGCCCCACAGTCATGGAAATAACAAACGACGGTCGGCTAGGCTACTTTAGCCTAGTTAGCAAACGAGCTAACGCTGCCACTCCTGTGAGTTAGGCCAATACACTAGACAGAAATTATGCGAAAAAACAAACACTTTATTTTAACGCACTGAGAAGCGGGCATTGACGTCATCATTTTGCCAACCATGGTTGACACAAGTCCGTGAACGTGTTAACATTATTCTTGAATAATACATTTCCAACAGGGGGCCAGAGCCGTCCGTGTGAACAAAGGGGAGGTTAACAGCTAACGCTAGCTGTCTTACGGAGAGGGTGTTACGGTTAGCCTGATAAACGAGCGTTATAAAATAACCACAAGCACATCATAACAAGTGGCTAACTGTTAAAAATTACAGGAACCGTTAACGTTAAAACGATCTACGTCGACTGGTCCGGGGCCAACCGTACAGCATTTAATCAAGAGTGTGCTAACGTTTTCTGATGGCATTGCCCCGAAACAGCCCCAACGGCCGCGCATGTGACAGCCAGCCGGTATCTGTGACGGTTAATTGACGTTAGGTGGTCAATGGAAAAATCAGACGAAAGAGCCATGGCTCCTACGACCCCTGTATGATTTGAAAATTCAGCCAGCAGGAAAAACCGTTGATGTCATCCGCGAATATCAAGAAAAAAAATTAATAGCTAGTCGTGTATTGCTTGCCTTAATACAACGGCCCATCTTCCAACTGACATTTTATAATTGGCTTCCAGGAAAAATATGGAGAGTGTAGTATTTAAATAAACCGTTGAAGATTTTTCAACTGTTTAAAACATACACGTTGATACTTAATATGATGGGAAGATACATTAGAGGATTACGAGGAGTTAACCTTTTTTATTTTAAATAGGCTATCAATTTTCGGTGGGGGGGGGGGGGGATTCACAACTGAGTGTTCACGAACTGATTTAACGGTGTCTAACCTCAATTGAACCAGTGATCGGTTCATAAACGTTACCAATCGTTCCTTAGGCGCATCGGCTTTGCTTTGTCGTTAGCCACTAAGCTAACTAGCTTGTTTCTATTAGTCTTACCGATGACCTTCTTATCCCCCGCGGAAGCTGCGGCTGCCGGGCTGGATGGGCTCTCCTCATCGGCAGCAGGCTGCGGTGGTTGTTGTGTCTCGGCCTCGCTGCTCATGGTTACTACTGGTTGGTAATGGCTTCTGCCGGCGGCGGCTCTCTGCTGTGTTTCCCGGTGCTAGATGGTAACCTGGGCCGGCGGTGGTGGGGGCTGCTGCCTTCGGGCTCTCTGCTTTCCTCTTTCCGCTCCCGTTGCCGATCGAACTGGGCAGAATGTAAAACTGTGTCGGGGAATGTTCCTGGTCGAGGTCCGCCCAACTTGGCCTCCAATTGGTTGGAATCTGTAACACATACCAAATCGTCTTTCTATTGGTGGAATAGCTTGTCAATCCGTGTCGGAGCAATAACTTACTTATGATGATTGGCTGAATGAGAATGTACCTGTACATTACACCGCCTCAGTGATGTCAAAGCCAGACAGAAAACTGACACTTCTGAGAGCTGAGTGTCTGTAGTCGATCTTTTCGGCATAAGGCAAATTTTGCCAAATTTTTCAAATTTTAATTAAAAAAAAAGACAAAGCGAGCAAATGTATGTTTGTTACACCTTTCTAAGGGTATGTTATACCCGAATAACATATTTCATATTTAAAAATAAACAAACGTCTTTTTTAATGGTAGCCTATTTATACTGCTTGAAAGGTTACAGCCATGAGATCCAATGACATAAGCCCAATAAATATTAAATAAATGGTCGATTTTTTTCTTTTTTTTTAACCTTCAAGCTATTTTATCTCTGGGTATAAACGTCGGTTTGTAATTATGTCAAACTTGTCTGTTTTGATAGACAAGTATTTTTTCCCTATAGCTGTCATGTAGTCTGATATCTTCTGCTCAAAGCGCTAGTCGGAAATATATCGTCGAATATTATTTTTAATAAAAGGAAAACAAAGAGAAGGCTCCTTAGACTGTAGACTATTGTTTCCATCTTCACTTTATTTTTTAACAGCATTGTACATTCAAATTTGCAGCCGTTGCCTCTCAGTCAAACCTGATACGTCGGAAGATTCGGACTGAGAACGTGTTGCAGTGCGCTGTGAGAACATAAAGTTCTCAACAGCAAAAATACAGTCAGTCAGTCTAGGTTAAAGACGATTGTAACATGTAAACAATAACAAGATCCTGTGTTTGAAATCTAAAAACAAGACGCAAATAAAAAAATATCTAATATCGACAATATATCACAAGAAAGAAGACTGTCCTCTTCTGACCGTTTTCAAGAGGTCATCTCAGGACACATTTTACCAACGATGTACCTATGTACACGTACAAAATGTAAAAGCCTCGCAATTTGTGTGCTTGTGTCCTCTTAAACACGACTTACTGGGGCTCTTCAAGATTGTGTACTAATATTCAAGCATCTATATGTTTAAACCGATACACTGTTTAAAAGATAAATATGTTTTGAAGTACTTAAACAAATGTCACCGCTTAAATAAAAGGCTCCGAAAGATATTGTCGTATCATTTTCGCCCGATCCTGCACAAACATTGATTGAATGTGGTCATTATCCTGAGTGTGTCCAGACACCCACTTCTAGCGGTACAGAGCAGAGAGACCTAGACTGAGTGTAAGACCGCCCCCTCCCCACCCATTGTCATGGTAATGCTCCACTGGCACCGTTTATGAGCACAGGCTGATGTGTGAGACCTCGCTGTTAATGGCCGAGTCCGTTCTCCCACACAAAGATAGGCTTTAGCATTGACCCCCAGAAAGCCTCCCTACGAGGATCCCCCCCACCAAAAAGAAAAACCTTCTTCCTGCCTCCATACGAACTGAGTCTCCATCTGAAAGGATTCTTTTATGAGAGCGGTATCCAAGGCAGAAGAGGGCGAGCATGGATGGGGGAAGGGGTCTGGTGGCTTGGATTTGTATGGATGACTGGGATAAGAAGAGGTAGCCATAAGTTCAGCAGAGGATTGCTTGGCACAGAGTTGTGGTCCTTGGAGGACTCTCATAGACTTTTCTGTAGAACGTTTCCCTGGCTGCTTTCATAGTGGTTGGCTTCAGGTCCTCTTTTTTTTCCTGTTACATTTTTACATCACAGCCATGGCAAAAGTACTTCTTATCAATTTTCCAATATCAGGGATACATTTTAAAAGGGGATTACAAAATTCTGACATTACAACAAAATTATTGTAACTATTTTAATACTGGAATAAAAACACAAATCTAAAGACCTTGATTTAAGAATATGCCACAACTCATTACAGATAGTAAGTTTAAATATAATTTGAGTTTAGAGAACACAATTACTTTCACTAATGACAGGACAATTTCACAAAATTATTCAGAGAAGGTTTTTTGAATTTCCTGTGGCTTGTTGTCATCAAGTTAATGATTAAAAAAAAAAACACAAAACCCTCCAAAATTTAGAAAAATTTTGTACATTTTATTGTTAGTAGATGAAAACACAGTTTGAATTATACAAAAACTGTCCCCTTTAACACTGAAATATATTATTTATTGTGTCAAACATGTGGTTTAGATGGATGTATTTTAACTGAGTGTGTAGATGTTTCATCCTATCATTACCAAAACCCAGCTGAAATATAAGGACAACAGTCTTGCTTTCAGTTTTGATGGAGCAGCTTGCCCTCTGAGAACCAGATATACTGTTCTCAGAAAATCGCCTTGATAACTGCTGAACTTATAACACTCTACAGAAGCACCTAAAAAGAATGTTTAAGTTGCTACAAATTCACAAATAACAATGAAACTACTTCATGTAAAAAGAGCTTGTCTGGTTCTAGTTTTGATGAGAGTAAGCTGAATCACATCTCTCCACACTGGGCAATGACGATGGGGAGTTTAGGCTTATTGTTGGGTCCTGTGGGGACATTCTGTAGAGAGAAACAGAATAAATGTAGGTAAAAAAGCTTAAAAAGATTAAAAAGCTATGTGGGCCTAAAGTCTTTATTGTGTTAGTGGAGTCATACAAAAAGTCTTAGTCTAATTTCTTGTCAGTGTCTATCATCAATTTATTCTAGTGCTTAAGAACTATCAGTCTGCTTATCTCACACCCAAATTTCTAATCACGGGATTAACTAAGTAAATTAATAATTATCTAATAAATCTTATTTAAATACCTATTTAGTTTACAACCACGGCTCTAAATCAACAAGTTGTAAACAGTCTTTTTACCGGGCTATTTTTTTTTTTTTTTTTTACTATAATTTGAATAAACTTCTGTTTTCACACTTTAAAGTGGTCTTATTATTTTTTAATAAGAATTCAAGTCAATTAGCCCAAATTATCTTCAGCGATCCAGGAGCAGTAGTCTAGCATAAGATGCCCCATGGAATCAATACAGTATAGGAATAATAAATGAACATATGAAGGAAGTAATTGGAGATTTTACCTCAATTTTTCTCATGATCAGCAAACCATCAACCACTTTTCCTGAAATATTTGGAAAGACAATAGTTAAACTCATAATAGAAAAACAAAAATCAAAAGCTGAAATAGTTGTAAATACACACTTCATAGTTGTCTTACTTACCGAAAACAACATGCTTCCCATCTAGCCAGTCACATTTAACACAGGTAATGAAAAACTGACAACCATTTGTCCCTGGACCACTGTTTGCCTACAAGAGAAAAATCTAACTGAGAAAAATGCAGCCTTAAAATAGGAAAATGTTCAGTGATGGTTTGGGTTATTTCACTTGACCTAATCAAACAAATCCCACTGTGTACTCAGGCCGAGGCTAAATCCATTTGAAATGATTAATTCAATCTCAGTGGTTGAAAGATGATATTACAGAACGTGCTCACTGATTGCAGGAAAAACAAACATCTTGATTTGGCTGAATCTACAGGAAACAGACAATGTCCTGATTAAACAGTGACCCTAACATTTGATCATCTGAGCATACTTACCATGGCCAAAAGACCAGGTGTAGAATGCTTTACTTTGAAGTTTTCATCTGCAAATGGGCCTCTGTAGATGCTGCAGATACCAGTTCCATCACCCTAAACAAAATAGGGAAACAGACTGTGAGGGGCTCAAAACATGTACGTGCAAATCTTCTCCACTAGGAGGCGAAAGAGAGAGGGGAGGGTCTTTACAGCTTGTCTCATTGAAAAAGTAATGGGCTCTATGCCCCTATCCACTACTTCCTGAGCTTAAGGCAGCTCCTTTATTTCCTGTCTTACATAATTAGACAAACTGATTAATCCAGGTGTGTCTGAGCAGTCACAATGATCAGTCGCACCTGGATTAATCAGTTTGTCCAATAATGTAAGACAGGAAATAAAGGAGTTAATTTAGTTCAGGAAGTAGTGGAGCTGTGCATAGAGCCCATTGATTACTTTAATTGATTAACAGGAAATGGTGTGTGATTTTCTCAAGAGCTTGATAGAAATTTTAAATTCCCTCACTGCAACATTTTGAATATTTGTGCAGCAGAGGAAACCTACTACATAGTCATTAAATTTGAGGTCCCAAGCTTTAATACACCACTTTGTGTATTTACTTACTTACGCACTCATCCAATGATTAATTTATTTAGATTGTCACCAATCCCTGTAGTAATCCTGTCAGAGACGTTTTGTTGTTTATAATTCACTCAAATCATCATTTTCATCTTTGTGATCCACTCAGCTGAGGTTAAGCAATCAAAGCAAACACTATTGTGCTGTTGACTCTGTTCACAAAAGGCCATTTTTGACTGAGGCAAAGACACAGGTATATACGCACATTAACAAAGTCCCCTCCTTGTATCATGAAGTCTTTGATCACCCTGGCAATGAAAAGTACAAACATGTCAGTGTTGTAAATTTTCTTTGATTAGAAAAAAGAAAACTTTATCATGCTGGAATAATCTATTTTTAAAAGTGTAACCTTTTCTTTTCATTAGTGATAACAATACACAGTAATCTACATGGGTTATATATTCAATCAAAACAGTATAAATTTCCTTGTGAGTAAAAAGTTTCTGTTCAGAATCATGATTTATGAGACTCCTATAGCATTGGGATACAAACATTAACTATCAGTAATAAACGGCCTTAATCCCAGAGAGGCCATCTCCAAAGCACAGTTAGGTTATGAAGTAAGCAACGAGGACAGTAGTTCCCACAGAAATGAAAATTTGATTAAAAAAATTAACAATCAAGAGTCATTTAAATCCATCAGACATTCAAGAAGAGTATCAAAAACACAAAATAAACTGTTCTGGTTTGTACCTGTGGAATGTGCAACCTTTGTAACCAATCGGGACTCCATCTTTTCTGTGAAACAAGTTTTACACAGAACATGAAACTGATATTGATGAAAAATAATACAGTAATGAACTGAACTGTATAAATACAAAATACAAGGCAGATGAATATTCGTCTTCAGCTGGTATTTGTTAAAAAACTTTTGAAATGATGCTGTTGTATTGTAGCTTCAGGTGTGTTCTTCAATTTGACTGGAGAGACCATCATCTTTGCAAATAGAACCACTGTGAAAAAAGTGTTGGTAGCACAAAAAGCTCATGATCCAGTTATCTGGTCTTTTTTTATCGTTGCAGAGTTGACACTGTTTTAACATCTCTAAAAACACTTATTTGAGGAGGATAAAGTCTCCTTCAGCTTTCTTCAAATAAGCAAATTTAGAAAAGCAAAACCTAATCACAGCTGATTTCACAACTGTTGTTCTCTGCTTATGGTTTGTTTGTGCTTTTTCACTCCAGCCACAATATTACTCAATCATATATAACACTTAACCTGTGCGTTTTTTTTCTTGAGCACCTGCACATTGTAAATACCATCTTTTGGCCTGAATCAAGTTCTGTTATCCCCTTTGTTTGTAAGGTTTCTCCAAACCTCCTTCACAGTTGAAACAGAAATATGTTTGTCATGTAAATATTTAAGTAATAAGGCTACTGCCAATCATAACAAATCAAATTTATGTTAAGGAACGGTTGTACTGAGATGGATGGAATAGTGTTTACTTTCTATTAAAGATTACTGCCCTTCAGTGACTCACCTGAACTCTCCGGTACAGAACTGCCTATAAGAGAGGATCGGATTTTTAGTAACAACTTTAAGAGCTCAGTGACAGTATAATTTCTGCCTCTTTTATTTAATTAAAAACAATAATAATTCACCACGTGACAGAGAGATCTCAGCAGCATTTCTCCTTACCTGAAATTCTCAGCTGACTTTGGAACCACATCAGCAAACAATTCAATTTTCATCCGCCCAACATCCTGACAAAACAGAGGAGGGAACTTTGTGTCACTAGTCTAATATACAAAACTAAGTGGTAGCTTTTAAGACAGGAATGTGACTGCTGAAAAGATGAGGAAAACAGGTCAGCCTTAGGCAAAACTTTACAGAATAAAAAGTAACACGCTATCCTTGACACAAACCTTATCTGGAAAAACCAGTTACACCTCCTCCAGCTCAAAGACATGCTTCACAAAAGAACTTATCATGAATTTCTTAATGTCTTTTGCTTCAGACACAATAATGTATAAACTCCATCATGTTACATCTTTCCATTTTTCATCAATGTCCCTGAAAACATGGACGCAACAGTGTATTCTCAACAATGCAAGCCCTTCTGTTGCATTTTTTAGTGCTCAAAGCATACATTAGTGAAAAACAGTAAAACAGAGAGCACTTCAGTCTAGATACAGCACATTACTAGACATTAAATCTTCTACAAATCATGCGTGTGTGGGTGTTGGATCACCAGGCCTCCAACAGCCCAGAGAGACATGCAAGTGGCTCACTGTTACAACAAAGTGTGTGTTTTTTGTGTGTGTGTCCATGAAAACAAACAATGTGCTTGTGTAAAAAGAGTAGTTTGTACACGACGTCACAGCACAGTTCTCCCTTCAATCCACTTGGCTCACAGTGAAAACTGTCAGTTGATCTCCCATCTATGCTCTAGATGTAGGTTTATAGTTTCCAGTGAGTTAAATGAAAAACAAAAGTGTTTAGATGGAGCTTACACCAACTGCAGAACATTCAGTCAGCTGGAGTGTTTCTCTGTGTGGAGTATAAGGAAAGGTAAGAGCTTTTCGGATTCATAAATGTCCACCTATCAAGGTGGAGAGTCTACATTGGTTTTATTCATAATGTGTTAAATCAGTTTTGTTGCAAAGCTGAATTACGAATGCTAAAATTAGGGAGGTATCCTCAGATTACCCCATTGTAAGGACAGTAGAAAAGTTGTTAAGTGCATGGGACTCTATACCAGCACAAGTGAGCAACAGAACAGTCACACCCATTGGAACTTGCCTTTAGTTACTTGTGTCTTACAGTGCATGGCCGTGAATATTCAAATTGTCACCGTCTGAAGTCTTGTTACTGATCAGATAAAGTCATCTTGACCAGCAGCATGTGGATTGGGTACAAAATCTTCAGAGCTTTTTGTAAGGCAGCTAGCTGGTTGTGGATAATGACTCCACCAACTTTTTAAAGTACTATAATTGTATTGTAAGTATTCTAAACAAGTGGCTTTCTGATTGGGTTTACAAGGCAAGTATTTCTAGGACAGTCATGAATCTTCAGTATCTAACACTTGAAGCCTTTTCTTATGGTTTAGAATAATTGTAAAAGCACACAGGTGAACAAAACCAGTCACAGCAGGGTGTGGGTTCAATGAAAAAGTATTGTTGGAAGAAGCTCCATTTCCATACTGGTTACATGTAAAAGGACATGCAAACTGAGACAAGTAGAAGTCACCTCTTGGGGCTTTTGAGGCAAAACAGGCAGGCTTCCGCATAGATACAGAAGGCGTGTCCCATTGGTTGTTTGCATTCACAATGAAAGGGTGGAACCAGAAAGACCTGCTTAAAGAATAACTGCATCACCTGATAACAGTTAATGACCAGTCTCGATGGAAGTGTGCACAGCCTTTGCTCATACTACAGGGGCAAGCATCTGGATCTCTCCAGAAATTCTGTGGACTAGGACAGGTACAGACTTCACTGTGTGGTATATTTTTTTCTGCTGTTTCGCTGGTTAAATGTTGCCTGGTGTTGATTGCAGACCAGTTTTACCTTCCATTATCATTGCAAAGTGTTGACAGAGAGGGTACTACTGATTTATATTTAGACCCTACCCTATGACTACAGAATTTAAAGTCAACTATGTTGTGACATTCCATTGATCAACAGTGCCAAAGTTACTAACCAACACTTTTCTGTTTTTTTCCAGCATCCTCTGGTGCATCTTGATGCTGAGCTGAGAACTGGTGCATTCAAGTAAATTAACTTAATTGCCAGTACAGTTAAAAACAAGCCACTCAGTTTAAATGATGGCTATCTTGGAACAATGGGATGGAAGGACTGGCTCTCACACAGATAACACTGAGAAGTATCTGTTACTCGTGATTTCTAAGTTGGGACTGGATACATTGGTCTTTTACTGTTTCTGCCAGAAGTTCTACACCTTCTTTTTAAACATGTGCAGCCTGTCTATTCTACTGATTGACTTGCTTGTGGTGTTTTTTGTGGCAACTGTGTGGTTTCTTGGACCTGAAAAGTCTCCTGTATCACTGTGCTTCATCTTGGCTAATGCATCAGCAATATATGGAGCACTACCAATCCCCATGATGTTCCTGGGCTTACTGGACTACTGTTTTGAAGATGCCTCCCTTTGTAACCGAAGCTCTTTCTGCAAGTTCCTAAAGAATGCAATCTTGATATTGCTGGTGTTAATTCTAGCAATTGCTTGCAAAGTTGATCCTGTAAAAGCTGAACTGATGCAACAAGGCAATGCGACACGGATAAATGTAGTCTTTTGTAGACTGGATGACTCTTCAGTGATTACTTATTTTGTTTATGGACTTTTCACAGCAGTCATTTGTACAATGCTGCCTTTTTGCTCAATGATCCCCTGCTGGGTGAAGGAGGCTCACAGGATTTCTTCGGCAAGGGAAAAACAAGAGAAGAAGAGGAGTGACTTGTTGTTCACCCCAACTAACTACATCAACACAAAAAGTAGTGAGATGAATTATCTTGAGGAGACTGACTGGCCACGCCCCCCTCTGTGGTTCAGCTTGACACTGGGCTTTGCTTTGTTTTGGATGCCTTATCTGGCAGTGTCTGTGGTGTGTCAGCTTGCTGGCTTCGCAGTACCTGCATACCTGACTGTCAACATTCTTTGGCTGGAGTGTGCCAACAGTTTACTGGTAGGTTTGGTGTTTTGGGTAAAGAGCAAAACACAAGGGCCGTACAGTCGTCTGCCTGAAAATATATGCACATGGCACATCTTCTGGCATTTGAGCCATGGAACACAACAGAAGCAAAACCTCATGGCTGTGTTTGACCAATCACAACAAACAAAAAACAATCCTTTCTGTGTGTAATATGTACTTACAGTAGAAGTGGGACAAAATGTTGATACAACAATATATTGTCATCCTTCCTTATGCTATGCAGTTACTGTATCACGTATGACAAAATGAAGATTTTAATTTGAAACTTAATACAGCAGTCCAAACCAATTTTCCTTCCTGTTTCAGTCACTGTGACGCTACTACATGTGTCCTTCCAGAGGTGTGAATAACACTAACCTTGCCCTTTAACTTTACCGGGTATTTCATATAAATCAGTATTCTTTATGTGTCATTGTCTTGGAATTTATCAGTTATCAAAGAACTGTTGAATCATGACATAGCTGTAGGCAGTTCTTTGGGTTCTAAATTTTAATGGATTTACCTCTCTCACCCTTCATGTATAAATGTAGTATGTTTAATATGTGTAAATAAAGACTTAACCAAGATAAGACTTGCGAAACCCTGTTTATGGCAGTTGTAAAAACTCAACAATAAATCTGTATCACCTCCACAGCAGCACACGAAGGAGCCCTTTTTAGCTGCACTACAAATTGTTCTTATTTATTGCATTATCATTTCTTTTCCACATTCATTCCACATCATGTCTCCTACCCAACAGTTTCCCAAAGTATCTAGATCTGTGCTCATTACAACTATACTGAGGCAACACTACAAAAAAGGTCCGGTCACTGTTTCTGCATACACCCTCTGAAGACAAGAACATCGAAGAAGAGGACTTTCACAAACCAAGAGTTCAAGTTTTGGTAGAGTAACCAGGGGAGGAGGAGAAACTGAGAGATATTGCTGTCTTTGAAATCCAGGATCAACAATTAAAAACATGGGCCTTTACTATAATTGATCACTCTTTAACTTGTGGCATTGGGTTGGATGCTTGGTACTCTGGATAGGCTACCTTATAAGGTCCATTATGGACATAAAACAATGATAAATAATGTCAGTAACTGAATTTAGTGAGAATTGGGACAATAACTACTTTGTGTTTATTTGACTGATGATTACAAATAACCTAACATAAGTAACCAAAGACCACTGCTCAGGTAATGTGTCTTTTATCCATGCAGCTAAGCCCCCTGATGGTAGGAGTTGTTTTTCTGCATTGATCCAGTCTTTCACTTATAACCATAACTATAAAAAATGCAGAGTGAACAACCAGTGAATTGGAAAAGTCAGAGCTGGGCTCGCACGAAAGCACTTTCCAGTGCTACAATAATTTCTATCTGTGCATGTCCATGCAGATTTCAAGGTTTTGTCCAAGAATCAAACAAAATTCTGAGACTTTGATTTGTGCTTGTGAAAAAAACCCATGAAGAGTCATGGGTTGCTGCCTGAACATTCTATAAGACAAAAATGGATTGAGAATTTAAATGACATAGATATAGCCAATGACATAGATATTCACGTTGTGGAAATGATAACCTTAAACCTATGTTTTCAGAAAGGTGTATTCATCAAACTCCTTGATGTACCTCTGGTTAATCTAATGTACACACAGTAACTCTCCTGACTGCAGAGGAATACAGTTATTTTCTTTCGTCAGTTTTGTGTATTATAAGGTGCTGCAAATTAACAAAAATATTTTAAAAATGACTAATTCTGAGAGCTTAGTCACTGCAAGACACCAGAGATCTCACATAGATGGTTTAGCAAGTTTCCCCATCGTGGGATGAATAAAGGACTATCTTATCTCTTATATACACCTTTTCCTTCTATTATAGTAGCTTGCACAAAATGGATGTAATCAAGGCCAAAGGTGCTGCAACAAAGTATTAGTTTAAGGGTGTGCATACTTATGCAACCAGGTTATTTTAACTTTTCTATTTTTTATTTTTCCCCTTAAAGGTTTCAGTTTGTTTTTCAATTGCATTGTACAGGTTATAGGTCACATTGAAGGTGGAAAAAGTTGTGAAAATATTTATCTTGCTGTCATTTTCTTACATCACGAAAACCTGGCAGTTGAACAGGGGTGTGTAGATTTTTTATATCCACTGTATCCCAAGTAGCTGTTTGCACAAGAACGGCTACTAGTGTCTGAGTTATCTTGAGCTGCAGTTTTTTGTTAAAAAAAAAAAAAACTTCGGATGAATAACCAGGTAAAACTCTGTCTAACGGTTCCCAATAGAAGTGGACGATTTTTTGTGTACTCAGGGGGAAATGCCGACTAACAACAACCATTTCATCGATTAACGTTGTACCGTGATTACACTGCAAGAGGTCGATTATAATACCAGGGCTCTCAAGTCTCACGCATTCAGCGTGTGACACACGCATTCCCACCCGTTCACACGCTCACACGCCACACATTGAATTTCTCACGCATTTAAATGGACATGGTGATGTCCACAAGTTGTACCTCTTTAACAATGGAACAGGTCGAAAGTTCCTCCAAGAGTTCAGAAGCTGCGTGCCACGCGTAAGCCAATCAAATACAGTATATCTACTGAACAGCCAATGAAAAAGCAGCATTGCTGTATCCGGGTAGATTTTGATATCTTGCGGTTTGACTACAAAAGAAGACAGACAGTCGCCGAAATAGAGCAGGTTTTCATGAGGACGAGAAAGACCCGAAGATTTCAGTAAGTCAGTAACCTACACATGCAGAGATCTCAACACCTCATGGCATATAAACTCATATGATAAACTAAAGGCTTATGCTATTGCTATTAACAGCTGTATTGATGAATTTAGCCTCTGCACAGCCATTTCCCCTCCACAAAAGCAGCATTTCTTATATATTGTTTTTAAAGTTCTGATACTCATGACAGTGTAATGCTGATGTACCATAGGATTAAGTATCTCCACGTTTGTGGAACCTCTCACTCTAAAGCTTAGTTCAAAACTCGAGAGCCCTGTAATACGAAATGGCACGAGACAACACTATCGTTTACAAATCATTTACCTTTGCGTGAATCAAAATTACTTCAAAATTAACAAAATTACTTTCTTCAAATGCCCCTACGTCATTTGAAGAAACCTCGGAAGTGATGGCCGTCTTGATGTAACTCTCAAATCTACTCACCTGCCCTCCGATGGTTATGTCGAAGAACACGATCGGATTGTTGGGATTTGATGGTTGGACAGACATAATCTTTTATTCGCTGTAAAAGACTGGAGTTACAACGGATTCAGTATGATCATTTGAATTTCTAACACATGCGCCGATAGTGCTACGGTGGCCCACGAGAGACAGTTTACGGCGTTCAGTTAAGGACAAATACAGCCGTTGTGGGAAAGCGCATGGCAATGGTCTGATTAGGTCGTCATCTGCCGAAGGCGACTCAGCATTATTGTTTAATAATTGAACATCAATTATTGAATTCCTGTTAGCTTGTGAATACTGAAATTAGAAAGCTCTTAATCTATTTTCAACAACAAGACAATCCCTTCACGCCTGTATGAATGAGATACAGCAGGGATCCCTGCAGATGAAGGGCCAGCCACTCGGAAAAGATATTGATAGTCATTATGGTTCTCATTCTGCCATGATTAAAGCTTATGCATGGTGTACTCAAAATCAACTATTTATTATTTCTCATGATCAGTCAAACAAGTTAAAAGCAAATTACAATCACGAAATAAATTAAAACACAAGTTGTATGTCAGGGAGAACAGGTAGGTCTTCAGCTTTGCTTTAAAAATATCCACTGAACAGGCCTGTCTATTGTCAAGAGGTAAACCATTCCATAATGTTGGGGCACAAAAAGAGAAAACCTGCTCACCGACAGTCTTTTTGCTGACCTTAAGGACACATAGAAGGCCAGGCTCCTGGGAGTGCAATGAGCAAGTCTGTCAGCTACAATAGCAATCTTATAGGTAATAAGTAACACCCAAAAGTCTGCTCGTACCCATACTGTAAGCCAGTGTAAAGAGCCCAGCACTGGAGTAATATGCTCAGAATGACCAGCTCCAGCCAGGATGTAAACTTCAGCATTTTGAGATAAACCAGACAAAGTGGATTTATAATGATCCAGTTGTGATATTATGAATGCATGGATCAGATCCTCAGTGATAGAACAGGTCTGATCATAGCAATATTTCTTAAAGGAAAGAAAGCAACTTTGGTGATCACTTTTGATATTAAGATTAAAAGAAATTGTGTGGTCAAAAACCACACTGAGATTCTTAACTCTGTCCCTGCAATGACTAACACAGTCATCCAGAGACGAAGTAAGGCACTTTGTAGGTAACTCCACTTTGCTGTTTTGGTTCATTATCTTGCTGTAAGATGAACCCCTGACCAACAAGGCGCATCCCAGAAGGTACTGCATGGCACTGCAGAATGTTGTGGTAGCCGTTTTGGTTCAGAGTGCCAAGGGAGATGACACTTCCTCCTCCATGTTTGACAGTTGACGTCACACACTGAGGAACCATCCTTTTCGCCCACTCGAGGGTGTACAAAAATCCTGCGTGATGAACCGAAGATTTCAAATTTGGATTCATCAGTCCATCACACCATCTTCCAGTCTTTAGTAGTCCATTGGTGGTATTTCATGGCCCAGGCAAGCCTCTTTTTTTTGTTCTGAAGTCCCAGTAATGGCTTTCTTGGTTCAACTCGAAGTCTTCTCTTCACAGTTGAAACTGAGACTTGATAACTGCGACCTCTATTAAGCTGTGCTTGAAGCTGATGTCCTGTGAGCCGCCTATCACGCAAGCTGTTGACTCTCAGAAACTTGTCTTCCAATGCTGTTGTGGCTTTGGGTCTGCCAGAGCGCTGCCTGTCAGCATTTTCCCCAGTTTCTGAGTGCCTTTTGATGGTAGAGGAAACTGTACTCCCTGACACCTTGATTTTCTTGGCAAGTTCTCTGTAGAAAGACCTACATTTATAAGTGTTATGATGGTCTGTCTCTCTTCTATCATTAATTGCCTTTTCCTCACCATTTTTATAGTAACACACTACTGTTCAAATAATGCTCACAATGGTATGGTACCACATTGTGTTCCAACACTACTTTTGTGCAGACAGAGGGGGTTGTAAGTGATCAAGAAAAATTGGGACACCTGCAACCTCCATTGCTGCAGAACTGCTTTAAGTTGTTAACCCATTTCTTGTTCCCTGAAAAAGGCCTTTTTGTATAATTTTGAAATGTACATTATTTTTCAGTTTTGGTTAACGTTACCTTTTTTTATTTACCTCTGGCAGGTCACCACTTACCTTTGTACCCTTTCAAGCTGTTCATTGGACTTGAAGTGCTTGAATTTCAATAAAAAAATTGGGGTGTTCTGGACCGTGTGTGTGTGTGTGTGTGTATATATATATATATATATACAAAAAAAATGTATAGAGAGAGACATATATAGACATATTTCTACATCTACTATGATAGCTCAAACAAACATCTTTGGCAAGGGTTTTATTTTTTTTTTCCACAGTAAAAATTAACACAACGGAAAGGTTGCTCCACAAAAAAACAGCAAACTCACTACAAAGTTTCATCAAAGTTGTACTAAAGCATCATCATTCAAAAAATGTTAAGCATCAAAGGTGTGAACAGACTGGTGGGTCAATGATATTAGAACACTAGCAAAAGCATAAAGAAAATGAAATGAAATTTTATGTAAAGTAATATGGTTTCTTGACATTGACACCATATTCCGTGAGGGCAGGAGCCAGGTCTTCCATGGTCAGAGTGTACTTCTTATCCTATTTACAGGGAAAAGGTAAAGAAACAGGATTAAAAAAAAAAGCATGATCACAGCAATTAGAGGCAATGAATAACTTCCTCTGATATGGCCAATATCAACATTATACATTACTTCAAAGACTTCAAAATACCATTTGATGATATTTCATCAAGATGTGAAAAAATGTGAATGTGAAATGTGAAAAAAATGGTACAACAATACTGACCTTTGTCTTACTCCTGGAACTTCCAGAGGCAGTGCCCTTCATTTTACAGTACTGCAGTGCATCATTAGCAATGTCCGAGATAAACTTTTGAGAAGCAAGGGAGATCAGACGGATTCTAAATACAAAAAAAAGGAAATTATTTTCCATGTCGCACTTCTCTCAAAACATCTCAGAAACTGTCACAATTCAGTCTGAATTGTTTGAGTTTGTCAGCATAAATTTGAACTATTTTTGATAAAAGACTTAACAGCTGTCAAAAAACACTATCTACAATCATGTAAAAAAAATAGGACACCCCATTACATATTAAATTATTAATTATGAAATGTTCACATATCGTTGTCTATTCTTGTTTTTATTAATCTCCAGAACAGAAAGTGATCTCATTACAGTTACACAACAAAAAATAACACTGTTTTTCTCATTATGCAAAAGACATCACCATAAATGCAAGGAACTGAGGAAAAAGTTAGGACACCTTTCCCCCCTGTTTCCCCGTTTGGCTGAGATAACTTCAGTGAGACACTTCTTGTAACCCTCTACCAGTCTCTGACATCAGTCTAAGGACAGTTTTTCCCCACGTCTCAATGCAGAACACTTTAGCCTGTGTGATATTTGAGGGGTTTCTTGAATGCACAGCTCGGCACAGCCATGGGCCCGTTGCTCTGCTCGGGGTTTGTAACCTTTTGCATTGCGCTTGCTCTGCTGCGTGGCACTGCTTCAGCTTGACATAACTTGCAGTGCACACTACTCTGCTTTATGTCCAACCTAAAAAAAAACAAAATACCTCCACACCACTGACGTTTTTGTGCCAGTGTTGTCATCTGCATTTCTGCCAAAGTAGCACTCATTTTCTTTTTTTCTTACCAACAGTGCTGTTGGCTTCACGTGTTAAAGTGCTATGGTTGTGTGTGTGCAGTTGTTTGCTACTTGGTTCTAATTCATTACATGACTGGTTCAGCACGAAGCAGACCCAAAGCAACTCCCTTTTTCAATGGCTATCCGTATAGTCTACCAAAACATGGCAGAATGCCGACTATTGAAAAGCATATTGACCATGGTTTATATTGAAATTGAGGGATATTAATTTCCAGTATATAATTTTTTCCTCAACAGAAATTGCAGTTTTATTTCATTACATTTTACAGAAGGTTTTAAAAATGTTTTCTTCAGTTTTACTGATGAACTTATATTACATGAATTTCTCAGTATTGTTAAAATAGATATTAGATATCCATATGTCAAAAATTGTCAAAAAAACACGTTTTCATAGGGTGTCAATTTTTTTTTCACATGACCATCGTCTTCAGATTGTATCCTTTTTATCTGAATAGCTAGCCTCTTCTATGTGCCTCTCTTCACCCATAAATTAGTGCACCCATCTCATAAGACTTGGGCTCTCATTTTGTATTTGTTCCAATGTATTTGCGCTTCTCTGTGGCCTGTGCACATGACTGCAGGCAGCTCTCCTGGTCTGTGCTGCAGATCTGCATCACAATTAGTTTTTATCTACCTATTGCATTTGAAATATAATGAAGGAAGCTAAGGCTTTGTGTATACATGCATACAAAGTAAAATTCAACCATAAATGGCCATCCAAGACGTATTCAGACAAAAATGATGTATTAAGTTGTCAATAGCCCAGCTTAGAGCAATTCACTTTTAATTGGATTGTCCAGACCATATCATTTATCAGATATTAACTGCCTTAAAGTCATGGTACTACTTACATTCTTGGATCAGAAGCCTCAAAGCCAGCCCGGTTGAGGTAGTATCCAGTAACAGCATCAGGAATCTGAAAAAAAAAAAAGGTATTCTTCAAACTTTCAATGGTCACCTTAGACCATTTTCACTGCTAATATACACTCACCGGCCACTTTATTAGGTACACCTGTCCAACTGTATGCCAGTCATTTAATGATCAGCAAAATGAGTTGTCCCACGAATATTGTTACAGCTTCTGATCACAAATGCAGACGTCAATAATCATAAATAAATAGACTGGTTTGAAGAAAATTTTAAGTTAAACATGTTGACATGACACAAATTTTCTTGATCGAACTGAATTTTGAGACATTTTTTTTCGTGTCTTTCATGATAGATGAGAGGAAAATTACCTAGTAACGCCTGCCTTTAGGTATTGCATACTTGGCTAATTTAGCTATTAGGACATTTAAAAAGCCATAAAGGTATACTGTATCCTTCTGGAATTAGAGTCTGTGAATTTGTTCATAGCTTTTTAGCCCTTTTTAATGTGTGATGGTGAACAATTAGTTTTGCTAGCAGGGTAGACACCCCTGCAAGAGAAACAGAAATGCAGCTATCGATAACTGAATGTATGTAATGTCAATATTGCGTCTGAAAAAGCAGGTTTCATACTTTCCATTTACTAGTAATAAAATCAAAGAAGTTAATCTCAAATTTATTCACGAACTGTATTTAACCCCAATGAAAACGCATAAAATCTCAAAGCATGTTTTTTCAAAAATGCCCTAGATGCAAGAGGGCCGATGGTACATTTTTGCATATGTTTTGGGAATGTGATCTTCTAATAGGTTTCTGGAAATCAGTTCATTCCTTCACAATCAGTTCTGAAAATTGCATTCTATCCAATACCTAGCTTGTATCTTTAAAATGACACATTGGAACTTCAGTTGGACCGGAAAAAGTGCAGGATACTAATTATAATGACATATTTCGCAAAGAAATATGTACTTTTACACTGGAAAGATGATTTCAAGATTTTAGGACTCCATTATTTTTTAGAATTGAAGGATTTCTTTAGGAGGGACTGTTGACTATTTGTGGTGTAGCAGGTATGTATTTGTATGAGCATGTCTATGGATATGTTCACATGTGGGACCTATATGCATGCACACCTGGATAGAGTTCATTGTTGTTATTGTTGCTGCTTTTTTTCCTTTTTATTTATTTGTTTGTTTGTTCGCTTACTTTTCTTGTTTTGTCTCTTTGTAATGTGCATGTCTGATTCTGTGCTTGTTATTTGTTGGAATTTAGATATGTTTATTTATTTTACTTTATTTTATTATTTTTTGTTTTTTCTTTCTGTTCTGTGTCCCGGGGGAGTGATGGGGAGGGTGGGAAAATATTAGTTTAAAAGAAAAAAAAGCAGACAATTTTCATTTTTGGTTGTTATATCAACATGAAATAAAAAAGATGTAGATATCTAACTTTGGGAAATGTACTCACTGTAGGAGTGTACTCTTCCAGCTGCATGAGGAAATCTGCCAAAGGAGTGGTGGAAACAGCAGGCTTGACATCTCCATTTGTGATGCTACCAGGAACGTAGACGCCGTTGGAGACTGATGTATCTGCTGATGGTGTCACCATGGCGGATGAGGCTGAAGCTAAAAATACACGAATTTGGGATGACTTACTTGGAGTTCAACAAACTAAATTGTGTACTATTAAGTGTTATACCTGTTCCAAGGCTGTACAAAGTCCAATCACTAGCAACTAATCGTTGCACAAAACCAGATAAACATCAAATAATACATGAAAGAAAACATCCCGCGTTCTTATATGTTCATATATACATACTGCGTCTGAAAACACATCTTCAGTCTTCATGAGAAGGTACCTGTTATCATAGCATGAACGCCAATGGAGTATTGAACAATAACACAAGCAGAAATCAGAGAACGTTACCATTACTCGTGACCGAAGGAATGCTGCTGACGTTGGTTGTTGCATTATCATTTGCAATACAATTACTTGATGTTGAAGATGTCGAAGATGATGTTCCGGTTGTGACACTCTGATTAACGCTGTCAATATTCATGATGACTGATTGTTAGCTAGCGCGCTAACCTCGTCTAACAAGCACAGACAAATGTCGTTAACCAGTTCAGAAGCGCAAATCTGTGCGCTGCAGCTGGAAAACTAGTTATCTCCAAAATACAATTCAGTCAAACGAATCTCTTTGTGTAACTCAGAGGTTACTAAACCATATAATTAAGTGCTAACTAACATGTGAAATGTGCTAGAAAAAGACGAGCTCACGCAAATGAGCTAATGCTGCGGCTACTTCTTCTTCAATTGAGTTTATTGGCGGTTGGCAAACCAACTTGAAAGTGCATTACCGCCACCTATTGGACGAGTGTGGAACAGTAAATTGGCAGACAAGACAATATACATATTTTAAAAAAGGAAATTAGATTCTCTCCAGTTGCCCTGAATTCTTCAAATATGCCATTACATGCTTGAGCACAATTTCTGGTTCTGATCCTTGTAAGTTCCCCATGTTAAGTGCCATCCTGGTTTCCTGCGCTGCTGCTGCCAGTGTCCTTCTTTGCTCCACATATCCTCCACAATCTAACAACACATGCTGGACAGTTTCAGCCTGTCTACATTTATCACATCTGCCATCAGGGTGTTTTCCTATTTTATACAGTGTAGTTGCCTGTTTTTAAGTCTTCAAGAAAACCATGACCTGGATGAATGAGAATCTACATGGACGTATATTGTAAAGGTTTCTTTCTGTGTCTTGGATGTCCCAGTATTCTTGCCACACTTTCTCCATATGTTTCTTGATTATTGGTTTAACCTCTGCCTTACATAAAGGAATTTCTGTATCTACAGTGTGTGATTTGAGTGTTTGTTTGGCCAGAAAATCAACTCCTTCATTCCCCTTCATCCCTACATGGACAGGAACCCAAATAAAGCAAACTGTCAAACCCCTCTTGTGCATTCTGTGAAGTAGATTATGTATTTTATATACAAGTTCTTGCCTACATGACTTCATGGTTTTAATCCTTGTAAGAGCAGCCCATCTTTCTGATGCTAATAGTGTATTGTTTTTAATGTTTGCTTCTATCCACTCCAAACTTAAAATGATAGCTACTAGCTCAGCTGTATATACTGATAAATGGTCTGTGGTTAGGGTTAGGGCTCCTTTCTTTCCAGTATCAGGGTCTTTTGATCCATCAGTGAAAATCAATGTATTGTCTGAAAAACTTTGTTCTAGATAACTTTCAGCTATCCTTCCCGCAGAGACCTGCCTATTCCTTTTTTTCAATTGTTGCTGTATTTCAAAGTTTACTGATGGTTCTATGAATAACCAGGGAGGACTATATGAATATGGGGCCGTCGGACTGAATTGTATATGACCTAAACCTGCTTGTACTACTTTTATGTTTCCTATCCACCCAAAACTCATAATATTGGATTCATTATGTTTCCTACAGTCCTCCAGGATGGCTTTAGCGGGATGTGAAGTACTATGCCCTTGAAGATTGACCCAGTAAGCTAACAGCAGTTTCGTTCTCCCTATCCGTAATAGTTGTTCCCCCGCTTCTTCTTCTTCTTCTTCTTCTTCTTCTTCTTCTTCTTCTTCTTCTTCTTCTTCTTCTTCTTCTTCTTCTTCTTCTTCTTCTTCTTCTTCTTCTTCTTCTTCTTCTTCTTCTTCTTCTTCTTCTTCTTCTTCTTCTTTAACGGCGGTTGGCATCCGTCTCTTTAGTGGATTACCACCCCCTTTGGTTTCGGAGTTTAGCTTCTGAATTTAGCTGCGGTATAACAACAACAACAATAATAATAATAATAATAATAATAACTGGGATTTTTAAAAAATGAATAAACTGTCTTACATACCGAAGCAGTATCTTTCCCTGTATCCTGCCCCCTATCTTCAATAAGACACTCGGTGTTACTTCCTTCACCCCACATTCTCTCAGCCTGTTCCTCGCATAGACTGTATACAAGATCTCTTAAGATATCTTATATACAGTCTATGGTTCCTCGTCACACGTCTTTGTTCCTCATGCCTCATACTATACAGTAGATGCTCGCGACCTATGTATGGTTCCCAACTAGACATAACTGGTTTATTTGCGGTGACGGAAAAATAATTTAATAATAATAATAAAAATAATTTGTCTTTGGGACAACGTATTACTTTCATTATGTCCACTCAATGAAAGTGCAACCTCCGGTCGTTGTGAGACACTCGACATTGATTTGTATTTTTCCTTTAACGTGGCAATAATTATAGTCTTTGAATTAAGCAAGAGAGTTAACGAGCAGCAGTGAATGCAACACAAAACCCATGTGTACATCGTGGGAGGTGCTAGACGGGTCAACTACGGCTCTGTGGTCGTCTAAGGTGTGAATCAGTCCGCTTTCGTACTCATTGATCAACAGTACGTCTTTGCAGGCTTCTGGAAATAGAATCGGACCAATGCGGAAGACCAGCAGAGGGTTTTGACAGCTGCACGGGACAACAGGTAATGCAACCATGCTATAATCTCCAATTTATACATACTGTATTTCGCCTGTCAGAAACAGGTCTTTGTAAATGGATAAACTACTTCTCTGGTTCACACTTTTGATGAAAAGTTGATTGATTGTTGAAAAGTCGATTGTTTATTTAGTACACCTTCAAAATTTAGCCTATGTAGCCTATCTGGAGAACTATTGGCTGGAACTAGTTAAGAAAACCTGAGTCACGCGATTACCCTTATTTTTTAAGTGTTTGTAAGATCAGCAGTTGTGTAATGTGTTTGTAAAAGCTTTAACATGAGACAAGTCCACAGGATACCAGGATGACTTCGCCTGTCCGTGTGATCGTAGTTGGAGCTGGCAATCGAGGGGACAATTACTCCCAGTTTGCCACTATCCACCCTGAGCGCATGAAGGTCAGTTGAGGTTTCTGCATCCCCCACAGTAAATAAAGAGCAAATTTGTCAGACTGTTAACATTTTCTGCTATCCTCTCAACTAACTGAAGTAACAAAAATACAAACAATTTGGCAGCATATAAAATCTCTATCAGCCAAATGATCCAAGATGGGATCATTAACCAAAACAAAGATGTCCAATATTGATTAGCGCTAATTTGATAGCAAAGATGTAATAATATTGATGTTGTCAGAGGCGAAGGAGGATTTAAAATTGCAGTAATTAATAACTTAACTGACTTAACACTGGAGTCATGAGCATTGTAATAAATATTGCAAACAAGGGCCCACTTTCCAGAGTGGGCTTGTACCCAAAATTGGGTGTTTTGTTCCCGTTGAATTCAAGTAGTTCAGCAAAAATACATTTTTAACCACAATTCTGGCATTTATTTGTAATAACAATTTGTTACTCGTCTCTACATTGTGCTCACCTTCAACAATCCAGGTGGTTGGAGTAGCTGATCCAAGGAAATTTGCCCGCATGAAACTTCAACAGCGACACAAAATTGAGGATGAAAATGTGTTTAACGGTGAGAAAAAAAGAAGCATCAAATTTTTAATGGTCAATAAAGTACATTCAGTTTTTGACACTTTCTTCCACCTCCTTAACTATTGAAAGGTCTGTATTTTTTTATATTTAGACTGGAGAAGTATTGTTGAAAGACAGAAGTTTGCAGATGCTGTATTAATTTGTACTCCAGATCGCCTTCACAAGGTAAACATACAATAAATATTTGCATTCTTTATAGAAACCAAACACATTATTTAGTTTCAGATTAACCTTTTGTGCAAAATTCCTCATCACTCTATTAAGCATATTAGTTTTCCTTAGGAACCCGCAGTAGCCTTTGCTAAGAAGGGCTACCATGTGCTTCTGGAGAAACCAATGGCTGTGAGTGTTTTGCACATTTACCATCTTAAGTTAGAGTTTGATGTGAAGTTGATGTTAGTGGTTGAAAGACTTGTTAGTTGATATTTGTTAAATTATTTTCCAGTATTGCTGATTATGACATGATAAGGATTAACACTTTCTCAAGCACATTTGAAACTTAAATGAGATATTGATCTTTGAACATCAATTACTGAAATGTAAAAACTGACGTGTTTTCACTTGACTTTAGACGACTGTTGAAGACTGTACAGCGATTGTGAGGGCCTGTACTGAGAGTGATGTGATGCTTTCAGTGGCTCACGTTCTTCGCTATGACCCTTTAATCCACAAGATAAAGGTGCTCTTTTCCTTTCTCTTTTTCTGCTTATGAAAATAATTTGATAACTAAGGGTTGAAAAATGTCAATTTCATTTTTTAGGAAGTAAGTAAGGGGAGGCTGGCACATTTTTTATACAGATGAATGAAACCTTTTGTCTTTTTAAGCAAATACTTGAGAAATAAAAACAGTAAATTTTCTTTTGCTTGGTAAAAATGAAAATGCAACTGATTATTTTTAGGAGTTGATAGATGCTGGAGTCATAGGTGATGTTATCCACATTCAGCATCTTGAACCGGTAAGAATTTAAACATGCAACAAGAAAAAAGTAAAAGTATTCCTGCTATGAGCTCATGAAGTCTTCTAAATTGAGGAGCAAATTACACAAATCATGTGGCTAACCTGTTGTTTCAGGTTGGTTTTTATCACTTTGCCCACTCTTTTGTTCGGGGGAACTGGAGGAATCAAGCAGAGAGCTCCTTTGCCCTTTTGGCAAAGTCCTGCCATGACATCGACCTTATTCATCACTGGGCAGGAGCACGCAGGTAAAGAAGCACACAGCAGTCAATGATCAACTCCGATCTAGTTTCATATTCAGACATGCATGCAGTCCACACTCGTGGAAGGTTACTGTCTGTCTCAGACTTATCATTAAGACTGCCGTTTTGTTTGTGGCAGGTGTGTTAAAGTATCATCTTTTGGGTCAGTCAGCCACTTTAAAAAAGAAAACAAGGTGCGTGTAATTATCCACACAAAGAAAACTAGTAGACTCTGCAGATGTGAACAAACTCATGCTCTGTAATTTATGTTGATGTGCAGTTTTACTTTTTTGTAAATCTAGCTGCGTTTACCGTTCCAAACATTGAATTGCATTACACTACTTACATTCTTGTCAAAGTTACAGCGTTGTGTATGAATGCATTTATTTTTCAGCCTGCAGGTGCAGCAGATCGCTGCATGGAGTGTTCAGTTGAGAATGACTGCCCATACTCAGCATGCAAAATCTACCTAGATAGAATGAAACAGGTAATCATTAAACATAACACCAAGCAAATCATTTCTAAGTTGTTGACATGACAATGTGCCTGGGTTAAAACTCCTCTTTCAAAGCAGTTGTGGGCTGTGTAAATGGTTGGTTAAAAAAAGGTGTTTCATCATTTGCAAATCAATTAAACCATATATTGAATTGAAAACAGTGCAAAGATAACATATCTGATGTTGAATCTGAAGATGGTGTTATTTTTGTGGAAATTTTTAAAAAATATTTTAATGATCCATGTACTGTAGATAATGAAATCCACAAATTCTTGATCATTTATTTTCAATTAGATATAGTGCTGAAGTCAAATTCTGTTCTCATCAACAATCTACATCCATCCCAGCGTCTATGAAACTGAGGTTGCACATAGTTTTACATGAGCTGTTTGTGTATGCACTAGGGTCACACTGGTTGGCCTGTATCAGTCATATGCCAAAGCTCACTACCAGACATCGAGATAGTGACTGAGGCGCTGAAGACTGGACCATATGGTCGCTGTGTCTACGAGTGTGACAATGATGTGTGCAGTAACCAGGTGAGGAAACAGTGACTTTAAACACAACATAATATAATCTCTTTCACTCTCCATCTCTCTAAATGAAACTGAAACTAGAATACCACCAAACATGCACTGGTAAGCATGATAGATGGACTGTTTCTAGTATGCAGTGCTTTTCTTGCCTACCAAACATTTAAAGTGCTTTTAAACTACACTTTTATGCAGTCCCAGAAGGCCAAACATTTAAAGTGCTTTTAAACTACACTTTTATGCAGTCCCAGAAGGCGTGGCTGAGGCTCACCTGTAGATGCGGTTGTCTCTTAATTGCAAGATTGTGGGGTTAGAAAGGGTTAGGGTTCAATCCCAGGCCTCTGTCCACATGCTGAAGTATCTCTGGGCATGACCCCAAATTTTTCCTGGTTGCGCAGCCAGCAGTGGGTAAATGTGAATGCTTACTAATGTCATTGATGTGTGCTTTACATAGTCTCAGCCATAGGTGAGTGACTGTGCTGTGATTGGATGAATATGACATGCTTTGAGAGGTCAAAAGACTAGTGAGAGCACTATGCAAATACAGTCCATCTACCATAACACATACTGTTAGTGGAGGCTGCTACATTAAGTGCCCCAATCCCTGTTAGTCATGATTAAACATTACCCTTAAAGGTTTTGGTGGTGCTAAATGTGAAGACTCAAAGTGCAGTTCTTAAATTGTTTTCAAATTTCCAGAATTTGTTGTTCAGTTGTTCTGAAAGGATTTTTCACTAAATATAAATTCAGTAAGCAGTACTTTTTCTGATGTGGGACTTGTTTCTCTGTTTTTGTCCAGGTTGTTAACATGGAGTTTGAAGGGGGATTGACAGCAGCCCTTTCAATGGTAGCCTTCACTGAGGAAATATGCCAACGAAAAACAGCCATCTATGGCAGCAAGGTAATTAAGGACAGGGTCATTTTCAAGATAAGATGAGATAGGATAAAACAACTTATTGATCTCCAAAGGGGAATTCAATAATGAGTTAATAAGTGTATAAAAATAGAGCCATCACTTTAAACTTTCATTAACTACTAGCCTTGCAGCATTCCTGGAAACACTTAATAGTTAAGAAGTACATAAACAACAAAGTATTTTACCCATATACTGTTCATATACCCAGCATGTCAAAAATGCATAAAGTATACATAGATACTAAAACAGACCAGTCTATAACAACCATGATTTTCTCCCTGCCCAGTTTTCTATACTTGGAAAGATAAAAGTGTTGTGTCAATAAGAACTGTCTGTGCTAAGGAAGCCTGGTGTTTTTAACAGTTACAGTATTCTTAGAGCAAACAATCAGCATGTTTTAAAGATACCTTAAGGATAAGAATTTTATGAGGATGCATGAACTTAACTATGAACATATACATAACATACTGGACAGCTGTTTTGCCAATCCCCTGGCACCTGTGGTCCTGTGTAATATTGTGATCTGTAAAACTGCTTCAACCTCTGTTTCGGGAAGAATACATCACTATAATGAAATGTTTCTTCACAGGGGGAGCTGTCATACGATGGTCATGAAATAAGAGTGTTTGACTTCCTGACCCAGAGAACCACAAAGCACACAGCACTCAGTAACGCCCCCAAAAACTCTGGCTTAAGTGGACATGGTGGAGCTGACTACCACCTAATGGATGCCTTCATATCTGCTGTGGCGGTGAGAGCTTGTAAAAATTGTTTGTAGAATTATTTTGGAAAAGTGTGTTTTGGCACTCACTTTAGCATCAGCTGGTTTGATTATTAGGGGCAGTATATGAGCAGCTCATTTGTGTCTTTGCTGAATATTGCGAGTTGACCTTTACTTGTATAATTCCATGAAAGAATAAGAGGGGATCAAGAATATTTATTGGATGGATGTTTTTATTTGTTTTTCCTCGTGAGCTAAATTCACACATTCAAAATAACTCTTTTAATGTTTGATAATCCTAACATCTGTGTTTAATTCTGTGTTTTGGTGAGTGCAGAATAATGATCCATCCTTGATCTGCTCGGGTCCCGAGGAGACGCTGATGAGCCATTTGCTGGTGTTTGACGCTGAGCGTTCACGGCTGGAGAGCAGTGTTGTGTATTGTGGGGAGGGTAAACGGGCCTAAGCAACTGAAAAAAAAAGGTTTTCACATAAAAAGATAGTCTTGCCTTTAAAATCAGTATATCCAAAATAATCATATCTGAATGATATATGTCGCGATTAGACTAAACCAGCAGGGCTAAACAGGTGCATTCAACCTAATTGTTTAGTTTATATTGCTGAGGGTTTTTAGATTAAATTGGTTTTATCTCCCAATAATCTGATCATATGTTGTTTGGCTAAAGTCAATTATTATGATATTCTTATTCATTGATTTTTCTGTCTCAGAGTTTATGCCAAAAATTGGTTAATTTCTAATGTTTGTATATTGTATTTGAATCATTTATTACTCCAGAGGTGTCTCTTAAGATCACCAAACATACAAATTAGATTCACTTGTTTCAGTGAGCAGTATCTATCTCAGGATTTACACTCACAAGCTGCTTTACTAGTTACACCTTGCTAGTACTGGGTCAGCCTTTTTTGCTGCCTTAATTCTTCGTAGTATACTTTCAACAAAGTGGTGGAGACATTTCTCTGAGATTTTTGTCCATTTTAACATGATAGCGTCACACAGGTGCTGCACATTTGTCAGCTGCACATCCATGAAGTGAATCCCCCGTTTCACCACATCCCAAAGTTGCTCTATTGGATTGAGTTCTAGTGACTGTGGAGGCCACTGGAGTACAGTGAGCTCATTGTCATGTTCAAGAAACCAGTTTGAGGTGATTTTAGCTATGTGACATGGTGCATTATCCTGCTGTAAGTAACTATCAGAAGATGGTACACTGTGATCATGAGGGGATGGACATGGTCAATAACAATACCCAGGTAGGCTGTGGAGTTTTAACAATGCTTGGTTGGTACTAGGGGGGCACAAAGTGTGCCAAGAAAATATCGCCCACACCTTCACTCCTCCACCAGCAGCATATTTAGTTTGAGATGTCATTTAAGCCAAATTCTGATCCACTATCTGAATGTTGCAGCTACAAACGAGACTCATCAGACCAGGCAACATTTTTGCACTCTTCTGTTGTCCAATTTTGGTGAGACTGCAAGTTTCCTGTTCTTAGCTGACAGGAGTGGCACCCAGTGGTGTCTTCTGCTGCGTCTGCTGTTTAACTTTGAATATAATCTTATTGAGGCAATAAACAGCAGTGGATGCAAAACCCTCAGACAAACCAAGAGGTGCTGCTGCTGTCAGATGGAGGGAGGGAGTGAGCCTCTCCCTCTATAAGACCCTTAGTAAAATTTGATGTCCATCTACAAACCCCAGTTGTATTGAAGTTTGGACATTGGACAAAAGGTGAATAAAACAGAATACAATGATTTGCAAATCCTTTTCGACCCATATTCAACTCAATACACTACAAAGACAAAATATTTAATTTTTAAACTGATAAACTTGATGTTTTTTTTGTTTGTTTTTTTTGTAGATATTCACTCAATTTCAGTCCAGTGTCTGGAACATGTTCCAATAAAAAGCTGGGACAGGAGCATGTTTACTGCTGTGTTACATCACCTTTCCTTTTAACAACACTCAATAAGCCTTTGTGAACTGAGGACACTAGTTGTTGAATCAATTGAGGTGGAATTTTTTCCCATTCTTTTTAATGAACGACTTTAGTTGCTTCATTAGAGTCTTTTGATTTTGGATTTTGCGCTTCATAATGCATTTTCAGATTTCACATTTTCAGTGGGAGACATGTCTGGACTGATGGCAGGCCAGTCTAGTCCCTGTACCCTTTACTAAGAAACCACACAGTTGTAACACGTGCAAAATGTGTCTTGGAATTGTTTTGTTGAAATTAGCGGGGACATCCCTGAAAAAGACGTGGCTCTGATGGCAGCATATGTTGATCGAATAGCTGTATGTACCTCTCGGCATTAATGAAGCTTCCACAGATGTGACAGTTACCCATGCCATGGGCACTAACACACCCCCAGACCATCACAGACGCTGGCTTTTAAACTTTTACCTGATATTAATCTGGATGGTTCTTTTGTCTTTTAGAAACCACGTCCATGATATCCTAAAACAACTTGAAATATGGACTCATCAGTCCATGGCACACTTTTCCACTTTGTGTTAGTAAATCTCAGGGGAGACGACGGCCTTTATATATTATATGATACTGACATTCATGAGAGTAATACCATTCAATAAAGCTTAATTAAGTTTAAATAAAATCATTTATCAGATTTGAATAAAAAGGAATATGTTTTTACTTATTTACTCATCCTCCTATTTTTAATGTCTTCTTTGCACTTATCAAAATTGACTTCAGGTCAGGATTATTGCAGAAATACCCAATTACATTCAAAGTTGCACTTTTTTAAAGTAGGTATTAGACCAACTTCTTACAATGGTATCCACTCTGCTGAAGATAGTTTTGAGTATTATGTCTGATACCTTCTTGTCAAGACTGAGTGGAGAGATTAGAACAGCTTGGCATAATATGGGGTTAAACCAAGGACATGCCTGGTGATATTGTGGTACTGTTCATGATAATACATTAATCAACTGCAGCAAAATGTAAGTCAATCAGTTTTTAGGCTCCTTTTTTAATTAAGGTTTTTATTTCGAAAATTAAACATTGCCAGAAAATTCTATTCCATTTTTTAAAAGCTACATCAATAACCAGGGTCATGATCTGGCATATGACAGGCCTGAGGATACATAAATAACATTTTAAAGGCAAGAAACAAAAGCAAATTAAAGGTTTCTCTTTTTTCATCTCTCCACGCCTTTTTTTTACTTTGACATGAAGTACCTCCTGTAAACACAAGATGTCATTAGTTTGTTTTGTTTCAGGGCAGACGTGGTGGTCCTGAAATGACTTAAACGAAATTTTTCCAATACAAGAAGACAGGGAGAACCATTTTCTCCAAGCTTTAGTCGAAAGCTTGAGAAGAACTTTTTATACTGTGATTTCTCAAAAAAAAAAAAATAAATAATAATAATAATAATAAGTAAATATGCATATTTATTGTTCCCTTGCTGAAAAAGAGTTTAGGAGTCTGGTGTGCCAGTAGTGTTTCAAAACCTATTCTCACACTATCTTGGTCATAAGTAACACAACATCCAAAAAGTAATTGACCCCAAAACTGAACCCAGATCCTGTCTCTTGCTTATTTATGATCTAACTCGAGACACTGAAGCTTTTCCAGACTGCTAACTTTAACACAGGGACAGAAGTGATAGGTGATATTTATAATTTTCCGAGTTTAGTTGAGAAGAATTGTTGAATTGCTTGTTAACCACAAATATATATTCTTACATCAAATGAAGTTAAAGCATTTCACTATTCTGTTACGAGTAAACTTCCAGTTATGTGCTTGTATAGTCATTTAGTCAATGCTGGCATTATCTTGCTTTGACTTTTCCCATACTCTAATCTGGTCTGATTCCTTTACCCTATCTTGAACTATGTTGCAAACAAGACCAGAGGATTTTAGGGTTCATTTAACGTCTCTGCTTGTTAAGTGAGCTGGCAAATTAAATGGAAAGCAGCAGCCAATGTTTCATCTCTATTGCAAGTAACAATCTCATACTTTCGAGACTTGAGGTTATATCATCAAAGGAAAAAAATGAATACAGTAAATAAAAGATAAAGCATTTTACCAGAAACCAATCTATGAGGTGAAACATTAAACCATTTGAAAAAGCTCAATGACATTTTAACAATAAGGACAGGCTGTCATTATTGATCAGAAGTATTATAGCTGTTCACCGTGATGGTTATGTCAATGTGAGCTTCCGGCAGGATATCTGAGAAAAATATATAAATAGATGAGGAGGTGTTTCCCTTTTTACTTGGGGTATTGGTCAAAAATGACCAACATTACCAGTGACATCCACAGATAGTTAAGAAGCTGTTCCCTGCTGACTGAAAGCAAATGAAGGATTTGTTGGGAAGCTCCCAAGCTATGATATTGAACTCAATGAATAATAAATGCACCAACCAATACTGGAAATATTAACATTTCTTGAAGCAGGCATTTTATGGTAGATCCATTTTTATAGGTATTTTGGGATAGCTTTTCAGAAGCAGGTGTGTAAAAATGAACGAATGAATCAATTAAATTTTATGTGAGTAGAACCAAATCACAACAACCGTTATCCCAAATGTCTTTAAACAATCATAAGATTTATCTGGATACAGGTTCAACAAGTACTGCTGAGCATAATTTTTTTAATACAGTATGACCCCAACTGCACCACATTAAAAGTGAAAAGCTCTATCGTTTTATCACAAAATGATAGTCCAACAGATTGGGAGTTGTCCTTCAAATGAGCTCAATATTGTCAACATTAGCACACAATTCTTGGGCCTTGCAACACATCCAGGATGACTAATTCTGGAGTGTGTCCCATAGTCCACACTCCCAGATAGATCACATTGCGTAGAAGACTGGACTGACACAGTTGGAAGGAGGGTGTGTGGGGAAAACTGTAGAAATGACGAAATGGCTGATTCACAGAAAAACTCTGGCCTTGTGCCAAGAAGGGATAACATCAGTGATGTAAAAACATATGCATGGTAATAGTTTCACTAGTTAATTCTAACAGAATGAAACTTAAATGAACAATATTAAATAAAGCCTAAATGTATATCGATCAACGTCATAGTATTAACAATCAACTTGAAGGAAGTCAGTTTTATGAAGAAGGTGACCAGACCACATTTTATTCAAACTCATTCATTTGTAATGCCAGATAGACTGGGGACGTGCTCCTTGAGACAAGTTTGCAAACTGAGTCAGCCTCTCATTCTGAATGACTCAACCAAACCACTACACCACCACAGAGCCCTTTCGTTTCTCAGTGCCCTGCCCTCAATCCTCTCTTACAGACAGGCACGCACTGCCTACATTTGTCTTACCTCACCACTGCATCACTTCCTCTCATTTTACTAGGATACGTCCAAAATAGCCACTAACAACATACAAACATTTTCCAAAACGGTAATTACATTAGAGGGATTTTTTAAGTGTGTGTTAAGATTTATTTTATACTTATTGTATGTTTGTGTTGAGTGTGTGGCTTTTTCTCAATAGCTTTCATTTCTCTCTTTTGGTTGAAGTTTTATTTTCAAACAATGACAGGGGCTAATGACATGGAATGGCGAGCAATGTGGTGAACCTTCTGCCAAGTTAAAAGAGCTGTGAACCTCTGAGTTCAATGATCCGATGAGTCATTTACTGTTTTAATCAGTCATGTTGCCAGTATGGGATTTCTACATCTGCTTTGACTTTTCTCAGATTCGAACTTCTTTTGCAATAATATTTTGCAGCTACCAGTACTGCTAAAATATTGCACTGGTATTTTTCTCCCTTACAAGGCAGGCATCCATGAACAAGGAAGGGGGGGAAGTAAGTAAGGCGGGGAGCAATAAATTGTAAAACACGGAGCAGCCTGTTGACTCAACAGGAAGTGATGGACTAGGAGTAAGTAAGGTGGAGGAAGAAGTGGGAGGAGGGTAGGAGTGAGAGGAGGAGTGAAATGAGGAAAAAAAGATAGACTTCATCATGCCTCAAGACCCTGTGCTATGTTACAGAAATGACAGAAGACAGTGAATGTTATATAGTTTTCAGAGGAAATCTGCAAGCTGAGAAATAACAGAGAGGCTAATGGTTTCTCCCACTTTCCATTCTGTTACAGAGTCATGATGTGCTCACACAGAGTTCAAAAATCAGTCAATGAACCAAGCTTGGCTTTTTTTGGTTGGCCTTCCAACGGGTGTCCTTGTTCGTCATCAGATGGTGATTTGAAAAGACTTTGACCTGGGAACAAGTTGTGACCAGTGCAGCCAGGCAAATATTGACACTGCTTCCCCCGTCTGTCACATCTACTGAAAATGAGCATTTAGTCCGTGTCCTTATTAGCAACCTTGAGTCAGTTCCAAAACCAGTTTTTAACTGGGATGATTTGGTAATTTGTGAAGGAACCTTAAACTGGGGATAAGAAAAGTTATTTCTTATTGAATTCTAAAAACTTAATTGATACAGGTGTAGTGGTACACCTGAGACTTCTCAATAGCTTACAGAGAGAAAAAAGGGATGGATGGATCTAAGTATGACGGTGCTCTCTCTCTGATGTGACACTGTATTAAAAAGTGAAAATTAAACATCTAAATAAGCTACACTGTCACTCATGAGTTATTATGTAAAGCCTATTCACTTCATTTTTGTCCTCCTCATTTATTCACTACGACTCTGAATGAACAGGAGAACCACTTCACATGGTTGCGGAAGGCCTCCCACTGGGCCTGAAGACCCTCTGCCCACTCAGAGGCCTCAAATCCTGGGTAGGGAAGCTGCCTATCCCCTGGTGCTACATCCTGGGCAAAGAATTGCTCTTTTCATACTGGAGTTACATTGAAGAAGTCACCATGAAATCAGATGTCACAGTCTCTGAATCACTGAATCTTGCCACTTCCTCCAACACTCATTTGCCTGCTGACTCTATTTTCTTTTTCTTTGTTGATAGCCTGGGAAAAAGGCCTTTACTATCTTGTGTTGTAGGGGGATATTAGTGCATTTCTTAAACTGTGTGGGGTTTTTTTTATGTTTGCTGATGTGTGTGTTTTGCCTCAAAATCCACTTGTTTATATTTTATTCACAAGCAAATGATCAGTCTGATATTTTATGTATGTAGAAAAAAAATACAGTCTGTAAATTTAACGGGGAGTATGCTCATTTGGCCCAAAGTGTAATACCTAGCTACCCAAAAAATGAGCAACCCAAAGCAACATAAAGCTCATTCTTCTTCCTGTTGGCTGTCTTTGATGGCTGTCTTCTCTCAGGTTGAGGTCAAAGGCTTTGGTGTGAAGCCCACTCAGACATTTGAGGAGCCTGGTTCCCTCCTGACGCCTCCAACATGTCAAAACAGACTGCACATCCATTGAATTAAAAAGATTAAATGCAAAGTGTGTTTTTCAAATCACACAGAACCTTGGAGGCCGCAGCAATAAGAATAAATGAATGGCTTTGACTCAGACTTTGATCAATCTTTAAATACAGTACTTATTAAACAAACTAGAGAATAAAGAAATATAACCTCACTCTTTGTGTGGCACATTTCATCACTGTTGCATGTTCCAGATCAGGCTATAGGAAGAGGTGGGTGGTAACAATGAGGTGCAATGAACGTGCCCAAGGTAGATAATGAGAATTTATCCATGCTTTATCCATGCTGCATTACATTCACTGCAACTTCACTTCAAAGTTGGATGACTATTTATCATGTTTCAGCTTGAGTGCTTCACAACATGGCTAATTGACTGGCTCAAAAATATTTAAATTTAATCAAATTTAAAGTGCTGCATATGTTCGGACTGTAACTCGCCTATTCTAATAACCATTTATGTGAAATGCTGTAATAAATATGATATAATGGTATACAAGTAACAACCTATAAAACCTCTTACATTACATGAATGAACTTCATGAATGACAGCATTGAGGTTTGATAGAATGTGAGGCTCAAACAGAAGTTGAGCGTGACTTAGAAAAAAAAAAAAGCAGCTGGCCCATCAGTCTGATTACTATTACATGTTTGTACACAGCTGGTTCTTCCATAAGAGAATTCCTGGTGTCACCATGTCAGCATATCGACCTACACAAATGTTTTTACCATTGAACATGTATGTTAACACCTACTTAGTTCACTTTCTATTCTAGATTAAGATATTACTGAAAGAATGGTTGTGAGATGTTAATCATAAGACATGTACTGTTTGAGGTCTCATCGACAGTTCATATTTTCCATAAGGAAAACACACACACACACACACACACACACACACACACACACACACACACACACACACACACACACACACACACACACACACACACACACACAACTCAAGCTTGCTTTACAATCATCTTTATTGTCTTTAATCAAAAATTTCAACCAAAGACTTTGGTCCAGCATTGATGACTGATCTTTGATTTTACAGCACATTCAGGAACTCCTTCAGAGAAATCCATCACATCTTTGAAAAAAGCACAAGAAGGAGAGAGGGGTTACAGATGTGGGAGGTGGGCTTCTGACTGCACTGACAGCTGTGAGGGACGGAGGTCTCTCAGAGCAGGAAATGACTTGACCTCCCCTGTGGGAGACTGGCCCACCCCTACAAAACCCCCACAGCTCTAACCATCTTGGGTCACCACAAGAGCTCACAGAGCCATCAGAGCAACAGCAAAGTGGCAGGGTCACCTCAAACACAACAAAGCAGAACAAGTTACCAGAATATGTCTTTTTCGAGGATTGTGAGAGTGGACATTTCATGATGTGAATAGCAGGATTGTAAAGCCAACACTAGTATTACCTCCTATGTTGTCCTGAAGTCATGTACAAGCAATCACTCCAGTGCACAACAGGAAGTACAGTGAACTTATTTACTAAATCAGCACATGTTGTCCTTTTTTAAATTAACAAATTATGCTGGTGAAAGAGAAATGTACCACTTTTTGGGTACTCATTTTGTAGGTGTTTGTGGATCTTCCTTTATCAATGTAGAAATGACAGACATTTTTCTCCAGAGTCCATGAGGTAGCCATTTTATTTTGCACTTTACAGAACTGAATGCTTATTAGCCTGGATCTATGTGAGTCGTTACCACAGTAAAAACATAATTTGACATAATTAGCCTTAATTGTTTAAAAAAAAAAAAAAAAAAAGGAAAAAAAAGGAATGAAAGAAAAAGTAAAAAAGGCCCACACTCGCTTCCGCCATATGTTCAAGCAAATGGCCTCCTGAATTGTCTCTCTGCCTCTCTCAGTGTGGGTGAAAACAAACACAGACAGTAAACTCTTATGTGACATTTGGGCTTCAAAAACAACTCTCCACCGAAACATGATTAGGCAGCCAATCTCAAACTTGTTCCTCTCTATCAGTTGTATTTTGTATTCGCCAAAAGACACCCCCACACTCTCTGACTCCCACACAGGTCAGGACAAAGTTGTTTTGCTGCCTTATGAAGGACAATTTCCCATAAACTCACTACAGCACATGGGCAAAGTAAACCTACATCTATAAATTGGGCATTTTTGCTGTTTGCGCAGAGTTACTTTGTGTATGGGAGTCATTGTTTGCCTAACCAGAAATCTGGCGCTCTGAATTTTAAGGATTCATTTAAATAACTTTCATTTGCAGTGTAGACATTGCTAGTTGAAGCATTGCCATCATGCCTACCTTTGTTCCCATAGCTTTACTGACTGTGAAAGCTCACATTTTGTGGGGAATGACAGGTGGAAGTCAGGGTTGGTTTGAAAATTTTAGTCATACAATACTTAAACTAGGTCCAACACAAAGACCGCCTCTTTCTTTGGTAGCATTCAAGATCAGAGTACTTAAATTCATCGACGAATCGAAAACTGCTCCTTAAAATCCTGAGTTTTAAAAGGACAAAAATAGTAGCTGCATATCTGGTATTCAGGACATAACATGCTGAACTGTCAGATTGTTACATGTACTGTAACATGCGGATTTAACCGTGACCCCTGTAAAAATGCTGATTTGAGAATCTGATGTAGGTCTTATCAAAAACAAATATTTTTTTTCTGAGAGTTCTGTAATCTAATTCTGTTATTTTGTCATCTGAACAGAAGTTGTTAAAGCTGTCACATACAGTGGATCAAATAGGCTACATATCTCAAAAAATAAAGCAGTAACAAAACTGGTTTGCAAATTTTCCACCCCAGCTATTTTATGAGCTCTAGGACATGATTCTGAATGTTTTTAATGGTTGAAATTTATTGTCCTTTTTTCCCCTTTAAGAGTTAGATGGGAGGAGTCAGAGTTGGGAGCAATGTGTGCATTATAAAGAGATGTGAAAACGGCGTCACTGACAGTACGAGTTTCACCTCTCAGTGTTGTTGACAGTTGGGATGTAGCACATGGTCCAGCTTTGACTCGGTGACTGGCTCGTTGTTCAGTATTACACAGGTTTCTTCAGTTCCTGTACCGACCCTTCTCTGTGTGATGGACAAAAGGACTTGATTTTCATGGTAAGATTTCCACCCTTTCAGAATACGAAGACAACTTGATCTCATGAAAACTACGCTTTACAACCACTTCATCTAAGAAACCATGATAAGTGGCACATGTTTTGTGTTGTGAGGGGTCAGTCTTCCTTCTTAATAGCCTGTTCTAAGGTTACGGTTTTAAATGAACCACGCGGAACTTCATGTTTAACGGTACAAGAGGCTGGAGACGCGGACGTTGTCGCAAGTCAAGTAAATCAAAGTAACTTCTGTTTTTTCATTGAATACGTCTTTCAGCGGGGATGTATGTGGTCTCACAGGAGATCATAACAATAATGTCAGATTTCTGTCTGAAAGCGACGGTAGGGATTAGCTTTACCGACCCGCTCCACGGTTATGTACGTCAAATGAGGCGGGATGGGTGAGTCCAGTCCACTGCTTTGCCCAGCCCCGGTCAACCACTAGTGTGCGCTGAAGTGCGATCTATCATCTATCATCTATCACTGAACTGTGATAGACGCACGTTCCCTCGGGATAAACAACTTTATTGAAAAAAGAATCTTCTTTCTTTCTTTCTTTCTTTCTTTCTTTCTTTCTTTCTTTTAGTCTGTGTGTCTAAATTATCCCTACACGTGTTACATAGATACCTCAACAGAGCTGTATCCAAGTCAATCTTAGAAATATTGATCCCTGTAAAAAAAAAAAAAGAAATAAAAGAAAAAAAAATACTTGTAATATATTTTTGCAAATTAACCAAGACTTGAAGACGGAGATCAGTAAACTGACTTTGTACTCATAGCTTGACAGTTTCCATCCCCAGTTCAATACAAGATTTGCCCAAAATCTGAGAGAGGTGAACATTATTTAGGCAAATTGAGATTTTTATAAAATCATTTACTGTCAATTTTTTGCCCACACTGTCCCCCTATTTATAGTTTCTTTATTACTCTCACAGGGTGTTTATTTTCTTCTTAGATTTCTTACTACTTGCCGTGTTCAAAAGCTGTATATCAAATTGACAGTATCTTTTAGATAGCTGTAAACCAAACTGTTCTCCCTTTATACACTAACATGTATCTATTTTACCCTTTAGGAGAGGGAAAATCATTACAATATTTTCTAAGGATTCATGTTAGCGTTGGGGTGGTTTTTTAAATCAAATGCATAACTGAGTCAGTCTACAGCAGTAGTTTACAAACTTACATTCCTGCTAATTTCAATTTTGCTACTGAATGCTGTTAGCAAGTAAGAACTGGTCAGCTATTATTTTTTCAGGCAATCAAGACCAACTGAGTCAGCCTCAACAAAACAAATATGTTATTTTTATCATTAATGTTATTATTATAAACAGTCAATTGTCATGTTTATATAACTCTGAACTGCTTGACCATTATAGAGTAAACTACAGCATAAGTCATAGATGAAAGGGAAAAACCTCAAACTGATGATTCACCATTATCATCCCACAGTCTGGTAAGACTTAGACGTAGAGTCAAAGATTCCAAATTTTATTTTTTCACATGTATGCCCAACACTATCTGAAATCGGCATTTAGGTTGGTTATAGTTATGTTTCATAGATGGTGCACATAGCAAAATAATAGAAATGTATTTGGCCATGGATTTGAATGTAAAGTTATCAAATTTACTTGTGTCTTATTTCTGAAGCAAAATATTAAGTACTGATGTTTTCAGTTAATTATGATTAAGGTAATTACATCTAAATCTTATCCACTAGTCAAATGCCTTATTCACAACACAACATGCCACAAGGCCAGGAAATGCTGCTGTAATCCCATCATGCTGTATATGTATGCTGTATTTATGCTGTGTGCAGTAATCAGGTTTGGAAGAAGACTTAAAGACTTTCTGGAAGCACCAGTCACACATTTTAATCTCCCTTTAGTTGAAAATAACTAGATTATTGAATCAAAAAAAACTTGATCAGTACTGAAAATACTAGTTTTCCAGAACTGTTCACAGCATTTTGAAATGAAATGAGGATTTTAAGTACACACTCCATGTTAGCCCCATAGTTACATCATTTGTAAATGTCTGGTCAGTGAATGGCCTGTTTCCTGATAAAGAGAGGTTAAAACAGCCAAGGACAACTCATCAAGGCTCCTGCATGTGATAAACAAACTGTTTTTTAGCCCTGGGCTCCTTCTTTCAACGGTGCCACCATGCACAATACTCCTGCAGAGGATTTGCAGCACAGGCTCATACCTTGGCCATGTGTGCCCGTCTCCATGGCATATCTTCAGTCTTAGCCTCATGGGAGAGTTCACTTGTATTTTCAGGCTTGCTTTACTGCTCACCAAAGTAACACAAAGGCCCATTCATGCCTGAGAGTGGCTCCATTCATGGATGCTGAGTACTTGCCGGTAGAATTCATAATTGTTCAGCGTCTTCCATCTCCGGGGCACACTGGTGGAAATGACGCCACAGTTGGTTGTTTTAAGGATGACATAAATATTCAAATAGGCACATTGGTCTCTGTTTTGTTTGTAGTGGTTTATTTTGCTGCATTATGCATGCTCCGAATTGTGTGCTTCCTACACAGACAGTGGGCCTAACAGTGACACAAAACAAAGCTACTCTCTGAAGAGTGAGATTGCAGTGTGATAGTAAAACTTAGACCTTGCTGTGCCCTCAGGCTGAGGAGGAGGGATGGGTTACTAACAAGTAGTTGGCAGGTGAATTACCGGAAGAATCACATTTATAGACAGGAACAAATATGGTTCCTTTGGGTTTCAGCTGTGTTTAAGTGATTAGTAATGTTCTTAATGGTGTGACTGCTATAGAATAAATTACAGAGTACTTCATAAAAGAACTGGGCCAATCCCAGAGATCTATGATTCAATACTGTCAGTCAGACAGAAGGACCTGGGAATTTCAGTCTAGATAAAAAGAGTCAGATAAAAAGGCTTTATTTGCACATGCTTACACAATATTATGTACTCTGAAATGTAGGCTGGCCTGGCCTGAGAATATACTAGCAACAGAGGGTAAAACTGGCTAATTTTACAAAGGTCAAAAGTAAAGATGCATAAGTGTAATATAAACTTAGATTGAAACAGTTACAATTTTAAAAACAAGTTAAAAATACTTACCATTTATAAATCAAATGATTGTCTTTTTTTTACATTAAAAAATTATGGTATAAAATAATGTTTGAATGGAAAACATATAGTAGGTGTAAGATGGTGTTTAGCATACTCACATTTGTGTCATTTTGGGTTTATAGTAGCATTTGCCACAAAAAATAACATTCACTGGTTCTTGGCCTCAATTCAGTTTTTAGGGAAAAAAAGTGGGCATATGCTATAAGGAGAAGGCATTAAGCAGAGGTCATTCATGTGGTAAAATCAGAACTGTTCACACAGAAATCAAGAGACATAGAAGCCTTGTGTCGTACAAGCACTTACATTGCTTCCTAACCACAGTCGTATTATCATAAGCATGTTTTGTAATACAGCACTGTGCTGTGCCGCCTCAGTGTTTGAGTCTTACAGGATCACAGGAATGCTTCACAATTAGCCCCTGTTGCAAGGGTGTATACTGCAGGGTTCCACAGTCTTTGAGAGGAGAGAGAGGGCTGCTACCCTCCCACATCTGACCCAGAGATTGTGCAATAGCCTGCTCATCAGACAAACGCCTTTAAGCTGGAACAACAAAGAGATACACATGGCAGCTGCAAGAGCAGGCTGAAAAAAACAAGATTTGGCTTTTATCGTTTTTACTTTTTTTTAATCCTCTTGGAAAAGGCAAAATTTTTTATGTAGGTTCTACACGTTATCATTCAAGACAGAAAAATACATGAAAACAGCATATGAGTATTGTTGTTGCAAATGCTTTGTAAGGCTTAACTATGTGTACTCTCCGCACCGAATAACAAACAGAAAGACTTTTTTGTGTATAAGTAGGAGAAGAATGCAATGTAAAGGGGAAAAATGATTTGGTGGCCTCCCACTTTTTGTCTTAGAGTATGCGTCCTGAGCTGTGACCTGCTGAGTACAATGAGTTCTTGCAGCTGGATGTGCTGGATGGGGTTTAGGTCCAGATGTACACTGTTTATATTCCCTGTTTATGGGTATTTCACACTTGTTATAAGGTGTGACTAGAACAAAAAAAAAAAAAAAAGGATGATGTAATCCAAATGACACACCTGCAAGGGGAATGTACAAGTTTTCCTTTTACTTCACAAAAGATAGCCCGTTAACATTCAGTTTTCTGTTTGTCTCCAACAGATAGCTCCCAAAATAAAGCTGAGATGTGTTTGGTGGAGCTTGTCATGCTCTAGAATGATAACAAACCAAAGTTCCTGCTTGTTAAAGAAACTGATTCTGCTGCAACATGACCAGCAGTCAGGATAACTTCTGGAGACAGCATGAAGTAAACAGGTAGGCATTTTCTGCTCTAATACATCAAGATAGTAGATGTATACTAAGATAATAGATACACTACAGGCCAAAAGTTTGGAAGCAAGATCAGATTTGTACAAAAAAAGATCATAGTTTCATATATATAATTTGCAACACAATAAACATGACTATTGCGTAAAGAGTAACTTATCAGAAGACATTTTGACTATAATTATTAGGTATTTGAGTTATTGTTGCTTAGACTTTGCTTTCTTGGAGTAAATACATCCCAAAATACATAAAACTCATGCTGGATTTAAAAAAAAAGCATTGTGAACAAAAAGTTACTCCCATTTGTTCGGCCTGTAATGGCCTTGCTTCCAAGCTTTTGGCCTTTCTCATTACTATTTAAATTGTAAATTCTCAGTGAAGGCATCAAAACTATGAATGAACACATATGGAATCATGTGCTCAAGAAAAAAGTGTGAAATAACTGAAAACATGTACTATATTTTAGATTCCTCAAAGTAGCCACCCTTTGCTATTTTGATAGTGCTGCAAACTTTTGCTGTTCTCTCAATGAGCTTCATGAAGTAGTCATGAAATGGTTTTTACTTCACAGGTGTGCCTTGTCATCAAGAGCAAAGGGTGGCTATTTTAAAGAAACTTGAATGTAAAACATGTTTTCAGTTATTTCACACTTTTTTTATAAGTATAAAATTCCACGTGTTCAAGCATAGTTTTGATGCCTTCAGTGATAATCCATAATGTAAACAAGAATATTTAATTTTTATAGTATTTATTGCATTTACATGGCATCTAAGACACAAAAAATCACATGTTGTGTAAAGACTGAAAAGAAAGAAAAAAATTCAGCCAATAGCAACAAAAGAGAGTTTTCCTCTTGCTTACACTAAACAGTGATACATTGGATGTAACCGAAGCGAAAATGGTGCCAGAAATGTGGAGCATGCTTCAGAGTAACAGAATTAGAGTTAGTAGTTCAAAAAGAAAATCAATTACAACCAAAGAAGAATGTTACCAGTGTCATTTTCAAGGGCTTTTCTTCTGCAGAGCTCCAGTAGCTCATTAGCAATTTGCCTCTGAATCGTGGGCAGAGACAGCGCTGCTCTGCATACTCCTCTTCACGCTAGCTTGCAGCCTAACATAGTCGAAGAAGCAGGTAACATAGGAGCTATTCAGCTCCTGGACACTAATGTCTTTGAGGACATGATGAAAGTTTATATCATAATTAGCTTTCTTATGAGCATTGCAATCCGCTAATGCACACACTTTTTCCACTATCGTCCTTTCTACTTCAAGCGTGCATTTAAAGCTCCGGGGGCAGAGCTTGGAGTTGTGATGTAGGAAATCACACTGTGTCTGAGCCTGCCGTTTGGGTCGGCCAGAGATTGACAGTGATTTGAATGCGGAAATGCTCAGAAATGTGATTTAGCACTTATTTTTCTCATGATTCGTCCTGTAGCTTCAGAAAAATGCCATGTGAACATGTAGACAACCAGAAACACATGATTTTATGAGTGGGTCTTTATGAAGAGGTTGCTGTACTTGTAGTGTTGTTATGTAATCCAAGTAGATGTTAGAAAGTCAAGCATATGTTGAACCACATGTCATGCTTGTTATTTCATATATAATGACTCACCCATGACAGGTTATGTGCAGAAATGATTTACACACATGAAAAACACGGTGTAGATGTCTGAACTTCTTTTGCTTTGCAGAGCGGGCTATAGCCTCAGTCCTGACATGGAGGTTAACCAGACTGAGCTTCAGCGACAAACAGCCAAAGAATTTAACCGTGAGTCTATCAGATGTTTATTTTCAGTACAAGTTATTGTACATTTATTTTTGTCACAGAAAAGCAACTTAAAAAGCTGTTTACAACAATTTAATCACACTTACTTATAGAACAAAAATTATGTATTATTTTGAAGTCCTTTTGAAGTGAACAAGAAATAAATCTTGAGACAGAAACAAACATGTTCAGAGGCATGATGAACACTTTTTTGTGGAATTTGGTTAAAATTCATTTTAAAACTAACACATTCATTACTAAGGATATACCTATTTTGATACACTAAACACTTATGGTTTCTAAAATATGGAATAAAGTTTGTACAATACTACAGGAGTAAATCCAAATTTTGTATTTTGCCGTAGCTTGACAGACTAGAGTTCAGTCCCTGTTTGACTGATAGAGCAGTGTGCAGACAGGCTTTAGCTGAGTTTGCCATCACTGTACTGAGCTGTGTAGCAGAGAAGAGAGCAGAGTGAAGGAGGCGGGGAAGCTATTGCTCCCTGGTCACCAGCTGTTCCTGCAGTCTGGGGCATGATGGATGTTTCCACAGAGAAGGTTATGGGAAGCTCTGTTAAGATTATGTCCTGCCCCACAGATAATGTCAATTCCTGTGTTAATCAGGGTGTTGTGGCTTATGTTTGACGAAGGAGGTGATAGGTTAAGCGGTTGTTTTCAACATGTTTTTACTTCCTTTCCTCTATGATAACCCCTTCAGCAAAACAGGAGCTTTTTTCTGAGCAATGTGCAGCCAAGTCCCCATGGTATCTTTTCCTCCTACACCATTACTACATTTGAGTTCACTTTTTTTTTTCATTGCAAGCATTTTCCATGTATCTTCTGTTAAAAATTGTTACTGCACTGACAGAAAACAACAGTTATAGCAAATCCTTGTAACCTAATAAAGTTGCAATCTCTTGGTGCATATTACAAAAAGGTTTTTATCAAGCAAGATGTTCACACATGATTATTTCTTTCTTTACCAGGCAACTCCTTCATCTCCCTGCCTTGTTTCTACAACGATACTTGCTGCCACAAGCTAGATAACACACAGTGTCTCCATGAAGGAGACCAAGTTGTTCCATCTCTCCAGAGACAGGCAGTTTTAGGAGGTATCCAAAAAGAAATCAAGCCCCTGCCACCTCTACCTGACCCCGAGGAACTCATGTCTGATGAAGCGGCTGATAGTGAGGTGGAGTTTTTTACCAGTGACCGGCAGCATCTTTTGCCCAAAAGCTGCCCAAAGGCCATAAGCAGGAGCACTAACAGAGACTGTGGCCTGGTGAATTATGCCTATCAGGAGAGCTTGATTCGTTCTCATGGTGCTGGGATTAGCTCTATGGCTTTCTCTTGGCCAGGGTGTGAGGAAGGACCAACTGGAAGAGGATTTGGGTTTGGAGCCAACACCCGGTCCCTGGCTCTTCAAAGAGAGGACCAGCCAGAACAAAACCAATTATCCAGGCTCCAATTTTTCTACTCTGGCCCAGACCCCCAAACTCTTCACAGCAGCACAACAACCAGCCCAGCTGAAAAGCCAAAAGTTCCTCCCCGTATACCTATCCCACCAAAACCTCCTGCTCGCTTAAAAACTCTTGGTGTCAATGAGGAAGATAAGCCTCCCAAAATCCCTCCAAGGGTTCCCTTAGTACCCCCTTGTCCACCACGCACACCCAGCCCCAAAAGTCTTCCGATTTATATCAATGGTGTGATGCCTGCCACACAAAGTTTTGCTGCTAACCCAAAATATGTGAGTAAGGCTTTACAGAGACATCAGAGTGAAAGGTTGCCCCCTTTAGCTCAGTTTTCACCCTGCATTGTTCCCATTTTGAAGGATGGCAGACAGGCCAGCAATACACATTACATCCTTTTGCCACCAGGTCGACAAGTATACTCAGACAGACAAGAAAGAACTCCAGTCCAGGACAGGCACAGTGTCTGTCAGAACAGGTAAACCCCTTGAGACCAGGTCGGGAACTTGAGCACAAAACTTAACTGATATTGTAAATAACCATGTGATACACCATTGAACAGAGTGTGTGGGAACATCCATCTTTAACATTCATGTGTTTGATGTTTTAAAGATTATTTCTTCGATGACTAATTTATTTTAAGATCATATGTCACAAATAATATGAGATCATCGTGTTTGTTTTACTGAACATTTTACCAGTCAGTATTTAATCATCTTATTTATTTGTCCTTTAATTCAACCTTGAAAACATAGCAGTCTGGTAATTTTGTTAATAAAGCTTGAAATTTTCAATCATGTTTTACTGAAGTATTGAAGTGATCTTATAGAGAAGATATTTCATTATTAATGAGTTCATAATTCACACACTCAGTGCTAGAGCATTCAGGGCTAGAGCATTCAGGGCTAATGCCATGTTCTTAACAAGAGAGCAAATGATCACTACATGTACAAGCTGAGCTTGTATCAAACTACTCATCACATGTTGTTTTATTTAAAAAATGCTGCTTGAAACCTTGTATACAATGTACAGATAAATGTTTTACTTTTGTGAAGACCTCTACAAAATATTTGAAAATTAGCAATGTGACTGATGTAAGACTGACTTAAAGGTACAGTGTGTATTATTTAGTGGCATTTAGCAGACAAGACCTGGTAGGACTGTAATATGATGCTCTGAGAATATTTAGATTTGTGTACAATGTTGAGTACAAAAATTGTATTATTTTTGTTTACTACATGGGAGTGGGTCCCCTTCTGCAGACTTGCCCTGCCATATTTGCAGGACAGACAAACCAGTAGCGTTCGTGGTTTTGTATTTAGTGAGCGACTGTCCGAAAAGCATTGATTGGAAGATGATAAAGGTGAAAGTGGTTGATGTGAGCAAAAGAATGTATTGGTTATCTCTGATACAAATTTGACAAATAAAAAAACAATCTTATCATGCATCACAGGATCTCTCAATCCTTCAGGGCCATCCTCACATGACTGGTGGGAGGGGTGAGCAAGGATGCATTTCAATCTAGTATTTGAGCATAAATATCACAAAGTATTCCCATTCCTACAACAGTGTGTCCTCCACACAACAATACTTTGAACTACAATGAAAACTTACTCTTTTGCTGTTTGTACTGACAAAATCTATATTTTATTTTAAGGAATAAACAAGCTACATCATATTTGCAAAATATTAAATACTTTGAATACATTACATACATGGTTATTGTATGTTTATGCTTGTGCTCAAAGATGATTTCATTTAAAGCAAAATAATATGAGCTGAATGAAAATCTGTCTGACCATTAATTCAGAGCATGACTGAAATCTGCTGTCAGGTCTAAACTGACTGATATGTATTGAAACACTTGTGATGAGCCGTTGTCACTAAGTTATTAATGTCTGATAGTTAAACATCAGTTGTGTTTGTTAACACAGGGGGGGGGAAGAATCCTTCAGAATGTTTTAGTTTTGGTTAATGTAACCATGATTAAATTCAGTTCCAAAATGCTCAGTTTAAATACCATTTAAAGGGTTAAAAACATACAGATTGGAACCTGCTTTCAAACTGAGTGGTGGCTGCAAAGTCTGGTCTCTCTCAATTGCCCTATTTTTTTTTTGTATTTTTTGTATTTTCCTTGTGTTTTGTCAGCTGCTGATGGATACTTCTGCTGGGAGAACAGTTTACTCAAGAGAAGAGCTCCTCTCATTGGGACAGAGCAAATCTGTACGACAACATCCAATCCCAGACACAGGAGAGGTTATCATGGTTGCTGTGCTGGTGAAAAGGTAAGGCAAAGTTGAAAACTAGGAAATGGAGATATAAACCGTTTCTTCCATCAATCAACGTGGGAAACATCAACTCTCTGCCCGGCAAAAACGATGAGCTGGAGATATTGGTGAAGACTGAGAAAGCATACCGTGAGTGCAGTTTCCTGTGTTTTACTGAAACCTGGTTGAATCAAAACAACTCGGACTCCACTTTGTGCGAAGACAGCCTGGCTTCACTTCTGTTTGTGGGTCGAAACGGACCTCCTGTGGACTTGCTTGATCCGCTCCCGGTTATGAGAACCGGGGTCAAAGCAGGGCATCGTCTCTTCTCTTCCTTGATAACCAGACGGCAGCAAAAAGAGGCCGAGCCAAGGCCTCTGTGATTCATTCTTGCTTAAGGTAAGAAGAAAAAAAAATCTAAACCAGACTTAACTGACTGGCTGTGCTTCATATTAAAACACATTTTGCCATAAGTCGGTTGGCTGGGGTCATATGTGAACGTATGTAGCCGCCCTGATTGTGGCCGCACACTGTATTTCGCATGCTGCTTGCCACCACTGGGAAGGTCAGATCATAACTTGGTCTATATGCAAACCTGTTACAGACCTTGTGTACTGAGGCAGCCTGTGACCAAAGTCAAAATCAGAGGATGGACACCTCAAGCCAGTGAAGCTCTAAGGGACTGTTTTAAATCAACAGACTGGAATGTGCTGCTGGAAACAGATGAGGACAGTATGAACATTGACAAAGAGGTTGACTGCTTTACTGAATACATCAACTACTGTCGAGACACAGTTATACTGACAAAGACTGCTGTTTCCCCAACAACAAACCCTGGATCACAAGTGACACAAAAGCAATCCTTAACCAGAAAAAGAAAACTTTTAAAGATGGTGACAAAGAACGACTCAGACAAGTGCAACAAGGGTTGAAGAGGAGTCACAGAAACCGCCTCCTAATCAACACCTCAAAGACAAAGGAAATGATCATAGAGTTCTGCAGATCTAAACCCCTTCTTTAGCCAGGGAACACCCGTGAAAAAGGCTGGCTCCGTGGTTGGATTCAAGTTGGACTCACTGGAGGATGTGGAGGAGAGATCTACACTGAGGAAGATGGAGACTAATCTAAAGAACATGAATCATCTACTTCACAACACCCTAATGGACCAAAGGGCCAATGTTGGTAGACAGCTCCTCTCTCTTCACTGCAGGACAGAAACATTCAGAAGATCTTTTGTACCAACAGCCATCAGGCTTTATAACTCTTTTATAAATAGTAGATGGCATGAGACATGAGACCGCAGACAACAGAATTTTTTGTAGTCAATATTATTCTGTTTGTGCACGGCAGCAAGAGAATCATGTTTACTCAGCAATATTGAAGACCACAGATACATCAATGCATTGGAAGTTTCCGTTGAGGATCTGTGTTGTACTTGGCTGTTGTATAGTTGCATAATGTTGTTGGAGTTTGTTGAATTCTATAAAATTGCAGTTTTAATTTATTTAAAGAGAAAATAAAATAACTTATTTATTGAATGCTTGGCTGAACTTCATTTTTTGCACATAAGAACATAATGTACCAGGGTCTGTGGCACTGAAATTCACTTGCACTCTGTGGAGACAAGTGGATCTCTACAAATTATATTTCTGTTGCAGCTTATTTTAAAAGTGGAACCTTACAGTCTCTGAATTCAGTGGTGGCTGAGTAATACTCAGTCTTTTTTTTTTTTTTAAACTGGCTAATAGATCATGGAAGCTGTCAAGCATCTGAAGTATTTGAATATTTCCTAAGTTCTATTTTTTATTTATGAACTTATGAAAAGTGTGTTCATTTACACATTCTCCTTCACTGTCAATATGATTTAAGTAACTTATGGAAAATATGGAACTTTTCCTTGATATTTTAATTTGTTGAGATTCATCTTTGCTTCTCCAAAAAGAAAATGTACATTGCACTTACCACAAAAACTATTTCAAAATGGAGTTTGTAGCTCTTTGTAAGCTACACTGAACATGATTGAAGCTCTAAAAGCTTGTACACAAAAAAAGTTCAAAACATTTTTTTCTGTGACAAGTTTTAATAGTTCTGTGACAGCTGCTGATGGATTAAAACTGCTCACAATTATGTGAGCAACAGAAGTGATGTACTGAAAACAAAGATTCCAGGTAATCATTCCTCTTTGTAAAGCATGGAAGATAATGACAGTAGGACAGTAACTCCGAGGGAGAGTTATGACAAAAGCATCAATAACCTTTTCTTGTCCATGCTACGTAATGTCCTCACACTTCACATTCACAGTTTATTTGCCATTTGACTAAATGGCATTTTGGAAACAAAAAATACTTACCATTCAACTCCGCCATTTTACCAAAACATGCTCACAGGTGTAATGCATCCACACTCTTTTTTTCTGGGATGGAAATTTATCATCATTCTTGATTAGGACAGTGTTTTGACAAACATTAAGTCTTGAAAAAATTAACATCAGTAGCGTTTAATTATCTAAGTTTAGCATGTGAAGGGATTTCCCCTCCACCATTTAATAAATCAAAGCCAGTCATGGGCTAATATCTAATCAAAATGAAAAAAAAAAAAAACTTGTTCAACTCAGAAATCTTTCTTTGTGTTTTCAAAATAAGTTACAAAATCAACATGTAACCCCCCCCCAGCCCACCCCCCCGAGGTCCACAGCCTTGGGGCTCGTCAGAGGCAGGATTTTGTCGGTCACTTTATCGCCAGGCCCGGTTGAGCAGTTTGACTTCTGCCAGACGTTTGCTGATCATGGTGGCAAAGAAAAGGGCAAGGAGAACACTACTGATCAACATGTAGTCATAGTCATCTTTTAGGACATCAAATTGTTTTGAAGGATAGACACGCGTTTGATAGATGTCAAGACCATATGCCACCACCTGCAAGGAAAAAAAGAGACAATTTCCTATTTAGATTTCATTCGGCAAAAGGAGAAATGAAAACAAGGAGAAATGAAAACAATAGGATCTTAAATGTTTTTTTTTTTTTAAAGGGCAAACAGTTGTTTAAAGCATGCAAATGTACAAAGGTAGTCATCAGATAATATGTCAGTTTTGGGCTGACAAAAAATTACCAAGCAGGTAGACTCCAGTCCAGAGGGAGCTGTGTAAATTCCTCGCACTCTTGACACTGTTTGATTGTAGTTGATAAACCACTCAGTACGGATTGGCAGCTCTGGTGCATATGGTATCAGATTTTCCTCACTGGTGATCAAAGAGATCAGGTAAGGCACAGAAACCAGTTAAAAAAAAAACTAAGACTGCACTGTCTAGCAGCAGGACTCACCGGCTCTGCTCAGACACTATTTCTGGCCTCCGAGGGTCGAGGAACATCTTGGGCATTGACAAAATGCCTCCAGAAGGTAAGCCAACTGTGACAAAGGAGAGCCACGGAAATGTATTTAAAACAATGTGTGAAAGTCAGGTCTGTGTGTAATCCATAAGACCAAACCTCTTTGACACTTACTGAGTAGATGTCGGCTGGTGATGCCTTTCTCAGTCAGAGTCGCCTCCATGGTAGAAATGGAGGAGGGGAAAATGTAAGACTGCTGAAGAACCTGAGGAGCATGAGGCCGATCGAGTGAGCTGAACACAGTGCTGTTGTAAAGCTCCATCCCTTCATAGAGTTCAATGACAGAAAACTCATTCCTGCGCGACTTGGTGCTCCAGTATTCATACTGTGGAGACAAACAAAGGCAGAGAGACCAATCATTGGTGAGATCACAAGCTCCTCAAGACAAGTGAGATTTTTTACATTTTAGCTAACTTGAGCCATCAGTTCTCACCACCACCCAGTTTTCTGAATGCACAACATGAACAGGCCCTTTGGCCCTCCTCTGGACTGCCTCATGAATGACACGACCCGTCACACCATCAATCAGGAGGATCCCCACAAAACTTCGCTCCTGGTGCATGTCTGTGCTCTCAGTCACCACAGCCAGAAGATTAGGGTTCAAATACTGGAAAAAATGACACACCAACATAGAGACTCTTAAACTCGTAAAAAATAAACATATTTCTTGTAAAAGGTTAAAACTGTAGACGAATCCAAGTTTCCTTTTTTTTAATTTCCACAAATTAAACAACTATATGTGATGAGATAGGAGAAAATATCAAAGTTTTCCGGGTCAGGTTCATGCAAAATGTCTTGTTTCTATTCAGCTGTCTTCTCACTGAAGGCAAAAGACCAAAATGTAAAAATGTATGCAGCCCATTTTCCTGAGTGGGCCTCTAAGATGGGACAAAAGAGTAGCTACCTTTATTGACCAATTACACATAGAAAGAAGTACACAGTTCAACCCCAGTACAGAGTAGAGTTGAACTGTAAAATAATGCTCACTTCAAATTGATCCGGTAAATTAAAAAAATATATATATATATCTGATGGGCTGGTTATTGCTTGACCAGCCAGGATTAGATTGTTCCTTTATATGGGATAAACAAAACACACGAAAAGATCACAGATAAACACCAAAAACAGGGTTTTGTCTGTTCTGTTGCTTGAAGTGGAAAGCCTTTACTGTCATTGCACAGTGTACAACAACATTTGGTGAAACTTTGATTGAGTGCTGTAAAATGACACAGTAATTCTTGGTAAAATCAGATTGTATTCTACATCAGAAGGCAGGTTAATGACTGTTTCTGACTGAAGTGAAAAAAGTGAAGGGAGCACTGACCAAACCCTGCAACAGTCAAGTCATTTATATGACTTTTAAACTTTGTAGACACATATTAGTGCTTCCAAGGATACATGGAAAGTTGGCATACCTTATAGAGGACACTACGGTCTCCCATTACTCTGCCCTGGGAGTGCACATGCTCATTGGGTCTCTTCCCTTTGACAGAGACAATCTTCTGGATCTCAGTTGGGATGACCACTTCCCAGATCAGCTCAGTTGACAAGTCCTGAGTGTACAGAAAAATCCACACCAATACTTTCAGTCTCACAACTTTTAATAGTGCGTGGCTGAGTCAACAGGAATGTGAACAGACATCTGGCTAAAATGTTAATTCTCTAGACATTTAAAGCAGAAGTCTTCATGTTCAGCTACTTTGAATGCTAGATCTATTATATTCCTTGAATTTTCTTCAAAGTGATTGAAACTCAAACTCATACATACCCTCTTAGACAAGTCATTTGGTCAATTCAAATATGAACTTCAGCTTTCCAATCCCTTTAATTATATTATATTATATTATATTATAGATAGATCTATATATCTGTATGTATATATAGATATAGATATATATTTTGATCATCTTTGACAGCAAAAAAGTGAAGACTGTATGTGAGCATAGAGCATATGTGATAGCATCAGAGAACAATTTTAACTTGCCGTTCGTAGCCTGTAGCCAGAAAGTCTTCCCTGACTGGAGTCGACAAGATAAAAGAAAATGGATGATGCCATCTCCTGTAGCTGCTGTAATACATTCTTTGTAGAGGGGAAAGCAGAAACCTGTGAAAAAATAATACGGTTATATTTTTTCTTACTGGCTGTTCCTGGTCAACCAGTACCGCTATAATAATATGCTAAATATTTGCATTGTTCTGCACAAATGCATGTGACTGAATAAGATAAAAAGAAATTTACTGATCCACAAAGATAAAATTCAATAAATAGACTAATAGTACTCAAGTGAGAAAAACTCAAGTAACGCAGAAAGATGTGGACGAAAAAAGAAAAACAGCTTTGAGATGCTACAGGAACATCCATGTATTCACTGTATCTGCTGGGTGAGCAGAATTATTGTCGCTGCCACTGACCTTATACTGGTCATCAACAAGCAGTAAGACTTTCGCATAGTCCTGATCCATAAGAGGCAGCATGAGTGACTGAAGTATTGGCTGAGGCAGAGCAGGCGATGTGACTTGACTTGTCTTTCCAAAGATGGGATTGAAGACATGGAGTGTAGCCAGGCCAGTGTCCTTGTGGGAAAAACAGAGAAATATTTACAACAAATAAGCACTGCTCTACAGTGAGACAAGTTTCCACTCCACTGCTGGAAACTGTACAAGAAAAACGCTTAGCCGGTTTGACTGGTTTCATAAAGACTGTAAAGAAAAAAAAAAACATTATTTGATGATTTCACATCAAGTTATTTCCTGTATTTGTGTATATGGGCTTGTCAGTGAGCCACTTAGTCACTCTTAAACCACAGAACCCAGAGTCCTTGTTATCAGATACCTTATCTTTGATGAGCAGCGTGCACTGTGGCGGATGAGGGAAGTGTGCAGTTGTCCGTTGCACCATCAGTTTAAAGGCTGCATTGGAAGGGATGTTGTCTAGGTAGTGCCTCCATAAAATACTGCCAGTCTTACTGTCAATCCCAAAGAGCTAGATTTAAAAAAATAAAAGAAAACTGTAATTTTGTGTGAAGTGTGTCAAGCACAACTCATACATCTGGAATCATTCACAAGCTGAATAAGAGAGGCAGTCTTGTACCTTTCCGGATGCGGTAACCATGACCATCATCTTCTGCAAGTTGAACTCATCTCTGGAGAGGTTCTCAATGGTAACTTCATTTTTGACTTGACTGCGAGGTTTCCGTGCATCATAGAAAAGCTTCCAGAGGTGAGTGATCCAGGCCTGCAGCAAAATGAGCTGAGAAGAGAGCCTCTTCAGCACCATGGACATCAGGCCATCTAAACAATTTGGACAGTTAGACACAGACACCTAGTGACTTTCAGTTGATTAGATTTACACCAGAAGTCTAGCCACAGCAGATTAGAGACTGGAAGAAAATTGCCCTTTTTTCTGCGAATTTAAGATCCATTAATGGAGTTTTAAGATGAAGAGCAGCATGTTACCTTGAATGGCTGAATCCAGACGCAGCAATAAAACAGCACAGAAACAAAAGTTGGTGAGGCAAACAGCAAACAAGTGAGCAAACCAAGCATCAGTTTAGTTATCAGTTCCTGTGTAACTCCAGTAATATTTGAAAAAAATAAAAAAATAAATAAAAAAGGAACCGCACAGTTGGTAATCATATTCAGGTCCAGAGCAGATGAAAAGAAGCAGCAAATCACTGACATGCAATAGTGGCTCTGTAAGGTTAAGTAGCTTCAATTGATGAAACGGTTGTGAAAAAATACCCATGAAAACAGCGGACTGAGCAGCTGCATGAGTTTTTGTGACATGTATAAAGAAAAATCCAATAACCGTTAACATGGTTAAAAAAAAAAAAAGGGTTGAACTCTGAATACGAGTCCATACCAGAAAAAAAGCAGACTAACAGAATTAAGGTTCCACATTACCAGCCTTTTTGCCGAACTCCCCCTCAAGTTCTGCTTGGGTTCCTGTGAGAGGCAGATCCACCATTTCCATTGTCACCACATCTGACAGGGCCTCCTCTCTGATCCACATCACACGCCCTAGAAAACAAGACTCATAATTGTACTGTAAATGAATAACACCTTCACACCCTGTAACATGACACACTTTACCTTGAGGAAATTACAATGTCATGAGTACATGATGAAAACTGTTTCTGCTCCACATAGTGCTAAGATGTTGGCAGTGCTTATAATAGCAATGAAATGTAGTAAACCTGAATATTATTGCAAAAGATACCCAATTAGTCTCTTTGGACCTTGGAAAGATTTGCTAAATCTTGATATTTTACCAGGTAAAGGACACACTCTTAATCAAGGGGGGCACTCACACTGGGCTCTGTTGCCCCACTCAGTGCTGAAGTGTAACTGTCCCATTTCCCAGTCCTTCACTGGCTTGCACTCACAATGCTCCAAGCCCAACTGAGCCTAGCTCTTGACAAGTGCATGACTTTACATTATCATGCAATATAGGCAGATGTGAGTTTTCAGAGTCAACCCAATAGCCAGAAACAGAGAAAAGTACTACAAGGTTACTGACTTTGTGGCTGAGATTACAGCAGACATTTTTCTGCTGGCCTAATGCCAGAATTCTGGCCATATGAAACAACTCTCAGACTGACAAACAAACAAAACAACAGATGGTGTGATTCATAAAATCAAATTTAGTTTCATAAGAAAATGTATTTCATTAATTCTATCATTCCATGAGACAGCGTGTCCATGTCAACCTGCTAGGGTAAAGGAGGAGAAACAGAGAGCCCACTGTTGTCACAACCATCTACCAGTGTTTCCAGACGTGTAGAGTTATGAAGCTGTCTAAACATGTCACTATGTGTTTTATTTGCTGTTACAATGCATATATTATATCATTAAATATCCTATTAATAGATGACCACATGACTAATAGCTGATCACTTTGTGGAAGACTGTAATTACAATCAAATACTTGTGTGCTGCTGATTCACTAATACCATACCCCCCATTAACCATCAATTCACCTCCTACTTACAGTGGAGTGACCTTTTCCCTGTCTTCCACTGACAGATGTTTAAATTCAGCGGTTTCCTCGCAGTTTTTGTATATTAATGCATAGATGTTTTATTGCCGCTTATGTGTAGGGATGGGAATTGAGAACCGGTTCTTATTCAGAAGAACCGGTCCGGGGAGTTTATAAAATCCTTCGTGTATCCATTGATCAAAAAACAGTGCAGCGCATCAGTGCTCTCTGCAGCTCTGCCCCTCCGCACACTTCTAAGCAAAGCCACTGACGCGATGTACACATGCACTGTCCTTGGGAATTTAGAGTGACGTGCGTTTAACTGAGTTAGAAGTAAATAAAAAAACTCTCAACCTCGAAAAAAACTCTCTCTCAAAAAAAAAAAAAAACTCTCCAAAACAAAATTGCACACACAAGTCTGCCCGCGTAGTAGTGTCCTCTTTTTGGGGATTCAGAATATGGTCACCCTAACATACTGTATGTCCTGTGTTAACATAAACACAATGCATGCCAGAAATGCTGTACAAATAGCATTTTTGTTTGATTATTTTACTCTCACTGAAGGTGGCATACATCTGTCTCTGTTATCAGAGACTCAAATTTTTGAGTTACAGTGAAAACCTTTAGTCTACTTTTTTTAATCAAAGAAAGGCATTGATAAGAGAATCGTTAAAGAATTGATTCAATAAGCAGAATGGATAATGGCATCGATATCGAAAAAATCTTATCAATCCCTATCCCTACTAATGTGACAGCCTGAAGGCATTTATTACTAACTCACTGCATTTCCTCTGTACTGCTATGTTGATATGACGTGTAGTGCGTGGGATAAAAAAAATAATTGGGTGCTCCACTGCAATGTTGCTGCGTACTGCGTCAAACCCCACCTTTTCCAACCATGCCAGAGAAAGTGCACTGTGCTCTTTCTAGCTTGTCAAACAACTGAACTTTGGAGGTATGACGTGCTTGGGCATGGTGAAGACTGCCTGTATGAGTGTGTACTAAAACCAGAACTTTCCTCTGTTGCTTCTAAAATTCAGATGATTTCCTCCAGCCTCCCTCCATGCTTGGCAGCATGGTACATATTTTATTAAGATTTATCTTGGTTATATCCTCCAAACAATTAAATTGGAAACTGAAAACCTCATCTTTCTGTGGTCTTTAAAGATGCATTTCACTGCTCTAAAAGAAACATCATCCTTAACAAACAATTGTGCAAAGATGATGATATGAGATTTAAAGTTAGATACTGACAAATATCATTTAGGACATGGGGGTGATTTATCATGTTTTCTTTTAAGGCAATATTATAAATATCTAATTCTTATAGTACCTGGCTGCTGTATGAAGGTCAGTGTGTGGTCTTCTGTCTGCACCATGACCCTGTAGCCAACGGAGTCATCTTTCTTGAGGTATGCCTGTACATACAGCTGGGAGACAGAACACATATAACATTATCACTTTATGTTTGGAAAGTTAACATCTTTCCATCTAATGTGCTGATCTGACTCATCTGCTCTGTAGGTAATTGTTTCATACTTAGGGTAAAATTAGGGATCCACCTTGCTGACTTCATGAGTTAGATTAAACATGTTGGAAAATGTGTGAAAACAAGGAGACTCACTTTCTCTGGTTTCCCACCGTTTGGAGCCATATTAAAAGTGAGCGTTGTGTCAAGAAGTCTGCGTCCAGTTTCTGCACTAAACAGGTTAAGACTGCAAGCCTATAGAAGAGAATGATATTTATATTTTAACATTTAAACATATAAGGTAAAGTAAAGGACAACTGAGAATTACTAAACAAAAACAAAATAGTGATATTAAACTGAAGTTTTCCAAAGAGAGCACTATAGCAAACAACGTCCTTACCAAAACCGATAACAAGATTTTACTCCAACTCACAGTTTTATTTTTGGGTGACATGACAGCAGCCACAGTCTTCTCTCCAGAGGTAGCAAATGCAACGAGTATAGCCTGTGATATAAGAAAAACACGTCATCCAGAGTTTTGATCATTTTTTCCAGTAATTTACAGTTAACTCTTAATACAGAACACTGAAATATCATCATTTTTGTTGAAGGAAATTGTGACTCTGGTCTGAATTCCTGGATCTTAATTTCTTAATTTCTTCATTGCCTTTACTCACCTCCCCCCCCGGGGGATATTTAAATTTAGAGATTGCATACAGAGTTACTTAGAATACAAAAACTGTAACACTAGACAAAGCTAAAGTTTTGAATTCTCTTTAATTAAATTATTTTTGGAGCATTAAGGTGTCTTTATTAGGGTCAACAGTTTGAGTAAAAATCTAAAAAGAGAGACTGGGAGATGAGGGTTAAAGGCCATGGGTGGAAATTGAACCCTGCCATCAGCTTGTTGCTTGCTGTTTAACAGCTAAGCTAAAATGGCATCCCAAACTTAAGTTTATGTTTCCAAACATACATGTAACATTGTGAATGCAGTGACATACTGGCTTGAAATCTCTCAGTGTGACTATCTGCCCATTGTTGAGCTGGAGAAGCAGGTAGTGTTCAGGTCCAAGCTGAAGGAAGAACTCCGACAGCGGCTGACGGGCTGGGTTAGGCTGGGTGGACACAAGTATGGGACGGAAGCCGGAGGCTATTTCAAGTCCTAGTGACTGGAATGAGATGATAACACAGATTTTAAAAAATCATACAAAGCATTTTCACAGAGAAAAAAACACACATAGAGAAGTACAGTTAAATATCTAACCTGCAAGGGGATCTGGGTCATTTGTGACTGCACATGCAAGTCAAGCATGTAAAGGGATACTGTTGGAGAGTCCACACACATCAACATCCCCTGGCCAATTACAACACAGCTTGCTTGTATGTTGGACAGCCATGGAGCTTCAACTGAGATCTTGACACAACAAAAGCAAAGAGAGTAGCAGAATTTAATTTTGAAAAGTTTTATCAAATGATTTAAAATTTACAAGCACAAAACAACATTAATCTCCAGAAACTATAAATCAAGACAACCTGCTTGATTATCTCTCCATCCTCCAAACTGTAAGCAACAACAGCAATGTGGGAATGAGGAACTACTCCAAGTGCGTACACTTCACCATTTCCACCAGAATATATAGCCTGGTAATCCACGGTTTCACTGGGGGGTAAAAAATACAGAGCGTTATTTCATCCACTGTATGCTAACCTGGTTAATAGTCTGCACTATTATACACATAAAAACACCCAACCACTCACACTTCATTAAACACAGTCTTGCAACACTTTCTAAATGTTATGTGTTCCTGCTGTATGTGTCACTTTGTCTTGTCTCCATTGTCTGTTTGCACTGTATGTATGTTGTCAATCACCTGTCATGATCTGTCCGGCATCACAAAAAGAATATTGTGCACTCAACTGGTTCATATGATTTGATTAACAAATCTCAGAGATGCCCTTTTAATGGATACCAGGATTGATTTTATCATTAATCACCATTTATCATTATTTGATAAATCTATATTTTTGACATTATTTTGATTTGTTATTTGTCTGTACATATTTAGCATCAACAAATACATCTACCAAAACCATAAAACACACATTAAGTTTTAAAGCAACAATAAATAAATAAATATCCATCCATTTCTCTTTTTAGATGGAAGGGCAGGTCACCAGTTAGTCTTGTTCCACTCTCGAACTCTGTCAGTCAACACTAAATTTGACATTTGTTAACAAGTAATCTATTACTCTTTTCCCACTATATTTAAAAGGATACACTCTAGATCTCTAAGACAACTTTACTTGGAATTTGATGATAAAATAATCGACCCACTTACTGATTGACTGATTGATACAAAAGATTTTGTTTTCAAGAATTTCACCGGATGCTTTTACTGTTTGTTGGAAAACCAAGTGAAACCAATCATTATTCAAAAGTCATCTGATATGCCTGCAAACATGTCTGGAGAGGATTGTTAACTACTGGTGAACCTATTTTGTTTATTAGGAATGGCTCTTAATACAAAAAATGTGATCCAGGGTTTATTTATGAGAATTATTATGAGGAGAAAAAAACACTTGCCTTTCTGGAAGGTTCTCAATCCACTTCTGATGACCATTAGATAGATAATGAAGAGAGATGACAGATTTCTTCAAAATAGCCACATGCTTGGTGATGTCTTGCTGTCCAACCAAACATGCTGCCTGAAAACTTAAAACACCAACACTGTTAAAATCTAATTGCATTAAAAATGCAATCCTCAACTTGAGATCTTCCATTCAAAAGGTAAATTACCTGCCAGAGTCAAGCACTATCTCCCAGTTCAGACCACCGACATTTATCTCCCAAGAGCGCAGCAGGCGACCATTACCAACTACTTGCACTGCATCTAGTGGACAGAAAGAGTTTAATGAGTTTGCTTTCAAACAAAGAACTCCAATTTCTCACTGTAGTCAACTGCGCTGTCAAAAACCATACAGTCTATGGTCAAAACTACCTTGTGCATGGTGCAGAAGAGCGTCAATGCTTCCATCTGGTCCAGTCTTATCTACATGTCGCCAGACTAGAACAGATATCGAAAAATCACATAAGTATATCAAATGAGGGGTGGATCACTGCTAGAAATTCTTGATTAATTATATACTCACATAGTTCTCCAGTCCTTGTGTTGAGTGCAGCAAAAACATTATTCTCTGTTGCCAGAAGGACCTTTTTAGAAGACTGGGCATGGGAGTCGAAGTGAGAAAAACGTACCTTGCCAACATACTGTTGTCTCCTGTACAAAATAAGACAGAAAGCATCTTCAATGAGAAAACAAATACCGGCACAGTGCTTATTACCCTACACGAGTAAATTGTGAAATCACAGTGGTGTAATCTCAATTCGAAGAAATCTCCAGACACATTCACTCTAGAAATCGTTATTTTCTTGAGACTTTAAAAACCTACCGTGCTGGCAGTAAGACAGCTAATACATTTTCATGAACTTATTTGACATCTTCTGGCCCGTCCTTTCGGCAACACGCACCAGATAACAGCTCGTAGCAATGGCAGGTGTTAGAATTGGCAGCTCCGATGTAAAATGTGGGCACACACATTAAATCTTTCCAGAAAAACTTACCAGTCAAATTTTCCAATTTGATCCTCAAACACGGCGTTGACGGTGATGCAGAATATAATTAAATCCAGGCAAAGCAAAATGAGCTTTGCCATTGTAGCACTAGGCTTTCTCCTAGCAGGAGATAGGAAGTCGGAAGTCGATTGAATGGAGCTTCTCCTTCTCTCTTTTTAGCGGTAGGCAAACTAGCTGACAGATGCATTACCGCCACCTACTGAACTGGAGTGTTGCACTGGACTTGTCCTTAAATTTTGTTAAATACATTAGTCTCTTTAGGAAATAAGAGAATCAGTTTGAATGCCTGTTGTACTTTTGCTACAAGTATGCTTTCTAGTGTAAAGCTTTTATTCTTCTGTTTGAGTGAGTCCCTAAACCTGTCTCTCTCCTGTAAATATTGGTTTCTGTCCATAATACAATGTTGTACTGTTTCTATTACAGTGAGAACAGAGTCCTGTTGGGTGTTTGCCTATCATATGGAGTGTGCTGTTTAATCCTGTGTGTCCAATTCTGAGTCGTGTGAGTATGCTTTCTTCTCTTCGAGTGGTGCATGTTTTCCTTCCACCTTTGACCTATTGCTAAACATAGAATAGGTGTCTTCCTGTGTTGCTGATATTCCAATGTCCCTGCCATGTAGATTGTGTATATTCTGTAATGAGTGATTTGGCTTCACTTTTGCTTATTAGAGTTTGCATTTCTGGCTAGGGCTATGGGCTTTCAGCAAGACTAAGTTGTTCTACAAATCTACACAGTTTCAATGTGTTTTTTTTCTCCATACATTTTAAAGCTTTAAAAAAAATAACATAATTCCTTATGGAATACATAAAAAATGGGCTTGGTTTTAAAAATTTATTTTTATGAATAAAAAAAGATTTTCAGAGATTGATGAAGGTATTAATAGCCAAGTCATGGGACGGTCCTTTATAGATATTCCATATAAAACATTTTCTTTTTTTAAGAGTAGAGAAAATGGGCAATTTAGGGAACAGCCAATCATAAACATCTTCCCAGAAGGCATTAGCAAATTTACAATCATAAAATAAATGTTCAGTTGTTTCTTTATCCTCGTCACAGAAGGAGCAGTTGTGGTCCAGCGATTCATCAAAAACTCAGAAGAGGGGTAAACACTATTAGGAATTTTATAATGAACTTCCTTCACTTTTGGTGCAATGGGAAACTTAGAGAATTTAGATCTCAGATTTTCAACTTCTTTTTTAGAGAAAAATTGTAAAATTGAAATTCTGTTTGATGAGAATGTGTTACGTGTACAAAAAGCCAGGACCCAATATTGCTGAGACAAAATTATCAAAAGTTTATTAACAAAAATATCAACAAGAAAAAACATAAAATCACCACACAGGGTAAAAAGCCTCGGGAGGCACGGACAGCTACTGAAAACGAAGAAAAGCAAGTGTCAGGAAAAATTCTAGAAAAACTCAAACAACCTCCGACACTAAAAGTACAACTCAAATATACCACGTGGGGCAAGTAATAAAGGAATATAAAGTCAACTAGAAAGTTCAACAGAAAACAAAAGACAAACTGAAAATCACCTCAGAAAAATACGAGTGAAAAAACTAGAACTATGAAGTACAAAACAACTGAAACAAAGTGACAAACAAACTTACAAAAGACACAAAGGCAGACTGGAGGCAGACTGGAGGCAGACTGGAGGCACAAGCAGGAGGACACGAGAGGCACAGAGTGATTCAGCTCGAGAGGAAGACTGAGATAATCATCCAGCAAAGAGCAGGACAGGAATCTGGCTTTTAAAGGCCAGCTGATGAGCACAATGAGGTGCAGGTGTGTTCCTGATCAGCCGAGCCAGCTCCGCCCCCTGCCATGCTCCAGTGCTGCAGGAAGAGAAAGAGACAGAGCACAAAGACAACCAAAACACAAGGAAACAGCCCTGGATCATGACAGAATGGATATATTTCTTCAATAAAGGTTTCTCAGATTTTGATATTAGGTAGCTTAAGATTATTGATATTGTGACCATTTACCAAGAGCAAAGGAAGCACAGGGTTCACATTATTTTGAAACAAGTTATAAGTCATCATGATGATAGATTGTGGGATCGCTTTAATGAGGTTATTACATTGCCTTCAATCAAAGAGGTTATATTTAATACAAAAAAGCTCAAATGGTATAATGTTTCTGGTATTGTCCAAGAGATGTATCACTGACCATATTCCTTTCTCTAGCCAATTTTGATAAAAACTTGATTTATTTTTCAGTAGAATGTAAATGCAATTCCATAATAGAGTGTTGTGGGGACTAAAGTTGTGCTTGTAGATCATTTTCCAGTAATGTAAAACCTGCTGATGGAATGCAGACAATTTGATAGGGAGATTGTTGATGTTGAAATCACATCTCAGAACAAAGTTAACACCACCTATCTCCTTAAAAATGTAATTTGGGATATGAAACCACAGACTGTTTTCATTCCCCAAAAAGGATCTTAACCAGTTAATTTTAATAGTGCCATTGACACAGTTATGTCAATGGCTTTAAGAACTCTCTCCTCATATCCTTTAACCAAGGTTCCTTTCCTAATGTAGTGTGTTCTTCTATTCCAGATGTAATTAAAGTAAGCCTGATTAGCCTGAATAGATTTGACTGCTTTTTTGGAGAGTGACAGAGAATAAGCTGGGTAAATGAATCTGGAAAGGCATTCCACTTTTGTCAGAAAAATTCGACCAATGATGGAGATTTCTCTTTGAGATCGGAGATTTGAAAGTGATTTACATTCATCCAAATTATTCCAAATGTTGAGATTACTCAAAGTTTCATTATCCTTAGTGATGTGTATACCTAAGTATTTAACCGTTGATTTTACACGGATATTATTCATTGCCATGTGTGGAGAATCATGAATTGGTAACAAATCACAATTGTTAAGGTTTAAATTCAAACCAGACACCTTAGAAAAAAAAATCAATCATCTCGATAATCTTAGGGATTTGGTCACCATTTTTCATGAAAATGGCTGTATCATCAGCCAGTTGGCTAATTGCTAGCTGTCTGCCTAGCACTGTCAGTTTTTCAAAATTTTTATTTTTGATGAGAATGGATAGCATTTCTGCTGCTGCAATAAAGAGCAAAGGAGAGATGGGACAGCCTTGTTTAATACCTTTACAGACTAAGAATCTTGGGCATGTACCCTGTGGTAACATGACTGTACCATTTGTATCTTTGTAAATTAATTTAATCACATCAATAAAGTTTTCTCCAAAGCCAAATAATTCTAAGGTACGGAATATAAAATTGTGTTCAAATGTGTCGAATGCTTTGAAAAGAATAAAATAAAACCATCTTCTTCAATTAGATGGTTGTATTCAAATAAATCAAGTACAAGTCTCATGTTATTATGAATTGATCGTCCTTTTATAAACCCTGATTGTGTGTCTGAGATAATTTGAGTTGTGCCAGATTTTAATCTATTTGCATATATATGAGTGAAAATTTTATAATCATTATTGAGTAATGTTATAGGTCTAGGATTATCAATTAGTCTATGGTCTTTCCCAGGTTTAGGGATGAGTGTAATTATTCCTTCCTTCATAGTAGTTGGAAGACTGTGTGATTCAAAAATGTCCTTTAACACATGGTAAAAGAGGTCTTTAAGATATTCCCAAAAATGCTTATAGAAATTGCTAGTCAGACCATCTGAACCTGGAGATTTACCTAATGCTCGGTTTTCCATAGCCTTTTCTATTTCAGCCATACTGATATCTGCCTCACATATGTTTTTGAAACACTCATCAACTCTGGGGGTCCATTCCTTAACATACTCAAAAAGAGCATCACCATCTGGGGATGAATAAGAGGACGAATACAATTTACTGTAAAATTTGAAGGTTTCCTTAGAGATTAACTTTGAGTCAGTGCATTCTTGATCATCCATCAGTGAAGTTCTTACAGCATTCCGCTCTTGTCTTCTCTTTCCAATCTACAAAAATATGCTGAGCTCCTCTCTCCTTCTTCCATCCACTTAGCTCTCGATCTAATATAAGCTCCTCTGGCTTTAGAAATGTAGATGTTATCTAGTGAAGATTGCAAACGTATCAGTTTTTGTCTACTATTCTCATTTTCCACCTCTAAATTCTACTCATCAGTTTATTGTCTTTGAGAAAGCTGAATAATGCTTTTCTTACATCTTGGATCCTGAAGCCTCTCTCTCTCTCTGATTTACACTTTTCACAATGCATCCACATTTTGGTAACAGTTTGAACGCGTCTGCCCACTACTGGCCGCGTTTAGAAACACAAAACGTGAGCCAAAGATTGTTAAGAATAAATTCAAAAATCACTGAAAACAGGGTCTCACGCGCATTGTGCTAAGTTCACACGCCACTAGTGAAATTTCTCACGCTGAGAAGTGATACAATTCGCCGCACTAGCAACACTGTATGAAAGGGATTTATATGTATTAATGGATGAGGCAATGGCAGGCTGATCAGCCAATCAGAAAATAGTATTTCTTGTTGCCAGGTGAAATAGCAGCACCATAATCGTAAACGTGATGTATTATGTCTATGGCCGCAATTACGTCTACCACACGAATGCTGCTGTTATTGTGTGCACACGACAAAAGAGAGCTTGTAGTGGAGGCCCCAAATCAGGCGGGGAACAACAGACAATTTAAAGTTATGAAGTATACTGAGTTTCTGTTTTTAAAGGTGGGGTAGGTAGGGTGCCGTTAAGGAAGCATCATTTTGGGGTGTATAAAAAAGCTTTAAATATCAGCCTATAGCTACTATCTATTGATGACATTTGGTAATATAACAATATCGCTGTGTTTTGTTATGTCCGTGTGGTCAACATTTAAAAAATTTTGAGCAATCCGCTCTGTCTGACTGTAAACAAAGCCATTTTCTGCCTCCCCCAACCTGATTGGTTGTGAGGCGGATGCTGCTCCTTAGTGCTGATCGGTTGGAAGACAGACGCTGCTCCCTGGTGTTGTGAGGCACGCTCCATGTCCTCGAATAATGTGAATAACATCGGACAGTAGAAACTAACGAGAAAGTACGGATAACACAAGCAATAAAACAAAGTAAATACCAGAGACTCGGGCGGAATAACAGGCGCTTTAAACAGAGGTAGTCCTGACGAGAGCTAAAAAGCCGGTTCAACATAAGCATAAACGATGGGGGACGCTTCGGGATCTTACAGACCCTGTAACCTTTCTGCTGGACAGGTAAACCGCTTTAACAAAGTAAGCCAGGAGTCTGTAACTTGTAAACAGGACCTGCTGTGTGTTGTAGCACTGCTAAACTGTTTATCTCGGGTCCTGGACTATGTCACTTTATCCTTGTTGTTCAAGTCCTGCAAACATTGTGTTTGCTGGTAGTCTGTTGGCATCTACAGTAGCACCAATGATGTTTACTTTCATGTTGACTGGAGCACATTTGTAATTATCTGAAGTTTTTATCTGCATTATATCTGAATTTAATTAGATCGATACAAGCGAGGACGAGCATCTGTTTGTGGGCGGGGCTTGCTGGAGCAGAGAGGGAGGGGAGAGGAGGAGCTGAGGGGAAAACTGGTTGGGAGGGGTAGAGTTTGCATTCAAGATTTCTCCCAAAAACTGGCACTTCCTCAGATCCTGCCTACCCCACCTTTAACACCCTTTTAACACCAACTAATAAAATACCACAAAATTTTATGATGTGCAAAAGCTAAAAATTTCATATTTTTACTAAGGTTAAGTTTGAAATATTTTATAAGGGGTAGTCATTTGTTGCACTGACCTCTAAATCACTAACTGGAGCTCATTAATACAGGCATGATCACCATTCAATATCAACCATGGTATGTAGCGACTACAAAAAAAAAAAAAAAAAACCTTTGAAACATTAAACCATCTCTATAGCCAGGAGGTAAGCAGGTATTTAGCATTGATATTATTGAGATATCAGTCCTTGTGAGCAGATTTTACCCATTGATAGCTTTAAGTGTCTCTTACTGTGATAACCCCTTTGAAGCTGCTGGATGGCTTCCAACAATGGGTGGTTCCGATGGCTCTGATGCTGACTTTGCTCCACTCAGGAAGAGGCCCATTAACGGGGTGCATGGGTGAGGCAGAGTGCTTCTATGAAGGAACCGCAGCTGGGTTGACGAGGAGAGACTGCAGGTCTGTAGCAGCCAGATTCACTCTGTGGGGGAACCGGCCTCAGCGACAAGTTTCACTATAGCCACCCTCGGCAAATGACATAGTGGTAGAGTTCGGGTGGTGTTCAAATCATCTTTATTAAGAGATACTATGAAACTGTGAAAAAGCATACAAAACGTTACAATCTGCATAAATCCAAACTTAGTGGTGATTGGTATTGATACATTTTGTCAGTGTTGACTAAAAATATTTAAACAACAATGAAACAATAGCTTAACATAAATATGTACAGTAACAAATATTATTTATTGCTACATACCAAAAATCCTGCACTTGTGCTCTGAGCTCCAGCTTCAATCAAACTGAAAAGTTGGCATCTGAGGTCACCCTTTATACAATTTCCGGGGGTTCACCGCCAACCCGGGAACATGAATGTGAACCCAACAAAAAAGAAAGGCCAGTGGATGCTTACAGGAAACACACATGAAACATAGGATAACAAAAAAGACCTTAACTATGGGGAGGTGATAGTACCCTTCCTTCGACAGCCGACTCCTGACGGCCCAGGGTTTCCAGGATGGGACTGGTGAAAGTCCTGTTTAAGCTTGGGATCCATATTGCTGGCTGAAACCCAGGACCTTTCCTCAGGACCATAGCCCTCCCAGTCAAATATTGATGACCATGACCCCAGTGTCGCACTGCCAGAAGTTGCCTGACAGTGTACACAGGTCCTCCATTGAAGAACCAGGGGATGGAGGAGGTTTGGAGGAGGGAACCAGAGAGCTCTCCTTAACCGGTTTAATTATGCTCACATGAAATGTGGGGTGAATCCTCATGGATTTGGAGAGTTTCAGTCTCACAGTCACAGGAGTAATAACCTTCAACACAAGGAATGACCCAACAAAGCGAGGGGCCAACTGAGCTGATTCCACGCATTGAGGAAGATCTTGGGTAGCCAACCACACCTTCTGGCCAACCTGATTTGATGGGGCAGGAGAGCGATGCTTGTCAGCCATAGTCTTGTAGCATCTGGAACTCCTGAGCAATACCTGTCTGGCCCGGGCCCATGTGCGGCGGCGCCAGCAAATCAGAGCCAGTGCTGAGGGTACACAGACTTCCTTCTCCAGAGCTGGAAACAGGGATTGTTGATAGCCATACACACACTGAAAGGGTGAGAGACCAGTGGAAGAACAAGCTAGTTTCTTATTTATCCGTGAAGTAGGATTCTGGGTAGAAGTTAGAGAATCCTATTGGCGGGTGTGGGCCATTCAGAAACAGCACTGACCTTGACAGGATTCATCTGGATCTTCCCCTCAGAAATGGTGAACCCCAGGAACAAAACTCTAGGCACATGAAATTCACAATTCTCTGCTTTTACAAAAAGCGGGTTGTCAAGAAGACTTGGCCCAACTCAACTCATCTTTATTTATGAAGCATTTAAAAACAACCACAGCTGAACAAAGTGCTGTACATAAATAGACAAAAACAACTCAGACATTAAAACAATTAAAAATAATAGATAAAAGACAATGGAGCACTTGCCTTATATATTGAATGTGGGTCTCTTCATCAGGGGAGTAGATAAGTATGTCATCCAGATAGACAAAAACAAAGATGTTGAGAACATCTCAGAGGACATCATTGACCAAAGCCTGGAAGACAAAAAGGGCATTTGTTAAACTGAACCACATCACCAGGTACTCATAGTGGCCACTGGGTGTATTAAAAGCTGTTTTTCATTCATCACCTTCCCTTTTTCTGAGCAGATGATAAACATTTCTAAGGTCTAATTTGGTAAATATCTTAGCTGCTTTCTGTAGAGAGAGCAGATGTGTACCTGTTGAGTAGGGAACATATAAGGGGTTGCAGCAACTCCCTCCAACGCAAACAGTGTGTCCGTGTCGCCACCAGCCTCGCTGGTTTTGGATCCGACCTGGGCACACTGCTATCTGGTGCGAGAAAGTGTTTCTACACGTTTGGCATGCTCTTGACAGCTTACAAGTGTTCATGTAAACAAAAACTTTTCTGAACGCGTAGTGGTGTGCATGCATTTTTTTTGTAAATGCAGAGGGTGAAATGTCTGTTTATGAAAATAGCCAGGCACGTGTAAATGTTGTCTGAGACTAGATACTTAAGGTGAGAGAAGACAATCAGAACCAGATGAAACACATTAGGCAGGGGCAGGTAATCACACACTGGGAACACAGGAACACAGGAAGTGGATGATTTAAAATGAGACACAGAGATGAGTATCAAAATACAACAGGAAACACATGAAACATAGGATAACAAAAAAAAACTATGGGGATGGGATACAGCGGCCACCTCAGGCCTGCGGGCTGGGGATGCTCCCCGCTACAGAGTGTGGGAGAGGTGGTGGAAGCATTAAGAAAGAACATGTCAGTAGATTAACTTTTAACTTACAAAAGGAAAAGGGCTGTGGCCTGCAGGATAATGAAGGAGGCAAAAAAGAAAACATGGAGGAACTACTGTTCAACCATAGGGAGAGAAATAAGATTGCAAAACGTTTGGGCAACATTTAAGAAAATTAGTGGGATAATAGGTTCATCAAAAATTGTAGTGCTAATGATTGAGCAGAGGTTAGATGTAACCATACAGTTCATGGCTGTAACAAACAAAGAAAGTACCTGTGTTAGGTAAGGCATTTGCAGTTTAGCAGTCGGGGGAACTCCTGTGTGCTAAGCATAGTCAGCAAAAACAAAAAATAATCTGAGAGTTTGGAGATGTCAGGAGGGAGAAAGAAACATTTATTACAACACTTGAAATGGAATTGACAATGAAAGAACTATTGCACTGGGTATGCAGCCCCCAAAAAACCACAAAATTGGTCTTAATAAATCTTTAAAGAAATCTTTAAAAAGATAAATCATAATGATAAGTATTAAAGTTGGTCATACTAGTCTGAACGACATCATAAATGTAATAGGTAGAAGAATACTGTGTGAGAGATGTGTGAAGGAAAATGTGTAATATGTTTTCACGGCGTTAAGTACGCATCAGAGAGAGAGAGACACACTACAGGGGGAAGTCAGAGCAGCTCAGTGGGATTGAAGTCTGGCTGGAATTCTTGGATTAAAGGGGATAGGGAGAGGATCCAATTTGTAAGAAAAGCATTCAGCTTTCTCAAAAGGACTCAATCGATGGCTAAACTTAGACGTGGAGATATAACGCTACACACTCTTGTACAGTAGGTGGCGGTATGTACATGAGTGTTGTTTGAGAACCGCTATTAAACGAAAGAAGAGAAAGAAGAAGTTTCATGCAAAACAACGGTAAGGTGCGAGTTTTTAATACGAAAATCCCTCATTATGTTCCCGTTATACTCTGATGTCTGCTTGGGAATGCATAATGCCAATTCGGTATAAGACTGAAGGCTTTAAACTAGATTTTAAGACATAAGCGTCATTTTCATTTCCTTGCTTGGGTCAGACGACTAAATTTAAAACATCAGTAATGTTAACAGGATCAGTGGCTCAGTCCAAAAATGTGTAGCAAATCGGTCAGACGGATGTTGTCAGCGCAAGTAAAAGTTTGAAAAGGTTTTAATGAGTCTCAGAAACTTGAATATGGGCACTTATGCACGAGTTTAACGTGTTTTTTGTGAGGCAAGTAACCCCTTAGCAGATCCTTACGTTGACCCCAGGCTAAGTTGATGTCTGGCCAATTTCGCAAACAAGTGATTGCGAAATTGGCCTCTTATCGTACACATAGGAAACTAGGTGAAAAGCGAGGTGAAAATGGTTTTATATTCGACATTCGCCTTTTTCGAGATTCTAACTGTAATGTTGTGACGAAAACGGTTCTAATTTCACTCACCAACATGAGCGGGTCTGGTGAAAACCCGCAGAAACTACACTGAATATCCGCCAGGGTACCGTGCAGCAGCCAGAGTGCACAAACGGACCGTCGTGAAAGTGCAATCGCTGTAGATTATTTTTACCTCCGCCAGGTAGCGTTTGTTTGTTTGTTTGTTTGTTTGTCTGTTAGCAACTTTATGGAGAAAGTTACAGACGGATTGACCTGTATTTTCACCAGAGGTGCGTCTCAGCCCCAGGAGGATCCCATTACATTTTGGTGGTGATCCGGATCGTCTTCTGGATCCAGGAATTTTTTGAAGGATTTTTTATCATTGTGAGATCGGGCAAATTTTGGAATTTTTGCATTTAACTCTATACAAATGTCCAGAGTCTTTAGTAAAAAATTACACAAAAGGATCTCAATGAGTTTTATGAGGTGTCAAAGGTTGATTCCTGGTCAAGACAAATTTCCGGAAACTGTGATCCAGAACACACAAAAATAAGGGTGTCGTTGGAATTTTCAATGATGAAAGATAAGCAATGAAGATACAAAGAAGTGAACGCTTACAAATATTGCATAATAAATCAAGCATTTATGTATCTAATATGAGCTTTGTTGTTTTAGGAACATTATGAACAGTGAACATACCAGTTTAAACACAAATAAAAGTTGATAAAAGACACGTAGCAGTAAAAGTTTTGGTGTGAATCACAATATAAGGGTGGACATGAGCTGCTTGGTGGAGGTCTGCGCTCTTCGAGTGCTTTTCTAGTTCTGAATAGCTCACTGAAATTAAAACCTATCACCACCAAACTATTTCTCATCTGTTGATACTCTCACTGTCAAACTTTCACAGCCACCGATGTTTTAAAAAAAAATCTTTTAGAAGGAATCTTGGATCTCAATGGGACTAACCAAGTTAAATAAAGGTTATAATGATAATAATGATAACAACAATGATAATAATAATGATAAAGATAAGATAATGGAAAAGACATGATGTGGCTCATGAAATGAGTAAAAAAACTGCCTCTGCAGGGTCTCCTTTAATGTGTGTTGTTCTTATTACAGTGAATGAACCCTCGAGAAGCCTGGATGCTACTGTTTCCTTAACAAGATCATATTGGACTCCATAAAGCTGTAGCTGAGATCTGGCTGGGATTTATGACAAAGAGAATGTGCCTATTTACTTCTCTTGGACGCTGCAAAGTTTCCCGCAAGAGCGGAAACATTGGCCTGTTCTTCTCCTCAATCTTCAACCATCACAGATGCTTCAGCACCAAAGCTGCCCACCGGAATGCATCATCATCAGCCACAGTGCTTCAGAACACACCCTCCTATAGTTATATCATTGTTGGGGCAGGTTCAGCAGGCTGTGTTCTTGCCAACCGCCTCAGTGAAGATAACCATGAGTCTGTCCTGTTGCTGGAGGCAGGGCCGAAGGACATGTTGCTCGGCAGCTTACGACTTTCATGGAAGATCCACATGCCAGCTGCATTGACCTACAACCTCTGCGATGACAAGTAAAGTAGCTTAATTATTGCAGTGCAGATTTATGCACTTCATATTTGCCTTTCTAACCATCATAAATGAGTACACAATAAAAAAGTTGCGCAAATACATGTGAATTTAGCACTAATGAAGAAAATATGTTTTTAGTTTAAAGTACATAGTAGTTTTTACCTTACTATCCTACTGTCTTCTTAAGGTAGAGGATATGAAAATAATAGCAGGAAATTTCTTTTCATATTTGAATTTGATTTTATGTAATATGTACGGTGGCCTGGAAGTGCAAAACACAACCGCAAAAGAGAAAACAACAGCAAATCACATATACAAACACAAAAAAGAGAAAACACAACAGCAAATCACATATGCAAACACAAAAAAGAGAAAACATGACAGCAAATCACATATGCAAACGCAAAGAAGAAAACGCAACCACAAATCCCAAAACACGATAGCATCGTCTGTCTTCTTCTTCTTCGTTGTAATTTAATGGCAGTTTGCTCCGCTGGGGGTGGAGTACTACCTCCACCTGCTGGATCGATGTCGGAATGGGAAAGTAAGCACTCGAATCGACCCGTCTGTCCTTTGACCTGGAAAGACACGAACCGCGGCGCGACAGTCAGTGATGATGTATTGCCAATACTGTGGCAAAGAGCTCCCCGGACAACCCAACTTTTGCAGCAGTTTTGGGAAAAGGCTGCAAGAAGCAGATGGTGACAGTCCATCAAGGAAGTTAAGGGATGTTCAATCAATGTGTTCTGCTACACAACATGTCAACTATTACGTCATATTTGTGTCCTGCATCAAAATATTGCTGGATAATTTCGAGTACACTTTTGCTTTCGGCGTCCATGTTCATGTTTACTTTCCTGTTCCGAACTCCAGCAGGTGGCAGTAGTACTGCACCCCCAGCGAAGAAAACTGCCATTAAACTACAACGAAGAAGAAGAAGAAGACAGACGATGCTGTCGCGTTTTGGGATTTTGCTGTCGTGTTTTCTCTTTTTTGTGTTTGCATATGTGATTTGCTGTCGTGTTTTCTTTTTTGTGGTTGTGTTTTCTCTTTTGCGTTTGCGTTTTGATTTGCTGCCGTGTTTTCTCTTTTGTGGTTGTGTTTTGCACTTCCAGGCCACCGTAAATATGTGACTATAGAGGCAACAACAACTGTGTAACACACAAATGCTTTATGTCAACAAAATGAATTTTCATGCATCAGTTTTATGCAAGTTTTGGCCAAGCATGTTGCAATCAATTACAAAATAATATCACCAAGTTAATTTGTTGTATGGAACTTTATATTTTTTTCATGTAAAAATCTTTCTTTTCATTGCTCTTTAGGTATAACTGGTATTACCATACTTTACCTCAGGCCAACATGGACAATAGAGTGATGTACTGGCCAAGGGGACGTGTATGGGGTGGATCATCTTCACTCAATGCAATGGTGTACATCCGTGGGCATGCAGAAGACTACAATCGCTGGCAGACAGAGGGAGCAGAGGGCTGGGACTACGAACATTGTCTTCCTTACTTCAGGAAGGCTCAGTGCCATGAGCTTGGAGAAGACAGGTATTATCATATATATGCTTTGGTGTTTTCAGCTGCCAATCACATGCCTGTACCCTGCATAGTTAGGATACTGCAGCATTCCCAGCAGTATCAGAACTGTAACAGGGGAAAGGCAGGTTCACTAAAACGGCAGAGCTGGTAGGACAGAACAAAGGGTTACTATTTGATGAAGTTTATTTTTTCATGTGTGTACTGCAGGTACAGAGGGGGTAATGGGCCTCTTCATGTGTCTCGAGGAAAAACCAACCACCCCCTTCACAAGGCTTTTATTGAAGCAGGGCAGCAGGCTGGGTACCCCTTGACAGATGACATGAATGGGTATCAACAGGAAGGTCTGGGCTGGATGGACATGACCATTTACAAAGGTATGAGGAAACTGTAAAACAGTTGTTGCAACTGTAAGTAGTCCAAAAGGAGAAAACTCAAAATTGCAGAAAGCCTCATTGCATTTTAAACATTTCAACAGTGTGTATGAAAACAAAGTATTCTTTGTTGTGTAAGGAGACATAAAAAAAGACCCAAAATCAAGATAGGATAATTTTATTATGAGATAATACCCTATCTTAAAAAAAAAAAAATGATAATAATAATAATAATACATTTTATTTTTAAGCGCCTTTCTTAACACTCAAGTTCGCTATACAGATAAAAACAGTGAATAAAACAAGATATATGCAAACACAATCTTAAATAAAAATGTAAATTACAAAGAGTGGGCTAGTTTGAAGTCTGGTTTTGAAGAGAGAGAGTCATTGTCCAGATGTCTGGTGAGAGTGAGTTCTAGAGTTGGGGAGCAGAGCAGCTAAAAGCTCTGCAGTGAGGAAGATGGAGGAGGAGGATCGGAGGGTGGTGGTGGTGGTGGTGGTGTGTGTGTGTGGGGGGCTTACAGTGGAACAGCTGTAGGATGGAGGTGATGTGATGTGGTGGAATGAGGGAGCTGTGGTGATGATACGAGCAGCTGAGTTCTGAACTAGTTGAAATATTTGGAGAGATTTGTGAGGGAGACCAAAGATAAGAAAGTTACAGTGTGGGAGGTAACAAGAGTGACGAGAATAGAGGTAGTATGGGTGGGGGTGGGAGGGCAGAGATGATTGATGTTGGCTTGGAATGATAGAGAGCTGTTGAGGATGACACCCAAGCTCTCAACCTTTTTAAGATAATTTTTTATTATTTTCTCGAAAGTCAAAAATTTACATACATTTCATTGGTATTTGGTAGCTGCCTTTTAATTGTATGACTTGGGTCAAATGTTTTGGATATGCTTCCACAAGCTTCTCACAATTATTTGCAGGAATTTTGGCCCATTTCTCCTGACAGAACTGGTGTAAATGAGCCAAGTTTGTTGGCTGCCTTGCTTGCACTTGACTTTTCAGTTCTGCCCATAAATTTTCAATAGGATTGAGATCAGGGCTTTGTGATGGCCACTTCAAAACATTGACTTTGTTATCCTTACACCACTTTGCAAGCTTCCCCTTTTTTCCTCCAAATGTAACAATGGTCATTATGGCTAAAAAGTTCCATTTCAGTTTCAGTTGTTTACAGTTGTTTGAACCAATAAAAGTGGCACCTTCAGGCATCTGGAAATTGCACCCAAGGATGAGCCAGACTTGTGTAGGTCCACAATTCTTTTCCTGATATCTTAGCAGATTTCTTTTGATTTTTCCCACGATGTTGCACAAAGAAGCCCTGTGTTTCAGGTGTGCCCTAAAATACATCCACAGATGTGCCTCTAATTAACTCAAATGTTGTCAATAAACCTCAGAGGCTTCCAAAGACATGATAGCGTCGTCTGGACTTTCCCAAATTGTTTAAAGGCATAGTCATCTTAGTGTATGTAAACTTTTGACTCTTGAGAAAGTAATAAGAAATGTTTAAAAAATTCTCTCTCTCATTATTCTGGCATTTAGCAAATAAAAATAATTTTGATGATCCTAATTGACCAAAAACAGGAAAAGTTTAATCTGATTTAATGTTAGACTGTGAGAAAAAAAAGGCTGTGTGCCTTTTGATATAATGTATGTAAATTTCTGGTTTCAACTGTATATCTGAATGAAACCAAGAAGGAAAGAAGCCGCTCCCATGCTCAAAGCAGCCATAGTATGGAGTAGGGTCATAACTCTTACCTTTGAATGAGGGCTTACAGAGACAAAAAGAGGGGTTGGATTTATGTAATAGATTAAGAGTAACATTTAATTTTTTGAGTCTATATAGGATCTCTTCAGGTGCTTTTTAATTAAATTTACAAAATTTTAGTTGAAAGATCTTTGTCTCCTTCAAACCCTGTGTTAATCCAGATTTAAGAGGAAGCAGTGTCCTACCTTTGCATAAATAAAAATGTCTGTCCTGTGATATGTAGTGTTTTATGAAAATCTGTTATTTTCAAACAACATTTGTTTTGGGAAATGGTATTTTTGAGTGCACCTATGTTTTGTGCAATAGATTTTTTTCACTGAAATATTTATTATGACCTTAATGGCGACAGACAAGACGATGAAAGTATCAATACAGTATGTACACTGTTTTACGATCAACACTGCTCATATCTGTCCAGGAAAAAGGTGGAGCGCAGCCAGTGCATACCTGAGACCCATCTTGGGTCGACCAAACCTGAAGACTGAGGTTCGCTGCCTGACCACCAAGATTCTGTTTGAAGGAAATGTTGCAGTGGGTGTAGAGTATATTCAGGATGGACAGAAGAAAAAGGTAATTTGCACAGAATTTGAATTTTATCAATTAATAAAATTTCACTGATAGGCTTTGACACTTCTCTCACATCATAAAAGCTCCATTTGCAAAATAAAAATTACAGATTTACAGATAAAAAATGATGATTCACTTGTAACAAAACATTTAGAACACTGGAAACAGTATTCACAGTCTTTCAGCCAACTTAAATCTAAAATCAAGCTCCATATCTATTTAGGGATAAGTTGGTGTACAAAATCCTTGAACCCAGTGGCAGGAACATGTCTGTACAGTCCACATAAAAAAGCCCAATATGCCACAATATGTGTGTTTGAAGAACTGAAATACACAACTTTGCTTTTTACTCATAAAAATATTTTAGTCAAGACTATCAGTCATTTTAGAAATATTTGGAAAAAATACAGGAATTCATACCACAAATATTTAGTGTTAATAGTGAAATCAACCTCCCTTTAAAATCTAATTATGTAGTTGGCAATGTGTGAATTTTTGAGGTGGTGCACAGCTGATGCACCAAACCAACACTGGGCACACAATGGTGCTCAGGAAGCTCTGCAAATTAGACATGGCTTTTGACAGCTGTACTAACACCATGCTTGAGTACTTGAAGTGGAAACAATCCTTGGCTCCAGAAGCAGCAGGAACATTCCCGCACAACTTTTGACTTTTGACTTTTTATCTCAAACCAAGCATAAAATATGAAAACACTGCATTGTACATCACAGATTTTCTCGTATTGTTACTTGGCTGTTTTATGTAAACCCACTCCATCAGCCATGTTTAACTGAGGTTGATGCTGTTGTAAACAACATAATATTGTTGTGTATTTAATGTCAGCTCTGAAAATAGAATGCTATAACAGAGCGACTCATTGTATAACCCACTTGGTTTTGCACTACTCTATGTCTCCATGCAGTTATTCAACATCCATATTTCAGAGACTGTCTATGTCTAAAACGAATGCAATCTCGAATGGTATACAGTGATGTGAAATGATTTTTTTTCCTTATCTTTGTTTTTAAACTCCCACTCCCATCAATTTTTTACTACTTCAAGTGTCATCAGTGGTCTTTAATTTGTGATTATGAAGTTTTTTTTAGCCAAAATCATGTCACCTCTGTCATTTTCAAGGACTTTTTTCTGCAGAGCTCCAGTAGATTATTAGCAATTCGCCTCTGAGTTGTGGGCGGAGACAGCACTGCTCTGCACACTCCTCTTCACATTCCTCTTCACGCTAGCTTGCAGCCTAACATTGCCGATTTAGTAGAAGTGGCAGGTAACATTAGAGCTATTAAGCTCTCGGACACTTATGCCTTTCGGGACATGATGAAAGTTAATATTATAATTACCTTTCCTACAAGCTTTGCATTCTGCTAACGCACACGCTTGTTCAGCTATCGTCCCCTCTACTCTTCCGTGTCCCTGCATAGCAATTTGTGACGTCGGAAATCTCAATGTGTCTGAGCCTGCTGTTTGGGTCTACCAGGGATTCACAGTGATTTGAAAGCAGATATACTCAGATATGCAATTTCACACTTAGTTTTCTCATGATATATTTTCTAGCATCGGAAAAATGCCATATGAACACGTAAACAACAACAAAAAAACACAATTTCATCGAAATGGGTCTTTAAGTGATAATGCTAAACAGAGGCCAGTATTTGTGGCATCTCTGGTCTGTTGACTTATCAGACTCTTATTGACGCTGCAGATTATAAATATTTAAAGTTGTTAAAAAAATATGTATTTTGGTTAAATTTGTTGTTACATTAATTCAGCAAAAAAACAACTGTGAGATTTCTTAAAGAAAAAAGGTAAATTGATGAAAAAAATTGTTAGGTGCAGCCTTAGTTAAGAGTAATGTTGCATAATAGGTAGGTAGTGATGAAGCAGTACTGCTATATCAGGGTGGGTTTTGGAAGATAAGAAAACCCAAATTGCCTCTCAGTAAGTATAATGAGAAAATTTCCTTTTATACAGGTGTTTGCAGATAAGGAAGTGATACTGAGTGGAGGGGCCATCAACTCCCCTCAGCTTCTCATGTTGTCTGGGGTGGGAAATGCAGATGACCTTAAACAACTTGATATTCCTGTGGTTCAACACTTGCCAGGTAAGATTTTTAATTCAGAGTTGTTTTCAAACACGAGTTGCACTCCTGACATTTTAATTCCTATAAAATAAAAATATAATCAAATAAAATAACACTTGAAAGAACATCTCTCAGTTAATTAGGTAAATTCAGGTCAGGTCAAAAAAAGAACATTCATGAAAGGCTAAGTCTTTCAAAGTTAAGACTGGGATATTGTTTGAGTAAATAGTTAAACGATTTTAGGTTTTAATTCTTTCAGTGGAAAATTGCAAATAGTGTGATGGCTTCATCATGGACAGCACATAACTTCAGAAATTGAAAAATTATTTAAAACCATATAGCCTACAAACATGGTCCAGAAATGCCAGTATCTGTGCCAACGCCTATTTAAGACAGACTGACTGACCCTCTCAGATTGCTATCTGCTCATAGTTTAGAGGTTAATATTACACCAAACGAGCAAGTGGCTTTTTGAGAACACTCACCCCACCATTGTGACTGAAGGCCTGGTGACATTACTCAAGATCCAAAAATATTGCAGCTGAAGACACAGGCGGAAGGGGAGGAGGGGTGTTTACATTTTCTCACCCTTATTCCGAACTGCAAAATAAATAAACGTTGCATTGCATCCATGGGTTGCCTTGCTTTTACCCAGAAATAATAAACATCATGTCCATTATGAACCTCTCACAAAAACAACTGTCAAAAATGTACTTTTGAAATGGAGACAATGATTCAATATGATACAAACAACTACATTTTGAAATTCTTTTATTTTGCTTCATTATATTCCTGCCAACCTCTATGTGTGGCTAGAGCTTTCTTTGCCCTCATACTCATTGTTGCTCTTCCCCAACTTATCTAAGGATTTTCTTTTTACTTATTGAGATTTGCATGGGTTTTGGTTGGAAACCAGTGGTTTAAAAAACATACAAACTTAAAAGAAAAAGTAAAAAAAATGCTTGAGTGACAGCAGTAAAGCTCCTTTCAGCTAGGACGCATGTCAAAAGTTACCTATGAAACCTTGATGCTGTAGCAGGGATTAAAAATAAAAGACTCCCTGACAAAAACCTCAGTATCACCTCAAAATAACATGAGAGTCTATGACATAATCTCATTGGCAGCAAAATCTTTGAAGACAGTATTTTATCTTAGCTGAGCGGGCCAGTGAAATGTACAAGCAGCTGGCCCAGTGTCTGCTTATCATGATTTAGGCCATTGGGCCAATTAGAACATCCAGCATTGTATAGGGATGCAAAAGTGCTGGTGGTACATGTCACCGTCACATCTAGCAAGACACCATTGGTGCTGAACAATACAGGTTCAGGAGCAACATATGCTGCCATAGAGACAATACCTTTTTAGGGTTTTTCCTGGCTTCGGTGGTACCCTCCCTACAATAAATGCAATCCTAATCCTTTCTCAGCTGCTTTTTATATATTTGAGGAAGTTTAATAATTGTCAGATCAGAGAAAGGACATTAAAACATAAAAGATGACATTTTTTACAACAAATGGTTAGTTGTCAGACAACCAACACAACTTACAGCCATGAGAGGCTGATGACTTACGGCAGGCACGTGAAATAAATAAAAAAAAAACTTTAGGGAGCATAACAAAAACACATTCCTCAGTCAGTCATCGCCATGTGATCCTCTAAGATGAATTGAATTTAAAAAGAGTTTGGTTGAGCTGGCTCACACACTACACTTGTACGCAGCAAGAAAAGTACTTCCTCTGCCTCATTTTGAGCCAGAAAAATCCCTGTGGGCCATTGTTTGTAGTTTTTTTTGTGTGCTCCTGTGTGCATGTTTCTGTGAGTGAAAAAAAACGTCCACTCTTGTTTCCTCTCAGGTGTTGGAAGTAACCTGCAAGATCATCTGGAGCTGTATGTCCAGCAGCAGTGCACTCAGCCGATCACCCTGTACAAGGCCCAGAAACCTTTTCACATGCTCAAAATCGGCCTGGAATGGCTCTCCCTGTTCACTGGTAACCAAGGACATACTGTACATTTAAATAGGAACCCAGAGACTTTGCAAGATGTTCTTTAGGAGTAGTATAAAGGAACATTTCATACAACTTGACAATTTTCTTTATAATCTGTCTTCAAGTAAATTCCCCTGGTTTTCATAGGCAATAAATACAGGAAAGATTATTAATAAGACAAGAGCCAATATTAACTGCTTAAGCCCACTGTCTCCTGCTTCTTCCTCTGCCATTGTTCTGAAACACACCTCCATCCCCAATCCTTTATTTATACTATATCTGAAATCACCGGTGTCATTTGTATTGCCTCTGATCTTGGCTTTGTTCATGTCTGCAGTTTGTGCCGGTACTGCTCTCTTTGGTGGTGCTCTCCCTGCTGTCAGCTTTGCACATAAGCACATGGAAGAGCAGGGAGCTCTCAAAACGGAGCCATACTGCCAAATATAACAAATGCATAAAATTAACTCATTCTTTTGACCATAGTGGTCCTTACTGACAGGCAAAAAGTAATGGTGGTTTGCGAACCAGTTCTTTTTCAGCTTTGTCTTTGAGGAAATAACGTTGCCTTGATAGCAAGCATTCTCTAGAGCAGTGGTTCTCAAGTCCAGTCCTCGAGGCCCACTGTCATGCATGTTTTGGATGTTTTCCTGCTCCAACACACCTGATTCAAATGATCAGCTCGTTATCAAGCTCTGTAATGGCTTAATAACGAGCTGATCATTTGAATCAAGTGTGTTGGAGCAGGGAAACATCCAAAACATGCAGGACAGTGGGCCTCGAGGACTGAACTTGAGAACCACTGCTCTAGTGTAAAGGAGATTAAGTTTTGGTTTTTGCAGGTGTGAGTAACACAAAAGTATAGAGCAGGAGTGGGATGGGTAGTTTTTGTGATGGTCAAAAATCTGGGCAAACAAATTGCATCACACTACTCACTCCTTACATATAAGATCCTACCTGAGTGATGAAATCATTTGACTTTTCATGAAAAATCCTCTAGGGTACGGAGCAACAGCCCACTTGGAGAGTGGAGGGTTCATTCGAGGACGACCGCAAGTCACTCACCCTGACATCCAGTTTCACTTCCTGCCCTCACAGGTCATTGACCATGGACGAGTAGCCCCAAAGATAGAGGCCTATCAGGTGAGTGTGCTTGTTTTTATTCAGATGAACAGCTATAAATCAATCTTTATTTATATTTCGCCAATTCAAAATAAATGTTATCTGAAGACGCTTAATTCAAGGAACTGGTCTACACACACCTCATGCTGTCTCCAAAACATAACTGTACCGGCTGTTATGGCTGTTGTCTTTCACCACTCTTTTCCAGACTCTGACATGCATTACTAGCCCTGAAATACAAGACATGCAAGGGGCCATTCAATGCCAGTCACAATTTTCATGTCATATTATTTCCAGAAAACTAGGTTACTTTTGGAAACCATTTTTTCATTGTGTGTTTCATTGCACTAAAATGAAGATACAACTTTTTTCTGTTGTATCGTTTGGGTTACTAAGGTTCCATAATTGATCCCTAGTTTATTTATCCTGTAGTTCCTATATTTGGCTTTTATCGGTTATCAGTTCAGGCTTTTATTATTGGGACATAGAAAATAATTTGTAACTTAAAGCAAAAAAGACTTAAACTTATTTGTGGGGTTTTTTCTCTCCCAAAGAACATCTTGGAATATAATGATGTTCTAGCTAAAAGCATAATAATTTTGTGATAAGTAACCCACAAGAGTGTTTCAAGTCAATACTAAATATTATTATTAAGCCATAATTAATCAATTATAGTTAATATTAATACACACCTTATTTATGACAGGTATAAAATATGTCAACAAGTTTGTAAAGAGGGCCTTTGAGTATCTTAGAAGCAACAGTTAGTGTTAATGATGCTTTTATTAAACTTATAAAACATGTCAATTTTTATAAGCATCTTCATGTTTTAAGATTACAAGGACCTTTTCATAAAGTGCTACCAAATCAGATAATTAATTCTAAGTGTTTTCAATAAAATAACAATCTAGCTACACTGACTTGAAATATGAAAGCATGATGGGAACTTTGGCAGACTTATTGGCCTTTCTGTCATGTTTATCTGTCCAAAAATAAGAATCTTGTGGCCTCTAACTATAAACTAGATCAAAGAAGGACATCATTTGTTGAATTTTATGTAAGCCTTGGCATGGTTGTTAAAGGAATGACTTCCTAAACACTTGTCTGTCCATTCTCAATCATGCCTGTCAGTAGAGTCTTCTGAGCACACCAAAGTCAGTTATGCAGTTCCACAGTGTTCAATGTTTGGATCAATAAATTGGGTGTTGGTACTTTTGGCTGTGTGGGCAGTTGCCAAGTCCTGTGGAAAATGAAATTAGCATCTCCATGAAGCTGGTCAGCAGAGAGGAGCATGAAGTGCTCTAAAACTTTCTAGTAGACGGCTGTGCTGACCTTAGACCTGATAAAACATAGTGGACCAATGCCAGCAGATTACATAGCTCCCAAAACCTCCACTGACTGGGAAAACTCTACACTGGAACTCAAGAAACTTGGATTCTGTGCCTCTCTTTTTTTTTCCTCCAGACTCTGGGACCTTGATTTCCAAAAGAATGCAAAAAATTGTAGCACCCAGTGCCAGGACTCCACCGATTTCCACACCTCACCATTCACTCATTCATCCTTCTAGACCTAGTCCATTTCCACACCGACAAACTCCCAATCAACCAATCACAGCATGCCACTTTACCTGGTCTGTTTGAATCACAAAACCAGAAATGTTTTTTAGCCAGCAAGAGCAGAAGATCGGACGGGGGTATAAGAGCAGGACAAATCTGTATAGTGGCGTTTGACAGAGTCCTCCTTTCTAGTTGTTATACCATGGTGTTCAGCCGCCTGATAGGATTGTTACAGCAGACTCCTGAGTGGGTTGATTGTATCCTCAGTGCTGGCGTTTTAGCTGCCTCCTGGAGTTGGAATACAATTTTGATATGCTGACTGACTGATGACTGTACCGTGAGTACCAGACGACTTTGTTTGTTTGTTTTCTTGGTGTGAGAGGCCAAGATGTATCATTCCATTTTTTAATTCTGTGTGTTTAGGAGAGTATTGTTGTGTTATAGATTTATGGTGAGCATTGGTTTGAATTGTGGACATGGGACAGAAAAAATTAAGAGAGACTTTTTTGCCTCTTTTTTTTTCCCCCTTTGACTTAAACTGTTAAAATTGAACTGAACTGTGTTACAGACACACACACACAGACACACACACACACACACAGACACACACACACATACACACACACCACCTTACACCATCCTTTTTCAATGTTTGGTTTTTCTGTCAAATACGATTTTGTTGTGCTTGAGCTCGTGCTGACTGGTGATTCTTTGTTGAAATTATTGCTTATTGTATTGTTGAGTTGCTTGTTTTTTTGTGTGTATGGTTTTACAGACTTATTCTTGTTTTATTGATATTGATTTGTTAGACCTAACTCTGACTGAGCCCTACTTAAAAAAAAAGAAAAGAAAAAAAAAAAGGGAAGAAGTTAAACCCGCTACAATGTACATTCTTTTGTAAAGAGGACTTTGGACCTAGAAATGTCTCTAGTTGATGCAATTATTCTTTCTCTATGACATCTCTATTCTGGACATGGCCTTATGCTTATCTAGCACCATTATAAAATAATTGAATCAATGCTAACATGTGGTATTTAACAGCATATTCCATTAAATGGTACGGTTAAACATGAGTGTTTCTGTTTGTGTTGTAGGTTCATGTTGGACCCATGAGAAGCACTAGCACTGGCTGGATGAAGCTTAGGAGCACCAATCCCTTGGATCACCCAATTCTCCAGCCGAACTATCTCTCCACTGGTAAGATTTAGATGGCAGGATCTGAGGAAGTGCCAGTTTCTGGGAGAAATCTTGAATGTAAACTCTACCCCTCCCAACCAGTTTTCCCCTCAGCTCCTCTTCTCCCCTCCCTCTCTGCTCCAGCAAGCCCCGCCCACAAACAGACGCTCCTCCTCGCTTATATCGTTTTAATTAAATTCAGATATAATGCACATAAATACTTCAGATAATTACAAATGGGGCTCAGTCAACGTGAAAGTAAAAAGCATTAATGCTACTGTAGATGCCAACAGACTACCAGCAAACACAATGTTTGCAGGACTTCTAAAAACTAGTATAAAGTGACATAGTCCAGGACCCGAGGTAAACAGTTTAGCAGCGCTACACCACGCAGCAGATCCCGTTTGACAAGAAACACTTCTGTTACAGACACTTGGTTTACTTTGTTAAAGCGGTTTCCCTGTCCAGCAGAGAGGTTACAGGGTTTGTAAGATCCCAAAGCGTCCCTTATTATTTATGCTTCATCGATGTTGACCTGGTTTCTTAGCTCTTGTCTGATTTACCTCCTATTTAAGCGCCCAGTATTCCAGTATTTACTTTGTTTTCTTGCTTGTGTCGGCAATTGTGGCCAAAGAAGGATTCAGACCTTTTTCCGTACTTTCTGGTTGGTTTCTACGGTCCAATACTGTAGCACGCTAACTTTGTTTGGGCTCGTGCACGTTATTCGAGGACGTGGAGCGTGCCTCACAACACGAGGGAGCAGCTTCTGCTTCACAACCAATCAGGTCAGGGAGGTGGAGAATGGCTTTGTTTACAGTCAGAATGAGAGGACCACTCAAAAATTTTAAAATGTTGACTACAAAGACATAACAGAACACAGCTATATCGTTACATCTCCAAATGTCATCATTAACTAATAGCTATTGACTGATATTAAAAGTTTTTTGTATATACACCACAAAAAAAGATGCTTCTTAAATGGATTCCTGCCTACCCCACCTTTAAATGGTCATAATTTTATTACATTATTGATCCTTGAAATATATTCAAATAATCCAGTGGTTCCCAAAGTGGGCCATGTGCACAGCATTTGATGTAGAAACAGCTGTGCTTGTACATGGTCAGAGGTTGTGTCCTTTCTCAGAAGAGAAGAGCACATTTTACACGACCCAAAGTAAAAAATAAAAATAAAAAAATATATTTATTTTAAAATAAGCTTCTTCCAGATAAAAATCCTAGCAGTGATACATGTTGACTTGTACGAAGAGAGATTAAGGCATTCTGTCATAGCTCAGTCATTGTTCTATTTTAAGCTAGAGCTAAAATTAGCAAACATGGTAGTTTGGGGAAACTTGTCTCAGTCATTTTGGGGTTAGTTGTCACATGTCTAAAAGGGATTAAAATTAACATAGAGAGTCTGCTTATCAGCAGCTGTCATAATGAAATTATGACTTTATTCTGACTGAAAAAAGAGTGTTTTAAGAAGAGGAGAAAGCAAGAAGACATGGTCAGGAATTACAAAAGAAAAACAGAACGTGACAGTGCAGTCCCTGACGTGATGCTGAGGACAGTCAGACAGGTGACCCTCGCTAATAAATCAATCTGGAGTACAATAAAGGACTTTAATGTCAACTTCCATACCTTGGCTCTGTACTGCAAAACATTCCCCCCAGCCAAAATACAGAGTCAGACAGCTCTCCAAACTCCAGAGCATGTTGCATAATATTTTATGTAAACGTTTGTTCTATGACTTTTTCTGGCTCAATGATAAACATTTTCTGTGTCTGACTTTGATGTTCATTTTCATGTGAAAAAATGAGAACAACAATAGTTTTATCCTTGTTTTATTAGTTGTAAAATTCAGTGTGACATCTTACCCCATATAGTGAGACAACTTACCCGATGGTGGAGCGACATGTCACATGTTCACACTCTCAATTTGATTGCTTATAACTCTGCACTGACACAAGAATGCACAGCCCACTTTGGGAACCACTGTACTCCACTCACATCCAGTCATGTTGACTTTGGTGAAAGCCTAGGGTTTAACATGATACTACAACCAGTTTATTTTCTTTCTCCTTCAGATATAGATGTGTGGGAGTTCAGACAGTGTGTCAAACTTGCCAGGGAGATTTTTGCCCAGAAGGCCTTTGACACATTCCGTGGCCCTGAAATCCAGCCTGGGCCACATGTCCAGTCCGATGCTGACATCGATGCTTTTGTACGCCAAAAAGCTGATAGTGCCTACCACCCATCTTGCACCTGCAAGATGGGGTCACCTTCTGACCCAAAGGCAGTGGTGGACCCAAGCACTCGCGTTTTGGGTCTGGAGCGATTGCGAGTGGTGGATGCCTCCATCATGCCCAGTGTTGTGAGCGGAAATCTCAATGCTCCAACCATCATGATGGCAGAGAAGGCTGCTGACATTATCAGAGGTCACTCTTCTCTTGTTGATCCAGGAGTTCCAGTCTACCAGCCACCAACTCTTGACACACAGAGATAAACATGGCACTCAAGGAGAGCTAGTCAGACAACAACAGGATGGCATTACTTTGTCAAGTATGAATGCGAATACTTTGAACATGAGTGTTTGTGTGGAAATGTATACATGCTTTGACGTCTTAAAACTTGCACTACTGCTTAGGAGAACAACACGCATAAAGCTGTGTCAAACAGACTGAAACCAACAAAGCTTACATTTTCACCACAATTTATTTTGAGATAATTTCTTGACTGAAGTAGCTTTTAATTCATAAACAGCATTTTTTTTCAATGTGTCATTAGTTGCAAAACTATTTTGCAAAACACTTAAGTAGTTGCAAACTGTGCTGAATTAATAATATGTTACTGAGAATGGACCTACTCTTCATGATATTCTGACTTTGGGTCCATTTTTTGAGGACACTAGAACATTTTGGTACAAATTTTTCTACACTTTATTTTGAGTATTTCTTAATCTTTAAGATTGCAACTACTTTTTTTTTTTATAACTGCATTAAGTCATCAAAAGCTTGGGCAATATTTGTTGGCTTTGTATGGTCAATAATCTGCTAGCTGCCTTGCTTGTAGACTGTTTACTGGAGCACTCTGATCAAGATTTTTTTGTTATCCTCTCACATCAGTGTTATCAGATTAACATCTCTCTTCCCTCCTGAAAACTTGCAAACTTAACTGTTTAACTGAATGTCTTTGAATGTTTTTGTTTTTGTTTTACAAAGCAACTTAAAGAACAGTTTACAAAATATTACTCAGTCTTATGTTAGTAAACTTGTCACCCTCACAGCCCTAAATTTTCCTAGATCACTATATCCAGACATGAAGTCTTCAAGACAACCAGATCTTTCTGCATTAGAGCAAGCTATACACTGTAATTGATCCCAGTCTGCTTTTGTTTCCAAAAAACATCACTCCCAAAATGCTCTAAACAGGCTACCGTCTTCTCTGCAACAGGCATGTAAAGTATTGCATTCATGCCATGAAAAAATAATTCCCATGGACTGGCCTTTTGTTTTTCAAAGGCCATCTCCTTGTGTTCTTAGTAGTTAATCTCACCAGCCACCATTTTTTTTTTACACCTTTATTGGTTAAAAAACCGCACATGAATATTCCATTGATGAGGACTTAGAATCTGAACACTGGCAAATATACGTCAGAGATGAGTATCAGAGTTGCACCTTTGCAACTTCCAAATTGTGATTTCATTATTCAGTCACAGTCTGACTTGAAACAATCTCTTTCAATGCTCAACATGTAAAATGCTGAAAGGTTTTAATTGACCAATGTGAGGTTCATCATCATGTTGTTTATGAGGACAACACAATATACACGATAATATTTTAACAATGGATAATTTAGATTTAGATCTTGCCATAAGCTTGTGTATTTTTTTTTTTGTTCAAGTACTTAAAAATTTCACTTAAGTCTTACATCAGTGTTAAAAATTTCTTCCTGTATGTATCGCCAATGTATGCTGTGAAGTGATTCAGTGTGTATCATACAGAAATATAACTTCAGGAATGAAGATTTCATTAAATATTGCACTACATGATGAAGTATCTTAATGGCTTGACAATCAATGAATTATTTGCTGTCTTGTATAAAATGATGTTCATGTCAATGCTTTCCAACCTTATATTAATGGTAAATAAACACTAGAGCAACAACCCGAGCCTTGTCTTTGACTTTATTTAGTGCTCCTTGCTATTTTATTTGCTGGCTCATTGTATACTGTGCTGGTGCTTATACTACAAAGTAAAATGGTAAATGGACTATGTTTATATATGGTCGTAACACACCCCATTCACACACTGATGGCAAGGGCTGCTATGTAAAGTACCCATAAGCTTTTGACCTGTTCCAATCACACACCACTGTGAGCAGCCCGTGGGGGTGAGTAAAGTCAGGTGTCCTACCCAAGGACAATTTGACATGAGGACACCAGAACCTGGGATCGAACACCCAACCTTCCGATTGACAGATGATCAACTCTACCACTGAGCCACAGCTGCTGCTTTAAGTAGTTATTTTCTTTAGAAGTAGAAAGCAGAAAGTTATGCACTGACTGTCTACTAATAATACGAATTGTAATAATTTTTGGCATTTGATGAACAACTGTTTACCAGTGAAATAGAACAGAAAATAGAGCTATCCATTGCACAATAAAGCTTTAGGGCTGACTTTGCTATGACCCTTTGCAGCTGTTAACATTGAAATTAATATGTTAAAAAAAAACAAAGTAAATACCATCTTCAAATAACAGTTAAAGATAAAACTGAGTTTCTGAGTGGAGCTCATTTCAACGGTACATGTTTCTGCAACTGTTATACCATCTATTTTGATTTACGGTAATATTTTTGCCACAACTTTTATTTTAGAGGATGCTGTAGCCCAGAGGTACGGTCAGTGGTCTTTTAATTACACATGACACATGTTTTGGATAAAATGAACACAAATGCTTCTTCAAAGAAAAAAGACATCATTCACACAAAAGGCAACAGCTGACACCTTTTATTAAATTAATTTAAAAAAAAAATCCAAACAACTGACAACAATCCATTTAATATTTTCAGAAAAAAAGTTTCTTCGTGTGTCATGACTTTTTATTGTACACAATGTTAGAAATATCTGTCAACCATGTGGTCAGTTTTTGCTAACATGATTTGAATTAAATCTCAATTGTGCAAGATAAGTTGAGGGTAGCTCGTCACTTCTCTGTAGAATTTTGATGCAGGAAAAGCTTAATTATACATTATTATGACTGTTATTAAGACGGATCTCAGAAGGATGATACTTCCATGTTGACTGTTGGCACCAGCTGTGAAGCAGGTCCAAGCTGAGGTACTAAATGAAAGGTGTTTGAAATCAGAGTCTGACTGGTTATAAAAGTACTTTGCTACATCATTATATAAAGTGACCCCTCTCCAAGGGTGAGTGGTAGATGGATTTTTATGGAGTCAAATCTGAGACCTTTAGAATTCTTATCCTATTTTTGTCCCATATTTCTTAAATCTGTTGACAAAAATCAAATTAGTAAAACGATTGAAAATGTAGTGTTCCTGTTGGTTGGTACAAAGAGGAAACTAGTACTTTATTTTCTTGTGCTTCAAAGCATTGTGTATTTAAAACTCTAATTTATTCTAGACAAAAAATTAAAATAAAAGCATTTTTAAAGCTGATATGTATGTTAATTTTCTTTTTAAGTCAAGTACAGAGGAAAGCAATATTCAGTCATGAAACCCAGGTCTATGATCCCAAAGCAGTGCTTGCTTGTTCGGATAACTTTGATGGGTTATTGTGCTATGTTAAACCATGTTTGACAATTATAAAAAAGCCACTAGGAAGTATAGTTTACTACTGCTAAATATTTGGCAGGCCTGCAGGGAGATTAATTGCCTCAAATTTAGATATTTGTAGGAGAAATTCTAACTCTCCCAATGATCTAGCCTTCTCTTAAATCTCTCTCACACCTCTATTGTCCATCCCATGGCTCGAGAAAATAAGGCACCTTGTTCTCTTCATCTTCTCTATCCGTGTTTGCAGGATCCACTTGAGCAAAGCCATGTCATCCACATTTACAAGGGCCATACAAGCCCATTGAAAAACCCTAATAATTGACATGTTTGCTGATATTATAGTGATGTAACATATATCATCTCATCTGTTAGGTCCTCCTCACATTTAACAGCTGTGCACCGCTCTTCGTCACTGTACTCTCTAACATTAAGATCTGTCAGATGTGGGGTAGCATGTGTGCCTGAGGTGAAATTTCCTGATTTTCCATTGTTGCCATTTCCAATATTTCGGTTTAGCAAATTACTGGCGGTGCTATCCATCTCATCAATGGTCATCTCACAGGCATCTGCAATTTCATGTTTGGTTGCTGAAACAAAGTTGGGGTCCCTGGCATATATCCCCAGACCCTCGGAGATCAACACCTGAGAACAAAAACAAGTGAAACACTCATGGTAATGTCAACATTGTGTGCGTCTGTCAGGCACAACCACACAAACAGACCTCTGCTGGTGAGAGTGTCTGTGTGTGTGTGTTTATGTGTGCATTGGGGCGAAACTCCACCATGCGCACTTTATAGAGCAATTTAAACACGCGACCATGTAGTGACAGAAATTAGATGCTGTCGTGTAAATAAGGTAACAGCAAACTATTTGGTTTGTTTAATAAAAGTGCAAGGTATCAGCCTGTTATATATGAAAGATATCTTTATGACTTCTGTTATCAAGAAAAAGAAAAAAAAACGTCTTATTTTGGGCATTGCTGGTTGTTTTAAAGCCAGAAGCTCTCAGCAGTTATGTTTTTGTAAACAAAACAATGTGTCTCCAAATAAATTTAGTGATGAAACAGTCAGTCCTTGTCTTATAAGCAACAGAGAAACTTAAACATTTGACAGAAAAAATGCTAATGCAATTACAATATATATATATATATATATATATATATATATATATATATATATATGACATTATCGTCATTATGGCCTTTAGAATCATGTTTTTTGGGGGAGGTGAGTAGTGCACTAAGTAATATAAGGGTGAAAAAATGCCATTAAGAACAGAAGCCTAGGCCGTGGCCTACATTCCTTTTACTTTTGTAATTTAAGAAGTTTTGAAACCAGTATTTTTACACTTTTACTTGAGTAAAAAGCTTGAGTTGATATCTTTACTTTTATTTAAGTAATAAATGTGAATACTTTTAACACCTGCGCAACACAGCAACAGAGAAGGCTCGGCTGAGCGAAAAAAGACTTAACTGCATCACTATTTCGTTAAATCGATTTTTGTACCTTAGCTGGGTTCTGGAAGTAGTTAATAACTTTCTGGAAGCAGAGTTTGACTGGGAGATTATTCCATCACACTGCATTAGTGTTGACGTCTGCAGTCGGGTGCTCTCATGTTCGCTCAGTTAACTTAGCTTTGTTAGCTCAGTAATTTAGACAATAGGCTGTCAACAGTGTAACGTTAATATTCAGTTAAAAAGGTCTGACAGAACAAACTTTTGTTCCGCCAGATCTCCCTGTCAGGGGTTGATAAAGTTTAGTTCTTGGCATTCTGTGCATTAGAAAGAACAGTGCTTTTAAGTATTATTTGTTTTTATTCTGTCTGTTCAACGTCCTTAAACAAGGACGGGTGGTGGTGGGGTTCATAATGTTCACAATGGTATTTTACTAGTTGTTGGTTTAACCATGGATGAGGTAATGGCTGTTATGTTATTTTCTTTTCAACGATGTTCCTTGTTACATGTTCATTGCACCAATATTGAATATCCATAATTATTATAATTGATAATTAAAGAAGACTTACACTTACATAATGTAACTTAGAATTGCAACGCCAAAAATAATGAATTTTCACGCCTATTTTGAATTTCAATCAAATCCAAATCCACATCCAAATACTTTTCCCCCTCAACAAATCCAAATCGAAATAGGGTATTTAGGAATCAAAACATATCAATTGAATCTCAATGTGAGCTGACTCTACGGGCCTTTTTTGACATTTTGTGGGTATAAAAACAGTTATTTACTCACAGCTTCCACCAGACTGTCAGCGCTGCCTCTCTTCTTCAGGCAGTGCATGTAGTAGTCCTTTGCAGGTAGCTGCAGATGTGAGGAAGAGTTGTTGCTGGTGGGAGGGCCTCTTTGGCTATCTGTATACCACAAACTCCTCCTTGCTGTCCCTGGGATGTTGTCACCAATGCCTTCACTGCCCCAGTCCATCTAAGACCATATATGCATAAACATACATGTCATATGATTTTAAACTCTCTGCATTTCCACAAGAAACTGATCAGATGCTTAATCTTAAAAATATTATAATTAGATTGGTTGGAAATTAAAAATTGCCAAATAAAAGCACCACAGTACACCACATATTAAACCCTTTACTTAGTAAATTGTCTGTTTTTGCTCAAAATTCATTCTCATACTCTGCAACAGACACTTACTCTGTCTGCGCTCCCTCTTAATTGAATGTTATAGAGAGGAACAGTATTAACTGCTGTGGTTTTGATGGTGTAGGTAATTTATATCACAAAAGTCAGGACATTGAAAAAAATATAAAGGAAAACTCAATTTAAGGGGTTTGCAAATCATTAAGATGCTGTATTTAACTGAATATAATACAGACACAATATACTGACTTAATTTTTCCTTTTTTGTTAAAAATATATGCTAATTTGGAATTTAATAATTGCCCACAGATTTTCAATAGGATTTAAGTCAGGGCTTTGTGCAGGCCAGTCAATAACGTTCACTTTGGTTTCCTGGAGGCAGCTCCTCACCAGGAGCGTTGTATGTTTTTGGGCGTTGTCATGTTGGAAGACAAAGCGACGACCCCCAGACCCAGTTTTGCTGCTGACTGCTTGAGATTTTCTTACAAAATCTTCACATATCCTTCTTTCTTCATTATTCCTTCAACCTTGACAAGATTCACTGAAACATCCCCACAGCATGATACTCCCACCACCGTGTTTAACTGTTGGGACAGTGTTCTTGGGGTTATACGCCTCTCCCTTCTTTTTCCAAACACAAGCAATGTCTCTGTGGCCAAAGAGCTCTAGTTTGGTCTCATCTGAGCAAAGAACACATCTCCTGTATGCACAATCTTTCTCCAGATCGTCCTTAGCATACCTCAGTCTGGCTTGAAGGTGTCTTTTTTTTGTAAAGGTGGAGCTTTTCTTAGCCTGCATCCTCGCAGTCCATTTCTGTTCAGGGCTCTAGAAACTGTCTTGTTTGACCCCACAATTCCTGACTCCGCTAAGTCAGCAACTACTGTTTTGGTCATTGTTCTAGGTTGTTTAGACACATGTTTCACTAGTTTTATTTCCAGTTTCAGTGAAATTTTTTGTTTCCTACCTCTCCCAGACTTGTTCTGTACTGTGTGGCTCTCCTTGAATTTCTTGATGATACTTGATGATAAAAATAAAACTAGGATGTTTGGAGTAGCTGTGCAAAAAAAACATTAATCTGTTGAACAGCAGTTAAGAAATTTGGGGAAAAAAACTTAAAATTTTATAGGGGGGCTAATAATTTGGGCCTTAACTATATATATATATATATATATATATATATATATATACTATATGTGTGTGTGTGTGTGTGTGTGTGTGTGTGTGTGTGTGTGTGTGTATGTATATATATATATATGATGGGTATGGATCTGAAAAATAACCCAGAAATTTAACTCAACACGTATAACCTAGGAATTGGGTTGAAGAAAAAACCCAAAAGTTCTTAGAGTGTAGATTGGCCTGAGCCCAGAGTCACTTGGGTTTTAGAATCTATTTATGGTTTTCTCTTTGCTTTGTACAGTTTCAACCCACATTGGTGGAGGTGCAAAAATATGTTTAAAGATAATGGTTTTTGGAAGGGATTTTAAGCCCATGCAGTGATTTCAAGAACAGCTTTATGTCTGTTTTCATTCTTCTACCACCTGTGGGCCAAAAGATCAAAACAATCCATAACTCGATTTTGGCCTTGTCCCTTTTGTACAGATATTTCTCTGGGTTCTCCGAAAACCTTTGATAATTTTATATACTTAAGATGACAAAATCACTAAATTCTTTGCAATTTTCTTTGGATATTATTCAGAAATTGTTGAACCACAAACTAAACAAGAAACACCTGTGACTCAGTGGTTAAATCAGTTGTCTCCCAACTAAAGGGTCACTGTTTAATCCCTGGTCCAGCAGTCTGAATGCCAAAATGTCCTTTAGCAAGACACATAACACTGGCTGTGCCCGGTGGTGTGAAAATGGCCTCTTTGGAATGCCCTTTATGTACCAGTCATTTAACTAGTTTTCAGTTATATTGTCCAACACAATACAACTTTTGTTTTGTTCTCCCTATCACATTTTTTAAAACATGTAGCTGGTATTAAATCTAAGATGAGCATACATTTTTTGAAAATGAAACAATACATCTGATATGTTGTAGTAATTTTGACTAACTATCAGGGTTGAAGGATAGGCAAAGCATTAAAATCTGTTTTTATACAACTTTTACTTAATGTCCGAGATCTTTGGAAATGGGGCTTGTATGTTATACACACATATAATGCAACACTGGTTACTTTTGTAGTAGTTATCCAATCAACATTTTTTCTCTGTATAGTATTTTTTATCAAGTTTCTGGTGCATTTTATGTCTGTTGCTCAACTAAGTTCATGGCACCACTTAAGTAATAGCCTAGCATGATTTCCCTATTAAAATATGTCATAAATACTATATTCTCTAAATTGTCTCTAAATTAAAGACTGTCACAGTCCATCAATTTTTATGAAAAGAGAAAACATTTAATGGTTTGTGCAATATGCAATGAAAATAACATCTTCGTGAAATCTCAGATAATCTGTGGTTTAAATTTTCTGTGAACCAGACCTGTACAAGAGGTGTGTAGCTGTGTAAGTAATCAGAACCCATGGGTGAAACAGGGGGTGAGGCCCTTGAATGCTGTGACCGAGCAGGAGACAGGTGGGAAATATTCTTGGCATTGAAACCAATCACAGCCGTTACCTGGGATTAGAGTTTGGTGTTAATACACAAAGATCAGCACAGGCAGGAGTAAACATAGAAATCAATCTCATGTTCCTACCACTGTATGGTTGCATTAAATGATATCTCTGTATACTACTTTATCATGTTTTTCATGAATAGAGCATGGTGTGTTTGTACCTGCTGTTGTTGTGCCATTTGTAGTGAAAGGGCTGTACAGGATGGAGAAAGAGGAGTCTCCTCCTGACTGCTTTTTCTGCGAAGACACTCAAAACTGAATTTTGGTCTGTTGGTGCCTGAAAGAATCCACAAAACCAGAAATAATCACCAACATAAAGCTTGTGAAAAATTTCATAAACAGAATCAGCTTTACTGGCCAAGTATGTATACGCATACAAGGAATTTGCTCTATTGAGCTTTACTCTTTATGTACAAACATTAAACATTTTAAATGAAAAACATCAAAAATTACAAGAAATGTACAAGCTTGTACAAGACTTGAACTTATATGTACAAGACTGTTATGGCAGTAATGCAATGGTGAGTGTAGTACAGTGATAAATGCTGTTACAGGTGGGTTCTTCACATGAGGTATATGTCTAATTTCAAAATGACTCGAAGCTGAAATGTGTTGTTGTCTTTCATTACTCTTAGTGGCAGTCAAAATAACCGGTAATTGATAATTTTATGTACTTAAGATGACAAAATCACTTAATTATTTGCAATTTTATGCTGAGTATCACTCCGGATATTATTCAGAAATTATGTAATTTATGTAATTTTATGTAACCGGTAGTTGTTAAGTTGGGGCGCAGTACCTTGAGGTGAGGGTAAAAACCATTTCCTTGAAAGGCGTCTGCTATCATAGCAAAATGGTTGCTTGTCATCGTCATCATAAGTGTCATCTGGCAGATGGTTGCCACCACAAACCTCAAAGTCTGAGTTTCTGTCTGTATTATGGTGGTCCTTGCTAGACAATCAATAAAACAGAATGATACATGCATTACATCTCTACAAAGGCTTTTACAGATACAGACTGAGGCATTCTAGCTAGAGATGAAATTGATCAAAGTTGTTGTAATCTTTGTAAACATATTGATTATAGAAATATTGAATGGCACCTATCGCCTGTTAGCTTGATGTTGTCTTCCTGAAAGTCCTCCCCACTATAGTAATCTGCAGATCCTTGGTCTTCATCACTATCTCTAAACCTGGAATCAATGTTGGATGCTATTGGAAAGAGTCCACATCCACTTCCTGACCTGGCATCCCTTTATAGAAAAAAGAATCTGTCAAATGTTGCAGAGTAAATATAAGGCACACTTTTCAGATTTTCGGTGATGTAAATAAAAGGCCCAGAGTGAATACACTTCAATCAACTCCCTGGACACCCCTACTCAGGTCCTAGCTGACTTCAAAAAGCCCATTAATGTCTTTTAGAAAGCCAGATATAGATCAAATAATATATATATCTGTGTTGCATCATGGCATACATTAAATAACACTGTGTTGCAGAAACAACTGCTTTTTCAATGTTGGGGATTATTAAGCAATTATAGTAACCTGTTTATATTAAAAACAAGTTTGATGATAACCATTAGTTTGAAAAAACCTATTGATGTAAAATTGTTTATTCAACAGTTTTTTAAACAAATGCTTTCACCATGAGGAAAAAACAGGTGAAACCTTTCTTTGGGTTTAAACTACAGGACAGTAATTAATAAAACATACAAAATACAAATTGAAACAAACAAGTTTTCTGCCCTTCCTGAAGTTTGGTAGAAGACAGACAAACAGTCCATCTAATGAGAAACAGCTTGTACATACTGCAAGGGTGGGATATTTACACCCTGAATATATTTTGTCTAGATGTGTTAGGGTTAGGTCTGATGGTGGTGCAAATCACCTCTTATTCTCACTTTGAGCCAGTAACAAAGGTGTAATAAGGGAGGACAGAGACAATGCATGGCAGCTTGCAGAGCAGCATCATGTATACGTGTAGATGCATGTGTGTATATGTGGCACCCCTGCTGTGTGTAGTTAAGCAGTGCCTCTTGCACTTCTACAACAACATAAAGCAATGTGAGAACACACACACGAGGACAACAACGCTTCACTTCTGGTTGTTAAATGTGCAGGTACAAATGTATTGTGATTGCAGACCTCTATCCATTCACTAATGGGTCATTCCATGCCAATTCAACCAAGAATCTCCACTTACGTCACAGATTTTGATGAAATTTGGTGGAGTGATTGGCCTTCAGGAGAAACTGTCAGAGCTCAAATATTTTTGTTCAAAGCCATCTAATTAGTGAGATAGGGGCTAATGAATTTTTGGCTAATTAGCATGACGCGTTACAAAAGTATTCATAACTCTGGAAGTATGGCACCTAGAGAGCTGATTCAGGTGTCATTTTAAAGCTCTCTTCAAGTTCACTTTATCTCCATCATTTGTCATTATATGTAACAGCTCTCTTTCTTCACATTTGCAAACAAGCCTGTCTGACTGTGCTCCTACTAGGTAGGACAGGGCCCATCTAAGTAGAATACACTTCAGTGAGGCCTACTCTGAGTACGCGCATAAACGAATAACCCAAAGAGATTGATTTCGCAATGTGCTACAGTGGTTGGCACATCACAAACATGCTGTGAACCTTCTTACTTGTGAATATAAAGATCTCAAAACTGTCAGTGCAGATTTTTGTCTTTTTTAAAGGGGAATTTTTCAGATATTCACAATACTAAGTTTCATGACACTGACATTAACAAATGCAAAAGAAGATGAAAATTTGAATATATTGTGGTAAAAATCACAACATCTTATTTAGTTTGGAAGAAGTGAGCAAAAAGACTATGTTACTCTATCCCTGCATGAGTCTAAGCAGTTACATTAGTGGCCAAAAGCTTAATAAACCTGAATTGTAAAAAAAATATTTCTATATCTATGTCTCTGTGTCTCTCAATTTTCAAATTCAATAGTCTTTATTGGCATGACTGTTTGAACAATATTGCCAAAGCATTACATTATAACATCAATTACAACAATCTCTGTCTCATCAATGGTACACTGCTACACAGAAACAACTGATTCTTTTACAATATTTTAGGATCTTTTTAGGTTTCAGGTAACTTACTTTGTGGAGTTGGACTTCCAAGGATTGTCTTGTACTCCCTTGTTGATGGTGAACACCGACGTTCCATTTTGAGCTGAAGCCAGGCGGCGTTGCCCAAACAAACACCTCTGCTGCTTTTCATTGGCTATGGAGAGGAGTGAGGCAAATTTGAATTGTTGAGCTTTGTATAAGAGGGTATTGGTGATTGATAGCAAAAGGAAATTCAGTGATGATTACAGTTGGGATGAGGGGTGTAATGACAGTTGTGATGGGCTGATGGAAAGTTAATCTCTGTATCTTCTCTATCATTTATGCTGGCTTCCCTGTCTGCTGAGATTGGATTGACTGAGGCACTGGTGGAAAAAGGTAAAATTTGTAGGGGGCGTTGTGTGACAGTGGTCGGGATGAAGTAGCCTTGATGATCCACATTGACAGTGCTTACGAGGTTCCCAAAAAGTCTGCCATTTTGCTGCGGAGAAAGGAATTATAACCAATTAGAACTGTGACAAAACAACAAAGTTAGTACAACCAACAGTTGTTTAAAGTGCTTTTATGAAGGTAAAAAGGCAGCTCTCATGAGAAATGACTATTTTATCATTCCCCAATAAAGACTATGGTAAATCATTCAAAGCAGTGATCCCCAACCATTTTTTTGCCATCACCCACCATCAAATAGGCTAAAATTACCCTTTAATGAAACAATCACTCATGGATTGTCACAATACGCTTTAAACTCTGGTCTAATATATGCTTAACAGTCATTTACAATAAATAAAACAGGGTGCCTATGCCACTCTGATCAGCGTCGACCTCAAGGACACTTTGGCATGCAGACTGCAGGAGCTGGGGATCATTCTGGCTACAATTTAAGGAGAATGTTTATGTCTATCTTAAAATTTACCCTATATATTTCCTCCTCTTCCTCAACATTTGCATCTACTAGCCCCTCCTCTTGCAGGTCACATGATATGGCTCGACGGATCTCTGGTCCAATATCATGCAGTGTGCGTAGGCCAGCCTGCAAATAGAGAAATGGTAATATCAGCGTTACCTTCTTTATAGGCCTCTTTATCTACAGCCATATCTCTGTCTGGTTAAAAGAAAAGTGAGCAACTATACATTAAATCTCTTAGATAGTAGTCAAAGTGATTGGATATATCCTGTCCTCTGGTTTTCAGCGTTGTCAATAAAAAGTATTCTGAATTTGATTCTGAAGACTTATCACACATATTACAGATTAAAAACATTTAGCATGATTTTAATCATTTACACAACAAGGCAGACGGTCATGTATTTTGGAGTTCTTTCTCTCCATTGTCAGCAAGGCTCACCTTCAAGCTTTGGTAAAGAACATCTAAATCTTCCCTTGTATAGTCAGCACTAGAAACTTCTGTCTTTTACTGTCCTGTTGACATCAGGTTATTTTCTGAGCAGGTACATTTTTAACATGTCATTAAATGTTGTGTATGTCAGCCAACTGCACAGTTTAAACTTGTTCAACACCAACAAATATGTTGTTTCAAACATACAGAGTATCCTAGGTGTGAATACTGTCATCTATAGTTATTTCTATGTCAGGTATTTCTAAAATGATTGTTTGTGAAACAGATGTGAAAATTCTAGAACATTGACCATCCACTTCATAACACCTTGATGGACCCAAAATCCAATGGTGGTGGACGGCTCCTCTCTCTTCGCTGCAGGACAGAAAGATTCAAAAGATCTTTTGTACCCACAGCCATCAGACTTTACAACTTGATAGATTGTAGATGACTTTTTGAGACATGACAAATGAGACGACAGGCAATTGAATTTTCCTTCGGAGATCAATATAGTTCTTCTTATTCTTAATTTATCCTTCCATAGTGGGCCACACTACAGTTTGATCAGTTTATATTTGACTTTATCCTTCTCCCATTGAATGAAAAACATAAATTTGTAAATGGACTTTAAAAAGGTATATGAGACTTGACAGCACATCCATAGAACTGTCATTAAAGTCAGTCACCAGCTTTCCTTTCTCCTCCATAAATGGGACAATCCTATGTCAAATTGAACATTTGAAGCAGTTGGGCATTGACCTTTGATTCAACCAGCAGACCTCAGTGTGATAGGGAAGGCTGTGGTATACCATGGTCTCATGACACTGCTACCTGCTACAACTTGGTGATAACTATACCACAGTGTTTCCAAGGGGTGTTATGCTAAAACTTTCCAAAGAACTCCCTGGTGTGACTTATCGTGAAAGCTCCACACCACCATGGCTGTCAGGGAAAGCCAACATTCACACTACCACCCTGCTGCATCGTATGCCTGAGCATTGCGAGTAGATGCTACATCACGGCAGTTGTTATGTCCTTTAAAATCCAACCCCAACCTTTCTTTGGCATGGGCTATACCAAAGAGAAGTGAGCCTCACATTGCACATTCTGGGAAGATTTAATTACATGCAAATCTGTGAGTAGGATTTAGGATTTATTTTATTTATAACAGGGACAATACTAATTAATGAAAATATACATGTAAATATGCAAGATTATAGCTAAAGTCCAATTTCCATCTATAGTCCCTTCAAGTAATATGGGTAACAATCCGTGTGCATGGATTACAAATATAAGTGAGGACCAGTGAGAGGTATCAGACAAAACGAAGACATTACAGTGAGCAGACAAAGTGAGTCTTCCAGTATAGTGAGATTGACAAATTCAATGGAGTGAACCTATGTGCACAAGCATGTTACATTGTACTTTACTGACCTGTAATGCCATGGTACTGTTCCGCCTCTCCCATGAATGTCTTCCGACAAGACCTTGCTCTTTGCGCTTCTTGAATTTCCTGAAGTAGTCCTGTATCAGGAAAGTGGCGTAAAACTTCCCCACGGTTACTTCGTCATCTAAGTGAACAGACCAGACACACCAAAGCATCCAAAATAAACATCACATACCTCAGCACTGTTTCTGGATCCATCCAATATTTTTGAAAACAGAAATCTTAATCTAAATCTTAATCCTCTTCTTTAAGAAAAACAGAAACAACCATTGACACACATTCAAGGTAAAGTCTGATGCGAGAATACCAGTATACTTCACTCTCCCCATTGGAGCATACCTCACATATTTTAAGACTGTGCTGGACTTTAAAACTACTTAACAATGGTAGTGTGTGTGTTTATTATATACACTACAGGCGAAAAGTTTGGAAGCAAGGCCATTACAGGCTGAACAGTTGGGAGTAACTTCAAGTTTTTGTTCACAATGCTTTTTTTTAAATCCAGCATGAGTTTTATGTATTTTGGGATGTATTTACTCCAGGGGGTCAATGTCCGCAGACAAACTGGTGAACGTCTGAAAGCACCATGTGTTACACCCACAATTCAGCATGGAGGTGGTAGTTACATGGTATGGGGATGTTTTGCAGGTGATGGAGTAGGAGATTTGTTACCATGAGTACCATGAAGAAGGAACAGTACCACTCCATCCTCCAGCACCATGCTGTTCCACCTGGACTCAGACTTGTGGGTTACAAGTTTGTTTTGCAGCAAGACAATGGCCTTCATTTATCAAGCTTGCGTACGGCAGAAAACTTGCGTACACCTTGCGTACCAAAATTTTGACGTGAGGATCGGCATTTATCAATCTGCATGTGAGGGTACGCTACGACCAAATCTCACGACAGATCTGACATCGTGTACGCAAGTTTGAAGTCAGTGTGGATCTGCGGTGCAGCAAATATTTGTCTCAAAATAATTGATAAACAAACCTCAAACCTGTCATTAAGCACAATCAGACAGATTTCACTAAAGATTAAGACATAAATAAAATAAAATAAATATATTATATTTAAAGGCGTAAACATGTTAATGATGATCGATTTCAGCCGCCGCATTTAGACCCGATCAAACGTACGCTGGGATTGGTCAGATACGAACCCTTTCATAAATCTCACGTGTGTCCTATTGTACAATGAATCCTACGCTCAGATCTGCGCAAGATTGATAAATGAGGGCCCAGTCCTGTCAGGAGAAATGGGCCAAAATTCCTGCAAACTATTGTGAGAAGCTTGTGGAAGCAAATCCAAAGCATTTGACCCAAGTCATACAATTAAAAGGCAGCTACCAAATAGTAATTAAATGTATGTAAACGTTTGACTTTTGAGAAAATAATAAAAATTGTCTAAAAAATTCTCTCATAATCCCCTCATTATTTTGGCATTTAGCATATAAAAATAACTTTGGTAATCCTAGTTCACCAAAAACAGGAAAAGTTTAATCTGATTCAATGTTAGACAGTGAGGAAAAAAAAAGGTTATGTGCCTTTTTATATAGTGTATGAAAACTTCTGGTTTCAACTGTATATAGTAGTGTGTGTATTTGTGTGTATTTGTCTGTATGTTTGTAGAAATATATTTATGTCATTTGGTGCAAATATACTTAGTGTGAATGGGTGTGTGTGTGTATGGATATTTGTGTTTTGATCTCAGTTCTTATTATAATATTTGAAAAAAAATGTATCACCTCAGGAGCTTGGCTGCTTGTCAGATATCCTTAAACATGTTCTCACAGAAAGGCTTTACATATGGCTGTGCATGTGAAGAATAGTGGACGGCATTTGCTCACTGTGGGCCACAGGATATAGGACATGATCCAAAACTACAAGCTAGCCCAGACCTTTAGTCAAGATTCTGCATAGGGAAAACTACCCCTTCTGCTAAGTGTAAGGATGGTCAGTGTAATCCATTGGTGTTTTCACTTGAATCAGCCAAAACAGGTGAATATAGGACCTACGTCTTAAGAACAAATGTGTTTGGTCAGAAGATTCTCTTCTATATTGCAGAAAAATACCGCAAAGCATCTTTCATGTGAGAAAGGAAACTGATGTAACTGGAGGGAACTCTCACAGTCACTTGGTGACACACACCTGCTTGGCCCCAGCAAGTATGCAAACCAGGAACCTTTTGCTGTCAGACAACAAAATGAATCAACTTAAGTGTATAGGTCACTGTGGATACCTTAATAGGGAAAAAATTGTAACTGTAAAAAGTGTCCCCGCTGATGTTAAACAGGAAACCTTTGCCATTCTGAAAGCCCCTGAGCACTTCCTAACGAAGAGTTCCCCCTTGGAATTTGAATGTTAAAAACCCACTGACCGCCTGCCTGGGGCACTACTTGGTCAAGCAGCTTCATGTTGGTCCTCTTCCAGATCTTCTTTATTACAGCTCTAAGCTCTTCATTTGCTTGCTCCAGGTTACCTTGGAAATAACACAAAAGATTTCTTTAATTAGAAACAAGTCTACCCAGTCTCACACATATTGACAGAGACATTCAGAAATTTTCAGCAACATCTTTAAATAAAAATGTCAATGTAAATTCCAATATGTAACCTGCAACTCCATTAGAATCTTTCTTTTCAACTAAAGTACATTCAAGCATCCTGACCCAATTACTAACTTGTACCTACATTGTTACATTGGGGTTGGGTGGGGGGGTCCAATTTAAAACAAGAATTAAATCCCTGTGAGTTCTTCATTTCAAAAGAATCACAGCCAAACAGAGAAATCTATCATAATGTAACCAATACTTTTGCAAATGCTTGATTAGTTTTTAGAGCACACTCACCCTCTGTTTTTATCTTTAGAGCAGTACGAACCAGAGCAAACAAAGTGGCATTAAACATGACTGTCCCATCACTGTTCAGGGGCATGTTCATAGCCACAAGCCGCTGCAACATATTTAAAAAAATAAAAAAATAAAATCAACACTTCACAAAACAGTGACCGTGAACCTTTTTGTGTGTGTCAATAAGCTGTAAAAAACCCACCTTACAGATCACCCTTTGAGGGCAGAGCTTGCCAAATCCCAATGGAGGTTGGATCCTCCTCAGCAAACTTACCACATCAAGGTGCTTTATCCTGCCTCTGTCAAAAAAATAAAAATTAAATATGCTTTGTTGGAATTATGCCCTGAGCACAGTCTTTACAGCCACTCATGTCCTTGCTAGATCCTCTTAGGGTAATTCAGAGATGGGCATTGAGACAGAAAATAATGGGCTCTACTTTCGTTTCTCACTGGCGAAGGCGCAGTGTAACTCAGGTCCGCTGCACCGACAAGGCATGCCTAAGCACATCTTGGTATTGTGGTGAGTGGCGAAGCCCAGCGTAAGTATCCCCCGTCCCTAACTCAGCTCCTCCCAGCGGCATAAGTCATAGAGAGGGCTTGGAGTGGGTTTAACACAGCTGAGACCTGTTTTCGCCAATCAGATCAGCTCCTGTCCTCACCTTTAAATCCGCCACCGGCGAGGCGTATTTCAATTTTTGTTCAGTAGTCAAAGAGATCAAGAGATGGGTGAAGACAGCAATGCCATACAATGGCGACAGAAGGCAGCTCCTCAACAAGTGTCGCTGTAAGCGCTGCAGAGGGCGTCCTCCACACTGTCTCATATAAGCACAGATGGATTTGGTGTGTGTAATGTTGGACCCACTGGTAAGACAAACACCCTTTACCAAAGACACTCACATGAAGTTGCATATATTTAAACCTCACGTGACAAAGGAAGGTTGTATGCACAGATCACAACAAAAACTTCAATAATGGCATTAAAATCTGAACCATTGTGCTCCGTGGCCTGGCTCTTTCTTTCATTGATGTTGGGATATGAAATAAATTTGGCTCATGCAGCTGAATATTAAAATATCTTTATGTACTCTAAGCCTACATACGGATATTATAATATCCGTATGCAGGCTCCGCCAGATGAAAATACCACTGTGCGGGGTGGACCACCCTCCGCTGGGCTGCTGGCGGGCACAGAAATAGAGCCCATAGTCTCTCTACCGTGTCCTGGGGCTTCCCTATTGTCTCCTGCTGGTGGGACGTGCCTCAGACACCTCACCAGTGAGGCGTTAACACCAACATAAAGGCCTTAAGCTGGGAGCAATAAGTATCACCACCCCTGCCTAGCGCCTCTCACCAGCAGCAAATCTAGAGTGGGAAAGTGACCAACCCCTCTCAAGAGGCCTGGTTTCAGAGCCCACTATGCATTGAGGCAAGTCATCTAGCTAGAACCTCTCCACCTAGCACATCAGCAAAGGCGCCTTCTCCACCAGAAGTGACATTCCACGTCCCCAAAGCTTGCTTCTACAGCCAAGGTCCTCTCCTTTGGCACCCACCCTACTAACATTGCACCCCTTTGGCCCCTCCTTCAGATGGTGAGCCCATGGGAAGGGGCTCCCACATTGACTCTTCAGCTGTGACAGGCCAAGACCCATGGGTTCGAACCCATCCATCTGTACCACAGGTGCATTCTGTGCTGAGACCTTATTGTAATACCCATATTAACTTCTGTTATCTTGAGGGCTCAGTTTTCTAGTTAAAATGGCCACCTGGGACACCCTGTGTTAAGAAGCAGATGCAGAGGGACAGAGAGACTGCCATTGCAGTCCAGGGGGAGAGTGAACTGAAACACTGCATAGGGTGACGGAGTTCTTTAGCAATTGCATAACTTGAAAATCCCACCACTCATTTGTATAAAAGTAGATGGGAAAATAGGGTCCAGGTTGAATAAAAAAAATTTAATGCATAAAATCACCTTGAAGATTGGGTTTATCTGACCCTTAAAATGGATTACTGATTCAACCCAAAATTTGGGTTAATTTGAATTACCCAACTTTCTAGGTTAAAATAATCCAACAAGTAGTTGTCCCCTTTTTAACCTTGGAGCTGGGATAAAAATAAACCAAGTTGGGTTGTTTTTAGTGTGTACAGTGTGCCTGCTCATCAGTCAAGTCAGCCGTGCCTTTGATTCAGTTATCTTTCAACCTTGATAACTTTAAAACGGTCATGTCACTCAAGCGGGCGCACATTTTTTTGCACTTCCACCACAGCTTTTTTTCTTAAGGTTGGAGGTTGCTGCTTGGGATGTAAACAGAGATCTGTTCAAGTGCAATACAGATTAGCTGGGAAATCTTACACCAAGAAATTCCTTCAGGTCCTCTAGTGGGCAAATAGCTATATTTACTCTTCACCTTTGAGCAGTTTGACCAGTAGACTCTAGTAGGCTATACTTAGCTTTAGAAGTATAGCAGTAGTAGGCTGTACTTGGTACAGGGTTCAAAATTTTATCCAAATTGGATTCTAAATACTCACTTGGCTTCTGGGTCATATTCAGACCAGATCCTTTTGAACTCATCGAGGTGATGTGGTCCAAGAATGGACCAATCACGGGTCAGGTAATCAAAGTTATCCATGATGACAGCTACAAATAAGTTGATGATCTGAAACAAAGATATATGACATGTTTTTGCAGTTTCCATACAATGCCCAAATATTACTGACACAGAACAAAGTTAAATGTCTGAAGATTACCAGGAAAGCACATAGCATGTAGAAGCTGATAAAGTAGATAATGGCAAAGCCACTACCACAGGTTCTCTCCTCCCCTGGGTTGTAATCCGACTCTGAATCACACAGCTTCCCTGGCAGACAGGCAAGCATTATCTCCTGCCAGGCCTCACCTGTGGCACACCTAAAAAAAGGACAATTGTCAATACAGAAATGGAAATAGGGATTTTAACATTAATTGCATTGGATTACTTTGTATTCAACAACACAAATACCTGAAGAGTACAAGGACTGCTTGTGGGAAGGTTTGAAAGTTGTTGTTGCGGTTTATTCGTGTTCCATCTACCATAGCTATTTTCCCAAACACCTATGAGAAGTCAAAAAATTACAATGGATGAATAAATAAACCTCCTTTCTCAGGATAAAAAAAAAACTTAAAGTGATGACTGCAAAAATGGAGTGTTACACACAGGGCTCGACATTTGCTAATTTGCTTACCAGCCACCATATCTCACCCTCCTTCTAGAAAGTCATCTTTTAAGTTGGTCTGATGATGCTGATTGAAGTCAGGTAGAAGTTTACTTCTTCTCCTAAATGTGTAATTTCTAACCTAACAGGATTATTAATTATCACATTTTCAGATGATAGGTGGGCTACCTTTCTATATTTTTATTAGAGTTGAACACTTTTTGGTTGTGTTTAATCTTATCCCTGATTCTGGATAACTGATATGGTGAGCTGATAACATGACCTGATTTAAGCATATTTTTCTGCCAGTATTATGAGGGACATAATAATAGTACGAGAGATAGTAAAATATCTTTATTCTATTATTATGAATATGTATTATTCTAAAATACTGGTTTGTGCCTGAGCTTCTTAGTGACATGTTGACTCTTGTTGGCTGCTCTGGTTACAAAGTGAAATCATAACCTGAAGAAAACTTAAGTAGTGAGGTATCTCAGCAGCTTCTCATCATGTTTAGTGTTACCTGCATTCCAATTACAGCATATATGAAGAACAGCATGGCAATCAGAAGGGCAACATAAGGGAGAGCCTGGATGCAAAAACAAAAGGAAAGCTTTTACTGAAACACCCTGCTGTCAGTCAAACAACAATTACAGCAACAGCCTCTTTTCAGGCGTTTTGTTTATATTTTGTGTAGGGCATGTATCAATGAGCCAAAATGTTATAATAAAAACATGTAATAAAGCCTGAAATATAATAATTGGTCAATTATGTAACAAAAGTGTTAAGCCCAACATGTAATAAAAAACTGTAACAAAACTCATAATGTAATAAGTTGCTACATTTTGGACAAAAAATTACTATGTTTTGGGTTCAGCGTCTGCTACATTATTGACCAATTATTACATTTCGGATCTTATTACATTTTTTACTAATTCAGGCCTTTAATGTGGCACACATATAGCTTAGTAGGTTAGCTTGCGCCACTAACTGGGGCTACAGTGGTCACGGTTCTTAAGTCCTGGCCTTGACTTTCCCTCCTCTCTCCCATTTTTTCATGTCTGTCTTCACTGTCCTGTCCATTAAAGGCAAATAATGCCCAAAAAATTAACTTAAAAAAAGTCTTAGTGTAACCACTTAGAAGTTGAGGGATTGATTATAGGCTAAATATCCAGCAGCATGTTTTACAAGGTTTGTCTTCTAACTTTCAACAGTTTTTTTGTTTCAAATTTTTCACTTTCACCTGAAATGACTTGATGAAGGTCCACAGCAATGTCCTGATGCCATCCCCTCTGCTGAGCAGTTTTACCAAACGCATCACTCTGAATAGGCGGAAGAAAGTGATTGAAATGCGAGCACTGTCTTCTGTGTTCTAAAATGAAGGACATGGGAGTGATTTGAAAATAGGAGAAAATATTATTAGTTATTATAGCCTATTCAAAAACACATTTTTATTTATGCAGTCATTTATGGTTTTTTCAAACATACAGTATCAACATACAGTATCAACAAGTAATGCAACTCTTGTTGTCATGGAAATGCAGAATCAAGCAGGACAGGGACCGACGGCAATGTACAATCAGGTCTGCAGAAAACCTCACAGGGGCCAACCTGCCCTCCATCCAGGGACTTAGAGCAGTCCAGGGTCAGGAAACAGGCAGGTAACATCACTTCCATCTAAACTGCTGAAGGAAACTCTTCCTTTGATCAGTACGTCCTTGCTTAACTTGATCAATACGTCTTTATTAACAGGATATGTTCCCCAGTCTTTTAAGACTGCAATGATTAAACCTCTCCTTAAAAAACCTACTCTTGACTCAAGCACCCTAGCTAACTATAGACCAATATCCAACCTTCCTTTTATTTCTAAACTCCTAGAGAAAGTTGTTGTGAATCAACTTTGGGATTTTCTTCATAACAATGGTTTATTGGAGGATTTCCGGTCTGGATTTAGAACCCATCACAGCACGGGGACTGCTCTGCTGAAGGTGACAAATGACCTACTCATGGCTTCGGACAGTGGTCTTCTCTCTGTTCTTGTCCCGTTGGATCTTAGTGCTGCGTTTGACATGATCGACCACTGCATCCTGCTTCAGAGACTGGAACAATCTATCGGCATAGCAGGATCCGCTCTTTCCTGGTTTAAATCTTATCTAACGGATCAATCCCAGTTTGTCCATGTTAATAATGAATCCTCTGCGCACACCAAGGTCTGCTATGGAGTCCCGCAAGGGTCAGTGCTTGGACCGATCCTCTTTACCTTGTACATGCTTCCTCTGGGTAAAATTATGAGGAAGTACTTGATTAACTTCCACTGTTATGCAGATGACACCCAGTTATTCTTATCCATGAAGCAAGAAGAAACAAACCAAGTTACCAAACTAGAAGCTTGTCTCAAAGATATAAAATCCTGGATGACCAACAACTTTCTGATGCTCAACTCTGACAAAACTGAAGTTCTTGTCCTCGGTCCAAAACACCTTAGAGAGGCATTCTCTCATAATATAGCTATGCTAGATGGCATCAGACTGGCATCCAGCCCCACTGTGCGAAATCTGGGAGTTTTATTTGATCAGGATTTGTCCTTTAGCTCCCACATTCAACAAATCTCTGGGATAGCTTTTTTCCACCTGCGCAATATCTCAAAAATTACTAGGCCAACAAAGCTGATTCTGATTCCGATATACAACAAGCTGTGGCAGTCCTCTTGTTTGGAAGAGCAGGAAGAGAGCAACTTCAGTGCAATACATGACTACTTACATTGATCTCAGTGATGGCAATATCAACCACGCTACCCACAACAATTAAGGCATCAAACGTGTTCCATGCATCAGCAAAATAGTTCTGCAAGTACAAGTAACACAAAAACACACACGATGAAAAAGGGGTTAAACATAGCAAAAAAAAAAGGAAGTGGTAGGAAAGAGGAGTAATGCATAGAATAAAGTCAGAGGATATTGACTCTTTAATTTAAAAAACATATATACATGTACATTTTTGATATGTGGATATCTAAGTAAGATGACACTTTATCTCTACCTGATGGGAAATTGTCCAAAAGAATCTTTGTTAGATTAGCGTCATAACCAGCAACTCAATTCTCTTTAGTGTTGTCAATCAATCCTTGATATTGATTATCAGATTTATGCAGCATAGAAAATAAGAATATAACACTCATTAGTTTGTACTTTGTAGCTCAAGGTATACTGTTTCAACAGTGGCATATTGGAAGTGCTCTATATACTAACAGCAAAATTTAACTATGGTGTTTTGACATGACAGACGGTGGTAGAAGGTGGAGGGAAAAGAAGAGAGTAGGCTTACCTTGGGTTTAAAGGCAATGAGTTTCAGAATCATTTCTACTGCGAAAACCCCAGTGAAGACCATGTTTAGGATGTCCATGGCATAGTTGAACAGGTGAGATTGGCCATAATGCTAAAAAGAGAGGATATGAGACTAAATGTAAGTGTTCAATTATTGTTTTTTTTTTTTTTTTTAGAAGATTATACTATGCTGTAGTGTTTTTAAATTTAGGTGCAACAGCATCACAAACTGAGCCTCTTTTGAGGATCCGTAGTCTCTCAGTTTCTAAACTTCAACTAACCCATACAGTAAACTAATTTGGCAGGGAAACAAAAAATTAGTTGCCTTAGTGTTGTTTTAGGTGAAAGGGTGCAAATTTGTGCAGACCAGTGCAAATAGGTGCAAATACAGAAAAACACCAGAACATAGCAAGATTCATAACTAAGGGCTCTATTTTCGTGCCTCGCTGGTGGTGTGCCGCAGGCGTGGCATAAGTCAGGTCTGCCGTGCCGATAAGGTGTGCCCAAGCACATTTTGATATTTTGGTGAGCGGCGCAGCCCGGCGTAAGTATCCCCCCTCCCGGAAGTCGTAGAGAGGAAGGCGATAAAGCGTGGAGTGGGTTTAACACAGCCGAGGCCTGTTTTCTCCAATCACATCAGCTCCTGTCCTCACCTTTAAATTTGCCGCCAGCGAGGTGTATTACAATTTTCGAGAGATCAAGAGATGGCTGAGGACAAAAATGCCACATGATGGCGACAGATGGTGGAACATTCTCTCTCCACACTTTCTCAAGTTATCACAGAGAGATTTGGTGTGTGTAAGGTTGGACCCACTGGTAAGACAAACACACTTTTCCACAAATAAAGACACTCACATCAAGTTACATATAAAAGAGGGATCACGCTATGTGGCCTGGCTCTTTCTTTCATTGATGTTGGCATATAAAATAAATTTAGCTCATGCAACTAAATTTTATAATATTTGTATGTTGGCTTTAAGTAAATAACTCATCTGATCATTACAATAAATCATCTGGTCAGCCGCAGCAGCAGCAGCAGCAGGACCGGGAGAGGACACGGAGACTTGTCCAGGTCAAGCTGTGAGAGAAATAAGAGGACGAGGAAGATGGAAATGGGGGGGGGGAATTAAATACCTTGTTAACTTCATCATGTGTGTTTATTTACTAGATATTTAATTTAATTTAATGTGGTTTCAGCTGTGTTAATTCGGTCAGGTTTAGTGTCTTAACGCATGCAAACGCGCTCATCAGATCGGATATAGATCAGAATATATCTATATAGATCTAAATGTATGTGCTGACTCAGATTATTGGCTGTGGGTGAGGCATCAGTGGCGTATGCGCACTACGTCTACCAAAATACCAGCTGTGCTCCACCTGAAAGCTGACCAGTTTGAACTGGCAACCTTTCAGCGCACTTTCTACCGCAAGTACGAAAATATCACTGCACCAGCTGATTCTGTCGACACCTCCCCGTACCCCACCATATACCAAACTGGCTGTACGCCAGGCTCCGCCAGACGAAAATACCACTGCACAGGGTGCACCACCCTCCGCCGCACAGCCGGCGGGCATGAAAATAGAGCAGTTAGAGTTAACTCGGGGTTGACTGTTTCAGTTGAAATTTACATACAGAGACTTGTGCATTAATGACATTAAGAGTGATGATTTTCACAAGCAAACTGGTATAATTTCAATCAAAAGACTTACCTGTATAGCCAGACAAAGGGTGTTGAGAACAATCAGGACAAACATGACGTACTCAAAGCCTGTAGAGTTGACCACATTCCAGAACTTGTATTGGTAGGGGTTTTTGGGGATGTAACGCCGCAAGGGACGAGCTTTAAGAGCATACTCCACGCACTGACGCTGAGGTGATGAAGCAAACAAGAAGGGCAAAGAGGGAATGGACAGACACACAGATTCACAATATGTTATATATTTTGTTTTGTTTTTTTCTTTCTGGTAAAGGAGACTGTCTTTAGAGGACTGAGTTTATGCAAAACATTTTAGGATGCTCAGAAAAGACATAGCTACATTGGAATTCCAATTTTAATTTTTTTTTCTGCTTTATCTTGTGGATCAGCTCCCTGGTTTCAGTGATAAAATCCCTGAGCTTTCTCGTCATTGATTATGAGATGTTGTTCGCTAATCATTTTGCATTTTTCTTTTTCTGAATCTATGTAACACACACGCATGCACGCACGCACGCACACACACACACAAAATACACAAAATACACAAAATACACAGACCTGACTGGCAGCTATCAAAACAGCAAAGGGTGGCTACTTTGAGGAATCTAAAATATAATACATGTTTTCAGTTATTTCACACTTTTTTCTTACGCTCATGATTCCACATGTGTTCATTCATAGTTTTGATGCCTTCACTGAGAATTTACAATTTAAATAGTAATGAGAATAAAGAAAATGCGTTGAATGAGAAGGTGTGTCCAAACTTTTGGCCTATACTGTATTAATGTGCATCCTTCTTTTCCTCACTGAGACGGTCAGCTTGCAGATTCAATGCACTTGTTTCAGTCCTGTGAGAAGTTTTGGTCATATTTTTGATCCCTACACCCAGATGTTTTAAAGAGACTCAACTCCCAGTTGTATGTGCTGTGCGATCAAAGATCACATGAGTATATACAGAACCTGATCTTATTCATTCATTTACAAATTTATTTTGGGTGGAAAGGGTGTTGGAATTGTGATATTCCAAACCTACCAGCTGATTTGACAGACTGTGTAAAGAAATATGGAGGCTATATGGTTAGAAAATAAGTACCAATAAAAAAAAGCTGACAGCAAGATAAAGCAGCGCAAACAACAAAATAATAGCAATAATTTGATTGTAATTAACTTTTTGTGATACAGAGTTTTCAAATTGTCTAAAACATATGAATAAATACATTGATTGGCTTCCATGTCTTAACCCTGGCCATCTTAGTTAAACAAGGGCCATGTACTGCATTAAATAGGAAGATTATTTCCACTTCTTTGACATTGAACTGTCCCCTAAAGATTTAAAAATAATGTATATGTTCAGTTAAAGGATCATTGCACCCCTTACCTGGTTCTTGTCAAGCTCACAGTTTTTGTACTCCTTCTCCCCCTGCTCTTGAAAGGTGACAATAACAAATCCAACAAAAATGTTCATCATGAAGAAGGCAATGATGATGATGTAAATGATGAAGAAGATGGAGATCTCAGTGCGGTAGTTGTAGATGGGACCCATGTTCTCTTTGTTAGAATCGATAGCCTTGTACAGCAGGCTGCAGGGAAGTATACACACACACACACACACACACACACACACACACACACACACACACACACACACACACACACACACACACACACACACACACACACACACACACACACACACACACACACATTTCAATTAACATCTTAAGTATTATCTCACTTCTTTTTTTTTATTTCATAGAAAATTGTGTGATTTGTCAGGAAATCTTCACCACATTATTTGATGGTCAATCAATGTCTTTTTTGGCTTTAACATTGACATAACAAACTAAATTCTAATATTTGCTGAGCTTTACTTGCAGTGTCTGTTATACATCAGTGTATTCTGTAATAGCAGCCACTACCTTCCTCTGTTCCTTTTTCTACAGCTGAATGCAGGCTGTTGAGAAATACTCCCGATAAAAACTCCTAAATCTCCAGACAGCGACAACACTGTAAATGTATCCTTGTCTATATTATCCTCTACATTCATATTTTTGGATAGCTTTGTTACTTATCAATGCAAGCCAAGATTGTGATTACAATGTTATGTTGAAAATAAGTACAGTTTCCCTTCCCAGCTTATTCAAATATTAAATTATAACATGATAATTCAATAGTTGTCTGTCCTGCTGTTTTTTGATGTTGTCACTGAAAATCTAGTTTGACAGCATTTGTTTGTTGGAAAGTGATACAGATGAACAATAACCAAACTTTTAAAAAGCTTACTCTTCATTTACTGTACATAAAAGTTAGTTCTACTTACGTGGGCCATCCTTCAAAAGTGGACACAGTAAAGAGAGCCATCATAGCCACAAGGACATTGTCAAAGTTAAAGTCACTGTTGTACCAGATCCTGTCCTTCACCAAGAGTGCTGCTGTGTCTCCGTTGTTGTAAAGAATGAAGGAACCTCTATGAGTGGAGAAGAAATCTTAACCTCATATACGCTACAGCCCAGCAGACCAGGATTTTTATGGAGTGTCTACTGATGAAAATCCCAAAGAATCTTACAAAGGGAACTCACTTGCACTCATCTGGACTGGACTTTGCATTGTCTGTGCAGCGGTAAAATTTCCCCTGTGTGAAAAAAAGAAAATAGCAGATAGAGACATCTGATTTTTTTTTTATTTCACACTTAGAGCCTATTACCCTTTCCAACAATCATCTGTGTCTCTTTCCTAGAATAACATTATTCATCTTACCTTGAAGAGCTGTACTCCAATACAAGCAAACATAAACTGCAGCAGTGTGGTGACAATCATGATGTTGCCAATGGTCCTGATGGCTACAAATACACACTGGACCACATGCTGCAAAAGATAGACAGAATTTAAGTAGAAATCCACAATACATAACCATATGTAAAAGCTCATTAATGGTTGCAGATTTATTTTTAGCAATGACATACTGTACATACAAGCAGATACTTAAAACAGCATGTAATTTATTACTCTCCTAACCTTAAGTCCTTTGGCTCTGTTGATGGCTCTGAGTGGACGGAGGACTCTTAGGACACGGAAAATCTTCACTACTGAGATAGCAGAAGACCTATTTGAGAGTTTTTAAAAATGACACTGAATCTGGCTTGTCAAAATCACAGGTTTCTTTTTTCCTGGATGTATTCTTTTAAGCCTTGCCACTAGCAAAGAAAATCAAACATTTAAAAACCACATTTGCTTTACTACAGACTCAGACTGAGATTTCAAAAAACAATTTAACTATACATACTGAATCCCAAAGGAGATCAGAGACACACCCACGACCAGCAAGTCTAAGAGGTTGAAGTAGTTTCTACAGAACGCTCCTTTGTGAAGAAATGCCCCAAATGCTGTCATCTTGCCGAAGGAAGACAAAAAAGGGAAAGAATAAAAAACATGTTCATCAATCACATGCATCTACCATGAAATGCATTAACTGCATTAACGCCTACTATTATTATTTTAGCTGTTACAAAAAAAATGCAGTTGAAAGTGAGCACACTCAAGTTTGCACAGATCAAAATTTGTCTGATTTGAAGAAAAAAAAATCCCAATTTTTTACTATTATGTAATAATGTTCTGTAATATTAATTTTCACCAAAAACTAACAATTTCTAGAAAAGAGCACATTGTTGTAGAGAATACAAGGAAGCATTGTGGTATAACGCATGATAACAGGTCAGGTCTTCTTCTCTAAATAAATCACAGGATCTTAAGACAACTACACACAAAGCTGAACTCTGAAGAGCTTTTCGTTGTAGTACTTGAGTTCAGGACTTAAACTCGATCACTGATCACTCAGACTTGGGCTCATACTCAGACACTGACTGCACTGGGACTTCAAAAATAACAAAGAGGACCTCAGACTTGTGTTGGATGTTGGATTTGTAAAAGTACAAGAGACAAAGACAAGAAAAGCTCTTACACAGACAAATATTCAGGTATATACAACCAAACCAAAGGTTATTTACCTTCAACAGGATCTCAACTGTAAAGATTGCAGTGAAAGCATAGTCAAAATAACCAAGTATCTGCAAGAGGCAGAAGTTAAAATCATGAAGCAATTCAAGAAGAACAGCCCAGTAAAATGCTGTATTTTAATGTAGTAAGAACTCTGATTGTTACTTTAATGAGTAATAATAGTATAAGGTGATGATAGGAACATAAATGGTAACTTTTATATCTGTGTTCAAGTAAGCCAATTCAGCAAGGCAAAACAACAGATCGCTAAATACGGTGACGATGAACAGAAAAAAACAAACAAACAAAAACAACAAACATAATAACTAACAGCCATTATCATTTATTTACATTGTTACTTTTCCTAACCTAACCTGTAAAATTGCCATCTGGGTGGCAGCTACAAAGAGACAAAACAAACAAAAAAACAAACTATATCAAATAAAACAGTGAAGAAAAAAGTGCTGAAGACAGTGGTACACTGTATTTACAATACGTACAATATTGCGAGCAGAGAAGTTGCGTATTGGGTCTTCAGCGGCCAGGGAGACGGAGCTTAGCACAATGAAAATTAAAATGAGGTTGGTAAAGATCTGATGGTTGATCAGCTTGTGGCAGAACACACGAAACCTATAAAGCAAAAAAGAAATTGAGATGGCAGAGAAGGTACAACTGTTAAGTCTGTTACACACTATGTAGCTTTTTGCATCTTTGACTGATTCCAGAACTGCTTCTGCAATTTCTGTTTCACTAGGTAGAGTGGTTCCTGTGCCTTGCTGTATCACCAAACCACATGTTTAAGACTTACGGATTGGTGCTGCTGAAGATAAAAAAGGCGCTGCCAGCTGGGATGAGTGGTGTCTTCTTTTTGATGGTGAGATAGGAAAGCCTCCGAGGGCAGGGTCCTCGTGAAAGTTCTTGGGAGATATCATCACAGTTATTTTCATCACCCACTAGGACAGAGATTTCTTTTTAAATCTTGCTTGACATAAAAATGATCTGTTGCTTTATCACTCAGATTCATAGAAACTAAAGATGTAGTCTATTTAACTCATCTAATAGTCACATTACTCTTTCAAATGACTAAATCATTAAAAAGCTTTTGAAATATCTGCTTTATTATTGTGAAGTTTTGTTTGGACTACTTCTCATGTTTATATTTGAGATATATTTCCCCACAAGTGGAGTTATCTTTATTCCTTGTTCTTTTTAAAAATATGTGAGTTCCCAAAGATTTGATATATCTTCTTGCATTGTACAAAATAATCACATATGACATGGAAATTATGCATGGATATAGGACTTTGATCAAATGCAATGCAATATTGGTGCATAAACATAATTACTGACTGGATATGTGTTCTTTGAATATGCAAGACATCCAAAATCTGATGTTCAATTCTGCTGCAAATTTTGTACAGCAAGACTCATTACCAAAAGAGAATAAATAATAACATGAACCCATGCCTTGTAATGCATTATAAAACCATTTATTAAGCCTTGTTAAAGCATCTAAAAAGCTTTATAACAACCCTTATTAGTGATGCTAAGCATTCATTACAGCACATAGCGATGTTCATAAAGTGTTATAAGCTGTGATCATATTGCCTGATAAAGATATGGTTTATAGTGCATTACACCCTAATGCAAAATAAAAAACTGCCTCCTCTGAATTCTAGGTTTAATAACACATTGTAAGTGTCATAACTTTACCCAGTCATATAGGTTTATACAGAACTCATTGTATGTTTCACCCAAAAAAGATATAATTTCTATGATTCTCAATGTCTTATTAATACTCACAACATGCTAAGGCAGAACCTGGGGCGCGTTAAGTAAAGTGAAACCACTGCATGAGGTTGCTAAGAATTATACTCGTATAACACATTTATGAGAACCTATCACTATCTTTTTTGGCTGCAAGTTGGGTGTCAGAGAATTGAGTCTTTTGCCTTCCTTATCCATGCATCTTGCCCAAAAGTAAGGCTGTATAATGTAAAAAAGTTGTACCTTAAATTAATTTGGTTGATGAAACAACATGAGACTTTTGCCACTGAATACTTTTACTGTTGAAACCTGTCATCTATCACAAAACAATGAAGTGGGATCACAGACAGTCTTTAAGGAGTTAGAAGTTTTGTTATCTATGGACCCAAGGTTGGTCCTTCCACTATGGAAGATGAAATTTCCTTTTACCTGAAAAGTCGTTGGCAGGATCCAGCTCATCGTCCTCCAGTACATTCTCTGAAGACATCTGCATGCAGTAAATTGATTAAACATGATTCAAGTATAAACAGAAATATCCCTTTTGAATTGAATCCCATGACATTTAGTGAATGTCATGGGACATGTATTCACCTTATCTTCGTCTTTCACGCTTTCAAATACTTCAGTCACTTGATGATTGAAAGTGCTTCTGACAAACAAGAAAAAAATCAGTAAAACTAGTTTTACAAATATTAAAAGGTGCAATATTAAGCCATCCTCAGCTTTACTTGGTGCCATCCTGTCTCTTCTTTTCCTCTTTCTGTGCTGAGTTGAGGCTCTCCGCATCTGCCAGGTTGTCAACAGCGATGGCCAAGAAGACATTAAGCAGAATGTCTGTACATCTGGCTTAAGGAAAAAACACTGACCAAAATGTTGTCCAAGTGTAATTTAAAAAATGTGTAACAATGACAACTGACTCTAAAAGGTTTACACAGGCATGCGTGATGATGCAGTGGATTTTTTTTGTTTGTTTGTTTGTTTTTTAGTACAAAAGGAGTGCGAGCATTTGTGATTATTTGTGGCTGGTTGGATACAGTTTCCACAGACAAAGAGGATTATGAAGTAAATGCAGACCACCATTCCAGATGAGGAAGGACCACCATAAGCTATGATACCGTCATACATCACAGTGTTCCAGTCTTCTCCTGTCAAAATCTGGAAAACACAATAAACTGAGGAGGTAAATCCAATTCTTTTTTTCCATAAATGATTAGAAAAATTTTAAAAACACTGTTGTTCACTATGTGTTTACTCTGTGCTACTCTGCACTGTCCATATGATATTTCATCATCATTGTTATTGTCATTGTCTTGCTCCTTATCGAATGCCAATGTTCAAAAGCCATGACACCAGTAATAAGGCTGAATTTAAGTGTGTTCATGAATATTTGTGTCCTTATGTGGATCAGAAGAAGCCCAAAGCAGTGCCTAGACCAAATGCTCAAATGTTTGTCTAGAAAATCTCACAACATGCACCCTGTAACTCATGCCATTAATCTTGTGTGCTCATTTGAATCCTAATTCAAATGCTGTAAAGTCTGTTCTAGTTTTTAAACTTTGAGGTATGAATTCAAGAAATTTCCAAACCTATTAAACCTCTGAACATGAGATCAGAGGAAGTTGTTTAATTCTAAAAGCTATTTGTACTATTTTATATTTTTCTGTACTGTTCCAATAGGATTTCTTACAAAGAAAATAAATGGTATATCTTGTGAGTTTGGACCTCACAACAAATTGATGACTTCGAGTTTAAAATTAGACACATGTTACAGACAGTACTCAAGTCAAAAACTAGATGGGGCTGTTTTTAGTATTATTTCTGTTTAACCTCTGAAATAGACCTTGAGAGGGGGGCAGATAACTGATTTTTTGTAAATTTCATCCTTTGATATATAAAATTCACTCATTAATTGTATGGTGTTAGCATAAGGTAATAACTTTAAGTTCTTTACACCTCATACATTTTTCAAGATAACTTGTTTTTTTCCCAAAGAAGGACACTGAAGCACGTGGATTGCTATTAAGATTTTTTTGTTCAAATTGTTTGATCTTTATAGACTGTGTGATCAAGTCTTATGATTTTTGCAAGTTTATTTTAATTAAGTAAAATCAAAGACTCACCTGGAAGACTGTGAGCAGGGCCTGAGGGAAGTTATCAAATGTGCTCCTTTTAGTCACAGTCTCATCAAAGTTGAACTTGCCTCCAAAAAGTTGCATACCAAGCAGGGAGAAAATAATGATGAAGAGGAAGAGCAGCAGCAAGAGGGAGGCAATGGACTTCATGGAGTTGAGTAGAGATGCCACCAGATTACTTAGAGATGCCCAATGACTGTAAAAAGATTACATTAACTAATTATCAAGTTGATGAAAGAATAGACTAACAACAAAAACACTCTATTTCAAAGGCATTATCCAGATAAAAACAACTAGGTTAATAATACTACAACTTTTAGTCATACACCAAACATCTCTCTAACTTGAAGGGCAAATCTTGGGAGAAGTTAAATTTAGCATGAAAAAAGTAATCTACTGTGCATCTCTCGCTGACAGAGGATAACCTTCTGTAAGTTTGTCTTGTTGTTGTTGTGTGTGTGTTTAATTCTAGCCATATGTCATGATATGTGCTGTTTGAGTTAGTTTTTCCCTGGAGTGTGTTTTCTTTGTGATTTTCCCTAGTGTCTCTGTTTCCTTTTGTTCCAGTTCCCCTGTAGTCTTGTCAAGTGAGTTTTCAGTTTGTGCCTTACCCCGATTCCCTCATGTTGTCAGTGTTTTATTGCTTATATCAGTTTTCAGTGCATTTTATTTTGAGGTAGTTTATTCCCTTTTAGTCTTGTCCTCAGTTTTCCCTCTTCGGCAATTGTTTGCACCTGTGTCTCACTGTCTCACCTGCCTCTTGTTGCTCGTTTCCCTGTGTGTATATATAGTCCCTGTCTTCCCTTGTTTCCTTGTCCGTTCATTGTATGTTCATGCCTCTGTGTGACTCCAGTGTCTCCTCATGGTTTTTTCTCCCTTGTGTTTTTTTTATTCCTTGTATTTGGCTCCTTGTGTTTTTGACTTTGGGATTTCTTTTGGTCGGACTATTTTAAAAGTGAGTTTTTGTTGCTCCTTCTTTTAGTTCCTTTAAAATAAATCCTCTTTTTTGATCTGCAATTTGGGTCCTTTCCCTTTTTTGGTTAACTCCAGAATGTGACACCATGCTTAAACTTGTGAGAAATAAAAGTTAATCTACTACTGTGGTAGCCCTAACTTTTGTTTTCACATACAATATAGGCAGCTCAATATGGATCCAGCTGTTGAGGTCAGAGCTAAAACAGATCAAGGCCTAAGACAGGGTGCAGCCTTCACCCTGAGTTGGCAAAAGAATTTCTCAAAACTTAATGCTTTTTATAGTCTAAGTAGGTTTAAACTTTTTTAAGTATTATAAAGATGAATGTTATTATAGTCAGATGTGAAATGAACTGATCCTGGGAAATGGGCTTGGTGCTGTTGAAGTGATTTTTTCCTAGCTTTTCTTCCTGCATTTTTCAGTCAAGTTGAACAGATCTTGTTTTGAGTGTGTGTTAAACCCCCACAAGCCCCCTCCACAAAATGATGGCCATCTTCTACTGAGTTTCATCAGTACTACTGATTTCTGACATTTTTCGTTTGTGATTGGTAATGGATTTAAAACACCAACTGCACCAACACTGCCCCTCATTAGTAAACATGTCCAAAGAAACCCTGGGTTTCTTTGGACATGTAGAGTCTTGTTGATCAGTTTTATGTGACCACTTAGGGTGATCTTTGATTGTTGAAGGAAAGCCAGATTATAAAAAAGACCACTGGCTGTTGAACTTGCTTCATAGCACTTCACATCCTTGTGAAGTGATCGTGGTTCCTACGTGTCCTTTACTGTTTTGCAGTGCAGGGTTCCAATAATGCTACCATATAGAGTTCTACCTGAAGCATTTGGCTACTTACATAGAAACTGGTGTACCCATTGTGGTTTTCAGAGTATACCTAGGTTATGTATCTTTACTATGGAGGTCTCATGTAATTTCTGACCATGATTAGGAGGCAAGATTTTTTTTTTTAAATCTTCAACATGTTGTATTACTGTTGTACCTGTTTACACATAACTGTCAAGGAGAATTTGTTTTATCCAGATATTGAACTTTTGCCACTGTCCTTCAGCCATATTGGGCTCTATTTTTGTGCCTCGCCTGCAGCATGGCCTAGGTCAGGTCCACCGCGCCGATGAGGTGTGCCCAAGCACACTTTGGTATTTTGGTGAGCGGCGCAGCCCGGCCTAAGTATCCCCGTTTCCTAACTCAGCTCCTCCCAGCAGCATAAGTAGAGAGGGAGGGGAGAAGGCATGGAGTGGGTTTAACACAGCTGAGTCCTGTTTTCACCAATCACATCAGCTCCTCTCCTCACCTTTAAATGCACCACTGGTGAGGCGTATTGCAAATTTCATGAAGTAGTCAAAGAGATGACTGAGGACAGCAATGCCACACAATGGCTGTGCGCCAGGTTCAACTAGACGAAAATACCACTGCACAGGGTGTACCACCCTCTGCCACGCCGCCGGCAGGCACGAAAATAAAGGTCTGTGTGATGTTCTCCATGATACTGTTGCTAGGATACACCACATCACCATGTCACCCTCTCCTCTCACCTGACTGGATTGACACAGTTTGTTCACTGTCCTACCAGGCAAAACAAACCCTGGATCGACTGTATGCCAATGTCAAAGAAGCTTAGAAGGCCACTACCCTACCACCTCTGGGCAGGTCAGATCACAACTTGGTTTATCTGCAGTTTTTTGAGTTTCCAGACAAAAGAATTTCCCTTTGGGGAAACATAAAGTTCTTGTGTTGTATTGTATTGTATATCTTTGGAATAAGGAAGTTAGATGATTAACAATTGCATTCAAATAGATATTGATGTGTATACTATTTGCCCCCAGTGATATACAGATATTATCACTTCAAATCTATCATTGTTTTTGTATGGCTTGAAAAATTGTGCAAATATATGCCATCTAAGAAACAGTTACAATAATTCAGAGGGGCAGGTGACAACAGTTTGTGACTGACAATTTCAGTAGCCCCACTGCCTATCTGTCTGGACAGCAGGTGGGTAGAAGAGATGGCTGAAACTGACAGATTGTCAGACTGAACCTAGTGATCGTAAAGTCCAGCAACAAATTTAAAAGGCAACTTCTGTATTTTTCAACCCAAGCCCCATTTCCCCATGTGTTTATGAGCATTTTACTGATGAAAAGAACCCTTTTTGAAATTGGTCCATTAAGAAATAGAGCGGAGCAGGCACAAAACAAGCTAAATTGTAGCAACCATGCATTGTCAAACTGGGTCCACTACAAGTGCTGTATTTATATATACAGACTCAGGTTGTAATTACAAGTATTTAGAGTGGAATGGCAAGTGTTTCCTTTATCTTCCACTTGTGCCAGCCTGTGTACCCCTAAACCTCGTCAGCAGTGAAGTGTCAATCTGATGTCTTGTAAGATCTCACTAGCTGCAGGATTACAACACAGGACATGTGAGTAAGTGACAATAGGAGACTCAGAGAGTACTGGGACCAGCTTGTTGCAGAACAGTAACATAGCAAAAAAAAATTTGAAACATGGAAGAATATGTGCCTGATTTTGACTGTGAGTTCGTTGAATACTTTGACCAACCAAATTTATTTCAGCCAGAGTATACTGATGAAAAGCCCCCACAGGCTGATGAGCAAACAAGGAGGTAGAGAGGATTAACAAGAGAGGAGGGCGGCGCAGCTGCTACAAGGCCTTGAAGCTTGGGAGACTGGTGGTGTTCCTTTGGGTGCTGTGTAGGATTTGTAATAACAATCTGAACCCGTCAGCGATAAAATAAGGCACTTGTACTGGATGCAGTTTGACAATTTTCATTTGCCCTGCCAAACTATGTTTCAGCTCTTTTCACAGCTGCTCAGTACTGGACCAATTTCAGAAATCATTTTCACCATCAGTCAAGCAAACACAAACACATGGGAAAATACGTCCCAGGTTAAAAAAATACCAAAGTTCCCTTCTAGTGTCTGGAATTTTATACAAACACATCTTTAAAAGCAGGAATAGAGCTAAAAACAAAAAACTCCAATGGAATACATTTAATAAAAATGTCATTCCTGTTTTAATAAAAAGAATTTCAGTAAATTGAGAGTTTAAAACATCAATGCAATATTAGCATTCAGTTTCATTGCTCACCGTGTAACTTTGAAGATCCTGAGGAGACGCACGCAGCGGAAAACAGAAATACCCAAAGGAGACATGATAGCGAGCTCCACTAGGATTGTCTCTATGATACCTCCACAAACCACGAAACAATCAAAGCGGTTGAACAAGGACACAAAGTAGGCCTGTAGCCCCAAACTATACATCTTTACTAGCATCTCCATGGTGAACATTGCCAAGAGAACTTTGTTGGCCACATCTAAAAAGAAAAAGAAAAAACATAAACACATATCATAGTTGCACAATATTCAAAAAAATCTGTGGGATACAGTTTTTATTATCAGCCGAAAAAAAAGTTAAAAAATAATACCCTGTACTTCAGTCAGCCAGTCTGGCTGGTTGTAGTGTTCAGAAGCAATGGTGAGGGTGTTAAGGAAGACCAGGATTATAACCAGCCAATAAAATGTTACAGATTTTACTGCTGAACGACACTTCCTGCGGCAGAAACGATTCCAGCGTCGCCCCTGACGACTAACAGAGAAGAAATTCTCTTTAGAACACTTGCAACAACCTTACTAGAGTGTGGTTTCAGGATAAAATGTATTTTAATTTTCTGTCATGATAGATACTTCCCAGTGATTACATTTTCTAAACCCAAATTCTTGGATTTTTTTCCTGAATTTCAAATGTATATTTATTTTATTTTATTTTAGGCTGTCGGCATGTATACACAAGAATGCAATGTGATAGAGGTCAAATCAATGCAAGTTTTTCATCCCCTACCATGGTTAAGCCATCGCTTCTGCTGCTGCATTGATGGAAAATAATGACATCACTCTCTTTTGAAAGGCAGATTTTAATAAAACAAAACAACTCCCAGACACCTCAGTTAAAATATGTGAGGCAATATAAACTTTGTATCAAACAAAAGAAAAATCGTTTTTAGTTTCAGCTTCCTCCTTGCATACAAATGCAGCAAATCGCAATGCTGTCAAGGTACAACCACATCACAAAAGCTGGTGTCACAGTTTGACTGGTGCTGGATTAACTGTTGGCACCCTGTGTAGATGTTTTGATGGTTCAGCTTGTGAGAACCTTTGCTTGCCAAATAACATAAAATGTCTTTTAATGCCACTCGCTCCCTGATTCAAGTCTTCTTTCCTTGAAAAAGGGGCACGACAGAAAAGTTTAGGACCATTGGTTAAAATGGTAAGAGAGCCCATGGCCCGGGACAGCTGACCCATTGATTCCATGATCAAATGTGGCATAACATTAATCAGGGACTCTGAGTACATTCCAAGGCATTCATTTGATTCACATAATGCTACACAAGAAGGATTCTCCTTCACATTGTTAATATAAACTGTTTTGAAATTGAAGAGGATTTCATTTAATACATGAAAAATTAATCAAGAGTTTGATAGCACAAATTTGATTTAGGTTTTTTATTTTTTACATGAGCAGTTGTGCAAGTAGTGAAAAATGGTAGGGAAAAAAAACTAAGTGCAATTAAAAACAAAGCTAAATTTAAAAAAAGATTGAACTCACTTTGTTGGCTTACCCAAAATCCAATATGTTGTGATTTTTTAAGAGGACAGCTTCTTTTCATTTTAACAGCAAAGAAATTAAGTCACACTCACCCAAGTGGTCCACAGCAGAGAGATTTCTCCTCCACTTCATTGTGATCTTCAGTGTTCACTGACTCTGTTTCACTTGTAGGCTTACTTGCTGTTGTTCAACACACAAAGAAACAGAGTGATGACAAAGGATATGCTGAAGTGCCAGAGTAACATAGAGGTTAAGGGCATTTTATGTTGATAGAAAAATATAATCCAACAAATTGTTATTTTGCAATTGGCATGTGTGCATGCATGTGTGTTGGTGTGCGTGTGTTTGTGTAGTATGGATGGTGAGGGAGAGGGGCTTTGTTTGTAATGTTCCTATTTTTTCTGTGTGTAAAGCACTATTTGTTGCATGTCCATGCATGAAAAGTGCTCTATAAATAGTTTGATTTGATTGTATTTGATGATTAATGGTTGTGCCAAGCTTTATTGAAATTGAATTGTAAAACTGAATCTGAATTGTGTGACTTAAATTGAAATTTTTATATTGTAATTACACAAATTAGAGAGTTGAATTTTCAAACAGTTGCTGCTCCCACTCTGTGGAATGCCCTGCCTCAGTCTGTGCGTTCTGCAACCAGCCTCACCTCCTTCAAAACGCACCTTAAAACCTACCTGTTTACCCTAGCTTTTGGTTGACCTGCTTTTACTCGCGTACGCTTTTCTTTTATTGTTGTTATTGTATGTTGCCCTTTTAATGTTGCCATACTTGTAGCTTTTATTATTTTATGTTTTTTTCTCCTGTAAAGCACTTTGTCTGGCCTGTCCTATAAAGGTGCTATATAAATAAACATGACATTGACATTGACATTAAATACAATCTCAAAGCAGATAAATCCTGTTTCAAAGCATTAATTTCAATTTCAAATCATGCTTTTAAAATTCAGTACAGTTATTTGATTTCAGTTTCTGGTGGCACAGATCTCAGCCCATACTCATCCATCCAAATAAGTTGGTGCTAACACAAAAATATGAACAAAAGCAGTTTTCCCAGATGAGGTGTTGTAGCCATTTTGAACTTAAAAACACAATTTATTATAGAAAGCTGCTGAGTTATAGTTCAAATGTAAAACAGAGTTGGTTTATGAGTAAATATTTCTCATGTCATCATTTTAATCACATGATTATGGAAAAACATCACAGCTGGTAGTGTCGGTCTGCTAATTTTGGATAGGTAAAGGCTGTGGTCTTATACAATTTTTGACCACACTTTTTTGTTTCTAAGTAAAAGCAGGACCTCTGTTATCTTTGGAATTTGGTATTATTTTTAAGAAGGTTTTGTGGACATTTCTTACTTTGAATTTTGGAAATAAACCCTCCAAACTTTAAAGTCGCTGTTTTTTTTTTTTTTGTGTGTGGCCTCACGCCACAAGCTGTTCATCAGCAACAGGTTATAATGCCATGAGACCAGACAAATGTGCTTCCTTTTTTCTATCACTGCACAAGTGTCATATCCCAGAGCCCCAAACACTCTTTCGCCAGTAAAACAATATCTAGCACAAGTCAAGCACAAGGCATCTGCAATACTAACCCTTTACCGCAGTCTGTCTTTACAGAAAAAGAGTTGAAAAATATCAAAGCGCTGGTTTTTAATTTTATACAATCTCAGGTGAATGTTGATCTCGTGATGTTAATAAATGTTTGACAGACAAATACTGTTTATTTATTTTCTTATTTTTTTGAATGAATCACGATTGTTCAAGTGCCCCATCTTATTACCCTTACCCAGAGAAAATCTATTTTATAGACTGCTAACAGTGACATTTCCAAGCATGGGCAACTTGGTTCTACAGTCTCCTTTTATAACAGACTTAAGAAAAAGCATACGTGAGTCTGTCAGAGCAGAGTAACAACAATACTGTTTGCATTGTTTTCTCATGTCCCTTTCCTCCTTTAACCTTCATTAAATTTCGAATTCAATTAGCAAACTCACTTTTACGTTTTCCCTCCTCATCTCCCTTCTCCTCATTTTCAGGGTCAATATCCTCAGCTTGTGTGATCCAGTCCAGGTAGCCTTTCAAGTCTTCCTCTAACTGCTGCTTCTCACGTAGCTTCTGAAAATCTCCCCGAGCCTTGGCCTTCTCTCGTTCTTTGGAAAACTCTCTGGGAAGTTCAAAGCATATTAACAATTTTTGATTATTAATTATTATTTTTGCAGGTAAAGGCAATTAATAGTTTTTGACACAAATTTGTGCAGTCTTGTGGATTAAATTGGATTAAATTTAAATAACAAATTAAATCATTAACAATGTCACAATAATACAATGTTACATTAATACAGTTTGATTTAGCAGATACCTTTTTTTCCTATATGACTTAAATCTTAGAGTAAATACAACACAAGATAAGACCTCAACAGTGAAAAAAAAGGCAAATAATGGCTCCAATCAGTCACTGGTACCAAAATAGAGTGCCAGAGGCAATGCACAGAATTTACAGAAGCATTTTCTTTTTATATAAATATCAAAATCCTCAAAGCATCAGCAATAACGTAGACCACATCTTCATGAAGCCTAAATATAATCATTATCAACATCAATGTCATCGACATCTTATCCAGCACCAAACTATCAAGTGCAGAGTTGCTCGCAAAGAACTGGGTCTAAAGCCCTATGCTTGGACTCTGGGGACAAAATGTATTATTGTCACTTTGTAGTATTGTTCCACTATAATTTTGTCAATGGTTTAAAGCAGTGGTTCTCAACTGAGGGGGGGTATGGAACCAATATGATTCCCGTTTACATCCCGGTCAGTGCGTTTAATCCATTTGCATTGTGTGAAAATTTTTTTTAGCTCGCTTTGCTACAGGTGTCCTGATAGAAGCTGACAGGAGGAGCATCTCTGGGCTTGGTACCGAGTCCAGACCACAGGTCCAGACAGGCTGTGACTGACTCTTTTATTTAAATATTTTATTGCAGGTTCATTCATTACATACATGTTCACTTCATGGGAAAAGGGAAAGGTAGAGAACCGAAGAGAAAAAAAAAAGAAAAAAGGAAGGGGGGGCTCCTAAATCTGTTTTTATGTTTCATGTATTTATGGGACCCACTTACTCTAGTTTCTTTTAAATTAATTAATCTCTTTAACTGTTTTTTTTTTCCAATCATTACTCAATGGTGGCTTTGCAGAAACTTGTAGTATTGTAAACAGATATTTATCCCCTTCTCTATGTGTTCCTAATGGAATAATACCTAACAAAATATTAACTGGGTGTAAGGGATTCTTTAGGCCTAATGTATTTGTTATTTTTGATTGGCTTCTATTTCTGCACATTTCCTCCAACATTCAGCACTGCCTGCTGGTCTATATTTTGATAAGATTTTGGGTGTTAAAAAATCATGTTAATTTTCTAAGCAAATTCTCTCCAATACTTAGAATGTGTTGTCTTAAAAATTCTTTTACATGCTTTCTTTTCAGTCTTCTTCGCATATTGTTATTGTTAATTCATTTTCCCATTTTTCTTTCGTGTTATCTACTTTAATCTTAATTTCTTGCATAATTTTATACAGTTTTGAGATTTTACTCTTTTCACTATTTCTATTTTTGCTCAAAAACTCTATCATCTCTTGAATTCTCTGTCCCTTATCTCTTTGCTGTTTCATGAGGTAACTTCTAATTTGTAGAAATTTAAAGAAATGATTACTGCTTATATTAAAAGTATTAACTAAAGTTTCAAATGAATCTATCGTGTTATTTGTAATCATCTGTGAATACACTTGTAATCCTTTTCTAGCCCATTCTTGTGGTATTTTATTGGTTTTATTTGGCAGAAAATCCGTATCTCTGAATAGAATACATTTCCAATTTGTTAATGTGTTTTCAATACGTGTATTATTTCCACTATAATTTGAATATCCTTTTAACTCAAATGAGGTAATGTTCCAATTGATTAAGCCTAATGGCTTAATTGTTTTTTTTTGTTAGTTTCCATTTTGCTTTAAGAGAGTTATACATCCATTTCATTATGATTTCTATTTGAGTAGCATAAAAGTAGGTCATTAGATCTGGGAAATTAAGCCCCTCATTATCTCTGGTTTGAGTTAACATACTGAGTTTTTTCCATTTACTTTTATAATTCCAAATAAAATTTGAAAGCGTTGTACTCCATCTTTTAAAGCTGTTATGTGGTATGGAAATTGGCAAAGTCTGAAATAAAAACAGAAATTGTGGAAGAATCATCATTTTAACACTTTCTATTCTACCCAGTATTGATTCTGGTATTACCTTCCATCTATTTAGATCTTGCCTAACTTTATTTTCTAGAGCTTGATAGTTATCTTTATACAATGTTGTTAGATCTCCAGTAAGATAAATTCCCAAATATTTAATTTTCTTTGAATCCCATTTCAGTTTATATCTTTCCTAGTTTCTGTTAATAACTGTTCACCAAGTGTTAATGCTACAAAAACTTTCATTTAATTTATAACCTGAATGTTTACTATATTCTGAAATTGCTTCTATAAAATTTGGTAAAGATTGGTCGGGTGATGTTAGGTAAATGAGATCATCATCTGCGTATAATGCCAATCTATGTTTCTCCTCCTTATAGTTATTCCTTTATGTTATTATTCTTTCTTAAACTTTCTGCTAGGCCTTCCATACATATTGCAAATATTACTGCTGAGAGCGAATCACCTTGTCTTGTACCTTTGTATATTGGGAATCTTCTAGATATTGTGCCATTAACTTTAACTCTTGACATTGGATTTTTATAAATTGCTTAAAGCCACTCATTAAACTTCTCATAAAAACCAAAGCTTCTTACAATTTCAAACATAAAAGGCCATAAAACCCTATCAAGTGCTTTTTCGGCATCCAACATCAAGAGTAGAAGGCTTGTATTATTTTATGTGCATAATCGATAATATTTAGAGTACTTCTAATATTATCTGACAACAGCCTACCTGATTTAAAACCACATTGATCACTATCTATTATATGCGTCACTATGTCCTGTAATCTACTGGCTATAATTGATGTTATTTTATAATCTGCATTCAATAGTGATATTGGCCTATATGAGGAACATTTCGTGGCATCTTTGCCTTCTTTGTGAATCACTGTTATTATAGATGAATTCCAAGTGGCTGTCCATGTTCCTTTTTGTAATGCAAAATTGTAGGCTTGTAGAAGTAATGGCACCAACTCTTTTCTAAATGTTTTATAAAATTCATTAATATATCTGTCATTACCTGGTGTTTTGCCCATTTTTAATTGTTTTATTTGTTGTAATATTTCCTCTGCTGTGATTTCTTTAATTAACTTTTCATTTTGCCTTTCTGTTACCTGTTGTAAATTCAACTTATCTAAGAAACCTTTCATTTGTTCCAAGATAATATCGCCTGTATTGGTGTTATTAAGTTTTTCATAATATTTAGCAAATTCTTCAGCAATTTTTTCTTTTTCTGTTATGATTTCAGAGCCGTTTACTGTCTTCTATGTAGTAAGTATGATTTTTTACTCTGAGTCTTAAGTCTATATGCTAAGGAGTTTATCTATTTTTCATGCAATTTTTAAGTTGAGTTCATTTGTGTTTTTTAATCTTTCTTCCAAGATTTGTATTTTTTGTTCAAGCATCTTCTGTTTTTGTTGTCTTTGTCTTTTCTTCAATGCACTGTAAGCCATTACATGTCCTCGTAACACTAATTTAGCACCTTCCCATAAGATGATTGGATTAGTATCCCCACTATCATTTATCTCTAGATATTCTTTTGGAACTTTATTTATTTTCCCCACAAATAGGTTATCCTTTAGAAATGCGTTGTTTAGTCTCATGTTTTTTCTCCTTCCTTTATATTTAGATTTATAGTTATAGTTACGGTAGTGTGGTCTGATAAATCTCTTAAGCCAATATTGCATGTTTCAATCAACTCCACATCTTTTTTAAACGTGAAATAATAGTCTTGTGTATAAGAAGTTGAGAATCGTCCTGAATGGTATGTATATACTTTCTTCGTTGGGTTTGCCATCCGCCATGTGTCTACCAATCCAAACTCTGACATTGCGCCTCTTAAAAATTGATGTTGCTTTATCAGCTCTATGTGCTGTATTATTTGAGGAATCCAATCTGGGATTTATTGTGAGGTTCATATCTACCCCCATCAAAGTAATTCCTTTACAAAAAATTCCTTTTTTCATTAGCAGTTCAATTATTTCTGACATATTTTCTGGGCCTAATTCTGGTGGATAGTATATATTTAAAAATAAAACTGTGATTGACTTAATTTTACCAGTTACTAAAACAAACCTGCCCTCTTTATCAGTTATACGATTTTCTTCTTTAAATGACGTGTGGTTGGATAATTATAGCAACACTCTTCTTATGTGATCTATATGACCTGGATTAAATGAAACCCTTACCCAACTTGTGCTCCTTTTTCATAAAATGAGTTTCTTATAGGAAGAGGACATCTCCTCCAGCTCTTTGCAACTGAAGGAAAATCCTCCCCCTCTTAATATGATTATTCAGTCCATTAACATTTAATGAAATTATTTTCAACTTTGTCATATCACCTATTAACAGTTTTTAGTCTTATTATAAATTATTTTGAATTTTTTTTGTATTTCGAACTGAAAAATTGAGTAGGGTCAAATCAGGAGCGCTATAGGAAAGAGGGAGGAAGAAAGGGAAAAAAAAAGAAGAAAAGAAAAAAAAAAAACCCTAGACACGTTCAACTTGTACCACCTAAAAGTCAGGTAGTAGTTGGCAATGACCATCGTTGAGGTACCCAAATGTTTCTAAGGGCATACTGTATCAGCCCCCATCAAAACTTCACTGTGACTGACTCAATGTATCAGAACAGTGAGGCAGTCCGTGATTGATTTGAGGCTGTGTTTATCAAACATTGCGCCAAGAATTAAGGATCTTTGCAAGCAAAAGCATGCTCAGGTCTCACATTAACATCGCTGACCAGTGCCGGGGGCTGAGAACCCCTGATTTAGCGAAAAGGATTTATGTGCAAACGTACTGAACAAGATCAGCCATGTTAAAAACTTACCCACTTAACACGCCCAAAACCAAGTTGAGAACAAAGAAGGATCCAAAGATGACCAAACTGACAAAGTAGACCCACGGTAGATCAAAGCCCATTGCATCATTCATCTACATTGAAGCCAAAGCATTAAAGGATGTTAGAATATGTATTGTCACATCCTCAGTTTAATTATTGGGCAAACAGTTTTCAATAAGATGTAGTTTAAAGCTGTGAAATTTCATATAAGGAAGATCAATTCATCAATTTCAACATGTACAGCATCTCACAAAACTGAAAATTAAAATCAGGGCTAAAACATACTTTTAAAAACTAAAAAAAAACAACAAGTTTGACGTGAGCACTTGAATCTTGCACAACAAGAAACTTAACTCTCTTGACTAAGATACATTAATCTGATGTTGTATGCCATGTGAAGTCTGAATGTACTGTATAAATATATCAAAAATGTTCCTCCACTGCTTTAGCAAAATTATTCCTGAATGTCTCATCAATGTTTCTCAAATTAAACTTCATAAAATTAAAGGGGGAGGAGAAAATGATATTGGTAATACCTTTTTAGTCATCTCCTTTTCTTAATGTAAAAGTACACTGTCTTGAAGTACAATATAATTTGTCCCTGTTCCATTTTTTCAGCACTATTTGCAGTCCATCTGTATGACATGTTAAGGATTAAAGGTCTCTAAGGATTAAGCTTTAGCTCGTATTCTGTCTCTCTTTCTCTCTCTCTGTGTCACATATTTCGCTGCCTGTAAAAGGCTTTTCTTGGCTGTCACTGGCTCTGAAAAGAATCTTAAGTGTATATAAACAACATTGCAAGAAGCATGATCTATCTCAACTCACTGCATAAATAAAGAAGATCAAAACAAAAGTCCTCTTGATACACGTATTTGTTAAAATTAGACAATTAGATCATAGTAGAAGGGGAATCACAAGAGGGGACAAGATATCGAGAGAACAATGAAATCACACAGGAATGGTATATCAATAGTAGATTCTTTTGCCTTCTTGGGGTTGATTGCCATTTGGACATGATGGCATGTTTTTTGTTGTTTCTACAATGGGTGAGTCCATGACAGAGTTAAAAGGCTTCTCATTTCAAAATTAGGTTTTCATGGTTTCATCTAAAATTTGTGGTGTTCCGCCTTAAAAGTTCACATTTCCTCAATCATGCCAGTGTGGCTTTGTGACCCACTGACCTCTCAGCGACCTGTTGCTCATCAGATAGGATATAATGACATTTTACTGTCGAGTAAGAATGTCAAGCACACTGTCAAGAGCATTATCTTAAGTTGAGCTTGTGCCATTTGTTTCAGAAACCTTCAAAAAATGGTGTGCAACCATGTCGTATTTATTTTAGTTTCAAACAGCCAGGAAGTAGTACAATAGTTACCCAGTAAAGAACGTCGGTCCAGCCTTCCATTGTAATGCACTGGAACACAGTAAGCATTGCAAATAAAATGTTGTCAAAGTTGGTGATACCATTGTTGGGGCCTTGCCAGCCTTCTCTACAAACTGTGCCATTGAGCAGACAATGGCGGCCATGTCCTGATACAGAACATGGTGTGGACTCTTCTTCTGCAAGGGCACCTGGAGGCACAGAATAGAAACAATGCTGGTGCTTCATTGAGGCTTCCAAAAGTTGCCAACACTAATCTCACTTAAAGTTATACTACTTTACAAGTGATTCAGAGTGAGTATAATATTAAAAATGGCTTGCTTCTATTGACGAGAGTTGTGCAGTCAACAGGCAAACATTGTCTTGAAAAACAACAACATACTTACATACTTTCAAGGTATTTGTGTCCTCCCTCTAACAATTAAAATTTTTGACTTGCCTGTCAAAGCTCTGTTTACAGTGACAACCATCCATCAGTTTATCCTTAATTGTTGACTTACATTCCTATGTAGCAAATAATACCAAATCAAAGGCCAAGCTCTACTCCAAAACTAAATAATAATGACCAGATCATAGCCATAGAACACCTGGATTTAATCCACCATCCAGGGATGGTAGATGATATTAGTGATAGCAATTGCAATTTATAGCAATTGCTATTATTAATAGAAAAAGTATATACAGTGCTTTGAAAAAGTACAACTGCAGTCAAGCATTTGCGATGACTGGCAATGAGTTTTTCACACCACTTTGGCAGATTTTTTGCCCTCTCTTGTTTGCAGAATAATTTTAATTCAACCATATTGGAGGGATTTTGTGCATCAACAGCCTGTTAAAGGTTAGGCCACAGCATCTTAATTGGATGAGATAAGACCAGACTTTGACTAGAACCTTCTTTTCTTCCCCTTTTTCTTTCTTTTTATTTTTTGAGTCATTCAGAGGTGGAATTGCTGGTGTGCCTTAGATCATTATCCTGCTGCAGAAGCAAGCAGCAATTACGTTTAGGTGGCAATTACTTTTCACATAGGGCTATGTTGGTTGGGATAGCTTTTTTCCCCCCAATTATCAATGAAATCATTTGAAAACAGCTTTTTTTATTTATTCAGGTTATCTTTGTCTTGTATTCAAATTTGTTTGATATTATAAAACATGTAAAAGTAACAAGAGCAAAAGCAGAAGAAATCTGTAAGGGGGCAAGTACTTTTTCACAGTGCGGTATGTCCAGCATTTCATCCACATGCAATAACATACACCCATAGAATTAATTTAATAAAATACTTAAAATACACCTATGACTGATAGCTAGGGAAAAAATAAGGTCTTTTCACTGCCATACCTGTTTTTATAACATAGCAGGTTGCATGCATTTTGCCAATGAAGAGCTCGAGGCCAATGATGGCATAGATGATAATGACGAAGAGGACCAGCAGAGCGATGTGAAGCAAGGGAACCATGGCTTTAATGATGGAGTTTAGAACCACCTGTAAACCTGCAAACACAAAAGTCAAGGTCCGAGGAACACAAAATCATAAACAGGGATACACATGGTTGCTCAGAGTTTAACCAATATATTATTTTCAATCAGATTTTTTTTAATGCGTGACTTACAGTTATTGTCACTACGCTTAAAATTATTTTCTAAATTTAGCTAATTGATAAAAAAAACTCAGAAATGGCAAACACAATGGGCTCTATTTTTGTGCCCGCCGGAGGCACAGTGGAGGGTGGCACAGCCAGCGCAGTGGTATTTTCGTCCAGCGGAGCCCGGCGCGCAGCCAGTTTAGTATTTTGTTTGACTGAGGCATACTGAGGTTCGCTAAGCTGAGCGTGGTGGCGCAGTATGGAGAGGTGTCAATAGAACCAGCTGGCGCAGTGACACTTTCTTGCCCACCGGTTGTGTGGAAAGTGTGCTGTAAGCTCGCCCATTCAAACATGGTCAGCTTTTAGCGCAAGCGAAGTGCAGCTGGTCTAGTGGTATTTTGGTAGACTGGCAGCGTAGTGTGCACACGTCACCGATGCCTCACTGGCAGGTTTCCACAGTGTCAGGCACATTTCAGTGCAATAAATGATCAACAACAACCAGTATTCACTGCAACTCTCTGAATCAGCACATACAATTAGAACTGTATCGATATATTCTGATCTATATCTTATCTGATTAGTGCGTTTGGACACTAAATCTGATCGAATTAACACAGCTGAGACCGCATTAAGATAAATATCAAATAAATAGTCACACATTATGATGTTTACAAGATATTTAATTCATCTCCCTCCCTTTTTTCTCTTCCTCTTCTTTCTCACGCAGCTTAACCTGGACATGTCTCCTTGTCCTGTCCCCATTCTACTGCTGCAACGGCAAGGCTGACCAGATGATTTATTTTAGTGATCAGATTAGGTATTCACTCCGAAAATCTGAACAAAAGAATAAAAGTAACTTTAATTTAAAATAACCTGCTTATCTGATGTTCTCACATCCTTAAAATTCTGCAAATATTATTTCACTGAATATTAATTATGTGAACAAATAATATAATGTTCAGTTGCCTGAGTTCATTTTATATGCCAACATCAATGAAAGAAAGAGCCAGACCACGGAGCTTAATGCAACCTTTATGCACACGTGGTTCTGTTTTAAATGCCTTAATTGGAATTTGTTTATGTTGTGATCTGTGCGCACAACCCTCCTTTGTCACCTGGGGTTTAAATATATGCAACTTTATGTGAGTGTCTTTATGTGTAGAAAAGGGCGTTTGTCCTACAAGTGGGTCCAACCTTACACACACCAAATCCCTCTGTGCTTATTTGAGAGAGTGTGGAGGACGCCCTGCAGCAACACTTGTTGAGGGGCTGCCTCCTGGCACCAGCACCATTGTTGCGCTGCTGTCTTCAGTCATCTCTTCGACTACTTGGCAAAATTTTCAATGCCTTGCCGTTGGCAGAGTTAAGGGGGAAGAGAGGAGCTGATTTGATTGGTGAAAACAGGACCCAGCTGTGTTAAACCCACTCCACGCCTTATCCCCTCCCTCTCTCCTACTTACACCGCTGGGAGGAGCTGAGTTAGGAAGGGGGGGTATTTACGCTGGGCTGCACCGCTCAGGAAAATTGAGCATAGCAGTAGTTCAGGCAGGACACAAAGTCAAGCTAAAGATTACAGTCAGCTGACAGCTCAGCCGTTTGCCCTCTACACATCTAATTGGTTAATGTCAAAATGGCATGCTATTTAAACTGCTTCTCCTGCCTACTCTGCCTGCTGCAACCATTCTGCAACCCACCTCCACCCCAACTCCTCCTGTTTATGTTGTTTCTGATCTTACCAGTGCTATATGTATTGTCACTGATGCTTGCTCTGTTCTGTGGGGGGGATTTATCTATCTTAATTTTATTTATTTGCTGCTGCTTTCTCTGCCTTGGCTTTTCATGTATGCACATGAAAGGGAGGAGAGAGGCTCTCTCCTCTTAGAGCCGTGGCATTCCATGCAAGCGTATGGATGGGCAGGGAACTCTCAGAACAGAGCCATACTGCCAATGTAAAAATGTTTGCTTGCAATAAATAATTGATTTTAACTAAAGCAGTCCTTACTGAACTACTAAAGTGTGCTTGGGCACGCCTCATCAGCACGGTGGACCTGACTAATGCCGTGCCTGTGCCATGCTGCCGGCGGGGCATGAAAATATCATTAAAATGTCATTAAAACTGCTTTATTTCATCTGGTCTAAAACATGAATTTTCACATAAGACAAAAGCATTATTGTGATGTGTACCCAAAATCAGTGAATTATCAGTTAGATGAACAGTTTTGTTTTCTGATCAACCTTGACAAAAAGGTAGCACTTGACTCTGTGGGGGTTGCTATGCTGCAAGCTATCTCTTCGACAATATGCTTTACATATTTCAGGATAAGAGGAGGTGACTAAATGGAGGTGGGAGAGTGGTTAGTGTTGTTGCGCTTCATCAGATACAACTGTTATTGTTGCCGGATTTAGCTTAGCTTTAATTGTTTTGGATGTATTTGAATGTATGTATGATTTGATAAGTTTATGTGGACTCACTGGGAACTCCTGAGACAAGGCGAAGAGGTCTTAAAACACGAAAGGCTCGGAGGGCTTTCACATCAAAGCCCCCTGATTTGCCTCCAGTCTGTCCACTTGAGTCAGCGTCTTTGGTTATCATCTCAAGAACCACACTGAACAACCTGGAGGGTGAAGGAGGGAACAGGCAAGAGGGAGGAAAATAAGTTACAAGAAAGTATAAATATGTTTGTGTGTGTGTGTGTGTGTGTGTGTGTGTGTGTGTGTGTGTGTGTGTGTGTGTGTGTGTGTGTGCGTGTGTGTGTGTGTGTAAGATAGATAGATAGATAGATAGATAGATGTGTATTTAAGTCTCCATACATGTATGCATTGAAACAAAAGTACCTATGGACAAACTGTGAATAACAAGCTGGTAATCTATGCAAGTGCCCAAAAGCTAATGCTTTAAGGGATATTCCGGCATAAAATTAAGTTAGGGTCAAACACACTGTAACACCGAGTTAGACACCCTGTCGAGAGATGAATGTTGCCGACTGCTTGCTTCTCTAGTTATACCAACTTCAGCAACGACCGCAATACACAACAGTCTACATCTCCACACACAAACCTCAACCAAAAACGCAATGGTAGCCACAAATAATGCTCAGAACACCTAACTTGATTAACAGTGCATATAGGGTCGCAGCCAAATACTAGCCACCAAGAATCTTTTTAGCTTTGCCTAATTTCTTTAGCAAAGAGACTGAAGAGGCTAAAAGCCTCCAGCAGCTGCTTGTTTGTGGGGGAGCCCTGATGAGTCGATCACCAAGTCCAGCAGAGTTTTGCAGCTCGATGAAGAACATTTGCTTCATGGAAATGTAATCAGACCGAGACGCTAAGGCAGAAGATCTACCGCATCTGCAGTGCAAAATGAATATTGTGATGATTTTTACTTCATGGAAATGATCAGCTGCACTCGGTGATCGACTCGTCAGGGCTCCTCCACAAACAAGCAGCTGCAGGAGGAGAGTGAGTGAGTTGTGTTTGGTCTCTTTGCTAAAGAAACCAGGCAAAGCTAAAAAGCTGTTTGATGGCTAGCTCTATGGCTGGGACCCTATATGTAGTGATGATGAAGTTAGGTGCTGTTCTGTGCATTATTTGTAGTTATAGAGTGGCTTTTTGGTTGAGATTTGGGTGTGGAGACGTAGACCACAGTGTAATGCTATTGTGCAGTCGTTACCAAAGTTGGTACAACTAGAGAAGCAAGCAGTCGGCAACATTCATCTCTCAGGGGGTGTCTACCTCCGTGCTACGGTGTGTTTGACCACAACTTAAATTTATGCTGGAATATCCCTTTAAGTTCCTCTGTGAGTGTAAGTCTGTGTATGTGTTTGTGAAAATTAGAGAAATTCGGACATTTGTGCACATGATTTAGTGTATTGAAGTTATGACTCAACTGTGTCTCTAGAAAGATATCTTTCCTTCCACTGAGAATGTTTACACATAGTATAATGTGCCAACTATGAACTTACCCCACTATGACAATGACAAAGTCAAGCATGTTCCAGCCGTTTCTGACATAAGAGTTTTGGTGCATGACCAAGCCATAGGCAATAATCTTCATAAATGTCTCTATTGTGAATATGATCAGGAAGGCATATTCCACTGTTTCCTGTTAGGGGGAGAAGATAAAAGAGACGGTGGAGAAAAACAAGGTTGTAAATAGGGGAAACAGGACAAGAAGAAAAATTGTTAATTATATTGCAGTCATTTTTCCCTAAATGAATGTTTTGGTCCTGTTTTACTTTTTTGCCGTTCTCAGCCAGTAACTTATGAGAGAACAAGAAGAGAAACAATAAATATACACTACAGGCCAAAAGTTTGGAAGCAAGGCCATTGCAGGCCGAACAGTTGGGAGTAACTTCAAGTTTTTCTTTACAATGCTTTTTTTTAAATCCAGCATGAGTTTTATGTATTTTGGGATGTATTTACTCCATGATCAGATGTTGCTTTCATGGAAAAGCACCATTTTACTCCATTTACCTTTAGATTTACATTGATGTTAACAGACCATTGCTAAATATATGTCAGCAAAAGATAATAAGGGCTTAGTTTTAGGGTTGAAAACATTTGCAAGAGTCACAACTTAAGTGCAAAAGCAAAAAAATAAATCACAGTTGGATTATTCACTTCAACTTTTTGGCTTTTTAGAGTCTGCATACAAAATTCCTAATAAATCTCAAACTGCGTTCAAACTACCGGAAAAACGGCTAGCAAGAAGCAACTGAGTAAAGAAACAAAAGTACAGATTTGTACATTGAGGAAAGAAAGATACACAGAAAGAGAAATTGCAAAACACCTAAAGGTGTTTAACAAAGGAGTCCACTACACTCTGAAGAGACTAGAGGAACCTGGAAGTTATGATGATAGAAAAAGACCTGGATAAAGAAAGTTACTACAAAAGAGAGGATAAACATAGCATTGTCACCAGTAAGAGAGATCGGCGAAAGACAGCACCACAAATAAGGGAGGAAATCAACATGACAAGGTTGAAACCCATATCTCTGACAACCGTGAAATTATGTTTGAGAAAGTCTGATCTGAAGGGTTGTGTATCTGCAAAAAAACACTACTTCGTCCACAGAACAAGAAAAAGAGATATGAGTGGGCAAAACCTCACAAAAATTGGACTTATGATGACTAGAAACAAGTTTGCACTATTCAGTTCAAAACGCAGAGTCTATGTCCGTAGACAAACTGGTGAACATCTGAAAGCACCATGTGTTACACCCACAATTCAGCATGGAGGTGGTAGTTCCATGGTATGGGGATGTTTTGCAGGTGATGGAGTAGGAGATTTGTTTGAAGTAAAGGGTATCATGAAGAAGGAACAGTACCACTCCATCCTCCAGCACCATGCTGTTCCATCTGGACTAAGACTTGTGGCTCATAAGTTTGTTTTGCAGCAAGACAATTACCCTAAGCAGCTCTGTCAGGGTTACCTAGACAAAAAAAGAAGAGGAAGGTGTTCTTCAAAAGATGGTTTGGCCCCCTCAGTCTCCAGACCTTTCTCAATTGTGCTCGTGCAGGATTAGTTGGATCGGTCGGTCAGAAAAACGTGTCCCACGAATCAGCAGTTTCTTTTTAATGAACTTAAGAAAGCTTGGAATGCAATCCCTGGAACATACCTTAAAAAAATTGTGGAACGAACGCCTGGTATATGCCAAGCTGTTGTTAAAGTCAGAGGAGGTTACTTTAAAGAAAGCAAAGTCTAAGCAACAATAACTCAAATACCTAATAATTATAGTCAAAATGTCTTCTGATAAGTTACTCTTTACACAATAGTCATGTTTATTGTGTTGCAAATTATATATATGAAACTATGATCTTTTTTTGTACAAATCTGATCTTGCTTCCAAACTTTTGGCCTGTAGTGTATAAAAGTAAGATCTGAAAATCAATATGCAGTAAATTAATAAGTGAATGTTGTCATTGGCTTGGTTCAGGCATCTGAGATTTAAATATGTAACTATTTGCTTGTGTGCAAATTAAATTATACAGATAGGCATTCTTTAAAAAGTTTAATACAAGGTCATAGTGGTCATGAGCATCTGTTCCCCTTAAAGGAGTGAGCAACGGAAGATTTCAATCTAGAATCTGATTGCAAGGCATTGCAAAATGTTACCATTTTTAACCACTGTACCTTCAAAACATGCCACAATAAGAGTCAAAACAATGGTCACTACAAAAATAAAGAATATATATACACAAAAAATGCTTTAAAAAACTACCAGATTAAAATCACGAATATCTTTCCATAATTTTAAGAGCAGCATAAAGAATGCAGTGAAGGATAAATGTTGCTGTTTTTCATGAAAGGCCACATTCTCTGAACAGCTGTTACTCTGTTTTATTGTTTTAATTTTTGTTTTTTTTTATTCATGACAGTGTGGCTGCTACCTTGGCCAGGTCTCTCTCGTAAAAGAGATTTTTAATCTCGTTGGGAATATCTGGTTAAATAAAGGTTAAATGAATGGTGCAATGGTGAGGAGTGCAGAGGAGTGTTGAATGATAGAAAGTGATACACATTTATCATTATATAAGAGATGCGTCATGGACATGAGGCAAAATTGAATTACTGTCATATATTGTCAACAGAATAAAACAGACAGCTGCTGCTCCTCTTGATGTGTCTGTGGGGGAAACTGATCGACTATAGGCATAGCAGTAGTGATGGAGAGAACAGTTCTTTTGACTGTACTGAATCTTTAGAATCCGTTCATTAAAACGATTCGTTCAAAAGATTTATTAACTGAATTAGTCAGTGCTTCGGAGCTCCGTCCTACCGGTGCAGTAAACCACTAGGTGACACAGCAGCGAGTTTGTTCATTGAACAAGCCCCTCCCTTCCCCTGCTGCTGAAGTCACAGCATCGTTCACTGGGTGGCACATGTAGTTCATTTGCCAAGTCCTGAAGGAAGAATCACTCCCCTGCCCAGAAAAACTCACCTCTCTGTGTTTCGCCGTCGGCGGAAACAACACAGCAGCAAGCCTGCTAAACGAGCCAGAGTCATTGTTCCTCTATATTGCGGAAAAGTGAAGAGATTCAAAATAAATAAACATTGCAGCTGTAGCAGGATTCTGCTACTTTTAAAGATATGAAATAGCGTAATGCTTTAAATCGGCTGAAATTAAATCCTTCGTGCAGGAAAGTTTATACACGTGTATTAATGTAAAAGCACTATAATGCACTGTTTTATCTTAGCCTCAGTGAATGAACCAGAGCTCTGCAGTAAGTGAACGACGCCACACCCCTGCACCGGCAGGACGGGGCTCCGAAGTACTGACTGATTCAGTTAATGAATCTTTTGAATGAATCGTTTTATTGAACGGATTCTAAAGATTCAGTACAGTCAGAAGAACTGTTCTTCCCATCACTACAACATGCAGTTCATTTAGACTGGAGTCAGATTATGGAAGCTGAAGGTTTCATTATATTTCGTAAAAAGAAACTGAGCCCTTGTTGGTAGGGATATTGGTTTCCTCCAGACATGGGACCAAGTCACACATGTCCAAGTCTCAAGTAAGTCTCAAGTCTTAACCTTCAAGTCCCAAGCAAGCAAGTAAGTAAGTAAGTAAACATTATTTATACCTTTCACAGAAAAAAAGTCACAAAGTGCTTCACATAAATAAAAAGTAAAAATGTACATACAAATTTAAAAGGCCAAGACAACAACATTAAAGGGATATTCCGGCGTAAAATTAATTGAGGGTCAAACACACCGCAACACCGAGTTAGACACCCCTTATCATTTCTTTGAAGTAATAATCATCATATTAATCATTTTGCACTGCAGACGCGGTAGTTTTTCTGCCTTAGCATCTTGGTCTGATTGCATTTCCATGAAGAAGTGATTATACAGTTGCAAGAAAAAGTATGCGAACCCTTTGGGATTACTTGAATTTCTGCATAAATTGGGCATGAAATGTGCTCTGATCTTCATCTAAGTCACAACAATAGACAAACACATTTTGCTTAAACTTATACTGTACAAAGCAATATGTTTCATTTTTTCATTGAACACAACATGTAAACATTCACAGTGCAGGGTGGAAAAAGTATGTGAACCCCTAGGCTATTGACTTCTCCAAGAACTAATTGGAGCCTGGAATCAGCCAACCTGGAGTCCTATCAATGTGATGAGATTGCAGGTGTTGATCAAAGCTGCCCTGCCCTATAAAACACATACCAGTTCTCAGTGAGCTGTTCTCAAAAAGCATTACCTTATGTGACCCGTGCCTTGCACAAAAGAGTTCTCAGAACACCTACGATCAAGAATTGTTGACTTACATGAAGCTGGAAAGGGTTACAAAAGTATCTCTGAAAGCCTTGATGTTTATGTGTCTACAATAAGACAGATTGTCTATAAATGGAGAAAGTTCAGCTCTGTTGCTACTCTCCCTGGGCGTGGTCGTCCTGTAAAGATGACCACAAGAGCCAATGCAGAATGCTCAGTGAGGTGAAAAAGAATCCTAGAGTGTCAGCTAAAGACCTGAAAAAATCTCTGGCACATGCTAACATTTTTGTTGATAAATCTACAACAAGTAAAACATTGAACAAGAATGGAGTTCATGGGAGGACACCACAGAGGAAGCCACTGCTGTCAAAGAAAAACATTGCTGCACATTTAAAGTTTGCAAAAAAGCACCTGGATGTTCTACAGCACTACTGGCAAAATATTCTGAGGACAGATGAAACCAAAATTGAGTCGTTTAGAAGGAACACACTACGCTATTTGTGTAGAAAAAAAGGCACAGCACACCAACATCAAAAACTCATCCCAACTGTTAAATATGGTGAAGGGGGCATCATGGTTTGGGGCTGCTTTGCTGCCTCATGGTTTGGACAGATTGCTGTCATCAACGGAAAAATGAATTCCTAATTGTGTCAAGACATTTTGCAAGAAAACTTAAGCCTTGTATGTACTGTTGATGAAGTTAAGTGCTGTTCTGAGCATTATTTGTGGCTATAGAGTGGCGTTTTGGTTGAGGTTTGTTTATGACTCCTCAGACTGTTGTGTATCTTGCGGTCTTGACTAAAGTTGGTATAACTAGACAAGCAAGCGATTGGCAACATTCATCTCTCGAGGGGGTGTCTAACTTGGTGTTACAGTGTATTTGACCCTAAATTAATTTTACGCCAGAATATCCCTTTAACCATCATAGCAGCCCCCCAAAAAACTAAACAAAAGCCTGAGCAAATAAATGTGTCTTAGGTTGGCTTTTAAAGGAGTCAACAGTGTGAATTAAGCACAGAGAGAAAGGAAGATCATTCAAAAGCCTGGGAGCAACAGCCTGGAAAGATTGGTCTCCTTTGGTCCAAAAACAAATGCGTGGAACCATCAGTAGATTCTGATCCACAGACCTCAGAGCCCAAGTGGGGGTGTAAGGCTGGATCAGATTACATGTAGCACTAGAGCATTAAATGTAGCACTTTCAAGGGATATTCCGAGATACACCGAGTTAGACACCCCCTTGAGAGATGAATGTTATAGCCTAGTTATAGCCTACCAACTTCATTAACGACCGCATGATAGCAATACAGAGAGCCACACGATCAACCAAAGTGGCACTCTATAGCCACAAATAATGCTCAGAACTCACCTAATTTCATCAACAGTACATATAATTAATAATCATTTCCTCATGGTAACGCAATCAGCCCAAGACGCTAAGGCAGAAGAACTACCGCATCTGCAGTGCAAAATCATAAATATGACGATTATTACCTCAAGGAAATGATAGAGTAGTGACCCTAACCTAATTTCATGCCGGAATATCCCTTTAAGAATAGCGGAGATATGTGAGTCCTCCTTTTCATGCAGATCAGAATCCTTGCTGTGTAGAGTTTTGCACCGATTGCAGACGAGACAGCTCCTTTTTGTTCAGACATGAAAACAAGCGATTACAATAGTCTAAACGTGAAGATACAAAGGCACGGATGATGAGCTCCGAGTCATTTTGTGACACCATTTTCCTAAGCTTAGAGATTTTCCTCAGCTGAAAGAGGCAGTTTTCACTTGTTTTCCATTGTTTAATTTCCACTAAGCACTGGACTAAGGAGTTAGTCCCCAGTCATTTTTTTCTTGGGCAAGTCAAGTCAAGTCAAAGGTTACGTCAAGTCAAGTCAAGTCAAGTCAAGTCAAGTCCTGTAATAGGTCAAGTCCAGTTGCCTTATTACGTGCACAATCTGATCTAAATAAAGTGAAAAGACAAGATATTAGTAATTGTCACAACGTTATTGGCCAATTCATCCCTTGCATTGTAACTACTGATATTCAGTTAAATACATGGAATCAAACTAAACAAAAATGACAGCATGGACCTTAATGATCTGTTTTAAGTAATATTACAAGTATTTTTAGCTTCTAACTACTCCATTTTTAAACCAGAACTTCATTTAGTCCATCTCAAACAGTATTTCAGTATTTTGACTTCAGACCCTTGTGTTACTCAGTTTTAACAAAATCTTTAGGTAGGCCTACCTCATCATTGCAAAGTTTACTTTCTCAGCACTTGATTCAATTTTCACTGCATATGAAAATGTGTAGCTTGAAAGCCTGTCAGTCTCATAGTCAACACGGCCTGACATTATAAGTACAATCAGATTGGAGTAGTCCATATATCCCGATCACATCTGAGGAGTTGTTTGCTACCGGTATCAAGAATTTAGTGCCATGAGGGTGACCTCACTTGCAGATCAACCAGCCTAAGTCTCACGTGGCTACTGCACAACATGGCTTATTGTTCCACACAAGTACAATTAATTAATAAAAGAAAAACGAAATGATTGTGAGTTGGCTGGCATGTCATTTAGCCCATTTATCCTGCTGTTGCTGGCTCATGTGATGAACAGGTCGGAACGTTTGCCAAATGTTATCACATCACATCATATTATTAAGCTGACTGACAAACATGATAGTATCTGCTAGCATACAAGCACTTATGGACAAAGTTTAACGTTGCAATCTGGCTGTCTGAACTCTTTGTCCCACATGTCTTACATTCTACTCTCTGTTGTTTGGCCTTGTAGTGGTAATTTTTTAAATCCATAGAGGATGACTCTGGGTATGCCTGCTGCAGACGGCAGAGAGTGCATGACGGATCTACAGGTGTTGATGACGTGTCATTCTCAGCCTGCAGGTATTATTAATATTTATTTTATATTGATATCAAAACTGAAACCATGAAATAAACAAAACTCAAGTCACTCAAGTCGTCATGTCTCAAGTCCTGAGTCTTTAACGTTCAAATCCAGGTAGAGTCTCAAGTCTTTCATTTTTTTTCCCCAAGTCAAGTTACAAGTCATCAAAACAGTGACTTAAGTTCAAGTCACAATGACTTGTCATGACGAGTCCCCATCTCTGGTTTCCTCCTGTTGTCTTTTTTGTCTTCCCGTCTTCCTGTTCTTGAACAATGAACTGGCTATCCTTAGCTTCTCTGGCTTTTCTTAATCTGATTAAAACGAATGGAAACACAGGTTGATAGGAACTGATTAGCCTTCTTCTGGCTGCCCAACTGATTTACCTGCATTCATCTGTGCATTTCATCTGGCCTCAGAGACATTTGAATCTTCACAGAACAACACTAACATTCTCATTCTTATGTTGTTTCATATAAGCTTCATAAGACCACAATAAATCTACAAAATTCTGTCAAGCCATAAATACGTTTGTTTTTGTTTTCTCTGCACACATCTGTTCCCACTAATATAAGGTGACCACGTTTTCAAACATCCAAATAAGGGCACTTTGGTTCTTCAGTGAACCCACATGCCTGCACCCACCATTTGTATTTGCTTGTTTTGATCTGACAATAGCAGTCTGCATTCACTTATGAGGGAAACTTAATATGGACATGTGCAATGTTTGCAGGCTGGGCATATGTCTGTTACTCTGTTAATAATTAATTTGGTGTTGCTGTGTTATTAAATCTTAAGTAGGAAGTTCATTTGAAACAACATTAACAAATTCCTTCCCTTGAATTCAGTTTTATAATATCTAATGTTGTCATTTTCCCATTACCTGACTCATATTCATAATTTTGGCAATGTAAATATTTTTGTCATTTGAAATAAATATCAATTCAATCATTAATTCTAGAACAACCCTAATATGTGTGATACTGCTCCAAATGATTCACAAACCATACCTTAACATAAACTTAACCATACTAGCATGAAAGCCATGGACAGTTTTTTTCCTCTAGTGTTTGCACACAGTGAACTCAACATGGGAAAACTTGTGAGAGAGAAAGCATAGTTACAACCTAAGATTTTGCTTTAAAAAGCTGAAAAAAACTCAGAGAAGTCCATAACTAGGAAAATAAATTAAAATACATGTTTATAATTAAATTTGCAAAATTGTGATATAACATGCAATAAATATAACTACAACAACAACAACTACAACAACAACTACTACTACTACTACTACTACTATTACAACTACTAACAATGATAATAATAATATAATGCCTGTCATGTCTGTCAGACATTAGAATCATTACTAAAATGAAACATTGAAAAGACACAGTTTTTCTTTCTTTCTTTCTTTCTCAAAGAGAATAAGAAAAATGGATAATTGAAATAGTATGCCCACCCCGTGTGCCCACCCTCATCTGGGTCACACCTCATTGTATTTCATATCACAGTCCCACTATGGCCAGATTATATACTAATAAACTATCACTCTCAAGACCACAAGATATATTTGGAATGTGTATTTGAGTGTCTATACATGTATATGTACTGAAACAGAAGTGCCATCATGCCTCTGCACAGTGAAAGTGCGGCCCTCTTTCCTTGAGAAGCTTTCACTTAAACTTTATCGAAGAGAAAATTATATTGATGCAAGCATGAGGAAGTTGTAGTTTCTACTTGAGTTAATGGTGGACAATATATCCTCAACACATTGTGCAAAAGTGGTACAAACTATTATGTCGCCAAAGGTTGAGAGAGGAGAGCAGTCGTGAGAATGCAAGAGGACACAGAAGAATGACTTCATGAATTTCATACAACTTAGAACACGCAGTCAGTATCAGACAGAATCGAATGCTGACTAATGTTTTGTGTGCTACACCTCAAAGACCGTTAGGTTGATTTACCACTGTTGTTATGTTGGTCCATCAAGGTGTTGTTAATTGGATGATCCATGTTCTCTAGAATAACCTCCACCTTTTTCAGTGTGCATCCCTCCATCACATCCTCCAATGAGTCCAACTAGATCCCAGCCACAGAGCCAACTTTTTGTTATACCTTTTTGTTGTATGTGCACATATAGGAGTATGAGACTGAAGTCTCTTAGTCCTCCTCATAGGAGCCCTAAAACGACAGCCTGAGGGCAAAAGCTCGAATTTGTAATTGTAAACAAATTGAGTTTCATTCCAAAACTTCCTAGAAGGAATCCATCAAATGTATCAGCTGACTGGGATAGTTGCACTGAATAGTGATTGTTGTTGACTATTTATTGCTCTGAAATGAGCCTGACACTGTGGAAACCTGCCTGTGAGGTATTGGTGACTAGTTACTAGTGCGTACTGCTACGACCGTCCACCAATTTACCACTTGACCAGCTGTGCAAGCTGTCAACACCTTCAAATGTTGTCGACACCTTCCCCTACTGTGCCGCCACGCCCATCTTGGCACATCTTGGTGCACCTCAGTCTACCAAATTGGCTGTGCACGGGGCTGCACTGCTGTAAATTACTACTGCTCAGGGCACAGGCACAAAATTAGAGCCCTACATCTAAACATGTAATTGTAGGTTTCACAGCATTGCCCTTGTCATCATGTCCTACCTCCAGAGACTCAAACCCCATCCCCAACTCATCAACCCCCTTGTTGCACAGGTAAGGTTACTCACTGTGAGACACCTGTGTACATAGGAAATTTTCTGGGCATGGAGTTCCTGCAAATTTCTGGACAGTTTTCAGATGTGCATATGCAATACATGCAAAAGAAACTGGAAGTCACAAAGAAAAGTAGATTAAGGTTATTAGCTGTAGGCCATGGAAGAGACAAACAACTCAGAGGACCAGGTTTCTGTTGCATCTGAAACTAAACTAATGTATATGAAACTAATGTGTAAGCCCAATCTGTGAGGTTTGTTCTCGCTGTAGCCACACCATTTGTTTTTCTGAGCATTGCCCTGTGTGTTTGTAAGAGATCGAAAAAAGAAAAATCTGTGTGCCCTAATGAGGGAGTTCCTGTGGTGGATGTTAAGTACGATCCTTGAGCTGTCAAGTCTCAAGTTAATTGGACTCACAGGGGTAGTCTGTTTCAATTTCATTCTGAATATTAAGTCATACACTAAAGCTTTTCTGAAATTTATTTTTGGACAGCAGGTACTAAGAAGTCAAGATAACAATATTATGATGCAGATTTGTTCAAGTAAATATACAGAATGTGTCAATTCCAGTGGCGGCTGCTGGTCTTTCAATGAGGGGAAGCTCATTTTTCTGGCCTACATCATAATTGTATTTGTTTATTAGTATGTAACAGAACAGAGTCGCCAAACACAACGGCAGTCGTTTTTAATAAAGACAGAAGTCGCTGAGGATCGGTAAAGTCTCCGGAGCAGTTAAGAACAACGGAATGAATGACTTGGAAAATGCTCTGGTAGATGTTTTATTCTTCAAGATCGCTGATTCGCTTGTTTAGCTGTCAATCAAAAAAGGATTTCGCCTCAGACAGCTCATCCAATCATGGATGCAGAAGCTTGCAGTCCGGGAGAAAGTCGGGACCGCCCTCTCGCCATAGAACTCCAGTGAAGCTTAGCTTCCATTGGGCGGGACAAAGCCCAGCATTTATCCAATGAGCGTCTAGTTTCGCTGCTGGAACAACCCACTTTAAGCTTCCACATTGAAGTCAGCAGAAGCCCAGCGTCCGGCTGTTTAAAGCGCTGAGGCGCTGCGAGGATGAATGAGAACGAAGTTATGCCGGTTACCTATAATTATCAGCTTCTTATCACAGTGTCTGAACAAAAGATGAAGGCTTTCTAGTGCGTATTTAGTTAATGAAATGTACACACAGCAGTACGTATTTCACCACTTTTTCTTTTTTTTGGGGGGTGACATTTTAAGGGAAGCCGAGCTTCCCTTGCAGTCTTAGAGCAATCGCCACTGGTCAATTCTCTCCTCAAGAGAAGTAAACCACTTTCATAATGCTCGTTGAAGGAAGGTTGAATGTTGAATCACTCATTTCTGGTGCATCTCAGGAACTCTGCAAGTATAAAATTGGAATGGCTTTTGCAACAAAAGCAAATTTGTCACTCAAATTGAAATGCTTTATCAATTCTTGATTCTGTTGTTTTTTGTTTGTTTTTTTGTTTGTTTTTTTGTTACAGAAGAACATGCAAAAAATATGCCAACACACACAGACACACACAGAAACATACACATACAGACACAGGCCTCACAGTGAAACCCATACTTCCCCTCTTCTCTAAACCTTTAATCCTTGATGCAAGATTCATGACACAACCTAATAGTCTTTTCGCAGAATCTCTCTCTCTCTCTCTCTCTCTCTCTCTCTCTCTCTCTCTCTCTCTCTCTCTATCTCTCTCTCTGTCTCTCTATCTCTCTCTTTCTATCTCCCTCTCTGACACACACACACACGCACACACATTATTGGAACAGGTATGTGAGCATAAACATAAGAGAGCGCAGAATTTACCAGACAGAGGCATTGACAAACACATAAATGGTGTAGATGATGACAAAGCACAAAAGTACAGTGGCAAACAAGGCCAGTCATGATTTCCACCAGGTGCTAGCAGCAGTACCAAAATAATTCTACCTGGTGATGGGCTTCAAGTATTTTGGAGATCATCCACAGTTCTAACCAGCACAGACAGTACAGACCACCCAAAGAAGGAAACTACCATCTCTTGATAGGATATTACCATGTGGGCTCAACACTTCAGAAAAACGTTGTCAGTTAACACAGTTTGTTGCTACAACTACAAGTGCAAGTTCAAATTCTACCCTTTCAAAAGAGAGAAAAAACTCAAAGACACTCTCTTAATTATATTAAAATGTCTTTATTTAATGGCATGGTCATGTAGACCAAAAAAGAAAACTTAAATGCGTTTTGGCATCAAGCCATCATCAGGAAGTAAAGAAAACAGATGCTAGGTTGTGGTAGGGCCTTTTAAGGGGTGCTTCTCCAATAGGAAATTGTCACTTGGCCTAAGAGGTTTGACCTGCATCTGGTGACAACTAAAGGTCAAACCTCTAAGGCCAAGTGGCAATCTCTGTTTTCTCTCTTCTTGCTTCAATGACTTTGTGAATCCCATTCCAAAGAGCACCTCAGACAAACTCTTTGTTGAGTCCTGATTGAATCCCCTCCTTTTGAAATCTACCATGTAAAGCCAAAGCCATATATCAACAACTAACCCCAGCTTCTCTGGGCAGAGCTCATCTGAGGTGGACTGAGGCAAAGAGGAAAACTGTGTGTAGTCTGTTCCTAAACACTTATTGAGAACCGTTCATAGGAAAGTTGATGTAACAGTAATAAACAAGGCCATGCCTCGCTTCTTGGAGTGTGTTGCAGGCATCACACTCAAAAGGAGTGAACATTTGCAAAGTAACTGAGATTTTTTTCCAGTTTGAACATAAAATATCATGTCTTTGTAGTGTTTTAACTTAATATACTGTATGTGACAGGTCTGCTGCAAAAGATATTCACACATACTTCATAGCACATTTTAATAAGACTATGTGAACAGTGACTGGTCTGTTCATGTCAGAAATAACTGGACTCAGTTGCATCTAAGTCCAACCTCTGCCCAGAGGAACCCCTGCCCAAGAAGATAATGTTAAACAAACCTGAAAATGACTGCTTGCTCTGATGAGATACAGCAGGAGGTTTGTACTTGTGCTTCCAACTAAAAAACCAGGTTAACAATAATATCTTATATAAGTTTATTGTGAAGACATAAATGCAGTAAATAGAGCATTAATTCAGTCAGTCACCAGCCATGCCCTACATTTCCCTACCTATCCTCTGATCTATCTCTCTCTTCCTACCGTCTCTCTGCAGCCTCCACTAATGTAGAGACAACTAATCCACTGCCTAGCTTAATCCCTCAACCCCCTCTCTAACAAACATTCACACATGACTTGAGCACATGTGCACACTTTCTCTTGTCCTGAATACTCAGCACCTCACTCTTAAACATATTTTCATATATACAAAGGCAAACACCATGTATCCCACAGCCACCAGTACAAAATACTTTGGCAGTCTTTAATATTCGTTTTCCTCGTCTAAATGGGATGTTCTCTTATTAAAACAGAGTGCTTAACAAAATGGACTGAGAGGTGGTTTGTTACAATGGAAACTTTTACAGGCAAATACAGTATACATGACCAGAAAACTCTCAAATTATCTAAAATCACCATGAGTACCATGCACGTTGCTTTAGTTTTCCTTCTAATTTCATGCGTCCTAGACAAAAACAGTTACAGAGCCATTCAAAGAGCCAGTAAATATGCTTTCAATGCCTCTTAAAATTTATTTTCATCTATTTATTTAGCAGGCTTTATCCATGTAGTCAATCCACACCAAAATGTTATCTCAAGATGCCTTGTAATAAAGACAGGTCTCAACCATTCTCTTTTATTTATTTTACTGACACAAACCCCACAAAAAAGATGAGATCCAACCTGATCTTATATTGAGTCACCATGAGCACAGCACTTGCTGCACTTAGCCAGGTACAGTGGGCAAAAAAACTACCTCCTAACATACAGAAACCTTTAGCAGAACCAGATAGAACCTGTTGAAGTCTTTACACAAGATGCAGTATGTTGATTAGAAAAGAATCAGACAAGTGAAAGCAGGGCTCTGTGCTTTCAAAACACATCAACTAGGTTTTAACCACACCTGAGAAATCAATTAGCCCTGAGTTGTATTTAAGTGACCCCAAGAGGCAGGGTTAGTGTTACCTGACCACTTGATTGAAAGAAAGGACCTTACTCCTCTCCACTCCAATCTCTTTATTCCATACTCCACTCTCCAACAACAGTCTCCAGTTTCCCCTTCCAAAAAATCTCACAAACAATCATATAACAAATAACTTGGGCATGGATGAACCATGCCCAAGTTATTTGTTATAGACTTCTCATGGGCGAAGATCACCAAAATTAGACACAGGCCGCTTGTCCTCTGCAAGATTATTCCCCAGTTGGCTGAACAAATATCGTTATATTTAACGGTACTTTGTTTTTGTTGTTGTTGTTGATTATTAACTATCTCACGAGTCACTAAGACAAGTTTGGCAGAGACTTTGGTAAGATACTCCGTGTTGAAACCTGGCACCACACTCAGGCTACATCTTGGCTCATTTGCATACTACGGTGGTTGGAAGTTTACTAAGGCCTAAAAGGGGGAAGTGTGTGTGTGTGTGTGTGTGCGTGCGTGCGTGCGTGTGTGTGTGTGTGTATGTGTGGGCGATGTGCACGTGTGTGTGCTGCGCAGCCACTGATGGTATACAATGCGAAGGGACAGAGAAATTGAAGGAAGCTGATATTGTATCTTGTCCCTGTTTCTGCAAATAGTTCTGCTTTTGCAGGTTATTTTTGTCAACTTGTAATATATTAATTTTGTGGGTGTATTAAAATGTGCTTTCTTAACTTAAACAATTTTGATTTGAGGAGGCAAGACATCTATTTGAGAGGGTGTTGCTCCCTCTTGCCCCTGCGTAGAGCCGTCCTCAATTGTGATATGTAGTCCTGTATTGAGCACTGCTAGATGTGATCATCTAGGAAGTTTTTGGTGCTAAACCTGACATTTGGCATATTTGTGCATGGGGGGCATTTACATAAAAATTGTACTTGTCATATGCTTTCATGATCTAGCAGGTATCTCCAAAGCAACCATCCAGATTACTTCCATCATCTCAAATTCCGTTTGATTGTTAAGTCCAAGTGTTTGCTACCAGACAAGGAGAAATGATCTCACTGACATAATTGCCAACTAACTAACTAACTTTTTTATATTTGTTTTTTTAATATCGTGTTTGTTTTTATTCCATTACTGTTTTTTTAGTAAGTGTATGCATGATTATATTGCACTCCTGTACAGCACGTTGCACGAGGTTGTTTTCAAATGTGCTTTAGAAATAAACTTTGACTTGATTTGACTATTAGCAAAAAAAAAAGACTAAACTTACTGTGATGTATTTACAAAATTAACACATGCAAACAAGATCATTAGCAACAAGCTAGATGATTTCTGTGTTATGACCCTGAATGGCTACTGCTGCTGGGGATAGGTCATTTACAGCACAAAAAGCTTTCTATTTCCACAGCACATACTTGTGATAAGTAACTGTTACAGTAAGCAGGTCAACACTTATTGTCAAAAACACTTTTTACATATGTCCAGGACATATATGTTAATTACAGGAGCTTTAATACAACTCCACTGTGATACCGTATTCTTGTATGAACTATAATGTGTATAATTGAAGGACCAAAATATATAATTGAGGGTATGTATATTGCATTAAAATAGTTGTGCTATCAAATTAACTTGAATCATCAGGGTACTAAAACAAACTGTTTTTTAAACTCTGTTTTGCTGCCATTTCACCACAAGGCTGCTCTGAAAAGACAGGAAGCTCATGTGACACACTAGGATGACCTGTTGGCATCCATGTTGGCATGCGTGTATGTGTGTGCATGCTTGCAGGTTTACCAGTGTTTTTGTGCATCAACAAAGCAGTGAAACCTAACACATCAATCCAAACATTGCCTGGAAAGTCCCCCTCCCATAATCCACAGACAAGCCATTCACCAATGCAAATGTGTTGCATCTACCGTTAGGGCATGATCTTTCAAGATCCCAAATAACGAGCACTAAATTGCGTGTGCAAACAAAAAAATTGCTTGTGCTATTAGTTGGTTGCGGGTTATCTACTATGATTGCGTACACAATTGATAGCAAGTGCAAAAGTGGTGCCGCCCTATTTAAATGAGGATTTTGTGTGTGCTATTGGCTATCACCGTCAGCCAGCTCCCACAGTCCACCTTGTTTGTTTACCTTACAATTCTAAAATGCACTTGCTTGTCACTTTTGTCCAACGCAACATACATCTGACAGTAAGCAAAACATGCAAAGACTTCGAAAGATGGAACAACATGACTAAGTGTCACAACTGCTTCAAAGCCAGTAGGGATGTAGTGCTGCCATACAGTGTTGAACAATGTTTTTTTTTTTTAAGTCATTCATTCATTTTTACTGTGATAATTACACTGTATCAATATCATCACAGCTGCTAAACAGCATATCATCATCATCATACAACTTTCATAGTATCATCATCATTGCTATTGACAGGGTCATTATCTTTAGCACTCCAGGGACAAATTTGACTGCAAGAGATTTAGCTGTGTTTTTAGTTTGGGGATTCTGGATGTAGTTTGCTATTACCATGTTGTTGCACACCACATACAAAACCACTAAATCTGTTATTATCTGTCATCATGTGTGGAGTCTGTCCCAATTTTAACATCAGTTAAAATAGAATAATTTATTTAGTTCAGGCAAGGCCTATGTGTGACAAAAAAAACAGTCTTATACATAAAGCATATATTCTTATACATCTGTATTTGCGAATACTACTCACCAGTTCTTGATTGGTAGAATTGGAATCATCTCCAGGAAAGGGAATGTAGATGGCTAAGGCCACACAGTTTGCAAATATACACAACAATATAAAGATATCAAATGGTCTGTGAAAGGATGCTATTAAGGAAAAGAGTTATGTCAATTCGAAATAAAAATAATAATAATAACACTTTGGTTGAATCTCAATATCTTGTCCAGGAATTTTGCCATTTCTTAAAAAGATGAAGAGAAACTTTGATTTTAATAAGGTAAAATTACATGTAAAAGAAATAAGTTGTTTACATTTACAGGAATGTAAATACGTTATCTTGACAAAGATGCTTTGATTGTATTTAGAAGAATAAAAAAAAACTTCCCTTGACAAAAAGATTTAAGTATCTTTTCCTATTTTTATACAATAGCCTAACATCTGTAGCCTTCAGTATATTTCTGCTGTAAAAGTGGAAAAATGTATCTAAAAACCAACTAAATCATGCAGAAATCTATCCACAAAAATAAACAAAGCCTTTTCAGCACCCATCTAGAACTTAACTCAATGAGCTAAAGGATACTTCCATTCCACCAAGCTGATACAGGCCTTCCTAATGGGGTTGTTCAGCGTTAGACAGAACAGAGCTCTGGGTGGTCTGTTATTAGTAGATCCTCCCTGCTTTTTGCTTTTGGCATACTGCTGCCTCTTCTTCTGTGCAAGTGAGCCCACGGGCGCTAGTCCAGTAGTGCAGACTGAGGGCTGTGATCTCAAGTTGGGCTTTTCACCATCTCCCTTGGCTTTGCGAGCAGCACTAATGGCAGCATGCCAGGCAAGGACTGGACTGACACTGGCACCAGTGGCACTTGGGTCCTGAATACCACTGCTGACCCCAAGGAGTCCATGAGGGGAGCCAACAGGCTTGCCAGTAGTTCGTGGGGCTTGCAGGGGCTCTGTTGAATGGAACTGGTCCAGATCAGCATTTCTTTGTGACCATGGCACAGAGGTTTCATTAGTGGGAGACATCCTTTTGCTGCTATCATAATGTGACCCTGAGGGAAAGAGTTAGAAAAAACATTGTTATAACATTGTTGAATACCAGTGATCCCACCTTATATATACAGTATCTCACAAAAGTGAGTACACCCCTCACTTTGCTGCAAATATGTAATTATATCTTTTCATGGGATAACACTTAAGAGATGATGTACAGTACAACAATGAGCAGAAGTCAGTTTACAGCTTGTGTAACAGTGTACATTAACTGTCCCCTCAAAATAACTCAATGCACAGGCATTAATGTGAACACACCTTACAACAAAAGTGACTACACCACTGAGTGAAAATGTCCAAATTGGGCCTATTAGCCATTTTCCCTCTCCAGTGTCATGTTACTCCTTAGTCTTACAAGGTCTCAGGTGTGAATGGGGAGCAGTTGTGTTAAATTTGGTGTTCACAGTCCCACACCCTCTCATACTAGTCACTGGAAGTTGAACATGGCACCTCATGGCAAAGAACTCTGAAAATCTCAAAAAAGAATTGTGGCTCTTCATAAAGATGGTCAAGGCTATAAGAAGATTGCCAACACCCTGAAACTGAACTGCAGCACAGTGGCTAAGACCATGCTGTACAGCTGTTAAACAGGACAGCATTGTTGCAGGGCAAAACCGGTTGCCTGATTTTGGAGTCTTCAAGAAAACCATGACCTGGATGATTGAGAATCTACATGGACATATTGCTGCAGAGGTTACAGGGGTGGGGAGTTAGCTTGTCAGTACTCAGACCATACACCGCACACTGCATCAAACTGGTCTGCATGGCTGCTGTCCCAGCAGGAAGCCTCTTCTAAAGACGATTCACAAGAAAGCCAGGAAACAGTTTGCTAAAGACAAACAGACTAAGGACATGATTACTGAAACCGTGTCCTGTGGTCTGGTGAGACCAATATAAACTTTTTTGGTTCAGATGGCGTCCAGAGTGTGTGATGGCAATCAGGTGAGCAGTACTAAGACAACTGTGTCTTGCCTACAGTCAAGCATGGTGGTGGGAGTGTCACGGTCTGGGGCTGCATGAGAGCTGCCAGCACTGGAGGCTGCAGTTCATTGAGGGAACCATAAATGCCAACATGTACTGTGACATACTAAAGTAGAACATGATCCCCTCCCTTCGGAAACGGGCTGCAGGGCAGTATTACAACATGAGAATGCTATTCATTGACTACAGCTCAGCATTCAACACCATAATCCACTCAAAACTGTACACAAAGCTCATCGCCCTGGGCCTGGAGAAGTCCATCTGCTGCTGGATACTGGACTTCCTCACCAACAGACCATAGGCAGTGAAGGTTGGCAGTCAACTCTCCTCCACACTAGTCCTCAGCACTGGGGCTCCTCAGGGCTGTGTCCTGAGTCCACTCCTCCACTCCCTCTTCACGCATCACTGCACTGCCAGGCACAGCTCAAACGTGATCTTCAAGTTTGCTGATGACACCACCATCCTGGGCCTCATCACCAACAACAATGAGAGCGCCTACAGGGATGAGGTGAAATATCTGACCAGCTGGTGTCAGGAGAATAATCTCTCTCTAAACGTCAAATAAGACCAAGGAGATAATAGTGGACTTCAGGAGACAGCGCAAGGACCAGCACCACCCCATACACATCAATGGTGCCAGTGTGGAGCAGGTCAGCAGCTTTAAGTTCCTCAGTGTCCATCCACATTACTGAGGATCTGTCCTGGACTTAACATGCGGACACTTTGGTTAAAAAAGCCTGATGCAGGTTCTATTCCCTGAGAACGCTGAGAAAGTTTGGAACAAACTCTGAAATCCTCACAAACTTCTACAGGTGCGCCACTTAGAGCCTACAGGAACCGCACCAGTCAGAGCCAGAAAGCACGCAGAGGGTAGTGCACACGGCTGAGTTCCTCACTGGCAGCAGGCTCCCCACCATACAGGACATTTACCTCAGCCGATGCCTGTGTAAAGCCTGCAGCATTATCAGGAACAAAACCCACCGAGCACAAAGACTCTTCTGTCTACTATCTTCTGGCAGAAGGTACAGGAGTCTGCCTTCTCCTTTTCTTCCTTTTCACTTGTAAATATTTCTCTCATACTTTTATTCGTCTTTAACATATATATATATATATATATATATATATATATATATATATATATTTATATTTATATATACATATATGTATCCTTATTTTATTGTATTCATTCAGTACTTATTGTGTGCTTTATCTATACCCCTTTGAGTCCAGTTGTCCTCTCATCCAGGGCATTTCATTGCATTGTTGACCTTGTTTAACATGCACATGACAAATAAACAAATCTTGAATCTCTTGAATCTTGTATCTTGGTAAAAAGAAAAAAAGTGAGACCGACTAGCAAAAGGAGAGAGAAGTACGGAAAGAAAGAGAGTCAGTCACATTGGTTCACTGCTGCTCCACAAGTTTATCACATCAAGCTGTGTTCATATGTTCATACATATGAAGATTTGAAGATTTGTGTCCAAATGTCATACACATTGACTTAAGGCATTTCACAAATCAATCAACATTGTACAACCACAAACCTAACTTAGGTTATCAAGCCCCTTGTTAAACTATTGCCAACCCTGCCCATTCCAGGATGAAACATGATCAAAATTTCAAATGTCAGTTACCCTGCCATTTGAAGATCAAAGTTTTGCCATTTTAAGAGATTAGGTTACTTAATAAATCTTCCAAACATAGTCTTTTGCATAATCGGAGACCACTGACTGTGCTGCTGGTTTTGACTCTACTCTAACCTTTGCTGGCTCTCAAAAACGCTAATCTGTTTGGTGTTGTTCTAGTTGGATGTACCACCATGTTGTGACTACCCAAAAGAAATCATTGAAGAGAGTTAGCTGAAAGGTTCATTTACTAAAAAATGATGATAAAAGCAACCACAACAAACAAATCGGCCAAAGTATACATTTGTCTTTTACAAACTAGTTCTCTGGTGGATCTGTTGACAGCTCTCATCCATGGACATACACTTCAGATGTAAATTTCAGTGCCATCTGTGGAGTGGAATAAACCCTAAGACTAGTTATTTACATGTAGCTGAGATGTAGGGCTTACCTGCATACATTAAAAGACATCCAGAGTAAACCAACGCACTCTCGTAGCAGTCCTACTCAACTTCTTGCTACATTTTTTTTTTTAAATTATCATTATCCTTGTTTTTAATTTGTTTATTTTTTTTTTTTACCTTCAGACTGTTAATCTGATTCTGGCATCCACATGAAAGTAATATATATATATATATATATATATATATATATATATATATATATATAATTGACATTTACGTAAGCTATTTGTGTTAACAAGCAGTTGAACATGTGTACATAATAAAGTGGCTGGTGAGTATATATGCGTGTGTGTGTGTGTGTGTGTGTGTGTGTGTGTGTGTGTGTGTGTGTGTGTGTGTGTGTGTGTGTGTGTGTGTGTGTGTGTGTCCAATTTACTGCAAATGATATTTTACCCACAACATTGAAAAGTTGCATTGTTTGTTAGCTACTTGTCCTGGATAATTTGTGGATAGAAGGACAAACACCATGACCTCATCCTATCCATCTAGATAGAGCGTTAAAGATCAAGTGTGTTTCTGGTCCTTGTACTTACCCATCCGGGGTCTTCCCCTTAAAATGAAAGGCATTATGTCACCTGGCTCTTCTCTGGGGCCTCATTATGCCCATAACTGTCCTTACTCCACAAACATTTGAGACAAAATGAATCGTAGGAGCTGTACTGGAAGGTTACAAGTTATAGGATTACCTGTGGCTCTTATGGAGGATCACAGCTTCACAGTCGTGCGTAACCTAATCCTCTGATTACAATCCCTGCTCCAATGTTCCCTCTGTGGGGGGTTGAAGCAATCAGCTACAGCCCAACTAGGCTAATAACAATGCTTCATTTAACCCACCTGTGCATTTAGCACCCACAGTCTTCTGGATGCCTCCTTCGCTGTTGCCATGCAACAAAGTTGTGTTTCTTTTTATGAAATGTCAAATTTGCCCTTTAAAGGAGATTCAATATCTTGATTTAAATTTCTTATTGATCTCACTAAATTTTTCTGTGACTTTTTTTAATGAGCCATTCCAGAGAACCCTGCAGTCCCATCCGTCGACAGACATTGACATATAGGTTACAATTCTGGTAATTTGGACAGAACAAAAGATTGCGATATTTAATATAATAATATGTATAAATAAAACTTTCTCTATTGATTTGTCTGTCTAGTTGGGGAGAAGGTTTACAATGACCCTAGAAGATTGACCCATGGAGTTTAATTAATAGTTATAGAAATTTGACAGGGAAAACATGTGTCACACACCAGGGGCATGGGAGTTGGCAACCCTGGATTAACTATGGTCAAGGATGAATATATGAGACATTACTTCAAAGAGTATACAAAGTACATACCATGCATAAAAGTTTCTAGCCATGGCTATGTTGCAAGCTCTGTCCCTGGTCAAGCTTCCATAAATGAAAACAGAAATTACAGAGTATTAAGTGTGATATTCTATAACCATACTTTATACTCAGAAATTTCTGTTTTCAGTCAGCCATTAATATACTCACAAAAATATGTTGGCCTCATCTCATACAGCGTGTCCATCGATTTAAATTACTTCGATTTAACATAAACAGGCCAAACTTTGTGTGCTGCATACTTGTCAGTCAAATGTAAAGGAAACAATTAAGAATAAGATTTATGTAATACTACAAATAAACCCAACAGCCCTCATTTATCAATCTTGCATGGAACCGAGTGCAGATTAAAAAAATGCATTGACCATCATTTTCATTTAACTACAAGGGTTCAAAGTGTTTGCTTCGAACAAGGTAACATTCAATATTAGCTATCAGATAAAATGACATCTGTTGCGCCTATCTGGCTGTTATAACATGTTCAGTCATATTGGCAAGTCAGAATAAAGCATGTTTTCTGTTAAATATATGGTTATAATGTTGTTCTATGACGGCACATAATTTTATTCATAATCAATATTTACACCTGATCATAATTCATCTTGTCCCATACTCAAAAACGGGCACTAGTTACCCGGAACGCTGGGTGGTGTTGTCGCGAAACATGAGGCTTCTTGAGCGGTCTCCGGATGTTGTTTTTTCGGTCGGAAGGATGGCGGAAGTTTTGAGTGTATTCAGAAGTCCGTCCAATAGTCGCGGCCAGGATGGAGACCGTGAATGCAGGATACACGATGAGTTTCGCTGCGCTACAGCGACAAGACCCATATATAAACAAACTGCTGGATGTTACCAGCCAGGTTGCGCTGTACAACTTCAACTCCAAAGTTAACGAATGGGTAGGTTTGTCAAAACGCCTACGGACGTTGAGGGGTAGCTGTCAGTTTAATACCAAATACTAACCTAGCATGCTAATGCTAATGTTTGCTACTCGGATTAAATGTACTAAAATTCAGATAAATAAATATATGGTAATGGAACTGCCAATAAACCAGATAGTTCATAAGTAGCACTGTTGTGATAACACTGTCATTGTTATACTGTTTCAAGTTCTAATATTATTACGAGGTAAGCGGTCCTGCCTAAGATAATGTCAACACTGAGCGTCGTTTTTAGTCAGTATATTTTGGGTTAGAGGTTATTTTCAGCATTTGTTATCATTTCAGGAGAAGACCGAAATCGAGGGCACCCTGTTTGTTTATGCAAGGTAAGCATTTGAAGAGCTTCAAGACACTACTTTCGTGATTGTTGTGTGAGTTATGTTCGCTTGTGACATGGTTTATGAATATAACTCAACTTCCAAAATAGAGTGGCGCTGTATTAATACATAAATACGTATGTGTGGTTTAACCACTGCATTAAATGGAAAGAGTGCAAAGACCCAATACCAAATGTTTTCTGAAAAATATTAACTCATTTAAGTTTGGTGCCAAGCTTCATGTTTCTCTAAATGTTTGGACAGGAACAACATTTGATTTAAAAAACTGCGTATGACTAAAATATTCACCTGGTGCTGCATCTCCTAACTTATTTCTACAGCTCGTACTGTGGTTAAGGTGTGATGATAAATAATTGTGGGTTTTGAAACTGTGACCTCCTTACATAACATCATCACTTAGAAGCCTAAGCTTACCCTTGTTAAATCTTTTGAAATGACTCCATGGGCTAAAACCACCTCCAAAAAGCATTGTCCTGTAGTGTACATGGCTGCATCGTAATTTACAAACACACACACACACACACACACACACACACACACACACACACACACACACATATATATATATATATATATATGTACACACTACAGGCCAAAAGTAGAAGAAATTTTGACTATAATTATGAAGTATTTGAGTTATTGTTGCTTAGACTTTGCTTTCTTTAAAGTAACCTCCTCTGGCTTTAACAACAGTTTGGCATGTACGAGGCATTCGTTCCACAAGTTTTTTTAAGGTATGTTCCAGGGATTGCATTCCAAGCTTTCATTAAAAAGAGACTGCTGATTCGTGGGATGCGTTTTTCTGACCGATCAATCCAATTCAATTCGCTCTTCTTTTTTGTCTCGGTAACCCTGACAGAGCTTGGCAGATAGCTTAGGGTCATTGTCTTGCTGCAAAACAAACTTATGAGCCACAAGTCTGAGTCTGGATGGAACAGCATGGTGCTGGAGGATGGAGTGGTACTGTTCCTTCTTCAAACAAATCTCCTACTCCATCACCTGCAAAACATCCCCATACAATGTAACTACCACCTCCATGCTAAATTGTGGGTGTAACACATGGTGCTTTCAGACGTTCACCAGTTTGTCTGCGGACATAGACTCTGCATTTTGAACCAAACAGTGCAAACTTGTTTCTAGTCATCATAAGTCCAATTTTTGTGAACCTTTGCCCACTCATATCTCTTTTTCTTGTTCAGTGGATGAAGTAGTGTTTTCTTTTTGCAGATACACAACCCTTCAGACCAGCCTTTCTCAAATGTCATTTCACGGTTGTCAGAGATATTGGTTTCGACCTTGTCATGTTGATTTCCTCCCTTATTTGTGGTGCCATCTTTCGACGATCTCTCTTACTGGTGACAATGCTATGTTTATCCTCTGCTTTTGTTGTAACTCTCATTCGTTCAGGTCTTTTTCTATCATCATAACTTCCAGGTTCCTCTAGTCTCTTCAGAGTGTAGTGGACTCCTTTGTTAAACACCTCTAGGCGTTTTGCAATTTCTCTTTCTGTGTATCCTTCTTTCCTCAATGTACAAATCTGTACTTTTGTTTCTTTACTCAGTTGCTTCTTTCTAGCCATTTTTGCGGTAGTTTGAACGCATTTGAGATTTATTAGGATTTTTGTATGCAGACTCTCAAAAGCCTAAAGTTGAAGTGAGTAATCCAACTGTGCTTTGTTTTTTGCTTTTGCACTGAAGTTGTGACTCTTGCAAATGTTTTAGCAATGGTCTGTCAACATCAATGTATATCTAAAGGTAAATGGAGTAAAATGGTGCATTTTCATGAAAGCAACATCTGATCATGGAGTAAATACATCCCGAAATACATAAAACTCATGCTGGATTTTAAAAAAAGCATTGTGAACAAAGACTTGAAGTTACTCCCAACGGTTCGGCCTGTAATGGCCTTGCTTCCAAACTTTTGGCCTGTAGTATACACACACACATGCAGCCATATTTACAGTTGAGGCCAAAATTATTAGCCCCCCTATGAAATTTTAACTTGTTTTCCAAAATTTCCTAAGTGCTGTTCAACAGATTGATATTTTTACACAGCTTTTCCAAACATCCTAGTTTTATTTTGGATCCTTAAATTATTTTAGTTTACACACAGAAACAAAATTATTTCACAAAAAATCGAAAACTACCAGGGTCAAAAATATTAGCCCCCCTCAGGCTAATAGTCAACAGTGTGTCCTTTTTGCTGGATAACAGCATGCAGTCGTTTGCTATAGTTTGTTACAAGGCTCTGGCACATCTTCTGAGGAATCCCAGCCTATTCCTCTTTGGCAAATCTTTCAAGCTCCTCCAGATCTGATGGTCTTCTAGCATGGACCCTGGTCTTCAGTGCAGCCCACAGATATTCAATAGGATTTAGGTCAAGGCTTTGCGCAGGCTAGTCAATAAAGTTCACTTTGGTTTCCTAGAGGCAGCTCCTCACCAGGAGTGCTGTATGTTTTGGGTTGTTGGCATGTTGGAAGACAAAGCGACGACCCAGACCCAGTTTTGCTGCTGACTGCTTGAGGTTTTCTTTCAAAATCTTCACGTATCCTTCTTTTTTCATTATTCCTTCAACCTTGACAAGATTCCCAGTTCCAGGTACACTGAAACATCCCCACAGCATGATTCTCCCACCACCGTGTTTAACTGTTGGGACAGTGTTGTTGGGGTTATACGCCTCTTCCTTCTTTTTACAAACATAAGCAATGTCTCTGTGACCAAAGAGCTCTAGTTTGGTCTCATCTGACCAAAGAACACGTCTCCAGTATGCACAATCTTTCTCCAGATCGTCCTTAGCATACCTCAGTCTGACTTGAAGATGTCTCTTTTGTAGAAAAATCATTAATCTGTTGAACAGCATTTAAAGAAATTTTGGAAAAAAATTAAAAACTTCATAGGGGGGCTAATAATTTTGGCCTAAACATATACATATATAATCTACAAACACTGGGGGAGTTTTCTTGCCCCAAACCTATTTGAGATGGACTGAGGTTAAGTGAAAATCTGTCCTAAGGTCTTCAAATTCAAAATTTAACACATCTTTTTGAACTTTATGGATGCTGCTTTTTGTGCTAAAGAGGAGCATAAAGGATGCATAAAAGTTCTTGTCATCATTAGCTTCAATATCTGGGAAGGCACCATCAGTGCTGAAAAAAGTTCAGTTTAATTCTCTGAATTACAATGATTCAATTGCTGTTTCAATTGAAAACAACACGTAGTTAAAATAGATTGCTGGCACCATCAAGGGGTCTGCTTCAGAATTTTTTTGCACCAAACAGTTATTTCATTTCATGCATTCTAATCATTTCAGGCACTTTTTTTCTCCTTTTTCGACACTATTTAATCTACAATCCAGTCTTCTGTCTTCCTTTACCTTAGTAGTAGATGCATTAATTTGTATACATTTACAAACAAATATATGGTTCATATTTCTGTACTCTCTTAGCCCTGCATACTTTTTAAAGCTTTGGCTAAATACAAGCAGGGTACATGTGCAGCTCGAATGTACTCTTAGATATACAACTAGGTTTAATTTATGAACACACTTCTCATAATGATAAAAAATGACACTTTGACCATAACCAGCAAAATGCAGAAAGTGGTAATATAGTGAAGAAGTGGCTTTATTAATGGAGGAGTCAAGGTGAAATTTATAAGGCAAGCATGTGTATGGAACCTTGCTTGCCCCTGCCTGTGTGTACACTTAACAAGAGGTGAGAGAGACAGAGCTGCTTACTGAGATTATTTTAAGTAAAGTAACACATTTTTTCACAATAACAACCAAGGTCCACACGCCACTGACATAATCTCTCTCTCTTTCTCTGTTGTCTAAAGTGCATCCGGAAAGTATTCATACCACTTTTTCCAAATTTTGTAATGTTACAGCCTTATTCCAAAATGGATTAAATTCCTTTTTTCCCTCAAAAATTCTACACAAAATACCCCATAATGACAAAGCGAAAAACTTTTTTTAGAACATTTTGAAAATTTATTAAAAATAGGACACTCAAATGTTGCATATACATAAGTATTCACACCCTTTGCTATAAAACTCAAAAATGAGCTCAGGTCCATCCTGTTTCCACTGATCAGCCTTGAAATGTTCCTCCAACTTGATTGCAGTCCACCTGTGGCAAATTCAGCTGATTGGACATGATTTGGAAAGCCACACCTGTCTATATAAGATCCCACTGCTGACAGAGCACGTCAGAGCACAAACCAAGCCATGAAGTCAAAAGAATTGTCTGTAGACCTCCGAAACAGGGTTGTATCGGCGCACAGATCTGGGGAGGGTTACAGAAAAATATCTGCTGCATTGAAGATCCTAAAAAGCACAGTGGTCTCCATCATTAAGAAATGGAAGACGTTTGGAACCACTAGGACTCTTGCCAGAGCTGGCCGCCCAGCCAAAATGAGCAAGCGGGGGAGAAGGGCCTTGGTCAGGGAGGTGACCAAGAACCTGATGGTCACTCTGACAGAGCTCCAGCGTTCCTCTGAGGAGTTGGGAGAACCCTACAGAAGGACCACCATCTCTGCAGCACTCCACCAGTCAGGCATTTATGGTAGAGTGGCCAGACAGAAGCCACTCCTCAGTAAAATGCACATGACAGCCCGCTTGGACTTTGCTAGAAGGCACCTGAAGGACTCACAGACCAGGAGAAACAAAATTCTCTGGTCTGATGAAACGAAGATTGAACTCTTTGGCCTGAATGCCAAGCGTCATGTCTGGAAGAAACCAGGCACCGCTCACCACCTCGCCAATACCATCCCTACAGTGAAGCATGGTGGTGACCGCATCATGCTGTGGGGATGTTTTTCAGCGGCAGGAACTGGGAGACTTGTCAGGATCGAGGAAAAAATGAATGCAGCTAAGTACATTGAAATCCTTGATGAAAACCTGCTCCAGAGCGCTCGAGACCTTCGACTGGGGCGACGCTTCATCTTCCAGCATGACAATGACCCAAAGCACACGGCCAAGAAGACAAAGGAGTGGCTTCAGGACAAGTCTCTGAATGTCCTTGAGTGGCCCAGCCAGAGCCCAGACTTGAACCCGATTGAACATCTTTGGAAAGACCTGAAAGTAGCTGTGCACCTACGCTGCCCATCCAACCTCACTGAGCTTGAGAGGATGTGCAAGGAAGAATGGGAAAAACTCCCCAAATCCAGGTGTGCCAAGCTTGTTGCATCATACACAAGAAGACTGGAGGCTGTAATCGCTGCCAAAGGTACTTCGACCACGTATTGAGAAAAGGGTGTGAATACTTATGTATTTGAGTGTTCTTTTTTTAATAAATTTGCAAAATGTTCTACAAAAAGTTTTTCGCATTGTCATTATGGGGTATTTTGTGTAGAATTTTTTGGGGAAAAAGGGAAATTAATCCATTTGGGAATAAGGCTCAAACATAACAAAATGTGGAAAAAGTGGTATGAATACTTTCCGAATGCGCTGTATGTGTCTGCTCCTCTCACTGTCTCCATCAGCTACACCTTTAATTGAGTCACACAACACAATTCCCATTTAGAAAGTTTTACCTACAACTCTATTACAACTACAAGTGAGCCTTGTTTGGGGGATGTGAAAAACTGGAGCCATTTTCAGACGTGCACTCCGGGAAATCTCTAAAAAATTTCAGGGGCTCTGGCCCACAAATGAATCTGAATGTACTGTACATATATCATGGCTATGCTGCAGTCAACATAGTGTTATGTTGTACAGTCTGATCAAAGATTAAAACCAATGATCCTTTCATTTAGTTCTTCCCTAAGTTTTCATTTTCTTTTTATTCTCTTTACCTTTCTCTTTAAACCCTGGAATATATGCCTATTTGTCAACCTATCACAGTGAATGTCAATGATTGCAATAAAGTTTATCTTTAAAACAGTGAGCGCACAGAGACAGATACACTTTATGATCAGGACATTTCAAAGACAAATTCAGAACTTCTGAAACCTTTCTCATTGATCCCCAAACAAAAGAAAGTTGAAAAAAAAGAGTAACAACACAGTAGAAGATATGCCTATGTCCCAACTTTTTTGAAACATGATGCTGGCATCAAGTTTGAAAATTGGCATTTTGTTTTTTATAAATAAGTAAAAATGTTGAGTTTCAATGTTTGCTCTGTTGCCAATGCACTATTTAAATCAAATGTAAGGCTTCAATAATTTGCAAAAAAGTTAATTCTATTTTTTTATTCACATTTTACTCAGGATCTCAACTGTTTTCGAATCAAAATGTAAACACAGAATTTTAGTGTCTAATTTTTTGTTCATCTAAGGTCAACCTCACCTCATCATGGCTTCACTATCATGAACCGCCTGAACAAGGAGGACCTGGTGGAGCCAATCAACAAAGACTTGGAGTTTCAGCTGCAGGACCCTTTCTTGCTCTATAGGAATGGCAACTGTAAGTGTTATGATATAATACAAGTTCTAAAACTGTAGATACCAGACATGGACTAGACATATAAATGTTTTTCATATAATTTGAGATTACCAGTGTGTGATCTGATATTTCAGTTATGAGGAGTAAAGGACAGCATCAATGAAAGGTAAAAAAGTACATATATCAGGAGAGCTGACATGCATAAATGGACATGAGGAAATTTTTACTGAGCAAAGGCTTTTTAACATCACTTGTCGTGGGAAGTAGGGCTGTACAAAATGTGGGGAAAAAAATCAACAGAAAACTCTTATGGTGGCTATATCCATAGTTGCTTTTAGTGTCTTTAATGTTTTCACTGTAAAGCAAAGAGTGTATCAAAAATACATCCATCTTTGGTTCATACAATGCTTCGGTGTTTTGTAATAAATAACAAAGGTGTACAACAATAAAGTAAATAAATAAAAAACAATAGATGGGAGAAAAATAGAAAAAAAATTAAATTAAAAAAATAAATCCCTCCCTGTTCCACCCACCCAGTGCCACTCATGTTATCCTATATTCTGTTTCAAGAAAGACACTTGGTTTTCACAGCCTTTTGAAGTTTTTCAATCAGTCACTAAAAGAATAATGATTCTTCCCAAGATGCAATTTTTCTGTCAGTGTGGCTAACCATGCTTTAAAACTTGTTGGCTCTGTCTTTTTTACATTGGAGGAGAACAAGTTTTTTCTCACAGAGGAAACAGTGGGTTTAGAAAGCATATTCTGCAGGTTCCTGGTGCTCCTTGATGTCCCTAGTATATATTTTAGTCTTACAGTTTGGGACTCAGGGCTCTATTTTGGTGCCTCACCGGAGACGTGCCGCAAGCGCAGCGTCAGTCAGATCCGCCGTGCTGACAAGGCGTTCCCAAGCACATTTTGGTATTTTGGTGAGCCGCGCAGCCCGGCGTAAGTATCCCCCCTCCCTAACTCAGCTCCTCCCAGCACCATAAGTCGTGAAAGGGCGTGTAGTTGGTTTAACACAGCCGAGACCTGTTTTCACCAATCACATAGGCTCCTCTCCTTGCCCTTAAATCCGCCACAGGCGAGGCGTATTACTATTTTCATGGAGTAGTCAAAGAGATCAAGAGATGTCTTAAGACAGTAATGCCACAAGATGGCGACAGAGGGCAGCTCCTCAACAAGTGTCCTCCACACTCTCTCATATGAGCACAGATGGATTTAGTGTGCGTAATGTTGGACCCACTGGTAAGACAAACACCCGTTTCCACAAATAAAGAAACTCACATAAAGTTGCTCATATTCAAACCTCACGTGACAAAGGTGGGTTGAGCGCACAGATCACAACATAAACTCCAAAAATGGCATTAAAATCAGAACCATCTGTGCGTAAATGACGCATCGCGCTCCGTGGCCTGGCTCTTTCTTTCATAGATGTTGGCATATAAAATAAATTTGGCTCACAAAACTGAATATTATAATATCCGTATGTCGGCTTAAAGTAGATAACGCATCTGAGCACTGAAACAAATCATCTGTTCAGCTGCAGCAGCAGCAAGACGGACAGAGGACACGGAGACGTGTCCAGGTCGAGCTGTGCGAGAAATAAGAGAAAGAAAGAAAAGGAGGAAGACGAATTACGTATCTTGTTAACTTCATCATGTGTGTTTATTTACTAGATATTTAATTTAATTTGATGCGGTTTCAGCTGTGTTGATTCGGTGAGGTTGTGTGTCCAAACGCGTGCCAAACGCGCTCATCAGATCAGATATAGATCAGAATATATCTATATAGATCCAAATGTATGTGCTGACTCAGATTAATAGTTGTTGATGATTATTTATTGCACTGAAATCTGCCTGACACTGTGGAAACCTGCCGGTGAGGCATCAGTGACGTATGTCGATACGCCGCCGGTCTACCAAAATACTACAAGACCAGCTGCGTTCCGCCTTGCGCTGAAAGCTGACCAGGTTTGAATCGGCGAGCTTTCAGCGCACTTTACATGCCGTTGGCGAGCACGAAAATGTCACTGCGCCAGCTGATTCTGTCGACACCTCCCCCTGCCACGCCACCACGCCCAGCTTGGCGGATCTCGGCTCGCCTCCGTGCGGCTCATGCCACGAAAATACCAAACTGGCCTTACGCCGGGCTCGCCGCCCTCCGCCGCCTCACCGGCGCGAACGAAAATAGAGCCCATAGTGTGTAACTCTGAAGTAGGTTTGCCTCCGCTTGATTACATTTTTCACAAATGGTTGATATTTCTGGGGAGATACAATGTAATATGACTCTTGAGTAATGCAGCCTACATGCAAAATTTTAAACTGGATCAAGCAGTGCCTAGCATTCAGGGAGCAAATGTTGGTATATCATAGGCTTTCCTTCCATATATCCTCCACTATTCCCATATACAGTTCTGCTTCCCAGCCTTCCTTTATGCTGCCCATGTTCATCTGGTCTAGCTCCTGAATAAATTGTATATAACGGAAATTGTATTCCTCTTCATTGTGCAATCTTTGAGACACTTGTCTAGCTTTTCAGGGGTGGCGTCATAATTGTTTTTTGGATACACAAGTGGTTGCTGCTATGAACTTTCTGCTGGATAAAATGAAAAAGCTGTATCAAAGACAAGTCTGCTAAATAACTTTACATTTTGCAAATGTTTCAAGCAGACCGCTGTTCATGCTTTACTAAAATTCACCATCACACAAACACACAAAACCAGAACATAAAAGTACCTTTGAATATGCTGAACAAACATCTCTCCAAGGCTTTCCGGAACATGTCTTCTCCCCTTTGCTTGAAGTCTTTCCAGCATCTTGGAGTTGTATTAAACAGGAAAACTTCTTCTGAGTTTTCATGAAGTCTATTCATGACCTCAAGGGATAACCAGACAGCAACAGTTTAAACTAAATACAGATATCATTCTTCCTTGCGACAAAAATTTAAGTGTCTTGTTTTAGGCATAAATCAGACTACTTATTGAGTGGTACAAAAGCTTTGATATTTGAGGATGGCTTTCCTCAGGGGAGAGTAAAGTGAGTTAAGCAGAAGCTGTATTGTTATCTGTCAGATCTTCAGAAAGTGGCTGACAGCACTTCCACTGTGGTAGTCTATCACAAGTCTGAGACAGAGCTTCACCAAGGCAGTGAACAAGGAATTTGAATGTTTCCCCATTTGTTTGCTTATAAGAAAAAACAGCATGGCAATGGTCAGGGTCACAGGAGACTGTTCCCCTTTAGGATTAGGTTTGCCCATTAGTCTGGCTGGTATGGAAGACATGATATTGTCTTTGGTCAGCAGTTTGTTTAGAGTAGCTTCTCCTGTAGCATTACTTGAGTCCAAGTGCTGTTGTTAGCATTTTATATCCTCAAAGTTGGCTGAGTTGCAGACTGGTACCGGGTTTTTATTCATTTGTTGGGGTCTTCTGAAATGAGACAGCTCACAGTCAGATCTGGAAAATAGGACTGAGTGTTTTTTTTGTCTCTTTCATTGTACATTTGTGCTCCTCAGTGATGAGTATCCTTACAATCCAGATAAAGTCAGGCTCACCATACCTTTTAGTTTTTTTGGGCTCCAATTAAGTTGTTGTTGTGATATTGGTTCCAGTTTTGTGATCCTGTAGAGAAAAAGAAATTAATCCTCAGTGATTTTAAGCCTCCTTCCCTTTCTGTTAATCAGGGGAAAAAAAACAGGAGTCCAACACAGAGACGATGCATTCTTCAGGAAGATGATGATGATTTATGGTCACTCTTGTCCATCTCCAGGTCTTTCTAAAATAATTTTAAACTCACTGAGAGACTGAGACTTATCATTGAAGTTAAACTGGCAGTCTTGAGCTCTAAGACCAATGTACTTATACAGTTACTCCTGTTTACACCTCTCTGTATTCCCTCTGGTAGTAGTGGATGCTGCAGGGAGATGCAGAGTTGCCAGGTTATCTAAGCCTCCCAATGGTACACTAGTATGCCATTGTGCCATCACACAGGCAGACACATGCACACACACACACACGCACACACACACACGCAGACACAAAGACTTATATTGTATAAATCATGTTGTTTTCCTATGGGTGATGAACTGCCCCCTCCCAACCACTGCATCAGCACCTGGCAGCAGCAACACCTCAGTAGCTTGTTTTCGAGCTTTTCACAACCTTCCTATTTGATTTTCAAAAAATACATTTAAATCATTTAATTCTTGTCTTGTTTCAATTATTATGTTAAGCACCCAAGCCAGCTGTAACATAATAATGTGGGCTAATCCGGGATCAGTCAGATCTAGGTGAGCTTTTGTGTTTTCAGTGCTAGTTTGTGTAGATTACACTTTTTGTGCTTTTTTGGAATGTTTTTGGACACTGTGTTTGTGAACAACTGTGATTGTCTCTGATAATGAGCACATGATGAGTAGAGAGTCTGAGTGCAGTGAAACTGTGATCCAGGTGGTTTCTCCTTGGTGAATCAAGGAGTTGAGCTCAATCAATGACTGCGCTATGACAGGATGCCTTAATCTCACCACTACCACGTCCACATGTTTCACTCCTAGGATTTTTATCTGGAAGCAGCTTATTTCAAAATATATAGTTACATTTTTTTTACTTTGGGTTTGTGTGGTTAATTGGCGCTCATCTCAGCTCACAATGTGCTCTTTTCTTCTCAGACAGGACATGACCCCTGACCATGTAAAGGAAGAAAACTAGTATTCCACTTTTTAGTTGCACCCCTGGGTGAAGAAGATAATTGCATTGTGACAACTTACCCATGTGACAACAAGCCCCGGCCTCCCCTACTTTTCACTGACTTTAGAGATGAGCACTAATAATAACTTGTTAGGTAGCCATCTTCTGTGCCTGAGCTTGTGCCTGGGGTTTATAGATAGTGTTTTCACAGCTACTTAAAAGGTAAAAGGAAACCTTTCTGGAGCCCTGATGTGCAAGCTAGATAAGTGTCTTTACAACAATACGTGTTAATACACTAACGCTTTTATCCATAGTTGCTGCCAAAATTAACAGAAGATGAACTTCTGTCCAGCTGCTTTAAGTGAGCAGAGGACAAGAACTGTGGGGGTTGCTGCCATCTTGGCCGATGAGTATGTTTTGGCCCACAAGTTTTATTGAATGACAAGTTTCATCTTGAACCTTAGATGCATATTGTATATATATATATATATATATATATATATATATATATATATATATATATATATATATATATATATATATACACTCACCGGCCACTTTATTAGGTACACCATGCTAGTAACGGGTTGGACCCCCTTTTGCCTTCAGAACTGCCTCAATTCTTCGTGGCATAGATTCAACAAGGTGCTGGAAGCATTCCTCAGAGAGCTTGGTCCATATTGACATGATGGCATCACACAGTTGCCGCAGATTTGTCGGCTTTACATCCATGATGCGAATCTCCCGTTCCACCACATCCCAAAGATGCTCTATTGGATTGAGATCTGGTGACTGTGGAGGCCATTTGAGTACAGTGAACTCATGACACTGTGTTCATAATAGACTTGCTAAGATGTCTGTAAGGCCTTTTCTGTTTGCCATGTTGAAAGGTTGTTGTATTCAGACTGAAGCAGAAGCTTTTCTTTATATAATTCAGCTGTAGGTGAGACAGCATGTCTTTGTTCACTCATAAATGTTTTAAATTGGCTACATGAGAGCCAATGGGGATCCAAGCGACAAATACGCTGGGGTGCTATATTGTCTGAGAACGGTATATCAATTTGAACAGGACAATGATCAAACAGAACTATACTATGGTACTGGCAGCTGGTAATCAAAGGCAGTAATCTGTTATCTACAATAAAATAATCAATCCTTGAGTAACTGTGATGAACAGGAGAGAAAAAAGAAAATTGTTCAGTAGTGGGATTAATTTTCCTCTATGGATCACACAGGCCATAGGAATACAGAAAAGCGTTCACAACAGTTGCTGCAGTTGACAGGGAGATATTTGGATTGGGATTTGATCTATCTATCTAGATGTGTATGAAGGACACAGTTAAAATCCCCTCCCCAAATTAGCTGATGGTAGTTCAAGTCCGGTAAATGCAACATGGCATTTATTTTCTTGTGTAGTTCATCTGATAATATGGCAATGGACGTACCAATCTTGGCTACCACACTTTGTTCTGTGTTTTTCAGCACCATCATTATCGTGTTCATGTCGATAGCCTCTCTGGGGATTCCGGAGATTCAGAGTCGAGGGGAGTCCAGGGCTTTTGAGCCTGCTTTAGCCCTCAGATGTTTGGGCATTTTAAGGCGTTTTAGCTCATCGGGCGGATATGGAGGTGTATATTTTTTAGATAGTAGAGTTACCAACACGTTGTAGAATTACCTTTTTTGTCTTTTAGGTTGAGTGAAAGAGAAAGATGGTGTTTTAAAGTTCAATCCATGCAGAGCTCACAAACCTGCGTCTTTACATGCCGCTGCTCGCAAACGCCCTCGCTGCATTTCTGAGTATTTCTTCATTTAAATCACCGTGAATCTCTGGCAGACCCAAACGACAGGTTCAGAAACTGTGAGATTTCTTACTGTAAGTACAAATGTACTGTATATTGAATGGAGATTCAAACTGTGTTTTTTCACATGTATTTTCCTTCATCATACAACCCCACCATGCATTTAAAAATAACTGTATAAAGTTATAAAGTTCTTCTTTACTCATGTGATCCATTTGTTTTTCAGCAGAGTGGGTCAATAAATGCAGCGGACAGTGAGGCAGTTGAGGTGCTGCCGCAGCAGGCAGAGCCAGCTGATGACCCTGTACCCCACCAACAAAAACAAGGGACTTGTGTTCTGGCTGATCTCCTGGGAAACACATATACAACATCAGTAGCAGTATCCAGAACCACACATGACAAGGCATTAGATGAGGTGTTGAGGTACAAAGAGGTAAAACCACTGTCATGCTCCACCAATCCACTCAGCTGGTGGAGGGGGGGCATGAGGGAGAATACCCCCTGTTGCCATGCCAAAATGGTACCGCTGTATCCCGGGAACAAGTGTACCTGCTGAGAGGATCCTCTCAACAGCTGTTGACATTGTCACAGCCCAGAGAAGTGCTTTGAAGCCTGAACTTGTAGACCAGCCACTTTTCCTAAACAGAAATCTACATGTGCAAACATAGTATGCAGCCAGAAATGAAGGGATGCAGTCCAAATGTGATAGTGTTCAAAAAATGTTTTATCACAATTTCCAAGATGAGAGAAATATTCGGTTTACGTGCACTTAACTTCTTCAGTGTTAATACAGAATTGTCCTGTTTTGTACTTTTGTTCTCTGTGTGCACATGCTAATTTTTAATTTATCACAATTTCCAAGAAAAGGAAATATTGTTCGTTTTTTTGTTCATTTAGGTGCACTTTACTTTTTCAGTGTTTATACAGAACTGTCATGCTGACAGGCAGAGCTCTGGCAGACCCAAAGCCACAACAGCATCAGAAGACAAGTTTCTGAGAGTCAACAGCTTGCGTGATAGGCGGCTCACAGGACAACAGCTTCAAGCACAGCTTAATAGAGGTTGCAGTTTCAACTGTGAAGAGAGGACTTTGAGTTGCAGGTTTGATGGGTCAAGTTGCAGCAAGAAAGCCATTGTTGAGACTTCAGAATAAGAAAGAGGCTTGCCTGGGCCATGAAACATCGCCAATGGACTACTGAAAACTTGAAGATGGTGTTATGAACTGATGAATCAAACTTTAAAATCTTCGGTTCATCACACAGGATTTTTGTACACCGTTGAGTAGGCGAAAGGATGGTTCCTCAGTGTGTGACGTCAACTGTCAAACATGGAAGAGGAAGTGTGATGGTCTGGGGTTGTTTGGCTGGATCCAGAGTAAGCTTGAAAACATGGAGTGGCCAGCACAGTCTTCAGAATTAAACCCCATGGAGCTGGTTTGGGATGAACTGCACAGAAGACTGAAAGGAAAGCAACCTACAAGTACTACACATTTATGGAAACTTCTGCAACAGAGTTCGGAAGAACGTTCTAAAGAATATTTGATTACCATTGTAGAAAGAATGCCAAGAGTGTGTTCAGCTGTTTTATCTGCCAAAGGCGGATACTTTGATGAGTCCAAAATTTAGAATACATTTTTGTTTCTAAATTGATTCTGTGATTTCTTTTTTAACTTCAATTATTTATGTTTTATGCATTAATTTCAGAGTACAATGAGATATTAAACTGTATCATTTTCAATAAAATTCTGTAAAAGTTGGGGTGTTCTAAAGCTTTTGACCAGTTGTCCATGTTTACATGGGCATGAAAATAAATGCTTCAAAATTGTCAACAGGTACTCTAATTATTTGTGTATTTCTACTCCTTACTGAGTCGACATAGAAGCATTTGAAACGATATTGAGTCGAAATACAACAGACAGAATCAAAATTAAGTCCATTCCTAAGGTTCTTAACAGTGCCTTGCTCTAGTACAGTGTGATGACATTAAGCATGTGTAACTCCCCTGCCACATTTCAGAGACTCATGTAGTCAGTGGTGTCTATCCAACCTTGGCAAGTGCGAGTTAGACTGTCCATCAACAGGGCTCAAAAAACACAATTTTGTCAATTGGCAGCACCAGTGTCAGAAATGTAATATACACACTGAAATTTCTTCTTTTGAAAACAACACTGTTAATAAATTAACAAAGCGCTTGGGAAACATGTTTCATTTAAATGATTAATGTTTAATACTTCCTGAACAAATGCCAACCTTAGGTCTAAAAGATTCAAGGCCCTATTAGACAATCTGAAAAGCCAGCCTTAAGCCCATGGTGCAAAGTCACTTAGGACATGACATAGGACAAACAACATTTTTGGTTGTGTCATGACTGCAGAACTGAAATGTACACCCAGAAGCAGTGTTGAACTTTACATCAGTGGTAAAGAAGGTGAAATGAAGCAGCTTATTTAAAAAAAAACACTTGCCAGTGATCTCTTGCTTTTGTTACAATGTGGAGAAGCAGATGGTGGAATATGTCAGGTTCAGACAATTTCATGCAACTTCTCTCACCCTGATGTCACCCACTTTGGCATGAAGATTCCAGCAATACACACCCATCATAATCTTAACATTTCTTCAAAAACGATTATGGTGATTGAACAGTGAGTATTCAGAAATTACGGTACCTATTGAAACCAATAGACAAGACCTGCGTCCACATTTTAAAGTTTAAATGGGGTCTCTTTGTGAAAGCATCCCCAAGTAGTAGACTCCAATAACTGCTTTTTTTTTTTTGCTTCTCTCATTGACTTCTATGCAAATTTTCAAAAATTCATATATAACAGAGAAAAGTAATAGCACACCTTTCCTAATGAAACTACAAATTTTGATATATAATTTGTTCTACAACTCTTCAAGCTGTAAGACTAGCAGTGAATTAAAATTTGCCCACAAGAGGGATAAGTAAAATCCACAGTAAAACTCGGTGTGTTTGCCCTGTGGCCCTAAAAAACTGAAAAACTAATAATTGTGCAGTAATAACCATAATAAGTTGTAATTTTAAAACAGTGGAGGATGTAATTCATTTGTTTGTTTCTTTTTTTTCTAGTGGGTATCTATAGTATTTGGTTCTTTGACAAGAGGGACTGTCAACGCATTGCTCAGCTGATGGTCAAGTAAGCGCCTGCCATTAGCATACTTTACCTATGTTCAGATGGGATAGGACATTTCTTCACTGTTTTCCATGGAGACTAGTCTTACGTTTTGAAGGAAGTGTTCTTTGGCCACAGTTCACATTTGATTTCACATTTCTTCATTTTGCATGTTTTCCCTCCCCACAGGATAGTAAAACAAGAAGCAGACTGTGCCAGGAGAGAATCACCTGAGGGTGTAAATGGGGCTGCAGAACCAAGGTCAACTGACATCTTGGAACTGCTGAGCAAAGCCAAGGAAGAATACCAGAGAGTAAGGAGACAAATGCACACTGTCAAATGGAAGATTGACAAACACAATATTTTAGATCATCAGCAGTATAAAGTAGTTTGTTTTATTCTCTTTTCTTATTATGCTTTTTTTCTCTATCTACTCCCCAAATTTTTAGTTTTTATCAAATCCAAATATCACCTATCATAACACCAAGCATATATTTATTGATTGAAAGTAGTGAGCTGAAAAATACATAATAAAAATCGACTAAGTACTCCAGTAAGAACTGACCAAAAAGCTCTACCTCAAAAGTGGAACCCTGCTGTCAAATAAATGTTTTCAGTTCTTGAAATGATAGAATACCGTATGTTAGTTTCACAGTCAGTGGCTGCATTTTCAGATATCATATTACTTTTGAGTGTTCTATTCTTGAAATATTACACAAGACCTTCGAAAAAACTGCTTCTCTTTTAGATCTACATTGACGGCCTGTATACATCTTGTAACTGACAGTGTAAGGGCATGGTTCCTAAGGCAGCAACAAAAGAAGGGGAGGACACAAATGGCAATGTTTAAGCCCTTTCTTAGGGGTGTTTATTTGTTGAAACAATTATAATTACCATATTTCTGTTGTCAGTCTTTATGATTTCTATGCTGTCGGTGCGTGCATGTGAATGAAAATCAGTATGAAAACATTTGTAGTAAAATGTCTAATTGTTGAGGTGTGTGTGAAGTGCACAAAAGGAAAAAGCGGTGGCTGCAATGTGGCAGTCTTGAGGATGGAGTGTGAGTGAGAGCAAGGCTGCGGTGTAAGTCAGCCTTTTCTAGTCCCAGGAAACACACTGGGCCCAGGTGGTCGCTAGAGCTCCCAGCCACTTTACCTAAAAAAAAACACAATACACACATTAAGGGACTGTGACAACCAGTAAGCACAACTCTGTCCTTTTTTTAAATTACGAAAACTGTATTTACATTTAAATACTCTCATTTGTGATTCAAAAAAATATTGCTATTGTATTAAACTTGAAAAGTTTGATATCCCCTGTTCCTAGGGCCACAGCATAAGGTGTTACGCCTACTCACAAAATATTAGAAAACAAAAAATGTGAATTGTCAAATGCACAGTAGTAATGACGCTCAATCTTAAAAAATAGTGATTCAGCGGCATCCATTGCTGTGTTGGTAGGTAATCAAAACAGTCGGTGCCTTCTCAGTCCTCCCAAAATTAAAGGAGTGCTCTTGACCACTGCCAGATACATGAACATCTAAAATTACAGTGATTCTGATCAAATGTACATTGCAGGCATAAGAGCATTTGTTGGAGTGTATCTTATTGCTTTTTTACACCTCTGTCTGTCTTCTTGTATTTGTGTGATTCAGGCTCAAGGGGGTAAAAGAGATACATCTGCAGAACTGAATGTGACAGCAGCTAGCAGTACAGCTGAACATGTTCACTGCTCATCACAACAAGAAAAGGTATTTACATTGTAAAAATATGGGTTTTGGAATTTTTGGAAGTCTCAATTTTTTTTTCATTTGTATGTTTCGAAATTCAAATTTAAAAGTTGTCTTTATGACCTCTAACTGTAACAGTAACTTTAACATTAATTATAATTAAATTTGTATAGCACTTAAAAAAACAGAGGTTTACAAAGTGCTTGACAAACAGTCGGGAACATACACACAACAAAGCGCAAGTGCTTCAGCACAAGGAAATAAAAACAAAAAGCTCAGAAGGTCCTTTTCAAGATAAAATAAAATATTCCTTTATGAGTCCCACAGGAGGAAATTAAAAATTACAGTAACATATTAAATGATGAAGAAACATAGAGTTAAAAAAGATATATACATGAGTGTCATTTACAGAATAAGCATATGTGTGCACAGAATATACATGTGTACAGCATAGACATATAAATATGATTTATTGCACACTGAGGTTTCTGTTGTAGAGTCCGACGGTTGCAGGAATGACCTGCGATACCTCTCCATCACACACTCTATGGGTGGCGCATCCTGTCCCTTAAGGAGCTCCTCATTGAGTGTTTGTTGGAGGGGATGAGAGTCTCTGTCCAGCATGGAGGACAGCTTGGCTGTGATCCTCCTTTCCCCAACCTCCTCCACAAATGTCATAAGAACCCAGACAATACAAGAGCCATGCAACACTAAATGAGACCACGAGGACCAAACTAAGAGCTAAACACATAAATTCTGTAGGAAAAAGAAAATGCAATCCAAAGGAGTTGAAAGCAAAAAAAACCAGAACATCAACTATAAAAAGACAATGTTAATACTGATAATAAAATAATAACAGCAATGATTAAGTAGAATAACAGACATAAGCAAGAGATAACAATGAAAAGGTCTAGAAGGTTATCAAAGAAAAGAAGTGTAACAAAAGCAAAAGACAGAAATCCAAGCCAAAATTAGATTAGATTAGAAAAAAGATAAAAGACAGCATCACATAAAAGCAAGTCTGTAAGAGTGAGTTTTAAAAACTGTCTTAAAAGAAGTGACTGACTCTGCTCACCTTATCCCCTCTGGCAGGTTGTTCCAAAGTCGCAGAGCTCTGATGGAGAAAGCTCTATCACCTCTAGTTTTGAGCCTTGATTTTGGAACAACCAGAAGGCCTTCGCCAGAGGATCTAAGGCCGTGAGCTGGCTCATAAGGTATCAGTAGCTCTGAAATATAGCTTGGAGCATGTCCCATGATTGTTCTCAAAGTAATCAATGAAATCTTAAAATCAATTCTAAAACCAACAGGAAGCCAGTGAAAGAAGGCTAAAATTGGAGTGACAGGAGTGTAGCAACTTGCTGTGGGAGTGAGATAGTAGCAAATCAGGCCTAACAAAAGGAAAGTAGCAAGGAAGTGGTCCATTTTTGCTGTAGGATTACAATTTGACATGATATCAAGGACTTGGCTCAAAATTTGATGCTAAAGACACTGGCACTCTAGCTTGATGCTTTGTGGAGCCTCTGCTGCTAATTATATTGGTTTGCAAATACACACCTCTTAAACACTTTCATGTACAGATCCAACCCACATTGCATTTGTGAGTGGCCTAAAGTTACTTTGTATTCAATGTTTATTTAAGTTTGGTGTTAAATCTTTTTTTTTAAATTAGTTATGGGAACAAAAAAAGATCGGACGGCATTGATTAAGTGCTCAGAATTTCCCTCTTGGTTATCATTTATTTCTGGTCTTACCGATAGGAGAGGCCTAATCATTTGTGCATATGTATGTGCACATGTCTATCTATCTGTCTTGTAGTTGTGGTCCTGCTTTTAATTTGTTTCCATCAGTCTCACAGTTTTCCTTTCTTTGTCTTTAACCTTCTAGAGCTCTCCTTCAAAGGTGAAGCAGATCACAGTTGAAGAACTCTTTGACTCATCACTGCCAAAGGATGCGACTTCAGTCATCTTTCCTGTCCAACACACCACGACTGCATGTAGTGGCCTCTCCATCTCTTACCACCAGAATCAGTCTTGTTCGGCTCCAGCCCATCTAAACCAACTCCCTCCTTCCAATCTTCCGAGCCCAGATAGCAGGTCAAATCAACAGTCCCAAGCACCCATCCTACCCCAAGCTCCATATGTTCTACACCCCAGCCCTATTTTCAAGTCAATGGTCCCCAAATCAGAGCACCAACCACTTTGCTCAGTCTTTCCTCTGATGATGCCCCCTGCTGGCTCAGAGCCTCATGCTGCTCCCCCTGGCTGTGCAGCATCACCATGTACAACATACATGAGAAAGGAAGTCCTCAGCACGCTCAAACCAGCAGTCTCATCTGTACATATGAATATTCACAAACCAGTCCTTGCACCAAACTTTCTGCCAAGTGCACTGCTCCCTCCCCACAGCTTCCAAGAGCCCACAGTAATACCTCCTCCCCAGCACATGAAGGAAGTGGACAGTCTTTCTCAGCCTTCAAATCTGATCAAACCACTTTCTGTAAGTTCACCAGCTCAATTAGACACAGTTTGGTTGGTTTGTAGCTAGTCTTGCCTCTTTTTAAGATTTTTGAATCACAGTAGTTAACATTATAAAATAACATAATTCATCATTATCTTTTTTATCCTAGTCTCTCTGCCATCTTTTCTGATTTTTTTTTAGACTGTTGCCATGAGACTAGGACTTGCTGGCCCAGCTGCAGAGATTTCAGTGCTACTCTCCCCTAGTGCCTTCCAGCAGTCCATGAATAAGACACCAGCCGCAATGTCAGGGTTTCCCCCTGCACCCTCTGAGCTCTCCTCCTCTGATGTAGGAGTTGTAGATCCTCCAGAAGCCCCCTGCAGAAAAGCACAACTACAGGAGACTCTTATTTACCTAATTAAGGTACAGTAAGGTTGTGTAATACATGCTGTTTGCATAGTGGCATGGAAAATGTTACTTCACAAAGACAGCTTAGAAAAAATTGTATAAAAGAATCCTATGGCCAATCTCAAAAAACTAAGTTAAGTGTAATTAAATCTATTATGAGAGCAACATCAAATAGAAATTCCAGGTTTTGACCATGGTCCATTCCATGTTCCCGACCTCCCCTTGCATGCTTCAAGTGGAGGCGGAAGTTGAAGCCTTGCACACAGAGGCATCCACCAGACGTTCCCAGTTCCCCCACACTACACATTTGGGTTTGCCAGGTCTGCGGGGTAGCCTTCCCGCCACCTGATCCAACTCGCTATCAGGAGGTGATTAGTTGACAGCTCAGCTTCTCTCTTCACTCGAGTGTTCTTGGCTGCAGAGCAGATGACATGACCACAAAGTCTATCATCGATCTTTGGCCTATGATGGCCTGGGACAAGGTCCACATACACTACAGGCCAAAAGTTTGGAAGCAAATTCAGATTTGTACAAAAAAAAGACCATAGTTTCATATATATAATTTGCAACACAGTAAACATGACTATTGTGTAAAGAGTAACTTATCAGAAGACATTTTGACTATAATTATGAGGTATCTGAGTTACTGTTGCTTAGACTTTGCTTTCTTTAAAGTAACCTCCTCTGGCTTTAACAACAGCTTGGCATATACCAGGCATTCATTCCACAAGTTTTTTAAGGTATGTTCCAGGGATTGCATTCCAAGCTTTCTTAAGTTCATTATAAAGATACTGCTGATTCGTGGGACGCGTTTTTCTGACCGATTGATCCAATTCATCCCGCACAAGCTCAATTGGAGAAGGGTCTGGAGACTGAGGGGGCCAAACCATCTTTAGAAGAACACCTTCCTCTTCTTTTTTGTCTAGGTAACCCTGACAGAGCTTGGCAGAGTGCTTAGGGTCATTATCTTGCTGAAAAACAAACTTATGAGCCACAAGTCTGAGTCCAGATGGAACAGCATGGTGCTGGAGGATGGAGTGGTACTGTTCCTTCTTCACTCTATCCTTTATGTCAAACAAATCTCCTACTCCATCACCTGCAAAACATCCCCATACCATGGAACTACCACCTCCATGCTGAATTGTGGGTGTAACACATGGTGCTTTCAGACGTTCACCAGTTTGTCTGTGGACATAGACTCTGCGTTTTGAACCAAACAGTGCAAACTTGTTTCCAGTCATCATAAGTCCAATTTTTGTGAGCTTTTGCCCACTCATATCTCTTTTTCTTGTTCTGTGGACAAAGTAGTGTTTTTTTGCAGATACATAACCTTTCAGACTAACCTGTCTCAAATGTCATTTCACGGTTGTAAGAGATATTGTTTTCGACCTTGTCATGTTGATTTCCTCCCTTATTTGTAGTGCTGTCTTTCGCCGATCTCTCTTATTGGTGACAATGCTATGTTTATCCTTTGCTTTTGTAGTAACACTCTTTCGTCCAGGTCTTTTTCAATCATCATAACTTCCAGGTTCCTCTAGTCTCTTCAGAGTGTAGTGGACTCCTTTGTTAAACACCTTTAGGCGTTTTGCAATTTCTCTTTCTGTGTATCCTTCTTTCCTCAATGTACAAATCTGTACTTTTGTTTCTTTACTCAGTTGCTTCTTGCTAGCCATTTTTACGGTAGTTTGAACGCAGTTGAGATTTATTAGGATTTTTGTATGCAGACTCTCAAAAGCCAAAAGTTGAAGTGAATAATCCAACTGTGATTTTTTTTTTGCTTTTGCACTGAAGTTGTGACTCTTGCAAATGTTTTCAACCCTAAAACTAAGCCCTTATTATCTTTTGCTGAAATATATTTAGCAATGGTCTGTTAACATCAATGTATATCTAAAGGTAAATGGAGTGAAACGATGCATTTCCATGAAAGCAACATCTGATCATGGAGTAAATACATCCCAAAATACATAAAACTCATGCTGGATTTTAAAAAAAGCATTGTGAACAAAAACTTGAAGTTACTCCCAACTGTTCGGCCTGTAACGACCTTGCTTCCAAACTTTTGGCCTATAGTGTATGTACCACCCTATGAACATGGTGCTTGTTATAGCCAGTCCATGACTAGCCTAATAACAAGGCACCACTTGAGTTAAGACCAGACAGGCTGGTCCTCCCTATCAGCCCTCTCCAGTTGTTTCTATCATCGCCTAAATCAGTTTTGAAGTCCCCCAGGAGAGCTATGGAGTCCCAAACTGGGATCCTTTCCGGGACCCTTCCCTAAGACTCTAAGAAGGCAGTGTACTCTGAACTGCTGTTTGGTGCATATGCGCCAGAAATAACAATCAGGGCCCCCTCCTCAGGACCTAAAGTCACAAGGAAGGGGCCTCCTGCTCCCCAGAGAAAATTCTGGCACTGAGGTGCTCAGCCATGGGCTTGTGAGTAGCAGAGATTTTAGCCCCTCTCCAGGAGTTTGGTTCCACGGTCATAGAGAAATGTGCTTTGTGTCAGACAGTGCCTGAAGTGACTAAAAACAAAATTAATTGAAAATAGACTTTGTTCCACCATATTTCCCACTAAGTAGACAATACCTTCAGACATACTTCAAGGAAAAAGCAGACGATCTGCATGATTATTGGTGAATTTACATTCCAAAAGTCTATAGTTTCACTGTGCTGAATAGTTATAGGCTTGAGTAAAATGCTTATGGGTTACCTTTAATACTTGTGTATGTTCAAGCATGTGTAGATTTTTATGCATTGTTGTGGGCTGTGCACAGAAAAACAAGACAGATGTCACCACTCGTAGAATGAAAACAGCCAGATCTGTGTTACATTTGCACATCACCTCTGTGAAAATGTTTTGTTAGTGTGCAGCATTATTACAAACTGATTGAATCCTAGCAAATCTTAGCTTTTTCTTGTGCCCATCACCCTCTTTCCTCATTTGTATCAAGTAATCCCATATTAAACAAAAGCAATCTCCCTTAGTAGATCAATTCAAGGCATGATTTGTACTATATTAAATGCACTTCCAGCTTTACTGCATCAATAACACTTGTACATCTTTGGTGTGACATAAGGGCTGAAAAAGTAAAGAACCCAAGTTTATTTTCTCTGGTTTTTTACTCTCTCCCTGTCCAGAATGATGCAGCCTTCTTCCGTGCCATTCATGAACACCTCCAGACCGTGACAAATGACTTCAGCAACATGAAAGTATAGTCATCTTTGAGCACCATATTAATGTTCCTTTGTCTGGAAGCCCCTTTTATGAACTGTCTCCATATTTCTGGAACTGTTTGGGTCCTGAAAACCATCAAAGCATGCAATGGCAACATTCAACCCTTAGCCCTTGGCATAGAGCTTGTTCATACTCTTATCCTGGCTACCCAAATCTTGGACTGAACATGTTGAAGAAGGACTGAGCAGACTAGATCAGCTGTTGATGGTTTACTTGAGAACAGGACCACAGTTGAACTTTTTTGACCTCAAATGATTTTAGTTTGTATCTTGGGACAAATGATTTTGCATTGAACAGTATTTGATTGCCATCTTAGCTGTCTTACACAATACTTGATGTTTGAGAAGTGTGACATTTCGGAACGGTAACAGTTGCAACTTTTTTTAATTTTAATTTTCTAAGTGTGTTTGGGACCTTTTGGGGGTCTTCAGAGTAATTGTCCCACTGTCTGAGTATAGAAAGACTTTTATGTTTTTGTTTCTATTAGTGCCAAGTAAGTGGGATTTTGTGTAGAATTTTTCACATATTTCATTCAGGGGAAAGAATTTCTGTTATTGATTTTAGAAACACTTGCTTCGTAGTGATTTAACTCACAATATAGTATCACTTTTCCTTTACCAACTGTCTTTTATGATGTTAGAGACTGTAACATGTTAATGGAAAAAAAAATATTATACAAATAAGCTCATTTTTGATTTTTTCCTATTAAAAGTTTCTTCCTCCCGGATCTCTGTGACTCTTTCTTCCTATTTTTGCTGTGTCATTGATTTCATCTCCATTTCCAGCAGCTGAGCCTAAATACATATAATTTGTGATAGGGAACATGCAATTGATGAAAGCAGCTCCTTTAGGGATATTAACATGTTGGGGTATTTTAGGATCATGCAGTAGAGCTTAGGTTACCTAAAACTGAAGCAGAATTTTAAAAACTAGCAATAGATAGATCATTAAAAAAACATGGGTTTATGGGTTTATACCAGTACCTTAAACAGATGAGGAAAAAATAAGCTACCTTTATTACTATGGCTTGGTCTTAATTTATAGACTAATTTATAGCCACTATAAAAGGCTAAAAACCATAAGTCTTGTTGAGTATAGAGGGAGCACAGAAAGGGGAAGTGGTGTCTCGACACAGTTTATTCACTTCATAAAATAATAGATCAGATTTAATATAGCGCTTTATTAGAGACCCTCAAAGCGCTTTACATTGGCTACATGATTCATTCGCTCACACAGTTACACCCTGGTGGTGGTAAACTACAGTAGTATTCACAGCTACCCTGGGGCAGACTGACGGAAATGTTGCTGCCAATCCGGGGCTACAGTCTCTTAACACCACCACATATAACTCACATGTATACACCAGTGGAGAATACGCACTGGGGGCAAGGTGGGTTAAGTGTCTTGCCCAAGGACACAATGGATAGACAAGGGATGGGGAGGGAAATCAAACCACCAACCTTCCAGTTGTGCTCAAGAAAAACATGGAATTATGTATTTAACTAAAAAGTGTTTAACAAATCAAACGCCTTATATTTTAGATTCAGCGTCTATATACAGTCTATGATTTAACATAAGGGGTGCCAAAAGGTGCAGAGATGCATTTTACGGCAGCAGGGGTCAGATCTACAGCACTCTCCATTCATTCAACATGGCTAATCCTGCCAACAGTACAAAACATTGCAGTAGCGCACATGTGAATGGTGGCTTTGAACATCTGCTGTTTTATGGGGACAATACTGAAGCATGGATGGCTCGACTGAAAAAGACCATTTGTAGCTGAAAAATGAACGTGAACCAGCTAATTTTTTGGATCATGAACTAAGTTAAATTTTTTTAGAAAAAAAAAAAAAAATATAAACATGAACTAGTTCATTTTAATTAGTGTAAACTGAACTTTGAGCAAGCCCATTTTTTGTGTGAGCAGGCAGAACACTGACTAACAGGATTTCTTAAAACCAGTCAGCTTTCTGGAGAAAGAGACACCTGAACCATTTTTTTTAGGTTCTAAACAAGCGAAATATAAAACACACTCAATGCATTTCTGATTAAATCAATAATGAGCCTCAGAGACTTTATACAGAAACAAATAAACTTTACTCTTCACTTTTCAGATATATTTTCAGATACATTAGTTACAGTATGTGTCTGTCTAAACTTGGTCTGCTAAAGAGTATAGCCTGGAGACAACACATGACAGCAATCTAATTTATATTTCTTATTTATCTACTGTTGCTGCTGTCCTCTTCTTTTTCTTCTTTCTCTTCTTCTTGCTGGGTGTATTGCCAGTTTTTACTGCTGCAGATGTTGGTTTGTCTTCAGTCTCTGAAGTTTCAGAGTCAGCAGTTCTCTTCTGACACTTGGACATACTGTGTGGTAGTTCCTCTGGGGCACTGTGAAAGCAGATAGAAAAGGTCAACCTTCTCTTCTTACCACAGGTCAGTTGTTGATTGTATAAAACAATTTAGAATTTCACCTACGAAAAAAAGGCATGCATCAAAACTACCAAAGCCAATCCCAAAAAAGTTGGCAACTTGGCACACTGTAAAATGTTGGTTGACAATAAACTTGCAAGTAATTCAAACAATATTTAACTGATATTGGTGCAAAGGCAATTTATTAAACTAGTTGGTACAAGTTATAAATCCTGCACTATGCATGGTGCATCAGCAAGCCCAACATCCAAAGATTAGAACTGTTTCCAAATGTTACTCCCAACCTTTTGATAAAGATTAACATAGAATGGCTTCCTGGGAGTTTTAAGATTCAAGTTTGAGATTTACTGCTTGTTTCTTAAAACCTTACATGACCAGGCTCCGGTCTTTGTCGTGCAGAGACAGTCGCTTCTTTTAAGTCAATTTTAAAAACTCACTTTTACAGACTTGCCTTTATGTGATGCCATCTTTCATCTTTTATTGCCTTTTACCGTTTTTATTTTTCTCCTTTTTCTTTTACCTCTTTCACCTCTTTCTTATTTAGACTTACTGCCTTTTTAGCCTTTGTTTTACTTATAATCTTTTTATTGATTTTAATGTTTTCATTTTCCTTTATTTTATATATATATATTTAATTCCACTTTATCATTTATATTACCATCATTTTATTTTATTATGATTTTATTATTATTATTAATATCCTCTTTCATACTTACTAGCCTGTTTTCTTCCCTCCTTGTCTATTTCTTTTTTTTTTTTTTTTTTTTTTGCTTTTGCTTTTATTTTGGTCCTCATGGTCCCATTTATTTTGTAGGGTTCTTGTATTGCCTGGGTTTCTTACGAAAAGTGAAACAGGCCTACAATTCAGAGGCCTGTTTTTAACTGAGCTTTTGTTTTTATGTGTTTTTATTTTCAATGTGCTGATGCTCTGTGCTTACAACTGTTGTCTAAGCACTTTGTAAACTTCTGTTTTTAAAGGTGCTATATAAATAAAATTATTATTATTATTATTATTATTATTATTATTATTATTATTTGTCAGTAAGTTGCCTACTCCCCACGAGCCAGACTGCTGCCTGAGAATTTCTAGCAGGGCTCTCTCAACATGTGGTTTCTAAAACTCAGCAGGTCTCAAGAGATGACTGACCATTTGCAGTTCTGATCTGGTAGTCCAGCTGTGTAACTACCTGCCTGAGAATGTCAGATGGAAAAACTCTGTCTTCTTTTTTAAATCTCTTAAAAATGTACATCTATTGCTTTCTTTCTTTTAAATTAACTGTACGGGTTCAAATTACTTCCAAGAACCACTGTGTGAGAACACTTCTCATCACTGGATCCCTACAGCAGAGCCATGCAAAGACCAAATCATATGTTCACATGATAGGGATACACTGGCGACTTTTCTGGACCCGAGCTCATTAAGGATAAGTAAAAACCTGTCATCTTTGGTCCTTTCTTTGCTTGGTTAGAGCATATTTGTTACTTATTTGGCAACCATTGATGCCACATCATTTGCCCTAAAGAGGAAAAGAACCATCCAGCTTGTTATCAGCACTCAGTTAAAAAGCAAACATGGTTGGATGCTGAATGCCGATGGTAGAGTGATGCATACGTGCTCATGAAAAAGGTAGCTTACATACACTTCTGGTCCAAAGTTTTAGAAGACCCCAATTATTCCAGTTTTTTACTGAAATTCAAGCAGTTCAAGTCCAATGAACAGCTTAAAAGAGTACAAAAGCTGAGTGATGAACTGCCAGAGGTAAATAAAAGGAGGTAAGGTTAACCAAAACTGAAGAATAATGTACATTTAATAATTATACAAAAAGGCATTTTTCAGGGAACAACTTAAAGCAGTTCTGCAGCAATGGAGGTTGATCAAGCCTTAATAGTTGGTTCTACAGGTGTCCTAACTTTTCTTGGGATAAAGAAAAGGCAGGGGGTCAGCCTGACAAACTGTGGCCGACAGCATCAGAAGACAAGATTCTGAGAGTCAACAGCTTGTGTGACAGGCGGCTCACAGGACATCAGCTTCAAGCACAGCTTAATAGAGGTCGCAGTTATCAAGTCTCAGTTTCAACTGTGAAGAGAGGACTTCGAGTTGCAGGTTTGATGAGTCAAGTTGCAGCAAGAAAGCCATTGTTGAGACTTCAGAATAAGAAAGAGGTTTGCCTGGGCCATGAAACACCACAAATGGACTACTGAAGACTGGGAGAAGGTGTTATGAACTGATGAATCAAAATTTGAAATCTTCAGTTCATCACGCAGGATTTTTGTACGCCATCGAGTAGGTGAAAGGATGGTTCCTCAGTGTGTGACATCAACTTTCAAATATGGAGGAGGAAGTGTGATGGTCTGCGGTTGTTTTGCTGGATACAGGGCTGGTGACTTGTACAGAGTGAAAGGCACCCTGAACCAAAACGTTACCACAGCATTCTGCAGCACCATGCAGTACCCTCTGGGAAGCGCCTAGTTGGTCAGGGGTTCATCCTACAGCAAGATAATGACCCAAAATGCCAGAAGCATGCTATGTCAGAACTACCTTCAGAAAAAAAGAACAAGATGGTAAGCTTGAAAACATGGAGTGGCCAGCACAGTCTCCAGAATTAAACCCCATGGAGCTGGTTTGGGATGAACTGCACAGAAGACTGAAAGGACAGCAACCTACAAGTACTACACATTTATGGAAACTTCTGCAACAGAGTTCGGAAAAACTTTCTAAAGAATATTTGATTACCATTGTAGAAAGAATGCCACAAGTGTGTTCAGCTGTTTTATCAGCCAAAGGTGGATACTTTGATGAGTCCAAAGTTTAGAATACATTTTTGTTTCTAAATTGATTTTATGATTTCTTTTTGAACTTCAATTGTTTATATGTTCTATGCATTAATTTCAGAGTACACTGAGACATTAAACTGCATCATTCTCAATAAAATTCTGTAAAAGTTGGGGTGTTCTGAAGCTTTTGACCAGTAGTGTACATTTTGGAAGGCAACCATAAATAATGACATCCAAATTCCATGTAATTAAAAATCAACATCCTTACCTAGATGTCCCCTTTAATAACTGATCCTGAAGTGAGACTTAACTTTCATAGAATTATCAAAAAAATTTATACACACTTACATCTCAGTAAATTTGGAGACCAATAAAAAGGTTGTACAGCTTTCATCAGTTATGTAAGGAAGTAAAAATTTAACTTTTCTAGACACATAAAATAGGTGTTCAGGCATTTTCCCCCGAAATATTCTCTAGGTATGTAACTTTCACTTTGCATATGAAATGTGTCAAGTAAAGGTCTCACACCAGATCAATTATAGTTTCCTCAGTACACTCAAATGCTGGCCTATGTATGTTGAAGACGGGATTGAATGATTTCCTTGCTGTTCCATTGGCATGGTGGCACTGAGAGCTAACTTGCCAATGGTAGCAGCATGACTGGTTGGCCAGCACGGTCACACCCCTGCTGCAGATGCGAAATACAACAGCCTTTGGATGGCAATGGACTCGATGCACTGATCCACTACTTCTTGAACTTAAGGCAGCTCCTTTATTTCCTGTCTTACATTATTGGACAAACTGATTAATCCAGGTGTGTCTGAGAAGTCACAATAAACAGTCACACCTGGATTAATCAGTTTGTCCAATAATGTAAGACAGGAAATAAAGGAGCTGCCTTAAGTTCAGTAAGCTGTGGAGCTGTGCATAGAGCCCATTGGTTTCAGCAGTAGGTTCACCTTGCTTAAACTGGCTGCTGGTACAACGAAAAAATAATGTTTCTGTCTAACAATGTTGGTCTACTGACAACTTTTAGAGATGAGGATTTCGGTTTCCTGCCCACAGAACATGATACTACTATGTTTGATTGGCCAGCCAGCTCTCCTGACCTGAATCTCTAAGAATTTGTAGGATATCTGTCATAGCAAGATGAGTGACTCCTGACCCAAAAATATAGCCAAGCTGAGGCTGCTGGCAAAGCCTTAATAACACCTCAGCACTGCCACCAGCTGATTGTCTTCATACCACGCTACACCCATGTCATTGTTAGTTGGAAAGAAGCCCCAGAAACATTTCAAAGAACACACTTTTTTTTTAAAAAGCTGAAATTTTTTTAGAATAACTCATTTGACAGAAATACTCTGGTAATTTCCAATTCCAGAGCAATAATCTCCACGAGTTGAGTCATTATCACCAAAATTACAACAAAAAGCCTTTGTTTTTAAATTTTAAAGTTAACCTTTTTGATAACAACATTAACGTTTTCATGATATTCAAATTTGTGAGATGCACCCACATATCTATAATTCAACATGTCAGCCTAGTGTTTACCTGAAGTGAACTGCTGGCTCTTGCTTGCACTTCTTATCCGCAATATGTTTCTCCAGCAAAGCCACAAAGAAGCCGTGTGTGCGGGTCTTGGTGGAGCTGGCACGAAGACACTGGTTGAGTGGGTGTATACCTCGTTCAGGCCACTGTGGCAGCAGAGGAACCAACCTGGACAAAGACACATGGGACTTGTATAATAATTGCTGATTTCACATGTCCAACAGTAATACCTGCACAGTCAGACAAGTGGCCTATTGATTCAAAAACTATTTCATAAATGATTAAGTGGAAGTTAAGATGGAACATACAATAGTGGGGAATAGTGGGAAAAAGGCAACTTCTGAAACAAAGGCAGATAAAGATATGTATCTGTGTGTGTGTGTGCGCGTGTGTGAGTGTGTGTGTGTGTGTGCGCGCGCGCTACCTGAAGTCAGGATTTTGCTGCAGACCTGCTGTTACGACATCCTCGTTCTCCTGCCTGTGGACGGAGCAAGTAGAATACACCAAGCGCTTCAGGGAAGGGAACTTAAGTCCATGGTTCAGGCACCTCAGCTGGAAGGAGGCCAAAGATGCAAGACGCATCTGATTCTTCTCCTGGTCAGCCGTAGAGTCATCATCCTGAAGGCACACCATACCTGGACCCCCCACACATAGATTAAATCTCTCTTGGTAAAGCCACTCACAACTGAATTTAAAGCAGCCTTCTTTGTGATTTAAGGTATTAATACGAAGCCAAGTTGCCCCCAATAATTCCAGGATTTTTCTTCATTTCCTGAAACTGGCACTAGTGTTTGGTGGGAGAGTCACTGTGATGACACTCTGCTCAAACAGCATACCCCCTGGATGTCCTACACAATTTCCTTATGCCCATAGACTCTGTGCAAGTGTCAATCATGGAAAATATGATGTCATATCCCATTTTTATAACCCCTAATAATTTTAAAAAATAGAGCTGCACAGAAAACAGGACTTGAGCTCAAGCCAGTATAACAATAACTACATGGGAAAAAGCCTCTGGAGAGGTGGTCAATCGTAAGACAGTAGGCTTGTGGGGGGGGTGGGGCTTTAAATGATAATAGTATTATCATTTAAGGTCTCATAGGTCTTTCAGGCCAGGAGATGGATGACCTAATTGTGATGAGTTCCAATGAGATTCAGTTTAGTAAAAATGTCTTCTTCTATTATTTTAGATTCAGGATTAACTGTACATGTTGTGTACGAAATGTTTTACCATTGTAGTTAAAATGGATCATGTGACTTCACCAAGTTTAATCCTTAATAATATTAAATTGTTTTCAAATGTTCTACACTGTTAATCTGGATGCCAAGGAGTTGATGTAGAACTATTAGCACTGCAAACAAGTGTGCGATAAGATGATCAGACATCTAAAAAGCTTTTTGTCAAACAGAGATAGCTGGCCACAATACCTGATCCACTACAGGATGGGTCCAGCAGGATATACTCCACATCTTTGAACTGAGAGCTGTCAGGGTTCAATTTCAGGAAGTCCTGGTGTGCGAGTTGGTGAATGGTAACCCCAGCTCTGAGCTGAAGTGTTGACATGGTGGCCAGACGCTTCGCATCCAAATCAAAGGCAAACAGCCTGCCCTTGTTCTTCATGATGGCTGCGAGGTGGCTGGTTTTGTTACCAGGGGCAGCGCAGGCATCTATGACATGGCTGCCGGGCGGAGGGTTTAGAAGGTAGGCGGGAAGACAGCTGGCTTTGTCCTGAAGAATAATATGTCCGGCCTTATACAGAAAGTGTTCGTGAAAGTCAGTCTTTGGGGAAAAGACCAGCAGCTCTGGCAGATACATGTCCCTTACAAAGTCTCTCTTTTTCAGGGTCAAGTCATCCAGCTTGGAGGCTTGTCCCAGGTAGGAGAAGCCATCCCTCTTCAGGTAGTCCACAGTGTCCTCCACAGTGGTCTTTAGGGTGTTGACACGTACATACCTTGGCAGCAGCTCACCGGCGGGTCGCAGAGCGCTGGACGGGAGCAGGTCTTCATTCTTGCTGACTCGCTGTTTGACCTTCTTTCGGGCCAGGGCCGCCTGCAGTCTGGAGCGATGCTTCATCATCACGGTCTTCCAATTGCCACCACATTTCACACCACGACCCATAAGCAGGTCGTAAGTTAATACTTTAGCCAGGTGCATTCTCAGCTTCGTCTGTTTCAGTAACTTGGTGGACTCGATGATCTCCTCAAGTATGGAGGAAAACTTGTGGGTTTCACACACCAAAGCGAACAGCTGCTTGATATTGGAAAATTTACTGTCGTAGACGAGAGTTTTCAAAGCGCCTTGCTTGCTCTCGGCTTTCTCCAAGATCTCAGCGGCTTTCATGTACAGAGCCATGTCGCTAAGTTTTAGCAAATCAACAGCTTGTTATTTTGTCTTTCTTTCAGTCTTAGTGCCGAGGTTAGAGGTGTAAACTGGCCTGATGTATTCCTTGTTGTAGTCCTGGAGCCCTGGATCTGCAGCCGCTCCCTTGCTGTCTACACATGGCAGTGGAAGATCACCACCTCCGGGGTGAGGGGTCCTGAATCGGAAGGGAAAAGTATAGTTCTTCTTCCTTCGTATGGTGGCTAGAAAACTGCAAGTAGGTGCATTACCGCCACCCCCTGGGCTGATTAGTCCCTGCTCTCTGCTTGGTGGTAAGGTAATCAGTGAAATCACCTGGTGGAGTTTTGGGTTGGAAAGAAAACCTGGAGCCTCACGGCCTTCCGTGGCACATGACTGCCCACCCCTGGTATAGAGTGTTTGAAGATTATGTATTAGTAGCTATAATAATCTAATAAAAGACAAATTCCCTTACACCAAATTCATTGTTTGATTGACAACCTTCAGGACAAAATAAGACAAGAAAGACAAGATGTTGAGCCAAAAGGGTCCTCTTGAACAGCACTGGTTATAGGCTGCATTCATTAACTCCAACCTGAACATGCAGATTACTAATCTCTTTTATATACAGTGTTACTAATGTGCAGTGAGTTTTATCACTTCTCAGTGCGAGAAATGTCATGTGCAGCGTGTGAACTTACTGAAATGCGCATGAGACCCGAGGGCCCTGTGGATCACTTCTTCTTGAATAGTAATTATACAGTAATTAAGATAACAATTTTCAATTCTGGACAAAGGTTAAATTATCCATCTAGCTATCTGAGATGTATGGAGGAGAACTGTTACTTAACTGTTAACAACCTTATTTACCCTTTTCCATCCAAAACCAGTGCTTTTGAGAAACATGGTAAACATAGATCAAGATTCAGAAACACAGATTTATTTGTAAAATACAAGACAATTCTTTGAATTACTTGCTTGTCAAATCACAAGGTGTCAAAGGACTGAAGTTACAACTACATCAGCAATCACCGGGATGAATAGCCAATGGCTTTTATTACATTTGAATCTGTTTTAAAGCCCACCTGTTTAAATGCTGACTGAGATGCAGAATGGTCTCTATTTGAGAACAAAAAAATCCAATGTTGGAGGATCATTCTAGCAACTTCTAAGATCAACCTGCTATAATAAAACAACATTTACAAATCAAAACGATAATAAATGCAATACCCAGGGCTTTTTCAAACCAAGAAACTAAAATTATACATTCACTCAATTAACTGGGCCACTGAGAATGAAATAAAAGCATTGCAAGGGGTAAGAAAAAAAAAATCAATAAAAATATATGGGTATTATCTGGTAATCTATGTTTACTTGTAACCAGAGCTTACTGCTCAAAGCACTGGATAACAGGCAATATAAATATATATCACTTTCTAATCATTGCATCTGAAGCCAGAAAAATTGGCTGTTGCCCCCTTGATGCTATAACATTACTAAACAATGGCTGGTGCTTTCAAGGACTGCTTCACTAATAGAGGTCTAAAATTGTTCACTGTGTTGGAATCGACTCAAGCTGAGTTGTATGAAGGCACACAAAAACTGCTTTTCACTTAATATTTTCACTTATCTTAACCAACCACCAAGTAAAGAAAAACAAGTCAGAAATGTTGGCAGGGTTTAGGTTTAACAACATCTCTCTTTAAGCACTGTGATAAGTGAGTGTCAAGATTTCCTGGTGAAACACTACTTTACAAGATCCAACAATAGTTTGACCCCTCAGTGTTTGGCAACCCCACTGCACTTTTTAATAGTCTTTGTCTTCAAAGAGTTTTTGTATAGAATCAGTCTTTCTGTGGTGTGAGGTGGCAGGCGGTTTCTCTTGGCTTTCACAATACAGGCGGCCATGGGGCAGAGCCTGTCAAAGCCTCCTGTGGTGGCTGGTATTGCTAACAGCTTCATAGCAAGGCCCTGGAGTTTTGGGAACTGATTAGCAGATTTCCAGTAAGACAAGCTGGAGTTGCCTTCCCACAGTGGTTCTGATAGGTAGACATCAAGTTCCATTACCTTAATGGCTTTAGCAGGCGGCTGGAGGGTGTTATAGATGGACTTGCGCTTAAGACCATTTTCGCTGACTTTGTCTCGGTTGTTTGAGGGAACCCCAGACTCCTCCATCAGTGAACTGGCTTGACTCTCCTCTTCATCCTGCTCATTTTTATCAGAGTCCTGCAGACTTAGTAACATGGCTGCCATGGTGCTATAAGCCTGATACTTCGACAGGGGCATTAGGAAACCTACTGCATCCCCAACTTCACCATCAGAGAAAGGCTGGAAAAAAGTTAAACATATTAGTTCTGGTAATGACGGAAGATAGGAATAATTTATTTCTCTTTATGCACAGCTTTCAGATGCAACTTTGTAACCTTAAAAATATTATCAAAGTCTACATAAAAGATGCAATTTTTATGCAGATTTGCAACCTCTGCTGAAAGCTTTGTTTTCCCAGTCCTGTCTACAAACTAAATCAAAAAAATAATTGTGCCCTTTTTCAAATACCTGCAGTTTGATCCGTGCGTCAAGGACAGCAGCTGCTATTATGTCCTTCTGGTGAATCAATGCCTGGAAGTGTGTGTGAAGGCCTGTGCGCAGAGCGTTGTTGAAATGAGCATAGTTTGTGACACGATTCTGCAAGGTCTTGTCAAGGTCAATGAGGGAGGGTATAATAAAAGAGATGGTTGCTCCACTACCTTGCAAGACCTGGGTTCAAAGAAGAAACAGAGGAATTATACAGAGGGAAATACATGAGAAAACCAAGCAATTAACACCATCATGCAATCTAAAACCATGTAAATTCAATATCACACTCAAAAGCAAGAGAGTAGAATAGACTGATAGGTCATAATATGACCTAACCCTATGTAATCATCTCTTTCATTATAACTTTCTCTTTTACCTGCAAGGTCTCACCAAAGGGCTCCAGGAGACTAAGAATGTCAATCACTTGCTCTCTCTTAACCCTGACCAGAGGTGGGGCGCTGGCAGTGTCATTAGCTTCTATGCGAGCCTGGGCTAGGAGAGTCATTATGGCACTCCAAACAGACTCCTGCACCATTCGGTTCAAAGAGAGCATCAAAGAGTTCCAGCGACAACTGCTGGAGGGTGGGCACAGAGAGATGTTGCATTCCTTCAATAAAACCTAAACAACAGGATAGGAGAAATGTTGTCCAAAAGTTAAGGCTGTCAAAATAATTTAAATTTCTATTAATGTTTTTAAAAAAAAAATAATAAAAAGTGTTAAAATAACCACTCCAGATTAATGCACATCATTATGTCCTACAACCACATACAGACCTAGTTACAGCAACTTAGAAAACAATGTGTCAATGTTACTCAGTTTTCAATCTTTACTATTGTATCTATCCTGAAGAATAATACACTGATAAATCAATTATTAAATTATTCTACTCCTTACTTTTAACCCTGTATCTATCATGGGGAGGTGCTATTTAACTGCGCTGCACACACACGGGCAGATGTCCTACTTAAAATATACTGAGGTATGAAATGTCTCCTTCATAACAAATCAAATTTGGCTCTCATGTTAAATGGAACCAGAAGAACAGATTTTGTAAATTAAAAGTTAAATAGGACACAGAAAAGAGAACAATTAAGATTAGGAAGTATCATGTAAATATGTGGCCTTAAAAAATGTAAGTTTTGAAAAAGGTCAACATTTACTCTCCTGCAGTAAAAGGTAAAATGTCACCAAAGGCCCATAGAGGTTTGATTTGTTATTGATTGTGTATAATTTTCAGTTAACTTGGAAATCTTTTAAAAAAATGAGTGAGATTTGTTGTTGAGACCAAAAACTGCAGATGTCTTATTTGCTTGATTATCTCTCAAGCCCCTGAAACCTTTCCTGAAAACATTCTGAACAAGCCTTCCTGTTAAGGACACAAATTAGAAAAGGTCAAGATCTTTTAAATTCTGAAACAGTTAAACAGACTTATTGACTTTTGAGTGGTACTTTTGCTAAAAGAAAATTTGAGGGTAATAGGCACTACCAAAACGGTCAAAGTCCCCGTTTCTCTTACCTCACTCCAATAGACACTGTTTCTAAAAAAGGCCACCACGTTGTGGACCTGTGAGAGAAGATTTTCTACATCTCTTGAGTTCTTCAGTGCCTCTTTAATCACAAGCTGCAGTGTGTCTCCAACACAGGTGGCCTTGGTCCCAATCTGCAGCCCTGAAAAAGGGGACTGTGTTTTGGGCATCTGGTCAGACAAAAATGCCACTATTTCATCTCCATCTGGATCTCCCCTATTTGATGAGCACATGATTTTGTAATCACAGAATATGTCATTTTTGGTGATGGCTTCCTTGGCATGGTTGGCGAGTACAAAGCCAATACTGTGAGGAAATATGCCGAAGCTTAACAGCACACCTTCAAGCTCCCTGGATAAAGCGGTGCTAAGGGTTTTGTGGCTGAGATAACGGAGTGCAACAATGGGACGTTGGATCTGCCAAGAATCGTTGATAAAGTGTAGTTGTACAACAATAATGGGCTCCTCCACTGGATGGGATTGGTCCCCTGCCCAGAGGTCAAGGGTAACATGAATGATACCATCATCCCGTAAACTTTTGGCAAGACAAGACTGAAGGTCACGGATGAGCTGAGGCTTGATAGTTCTCTCCACATCATCATATAGCTGTAAGCCAATGGCACGCTGAGATAGCTTGCTGGATTCAGGTCTAATGGTGCTGATGAATGACCTGAAGCCTGTGCCTTCAACAAAACTGTGGAGAACAGAATGAAGATACACTGTAACTGTACATGTACATGATAAGCGAACAATCTAAGTGGTAAATAGAAGTCAACTTAAACATTAATTAATTTTTGTGCAAGTATAGCAACAGGACAGATGAGTCTACAAGTCACCTAAGAGGAAGCATGTCTTCAGCAATCATCTTCAGTGCTGCATCAACAATCTTTTTGCTGTCCATTGGCCCAGCTGCTCTTGCAGCACCAGCACTGGAGCTGGGACTGGGACTCAAATGGGACAGACTTGGGGGGGAAAATTCTCTCAATGTGTCCGAAGTTTGTGGAACAGGAACAGCTGTCTTCTGATTATGCTTTATCCGTTTTGCCTCCTTCTCTTGCCTAACCTGCAGCTGACCAAAGAATAACAAAGTGACATCTAGCCTGTCAAACGGGAAAATCATGGAAGAAGATCATTTAACATTTGACAAACTAAATACCATTTAACTATCCAAGACTACTTAAACACAGTTTTTATACTGACTTTCTGTGTGAAGTCATTTTTATTTGACACACATAAACGTTTCTGGGACATAAAAGAATATCAAAGACTATAGGCTTACCAGCCTTGGAGTTACAGGTTCCGTGTCTAACACATCACACTTCAAGTCTCCCTGTAACACAACATTGGATATGAATGCAATAAAAATATTATAAAATGTGCTGAAAAATATAAATTAGATCAAAGTGTATTTTTAAGTGCATGACAAGTAAGAAGCTGTTAGAAATTGAGTATTACGGTTTTAATTTCTTTCTCAAATGCACAGTATGTGCTGAAGCAAGCAAGAACTTTACCTCTCCTTCAACAAACTGTTGTATATCAATGGAAATGCTGTTAGCATCCTCTTTGTATAGACCCAACTCTGCTTTACGTCTGATTGTGGAGTTCCAGTGATTTTTCACAGAATTGTCAGTCCTGCAGGAGAAATGTAAACCACCTGTTTCAGTCTTGGTCTTTTTCCTGGTTAAAAAGGTACTGAAAAATTACTCATCAGTAAAATATTTGACTTAACACAACCTACCTTCCAGGAAGCAGCTTGGCAATTTCCGACCAACGGTTACCTAGGATGGATTGGGCTTTGTAGACTATGAGATCTTCTTCATCAGTCCAGGAGCTCTTTTTGACCAGTGGGTTGAGGTGGTTATGCCAGCGCTCACGACACTGTTTCCCAAACCGGCCTTTAAGGTGCCTGGCAATTAAACTCCAGTGTTTGGTGCCATACTTCTTCACCAATTCTAGTATCTGTGCAGGAAAATACAGTTGTTAATAAAGAGTAAAATAGAGAGGGGACAATATTTACATCAATTATTGTCAAATAACTGCCTCACCATTTCATCTTCTTCTTTTGACCAGTAGCCCTTGACTATATCAGGATCCAAGTACTTTTCCCAGCGATGCATACATTGCACTTCTGTCCGCCCCTGTTCCAAGCAACAAGTGTGTAGAGTTACATGATATGCAATTAAAATGATCATTCACAGATAATTCATAGATATGTTTTTCAGTCAAGAGACCTAATAATGAAATGGTGCAAGATTTTTCCCTTTTCATTAACCATTAAATCTTTCCTTTCATAGTTAAAGCTCCTGTGAGGAACTTTGTGTCAATATGGGCACCCCTGTGGACAGAGCAGTCCTTGCTTAACTTGTCATGTACATGCTCAAGTGGTGATTTTGACAATATCTCATTCTGCTGACTTTGGCTGTGAAGCTTATCATTTATTGTGAAAATTTTACAGGGAAATTTAAAAAATAGGGCTGTTATCTTTAGCTACTTTAGCTGCAACATCTACCCCTTCACAGCAGTTTCAGGCTGTAAAAATCTTCAGTCTCGTTGCTGGTGGTCTGGTTTGCTTTTGGATACCACGAAAAGGTATCAATATGAATTGTAGTCAATTTCATAGATATCAAAATATTCCTCACAGGGGCTTTACATTGCTTTAGCTGAGTACCTTACAGGCAAAAAACTGGCAATGGTTTTCCAATCTGTTTTCCCAAGGTTGTGGACCAGGGTTTTCAGAGTTTCATCCTGCAATCAAAGACAAATAAATTCAAATTATGCAGATTTCAAGGTGAGATTACATATCAGCTTCCAGGTAACAGTTGATTAATTGAACAGTTTATTTTTAGAAAAAATGCAACTGTTTAGATTGGTTCCTGTTGCTAGAATGCAACATTGAATTTTAATCACTGACACACTATGAAAAACTATAAAGCTGCTCCAGATAACATGCTCAATAAATGTCTGACTCATATATTTGAGGGCGTACTGAGGACAACAGTCGCCCAAGGTTCTTTTCACTCACCTCTTCTTGAGTCCATTTCATTGTGCACTTACTGTCATTCTTCTTATCAGCTGCGTCTGAGTCTGTGTCAATGCACAAACTACTGTCCTCTCCTTCTTCCATGCTGCAACAAAATAGATTTTAAAAAACACTAAAACAAATGGAAATAGCTTGCACTGCATAAACTAAAATAACTGATTATAGGAGACAGCACTAAGTGGTATTTGTTAAATGTCATTCAAAACGTCATATTGGTGCATTTACTGAAATACACACGTGCGTGCAGCCTGTGACGTCATCAACACCATGATCAACAGGCTGCAGACTCAGAGCCCTCAGGCCCTCTTACTGATCTCTGGGGACTTTAATCATGCCTCTCTGTCCTCCATTCTGCCTAAAATCATCCAGTATGTCACATGTACCACCAGAGACAATAAAATACTGCACTTATTCTATGCCAACACCAAGGAGGCATACAACTCACTCAAGGCAAAGTACAGGCTTGAAAAATCTCACTTTTATATATCTTCAGGTACGTAACTATTTTGAACAGAATATAAAAATCAAAACAGACTTTGAGGATCCAATGCTAAAGGTGCTTACCAAAATGATATGAGTGAAGTACTTATATCCACACTCTACAAAGGGCTTATGATAAAGAAACTGTACACAACAGAATATATCAGAGAACAATGAAAGCAAGTGCGTGATCTGTCAATATCAAGTGAAAACTGAATGGATATTTGTACAAAGGAACTCTCAAGTGATGCAGATGGATGCTAAATGTCAGAGGCAGTGTAGACTTCAGGAAGCCAACCCCTGGCATATCTTTTGGGAGTGTCCAGTAAAGCCCTCCTGGAGAGAATTCCATAAAACAATAGAAGAAATTTTTGACATGAAGCTGCTCCTGCGATTTACAACATAATTTTTTGGGAATGTAGATTTTCAGACCCATGGCCCAGATAAATTCCTGTTTGGCATATTGATCTCTGCTCGCAAAAAGCCATTACGGGGCACTGGTTACTTCCTGAAGTCCTCACAATACAAAAATGGATTGATATTGTAAATTAAATTTATGTTGTGGAAAAGATTATTTCTTGTTTACATCAACAGAAAGATAATTCTGTTCAACTCTGGTCATGCAAAGGCCTTTGAGAGCAGGTTTAGTGGAGGTGACCAATTAAGAACTTTCTGACATTGTATTTTTATCTTTTTATTGCAAGCCTTGCTGATTCGTGAGTTGTTTGTCCCTGCACATGCCTCTTATCTTTTCCTTTTTTTTTTCTTTACTCCCGTTTCTTCAGAGTACATAGGCTTACTCTTCCTCCCATTGTGTTGATAGTTCTGCCCAAATACCAAGCACTGCAGAGGAAAATTAGCTATTATGCCTTGTCCATGCTATTTGATGTTATCTACTGTCGGAATTCCCAAAATAAAGACTTTTTTTAAGAAAGAAAGCGAAATTACGTGCTCTGAAGCATAGATTTCGATCACCTGTCTACATAAAATCTAAAATGGCACTTGTTAAAGCTGCTGAGACCAATTGTTACCACAAACAGTAGCCTTCTACTAGTTCAGATCTGGGGAGTACAGCTGTGCACTTACCGATCTGGAATAACGATATAACAAGGCAAAAGTAAAAAAATAAATAAAACTATCAGTTTGACTTGATTAAATATTGAATAAAACTTTGAGATAGACCAAGCACACTTTGCTGGTGAGGAACACCACGCCAAGGTAACGTTGTCCGTAAGTTCAAAAAGTCAAAAGACTCCAGCGGTTTGTACCACTTGCTCGATTAAACTCACAAAAGCAAAGAAGCCGTTAGACTGACTTTGCCTTCGATTGGTTGACTACAGTAATGGGATACTATGGTATTGAAAATAACACACTGATTTTCATATGCTTACCTTAAGGTAGGAAAAAAGCAGCTACATCAATCAGACGATTTCCACACTCTGCCGCGCTGCAGCTTTCCCTGGCTCTTCATCTGCTTCTTTTACCGTTAAAGGCGGATCGCAAACAACGTTCAGGTGCATACCGCCACCTACTGTACAAGAGTGTGTCGCGTTACATCTCCACCTCTTTTTATTCAGGGAGCCAAAGTCTCAAAAATGGGTTGGACCGAACATGGTCTGTTATACTTTTTATCAGTGTTTTTTTTTTCTGTAAACTTTGACCTTAAGAACCAATAGTTGGAGAGTCTGTTCTGCCGTAAACATCCTGATAAAAATGTGGCACTTTTAGTGTATGTACCCTTCATTTTATGATAGAAAATTTTGCAAAATTAAAAGTTTTCCTGGGTCGGGTAAGCTCTCAATAGATGCATTCCATTTGCACAGAACACATGTGGTGACAACATCCAATGAAAAAATAACTCTTAAAGGTGGGGTGGGCAGGATCTGAGGAAGTTCCAGTTTTGGGGAGAAATCTTGACTGTAAACTCTACCCCTCCCAACCAGTGCCCCCCCCCCGCAAGCCCTGCCCACAAACAGACGCTCCCGCTCGCTCGTATCGTTTCAATTAAATTCAGATATAATGCAGATAAATACTTCAGATAATTACAAATGGAGCTCAGTCATGTGAAAGTAAACAGCATTGGTGCTACTACAGATGCCAACAGACTACCAGCAATGCCCCATACATATATTGAAGTTGAATATAAAGTTGGGTATTGCGGACACCTAGTACATCTCTGTATCCATTACGGTTCTTGAGATACAGCATATAGATACTTGTACAGAATTGGGAGAGTGAGAAATTTGTAACACCGATTGTTGTTATGTCCATATGGTTATATGAAAATATCATTTCCATTATCTGTTATTTTCATGAGGGTTATCACATTAAATTCGAAAACCAAGATGGTGTCCAAGATGGCTGCCATTGCCTTGAAGTAATCATGAATTCAGCAGAGATGAATCATGAATTCAGAAGGATGAAACTTGTCATAAAAAGTTAAAAATTGGCCATTTTGTGACAATTTTCTGATTTTTGTTATGGTGTTAGGTATGTGTATAAGGTTTTAAAAAACCACCGCAAACAATATGGGTGCGCCCCCTTGTGGTTTGTTTGCCCAGAATCCAAAATTCAACACCTCAGTTTGAAACCCAAAATAAGTGACAGAAGAGATTTTTCAATGAATTCTGTTACTATTGGGTATGGGAGGTGGGGGGTTTGTTGGACATTTCGAAGACATTTGTTCCGCTTAAAGGGCAACTACTCTCTGGCTACTTGCGGGAGAGGCCACGTTGAGGCTGTCTTCTTGGCAATTGGAGAGTTGGCTGTCCAGAAGACCTCCCATTCCTCACCAACCTTTTGACATCCCCAGTCTGTAGGGTCCTCTGCTTCTGGCTGACACTGGGTTGCCTGGGCCCACACACAACCAGCCTGATAGGCAGCACGCCTGGTGTGTTGGAGTAGAGCTGCTCTGGTTGGTGGGATAGACTCATAGGGCCTCTGCTTTCTGGCAAACAAGTCAAGCCTCCAGCTTAACTAGTACAAAACTGAGGTTTTAGTAATCGGTCCTAAGGCCTGGAGAGAGAAACTTTTACCCAAATTATGAGCATTGTCTTTTAATCCACCACCACAAGTAAGAAACTTGGGTGTCATTTTTGACTCTGAGCTGACTTTTATTCCACACAGTAAGAACATAATAAAAATATGTTTTTATCACCCAAAGAACATCACCAGAGTCCGCCCCAATCTCTCTCAGGCCAACATGGTGACGCTAACGCATGCTTATACCACCAGTCATATAGACTGTTGTAATACCCTGCTTTCTGGTCTTCCCAAAAAGAATATTTCAAGTTTAAAATTATTACAAAACTCTGCAGCACGTGTCCTCACTAAGACTAGGAGGCGGACCCACATTACACTGGTTTTAGAATCATTGCATTGGCTCCCTGTGTGTTTTAGGATCGCTTTTAAGGTTCTTTTACTTGTTTTTATATGTGTTAGTGGTCTTGGGCCTTCTTATCTCTCAGAACTGCTTTTACCTCATGAACCTTCACGGACCCTGCGCTCTTCTGGCAGCAGGCTCCTAGTCATTCCTAAAGTCAGGACACACTCCCACGGCGAAGCGTCTTTCCAGTATTACAGCCCCTGTCTGTGGCACAGCCTGCCAAAGAGAACATTCATGCTTTTAAGAGCAGGCTCAAGACCCATCTTTTAGCTTGACTTTTGATTGATATTTCTTTCTTTCTATTTATTCTTATAAGTCTAGGTTTCATATTCCATATGTGTTCTTATCTACTTACATTGTTCTATAGTCTGTGTTTTATTCAGATCTTAGTTTTTACTTGTTTTTTTATCATTTTTAGGGCCCCAGTGTTTCCACTGGGGAAGCCCTCAGCCCTGGGAGCAGTGGGTTCAGGAGAGGTTGTGCCCCCCACATCTCTCCTCTGGCCCTGTGTCAGTGTCCTGTGGCTGTGGGTGGCTCTCTGCTCCTGGTGCAGACGACTCCTCTGATGGTGCTTTCTCGACTGGTTCATCTGTATTCTGTGTGCGAATACAAACAACTGTGTGCGCTTGTATGGCTTTTGGGAGTGACTGCATATGTGACTGCTGAATGCCGGTTGTGGGGGTAGGCTGGTTGGGTGGAAGGAGGTGGGACCATTTTTTAATCAACTGTAAAGCACTTTGTGTTGCATATTTTGTATGAAAAGCACTTCATGAATAAAATTTTATTGATTGACTAAGGTCAAAAAACTTTAAAAAAAAACTAATTTTTGTGTCATGGATTCTTTTACTGTGTTACTAAACAGCCTTCAAAGAGCCTGGGGGGTATTGCAGGCTGCAACACCCCCTATCTCCACCCTGGGATAAAGTATTCTGATTCTGTCAGCCTGCTTGTAAGGGTTTTGATTTTGATGCAAAATCGAGAAGGAAAAAGGCAGGGGGGAGCGCTAAAACATAAAATACAGTAAAAAAAATTTAAAAAGCAAATATTTAATGTTTAATGTCACAATACAGTATGACTTAATGAAGTACGGGGTTTAAATGGTTGTCATGTCTTGGAAATTAACATCAAAAAGCAGTCTCACATGCAGAATTTGGAAGTTTCATTTCACATGTGCAAAAAAATAAAACGTTGCATAGAAGTCATCAGGCAGGTTACCCACGGAAAATTATTTGCCAATGCGTGGGCACATAATTAGAAGTGCTTAATTTCAGTTTTCTCTCTCTCTCTCTCTACACACACACACACACACACACACACACACACACACACACACACACACACACACACACACACACACACACACACACACACACACACACACACACACACACACACACACACACACACACATTACTCACGTTGACATTATTACTACCAATCAGTTTTGCCCTTGGTGATCAGGCAAACTGGCCCATGTTGGACCAACCATGGCCAGCCATGTACATACTTGCTTTTAAAACACCTTTTAGAATACACCACACTACAGGGTACTGTAAAAAGTGATTTTTTTTAAAAAAGCTTTCTGTTCAAGATGGAATGACCACATTTATCTTAATGCAACAGCTTGGAAGTAGAGCAAGTCACCATCCATTACATAAATTCATTTTGACACTGAACCTACATAGCTACTACAGGCAGAACCATTGGAGTGTGATTGAGATTAAATTAAAGTTTACAAAGGGCAACTTAGCACCTGATAAAAGAGCCTCAGCCATTAGAATGCGAATACTTGTGTGACATAGAATTGAAAGCTGCTAAGAAGTACATGAGATAGTTGATACCAAAAAGAAGTCCTAGCAAAGCCCAAACTAATTGACCACATCAGAATACAAAAAGGAAGGCACAAAACTCATGACAACCCAAAAAAAAATCTGACTATGGGGTTAGTGTGACAAATAAAAAAGAGATCAAAACAAGAGCCTTCTGATTCAGAACAGTTTTTCCAAAAAAAAAAGGAAACATTATATATATATATATATCAACAATTGAAATGACTGAGGGAAAAACATGAAAATAAAGACTGTGAAAAAAAAGAAACACACAGATTCACAAAACACAAGACAACTACACACACACACACACACACACACGAATATGCAGTATAGGTGTTTGAGTGTGTGTGTGTGTGTGTAGTTGTCATGTGTTCTGTGTTTGATTTATAAATAAATCTTTTCAAATCAATAAATGATAAATAAAATGTATTTGAAATCACAAATATTAATTTAAAGATAATATTGTGTATTCACTTGTTTACCTTGCAGGAATTTTATTTCCATTACCACATGTTACTGTAAGGTATCCTCTCAAATGGTCAGGGATTTAAAAGTGTATCCTAAAGAGTATGTGATGATTTGACAATTTTTTTCCACTTTCAACAAGTTTTCTGTATATACACACAAACATAAAAGCATAAGGTTTTGTTCCTTTGCACCTTTGCCCACATGACAGATACATCTGGCATGTAGGGCAACCGTTCTTCATGCATTTTTGATACATAAAATAAAATTAGGCTGTGCTTATGGAATAGTTATTTTACTTTTCATAAAACATTTTTTTTCAATCGTATCTTATTTGGTAGTGTTTTGGAAGCAGTTTCTTTTAAATTCTGTGGATTTGTGGGGAAAAAAAGTACTAAAAAACTGTCGGAAATGGCATGAAGGGAAAAACCTTGAAATAAAACATGCATTTTGTGGATTGAGGATACAATGAAGGCATCACATTAGGAACTAGTTTTCTGTTTGACCAATTTTCTATGTCTGAGACATTTAAAACAACAAGACTCTGCACCTTGACTCATTATGAATGTGTTCACATAACCCAAATTCCTGAGAAGTTGAAACGCTAGCAAAAACAGATTTTGATGGTTGGAAATTGTTAAAAGCCTACATATAATTGAGTGCAAAGACAAGACATATTCAAACATTACTCAGATGTGACTGTGTAAAAACCACAGAAATAAGATCTTTGAAGTCCATGATGCGAACTCACTAAACAGTCAACAAAGATGCTCTATTGGATTGAGATCTGGTGACTGTGGAGGCCATTTGAGTCAGTTAGCAGACTATCCACTACCATAGCACACTGTCTTACAGTCTCACCATTGCTTTAGTTCAGTATTTTTAAATGCACTACATATGTTATCTTTGCTGTACATTCCATTTTATATGTGGGTTTAAATGATTGGCAAACCATCAAAGTCTGTTTATTTTAATCATTTACATAGTATACCAACTTTTTTGGTATTATGGCTGCACATGAAAGTCAAGATTTTCCACTGTGGCCTCTAAAACTATGGCCATCTTACTAGAGATGTAGGAGGAGCTCATGAAAGGTGATAGCTGAGGATTTCAATCTGTCTCTGATTTCTCAAATTTATAACTATTAGTCTCTCTACAAAGTTGTATTAAGTTTTTTTTTTTTTTCTTTTGCTGCTGCGACTGCTATGTATGACAGAGAGACTTAGAGATTAAAGTTGTTAATTTATGAGAATTAAGTCATTACTTGCGAGAACAAAGTCATAATAAAGTCATTACTTTTAAGAATGAAGTCATGATAAAATCATTACTTTCGAGAATAAAGTCGTAATAAAGTCATTACTCACGAGAATAAAGTCATGAAGTAAATAAAGTCATAAAGCTGCTGTTGAAGAGGAGGAAATGGCTGGAACTGGTCAGCTGCTGAGTTATCAGTGGATGCATCAGCAGGTCATCCAGAGGGCTTTTGCGGTTTCTCAAGAAACATCCAACTGATAATCGACATTTGAGATCCAGAGGGAGTCAAGCACAGCGTCTGTCTCTGACACCGGCAGCAACCTACACCTGCAGAGGCACCAACACCCTATGGCATATACGTAGATTCATATGATAACATAAACTAAAGCCCTATGCTATTGCTACAAACGGCTGCATTGACAGATTTAGCCTCTGCACAGCCATTTCCCCCTTCACCAAAGCAGTGATTCCCTCCAAGTCCACCTGGTTCTTTTTGTTGAAAACATGCATTTCTTGTATATTATTTTTCAAGTCCTTATACTTTTGACAATGTGATGCTGAGACGCCAACGGATTAAGTATCTCATTGTTTGTGAAACCTATAGCTACTGGGGGGGGGTCAAAGCAGTGTAATGAATCTAACACCCTGCCTCACAGGAAGCTGTCCTCAGTGGCAACAAATGAGAACCCATTAAAAGCATTGTTGGAGCTGGTTCCAGCATTGAGCTCAGGGGTCCGGCTCACAGATTGAGGAACATTCTCTCTGGTGAACTCTGGATCAATATGCTGAATGTCAGCTGGGCCTCTCTGAAAGAAAAATATTGTTGTTTTTCTTTTTTTATGCAAAGGCGATTTCTGACCTCTACAATACAGATCTGTAATGTGGAGATTTCCAGCAACAAAACCTCAAACAGTTCATTCATTTACTGCTCATTCACTGGCATCTTGACATTTTTCTGAAATTTATTCTTAAAGTTTCTAAGCAAACTCTAAACTGGAGTCATGGACGGTCAAAAACAATAAAATTGTTCACACTTGAGTTCTTAAATGAATGAATGAGATGTCCACCTAACTTTAAAGCTCCTGCCTGATGTTTTACTGAATATAGGTGTACTCCCCTAAATGTATTGCTGTGTGTACACAGTAGTCATTCAGGATCAAGATGAGAATAGGAGAAAGAAGTTAAAATTATACAAGGTTTGTGCACAGGTATCCAAGTATAAAGGTACTGAAGTAGATAGTTTGGATGCGTGCACAAATGAGGTGATTTTTTTTATTATTATGTTATACAACCCCAGTAGTGAAAATTAAACAATTTTTTTAATGATATCACTTGTTCAGAGAACACCATCATCAAAAATGCTCAACTCTGATCAGGAGATGACATGCACCACATGAAATAAAAAAAAAGTTTGATCTCAACTCTAAATAACTGATTTTTTCATTGATTTTATTCTAGAAACTGTTATTGTAAAACAGTTGACTTGTGACAAAATTGTTGTTAAATACTTTAGTGCAAGATAGATTATTGTAGGTGAAAATACACATTCCTCTTATCATATATTATAACATAATTTTTAGCCAATAAAATTGTCACAGGCATATATATTAGTTTAATATTTAATGCTTTACTTCTGGGCCTAAATCTGACCAGTAAAGCTGATTCTGATTCTGATATTTATATATTCTGATCTCGATTTTCCCTTTCAGGATAAATGAAGTTCTTCTCATCTTATCTTATTTTTTATTATTTTTAATTTAATACTTACTTCATATGCAAAAATGCAAAGTAATATTTGTAAATGCAGTTTAAACCAAACATTGCATGATTGAAATAGAAGTTGATACATCTGAATCATGCATTTTTTAGTGTCTTTCGGTAATGTGAAAGTGCTCAATAAAGAAAAACAAGATATCCGATAATTTTGCACTGAAATATCAACACTCAAATATTCAGAAGAGCACCCTTTGGTGTTCTTAGATGTTGTTATCTTGGTCAAGAACAAATTCCAGATAAGCAAACTTTAGCTAACAACAGAATCTTCTCAAAACCTTATAACTGGGGTTCAAAAACAAAGTCCGTCTTGAGAATGGTTTGTGAATGAGGCCCAGCACAATTTACATAGAAGCCAATGAAACACCAAGGTATAATTGAAATGATAAATAAGAACTGGAAAAAAATGGCTTTCTCAGAATTACAATATTTTGATGTCTCTTGATGATTTGAAACTAGTGATATGTATATCTGGGATAGGCTAAAGGGGTTAAAGAATTTATGTGTAAAACTAGAAGAGTACAAGAAGTGTTTTTTTTTTACCAGTACCATTGAAATTGTTTTATAGACATGGTACATGGATATAGTCAGCTAAGTTTATGAAAGAGAACAAACTTGAAAAATTAAAGCTCTTAAAAAATTAAAAATTAAAATTAAAGCGTTTACTGATAGGCAGCTTTAAACAACTCACCACATTGGGGTTGAAAGGAGGGGTGGTCCTCTTGTGGTAAAGGTCATCCCAATTAATTGGAGTGAAAAATACGTGGTTCTTGATTTCCAGCTATATAGGGAAAGAAAAGAATTCAAGGTTTTTTGTTTTCTATTTTTAGATCAGTAATAAAAAGGGATCCGTACAACTGTATTTTCAAAATTAAAAAAAAGTGGCATAATTTGCAAATAAGTGATCACCTGCAATGTAAGACCAATATTGCTGGTAAAAAAAAAAAAAAAAAAAAAAAGTGTAAAATGTATGTACAGTCATCCATTGAAACGCATGCATTGTCAAAGACTGTTTTTTTGGGAAAGAATCTCTTTTCATGTGTGGCAAAGGTTGAAGTAGCCTTTTTTCAAAGAAAACACTCACAAAGTCTGCAATGGCCCCAAGGCGTCTATGCTGGTCTTTCTGCAGAAGACCCACCAGCAGAGAGCAGACAGCATCTGACTTTCCTGGGGGCAGGGGCAGTGGTTTGTGTAGGATCCCATCATACATTTCATTAATGTCACGGCTGTAGAAAGGAGGCTGAACCAAAGGAATCAGTGCAAAAATTAAACAACACTCATAAAGCAGAAAATAGTCTTAAATTCCAGAAAAGCCTGTCTTCCCATTCTTGCATTCATTATGGATCTAATCATACTAAACTCTTAGTCTTTTTAAACTAACTCAATTTTAAATAAGAAGTCATTAAAAAGTGAGGTACAGAAACTGAAGTGGCTTTTGTACCATGTTGTAAGTGTGTTAAATTCTGTCGTACAAATGGGCATTTTGAAGGGGGCTCGAATAGCGTTCCCTTGGCTTTCCTTGGGGCCGACTTCAAGTGGAAACTGCAGGACATTCCAATTTGAAAGAAAACCAACTCTACCACTGAGCCACAGCTGGGACATATAAAATAATTCTCTGTTCAGTTGGTCATGCAGTCTATGCAATGCAACATTGCAATAGTCTTCTACTATTTGAGATTTATACTTCTTCTCAAGACAGTCAGTTGGTAAGTCTCATTTATACTCTAACAATATGAAAACATACTATTGTGGCATTCTAATAATTTGTACTGTGTAATATAATCATGTCCGATGCATAGATTAATGAATAATGTATAATGTAAAATAAATAATAATAAATAAACCTAAAGTCACTTTGCAAAGTGGAATAAATAAACTTAAGATAGAAAAGATTACCGTATATAACTAGAAAAAAAAAAATAATGGTTAATGAAAGTGACATCTCCTGCTTACTCCTCATTTCTGTAGAGTCACAAATGCCCAGTAATGATTGATAGGATTACAGACATACATTAACATGTAAATTCTGTCTCCATGGCAAATATCTTGATAAATGTGTATGCTTCTTTTAAAGCATCACATCTCTTGAGAAGTACACATACCAGGCTGTAGATCATCTCATAAAGCACCGCTCCCAGACACCACCAGTCCACTGTCCTGTCATACGGCTCCTTGCGAAGAACTTCTGGTGCCAAGTACTGCAGACAGATGAAAAGGTAAAATGCAAATCATCCCACCCCCAAGTGAAAACTTGGAAATGGAGACAGTTCAACAAAAACAAAAACAATAATAACCAGGAGACAAGACTGTTAGCATTATGGACAACTCTCTATTTTTTCTGTCAAAAAAAAATTTCTCCTACTCACTTCCGGTGTCCCACAGAAAGTAGTAGTGGTTCCCTCTGCCTCAATACCTTCTTTACAAAGCCCAAAATCTGTCAGCACCACATGTCCCTGCACACAAAATAGATGGAGCCTTTAATAAGTTACACAACATAAATATAATAACAATAATCAAGACTGAAAACTGAATTAAGATTATAAAAAAAGGAAAGAAATTTCACTTACCTGGGAGTCTAAGAGAATATTCTCAGGCTTGAGATCTCTGTGGTGGACAAGAATTTGCAGATTATTAATGTTGCAAGTACATTGGTTGCATTGCTTTTTGGTGGTTTATGGTAGAAACCATAAGGTTGCATGGCATAGTGGTTACAAAGCAAAGGTATCCAAATTACCAGTGATTTAATTTCTGTTGGAATGACTGACCTGTAAATAATGTTAAGAGAGTGTAGATAGCCAACAGCACTTGCAACCTCAGCTGCATAGAACCTTGCTCTAGGCTCTGAGAAACACCTCTCCCTTTGCAGGTGAAAGAACAACTATGAGAAGACAGAAACAGAGAGAAATGTGGTTTCACTTCTCAATGCGGTACAGAGATGGGTGTAGTGAGCTTTAAAAAATACATCAATGAGAGGAGAGTAGTCAGGCAAAATAACAGGATGATAAGAAGACCCCAGAACCCAGGGATATAACAGAATACAGTTTTCTCAAGAAGCAGTGGTTACACTCATAATAATCTTAATTATCTTCACAATACCATCAAAACAAGAATAACTATCTGCATGAAAAGAGGTTTGATGGTTGCACATATACCAGATGATTCTTGTTTAATGGGTTTTTGTAAATAAAGGATTACTCTTACTCTAATAATAATGCATCAGATTTCATATAGCACTTTATCAGAGACCCTCAAAGCGCTATACATTGGATACATCATTCATTCACTCACACAGTCACACTTTTGTGGTGGTAAACTACCTTAGTAGTCACAGCTGCCCTGAGGCAGACTGACGGAAACGTGGCTGCCATTTTGCGCCTACGGCTTCTCCAACCACCACCACACCACACACAGTAATAAGGATTACTCTGCATTCTTATTCTTTCCCTTGAATATATATAGGCTATAAGACAGAAGATTAGTATGATACTCTGATATAAATAGTACTGCCAGAAAAATGTCTTTAAATTAAGCAAACATGTTTACAATTTAAATGCTGATTTATTTACAGGCAAACAGCAGGTTGCGTCATGCGCCAGCTGAGTAAGCATTCCAGGAAATTTGATTGCAACAAAGATACATAAGTCTACAAGGTATAAATCCAGATGACAACAGCCTTGATCGCTGAAAAATGTCAACTCTCTGAAAGTTTTATATAAATCATGTTAAATTGTGTTGAATATAGCAGAACAAAGTTTTGCTGCAGCAATAAATACAACAGTTCATCCAATTCAAGAAGATGCCAAAACAGCCAATTCCCACCCTTTACTTTTACAACATTAAAATGTGCATTTAGTTATTTGTCTTGTTTATGCAACATACCTCTCCCCCATTCACATAGTCAAGAACAAAGTAGAGCTTCTCTGATGTCTGGAAGGAATAGTGGAGACAAACCAGAAATGGATGCTTGAGACTCTTCAGCAGCACATTTCTCTCTGCCATAATGTTCTTTTGCTAAAGAAAAGAAAATGTGAATGGTTAAAAAAATCAAGGTTAAAATTGTTACTCATCAAAGTGAGAAGAATGAAAACCTCAGCAACTAAATCCCCAAAATAGACCAACTTAAGAGAAAACATATGAAAAACCATCAAGATTATGTCCCATCTGTCAAGTTCTCTTTATTTTTGGCACATTCATGTTTGGTTTGTCTTTCCTGTTTTATTTCGAAATCACTAACCCTTGTCTCTGTGTTCTAGCTTTGCTTCCTGTCTGCCCTGCCCCCGTCCTGTCAAACCTGCTTCCTGATTGTTTCTCCCCACCTGTGCCTCATCAGCCCTCATTACCTCTTGTGTTTAACCCCATGTCTCTCACTGTCTTGTTGCCAGTTTATAGTCCTCGTCCCAGCCTTCTTTTTTCACAGCCTCAGTCATAGCCACTCGTGTTCTGAACCTTGCTTGTTTTTGGATCTTGGCTTTTTTGCCTGCTGATTTTGATGCCTCTGCCTGTCTGGATTGATCTCTTGTGTACTGAGCACCACTTGTTTTTTTGCCTCTGACCTCTGCTTTAGTGTCTGCCTCTGTGTCCTCCTGCTCTGAGCCGTTCTTGACGGATTATTATTATTATTATTATTATTATTATAATAACATAATCATAATCTTAATAGTTAAGGCCAACTAAGCAATGAGCACAAGGGTTGGTTCATCCTTAAATTCCAAAAATATAAATAAAAAAAATTATAAGTCATTGAAGCACACGTTTTACATTACATGAAAGCTGTAAAAAACTTTTTACTTAACTATTTTTGCTTTCCACTTTTTCGTTATTTAAAGAAACAAAGATCAGGAAGATTCATTTGTCATTTGGATTTTAACTTAAGGTTTTTTCGTGTAATAACTAACAACTTTGGTTTAGATTCTTTATCCCTCTACAGATACTAAATATCCCTGACATATTCTTCAGGTGAAATATTTAACCAGTTAGAAAGTCAAAAAAGGCTCAAAAGCCAAAGCTTAATCCACAGTGACCAAATCAGGTAACACACTCAGGAAGACCAACTTATATGGGAGAATGCAACAGACCAACTATTTATCTCATAAAACCACTTGAAAGCATGTTACACTTTCGCAGAACAAACACTATAAATTGGGACAGTTGTTTGAACTGATATTCTCAATATGTTCGTCAACCATGTAAGTGTTTATTTAGTGGGAGTTGTAAAATCTGTCCTTTGTACAGAACCATCTGAAGATAAGATTAGGATCATGTTTGCAGGGCAAAACAGTGTGTGCTTATGACGCTAAAAGATACTCAGAAACATTTTTATCTTTGCTCACTTTGAGGTATTTTCCAGTTCAACTGCTTTGGCCTGGCACGAACTCAAAACAGTGTCTTCTTACTCCCCCTAGACAGCATGTCAAGGGTTTGTGGTTTGAAGATTTATGTCAAATCTACAGGCAGCATTGTTCTGTTATCTTCCATAAATTTTTGCTCAAAGGACGGTCATCAAACCGTCTCTCATAATGTTTTCAAGAGAGAGATTTAAGCACCACAAATTAGGCCAGACTTTTACCCAAATTATTTAGACAGTAGGGCTTACCTCTTTTTTCTTCAGGATTACTTTCTTCTGCAGTACCTTCACAGCATAAAATTTGTTGTCTGATTTGAGCTTGGCAAGCAGGACCTGCATTGAGTGGTTATCAGAAATTTGTTTAGTAACAGTCTGTACCACCATCTTGACACACCGTCAGGACATCATATCACACAACACAACACAACACAACACAACACAGTTAAGTGCTCCATGGAAACACATGATACTGAGAAACCTGAGGATTGAGTCAAAAGAAAGGTCAGAAATTAATCACCCTGTGGCCAGCAAAGAAAAGATAAGTATCTAAGAATCATCAATGTTCAATTAATGCTTTTCCTTGCAGTTATTTTCTATTACTTTATTGTTGCTTTGACTTAATAGCAGGGTAATGTTTAGAGCCTTCTGTGGACTGAGTGTAAATGATTGATAAAAGGGGCAGATAGTAATCAGCAGGTAGGCTGTGCCTGACTTGTCTCTTATGCCAGTCTACTATTCCCTTCTCTCCCTGTCTCACTTGCCTTCATTTCACAAGGTCGATACAATGAAATCACTGCTGCTAACTGGATCCAAAGAAATAAATCTTGCCACACTAGTTTTCAGTCCTGGGACTGGTTCTATCAATGCATAACCAATAACCCATAGTCCCTCACATAACCCATTGTCAAGCAGCCTTGCTTAGAGTACTTTCATTGAGGTGTCTCTGCTTGTAAATATTTGACCTGTGCTGCTACAAGGACAGAGCAGGAAAAAAATAAAAACACAAGATGTGATTAACAATAAGGAAATGTGTAGTTAAACAATTAATGTTTAAGTGCTACCTTTCCAAAGGTCCCCTTGCCAATGACAGCCAGGAAGTCAAAGTCGGTAGGCCTGGCACTAAAACAAGACAGGACATAAATGCATTAAACTTTTTAGTCTGAAGAACTACATATTTTAGCCTGAATGTTTTATTTCCAGTTGCTTACAAATGGTGTAGAGGCCACCAACGAAAGTGAGGTTTTAATTTGTTAAGTTTTAAGTGGCTTTTTTTTTTAAAAGAAAGTCTGAATTACTGACTGTGGGTTTGCTGAGGGTCCCAGGTTGACATGGGCAGAGGTGGACGGTGACTGCTGCCAAAGTTTAACAAACACAGAATAAATCAGCAGAAAAGATGCTTACACAGACCATGAAAAACTGGCAGTACATGGAATTTATGTGAACATTAAAACAGAACCGTGCATCCGTTCTTGCAAGAATAATGAATACAAGAAACAAGATTCTCTTGCACAGAAGACTGAATCTTGGAAGAGAAGATGTAGCTGGATGTTAAGGTGAACTTTGCAGTGATTTGATTTGATACTGTTGAAGAAAAACTTCTACGCCAGGGGGCAAAAGCAGATACAGTGTCCAAAGATTGTGAGACACAGGCAAATAAAACCATATAATTTAAGAATAGAATATAGATGAGTCACATTATTCGTCTGTAATGGTTGCAATGTTGACAGAACTTTTGATTTAATATTTCTTTGTTGCTGACAATCTTTTAATTCAATGTATTTCAAGTATTTGAAATGGATCTCAGTGTAAATTTTTGCCCCTTACTACTCAACTCTGTCAAACTGTGACTGAAATAAAGATGACTTGATATGAGATGACCTTGTATTTATAAGAAAATATATATTTTTAAAAACAACAAGTGACTCAACCACATCCATATTTGTTCCCCTCGATTTACTGAAAGGAACAGTAGTGGTACAAATCTCTTTTGAAGTTGACGCTTAAACCGGGCTGTCTGGACCCTTGTCATATGGCCAAAGGCCCAAGCAGAAATAGAAAAAAAGTGCATGCAAAAGACAAACAAATTACAGTAATTGAAAAGCACAAAGTCAGAGAAGACCCACATTACTGTTTGCCATGGCTGTTAACCATTCAACTCCAACAGAGGGTCAAGCATCAGCAATGGAAGCAATGGACAGACCTGTAAGAGAAGAGTAGAAACTGGGGGTCGTGGGTCTGAACCATCATCCACTGTTATTTCCAATGACATTTGTTTCCATGTGTGCATATACAAGTGTGAGTGTGTATGTGTGTGTTTGTGTGCAATGAGCAGCTGACCTGGGGACCAGAGGAGCTGGTAGTTCTGGTTTGTGGTGAACAAGATGCTGGAACAACAGAAACATAAAGGACACTGTGTTGTAACCTCACTGTGTGCGAGCGTGTGTGTGTGTGTGTGTGTGTGTGTGTGTGTGTGTGTGTGTGTGCGTGTGTGTGTGCGAGCGTGCGTGTGTGTGTGTGTGTGAAGGCTGTGGTAGGCTGTGTAAGGCTTGCTAGTATGGGGACTGTATCAGTTGTTTACACTGTAAATATTGTTGTGCCATTCTCAAATCTGTCAAAATATACGGGATGACTAAGGTCTCTCACGCACACACAAACATATAGAAAGAAAAAGAGAGTGAGTGAGATAGAGAGAATTCAATAAAAAGGTACTGATCATTCTGGTTTATTCCTTCTCAGTCAGATTCTGGCGTTTTGTGCCCGTACATGCAAAGTTTAGATAGACACATTTAATTTGTCATTCAATTTGATTTTACCTCATTTAACTGCTTTATAGCTATTGCTGTCATTTTAGAAAGCACTGTTGCTCCAACACAGATTGACAATAAATTGTTCTTGCTACACTGTAAAATTTAGTTCTGAAACTGGCTGTAACCTCTTAAGGTTGCAACAGTACAGAATTTTTCCTTTGCAATGACTGACAGAAATCTCATGATGACACTTTGTAGTAACTAAAATATATGGGGTTGTTTAGTAATACAAAGTCTTTGCTCTTTTATTAAGCAGAAAATTATGTACTTGTGCAGTGGAATTTAATACTTATAAAAATACAACAATGCAACATTAATTATAATTTTTGTATATGGTTAGTCTTTTGTGATGTACTATCCTCTATGGCGATACTAATTCTCTGAAGGCACTGAGAATACAATCAGGTGGAAGATGAGTGATACAAAAGAACATGACTAGGACCTATGCAGACAAGACATTGGTTGTTTTGTTCCTCTGAGAAAAAAGTATGATTCTAGTCAGCCTAAGTCACACAAGAACTGAGCAGAATTTTTCCCATTTGTTCCACAACACAAAATATGCACGTTTTTGCTTCAATATCCTAAAGAACTTCTTCACAAATGTAGGCCTCATTAAGTCATTCAAAATGTATAACTGTTGACCAATTCATACCTATTTTTAGTTGATTTTTCCATATTGTTATTGGCATGAAAATACACAAAAAAACTTAAAACAGTCTTGCATATGCATATGAAATGTCATTTTTATTAACACAAGTATTTTAAATGTCTAAGCTTGTACATGTTTGTACATATAAAGGAAAGTCTACCAGTGTGAACCTGAAAAGTATGTTTTATTTGACACATTGGTCTACTCTAAACTTAAGAGCATTATAATAATTTTCTAGAGTATTCCAAATATATTCCCCCCAAAAATTACTGTTTAGATTATCAGAGAAACTTCTGATAAACAGTCAACAAAATTTATTCAGAATAGGATAAAACTTTTGTGGGCAACAGTTCTGCATTGAGTGACAACATAGTGTTAAAGCCCCATAAGTCACTTAACTTGAGGAACATATTGTAGGCTAAGTGAAGACAGTTAAAGAACTCTACACATATTTTGATACTATAAAAACAACTTACAAGAGGAAAACAGTGTTTACAAGTCATGTACTGATAATCCTGTCTTTGTGTGAAATCTGTACAGTTTGCTCACCTGTGTGTGGCGGATGAAAGGTCAGTGGGAAGGTAGTGTGCTAAATCCAAGGCAATACAGAGATTCCAAACAGAGCTTGCTAAGCTGCAGCAGATCTATGAGGAGTTTCTTTTCAATATTTTAGCTCGGTGAAGGAACGTCTCCTGCAAGGGAGTGAATCATTGATAAGACAAAAGGGCGGAGCAAAGCCCTGATTGTCCCTGACGGTCATGTGGTTTTGTGTCCTTGTTGGGGTTGGATTTCAGATCTAAAAAAAATTCTCCACCCTCTTGGGACAGTAAACTAAAACAGCTGTTACTTTGTTCAACATTTTTAAATTATTCTTATAGTTAGCCTTTGTCTATTTTGTTACACAATGGCCTACACAAAACATTTACCTGTGTGTGTGTGTGTGTGTGTGTGTGTGTGTAAGTGACCAGGAGTTTAAAAATTATGTTCATGTAGAAGCCTACACGCAGTAGCCTATAGTGATTAACAGTCCCTATCCCATGTATCTTATGTGTTTGTTTCTTCATTATTGTCTCATCCCTCTCTTGGTACTTGAAATGGCTACAATTCCCCGTCAGAGAAGAGATGGAGTGGTCTGATCCATTTGTGTGGAGGTTCGGTTTGTCTGTGTTCCCGTGCCGAAATAAACAGAGGTAGAGAGAGACAGGGAACCCCACTGTCACTATTACATCTATATATATATACACAAATATATGAAAGCTTTAATGTTCCAAGTACCAAGAAAGAAAATGTGCAATATCCTCTTTACTTTCTTTCCAAGTGCCCTCTGCCCATCAAACTGCTCCAATCAATTCCTCTATGGATTTGGAGCACTTTATCATCAGGTCTGGATTTATCTTTTTCCGTGTTCATTTTCTTGTTTTGTGTGTGGCTAATGTTTTTTTTCTGCTTTTGTAAGGTTTAATGTACCTGCAGCACTTCTGCTAATGATACAGTTGTTTAATCTTTTAGCAGAAGTATCATTTGCAGCTCAAACTAACTGCTGTGAAACTGTATGAACCATGTGCGGAGGGATTTTGACCAAGCACCTCTCCAGAGGTTTCTAGATATTTTTGCAGCATTTTCGTTGGTATTGCACTTACTACTAAGGACTAAGGACTGGCTTAGCTTTGCTCAAAATATCTTGACATAGATTTATACCTGTGATGTCATTTTTGCTTCATTTAAGTAAATGAGATTCTTGAAGAAAAATTGACAAGTTCTGTGACAGATGCAATTTTATATTGAGCAAAGTGCATGACATTCCACTGAAAAAACTTCAAATCAAAGTACAGATTTTAAAAAGTATTCAAAAAATACAAACCTGCACAACATGTAGTTTCTGCAGCTACATATGTGTCTGAGGGGCGTGGGTGGAGGGCTTTTGATTCCTTACTCCACCAAGGGCACTAAAATGGTTAAAAGAACCAGCCCTGGTAGGTTGGGTAAATAATTATTAAACATTTTTCCACCATAAGTACCTGGAACTTTTAGTTCTAAAGACTTACCTCTAAGGAATTAAATTCAATAATACAGTATTGTGATAAATTAGGACACTGTCTCATAATTACCAAATGACACTTAATGACAACCTTCATAAAGCCTTATTTATGTTCATGACAAATGTCATGTCATGATTATGACAGCGTAATGTCAGTCTTATGTAAACCCCTTCAAATAAAGTGTTACCTTAAATTCTTCCTATGGCCAACTGTAGTTACTTTTGACTAGTATTGCCACAGAGGAAATACAGAATTATTGTACCACAGACTTAAAATTACCATATTTTTTGGGAAAGTTACCATCCACCAGTCATAACCAAAATAAACAATCTAACTGTTGCATGATATTACATACAATCACTGTTTAGCGTACAACAGGCACTCACGATTTTGTGGCTACAGTTTTGTGGTCATTCACCACCCTGCCCCACATCAGCAGCATATGATCAGCAGCTCCAACTCAGCTGTATTACACTAATACGTCCCCTTTAAACAAATGACAGGTGAACACATATGAGCCAAATCATGAGACATTGAGGCCACCTACTTTTTTAAAACCGTATTCATAATAACTGACAAGGAAATAAAGAGTATTCTGACTTCACTTAGTGAAATTTATTTTAGACACAAAATCAACTTGTCTGGACACGAGGGTTCGGCTCCTGTTCATTACCGTCCTCTTCAGCTGTGTTTATTTTTTTCAACTGGCTTCCCAACTGAGCCAATCGTGTTCGTTGTTCGGAGACAAATGTCACTCAAACTGCGATTGGATGGAAACATTACGTGGTAAAAAATGCCTTTAGGAAATAAAAGATAAAATAACTGAATAAAAAAAATTGAAAATAAAGTGTCTGGCAGACTGAGACAGTCCCATTGCACCGCACGTTCACGAAAACCGTCAAATTATTGTACATTTAGCCTTTTTTCCAGGTTATTGCTTGTACATCAGACAGAGGGCAAAATTATCGTACAAATACGATAATTATCGTACACCTGGCAACCCTGCTTTTGACCCCTGATATGTTTAAGTTGAAGATTTTCTTTTACCTTACCAAAAATAATTATACCCCCTTACAACACTCTCCAGGCATGGTAAACTAAAGATTGGTTCTGTGAGGTCGCAGATTATTGATTTTTTTTTTTCCCCCCAATAATTTACAGTGCTATGTTAACACTTAACTTATTTCAATTACATTCACTCTGGCATGAAATTATTTGGATATCCATGAAATTCTGGCTTAAAAAAAAAAACTCATAGTTAGGTACCTTTATTTGTCCTGTATCAAACAGAATGAATGTGGAAACAGTCTTCATGTTTAAACTTGTCACATAGTTTGGCAGGTTTAGGCAAATATCAAAGCAAATTATAATGAGAAAAGCAAATTTGAAATGGAAAGAGAACACTTTTGACACCTACAATTTTAACAATGAAGTATTCTCTGAGCATCTTCCTGTTGAAGGGTTTACATGATGACCGTCGCATCTGCTGTTGCTTCCTGTTTGAGACATTAAAAGATTACTTGAGGTAGGATCTCAGCAAGGCTGCCTCTTTGGAACTTGTGAGTGTAAGTAGGAGCAGAGAGGACAAGATGGGAGCTTTCACCACCACAGCAAACTGTTGATTACAATATGCATGATAGGGGGGTGTGATGCAAGCAAGGTAAGTTTATAGTCAATAGTAAACCATACACAATAATCAGAGGAAAAGCAATGTGTGCTGGTCCCTAAAACAAGACAAGGGCAGTGGCATCAGATACCTTAAACATTTATTTATTCACATGGATTGAATAGCATTTATGAACCAAGAAAATCTTGACACATACACACATGCACACACACACACACATACAAACAACCAATGAGACACAAAATTGTAGGACTCCGAAGGCCCTGAAAAAGTCAGGTAAAATAACTATAAAACCACAATATCAAATCCATACAGGATTTTTTTAACCAATTTCGACAAAAAAATGTAAACAAGACCAGAGTTTTTATGGTATGTGAACTGCAGAGAACTGCGTCAACCAGATACCACAATCCTTGTTTTTAGTGCTCACATGTGGATTTTTGCACTCTCTTGTGACCAAAGGGGAGAACAGCACTGATCAAATCTACTCAAGTTTCTCAGTTGTGCTAAAGTGCCAAGCAAACTTTCTTTTTTATCTATTCAGATTTAAAAACAGTAATAAATAATTTATGATTGTCTGCATATAAACACTTAACCACTATTTTTCCAGTTCTCTGGATTAAAAATCAACATAAAAGGGTATCATTGTAAGCCATAGTTACTGTATCAACAGTGCACTGAGAAAAGAAGTGTGCTTTGCAAATCTAGAGCTTTTTACCAATAGTCCAAACAAGCACTTCAATTACTGAGTTTTCATTTATTTTGTTGCAGTGTATGTGGTTAGTCCATGAACATTAAGGAGCAGTAACATCAAGTGTTACCAGATACAGTGCTCATGTCTTATTTTATTGCACAAAACATGAAGCTTGTTGAGCTTCATTTAGCAGCCTTGTCCACTGCGTCATCTTTTTCTATCTCCATTATCACAGACATTTCTCCCTGGTGACAGCCCTCCCTTGAACTTCTCTCTGGATAACCCTCATATTTTCATTGTACTTTATTGGTAACACAAGTATTTCAAGTTGTCTCTTTTGCTAAAAAATGTGTGTAATGTCATGGGCTTCTGATTGATGGTTTAGTCTGGGTATGGTAGTCATGAAAACATTTCATTTGTTAACTCTTTCCTGAAATGTATCTCAATTCCACTTGTGCAATGTAGCAGGGACAGTGTAACTGCCATATGTTGAGGCTTGCATCAAAAGGAACAATTTGAATTTAGGAAGAAGATAACAAACATTAGTTCTTTCCTTTGTGTAGCGGCAAGCAATTCAAGTACGTCAGATTATGAAAAAGAGTCCCGGACATGGCTTTTCAACAGATTTTACAGTTGTTTCCTGTTTTCTTCGGTGCAAATAGTCTGTATTAATACAGAAAACATGTAAGGTAAAATGACAGCAGAGTTGAGATACTTCATTATACAAATGTCATTTTATATATGTATACATGTCAATGTGTGTTATATATATATACAATTTGTTTCACAAAGTTTCAGCTTCCCACCCCTGTGTTCAAGGTCCCCTACCCCCTCCCCATGTCCAAAGAGTAGTTCCCCCAAACACATATAAAAGGGGTCAGGGCCTTTTCTTTGCGGCAAAATGAATTTGGCACATGATGATTGGCATCTAAATACTTATGGTAAGTTAGCTTAAGTTAGCTTGAAATCACTTGAATCCCTCATCTATGCTCTTGAACATGAGGATGGCATTTGAGATCTTAAGAGCAGGACCTAGTTTGATGCTCATGATCTTCACAATGTCGTTTTGAGTCAACAGCAGGAAGGCCTCCCCATCAATCATCTGGGTGGACACAAAAATAACAGGAGTGAAATACTTGGACTTTATTGCAATAAATAAAGACATCCATGTACAGAGCAATGAAATAAGTTTATGTTCTGCATTAGCTTATTTTCTAGATTTATCAGTCAATGTAGCAGCGGAGATTGCATTTAATTTTCTATTGGTTTGTATCCCAACAGACAAAGCAGTACATATTATTATCTCTTTATTGATCCTAGTCATTATGTATGCACAGTGCCCTACATTGAAAAATCTTATCCTGCTACCCAGCATACTGCTGACTGCTGTTGAGAATATGAACAAACAGTTTTACTGTTGTATTGTTGTAATTGCATTCATCATCATTTGACCCACTGGCAGCAATGTCAGGCATTTATTATAAGTTATTAAAATCCTCAAGCCAGTTTTTTGGCTTATAGTCCGTTTTACTTAAGTATGCATATGGAAGGGCATCATCTACACTCACAGCCACTTTATTAGGTACACATATTCAGTTAGCTTGTTAGCACAAAAAGCTCATCAGCCAGCCTCATGGTAGCAACTCAATGCATTTAAGCATGTAGACATGGTCAAGATGACTTGCTGAAGTTCAAACTGAGCATCAGATTGGGAAAAAAAACAAGAGTAAAGTGACTTTGAATGCAGCATGGTTGTTTGTGCCAGACAGGCTGGTCTAAGTATTTCAGAAACTGTTGATCTGCTGGGATTTTCACACATAACCATCACCAGGGTTTACTCAAGGTCAGAGAATGGGGTCAGAGGTCAGAAAAAGAGAAAATATCCAGTGCACAACACGTTGAACCTTAAAGTAGTTGGACAACACTAGCTGAAAACCAAACTGGGTGCAAGTCTTGTCAGCTAAGTACAGAAAAATTCACAATTTCATAAAAATTGGACCATAGAGGATTTGCAACATTCAGATGGTGGGTCAGAATTTGAACAGCATTAAAGTATGGATCCATCCTGCCTTGTATCAGTGGTTCAGGCTGCTGCTGGTTGTGTAATGGCGAGTTTTTTTCTTGGCACACCTCTTGCCCCCTAGTACCACCTAAGCATTGTTTAAACTCCAAAGCCTACTTGGGTATTGTTACTGACAATGTCCATCCCCTCATGACCACAGTGAACAATCTCCTAACAGTTGCTTCCAGCAGGATAACGCACCATGTCACAAAGCTAAAACCATCTAAAAATGGTTTCTTGAACATGACACTGAGCTCACTGTAATTCAGTGGGAGCAACTTTGGGGTGTAGTGAAACAGGGGATTCACTTCATGGATGTGCAGCTGACAAATGTGCAGCACCTGTGTGATGCCATCATGTTAAAATGGATGAAAATCTCTAAGGAATGTCCCCAACACTTTGTTGAAAGTAAACTACAAATAATTAAAGCAGTTCTAAAGGCAAAGCACTAGCAAGGTGTACCTTATAAATTGGCCTGTGAGTGTATATGAACAGCTATATTTGAGAGCTGGTCAAATAATTCTTATAATTTGATTAAATCGTCTTCCTACATTTATTTTTTCATTCCCAATTTTATTTCTCTTGATGCTTTTAGTTTTTATTCTTATTTCTTATTTCAGTCTCTTTAAGTCAGTCTCTGGTTTCTGGATTCTGATCTGGTTTCTGTTCCTGTTTAGGTTCTCTCTTCATGAGTGTTCTTTCATTGTTGTTTTTATTTAGCTGCTTTGTTTTTCAGTATGTCAAAGCACTTTGTAAACCCTTCTTTTTAAAACTGCTATATAAATTAAGTTAAAGCAAATTAAAGTTCATTTGACTGGCATAAACAGTAACTATATTATATCAAACATTGCAAAGATAGCATTTTACAGTACCAGGTGGTCAGTTATCCATTTCTGTTTAGCTGTCTCCAACATAGGGATTGTTATTTATAATAAACTTGAGCTTTTATTTGGTTATTATTGCATTCTTTAATACCCTTGGGCTTAAAATCTTTATTTCTATCTGGCAGTGTAAAAGATACATTTCTCCTTAAATGATTTCAACACAAGCTTTTTTTTTTTTTTTCCACTTATACTCATGGGTCCTAAAAGTAAAGTTAGCAACAAGGCCGAGTTCAGTTTATGTATAACCAAGTCCCCATGAGATGCCCAGACAAGGAGGATGTCTTCAATAAAGAGGTAAAATAAGAGAAAAATCCCTACAGAAACCCAATAAACATGCTGTTGTTTGATTGTTCTCATGTCTTCAGTAAGGGGGGGCTGCACACATTTGAAAATGTGTACCCAGAATGATGGGAATAACCCCTAAATACATGAAATTTTTGTGGTCTTACTTCCTCTTTGAAGAGCCGAGCTTGTTCTTCACAGCCAATTAAATTCTGGACAAACCTAAAGACCTGTGGCACAAATGCAACAGAGTGAATGCAGTCAAATAAACTGGAGAATTACAAACAACTCAAGAAAGGAAATAATTATTTATAGGAAAATGATAAGATTTTTCACCTCTTCAATGCCCCATCCTGCCACCTGGCTGGCATGAATGCCTTCAACGCCGGGCAGCAGCTTACAGTGCTGTTCCCAACACAGAGACAGAGTCCTGTCTGACTGACTGCTTAAAGTTGACATGAATAATGAGGGATACATACTCTCTGGAGACAAATCTGAGGACAAACGAAAAGATACAAGCATGCCCAGATTAACAATGTTGTGGATTAATGACCCAGTATTTCAAAAATGGAACTGCCACCGTACTTCATGTATGTTGGGTTGTTTTTGCCCAAACCTTTTTTGGGCAGTCTTTTCTTGATCTGGCCTGGTTTACTGCTAGACTTAAAAGGAACAGAAATTTCCATTGAATGAGAATTGGATAGCTTCTTCCCTTTTAACAATGAAATCATCAGTTATTATTATTTTTTATGTAACCTTTATTTAACCAGGTAAAAACTTGTTGAGATTGAGATCTCATTTCCAAGAGTGACCTGGCCAAGAGGTCGGCAGCATACATCACAATAATAAATAGTAATAATAAAGAAGAAGAAAATGACCTCCAGAAACATAATTAAAAACACAGGCACTGTTCCATGGTCTCCCAAAGTCTGTCATGTAAGATTGAACAAAGTGCTTCCAGCTAAATTAATTCTGACAATTTCAGGTTAGTCTGGAGAGTATTCCATGCTGAAGTGGCAGTAAAACTGAAAAACGCTTTTTTGCCCAGTTCAGTTCTGATTCGCTGAACAATCAAATGGATAGTGTTGTTTGAGTGCAGGGTGTAGTGGCTTTCAGTCCTTTGAAGAAGATCACATAAATAAGAAGGAGCTTAGCCAAGAAGAACCTTATAAATTAGAGTCATCCAGTGAGTGAACCTGCGAGTACTCAGAGAAGGCCAGCCAGACTTGGCACAAAGTCGCAATGATGCGTTAGACGACAACAACCAGTAACAAATCTCAGCATACAGTGATAGACAGGAGTTAAGGACTGCAGGCATTTGGCTGAAGCAGTCATAGATAAAACATCACCATAATCCAACAGTGGAAGAAAGGTAGTAGATAAAAGGCATTTTCGAGCACCGAGGGAGAAGCAGGATTTAGTCCTGTAGTAGAGACCTATTTTTAGCCTGAGCTTAGTGGCCAAACTAGCAATATGTGCTTTGAAAGAAAGCTTGTGATCAACAAGAAAACCCAGATATTTATTCACAGATACAAGCTAAATGGGTACACCCTGCAAAGTTAGGATAGAGGGAATGTTCCCAGGTAACTCACTCTTGCTCGAAAATACCATGAGTTTGGTTTTATTTGCATTCAAGACTAATTTGAGTTTCTGTAGTTGAGATTGAACAACATCAAAAGCAGAATGCAAAAACTCAAAAGCCTGGATAACTGATGATGAACAACAATAGATGACAGTGTCATCAGCATAAAAGTGATAAGAGGCATTTAACAAGTTAACACACAAGTTATTAATATAACTAGAAACTAAAATAGGTCCCAAGATTGAACCTTGAGGTACACCTTAAGAGATTTTTGGAATGGAAGAAGTAGAACCAGCCATCTGGACGCATTGTGGCCTACTGCGGCAGTAGCTCAGGAGGTAGAGCGGTCGTCCGATAACTGGAAGGTTGGCGGTTCGATTCCCCCCTATCCCAAGTCTGTCCGTTGTGTCCTTGGGCAAGACACTTGACCCACCTTACCCCCAGTGCGTGTCCTCCACTGGTGTATGATTGCGAGTGTTGTGTGGTGGTAGTCGGAGAGACCGTAGGTGGAAAATGGCAGCCACGTTTCCGTCAGTCTGCCCCAGGGCAGCTGTGACTACTAAGGTAGTTTACCACCACCAAAGTGTGACTGTGTGAGCGAATGAATGATGTATCCAATGTAAAGCGCTTTGAGGGTCTCTAAAAAAGCGCTATATGAAATCTGATGCATTATTATTACTGTCTTGGTAGTCTGCAAACCACAAGGTTGGGGGGCAACGTCGGTTGTGTGGCCGTGGTTTGGTTTTAAAAGGAGCGACACGGAGCAGACCGCTGTAGTTTTATTCTGAGTCAGCACATACATGTAAATCTATATCGATATACTCTGATCTATATCTGATCTGATGAGCGTGTTTGGACACTCCACCTGACCGAATTAACACAGCTGAAACCGCATTAAATTAAATATCCAGTAAACAGTCACACATGATGAAGTTAACAAGATATTTAATTCGTCTCCCCGCTTATCCTCCTTCTTCCTCGCACAGCTTGATAGGTGTTATGCCGTAGAATGCACCCCTGCATCCCATCCACTCATTAGCTTCTTAAAGTGGAAAAAAAATTATCTCATATTTAAAAAAACATAGTATTGATCATGACAACATGTCAAATGGAGCAGCAAACTTTCGTTCTGTTTTTAGGTTTTTTAAAAAAGCACATAGAGAGGTGTATTTGCGTATTTAAACTGTACAGTTAGCTGTCATGGTAGAGAACATTATATTTTCGGGGCAGCAAATATTCCGAATCAGAGGGCTGTTGTTTTCAGCATATCTGAAAAGCCTGAATGAAATCATTAAAGGCACACGCTTTAGAATCAGTCCAACGGTAAGGAAAACTTGGATTATTCCGCCTTGTTATGTATCTTCAACCGCACTCCCGTCAGGGGGGCATTCTACAGCAGGGGTACATTCTATGGCACAACACCCAACGTGTCTCTGTGTCCTCTCTCCATCCTGCTGCTGATGCGGTGGCACGGCTGATCAGATAATTTATTTTAATGATCAGATGAGTTATTTACTTCAAGCCTACATACGAATATTATATTTTATATTTTATTAGACTAAACATCAATTGAATTTACAAAAAATGTACTATATCGTGATGTATATCGTATCGGGATATAAAATGAGCTATATCAGGATATGACCAAAATCTCATATCGTGAAGCCTTATATGAGACAGTGTGAAGGACGTCCTCTGAAGCGTTTACAGCGACACTTGTTGAGGGGCTGCCTTCTGTCGCCATCGTGTGGCATTCCTGTCTTCAGACATCTCTTGATCTTGACTACTTCACAAAAATTGTAATACACCTCGCCGGTGGCAGATTTAAAGGTGAGGAGAGGAGCTGATGTTATTGGCCAATACAAGTCTCTGCTGTGTTAAACCCACTCCACGCCCTCTCTCCTTCCTCGCTACGACTTACGCCGCTGGGAGGAGCTGAGTTAGGGAGGGGGGATACTTACGCCGGGCTGCGCTGCTCACCAATTTGGGCCCCTATATCAGTTCAGTGTCATATCAACTTGCACCAATAGAGGCTTTACTTGCCTGCTTTCAGAAGGTCAGCTGTTAAACTTTTCATGTCACTAATATTCATGTCACTTTTCCTCACTACTCAGTTTATAAAAATACGACTTTACTTTTGAGATGCTTTTTGTATAACCATACAAATTGTGGCTATTTAAAGTGCTGTACTCTACGTTTATTGTTCTGTTCTTATCTCTTCAACATCAAGCATTCTGACACTGTAAACTGGAAATTAAGTTTAAAAATATATTTTATCATGACTTTTGGGCTAAGTGAGATGGAAACAAAACAACCATTGGAAGATAAAATTACAGTGGAGGAAAAAAATCCCACTCACTTGTGACATGACAGCTTTCTCTGAAATAACAATTAGCTCCATAGACAAAGAATTGCCCCATAAGTTTAAGGGGGTGCCCTCCCTGAGGATGCAAATAAAAAAACGTCAATGCTTTGCAGTCCACTCACTCTGGTAGTCTCTCTGCTGGTTCTTTCTGTATTTGGGTGGACGGCCAATTCTGAAAGAGGAGGGAAAAATCAATGTAAAAAAACACAAACATGTATGTTTGCATGCATGCATACACACACACATAAACACACTTTTACCTGCCACGATAATGGGCTTTTTTGGTCCTGTGTCCAAAGAAAAGGTTCCTCTTGCTTTCTGAGTCAGAGAGGTCAGTTTTCAGCCTACCCTGGTTTCGCTCAGCCAAAGGGCAGCCGGAAATACAATGATGAGCAGTAAAACGACCAGTTACATGACCTGAGCCATCACATCCAGGGGTTGGACACTTCCTGTTTCAAAAGAAGGACCCCACATTGCATTTTGAGAGAATGCGAGAGGATAACATTTTTTTTTTTTTAAACAGATGTCAAACATGGGTGTTTAAATTGAGTGACCTGGTGTTAAGATTGAATTTAGTTCTGACCTGTTGTGGAAGCTGTACTTGTTGGTTCTGGGATGGCTAATTGGTTTACAAGGAACAGAGGAATGGTAGGTAGACTGGCCTGTAGCAAGAGACTCCCTCACCCCTGCAGACATTTAAAAGATACATTTGAATCCCAACAATTAAACAAAAGATCTTTCACAAATGCTATCCTGTGAAAAAAGCAAATCCTTGCAGTTCACAAGAGGTGTTCACACCAAACAGCCTTTTTCACTTGTCATAATTTTTACTAGTCTTTGACTTGTTTAATAAAAGCCTCAAGTGTTACTTGTGACATTAATAAGTTTAAGGAAATACAATGGAAACAAACTAACAGAGCTATTAGTGTAGCAGATAAGTAAAAAAATGTTCAAATGGTGATGCAAGCATGAAATTTGGCACAGATATACTCTAAGCATCACTCTTTCAAAAAAAGACATTAGACGCTCAATGGCTTTTTTTCACAATGGCTGCCACTTGAGTAGAAAATTGGTATGATGAGTGTATGTGGGTCACTTGACTACAAACTGCTTGCAGCCATTAAAATTTCAAGATTGTAGCCATTCTTTGAGATTGCCACCTGGATCTTTAAATATTAATTATTTACAGTATTACCGTCTTAGTTTGCATTTCCTCAAAAAGGTCAAAGTTAGTTTTTTTGACAGTGTTTTGTCGAACTCCTTCCCTTTGACTTGTCCGATTTGGTGAAACCTAGGCTGATACACAAGCTACTTTACTACAACAAGGTAACAGTCACAAGGGAGATCTTTTTAAAAATTAAATGTTTTTGCTCATATAAATAAATATACACACACACACACACACACACACACACATATATATATATATATATATATATATATATATATATATATATATATACATACATACATACATACATGCATACATATATGTATATATATATGTGTGTGTGTGTGTGTGTGTGTGTGTGTACATCATTTCGGGGTAAGGGGAAACAAAAAGAAAGATGATTAAAGTAGCACAGCTGTGGTGCTGAATGTACAGGGCTCCGAACAAAAAAGTCATACCAATGACTTTAAAATGGTAATCAGCATCAAGGGTTGGATTGGGGGCATCATGTCTAGGATAATGTACTTGTACATCAAGCTCGCTGCTTACTTCTCTATTCATATTTGCAACTTCAAGGTGCTGTACAGGTGAACCCCAATCTGAAGGATTTGCACCTTCCACAGCACTCTAATTTATAGCCACACTTGGCCAGCTGTTGACAACTTTGTGCAACTGGTGTATTCGCTGTCCAAAAGTCCCACCATAGTTCACCAACCTTTGTCCATCCCCAGCAGGACTCTCTGTTTTTGGCTGGCCCTCGGCTGCCTGAGCTCATATGCAGCCTGCATGAAATGCTGCATGTTTAGTGTGTTGAAGTAGAGCTGTTCTTGTTGTAGGAAGGGCTTCATATGCTTTCGGGCAAACATGTCAAGTTTAGCCTCATCCACACTAACAGCTGTAGTTGATCTATCATACATCAGGACCACAGACTTCTCCAGGATCTCAGGGTTGCCATCAGTCAGTACAGGAGGGTATTGACTTGATTTGCTGAAGATGGGAGAGGCCTCAGGGTAAATGTCTCATGTTTGCCAGGCAGTCTTTTTGCCTTTGTTGCAAAAGGTTGACACAGTATCACAACCTGTGAAGGTGTGAAAGAACAATATGCTTTTGGTCCTCAAAAACCCAATAACACTGCACAGAAATGGCAGTCATCTAGGGGATTCAGGTGGCAATCTCAAAGAATGGCTACAATCTTAAAAGTGGTTGTGAGCAGTTTCTGGTCAAGTGACCCATGTACACTCAACATACCAATTTTCAACTAAAGTGGCAACCATCTTGAAAAATGAAATTTTGAAGTGTCTAACGTCATTTTTTCAAAAGCATGGCCCTCAGAGGGTATTTGTGCCAAATTTCATGCTTGCATCACCATTTGAACAATTCTCTTGAAATATGCGGTTTTCTGCTGCACTATATCAAAAAACACATGGAACATTGTCTTCAAAAAAGAGGCAAAAATAAATGACTAATCAATCTTTCACCGCATAGAAAAAAAAATTACACTTTTTAAAAGAATGAAATTACAGACTACAAATGACAGTCTTATTCAACAGTAGATACTTTGATAATTGATAGTTTGAATGTTGCAGAGCCTTCCAGGTGATACACTTGGCTAATTCTGGACATAAATTACTTTATTTTTCTTTTGGCCTTCAAGACCTACTGTAAAAAAAGTTTGACGGTTAGTAGCCACAGAACATTACAGCTTAAAATGTTGTTTGCTACCATGTGGTTGCTGTATTTTAGCTTCCCGTGGGGGCTCTTTAAGTGGATGACCAGTTGCTTCACACCAGTTGGCCGGGTGAATGTCTGGGTGATCAGCGTCCATCCATTCATCATAGACATGACTCCAGCCATCATAATGGACCTGAGGGAAGAAAAGAGGTAGAGCCATCACACATTTAAATTATTACCTGTACATTCTGCTCAAATCAACAGGTAAAATCAGCCTAGCTCCATCAGCCCCTCCATCAGCCCCAGCAGCCAGGCTGGGGAGGGGGGGTGGCTGTCATATACAAGAAGAATATTAAATCCACCCTCATCACCAACAGCACTTTAAGTTCTTTTGAGCACCTTTCTTTTGTTGTAAAATTGAAAGATCCTGTTTTAATAATAATTAATTTAATTTACCGACCACCCAAACTCAACGCTGTTTTTATTCAGGAGTTTTCAGCGTTTCTATCCCTTTTAATTTGTAAATATGACAAAACTCTTATTTTGGGTGATTTTAATGTACATGTCTGCTGTCCCTCACAACCCTTGACTGTTGATTTTATTGAAAATTTGGACTCCTTTAATCTAACCCAGGCAATACAGGAACCAACTCATGTAAAGGGACATTGCCTACATTTGGTTTTATTTACTGGACTTAGTCCTGGGGAGTTTTTAACAAAGGATATCTGTGTCTCAGATCACAAACTGGTTTTATTCTCCATGGTTTTATCCCAGCCTTCCTCTATTGATCACACTCCTGTTTATAGAAGGGTTTTTACTGCAACATCTGCTAGCAAGTTTTTGGAGCTTTTTATCTCTGCATCTTTATCTGCCTTCAAAACAGATTTTAATCCACTTTTTAACACTGAAGAGCTTGTCTCTCTTTTTAACAATATGCGTGAAACCATCCTCGACTCTGTAGCTCCTCTGAAAAAGAAAAGATCAAACAAAGAACCCCAGCCCTGGCTAACAGAGTCCACACATGAACTAAAGAGGATATGTCAAAGAAATGAATGTAAATGGAAGAAAACTGGTCTGGTGGTTTATCTTGAAATCTGGAGAGACTCCATACGAAAATACCAGAGGGCAGTTAAGGATGCAAGGGCAGCATTTTACTCTGATTTGATTTTAGCTAATCATTCGAACCCTAGAATTTTATTCAAGGTTTTAGAGTCACTTTCCAACCCCTCTCCCTCTTATTTTAGTGATGCTTCTCAAGACACCTGTGAGAAGTTTTTAATTCATTTTATTAACAAGGTTATGGACATCACGCTTCAAATCACTCCTCCCAGTCTCTCTGTATTAGTAAGTCGGGAAGTTAAGGACTATTTTAGCAGTTTTGAGCCGGTGTCCTTACCCTTTTTATCTGATATTTTAGCCCACATGAAAGCAGCTACGTGCAGTCTTGATTTTATCCCCACCAGGTTTCTCAAAGAGGTTTTTAAGACGGTCGGGCCCAGCATTTTATCCATTATTAATTGCTCTCTGGTAGAGGGAGTATTTCCCTCTGCTTTTAAACACGCTGTGGTCCAACTCCTTTTAAAGAAGCCAAACCTTGACCCCTCTGATTTTAACAATTTTGGACCAATTTCAAAACTTTCGTTTTCATCCAAACATTTAGAGAAGGTGGTTTCTAAACAGCTTTTAGGTTTTATGTCTGAAAACAACCTCTTTGAGAAATTTCAGTCTGGTTTTAGAGCAGGTCACAGCACTGAGACTGCCCTTCCCGTGTGACCAATGACCTTCTTTTAGCAGCAGATGGAGAGGAGGGCTCGATTTTAATTCTTTTAGATCTCAGTGCAGCTTTTGATACAGTTGATCATGCTATTTTAATTGCGCTTCTTAAAAAAATGGGTGGGTATCAGGGGCACTGCACTTAGTTGGTTCCAGTCGTATCTTATAGAACAAACCTTTGCGGTCACCATAGGCAATCACACCTCCTCTACCTCTGCTATCGCCTGTGGTGTTCCGCAAGGTTCAGTTTTAGGTCTAATTTTATTTTCTATCTACATGCTGCCCTTCGGCCAATTAATTCAGCGCCACAAAGTCTCCTTTCACTGCTATACAGAGGACACACAGTTATACCTTCCTTTGAGACCTGAGGACCCAAGAAGCCTAGCTGCTGTCATGGACTATCTAAGTGACATTAAAAGTTGGATGGCAGTCTTGTCTCGGTCCACATTCATTAATCATCAAACCAACAGCCAGAAATCTGGGAGTAATCGTTGATTCAGACCTCACCTTCTCCACCCATATCAATAAGATCGTCCAGTCCTGCTTTTTTCACCTGCGCTTAGTTTCAAAGATTAAACAAATACTCACCCCACCAGATCTCGAAAAAATAATCCACGCTTTCATTTTCTCAAGGCTGGAAAACTCCAGTTTTAGCCTCCCTTCACTGACTTCCTGTCAGTTTTAGAATTGATTTTAAGATTTTATTGATTACTTTTACAGCACTCAAAGGACTTGCTCCAAGCTACATTTCAGAGCTTTTAATACCATATGAACCAACTCACAGCCTCAGATCCTCTGGTGAAGGCCTCCTGGTCGTTCCAAAGTCGAGGCTCAAAACCAAAGGTGATCGATCTTTCTCCATCAGAGCTCCTCGACTTTGGAATGACCTGCCAGAAGAGATAAGGCGTGCAGAGACAGTCACCTCTTTTAAGTCAAATTTAAAAACTTGCTTTTACAGACTTGCTTTTGTATGATGCCGTCTTTTCTCTTTTATCGTTTATCTCCATCTCTTATCTGTCATCTCTTATCTCTTTTACCTCTATCATATTTCGGCCTTACTGTCTTTTTAACTTTTGTTATACTTGTACTCTTTTCTTAATTAACCTTTAAGGCCTTTCATTGTTTTATCTCTTGCTCATTTATGTTGCTCTATTTTATCATTACTATTATTATCAGGATTACCTGTTATTACTTTATCATTGTTGATATTGCCTTTTATATTTACTATCCTGTTTCCGCTTTCGTCCTCCCTTTTAATTGCATTTTCCTTTTTTCTTACCTATTTCATGTTTTTATTTTGGTCCTCATGTTCTCATTTTATGTTGCATGGTTCTTGTATTGTCTGGGTTCACTATGACATGAAAATGGCCTTCAATTCCATTTGAACTGAGCTTTTTCTTTTTATCTGTCTTTTTCCATGTGCTCTGTGATTACATGTCAAAGCACTTTGTAAGCTTCTGTTTTTATTATAATCATTATTATTATTATTATTATTATTATTATTATTATTATTAAAATAGACATCCCATCTTAACTAAGTTATGTTTGGAGCTGGAACGGATCTGAGAGATCTTGAAAATATTACAACGATTACTTAATGAGCTTAATAACTCAGGAATACAAGCAGACAACACACACAGTAATGACCTTAATGCGATGAGTGTCAACCTCTTCTACTGTTGCCACTCTGATCAGACCAGGACTTCTCTTATCCACAGCTTCCAGTTTCATCTGAGGATGGAAGTTGTGGGGTGCACGCTGGAGACCAGACAAGATGATTAATTTCCTCAAAGAACACAAATTTAGCAAAAGAAATGTCGAACACACTTTCCATAAAGTACTGGCTTTAGCCATGAAAAATGCACAAAAATATACAGTATTTATTGATTAGCCTCAATACTATTTTTATTTTACCTTACAGCCTGTCTTTTAGTGTGGGATTATGTGCATTAATGTTGGAGATAACCCACAAATTTGCAATAATGTTTACAATGCCCAGTCTGTCACAAAGTGTATGTTTGTACAGTTGTGTAAAGGACAGATGGCTCAAGAAGCCACATTAACACAGTCCACTTGTGCTCCAACTCACTCTTTTCCTCTCCCTGACAGACGTAATTAGGTGAATTAGGTGAACATAGGGTGTGGCTGTTTCGCAGCAAAGCAATGTCCACAACCTCAGCATGCAAACAACCCTCATAGCTCCTTTGATTAAATAATTTTTATTTAATCCTGTGTCAAAACCACAATGAGGCAAACTCATGTCTAATTGAGGGTCCCAGTGTGTTTACCTAGATAGAGCCACCGAGAGAAAAGTTTAAAAATCCCCTCATCTGAAATATTAAAGGTGGGGTAGGCAGGAATCCGTTAAAGAAGCATCTTTGTTGTGGTGTATATACAAAAAAGCTTTTATTATCAGTCAATAGCTGTTAGTTGTTGATGACATTTGAGAATATCACCATGTTGCTGTGTTGTCTTATGCCTGTGTAGTCAACATTTTAAAATTTTTGAGCGGCCCGCTCTTTCTAAATGTAAACAAAGCTCTTCTCCGCCTCCCCCTTCCTGATTGGTTGCAAGGCAGGCCCTACTCCCTCATGTTGTGAGGCGCACTCCACGTTCTTAAAAAAACATTCACAAGCCCAAACAAAGTTAGCATGTATCAATATCAGACAGTAGAAACCAACCAGAAAGTTCGGAAAATTGTCTGAATCCTCCATTGGCCACGACTGCCGACACAAGCAAGAAAACAAAGTAAATACTGGAGACTCTGGCAGAATAACGGGCTCTTAAAATGGAGGTAGACCACCCAGACAAGAGCTAAAAAAGCTGGGTTAACATCAATGAGGCATAAACAATTGGGGGATGTTTCGGGATCTTATAGACCCTGTAACCATTCTGCTGGACAGGTAAACCATTTTAACAAAGTAAACCAAGTGTCTGTAACAGAAGTGTTTCTTGTCAAACTGGACCTGCTGCGTGTTGTAGCGCCGCTAAACTGTTAACCTCTGGTCCTGGACTGTGTCACTTTATCCTAGTTGTAGAACTCCTGCAAACATTGTGTTTGCTGGCAGTCTGTTGGCATCTACAGTAGCACCAATGCTATTCACTTTCTTGTTGACTGAGCCCCATTTGTAATTATCTGAAGTATTTATCTGCATTATATCTGGATTTAATTAAAAAGATACGAGCGAGGACAAGCGTCTGTTTGTGGGTGGGGCTTGCAGGAGCAGAGAGGGAGGGGAGAGGAGGAGCTGAGGGGAAAACTGGTTGGGAGGGGTAGAGTTTACATTCAAGATTCTTCCCCAAAACTGGCACTTCCTCAGATCCTGAATACCACCACCTTTAAGTGGAGATCCCCCAGATTGAAAAATATAAACATTTTGAGCTTTGTAACTTATTTACTTTTACCTTCAATTGCAAGATAAACCATAGAGAGCTGCCAGGACATGAGGGAGAATGATGGAAGTCATCATGTGTAGAAACAGTACTTAGTTAGTTGGCAATAACAGTAATTGTTATCTAGATTAAAAAGTCATTGGGCCTGATATATAGTAGATCTCTACAAAATCTCCAGCTGTTTTGACATCCATGATAGGCTTTAAGTAACTGATATAACTGACAGCAAAAAACCATGCATCTCTTCAAATTTATCCATACTCACCACTTTAAATGCATCAGCAGGCACGGCTCTGGAACCTGTCTCTTCCAAGTAGCGAGACCAGGAAAACATGCTCTGATCTGGGTAATCTGATACAAAAAAAGACAACAAACGAAATTAAACTGAGATGTTTTAAGAGGTTTATATATACACTACAGGCCAAAAGTTTGGAAGCAAGATCAGATTTGTACAAAAAAAGATCATAGTTTCATATATATAATTTGCAACACAGTAAACATGACTATTGTGTAAAGAGTAACTTATCAGAAGACATTTTGACTATAATTATTAGGTATTTGAGTTATTGTTGCTTAGACTTTGCTTTCTTTAAAGTAACCTCCTCTGGCTTTAACAACAGCTTGGCATATACCAGGCATTCGTTCCACAAGTTTTTTAAGGTATGTTCCACGGATTGCATTCCAAGCTTTCTTAAGTTCATTAAAAAGTGACTGCTGATTCGTGGGACGCATTTTTCTGACCGATCGATCCAATTCATCCCTCACAAGCTCAATTGGAGAAAGGTCTGGAGACTGAGGGGGCCAAACCATCTTTTGAAGAACACCTTCCTCTTCTTTTTTGTCAAGGTAACCCTGACAGAGCTTGGCAGAGTGCTTAGGGTCATTGTCTTACTGCAAAATAAACTTATGAGCCACAAGTCTGAGTCCAGATGGAACAGCATGGTGCTGGAGGATGGAGTGGTACTGTTCCTTCCTCATGATACCCTTTACTTCAAACAAATCTCCTACTCCATCACCTGCAAAACATCCCCATACCATGGAACTACCACCTCCATGCTGAATTGTGGGTGTAACACATGGTGCTTTCAGACGTTCACCAGTTTGTCTGCGGACATAGACTCTGCATTTTGAACCAAACAGTGCAAACTTGTTTCTAGTCATCATAAGTCCAATTTTTGTGAGCTTTTGCCCACTCATATCTCTTTTTCTTGTTCTGTGGACAAAGTAGTGTTTTTTTTCAGATACACAACCCTTCAGACCAGCTTTTCTCAAACGTCATTTCACGGTTGTCAGAGATATGGGTTTCGACCTTGTCATGTTGATTTCCTCCCTTATTTGTGGTGCTGTCTTTTGCCGATTTCTCTTACTGGTGACAATGCTATGTTTATCCTCTGCTTTTTTAGTAACTCTCCTTCGTCCAGGTCTTTTTCTATCATCATAACTTCCAGGTTCCTTTAGTCTCCTTAGAGTGTAGTGGACTCCTTTGTTAAACACCTTTGGGCGTTTTGCAATTTCTCTTTCTGTGTATCCTTCTTTCCTTAGTGTACAAATCTGTACTTTTGTTTCTTTACTCAGTTGCTTCTTTCTAGCCATTTTTGCGGTAGTTTGAACGCAGTTGAACTTTATTAGGATTTTTGTATGCAGACTCTCAAAAGCCAAAAAGTTAAAGTGAATAATCCAACTGTGATTTGTTTTTTGCTTTTGCACTGAAGTTGTGACTCTTGCAAATGTTTTCAACCCTAAAACTTAGCCTTATTATCTTTTGCTGACATAAATTTAACAATGGTCTGTTAACATCAGTGTATATCTAAAGGTAAATGGAGTAAAATGGTGCATTTCCATAAAAGCTACATCTGATCATGGAGTAAATACATCCCAAAATACATAAAACTCATGCTGGATTTTAAAAAAAGCATTGTGAACAAAAACTTGAAGTTACTCCCAACTGTTCAGCCTGCAATGGCCTTGCTTCCAAACTTTTGGCCTGTAGTGTATGTATATATATATATATATATATATATATATATATATACATGACAAACTAATGATTAACAGCTAACACATTAGTTACCTTGCGGTGGTGTTAGTGGCAGGTTCCTTTCCTGGCACCAACCAATAGGGTGAATGTATGGGCTGCTTGGATCGCACCTAAAGATTTTGACAAACCAGATATGGCTAATGCTCACATGAAGCTTTCTATTACAACAACCAAAAAGTAACCACTTGTGATGTAAAATCTCCATTCATGATGACAAACCCAAATGTGCATCTTCCTGATTTTGTTTGCATCTTTGAGTTTATTGATTGAAGTTTATGATGCTTTGCCATCAAGATGGCAAAGGCAGTCAGTTGTTTTCAACATTGAAATAAACATCCTGAAAACTACATAATAATTAGCTGTGAGAAAATAGACATAGTTAGCAGATAGCAAGATTTGATAATGACCAAAGATAATAGTTAACATCACAAGTTAATATTGTATTTACACCACTGTCGTTTGTTCTTTCCCTTATTGCTTCAGTAAGTTTAGTCAGCCTCACTCAAGCGTTTGTTTAGTTCTTTTGGATGGAATCCAACTTTGTTAAGGGAGGGGGGTATCATGCATTTTTTTCAGACTATATATTTCCTATCTGATACGTCTTTAATAGCGTGACATAATTTTCAGGAAAAAAAAAAAGCCTTTAATTTCTTACAGTGGTGTATTAAAATGTCATTATTTCTGCTGTTTGAGGACTGTTTGCTGAGTGGTTAATATGAAAAACTGCAGAGGAGTGGCGCATTACATTAAAGAAAATTAGTGATGATGTAAACCAATAAATTCGATCAGTTCACATGAAAAGGTACCATTCCCATGTAAACTGATAAATTTTATCAGTTTACATGGGAATGGTATCTTTTCAAACTGGCTTTTCCAGCTGCTTGATCTACAGTTCAATTAATTTAATATGTTTCTGAAAATAAAAGGCTTCATGTGTCTGTTTAAGTGTTCTTTTCAGTTAAAAGATAAGGGGGAGATTAAGACTTTGTAGAGGGAGCTAAGGAGAAAAATCAATGAAGGAAAAATTGGCATAAGTTTGAAAAAGATGGCTGGTCAGTTGCCACAGAAAAAACGTCAGTGGAGTTTGGTAGGGCCTGAAAAAACATTGCTGGCAACACACACTCTAAAATTTTACAGATTACAGACCAGGAGTGCCTGGACAGGACAGGACAGCCTGAAAAACTCTTACTAGGTTTGACCAGCCAACAACCCTGCATAGATCATCATGCTGCAACCAACACTTTCTGCACCCCCTTCTGGCTGCATGAGCCCTACCTCAACCAACCTCCCCAATAGGACCCTCACAAAACTATCCTTGCATAAAGAGAAAGATGACTAACTAACTGATTGATAGTTGAATTGCAAACCCTACTTTCGTAAAAGCTGTTCAGACTCCAGCTCATTTGATGCCTTTCCTATTCATTTTACAAAGCTAGTTCCATCCCCACTGTTTTTAGGCTCACCAATAGTCATATGTATCATCCCAGTTGTCGAAATGAACCAGGAAACGGTTGTCAACCACATCAGTGACAGTTGCTACACAGATTAGGGATGGGTTCATACGGTCGACGGCTTCCAGCTTCATTCCAGTCTCAAAACCACACTTCCCATCGGTCTATACGGGAAGAGAAAAATTACAGTTAACATTACAGTGTCAGACAGAGCTGTGGACAAGCTGACACACTGATGTAAGAAACTCTGTTGGAGTATTATGTGTTGTGACTGTTTCTACATTTTTGAAAGGAATTCAGTATTCATTGAAAAAGAACCAGATTACTACAATAAATGAACTGAAGCTTTAGCATTGCAAATGTATAATATATGCTGTGAGCATGAGGTCAGGATCGATCCAAGATGTCTGAAAATTATTAGGTTTTCATTACAACAATTATATGTATGATTCTGAGAGGCAGAACTAGTAAAAGGCACAATTTTTTTTCTCTATTGAGGTACTGATGTCTTCTTTGACTAACAATTTGAGGCCAAAATATTTCAGACTGATATGTAGGGTGTACATTTTCAAAAGAGTATTTTATAGCAACCATATCATATTAACAAGCTTTTATGCTTGTTGATAACATTACTTCCATGTATTGTAAATTTTCCATTACCCTTCCAGGACTAGAAAAGAGTTCTTTGGAAGCCACCAGTGCTTTGGTCATTCTCAGGTAGTTTGCCCAAGTAAACTCCTCCTCTTTACAACCTGAAGTTTAAACAAAAAGGCACAGTGAGGATTCAATTAATTAAAATCAAACAGTCCATGATTTCATTTTTGGGGATACACAAAGTCTCTCTTTCTCTTCAGAAGTTTGATTAATTTGGAGCTCAAGGAGATTGTTAATCAACTTCTAACAGCAAGCTTGATCCTTCAATGCCAAAAAAATCCATTGAACAGCGTCCCTTGCGCTCAAAAATCTTCCTTTGCCTTGCATTGTATCTTGCTTGTAAAGAATGCGAAAGCACATGCACATTACAGAACAAAACAAACATCAATAACAAAAAACAGTCACGTGGTAATTACCTGTTAATTACCTGGTAATAAGTGTACCATAAAAGAAAGCATTACCAAGATTTCACCCCAAAACTGGCACTTACTCAGATCCTGCCTACCCCACCTTTAATAATCATGACAGAGATTAAGGCTAGATATTCTATACCATCATGTTTATGTGAAGCCAAGTGTTGGCTTGTATCTACACCACTAAAAAAATACCTGAATAAATCCAACTTGTCATTTAAAACTAGATGAGAAATGAAACAAGAGTTTCTTCAAAAACTCAGCAGAATTGAAAGATGTCTCTTTCATTTCTGTTGAGTTTTTGAAGATACTTTTTTGAAAACATTCCTTTCTTATGGGTCCTTCTTTTGCTGCTGGTTGGTTTTCTATAGTGGTAAAAGAGGTGTCATCGCTGACCTTTGGGAGTGTGCAGTTTATGTCCTGTGCTCTCGCACCAGCCTGCAGGGTGGATGTCAGGGGAGTTGGCATTTACCCAGAAGTCATGACAGTCAGAGTAGCCATCAAAATGGAGCCGCAGACGATAACCACAGACCTGGAAGATGACATGATACACTGGAGAAACAAAACACAGCCTACCTGCATGCAATCCTCCTGAATACCAATTATTCAGTGAGCAATAGGTGATTTTCAATCCTTAACAATATTGCTTCTTCTTAAGATCCATTAACTGCATCAATGAGGAACTGACTCACCTCAGCCACAGTGAGGACAAAGTACTTAGATGGATGCTGTGGATCAATGCCTTCTAGTTTCATCCCCTGTTTAAAGCTGTTCTTCACTGTTGGCACTTTCTGAGACTGAACACAGGATCAAAAAGCTAACCTTAACAAACAGTCCATAGGTATAAGGTGAAAGTGAAGTAAAATCATGCAAAAAAACAAACAAAACAAAAACAAAAACAGGAATAACAGATATTAGCACTCCATATGGATCAGACGAGATTTTTTTTTTATCATTCTTAGTCTACTTGTTTTCTTCTTTTTCTAATGAAAGAAAGACACTTCTTTTAACTAAAGCCTTAACTTAAAAATATCACATTGTTATAAAACACGATAACTATTAAACAATACTAAACATGAAAAAACTGCCTCAAGATTCCAGAAAAAAAACTGACATCAGAACTAGATCACATTCTGCCAGGTAAAAGATACCCCCCCCCCCAACACACACGCACGCATGTACACACGCACGCACACACACAATTACCTCACATATTTGTAGCTCTTCGTCATAGATTTGAGAATACGACAGGCAAAGAGCAGTGGTGGTAAAAAGAACTAAGAGTTATACTAGGTAAAACTTCAGCTAAAAAAACCTGAGTATTTAGCTCAAACATACCTCTTGGAAAAGCTTATCAGGTGCAGCAATGGCATTTCTTTCCTCCAGATACTGAGCCCACATCCACTGCTCCATCTTGCTGTCTCCAGCTTTACCAGGGTTAGATAGATTGGTTAATAATGACACGTATATTATAGTAATACATTACAGTACAAACTCAGACTAAAAAGGAGTAGGCAGAAAAAAGGTTTAGCAAAGTTCAACCAGCCTATGCATACAAAACTCATACTTTGGGTTTTCTTCTATATGAGGCTAATTCTTGGGTCTTGTCACGAAGACATGACTTTCCACTTTACTGCGTTCTCCTTTACATTCCAAAAAGGAGAGAAAAAATAATCTACTGCACAGAAAAGCAATGAGCAAAGGTAGTTAAATGTATATACACTACCAGTCAAAAGTTTTAGAACACCCCAATTTTTCCAGTTTTTTTTTTCCAGCTTGAAAGGGTACAAAGGTAAGTGGTGAACAGCCAGCGGTAAATAAAAAAAGTATGGTTAACCAAAACTGAAAAAATTATGTACATTTCAGAATCAGACAAGAAATGGGTTAACAACTTAAAGCAGTTCTGCAGCAACGGAGGTTGATCAAGCTTAAAAGTTGGTGCTACCAATTCCTACATGTGTCCCAACTTTTCTTGATCACTTACAACCCCCTCTATCTGCATAAAAGTAGTGTTGGAATACAGTGTGGTACCATACCATTGTGAGCATTATTTGAACAGTAGTGTAAAGGCACGCTGAACAAAAACTGCTACCACAACATTCTGCAGCGCCATGCAGTACCCTCTGGGAAGCGCCTGGTCAGGGGTTCATCCTACAGCAAGATGATGACCCAAAACATAAGTTCAAGCTATGCCAGAACTACCTTTAGAAAAAAGAACAAGATGGTAAGCTTGAAAACATTGAGTGGCCAGCACAGTCTCCAGACTTATACACCATGGAACTGGTTTGGGATGAACTGGACAGTGAAAGCAAAGCAACCTAGAAATGTGCTACACATTTGTGGAAACTTCTGCAACAGAATTGGGAAGAACTTTCTAAAGAACATTTGATTTCCATTGTAGAAAGAATGCCAGTAGTATGTTCAGCTGTTATATCAGCCAAAGGTGGATACTTTGATGAGTCCTAAGTTTAGAATACATTTTTGTTTTTTGTTTCTAAATTGATTTTATGATTTCTTTTTGAACTTCAATTGTTTATTTGTTTTATGTATTAATTTCAGAGTACACTGAGACATTAAACTGCATCATTTTCAATAAAAGTCTGGAAAAGTTGGGGTGTTCTAAAACTTTTGACCAGTAGTGTGTGTAAATACAAATACATATATGTATGTATAAATATATATATATATATATATATATATATATATATATATATATATATATATATATATATATATTTATGTGTGTGTGTGCGTGTGTGTGCATATATATATATATATATATATATATATACATATGTGTGTGTGTGTGTGTGTGTGTGTATATATATATATATATATATACACACACACATACATATAGATATATATGTTATACCATACAAGTGAAGAAATGTGAGTCCAACCTCTTATTTGTCTGTTGTCTGCTTTAGAATCATTCATTTTCTCATCCTAAAAAAGAAATATAAGTTAGACAAGACTAAATTGTGGGAGGACAATACAGTGACTGGTGACTGGCTTAAACATGACTTTGGTTATCAGAATCAGAATACTTTATTTATCCCTAGGGGCGGGGATTCGGTATATTAATAAAATCATCATAGTGGCCATGGAGACGCCACTCATATGTGTAAAGATACAGCCTTTCTGGGACAAAGTGAATGAGACTCTGGGAACAACCCTGTACTTTACTATTCAAAGAGACCCAAATTTATATTTTTTGGGGTCAAACCTGAGAAAGTAGAAGAACAAGGGGATGTTTATTTATTCAAGATCTTAGTTATTGCATGTAAAAAGGTCATCACAAGGATTTGGATGAGAACTGATCGCCTGCTACTTTGACATTCGATGGACATTATGGATAAAATTTACATTATGGAAAGACTTGCTTACCACTTGAGGCTGAAAATGTCTATCTTCTATTTTAGGAGCCTGAAGCTGAATAAAAAGACTATGTTTATTAAACAGACCTCTTTGTTAACCAGTTGAAAATTAAGGAGTAAGAGCTGACCCTTGTGTTCTTCTGTTCAGTTTTTTTTAGTATAATTTTATCTTTGATAAAAGGAAAAAAACTGTTGTAAAAAACAATGTGTGGAAATATGCTGTACTGAAAAATAGTTCAAAAACAAACAAACAAAAAACAACATTATTTTCAAGACCAGCATGCCCTAACATTGCTTCAAATTCTTTGCCATACACTTTGTCATCTGTTGAGTGGCAACCTCTTTAACTTGTGGTTTTATGATTGGTAACAGTGATGTCTCACCGTGCCTTCCATGTCAGAGTCTTCTTCAGAGGGACTCAGGTATTCCTTCCTTTTTCTCTTCCTCATGGGTTTCAAATGATCAGGGTTAAGGGAGGAGACTCTCCCACCTGCTGGCACCTTCTCTACCCCAACACTCCTCCTAAGGTGCAGAGAGTAAAGATCCAGCTTATTTTCTGTAACTATGATAGTTATTTTTGCCCACCAGCCCACGGTACATTTTGTTCTACAGTTATTGGATGGCGTCAGTAAAATTCAAGTCCAATAAAATATTGACAAATACATACAGCAAAAAACTATATTTTTTCCGCTACAACCACCATAGTATACATTTGCTGCCTCACAAATAAAGACCATTTGATTACCTTTCACTGCATCCAACAAGTCTGCAACTCCAAAGTAAAAAGCACCAAACCAAGACTGAATATGACTTAGCATGAACACAAGTATTTGTTTAGATACTAAGGAAATAACTGAGAGGAGCCAATTTTAGAATAAATGAGCAATATCCCCCAAAATATATAGACTAAAAATCTTTTACACAAAAAGGATACAATCTGAGATGGGGAATGCAGAGTAATAGCTGTAAATAGACTGTTTGAAGATAATGTACAATGACAGGAATGTGACCACCTGGCTACACATTTACCCTTAAGCATGAAAACAACAAACAAACCCATACCTGCGCTACAATACTCTCTCTTTCTTTCTTTCTCTCCATACCTTCTTCTCTATAGTGCATTTGTCTGACTGTCTGTCCAAAAGTTTAGTGTCAATTTGTCTATTTTAGTGTGATACTTACTGATATTTTTTTTTCTTCAAAGAACCCTTGATACGACAAATGCTTATTACTACAAGTGTATTGAAAACATGTCTGTACTCAGGTACATTAAAAAGTAATGTAAACTCATTTTCTTTACAATTTAGAATTTAAATCAAAAAATTGTTGCTTTAGACAATTGTTACTTCCTTTTTGTTACAGAGACTACAAGTTTGGAGGAAACAAATGTTTTATTTCACACAGAAAAGTGCATGTATTGAGTTTTCACCCTTCGGCTTTGTTTAATTTAAGCTTTATGGCTGTGGTTCAGTGGTAGAGTCACAACTCTATCAGGATTCAGGAACATGTAAAATGGAATGTTTAAGGCCTTTTCAGTTGTAAAGCTCATAAAATCAGAAATCCAGTATTCCAAATGATTAGAATATGTCCTAACATCAATCCAAAAAAAGCTTCTATTTTTTTTAAGTCCAACTTTATGAAATTACATTCATTTATACACTAAATACATTTACACATAACATCAAAGTGAAATACAGTCTGGACATTTTCAAAGTATTAGATATTGATGTCTTTCTTTGGTGACTGTGGTACACTGTGATACAAACATTTTAGCCCCGATTTACGTAAGATGTGACTCAAAAATAATGATTAATATGCACCCTGCCTCAGTCTGACATTTACATGAGCTGAATGTTCACACATGTTACTTCCCAGCTGGGAGTCTTCCAGGACAGAGAGAGGGGCATGGGGGCTGATTCTCATGTGAAGACATCAGCAGAAGCTAGGACAGTAATGGTGTGATGTTTTATGATAACTAAGATTATATAATGATATATTTCCATTTTACTCACTCTCAATCCCTGACATATGTCTGTACATAAATTTACCTCAGTGTTATTGTCAATGATTGTGATGAAAGTCATTTGAAAAAGTGGGCAGACAAAATTGAAGCCAAACGTGCTCATACAACTCTGACCCTTATTTGTATCTTATCTTAAAACATCAAAAATGACCACAAACTGGTGACCACTGCTTTCAGTTTTCACAAGTGTAAAATTCTTTAAAGACCAACTCTGGTTGATAATTTTTACTATTTAAAGTGTTTTCAGGGGTCTTCGAATTGTGATTATGAAGTTTTTAGCCAAATCCTGTTACCTGTGTCTTTTTTAAGGGCTTTCCTTCTGCAGGGCTTCATTAGCTCAATAGCAATTCACCTCTGAGTTGTGGGCGGAGACAGCGCTGCTCTGCACACTTCTCTTCACACTAGCTTGTAGCCTAACATTGCCGGTGCAGCAGAAGGGTCAGGTAAGCTCTCGGACACTAATGTCTTTGGAAGCATGATAAAAGTTAATATCATAATTAGCTTTCTTACGAGCTTTGCAATCTGCTACCACACACACTTGTTCAGCAATCATCCTCTCTACTTTTCACTGTCTGGCCTGCATAGTGGGGCTCCGGGGGCGGAGCTTGCAGTTGTGATGTAGACAATCTCACTGTATCTGAGCCTGCCGTTTGGGTCTGCAGGAAATTCACTGCAATTTGAATGAAGAAATACTAAGAAATGCAATTTTGATCTTAGTTTTCTCATAAGTCCCCCAGCACCAAAAAAATGCCACATGAACATGAAGACAACAAGAAAAACATGATTTTCACCAGAGTGGGTCTTAAAATAGAGGCAAAAATCAGGTTGGCGTCTTGCATTTCAATACATCATAAGAAAAAAAAAAATAGATCTGCTCTGTTTTTCTGAAATAACAAGATAAATATGTCATTATTTCCTCTTGAGATGAAGTTATGCCATAATTCTGAAAAAAATTTGTCTTATTCATTCAGATAACCAAAGCAGAATTTTTTTGCTCAAGTGAACACAACAAGCTTCCATAAAGAAATAGATCAAAAACAAACAAAAAAAACCCAACAAAAATACCAATTCCCACATCTTCATACTAGCAGTCTCTACTGTAATGTGTACATCTATCATAACTGTCTTTTGTTTCTGACTCTATCTCTTCTTTGTCTGTACTTTTAAGTAATTGCATACTAGGGGCTCTATTTTTGTGCCTTGCCAGCGGTGCGGCGTAGGTGCGGCGTAGGTCAGGTCTGCCGCGCCGATGAGGTGTGCCCAAGCGCACTTCAGTATTTTGGTGAGTAGCGCAGCCCGGCTTAAGTATTCCCCCTCCCTAACTCAGCTCCTCATATTCAGAAAGAGGCAAGGGAGCCGATGTGGAGGGGGTTTTAACACAGCCAAGTCCTATTTTCACCAATCACATCAGCTCCTCTCCTCACCTTTAAATCTGTCACCGTCGAGGCGTACTACAATTTTCATGAAGTAGTCGAAGAGATCAAGACATGGCTGAAGACAGCAATGCCAGGCGACAGATGGTAGCCCCTCAACAAATGTCGCAGTAAGCGCTGTGGAGTGGAGGACGCCCTCCACACTCTCTCTAATAAGCACAGAGGGATCTGGTGTGTGTAAAGTTGGACCTACTGGTAAGACAAACGTTCTTTTCCACAAATGAAGACACTCACATCAAGTTGCATACATTCGAACCCCACGTGACAAAGATGGGCTGTGCGCACAGATCACAACATAAACAAAAGCCAATAATGGCGTTTAAAACGGAACCACCGGTGTGTCAAGGACGCATCACGCTTTATGGTCTGGCTCTTTCTTTCATTGATGTTGGCATATAAAATGAACTTGGCTTACGCAACTGAATATTATAATATTCATATGTAGGCCTAACTCCAGAATGAATATTCATAGAATTTTAAGGATATGAGAACATCAGATAAACAGGTTGTTTTGAATGAAAGTTACTTTTATTTTTTAAGTAAATAACTCATCTGATCACTAAAATAAATCATCTGGTCAGCCTTGCCGCCGCAGGAGCAGCAGGACGGAGAGAGGACATGGAGACGTGTCCGGGTCAAGCTGGGCGAGAAAGAAGAGGAAGAGAGAAAGGGGGCGGGAACAAATTAAATATCTTGTGAACTTCTTCATGTGTGACTGTTTACTGGATATTTAATTTAACTTGGTTTCAGCTGTGTTAATTCAGCCAGGTTGAGTGTCAAACGCGTGCAAAAAATGCTCATCAGATAAGATATATATCAGAATATATATATATATATATATATATATATATATATATATATATATATATATATATCAGTGGCGATTGCTCTAAGACTGCAAGGGAAGCTCGGCTTCCCTTAAAATGTCACCCCTCAAAAAAAAGAAAAAGTGGTGAAATACGTACTGCTGTGTGTACATTTCATTAACTAAATACGCACTAGAAAGCCTTCATCTTTTGTTCAGACACTGTGATAAGAAGCTGATAATCACAGGTAACCGGCATAACTTCGTTCTCATTCATCCTCGCAGCGCCTCAGCGCTTGAAACAGCCGGACGCTGGGCTTCTGCTGACTTCAATGTGGAAGCTTAAAGTGGGTTGTTCCAGCAGCGAAACTAGACGCTCATTGGATAAATGCTGGGCTTTGTCCCGCCCATCGGAAGCCCAGCTTCACTTGAGTTCTATGGCGAGAGGGCGGTCCCGACTTTCTCCCGGACTCCAAGCTTCTGCATCCATGATTGGATGAGCTGTCTGAGGCGAAATCCTTTTTTGATTGACAGCTAAACAAGCGAATCAGCGATCTTGAAGAATAAAACATCTACCAAAGCATTTTCCAAGTTATTCATTCCGTTGTTCTTAACTGCTCCGGAGACCTTACCGATCCTCAATGACTTTAGTCTTTGTTAAAAATGACTGCCGTTGTGTTTGGCGACTCTGTTCTGTTACATACTAATAAACAAATACAATTATGATGTAGGCCAGAAAAATGAGCTTCCCCTCATTGAAAGACCAGCAGCCGCCACTGATATATATATATATATATATATATATATATATATATATATATACATATATGTGCTGACTTAGATAGTTGCACTGAATACTGGTTGCTGTTGATTATTTTTTGCACTGAAATGTGGTTGACACTGTGGAAACTTGCCAGTGAGGCTTCAGTGATGTATGCGCACTATGCCGCCAGTCTACCAAAATACTGCTAGACCAGCTGCACTCCGCCTGCACTGAAAGCTGACCAGGTTTGACTCTGCAAGCTTTCTGTTCACTTTCCATGCCGCCAGCAGGCAAGAAAATGTCACCGCGCCAGCTGATTTTGTTGACACCTCCCCCTACCACGCCACCATGATCAGTGTGGTGGACCTCGGTGCGCCTTACGGCTAAAACCCACAGGATCTGGAATGGCTCCACTCCAGCATGGCAGGCATATCAAATATGCAAGCATTAAAATCAATGTGAGTTATTCCACACAATCCGTCTGCTGTCCAGCTCCGCCGTGGATTGGCAGCCTGGGTTAGTCTACCAAAATACCAAACTGGCTGTGCGTCGGGCTCCACCAGACAAAAACACCGCTGCGCAAACTTTTTTTTAAGTATTTCAAGGTCAAAATGGACTACACTCTTTTATCTAAGACTAACAGCAAACTACCAACACTTCAAAATTATACACTGAATCATATATAAAAATCATCATGTATTATGAAAAAATGAGAATACGCGTATGTGCATTGCTTGTTCAAATACACATACCTGTATGTAGGGATGCATCAGTGAGAATAATGGTAAGGCAGTTTTACCAACGTACTTATCAGTGATGGGGTCCCTGCGAAGTTCCTCTGTGTAGGTTCTTGGAGCTCTGGGATCATGGCAGTTTTGCTCTGGCCCGACCCTGTCTTCAGATTTGAGTAGCATCACAGTCTCTGGTTCTGAAGAAACACCTCTCATAGAAAGGCTAGGAACCGACACATCTGACATATAAGAAATAAAAACAAATCTGAATCCAAAGCCCTGCAATGCCTTTAAACATTTTTTTTAATTTCTCTCTTGTTGCTGCTCTTTTTATGTTTTTCTGTAAATCAATTTAAATCCATATTCAGTCTGGATTTTAAATTTGAAACATCTTCATCTTCACTCCATTTTCACAAAAAATAGATGAATTTTCCTGTTCCTCATAAAATTATTTCTCATATATGCCTGGTACACTCATGTAATCAATGACAGCAACTACTGAAAAATGCTTTAACCAACAAACCCATTTACAGGAAAGGAAACAGTTCTCAGTTTACAGATTTACCAAATCAGATGTTTAACTAAACTCAAGTAGACCCTTACTGATGCTTAAACCAACATTGTAAGCTCATGGCTCTACCTGAAATGGCTGCTAAGGAACTCTCTGTGTCAGTAAATCGCCCAGAAGTCCCAGCTGCTGGCTCAGTGGTACTGCTGGTCCCTGGAGTGATCAGTGTGCTCAATGTTCCTACATCACTAACACAGAACTGTTACACACACACACACACACACACACACACACACACACACACACACACACACACACACACACACACACACACACACACACACACACACACACACACACGTGACACATACATATTAACATAAATGGAGCCACCTGTTGAAATTTTTCATAGTGTAAACAGTGTCCACTAAGGCACATTCGTCCCTAAAAAAAATTATCTTGGGTTTCCTAAATATGCACCACTGTCTGTTGTGATCATAAAACAAGACCTGAGGGCTGTACTATGAAATGTGATGATTGAGCTAGCTTACTCCAAAAGAAAGCATTAGCATGTTGAGCTCGCTTTGTAGTCTACCCCACTGTAGTAGTGGCAATAAGTTTGTATTTTCAAGCCAGTCAAGATATCTTACACTACAGAAAAATGCTCTCACACACTCCTTCATGAACTTCTTACACACTCATTTATGAACATCTGGCTAAGATGTCTGTGTGCCAATCATAGTGCCAGCCTCTCATCAAAAGCTTTTCACGTACAAACCAGTGCAATAGAAGTTCCAAGAAATGTAGTGTTCTTTACCTTGCCCTAGGACACTTTGACTTCCAGGGTGGTGGGCTAGTATCAAGTTAAAAAAATATTTACCCCCCACAGATTTATTCTGCTTTTGCTTTTTTTGTCACAATAGCACGTTTCAGATCATCAAACAAATTTGAATATACACAAAATACAATATGCAGTTCTTCAAATTATGATATTGATAAAAGGGCAAAAAGCAATCCTAACCAATGTAGTCCTATGTGAAGAAGTAACTGGGTGGTCGCAACACCCTTGGCAGCAATATCGAAATCAAGCAATAATTGGCAATGGGTCTTTCACATCACTGTGGAAGATTTTGTTCCTCTCTTCTTTGCAGAATTGTTTTAATTTAACTATATTGGAGGGTTTTGAGCATGAACAGCCGGTTAAAAGATTGCCTTTGGTCTTTTTTTCTCTTTTGGTCAGTGGTGGTTTTCTCCTTGTTACTGTCCCATGGTTGCCATTGTCTTTCTAATTGTTGAATCATGAACACTGACCTTACCTGAGGCAAGTGAGGCCTGCAGTGCTTTGGATATTGTTCTGGATTCTTTTGTGACCTTCTGGCTGAGTCATTTAATAAGTCTTTTGGCTAACTTCATATTGTCAGAAGGGGTGCTATTTAGGTGATTTCTTAATTCTACAAGTCTGGTAGTAATAAGGCCTGGATATGGCAAGTGAAATTAAACTCAGCTTTCCAAACAATGTGGTTGATTACAGTTCATTCATGATGGGGGGGTCAATTACTAACTGCAATGTGTATTTACTCAGGTTATTTTATATATTCAAATTTGTCTGATGATATAAAACATTTAAAAATGACAAAAAATAATAATTTAAGAAAAAAAAAAACAGGAGAAATCTGTTAGGGGGCAAATTCAACCCTCTTTCTGCTTGGAGCAAAAAAAGGGCATTATTTCTATGATGTTGAAATGTGAGATATGACCTTACCTTTATGTTGTTGCTGGGCAGGATGGCCATCCCCTCTTTCCATTCTAGGACATGGACAATGCTACAAGCTCCGCCCATCTGTGCTGTTATGGTGGGTGCAACGGTCTCATTAGCCCTGGCTCCTTTACCAGGGTCTCCTCCAGCAACAGCTGGTGTAACCTCTATTTTCTGATGACCAGGAGCTGAGGAAAAGTTGGATTCATAGTCTTTTACTTTCTGTTGGTGGCCACCCATAAGAACACAGACTCTTTACCTCATCATATTTTGACAATCATATTTGGATTATCAGTTTAATCAGAACTGAGCTACATTGTGCTGATATGTCAGCCTGACTGGTACGGACCAGTATTTTAATAAGCAATCCAAAATAAGTCATATAAAAGTACCATTGACAACTATCTTTCTCTCCTTTAACTCTTTCAGACTTCTGATGGTTATGAGCATTATTATTCCAGAAATGCTTTTTAATTTCAAAACATCAGGTTCACATCAGTGAACGAAACAGATGAACAGATAGATGGACGGGCAGATTGATGGATGGATGGCAGACGGACGGATGGCTGGATGAATGGATGGACGGCTGGATGGATAGACAGATGGCTGAATGGATAGATGGATGGGAGGCTGGATGAATGAATGGATGGATGGGCCAATAAATGTATATGAATGGAGATGGAAGGAAGGATGGCTGGATAAACAGACAGACAGACAGACAGACAGACAGACAGACAGACAGATAGATAGATAGATAGATAGATAGATAGATAGATAGATAGATAGATAGATAGATAGATACATAGATAGATAGAGGATCACCTGGAGGACGTAGAGTCCAAAATAACACACAGAAACCGCACTGCACTGGTTAAAGTTACAAATGACCTACTTATGGCTCCAGACAGTGGGTTTGTGGGCTGTACTTGTACTGTGAATTTTAGTGCAATATGATTGACCAGCGTATCCTGCTACAGGGACTAGAACAATCAACAATTCAAGAGAACCACTTAAGCTTGGTTTAAATCATATCCAACAGGCTGATCTCAGCTTTTACATGTTGATGAGAATTTCTCTGCCTCACAAAGGTCATTCATGGGGTACCACCAGATTTTATGCCAGGAACAACTGCTTGTCTCTCTTCACCCAACATGTCTGGTCTGCATCTTGAGGGAATGGAACACTGGAGCAGATTTTCATCCTTTAGTGGAAACCATCTTCTATTGCAACATGTTTTTCTTCCCCACTGATTCTCCCTCCTCATAGCTTGAGTACGATCCTAACAAATTGCAATGTGGTTCTCAACATTTCTGATAATTCATCTTCTGCATTTCAAGATTCTTTGTGGTCATAGTTCCCTTAACAGGGTTCCTTAAGATCCCCTTACAGCATCTTGTGCCTCGTATCTAGTATCAAGCCATTATAGAATCAAATGAGAACTCCTCCTGAATTAGGGAGTTTTGGGCCGCTAAGTGTTTGTTGTCAGCTGAGATGCTGTGCAGGTATGAGGAGAAGTGGTTTCTTGAAGTTGTTTTTTTTTTTTCTAGCTCACAACTGCCTGTGTGTAGTTGTGTGTGTAAATCTGGGTGAGTTTTTTTTATTATTATTTTTATTTTTTTGTTAAGATTTGGTCTTTATATGGTCATAAATAACTTCTACATATTTGCAGGTTTGATGTGTGACTGCATGTCTTTTTATGTGTGAGCATATGTGGTTAGGGTATTTGTAAAAGCTGTAGCAGAGAACCATCCATGCTACTTTGACGTTATTATGTCAAAGTAGTATTCTCTTACGTATGAAATGACTGTGTTTAAAAAAAAAAAAAAAAGGTCAAATCTGACCTAAATTGTTTACAAGTGAAGACATACTGCTCACTGTACTAAAGTTGTGTGACATACATCTTCAGTCCCGAGCTGATTTTAAATTGATGTTATGTTATGCTACATAAATACTTCATACATCACTCAGCATTCTTGTAAAAAGCGGTCCTCCTGTGTCCACAGGAACAGACTGTCACCCCTGGACTAGTACTCACCTGGAAGAAGGAAAGCTGTGGTGGTGTGTGACTGGAGTTGAGCATTCTTGGCAACACCCTCTCTCCCACTGGTAAGGGCAGCTTCGCCAGGGGATGGGTCCACAGGAGGGTGATGAGGTTCTTTAGGGGAGGCCTCCATGCTCACTTTGGCACTCATGTCTTTTTCCTTGCTTTTCCAGTGGTAGCACTGAAAAGTTTGGAGAACAGTCTAAAATGCTGGATCAGAACACTGACTGTGCCATGTCTGGAACTAAGTGTTGTAACCACAGAGTGCTCTGCTTATTTCTGTACATCTCTATTTCATGCATCTAATTTTTCCAAAAGTTGTTCAGAGACTCCCTTAACTAAAAAAAAAAGAATAATTAAGAGCCCAATATCATAAATTAATGGAAGATCAAGTATGTCTCCCACCATCGACAACCATGACCCCATATGACTTTCTCACAACCAATAAATCCAAATCATGAAAAACATTTACGCACCATTTACCAAACACATTTACGAAAAATACATTTCATTTAAAATGGCGGAGGAACCGAGTGCTTGGCGCAAAAACAAAATGTGTAAAACAGTCTCAAATTCAGTGGAAACCCCTTTTGCTGAAGATGAACCTGGTGATCCACTCCAACGGCACCTGAAATTACTCAAAAATATTGAAAATAAAACGTCAAGCATACGAAAAAATAAAAATAAAACACGACATGGCCGCCTCTATCACTTTAACATATTTTAATGCACTGGGTAAATTAAGTGTCATCAAAAAGAATGCATATTAAGACGAAAGGCATTATGGACGAACTACCCTTTGCGATAAAACGCATCACCGCTTGATTCAAATAATCATTCTACCGCATTGAAATGCTTGTGTTTGAATATGGTCTATCCTGCTTCTACAAAATTAGGTAAAAACAGTTAAATACTACGTTCGTTGTGATCATTTCGGAACTGAAATTGTGCTTACCAGCTGTAATCGTCTGCGGCTCGAGGGCTACAACTACGCATGCGCGCTTCCTCCGTACAGTCACGGCATGTTGGTAAGGCAGACTTGAATTACAATCCGTTCAAATTTCAATCGGTGTGTGTAACTTATGCAGGGGACAATAAAGTCTGAAGACCCCTCTGTTCATGCAACCGTAAGGCTCTCTGGTGAAAACTCGACAGTTGATTTCTGCTATTCCTTTATTACAACGCCTTATCGTGAAATGTTAAATGCAATTTATTATATAATTAGCAAGATTTAGGTCATGTCATTTCTGCAGTGTACATTCTTGTACTTTTGACACAAAGCAAAGTAACAGGTCGTGATTTAAGAAATTTAATTGAACGTACAATTAAAAAAAGACATTTCTATAAGAGGTCATTTCCATGGAAAAATATGTGTTACAATCATGGAGTACCAAACTCTTAAATCAACAAAAATGCTGAAAATTAAGAACTTCCAGAATAAACCTCCAGGATTGACAATTCCAAGCATGTGAAGGATAACCACAGGCCCTCTAACAACCTAGTACAAGATCAAAAATAACTCAGGGATGCAAAAATGTGTGAGGCACAAGTCAAATCATAAAACTACAGAGCCTTTGTCACATTAAACGCTCAATTTCAGGTGGGGTGACTACAAAAGCAACAGAACCAAGCTCAATGCTGATCACACAATCTATGTACATGATGTTCAAAATCTATTATACTACCACTGCTCACCAAGAATGCATAAAGATTAAACCATTAATACAAACCCTTACCATTTTTTAGAGATAAAATGTTATTTTTTCTGTGAAATTTGTAAAGGTTTTCGAGTACTACCAATCAAAGGAGATTAATCCACTCTTTGAAAAGCAACTTTTGTGACTCCAAGTAAAAGGTAAAGGGTACCAGTGTTGAAACAAATGATCATTTTCCCCTGCAGCTTTACTCTTTAAATCTTTTTCTTAAAAACAATGCCTCATGGTTGCACCATGGGAAGTCCTGGAGACACTTATGTTTGCTAAATGTACTACTTTCAGAATCTGTTGGAAACTCACATGCCGCACAACTGGAGCGGTGAAAAGGAATTTTATCAAGGTCAAACTTAGTTCAAATTATCCTATAGAAGTAACCCCTTCCCTGTGGCATAACCTTTAATACAGCTCAATCCATACGCATTTTTAAAACAAGCACAAAGTAGGCAAGTCAGGAGGCAGAGGGTAGAATAATAACACTGCTTGGAAAGTACAGCATGGGTATCAAGCTTACAATGAAAGAAAAATCTGTTTAAAATTTATCTAATCTTGTGAGGCTGAAAGAGACCTTGAGCGAGACCTTGAGCGAGAGGCTGACCTCTTCTCCCTTGATTTCGATTGGTGATCATCCTCCTGTGGGGATGGGGAGCAGGAGGCAGGCTTGTTTGCATGCGCCTCTCTCCCATTCTCCAACGGGGAAGATGAACGGCTGCGGGACTTCTTATCACAAGACATCTCCTTTGATCGACTACGGGACTCTCGCTCAGACTTAACCTTCGAACGACTCTTCGAACGGGACTTGGATTTCCGTTCCACTGAATGAGAGCGGGATTTGTGGGAGCGAGAACAAGACTTGGATTTGTGGGAATGGGAACGGGACCTGTGAGACCGTGATTTACTTTCGCCTGACTTGGAGCGAGACTTCCTTTCTGATCTGGAGCGGGAATGATGACGTCTCTTGTTGCTGCGGGAACGAGACCTGCAAAGGATAGAATAAGCATACATGATTAGCTGATTATTTAAATGACTTTGCAAACATGAAAACTTAAGTTCTGACCCACAACCCATGACACAGTCCCTGAACCCTAATGTGCTCTTCACATAGGAGGTGTGTTGGCTGCAGGACAGCTATTGTTTATTAAATACTGGCAGCTTGGCAGGTGTCAGTCATAGAAAACATGAACCCCCAAATAACTTTTAAAAACGGAGCTGCACAGAAAAAAAGAGGACTTGACCACAAACCAGTCTTACTGTAACTACATGTTAACACCACAAACGGGGGGGGGAGAAATTTTTAAATTCTGTGTAATAAATTTCTAAAGTTTGTCCACAGCCCCATAAGCTTTGCTGGCGGAGGCAGGATTTATGACCTATACTGCAGCCCATCATCAGAGGGTGCTGTTCTCGGAGTGGCTTCACCTAGCGAGGAGGCAGACTCTGTCCATTCTTTATACAGTCTATGGTTCATTCCCGTTGTTTGATTTTTCTTTAACATTGTCTTAGTTCAAGTTTTAGAACTTCAACCATTTTGGTACACATAGCAATTCAAGATTTAGTCTTTCTCTAATTTCCCTAAATTTCACAGTCATTTCAAAGTTGCCTCTGAACGCCACACAGCGGGCCCGAAGTCATCCTCCGAGTCAGAGTTTTGGTGTGTGACCAAATGAGCATGCAAAAGATGGATAAGGCGCTGCTTTTTGCATTCAGGCCTGTGTGCCGTGACTCCTGGCCCATCCTTCGTCTGACTTTGGTCGTCTTCTGAACCAAACCTTTCAAACTGTCGGCAGCCCGGACCTTTGGTACCTGCTCCATCTTCTCCAAGGACCAGTCTCACTTAAGTATGCAAACCTCCAGAGCTCCAACAGGGCTGGTGCTGTCTCATGCATTCATGACTTAAATAATTGCTTATTCAAGTAATCCTAATTTATATCCAAATTTATCTCTACACCAACTGTTCGGCCTGTAATGGCCTTGCTTCCGAACTTTTGGCCTGTAGTGTATGTTGTACCATCATTTATCTCGTAATAAACCAATCATTTATTTTTCTCAGTTCTTGTCTGTTAGTGTTCTTCCAGAGGTGGAGTCCCTGAAATGAGAATTTCAGCTTGAGAAATCAGCTTGATTAACTTAAGATTGGCTTAATGTTTGATATCTGGATTAAACTTTTGTTTTTCATCATTAATAGGTGGGTGGTGCCCCTGCAACGAAAGCATAAATGTCATAGTTTAATATTATCAATTATTAATCTTAGGACATCTAATTTAACTATAAATCGCATGGACAACACTCCCAAACCAAAGCATTTTGATAGAACATGGGAAGATTGGGTTTTGACTCTGAAAAGCATAACAGAGGGGTTGCCATATTATCTTTTGTGTTTTCAACATAAATTTAACTGATACTAAGCCAATACAGTCCCCAACTTTTAATTTTGTATATATTTTAGCCAAGATTACCGCTCCGCTAGCAGAAAAATAGGTGAGTCTTCTATCGTGTTTATTTTTTAGCATGGATGGTGTGATCATGAGGTACAAATGGTCCAATGTATCAACAAGCAGGGGGAAATAAAAATCAAGCTGAGTGTTGCCTTAACTGTGTAGACACAGACATTATCATACAAACTTCAACTTCAAAATAAGCTGTATTGTTCAGCCCTGTCACAGACTGGTGACCTGTCCAGTTTATCCTGCCTCTTGCCAGCATGACAACATTTTGTATAGTTCTGGCCCTGTCTCACCTAGAGTGGGATCTGGAATGACTCCTAGAGCTCCTGCTTCTGTGGCTTCTGCGGCTCCGGCTGCGAGAGCGGCGGCGACTGCGAGATCTATGGAAGTGAAAAAAACAGAACTTGTGAACACAACCGATAGCTTAACAGAGAAAAGATGTGTTGAAGAGGTTTTGGTTGTTCTCTCTTACCCCAGGTTTACCAGTTTTTAATTAATTCTATCTTTTTTGTATCACGTAATCAGTATAATGTTGGTTTTAATCAGCCAGGCTGCGTTAACAAAACTGACAGATGATACTATTTAAAACCAGAGATGTGTTATGTTAAAGGTGGGGTAGGCAGGAATATGTTACATTTGGTAATATAACAATATAGCTGTGCTTTATTATGTCTGTGAAGTCAACATTTTAAAAATTTTGAGCTGCCGCTCATTCTGACTGTAAAGAAAGTAAGCCAAGTGTCTGTAGCAGAAGTGTTTCTTGTTAAACGGGACCTTTTTCTGCAATTAAGGTATTATACTGACATTAAGGCGGCACTGTTCTCAAATCAGGCCAATGCCGTTACAAAAAAAAATTCGGCCAAGATGACTTCCTAGGAATATAAGACTAACTTCCCTATCTTCAGCACAGCTGGGGTGTAATACAGCTTGCCTGATCATCATTAAAATGAATGCTGAACTCTCTAACTCATTTGTTGGCATGTCAGCATGACACCGTAAAGTTCCAACATGCACGAGCATTGTGGAAGAATACATGGTGATAAAAGGATGTTATAAGGAGATATGTTCCCACCTTGAGCGGCTGCCAGAGTATGACCTTCGTCTACGAGGCCGGTCTTCAACCAGTCGAATTTTTCGTCCATTGATGTCTGTACCATCCAGTTTTTCTAAAGCCCTCTTCATGTCCGAGTGGGACCGGAACTCAATGACACCCTCATTCGTGCGTTCCTTGTGGGCATCTGCATAAGTCACCTCACCAGCCTGACGCATGAAATCCTGAGAGACACCAAGTTTTGATTAAAGCCTCCATCCATTAGCATGTTTCAAAAGTTAAGCAGTGTGAATTTATATTTTATGAATACACAGTGAACTGAACACAGTACAAAACAAATGTAAGACTTCAACATGTACCTTGAGATCTTGCCAACTGCACCGGCTCGACAAATTCTCTACAACAAGTCGGTACTCAGTACGGACTGGAGGTCCATACTTATCCCTGCCAGAGCGGCTCCGGCTGCTGTAACCACTACCTTTAAAAACAACAGCACATAAAAAAAAGTTAAAAACCACTTAAATGGCAAGGATGACCAAAAAAACAAACAAACAAAAAAGAACCTACTTGTTTGGACATTTAATGAACACAAAGCAGTGACTTGTCAGACTGAAGTCCAAAAATGAATAAAATTTGACTATTAATAAAAAGTCCCTCTGGTCCTATTTTCAAAGACAAAGCTACAAATATAGTGATCTAAAAGCCCCAGCATAGGCTCTTTTAAATGTTTAAATTGCTCAACATTGTGGAGTTGCTCTCTGCTGCAAAGAACACCACTGCATCTGTTTTAGGCAATACAAAGCCTTCTTACTCCGGTACATCACACTGTGATGCTTTAGCGGCATTAACAAATGGACAGTGATGTTCTTTCAAGACCTCTGAACCCTGTAACACAAACAGAAAAAGGATATCCACATAGGTTGCGGTCAGGGAGACTGATGAAATCAAGTATGAACGGTCTTAAGAGAAATACACACTACTCTTAAGGTATCTGACAGGATGTCAGACTGTTTTATTCCCACTTTTCTTGCTTAGATCATTTCTTTGACTGCAAGATCTTTACTAGTGTGGCTCCACTTATGTTTGCTGTCAACATAGAAACCAATGGCAATCCTCACCATCGCCCCTGGTCTATTGGCAAAAGGCTGCTGTCATCATGGCTTCCGGTTAGGTCAGCCAAGGATCAAGGGGTAAAGGTCACACACACATTGTAAGGTGAAAGCCAAGGCCAAACGGGACAGGCAGTCATCTTAGCCAGTCATCTTTAGCCTCAATGGACTCTCAGCCTCAGCCCGCAACTGGACTCTTTCAAATTGAAACATCAAGGACTTTTGTTAATGTAGAATATAAAAATATATACCAATGTTCAAATATATAAAAATACACATATCACATGAAAATGTTAGTCTTGTCTTAGTGATTAAGCGTAAGGTACAGCTAGGCTTGTAGTGGATGATTTGTTGGAGCTTTTTTCTGTGGTGCAAATAACATCTAAGAAGATCTGACCTAAGAACTTGGCTCACCAAGCTAATTGTTATTATCCAAAAATATTTTGCATCCATGATAAGAAAGCTCTACATTCAAGCGTTGCTCGATACTGGAAACTATAGCATATACTCCTGGGTTATTTACTGGAGGGCCCTGGCTTGCAGACTGCTGACCCTTCCCCATGATGAGCCACAGGCCAATCAGAGGCTGCCCATGATCATATAAGGAGGAGCAACACACTGCAGGTCAACAACCCTATTTGGTCTAGATGAAAAATAGTACTAAAGAATGAAACCATAAACAAGACAATATGCACAATTATATTGCACCCCTGTGCAGCATTTTGGCTCAACTGACATTGTTTTTAAACCTGCTTCAGAAGTAAACTTTGTCTTGACTTGAAACTAAGTCAAAACTGGTTTCCAAAGTCAAAAAGAATAAAGATTTGTCTTGGTTTCAAAGGAATTTCTCCACTGGTCTCGTTTCAAGAAAATAGTCACCAGTAAAATAAGAAATTCCCCAACCTGAAATACAACATTGGATTTTGAGTTCGCATGCAACTCTAATTATAGTAAACGTGCCAGCATGGGAATGAAGACTGCAAGATGACCCCAAAAATGTACCTGAAACAATACTTCAACAATTTGACTTCTCAGCGCAAGTTTAAAACAACAACATTGCTCTCAGTGCAGTCCACATTGACACCTCGCCCCAAAGGGTTGGGGAGGAGATGGTATCTTGTATTAGACTGCACTTACTGCGCCCACCACCCCAGTAAGCCCCACCGTAGCCATCTCGGTCTCGCCGTGGCCCACGGGCGTGTTCGACGATCACCCGCTCCCCGCACAGCTCCTTCCCGTTGAGCTCGTAGACGGCATCATCCGCATCCCGATTATCCTCGAACTCCACGAATCCATAGCTGGGGATAAGAGAGGGTGTTGTCATACCAAACAACGAATGACAAATGGAAGGAAAACCCCAATCTAATAACTCGACCCTGTATGTTCTCATTAGGACGAACCAGCTAGCCCTCTTTAGCCTGGCCTGCTAACTGTAGTCCGTCGCAAACACAAAGACGCCATGTTTGCCATGTGAAGTTAGCTGCACGCGCACAACGAAAAGTTGTAAATGATACCAAATAGCAAAAGAAACGATAGTTATACATTGCACAGCTGCGTGGACCACTTTTAAGTAACACAGCAGTGAATAAAAAATATTTTGCCTACATTTTCAAACACTCATGTGTCAAGGCTAACACTGCTAACATCAGTAACAGTAACCAGTGACGAATCGCGTTTCAACCAAAATTAAGACTTACCCGTTTTTTAAATCTATCTCCATGAGTTTTCCATAACCACCGAAAAATCGCTGAATGTCTTTTTCACGGACATGATAGCTCAGTCGTCCTATATACACACGCGGCATGTTAGAAATTCCGACTGGTTCCCACAGTGTCTCCTCTGACTTGGGAGCTTCGGGCTAGAGTTCAGCAGCACTGCGGCTGTTCTTCCTCTCAACCGTGAGCGGCACCGCAAAGCCAATCACCGCGAGGCTAATGGAAAGACACTTCCGGAACCTTATGGTATTTTTAAAGCCGCTTTAAAAATAGACACGCTTTTAAGTTCGCAAATCATGACGCATATTCAAAAGAGAGGCTATCTTAAAAGTTTGGAATGGCCTGAAAAAGACGACCACGGGAAATCATCAATCCTCATGTGCCTAAAATCACGTCAGGTCCAAAGATGACAAGAGCTCGTTTTCATTGAGCAGCGGATTCAACACGATACCTCTTAACAGTGTTTCACAAATTCAATCAAACTTACATAAAGGTATGGCTGTTAAAGGCCACTGAGGGCAAAGTTTCCTGAGTAAGGTGCAGAATAATACTCATAATCATGGCTACATTATTTTTACTAAAAATCACAGTATTACAATAGTATAAATCCATAGTTGCAAACAAAGGAGTTTTAAAACTACTTACGAAACAACCGTTATCAGTACTTCAATTTAAAGTTCCTTCGTTGCTTAGAGACACATCATTACGGAAAATTAAGATTTAGGTCAATTTGTTTTCAAGGCTGTTGAATCGAAGTGACCATTAAATAAAACAAGACTATCCTTTGTAAAAACTTGTTTAATTTTCATAGAAAGACTTTTTAAAGCTGAATAGAGACGTAATTTATTTTCTAGTGTGACTAGAAACGGGGCGTCAGCAGTCGTAGAATACAACAGCATTTGTGATAAACAAACAAAAAAAGGTTATTGATAAGACAAAGCAGAGATGGACAGAGAGAGAATATTTTATTTTTGTAAAAACCAGTTTTAAAATGATTAAGGGCAGACCTTATCCACATTCTTTGCGACAAGGCTAAAACCCACATCATGTTTGCAGTTTTATTTGACTGGAGTCTGCCTGTTACATAAGTGATGTATATCATTTTTTTTAAATCTGGCCTTAAAATACGTTTTTTTCAGCCCAGGATCTGCTTTAGAGAGGATCTGCATATGCTTCAGAAATCAGCTCTTTATAGCTCTATTTTTTTCCCTCCTTCTCATTAAATCTCCCAAGTTTTGCAGTGTGTTTGCCTCAATTTCTTAAGTTTAAGTTATAATAATGGAGTTCATAACCTTTTATCAATGCCATAACAGCTCTTTAATACAGTTTTTCTCCCACAATCACACTCCTCTGACTGAGACGTTTTCCCTCTTGGCAAACTGTAGTTTCTAGCTACTGTTGACATCTGCTATAAAACTATCAATAGGTCTGTCTTGGTGCCTGTCCGGGACAAATTTTGACAGGCACCTTGTGATTTAGTCAGACTGAAATGGCCTTAAGAGCCAAACAAATGCAGATACCAAAGCAACTTAGCTAGATTATTGGGGATTCACTCAGCTTCCAATTTAATTTCAAGCTTGGAAAGGCAACATATTTGTGAAGCATTTTTGCAAGATTGTTGAAACCCTCTGTAAACCACAAACACTTTGTAAAATGTTACAGTCAATGCGCCAAAACATGAGCAGTCTGTCACAAGGTAAAGCAAGTTTGTAATAAAGAGATGGCAGGTAAAGGACTGCACAGGGTTGGCAATGACCGTTGTCCTGCACTTGTCTCCCAACCTTTCTGTTATGGATTACACAAGAAGTGCATGTTTTTTAACCAGGGAGAGTGGCTTTGGCATTGCTGCTGCTGCCCAGTATCACAAACTAGCTTGCTCTTGCTGGTCTTCTTCAAGTTGTCTATCCCAACTGTGACTACAACTTGTAGATGTGTAACTTATCTGAGGAAACACTCATGTCTAAAAAGTATGTAAGGGAAGAAAAAATGAAGGATAAAGGCCATGTTGAGTCAGGCTTTTCTTTCAGTGATCAGAAACTAAAGAAATGGAAAAAAGGCGTAGGAGGTTGAGGGTCCATTCGCCAGACAGTTACTAAAATGCATCCAACAATGTATGTTGTACACATGACCATAACAATTCCTGAACCCCATTTCATCTTTTGATACTCTCTCAAACTGTGTCTGGTCGGGCCATGACACAAATAAACAGCGGGCAAACCCTCCTACAGTTCAATTCAGAGTCTTATGAAGAATCAAGGGGCTTCAATCCCAGGCCTCTGCATTTCTGGGAGAAAAAGGGAAAGGCAGAGAAGAGGGGAAGGAGCCCGGTCTTTAGTTGGCTTTGGCCCGGAGCTGTGCCCTCTTGCCTGTCACTGCCTGGAAGCCAGTCTTGATGCTGGCAACAGAGCAGCGGGAGTGGCAAGTCTCACACTGCAGGAAATAGAGGCGAGTGTCCTTCTGTAGGATGGTCTCTGGAGAACGGCAGGTGTGGCATGTCACATACTCCTCTACAAGGACGAGAACACTGCTATTAGCACAACAGTACACAGTGTTACAATTTCATTCAACTTTTGTTCAAAGAAATACACATCTGAAAGTAAGTTCAGTGCAAGCACAGATCTAGACAGGAGGGAAACAACATTAAGAAGTACCAAGTCCAAACAGACCCAAGTGCTGACACGCAGAGCTAGAGGCTAAGTGCAGAGCGAAAAAAATGCTGGGTCTTTATTTAAATATTTCTACTTTTTTAGGGAATATTTTTAGCACCAACTCTATTTAAATGCTTTTGAGCTGTACTTTCTGCTTTGAGTTTTAACAGATGGGCTTGTGTTAGTTTGGTGAACCACACCGAATAACACGATGATTTGTGGCCCTACTACTGCTATTGCTGACAATCAAGTTTTTAATTAAACAAAAAAAATAAATGAATAAATAAATAACTGAACAGCAAGTTTTGAAGTGCTGTAATGTACAACAACAACAATTTATTGAAAAGGACCTACTAATCTTGTTTTGCATGAAGCACACTAAATAAATCCTTTCCATACACATAAACTGAACTTTTAAATGGTGAAATTGACTGCTGTCAGCGACATTAATCCCTCGACAGGGTGTCTAAACTTGGTGTTATGGTGTGTTTGACCTTAAATTAATTTTACGCTGGAATATCCCTTTAACAATGAAGAACTTGTAAGATTCAATAAGGCCACAGGGAAAACACACCAAGGCACTTCAGTTATACTGTGGATATTTTATTGCTTTTCCAGACTATTTTCAATTCACGACTAGTCCTACAGCTTTAAGAGTTGTGGAACAAACAACATATCAATACGAGCAGTTTGATCAGGATCAGTGTGGTATTACTTTTCTCTGTTGTATATGAAACTGCAGAAAAATTTGGCATTTAAGTCATTGGGATAAGCCAAAAAAAACAGAGCAATTTGAGAGTTTTTCAAATGTCTATTACTCCGTTTTATTTTTGTTGTATAAATAAATACTTAAAAAAAAAGGTTGTTGTAGGTACGCTCCTTGTATATAATATCAAACAGCTACTAGTATTCATTATTTGAAATCTTTGAAGAATCTTATTAGGTTTACACTCCAGCATCATTTCCACTGTGGTTTCGAAAACTAGGATACGTTTCTAAAAGTTTAAAAGCTTTTCTTGCAAGCTGCCTCATAAAAACATAAGAGGTAAATAAAGTTCTTCTTATCGTAATACCATTTTAAAAGTGCTTGAAACTTTTTTTTTTTTTATCCTCTTCTCCACTTTGCGAATATGTACAAAATATGCTAAACAAGCAATGGTGTAAAATAAAATTATATAACCCAGCCCAGACAGTGTACATTTGACAAAATATTTGGAAATGTCTCAGTATAAGTCAGCGGCAATTTGAAACGTATCAAAAGTCAAAATAATAAGACCTTTTAAGACATTTCATGCCATGAATTTTCATTTAGGACTTTTTTTTTTTTTTAATAAATATGCAGGATTCTTGTCCTTAGCATAGGTAGATTCATGGTCAAAGCTATAAACTGACTGCCTGTGGTGTTTTGTAGGACAGCCATACTGCAGGGGTTATTGCATTCATTTGAAGTCAATATTTATGTATTTCACTAAGAATAAAGGCTTGCAACTTACTGATATATCTTCTCAACACATTCTCTATCTGTTTCTGCTGGAACCTGCCTTTGATCACAAGCTGGTTATTGCCGTCTATGGACCCACTGTAGGAAAAAGACAAAAAAAAAAAAAAAAACATTCTTACTAACAGCACACAATGAAATATTACCTCTTTGTGAAACCATGATTCCAGCTGACAAAAATTCAACAACATTCATATAAGGACTGCAGGATTGAGACTTAAAACATGTGTTCCTTTGTTTCTCTTGGCATACCATACTTAGGCTGTAGCAGTGTCTTCCTGCTGCCAGCTGCTGGTTTTGAAGGGCATACTTCACTTTAGAAAACTCACAGACAAATCAGATGCACTTTGTGTTATAAAGAATCCCAATCCCAATACAACCCCTACACACTTGCCCTCCAATTTGCGCATTCCCGCAGAGGCTCTGCCATCCCAAAACACAAAGTGCAATTGCAAAAGTGCATTGCAGCAATTCCTGCTGCAATGTAGTGTGGTTAAGGGGATATTTCGTTAAATTAAATCAGGGTCAAACACACCATAACACCAAGTTAGACACCCCCTTGAGAGATGAATGTTGCCGACCACTTGCTTCTCTAGTTATACCAACTTTAGAAACGACCGCAGATAGCAATACAGAGAGCCACACGCTCATCCAAAAAGCCACTCTCCAGGTGAGTCCATCTAATGCAGTGGGGATGTGTAACTCAAGGAAGAACAGTTACGATCATTACATTAGCATTTCCTTGAAGTAATAATCATCATAATAATCAATTTGCACGGCAGATGTGGTAGTTCTTCTGCCTTAGTGTCTCGGTCTAAATGAATTTCCACAAAGGAATGATCATTGATGTTCTTCCTTGAGCTGCGCAACCCCGCTGCAGTCGATGGACCTGCCCAGAGGTCTCGGTACAAACAAGTAGCTGCTGGAAGAGAGTGGGTTAGTAGTGTTTGCTCAAGAAATCAGGCAAAGCTAAAACAATGTTTGGTGGCTAGTGCTATGGCTGGGATCCTATATGTACTGTTGATGAAGTTAGGTGCTGTTCTGAGCATTATTTGTGGCTAAAGAGTGGCTTTTGGTTGAGCACATGGCACACTGTATTGCTATCTGTGGTCGTTACCAAAGGCGGTATAACTAGAGAAGCCAGCTGTCGAGAACATTCATCTCTCAACGGGGTATCTAACTTGGTGTTACAGTTTGTTTGAACCGAACTTAATCTTACGCTGGAATATCCCTTTAAGCATTGAAAGTCAGCAGTTGATTTATCTTTTCATTAATTTTATTGCAAATAATATATGATCCTACCTTGTTCCTAGCTCGGCCAACAGGAAAGCAAGCAGATGTTTAGGCTGACGATGCAACCTGTGATGTTATACGCAAAAGATCAGTTAGTAATTTCTTAAATCCTGAATAACAATGCAGAATGTATGAACAAGTGACATGATTTATGGTGTACCAATCCAGTTTCTGTAATTAGTTCTAGTAATATTTTCCCTTGTGTTTCAACTGGCATCCTGCCATATACAAGACAACAGTACACATGCAGTGGAGCAATTTCAGATCCCACTGGCTGTCAGGCAATAGCAAATTTCTTTCACTTGTCTATACCCTTTAATTTAGACCCCTTCTAAATCATCCTTTTACTAATTTTTATCTTTTATTTCTTTATTGAGATCCTCTATTCCCTTATCTAGATCCCCATAAGCTGTCAGCAGCTACTCTTTCTGGGGATCACATTTCAAAAAGTTATTTGGTTGCAAGCTTAGTTAAACAACTCAGAGACAGCCTTTAAATCCCAACTCAAATCTTACTCCTTAAATTACTAGTCTGACTTTAAATAATGACCAGTGCGAAGTGGCAAGCACTTCTAAAAGGTTTTATCATTGTCAAAAAAAAAAGTGAGTTGGTTTATGTTGGTGAATGTTGACCCATTAAGTAAACCAGAATTGATTGTAACAGTGGATATAAGGTGAAGAGGCTCACAGTTTGCAGATGTCAGTGAAGTTGACAAATGAAGTTTTCTTGGTCCCTACTCGGACCACCTGAGGAGGCTTCATCACAAACTTTCTCTTCTCTCCAGCCACCATGTCAGGGTTTTTCTCTCTCATAATGTTGAAGACCCGATTCAGGAGCTGAGACAAAGATAGTGCTTAAAGTTACTGAAACTGCAGTTGACATTGCTAAAAGTTACATCATGATGAAATCTTCAAACACTTTTTTACTTTTAAGAGACATTGTGATGCATTGAAATGCGTGAAATGGAGTTGGTGGGTCAGTGCTTTCATTTAAGCACCATTTGTTAAGTCTGTCAGAATATGCGAATTCCAGAAATTTCAATATAATATGATGAATCTGAGGCAACTTTAGAGTGACAGAGAACTGTTTTGTACAATATCTCATCTGAATAGTTCACATATTTATGGTAATATGTAAATGACAATGATCCATACAGTTTCTATTTTGTTCATGTTCACATCTTAATAGTTTATAATGACACCAGCTGCTGAAGTCTGATGAAAAATGAGCTTGTTTCTGTTCCAATTATATTAAGTATAAATATTACTATGACTGACAATTGAGGGTTTTATTTTCTTTCTTGCCAGTCTTCAAGATAATTTTCTCCACCATTTAAGGATGAAGACATTTTCTCTTCTGTTAAAGTATTTTCAAAACTAAATGTCCCTGAGTGTACTAAAGCCCCCCTTCCTCAGACAGAGGGGGGTAGTCTGTTCATGATTAGAGCTTGATCATCTGTGGGTGTGTCTTTGTTGAGATGGCTATCCTACCTCATCGTAAGTATAGTCTCTTTTTGAGCCAGCCCAAGCTGGCCCTGTGGAAGAGCTGAAAGAGATTCCATCATTGTTTTTCCCCTCGTCATCCTCAAGAGCTGAAAAGACACCATGAAATCTGGTTGGTTCACACATTTAATCGTCTTACATTATATCCTGATGGTTCGTTATTGCTGAAATTGTGGTAATCATCCTGGGATTAAAGCAGTATTTTTCAGGTTTTAGGTTCCTTGTTCTTACCTTCATCCTTCTCCAGAGTCTCTCCCTCATCAAAGTCTACTTTCTTTGACTTCTTTTTCTTAGTGGGAAGCATCAGGTCTAGGCTGTCTTCTTCCAGCATATCTGTCTGCTCTCCTTCAATTTTCAACTCCTGATTTGAACCAGTGATAATTAAATTCAGCTAAGAGATGAATAATGAACATATCAACGTGGTCAAAGCAATAAAAGGCAGAGTATTGTATAAGGGCTGATAGAGAATGACCCACAAGCGCTGAAATAAAGAGGAGACTGACAAAGACTGACATAGTCTGTTGTTGACAAAAGATAAACTGGTTGTGGGTTCTGGTAAAACTGACCTTCAATCCTTCCTCAACATCATTTTCAAATACTTTCTTGGGTTTTTTCTTCTTTTTCTTCTGGTTGAAGAAATTCAAATCGTTCAAATCATCAGATGGCTCTGGAGGTGATAAAACAAACACCGATTCATTCAAATTTGGTACACACTGGGAGTTATATGTACAATGTCACATCCCTGGAGTGATTTAACACTATCAATAAAGCCCCCAGTCAGTGTATCTCCATTTCCTTCCAAACCTTTCTTCCTGCCTTCATCTTCATCCAGATCAAGTTCCTTGTCTTCTCCTGCCTCTGGTTCAGCCTCCTTCATCTCCACCTCTTTTGTCTCTTCTCCTCCCATTCCTTCTCCCCCATCCTCATCCAGCATGAAAGGCTTCTTCTTCTTTTTCTTTTTTTTAGTCATGTTGGGATCAAAAATCATCTGATGATGACAAAAAAAGAAATGTCAGTTTTTGTTTGATGATCCACCAATATAGTTTTTTAGGGCTGATAACGATTTTTAGTAATCAGGGAAACCAATAACCCATATTTAGAACCGATATTTATTTGCAGTAAACATATATATTTGGACCTTATTTTGAAACACGTGCTTTTATTTTGAAATGAGAATAGAACCGGGAGTAGCACATGCTAGCTCTGTACCTTTACAGAGACCGAGGAGCACCTCCAGGGGTGTTGTTACCTGCTAGTTTGTTTTATTTCTCCATGCTTCGCAGTGTGTGTTATAACTTTATGAGAAGTGTAAGTTGAAGAATCTTATTTTTCATTACTGTAGGGTACTTTTTCCTTTTAAATGTCTTTGGAGACAGTGGATGTTGACAATATGCTTAACAGTGGCCAGTTAAGGAATGAATTCCATCATACAGAATTTTGAAAATTACCCGTTAGCTGTGTACTTTTTTTAAGCATACAACTACACACTATACTTCTTTGATTTAATACAGGGCACCTGTGGCTTGGTGGCAGAGTCAGTCTCTATTTCTGAAGGTTGGGGGCATGACACTTATGCCAAGACTGCTCGCTGGAAGCTGTGCTAGTGCTGTGTGAATAGGATCACTTAAAATGAGAGTCCCTTTACATGGCAGCCTCTGCCATCAGTGTATGAATGCAGCGTGAATGGGTTAATTTGGCATGTCATTTAAAAGGACTTTGAGTGATCATCCAATCAGAGAAAGCGCAGAATATATAGTACATCCACCATTAACAGTTGATGTTTAGTACACGATTTTATTGTGCTTATGAACAAAGATCGAGTTGTTGCTCAACAATATAACCCATCCAAAAACAGTTTTTTTGCGGGACAAGGCCACTAACTGTGTTCAAAACCGATGAATACTGTTGAAATAACAGGTTGGTAAAATCGCCTCAATTACCACATTTGATATGCATAGGAGATGGTTGGTTCTTCAACCACCGTCTGACTTGAGATACTTAAGCTATCTCTAGTTACCGTGGAAGCTGAATAATAAACTGTATAAAGACCAAAAATCACACCAGCTGCTACAACGGACAAAGAAGAACCGGAAATAGTTTGTGCGGGGGGCCTGTTCAACCCCAACCATCATTTAGGTTTCAAATGTAACATCGTGGGTTGAAATGAAAAATGCACTAAGCTTAGTCGTCCAGATAATGGTCGCCAGTAGATAATGTCATGAGTCTGATGACTGTTGACTCCAAACAAAGCTGCAGTGATTTACATCTTTTTGTTTCTATTGTCGACCATCGGCCGTTAGCGCCGTAGTTCGGATAGCTTGCACGTCTGTACTTTATATCTGTCATTCTTCCTATCCACTTTCGCATTTTTAACGAGGACGGATTGATCTGTCGTGGAGATTACTTATCGGCAGCATGTGACAGCTCGAGTCCTAGCGGTGAAGTGAATGTGTTTTCTTGTCGTTTTGGCTGCTCGGCCCGTTATTAGCTCGACTGCAGCCATGTGAGAGCAGCGCCGAGGCCCGACGTCCTCAACAACGACATAAACTCATATTTCTCGTCAATATTTCAAGAAAAAAATTGAGCACATGCAAAGTACGAATTGTCTGAGATTACTTACTTCGTCTCCTGACATGTTTGCGTGCTGTTAAGTTGATGACACAGGTTATTTGTCTTTTCTTCCTCACTCAGCCCCTCACTCCGTCTCTCCTCCAAAAATTTCTTGCATCAGCGATAAATCCTAAGTGCGCAAGCGTGAAGTCGCTAATTCCTAACGTCATCACTTTGCGACCGGAAATGTTGCAACCCTTTTTTTCTTTATTTATAAGACTACGTTGACAAGCACGTGTTCGTCGCACCTTTAAGTTGGTTTGCCCATTGCCAACCGCCAATAAACACCATTGAAAAAGAAGAAGAAGAAGGAGCACGTGTTCGTCAAACACATTATGCGTCTCCAAACGCGGTATAACCATAAACTGTATATAAGATATATACAGTCTATGGGTATAACAGTGAAATACAGGGCTCTCAAGTTTTGAACTAAGCATAGAGTGAGATTTTTTTTCCTTGGGGGGGGGGGGGGGGGTGATTGAAAATAATGTATAATAATCTAATAAATACAATGGGGTATGAGGGCCACATAAAAAACAGGGCTCTCAAGTCTCACGCATTCCCACACGCCCACACGCCACACATTGTATTTCTCACGCATTTAATTCAACATGGTGATGTCCACCAAGTTGCACCTCTTTAACTATGGAACAGGTAGGAATCAACTGAGTTCCTCCGAGAGTTCAGAAACTGCGTGCCACGCGCAAGCCAATCAAATAAAGTATATCTACTGAACAGCCAATAAAAAAGCAGCATTGCTGTATCCGGGTAGATTTTGATATCTTACGGTTTGACTACAGAAGAAGACAGACAGTCGCCGTAATAGAGCAGGTTTTTATAACGAGATAGACCCGATGATTACAGTAAGTCAGTAACCTACACATGCAGAGACCTCAACACCTCATGGCATATAAACTCATATGATAAACTAAAGCCCTATGCTATTGCTATTAACAGCTGTATTGACGGATTTAGCCTCTGTACAGCCATTTCCAGCCATTTTCCCCTCCACAAAAGCAGCATTTCTCATATATCTCAAATATAAGTTCTGATACTCACGACAGTGTAATGCTCATGTACCAAAGGATTAAGTATCTCCATGTTTGTGAAACCTATACTAAAGTACAATTCATCTAAATGCTCCACAGTGCTGATTTTAACAACTCTCCTTCACAACAGGTAACTTTACGACTTAATACTGATATTAATGACTTTATTCTCCCAAATAATAACTTTATTATTTAAGATTTAAAAACGTTTTTTTTTTCTAATTGTGCCCCTTATACTCCGTTGTATCTAAGAGATAATTATACTAATAGTTATCTTCAATCACGAAAAATAACCTCCACTTTACTTCGAGAGATATTTATATTCCATTGAGATTAAAGTAAATTAAAGATAATATTAAATTTTTAGATATAACCTACCAGTGTAAGGGTTTTTCTAAAGTAAACAGCATTTTAAATCTCCATGGTAACCTGTAACGATGTAAAAACTTTAAATCATTACAAGCAAAAGAGAGCGGTCATTTCTGAAGATCAAATCTGAAGAGAACAGCACGAAAAACTTTAGCGGCTCACGAACTTACAACGTTTGACGGCTTCATCGTAAATAAAACCTCACCAGACGACTAAGGACTCGGACTAACACCTCTTTTTTTTTTTTTTTTTTTTTTTAATATTTTATATAACATACAAACAAAATAAAACAAAACAAAAACACAATAATAGTGATGGTGGGTACATATACAGACAAGACAGAAACAAAAACAGTTAACAGTATCTTTAAGTAGTGTGTGTTTGCATGTGAATGTGTGCACGTGTGTGTATGAAGCTTTTGTTTCATTTTCCCTTCGGTCGTCCCGCCCCCCCCCCCCCCCCCCCGGATTTTATGGATGCTGTGGTTTGGGGGGTCCGGCGATCGTTGAAAGTCAGTTTATTAATAAATGTAGACCAGGTTTTATTAAAGCAAGGTGTGTTATGATTAAGTGATGCTGACATTTTTTCTATTGAGATTTGATCTACGAGTAAGTTCTTCCAGTGGGTGATGTTTAATCGATCTCTTGCTTTCCAGTTTAGAAGGATGGTTTTCTTGGCGACAGCTAGAGCTGTGTACAATGTAGTTTTAGTGTGTTTATTAAGTTGTAAAACTGACATGTCACCTAGAAGGCAAAGTTTGGGGGACAGAGGGATGTGGGAACCTAGTATGTATGATAGATGCTCTGTGACCTGGCCCCAAAATTGCTGAACCAATGTGCAGTGCCAGAAAGCATGAAAATAATTGTCTATGGTGTTCTGTGTACATTGAGTGCATTTATTTGATGTGATGAAACCCATTTTGTTTAACCTCTCACCCGTGTAATGTGTCCTGTGATTAACCTTAAATTGAATTAGTTGTAAATTTGGGATTTTACAGTAGTTGAAGTTATTTTTGCAAATTTGTGGCCAGAAGTCTGCATCAGGAGTGATGGAGAGGTCCTGTTCCCATTTTGAGGCTGGGAGTGAGATGGAGGTGTCAGAATTATTTAGAAATATGTATATTTTGGACAAAAGTTTATTACAACCAGAGATTTTCAAAAAGTCGTCTATAATGGTGGACTGGTCCTGGGTGTTGAAAGTATGTGTAAGTTTTGAGTGCATGGTGGACTTAAGCTGTAAATAGTGGAGATATTGATTATCACCAATGCCAAATATATTAATTAATTGTTGAAAATTGATGACTTTTGATTCCTTAATGATGTGGTGAAGATGTGTTATCCCTTTATCTTTCCATGAACTGAAATTCAGTGGTTTCCTATTTATTGTGAAATCTGGGTTGTTCCAGATCGGTGAACGAGTGGATGGTGCAACCGTGGACCCTTTGATGTGAATGGTTTTCCACCAAGCTGTCAGGGCTGAGGCTATGGAAATATTTTGGAAGCATTTATTATGTTTAATCGTCTGACTGATAAATGGCAAATCTGAGAGATTTATATCATTACATAGTGCTTGTTCAGTTTCTAGCCAGTGTGCGTCAAGGTCTGAAGGTGTGATCCATTGTTTTAGATATTTTAACTGACTTGAAAGGTGATATAGTTCGAAGTTTGGTGCTTCCAGTCCTCCTAGAGATTTGGGTTTTTGTAGAGTTGATAATTTGATACGGGGTGTTTTGTTTTTCCAATAGAACTGGGAGATTGATGTGTTAAGAGAACTGAGCCAGGGTGGGTTTGGAAGGGAGGGAATCATCGTGAATAAGTAATTAATCTGGGGGAGGACTGACATTTTTGTTATTGAGCTTCTTTCCAAAAGTGAGATGGGTAGGTTTGTCCAGCGTTTGAGGTTGTTTTGTATTATTTTAAGTAATGGTGTGAAGTTTAAATTGAACAGCTCTGACAGCTTGGAGGATATATGAATTCCTAAGTATCTGATGTTTCCTACAGGGAGGTGAAATTGTGAGGTGAGGGCTGCCACATCCCTCTGGTCCATACATAAGGGTAAAACAGTGGATTTTGTCAAGTTGATCGAGTAGTTGGAGAGAGATTAACACCTCTAACCAACACCTGAACAGAAAGGACAACATCTACAACACGGAGACCGTAAGATTTCATGACAATATTAGCATACAAACTTGTGTTACTGTCGAGACTTTCGTGATGGTTAAGCGATGCATCGACAAGGATTAAATGTGTGCATGGATATTTACAGTGTTTATGACTTTAATGTGACAGGCATTATCAAAACTAGAAAAATTGCATTTCCTTGCAGAAAATGCGTGGAAATGCTGAGTGCTGAAAGCTGAAAAAGCAATGCTAAACTGCTAAAAAAAAAATGGAGGAAGATTTAAATGTAAACTTGGTTAAAGAGCTGGAGAGAGAAAAGTAGAAGTTAGATGAAAGTGAAAATTGCTGAAGTACAAATAGTATGAATGTGCTTCATAAATTAAAATTGCATTCATTCTAAATAAGGCAAGAAAAACTGTTTGAAATTGCAAAAAAAATTGTATAAGGAAGAAAAATACCTTAAAACACAGAAAAGTAAGAAGCGGCATAAGTTTAAGTTGAAGTACTAGAAGAAGTATGATAATAGGTAGTTGTACTAGTGATATTAGTAGTCATGTAAGCAGTAGAAGTAGTTTTAGAATAGAAGAAATACTGTATATGTATATTTATATATATAGTGTACTCTCAGTGTACTCTAGAATTAATGCATAGAAAAATAAACGATTGTATTTCAAAAAGAAATCATAGAATCAATATAGAAACAAAAATGTATTCTTAACTTTGGCCGCATCTTTGGAATTAGTAGCGCCAACATTCAAGGCCTGTTCAACCTTCACTGCTGCAGAACTGCTTTAAGTTGTTAACCCATTCCTTGTTCCCTGAAAAAGGCCTTTTGTTATAATTCTGAAATGTCCATTATTTTGGTTAACGTTACCTTTTTTTTATTTACCTCTGGCAGTTCACCACTTACCTTTGTACCCTTTCAAGCTATTTATTGGACAGAAACCTGGAAAAAGTGGGGTCTTCTTAAACTTTTGACCAGTCGTGTGTCTGTGTGTACATATATATATATATATATATATATATATATATATATATATATATATGTATGATTTATTAATAAATATGTTTCAATAATTTGCAAAACACCAAAATATGTTTTTATTAACATTTCACACACATAGCGTCCCATCTTTTTTTTTTTTCATATTAAGGATGTAGTTTCAGCTAGAAGCTTGAGTTGGAGGACATTCAAATTCACTATTATATTGCAGCAATGTAACATCATTTAGTTTGTGTTACATGATGTAAAGATACTGATACCACAAAATGACAAGAGTTTTATTTTTTAATGACTTTGCAAATAATATTGTTGTTAGGATAAATAAAACAGAAATGTGAACATGCTTGTCCACACATCCTTGTGCAATGTCTTTTTTGCTATATAGAAAAGGTACATCATGCCTCTGAAAAATTAAAGGACTTAACTCCTGAAACTTAAATGCTGATATGGTTTTCTTATTTTTCTTTCAGCCACCAGCTCCTTCATAATGTTTTTAATAAGTAGTGACAAAGTGTACTTTTTCAAATATGATACAATTTGGGGGAAAAAAGACTTTGTAATAGACTGAAACAGGCAGAGTAGGATGGGAGTGTTTAATATTTCTCTTACTCATTGGATACTGTGATCTGGGCTGTGAATCCCCACTGCTGCATGCTTCACACAACCTTAACCTCACAACCTCTTACTGGCGATAAAAACAGTATACAAAGACAAAAAGGAAACATTGGAAATATTTACACCAAATGACAGGGATGTGGAGAGGATTGGCATTAAGGGAGGAATGAGCTGCTGATACATCGACATCCGGTGAAGAGAAGGGGATGAAAGGACAAAGCACACAGCCAGAAGAATAAGGTTTAGACTCTGGCATAGCTTTTAGCTTATTCATGTAGCTCATGCTCAGTTCCCTCTTTTCAAGAGCAGTTCACAAAAAAGAGGGCACAAAAAATGGTTGTTTCTGTTAAAAAGAAAAACAAAACATCCAGTGAATTCAACCCAACATATACAGGCAGATAAGTGAATCAGAAACAGATCTCTTAAGATTATGTAAAAATCTGACAGATTTTTGTTACCAATGTCACAAAGCCTGTAATACCCAGCTGAAAACAACATCTGTATGGCACCATACAGCTTAAACATCTGCGTCAATGCAAACTCTGTGGTTGTTGCATTAGCTCTGCCCAGAACAAGGACCATGGAGTGTTAGTGTAAAGGCAAAATCAAGGGTAGATGTATCAGGTGAATCTGACAAGATGCAGTGATAGAACTTTATTGTAAATGCCCCTGATCAGCTTGTTTGCTGAGCACCCAGGAGGCTGTCCTCTTGTGAAGGGGTTGGGTTAAGAAAGACTACAGCATAATGCTTTTTCATAGTGTTACATAAAGTTAAAGTCAATTCTCCTTAAACACACCAAAACACTCATAAACAGCTCCCACTCAGTCCATTCTCTCCTCAGGTTGCTTCTTCTTCCTCCTTCTCTGATGCAGGTCAGAATAGGAAAATGCTGCATTTACATGGCTTCCATAGCCCAGCGCTGCAGGTCCTCCATGTCGTCTTCGTCTTCCTCTTTCTTGGCTTTATGGGATAAACAGACAAGAGTATAAATTTAGGAAAAAATCTGAATATATGTGCACTTCAATCTCTTGCTGACCTCTGTTTATTTACGGACATCCCTGTCATATAATATGATGACATCCTTTTTAAAATATTCTCTAAAAAGTAAAAGCATGGCATCATTTTTGTGTATATGGAAATTCTGTTTCACTGATGTCTAAAGTACTGAACGGTATATGAAGATTTCTTCCTTTCTCTACTCTGCTTTGTGTGAGCATCCTGCTTATGAGGTAGAAGACAGTGATAGGAGAGAGGAAGAATGGTGCCACAGAGCTGTTTGGCAAGACTTTTTGTCATTCTTGATTATCAATTCCAGTAGCTGTATTGGTGACCAATACTCAGATAAAGTCTACGAGCAGTTATTTTGTTATTTCCCAGAAATTTCTCATCTCTTTGGAATCTTATGTGTTTTGGTGAGGGACAAGTCTTTGAATCTCATCAACAAATTGTAGCATTTCAATAACCTTTGCAGGTTTTAGGCTCCAAGGGTTTTTGTTTTTCTTTGCAAGTCCTTTTATCTATATATATTTTTTTTATTGAAAGTCCATTATCCTATCAGTTTTAATAAGTCATAAGAGCCAAAGGGTTTGATGTTAACTTGTCTACAACCAGAAAATAAGAGAGGATTAAAGGTGGGGTAGGCAGGGATACGTTAAAGAAGCATCTTTTTTGTGGTGTATATACAAAAAAGCTTTAATTTTCAGTCAATAGCGATTAGTTATTGATGACATTTAGGAATATCACGATATCGTGGTGTTCTTTTATGTCTGTGTAATCAACAATTTAAAAATTTTGAGTGTCCCACACATTTTGACTGTAACTAAAGCCGTTCTCCACCTCCCCAACCTGATTGGTTGAGATGCAGACGCTGCTCCTTAGTGCTGATTGGTTGTGAGGCAGACGTTGCTTCCTAGTGAGGCACGCTCTATGTGCTAGAATAATGTTCACGAGCCCAAACAAAGTTAGCGTGCTACAATATCGGACAGTAGAAACCAATCAGAAAATTGCCACAACTGCCAACACAAGCAAGAAAACGAAGTAAATACCGGAGACTCTGGCGGAATTACGGGTGCTTAAAAAGGAGGTAGACCAGACAAGAGTTAAAAAGCTGGGTCAACATCAATGAAGCATAAACGTTTGGGGATGTTTCAGGATCTTACGGACCCTGTAACCTTAACAAAGTAAGTAAAAACATTGTGTTTGCTGGTTGCCTGTTGGCATCTGCAGTAGCACCGATGAAAAAATGCAGTTCAACCTCCTGCAGGGTCCACTGGTTTCCTGGCAACTACAGACAAGAAAGGGCCCGCATATGTTTATATGCCCCTCCAAATTTTGACCAGATACTTCAAACGAAAAAGCTACACCAAAAAGGACAGACAAAGTCATAGAGTTCCTGATTAAATTTTTCAAGAGGCACTCACCAGGTCTGGCAGGTAATGAAGTCGAAGGCACATTGGGAAGGGGAACATTCTCTGGTCCCCCGATTTCCAGCAGGTTTTTATCCAGCTCCTCCTGTTCCAGCTCATCCAACTCTGCTAGCAGCTCATCCTGGACAAGTCAGCAAATGCCAACATAAGGATAAACATGAACTAGTTAATCTGTGCCAGAACCACAACACAACATTGATCCTACTGAAAGGACATGTGCTACAAACTTTAAAAACTATTATTTCACTGTACATCTAAGTTACTGTAACTTCAGGGTGTATAAATAATGCTGACATACAGTGTAGAGCACCTTGCTGGAAAGCTGGAAAACTAGAAGTATAAGTTCATTTCATTTAATCTGGTTTAAGTGTTTAAAATTGTTTACGGAGAGTTGGCATTGGTTCAAAGGGAATTTTAAAAAAAGCTATTTCATCCTCTTTCATTGATTTGTCTGTAAACTCATGTAGAATTTTCTCTGTAAGGACAGTTAACAAACTGTGTAAATCCAGTCCTGTGAGAGGAGAGGGTGACATGGTTGAAGTCTCCTGGTATTAAAAGTGCCTGAGAATGTTGAGTCTGTATCCTAGCAACAGTATCATGAAGAATACGTGTATACAGATATTGTTTTGAATGAACTCCCTTGGAACATAATATGGGTTAAGGGCCAACAGTTCAATACCTGGACAACATAACTGCTCCTTGACACTATCTCTGGTTGACAAATAAACCCAGACCTCCTCCTTTCTTCTTGTCACTAGCTTGAGCATCTCTGTCTGACCTTATGAGAGTGAAACCAGGTAGATCCACAGTGGAGTCTGAGTTGTTTTGATTCAACCAGGTTTCAGTAAAACACAGTAGACTGAAAGTGGTACCTTGACAGTGGTAACATATGTCTATAAATATTACCATTCATAAATAAGACAGCCCCAATGCCAGAATGCTAACTTAAATAGCTTGGAGGTTAGATGACTTTGTTCAGTGCCAAAATAACATACTAGGTCAGACATGTATGATCATTGGTTCATAATACATTACCATGAGCTAAACACACACACACACACACACACACACACACACAAAAATAAAAAAATACCAAGCTGGCCTACAACATAATTGAACTGAAATTGAGAAAAACAAGGCCACTGGTCATACCTTTTTTTGCTTTACAGATTTCCAAACATACCTTATTAACATGTAAATAAAATATTGCGAAAAGTTGCCAACCTCGTCGAACTCTTCTCCAAATCCAACAGGTTTTGAGATTGCATCAGAGATTTCCTGGGCTAGCTCCTGCTGCTCTGTGATGTCCTGCATCAGATCATCCACCTTGTCAATGTCCCTGAACATGCAGATTTACATGTAAGTCAAATAGAATGTTCTTGTACACTATATAGTATATACATGACTTTGTTCTTATTTCTTTTTTTTTTTTACCAAAACACAGAGGGAAGGGCATGCACAAGTTACCCCACTGTCCTCACATTTTCTCTTGTGTATTGATGACATGTAGTATTAACAATTCAGACAGATGTGCATCCTGTTTCTTTTACGTCTGTTGTAGATATTTAATGCAAAAAAACAACAGGTACTGGTGGGTTTGTCTGGGATGTATTGCTACAATAAATCATTTCTTTATGGAAATGCAATTAGACCAAGACGCAGTCTGCGTCTGCAGTGCAAAATGATTCATATGGTGATTATTACTGCGGGGAAATGATACAGTAATGATCATAAATGTTCTTCCTTGAGCTGTGTCACCCCACTGCAGTCAGTGATGGACTGGTCGAGGTCTTCCCTCAAACAAGCTGGAAGGGAGTGGGTGAGTTGTGTTTAGTCTCTTTGCTAACGAAATCAGGCACTGTTAAAAAGATGTTTGGTGGCTAGTGCTGTAGCTGAGACCCTATATGTACTGTTGATGAAGTTACGTGCTGTTCTGAGCATTATTTGTGGCTATAGAGTGGCTTTTGGTTGGGGTATGTTTATGGCTCCTTAGACCACTGTGTATTGCTACCATGCAGTCGTTACTAAAGTTGGTATAACTAGAGAAGCAAGCAGTCGGCAGCATTCATCTCTCGAGGGGGTGTCTAACTCGGTGTTACGATGTGTTTCACCCTAAATTAATTTGACGCTGGAATGTCCCTTTAACACAACTTATTCCTGACTTATATTATTCGGTTCCGGCTTTCTCTCAGAAAATTGCATGCAGGCGATTAAGATACTACAATCCTTTGATACAGTGTTTCTAAAGTCTTCACTTCAGTCTAATCAATTGATCAAAATGTAAAGAACATAATCAGAGAATGGGTGTCTTATTTACATGTTTTCATGGGCAGACTTCATAGCCTTGGCAGCGAAACCCATGTTCTTGAGCACTTCTGTGTTTGTGTTGGCATTCTCCAGAGCTTCTCTCTGAAATTCAATGGTCGACAGGGTGCCATCAATCTGGGCAAGCTGCTTCTCGTACCGCTTCTTTCTTTTTAAAGCTTGCAGAGCCGCTGACAAGACAGAGAAAAGCAAAAGATTTAGTACTGATTAATTATGGACAAAAATAAACAAGTGCATAAGAGTGCACTGTAATGAGATCAAGCTATTGGTCCTTCTGATATGTATCATCCTAAAAGGACTCTTTGAACTAGTGGTGCAGCATTTGTATTGGCAACAAGCACTGTAGCTTTTCCTCTTGTAAGGTACATTAACTTTCATTTAAGTGGAATCATGAATGATATACTAATCTACAGTGCTGTAAATAAGAAAGCGCAGCATAAAGCTTGTAACTGGTGCTTTGCTGATGAAAAGAAAAAAACTACACAGTCCAATTTAATCAACTGAAGTAGTCTCTTGACCACATTAACTGATTTACACCTGCTGCAGTAAAGCTACAAGAATGTGTTGTGTTAACTCATTCTGTCCACCAATTTGAAGTCACAGGAGGAATAAAACAGAATAAGAGACATATTTTAGTATGAAAGCCCAGTATAAGGACAGTATGCCCTATATATCTCCGGAATCTGACAGTTGATCACCCTGATTTTCTAAACCTTTATACACACCATACTTCATGGATTATTCTAAGTATGAGGTCAAAGAACAAGGATCTATGACTTATACAGAGATGATGTTATTCAACTTGTGTTGACATAAAATGTTCTGGACAGATTTTACCTCAACAGCTCCTGACCAAACTTGTGTGACATTTGGCTTGAATAACTATGATTCTAGAATGATGACTGCGTTCTCCGGTCTTCTCTGTGACACTATTTTCCCATAGAAAATGACAACAAACAAAATCTATCAACTGTTACTGACTGGTGTTTGATCTTCTGTCATGATGCACAGAATGATGTGGCTGAATTATGATTCTGATTTCAGTCATGATCCTCGATGTAATTTGTCACTCAGATAAAGTAATCTCAAATATGTTAGCAAAAGCAACCATGTATATTTTAGATTGTACTGTGCACAAAATAATGAATTTGTATGTGACTTTCCTTTGCTGTTGCTTATTAAACACATATGTTTACATTTAATTTTCTGCTCTCTCTTAATGAACAAATCTGATACTATGGTGACAAATTAATGAGTTAATCTTAATGTCTATATTATCTTTATTAAGTCTGCATCATGCTTAGTCACGGTAAAACAGGGTCTTTACGGTTACTGCCACTATTCTTTGTTTTACAGCATTGCTTCACTGGCAGCTGTATGCCTGTTTAAGGTCTGTCCGTTTCTATACGGGTTCTGTCGAGACGTGAACACGCCCACCTTTCTGACAGTACATCGTTGTTGTGTAATACTGAACCCTTGACCCGAATTATCAAGCCGCTATCTTTATTGTGAGTCTATATCATCATAAGTCAATCAATTCTTTTCAATTCGTGCCACACCTACGGAGTCGCAACATTTCTAACTGGCTTGTATTGAATCAACAGAAATGTGGTAACCGGAACATGTTTGGCACAACAAGGCCATTACAAAATCAACTTGGCCATGTTATCAAACTTCGTATACGTTGGACACCATATCTTTCTTTTATCTTTGATGGTAACCCTGATATACGCGCTCGACGAAGCTGACAGCGTTTATGACAGTTCGTAAAAGTCAGCCAACTTAGCTAACGTGCTAACGTTTAGCTCAGTATTTTCGAGCGAAAGACAAGACGGTGGAGCGAAATCTTTGGGAGAATTTATGATGGCATCTCACCTCTTTTGTTCTTTGTACCGTTTTTCTTCGCAATTTGCAATTCCTGTTCGATCTTTTTCTCTAGAAATTCCTGTTTCTTCGTAAGCATCTCCTCCGTCTCTCGGAGTTTCTGGATCGCGTCCTGTGGGCTCGGTCCTTTCCCTCCTTTTCCTCCTCCACCTAATATTTTACTGAACAACGACATATCTCGAGTACTACCGCAAGCTAGATAAAAAATAAAAAAAACCTGCGAAAAATCTAATGATCACGACGCCCTGCTGCCTCGCTGCCAGCTGACACTTGGCCCAAGAGTGGAACCTGAAACGATTGTTGATGTTTTCTACTTCCTGGATAAGGCCAAATGACGTCATGTCACAGATTGGGAGAGGCCGTTGTGTTGGGTCTGTCGCCACCTGATGGGTAGATGAAGCATTAAAAACCACTGTGGTTGTGTCCGAAATGGCATACTACTCGTACTACTCATACTAACCCCGCCCCCGAATTGAGTAGGCAGTGCGTTCACACTGTACAGTATGCGAATTTTGTGTATGCGAGAAATGTCCGGATGTATACTCAATCGGTTTCGATTTCTGAGTATGGAGCGGAGCTTGCTTCACGTACTGCTTCACGTACTACTTTAGCCCCACAATGCATTGTGCACTTCAGCTGGCAATATGGCCCTCTTTCCCGAGGCTAAAAGAAATAGATGGCATGTGATTGCAATAATAATGATATATATAAATAGATAAACAATATTTAGTCAGTATACATTACACAATTTTTTAAATCATTTTATCATATTTTTATCTTTTTACCAGATTCATTTGTATTTTAAATTAGGATTGTAGGTAATGTTTTTAACTATTCGTATGAATTGACTTTATTTATTTGAGTGTCTATTAAAGATGTATTTATTACAACAAGTCTGAGCATCTTCTCATCTCTGAATGCATCATCAAAGTGGTCACTCATATCAAGCACAGACCTCTGATTAATAAAAATTATTATTGGTAGAGAGCACATGGTTCAGAATATACAAACGGGGGAAGTTTCCAGTTGACAATTTATATGTGAGCTTTACTAATTCCTACTTGTGGTTGAAAATCCATTAGAGAGGTATATAGGTGCCCTGAAGAAAAGACGCCTTTGTCTTCTTGCATGGCGGTGCTCTATGGTTTTCAGCCTACACCAGGCAGAACTACCTGATGGTTTTTGAAATAATTATTGTCATGAAAAGAATGTAGTCAGGAAATTATGTATTTGCCAAGGAATAACCGAACAAGGTCATAATAATTATGTTGTGTGTTGGTCATTTTGCAGCCCTATGCTGCTCATCACACGCCCAGCAGGTGGTGTATAGCATTATCACCATGGATACACAGATTTTTGTGTTATTTTTTTCATCCACTGCCGCCCGGTTTGTGTCGTGTAGATGGTGATTATGAAAACACTTTGCAATAATTTGGAAACGTGAAGGGGGAGCTGCTGCTGCCCAGTGTTTACGGTACGTAGACGCAAACACCCACTAACCGGACACTTCGGTCTCCGAAAGAGCCGAGACAAATTTACAAACAGCCACTATTTCAAACAACTGGGCTCTAAATCATGATGTAAACACTTACTTTCTCGCTAGAAAAAACATTATTATTGATTGAATTTATATAATTTGTCCGGAATGCAGTCGTTCTGTGTAGCTTGTGGTAGGACTATTTAAATTTTCCCGGCGCTGCATCCTGCCGGCACGAAATGCATTCTGGGGTATTTAGTATGTATGTGTGTAAACGCTTGGGCAGCTGCGGCATACTCAAATCATCTTTGTGTATGCAGTAGGCAGTAGGTACTGCTTGAGTAGGAAAGTAGATAGCAGGCAGTATGCCATTTCGGACACAGCCAGAGTCTGCCACCTTGCTGGGTGAAGCCACTCCGAGAACAGCACCCTCTGTTGATGGGCTGCAGTATAGGTCAGAAATCCCGCCTTCGCCAGCAAAGCTTATGGGGCTGTGGACAAACTTTAGAAATTTATTACACAGAACATAAATTTTTCTCCCCCCTGCTTGTGATGTTGACATGTAGTAACAGTAATACTGGTTTGTGCTCAAGTCCCCTTTTTTTAAAAGTTTTTGGAGGGGTTCATGTTTTCTATGATTGACACCTGGTACAGCCTATGGGCGTTCAGGGATTGCGTAGCTCTCCCGGGGAAACGCTGTTTGAGCCGAGCGTCATCACAGTGACTCTCGGCGACTGCGCGCCCAAATGCGCGCATCGCTACTGCGCAGCGCTGGTTTCAGGGAATAAAGAAAAATCCCGGAAATACTGAGAGCTTTTTGGCTTCAAATCCATATTCAGGCGGTAGGCGGAACCAAGTTATCCATAGTATATACAGTCTATGCTAAAAACCTCTCAAAACCTCTGGATTATGATGAACTTTTAAAAAAAAATCTTTCTTTCTTTCTTACTTACTACCCACTAACTCTGGTGGAATTCGGTTGTTATTGGTGCCACACAGTTATATATTAAAATGTGCAGTTTGATCGGGATTGGTGCAGGGGTGGACTGGGACAAAAATTTGGCCCTAGACTTTTTGGTCCAGACCGGCCCACTACAATCAGCATACAGACACTGTGTCAACTCGCCCTGTTAATGCACATAGAAACCCACAAGGCCTAATAACATCACTATACTGAAAAATATACCACTTAAATGCTGGAGCTGTTCAAATAAATAACTATACAATGTGTTGCGTTCTTGCTCTTAAGAAAGAAAGAAAGAAAGAAAGAAAGAAAAAGAACTTTATCGATCCCCGAAGGGAAATTCAATTGTCTGTAGTCTCATGTCATCTACTACTTAGAGAAGAGTTGTAAAGTCTGATGGCTGTGGGTACAAAAGATCTTCTAAATCTCTCTGTCCTGCAGCGAAGACAGAGGAGCCGTCCACCACCATTTGCCCTTTGGTCCATCAAGGTGTTATGAAGTGGATGATCCATGTTCTTAAGAACAGCCTCCACCACATCCTCCAGTGAGTTCAAGCTGATACCAACCACAGATGCAGCTTTTTTCATCAGTTTGTTGAGACCCCTTGCATCCTTGTGTTTTAAACTGCCTCCCAAGCAGACTGTAGTATAAAATAGAGCACTTGGCACCACACTAATATAACATCTGCAGCATCTTACTGCAGATGTCTTTTGATTTGAGTCTTCTGAGCAAAAGAGGCGGCTCTGCCCCTTTGTGTAGATGAGGTCTACATTCTTAGACCAGTCCAACATATTACTTAGGTGTACACCTAGATATTTAGGATAGTAGAGTAAGGATTTAGGATTTGAGACTGTTTATTTATCACTCATAAAGGTCTTATCACATCTTCTAATCTTATTTTATTTTCTAATCTTATTTTAGAACAGGCAGTACAACTCAACATAATGTAATACAGCTGCACAATATGTATGTAGATGCTTACAGTAACATTATTAAATCAGTGTTTTATTAATTTTAACTGTATAATGTGAATCGGTTAAAAAGACAACAAACCGTAAACACTTGATGAAAAATAATGAAAAATGACGTTATTTTAAGTAGATCAATGTCCTTTATAGACAAACTAGACTATTGACACACTTTAACTCTGGTGACATGATTGAGGGGATGTCATTATAGGTAAAATAGAAATGGTCAAAACTGTGAAAACAGCAGATCTAGATGCTCAAAACATATCACATTGCAACATGTGAGTTGTAAGCTTGAAGCTTCAAGCCATCCTTTGATTAAGTGTAAAAGAGAGCTTAAGTGGTTTATAAAAGCAATTTATCAATTGGTCAATATCGTATGGTTATTGTTTTGCGATACTTTAGACAACTAGATTTTTTAAAAACATACCACAAGATTGTTTGCTGTTGATTGTGCCAAGTAAAGTTAAGTAAAGAAACCATTTGGAACCATTATTAGAATGAATGTTTGTGTCTGCTCCATGCTGGGAGGCACACCTGCCTACCACAGTATCACCTCCTACACTTGGTGAGTCTTCCCTTAAATTGTCCGCCTCCTCAATCTTCTCCTGCACTGTGGGAAAACCTGCATAACCTGCTCATCATCATTAAAGATGATTGGGAAGGCTACAACATGCGTAGGTGGGACTCCAGGGCCTCTGTAGCCTCTCATATAGAGCCATTAGGCCAGGTAGCCTTGACAGACAATCTACTGACTGAGCCAATCAATTGTCACTTGTGTAACTCTCTCTGTTGTGCCGTGTGCAGCGGCATGTCCCCAAGCTGGCCGGAGAGCTGGAGAGTTACCGTAGTTACAGAGGCAAGGTGCAGCAATTAATGAATAAATCAGTAAATGAATGAATGAATGAATGAATGAGTTACTGAAGGAGTAAATAAATAAACCTCTGTTCACTGGCCTATTTCCTTGCCCACCAGGAAAACCTTGAGTACTCCTGATGGCCAGTTCACCCCTGTCATGTGGCTCTAATCTGTGAGCCGTTCAGTCGACATTTATGACCAAAATGGTCTGCTTCATAAAACAGCATCTTTGGAGCAGGATAAATTGGAACCTGGATTGCAAATACAGATTTCCATACAGGTACTTGGGCTCTTATTTCAATCCATTTTTGTGGTATTAACCATTGATGGTTCAGTTTTCTGTCTTTTTCCTGTCGATTTATTTCAGCACATGCTCTGCTTTGTGGGGGGATTGACCCTCAAGGAGGTGGTGTTGGAGTTTCTTCTCACCAAACCAATGCACACTAACTATTCATTACAAACTGAAGCAGTTGTCAGGCCTGGAACCGCCCTCTTCCCATTGTTACTGGAGACTGTCTGTGGACCTTTAGGAGTGAATCGTCTAAGACTGTACAAGACTGTTGTATGTTTTGTCAAAGCAGGTGGTTTAATCATTTGCAACATGTGTCTTAATGAAGCCTGATCATACCATTCTTGTTCAAGTGCAGATCATTTGCCTTTGTTGACCACCATAGCAATGTCTTTATGTCATTTAGTGACATATTTTCATGAGCATTTAAACAACACTGGTGCTACGATTAGTAAGAGTGAATTGAACACTGAAATGAAAATGACCTGACCCAAATAAAATGTTAAATGTGTTTTTCAGGCACTCTTTCTACATGTTTGAGTTATGGTCAGATTCAGCTTGTTGTCTTGGGGGTTATAGAGGCTCTCCTCATTTTGGAATTTCATTTTTGTCAACTCATACTGTTAAAATAAATTGAAACAATTATGTGTTTTATCTTGAGCCGACTTGATTCATATTGGTCCTAACTTGATAGAATAACTTCAGCCAATGTCTTTTTTAGTTCACTTCACTCAAAATAATTGCTATTATAAGTTAGAACAATCAAGTATGTTATGTTGAGTGAACTTGCTGCCAATTTGTACAAACTTGAAATTTAGGTTCAGCCAATCTTCAGTTCACTAAACCTGTCTTCCGTTGTTGAAATTACAGGGGACAGCTAACTTTCGGGGTTATGTTGCTTTGATTGCTTGGTCCTGTCCTCTGTAACATCAAGAGGATCAGACCATACCTGACAGAGCATGCAACACAGCTCCTGGTACAGGCTCTTGTAATTTCACATGTTGACTACTGCAACTCCTAACTGGCAGTCTTCTCTGCTTGCACAGTTAAACCTCTGCAAATGAGAATCAAGAATGCAGCAGCATGTCTTCAACCAGCCAAAGACAACTCAGGTTACTCCTCTGTTCATCCCCCTACACTGGCTTCCGGTTGCAACACGCATCAAATTCAAAACTCTAATAATTACTTCAAAGCAGTTACCAAAACTGCTCCTGTTTACCTGGAACCCCTCATCCAGGTCTACACCTCTTCTTGCCCACTACGCTCAACCACAGAAAGGTGCCTGGTGTTTCTAGCACATCAAGACCCTAGGCCACCAGCCTGACTCTTCTCTTTTGTTGTCCCTAAATGGTGGAATGAATAACCTAACTCCATTCGATCTGCTCAGTCCTGCTCTACCTTTAAAAGACAGCTAAAGACCCAACACTCAGAGAACAATACACTCTTAGCTAGACTACTCTCCACTGTTGTCCCAGAGGTTCTATGAGTCATTGAGTTACAGTTGGCTTGCACTGTGACTGTCCTGCTCAACTTTGTGCCCAGGTCTTTGTAAGTGACCAAGCATTTGGTACTTTGGTTATGATTGGGGTTAACGGCAGATAGACATCTGTAAATTAGTTTTGACTTGACAGACTGAAATTTAATATCTCAAACGTAATTATGACTAGTGTGGATTATTGTGCATGATATTGCTCAAGCCCAAAAAAAGCGACTTGGATCCTCAAATAAATACAGCTTATAATCAAACCAGGAGCAAAGTGGGCCAAAATAAGCAACTACATTTTAGGAAACAAACCCAAAAACCTGCAACCCATGACTGACAATATTTGCAAGCAACTTCACCAACTTCATTACAGGTACCTACAATTACATTATGAATATTCCAGTTACAGATATCTACAATATCATTATGCATAGTCAAAACTGCATTTCAGATAATTTACATGTAGTTATCTTGAATTGAGGTATATTAAAGCTGTCTTGAACTGGAGTTATGACTAGTCAGAATCAAATTATAGATATCTCAAACTGAAATCACAGATATCTACAATTCAATAGCAGATATCTGTAATTCACATAGTGGATATCTACAACTGAATTGTAGATATCTGTAATGAAAAAATCCCTTACACAAGAATGTCAAAAAAGACATAATTTGTCCTTGGGAATGTCGTTGTGGATTACTGAAATGTTCGTTATGGATAAGAGGAAGGAGTCGCTGATATTTTAAATGTTCTTTTTAACTAGGCAAAACTGAACTACAGATATCTGGAACACATATCCTATCTAGCCTATAAATGTTAAAAGGGCTTGCCATACTTGAAACACTTTGTGGCCCTTACTGATCTTGTTTCCCTTTGTCTAGACCTTTATTTTTATTGGTCTTGCTCTTAAATGTACGTTGCTTTTGATAAAAGCCTCAGCTAAATGACACTGTAACATTGTCAGTCATTTTATTATGTACATACAAAAGAGTATCCAATTACTGTGTGGTTACATTATTGTGTGACTGTATCTTTGCATGTGTGGTCTGAAACACTGATGCCTTTTTTCTTTTATTGTAGTGTGTATTCACAGGTCAGTCTTCATTCCAGCCACCCACAGTACCACCTCTGTGCTCCCTGAGATCCCTCAGGCACCAAAAAAGATATTTTCTTAACAATCTGCTAGGATGGTCACGTGATAGCAAAGATAATACAGCTGTGTTTTCTGGGTTATCTCACAACCATCAGAGCCCAACAAGTAAAAAAAAAAAAGAAAAGAAAATGGAAAGGAAACAAACTTGATCAATCTGACTCAAATGGTCCCTTATCAAGAATTTTTTTTGATCCATCTATATAATTTCAACACTCCAAGAAAAAGAAAAGACATTAAGGTCATTTCATGCAGACTGCAGATTAGAAATTTGAATATAGTGCATTTGAATAGTAAAACAGAGGCTTTGTGAGTACATAGTAATATAATAAAACAAGCAAAACTGCTTTAATACACTAGATGATACAAATACATTACTCTGTGGCATGAAAGAGTTATAGATGGCCAAATGTAGTGTTTCATACTGTATGCAAAATGTTGAATATGACTGGGATAGTTTTGAATAAGGGATTCTTTGCTTAAGATGGGACATGTTTCAGCCAGTGCCGCTCTCATCCTAAGAAAGTAACAATCATGTAAATAGAACAGTGTGGCAATCTGATGGTTGAGAGTTATTTTGTTTCCTTTTTATACTATATGTCGCACTAACTGGTCTTTATAATCTGTGTCTTGTTGATTAAAAAAATGCTGGTAGATTTAATTAAAACTTTGTGTGGTTAATGACAGAACGGATCAAAATACTTTTTGGAATTTCATCACAGGCCCCAAATTTACACAGCAGAAAACCAGTTCAGAGGACAGTTTTGATTTCAAAGCAACCCTCATCCTAAGCATCCAAAATAGCATTTGATTTTACCGTGTATGTGTGTCTGTGTGTTTGAGTGAGAGAGATAGAGAGATAGAGATAGAGAGAGAGAGAGAGAGAGAGAGAGATTCTACCGGCACAACACAAAAAAGTATAAAGTGTGAGACAAAAAAAAATAATACAATTGGGGCTGCAAGTTTTTACTGATCACTTGATCACAGATCACTCTACTGGCAAAATATTGTTTCTATTGGAAGAGAGATTATTGGAGGAAGAGTGTTAGCTCTTTTTTTGACACGAGTGAGGAACTTTGAAAACTTAAGAATCAATGAACAATCTATGAAAGACATACAGCCAGCGTGAAGCTACTTCTACACACCACTAACCGTTACGTGTGCAAGTTGCGGAAGATCATTGAGGAAGGAAAGATGGACGGACAGAACAGATCAAAGGGAGTGATTTTAGTGAGAATAAAAAATCTCAAAAAAGGCAAGACCTGTGACAAAAATACTGTCATTGATGGTTATGTTGGGGTTGCCTTCTTTCCTTCTCTTTTCATACAAATTATTATCCATCCAGAGAGACCCCTCATAATATTGCCTTAAATGTTAACAGAGAAATCAAAATAAACCCAGAAGGCTTCCCCACTGCTGTCGTAGACACTTGTCCCCTGGAGCAGGCCATCCGTCCGTCTGTCCATCCATCTATTACTGTGCTCTTGTCTGTCTGTGTCTCTACAGGGCCAACTTGCCAACAATGACTCCAATGACAAAAAAGAGCACACAGAGTGCCAATAGACGGGTGCTTAGACCTTCGTCCCTCATGGCAGAAGTTGCCATGCTGGAGGAGGAAGAGTGAGGCGTAGCCATTGAGGTCACTTTTCGCTTTCGCAGTCCGTCATCCTCCTGCAACGAAGAAAAATAGTCAGAGATGATGTCAATAAAAACACAGTCATCACATAGCATGCCAACCAGAGAGAAGTTAAAATGATAATTGTTTAACATCCATTTACAATGTTGAGTGATGGACTGACCATCAATTTGTGTTTAACTTTGTAGAGTGCTATTGACAGTGGAGGCTATAATTCTCTTTTTCTCATGACATCAGAACCCCCTGTGGGTGCCAAAATTTCATGTTTTCCTTTGATGTCCTGTCCTTTGATTTTTCATCTGCCTGCACAAACTAAATGTATTAAGTGTTTCACAACATTCAATAAAGAACCACCAAGGAGGGAAGATTTGTTTTTCTTCAAGATGTTTCAAGCAGGAAATATTACAATGACAACAGCATGACGCAAATCCCTCATAACACAACTAACAAAAATGTAGAGGACCAAACTTAAATCTAAAAAGATTACTTTAACAGCAAAGCAAAAGTGTTTCTACAATACAACTCTTCCCTTTAAAAAGCAATAGTACCATTATTAATATGCGTGTGCTAGGTTTGACAGAGTATTACTACACTCAAGGAAAGTGCAGTTTTGTAGTATTTTGTAGCCTGAGGAAAATAGTACTGTGCGGTTTTTAAGTAGCAAAGAAAAGGTATTTCATTCACAGAACTCAATGCTTCATTTTTTAGACAGTAGACATGACATTCAAGAACAAATCTCCATCTTAAGCTGTATTTATGCACAGTGCAGTACCTATGATGACAAATACAAGGAGAGCACACATAACTCCTATTTTTAATTCTCTGCTCTGGTGGCCTGCTACTTTTTGTACTGACATTGAAGTTACTTAACCTCTGCCTCTCAAGTGTTATTGGTTTATTCTTGACTTGATATTTTATTTTTTTACTTACTTTCACTGCTAGCCTATATAAATATATATGTGTTGATTACCTTTTTATCATTTTGAATTTTTAATATTTGATATCTATTTTATGTCCCAACTTATTTTTTATCTCTTCTTGTAACTGTTTTATATTCTTTAACTATTGGTGTGCAGTAGTCTCTACCTACTCTGTTTCTTTCCATATAAATTTAATTATTTATTTCATTTTATTTAGCTATTTTGTTTTCCAGGAGCAGAGCTCCTGAAAATCAAGGGCGAGCATAGGGAGCCTCTATTATACCTTCCTGTGGCAAATGATACACCAAACACTGTCTCTTTCAGATTTTTTGGCAACTCACTCTAATCTGTTTGTTTTCTTCTCGTAGCCTCTGGACCTCCATCTGCAGTCGCTTACACTCCTCCATGATCTTCTTTACCTCTCCATCATCCAGGGAGGCACTGGCAGACTTGGGCAGCACAGAGTGCTCCGTCTTAATAGAGGAGGCAGAGGGAAACACAGTTTGGTTGCTTACATTCTCATGCTGTGGAAAGAAAATGAGGGTTGAGGAGGGCAATGGGTAAGGAGTAGAGGGAGTGAAAGGGGGGAGAACATATGTAGAGACATATTTTGGAGTGAAATGAGAGTACAAAAAAATAAATTAAACATAAATCAAAAATAAATCAGCATTTGATGGGTGGTATGGTGATTCAGACATGCGCTGTAGAAAATTCAGGCGCTCTCTCCCAGATATTTACCAGAGTGTTCACATACATATATGGCCTCACTTACCTGTTGGCCAGGGAGGTTGTGTGTGTGTGTGTGTGTGTGTGTGTGTGTGTGTGTGTGTGTGTGTGTGTGTGTGTGTGTGTGTGTGTGTGTGTGTGTGTGTGTGTGTGTGTGTGAGAAATGTATGCATGCATACATACAATTCAAATTTAATTGGCTTTCTATCCCATTCCTTCTATCCATATGTCTTTGTCTGTATATTCATTGCTGTAATATTGTCAATAACACAATAAAGTCTGTTTTTTTTAAAGTTGGCAGATAAAACAACAGGCTATGCTTTGACAGTGGTTTTTGCCGTCTCTCTTCATGACTCACAATAGTAAACTACTGAATATTTTTTCCAATCAAGATGTGACACCAAGCGACTTTAGGCATCCATGCAGCCAGAATCCTGGATACTTGTCTCCGCCAAGAGCATCTAGTTGAGTGGAGGATTCTAGCTTAACTTTACTCACTTCCAAATGCCGTAAGGTGGAGAAGGAAAACTCTAGAAGGGTCAAAGCCAGAGATAGGGACTCGAGTTTGAGGCTTGGACTTGTGTTGCATTTAAGTAGCACACTAACATAACTTCAGACTTAACTTGGACTTGATCCACAGAGACTTGAGACTTGCCTCTGACTTGAGCTTTGGGACAATCTTTTTTTTTGTAATTTGTCTCAATGACATCAAGAGTTCAATATCACTCCCTCATATCACACCATATCTTCTGCATCTTGTGCCTGAACAGCCACAACACATCACCTGCTGCTGCAATGGCACATAGTTTCTACATTTAGAACATAAGTACAAAGGTTGTAAAAGCATTACCACAGACAACTTTTAATCATTTTTCATTGGTAAAAGACTGCTATCCATGATCAAAAAGTGAATGATCACTGCTCAATTGCTCTTCATTCCTGTGTATGTTGCAAATGGCATGTGATCTGCAGGTGGTCTAAGTCAGAGAGGGAAAGACAGAAAGGATACCTCTTTTGGAAAAAAAAAAAAAGTTTTGCACAGCTGGTTGTTGTTGTTGCTCTTAAATTTGGATCATTATCACAGCAGGTGATCATGGATCACCTGTTGTGATAATGAAACATTCAAAACGTGAGTTGTCTTATTTGGGGTCTTGTTAATAAGTTTTTTTTCTTGTTTTCCCCCCAAAAGATAAGACACAGAAAGGCATAATGAGTTGTAGGAGATGGGTCACCACACCTGGGGGAGAGGTGTGAGAGTCAGGGGTGGATTCAAAATATAGCCCATGGAACAAAAGTGTCTACCGGTAGAAATTTTGCTGTGCCGTTTATACCGGAGAGAGAGAGCAGATGTCTGCTGCATCTCTCTGAGTCAGTGTGGAGTTGTTTGCGCTCGCCAACAGGGAAGCTGGAGCGCGTCCGTTTGGGTGCGTTTCTGTATATTCACCAGCGTGTCGTGTGGAGTGTGTTCGCTCTGTTAGATTGGTCAGGTCCGGGTGTGCTCCCTATAATCACCAGCATGTCTAGCAGACTGCTTGGCATAGTTTCGACAAAGAAGTAACAGCTTCAAGAGTGGTGGTCATGGCGGATGCGGAGATTAGTGGCAGTGCTGAGCAAAAGGAGGCCACCCGACCTACCCAACATGAGGAAGAGGAGGAGTAACTCGTTCCGAAAAAAGTCGAGAGTTGCAACATCAGTTGTCTGGAGATTTTTCGGATTCAGAATATCTGACAATGATCAAAACACAATACTATGCAAAGAGTGTTATGTGGCTATCATTGTTGGAGGTGAAAACACCAGCAACCTCTTCCACCAACTAAAGATGAAACTCGCCCACCAAGCTCGATTATGAGAGCCAAAAAGATGCGTGGCGCACCTGCTGCACCTAAAACTCAAGTTGCAGCAGCTCCTTTTATACAAAAGAGCTTGGCAGAGTCTTTCGCCAAAGGTACGCCATATGATAAAAAAATCGCCAGACTGGTCTGGCATTTTGTTTGCATTTGTATACAAATCATAGTTTAAAAATAAAAGGAAAATGAACAAATGCTACAGTAATACTGTATGGTTATTTTTAAGCCGTTAATTGAATTTACAGGAGGAAAACAAACATACAGTGATATATACTGTTACCGAGATATGAAATTACTCATACTGTGTAACAAGATTTTGTTCATACCGCCAAACATGAGTTGGGACTTATTTTACAATCACCTATTTTAGCTACCCACCAGGATACAGGAGTGTGTGCAGCTTTCTTTGCAATTCAGTGCATTTCAATTATCATGATTACTTCTCTTTAAGTACATAAATAATAATAGTACAATAATAATAAAGCTTATTTGTTGCTATCTTGTTGTGTTACTTTTATGAAGTAATAATAATATTCAACAATAGATATTCTGAGGTAACCTAAAATCAATTTGACTTGGACTTGCAAGAGGTGACTCATGCCCATCTGTGGTTTATGTTCCAGCAAAAATTGTGGTACAAGAACAATTTGATTCTCATACCAATGCCTTTTGGCCTATTGTTTTCATGACACATAAACATGATTTACTGGAACCGGAAGACATGTTCGATAACTCTTCGACATGGATGTAGATGACGTAATGGCTGTGTCACGCTGAACTGAAATTGAATTATAAAATTGAATCTGAATTGTGCCGACTGAAAATGAATTTATTATTTTTCAATTTAAGGAAAACAGAGTTGAATTCTCATGTAGGTCAAATTCAATTTCAAAGGCAGATAAATCCAGTTTCAAACCATCAATTTCAAATTCTTCTATTCAAATTCAATAGAAGTATTCAATTTCAGTTTCTAAAGGCACACATCTCAGATCATACACCTGAAATCTTCAATCAGAATTTCATAATTGAGTGCCAAACGTGCTCATGTTATTCTTGCAACACACTAACCCCTATCTGTGGCCTGAAACATTTATAAATGGCGCAAACTGATAGCCTCTACTCATAACTCACTCTGTAGAGGCCAGCAGCAAAACCAAACAGAGCACAAGCGCCATGATATAAGCCCGTGGTTTCCAATTTTTTTCTGCCATGCCTCTATTTGGAGGATGTAAAAGGTTCCCCCCATTGCATTCACCACAAATTCAAGAGCAAAGAAGGCCATCAAGTTTCCCCTCAGGGATAAAGTTCTTTTTATCCTTTCTTATCTTATGTCACATTTCCTTTACGTGTTTTTAGTTGATTACTGTTGTCTTATTTGTTGCAGAAGTTTTGGTTGCATTTCATGTTCCTGTCAGACATCTCTTTGTTCTGTCTGCTCTGTTCCATAATAGACATTGGGAATTTGGGGAAATTTTTAACTATGTGCATGTCTGAAATGGGCTTGAGACATAGGGGAAAGGAAATAACTCGAGGGAAAACTGCTGTTGGTTAGCTTAACATTAAAGTTATTGGACTGTATCTGATGGGGGGGGGGGCAGACACTTAAGGACATCAACAGTAACAGAACAATAGCATGTAGCATAACTGTGACCAAAGGGTAAGACTCACAGTTTTGTCATTTTCTAGAGGCATCTCAAATGCACATCTCAACTTCGAATCCATCAGCTCCTCAGGCTTTGCCTCCTTCCACTGTAAAGCAGGAAGTTCAATAGGGAAAAAATAAGAAAACAGAAAGTTCAAGCATTCATTTTCAGATCAATCAGATGCAATCCAAGACAAGAGCAGCATTTTTAGAACTACTGCTACATGTTGTGATTTTTTTGTTTTGTATCTGCATTTTAGAAAAGTTCCTTCTCAATGAGGGAACGTGTAAAAATAGCACTCAATAGTCGCAAGGTTAAAGGAATATGTACATACACCTTTATGCTAAAAAGGATGAAAATGCTTTTGATCTTGTACTCACAACTCCCTCCATGTCAGTCATGTCAAAAGGAGCCAGCACAGACTGAACCATGAATTTGTGTTTACTCTTTTCATTTGGGTCGTAGTCAAAAGGCTGAAGCATAACTGTGGATAAAAGCAATAAAAGACTTGGCATGAATTTTAAATAAAAAATAGTAATGAGCAACACCAATTAAGTACAGTGACTCTAAAAACTACTAAATAATTAACTGCTTTAAACACTTGAGATAAAATAGCTATGGCAGCAATGCAAAGCATGTTTTTTGTAGGTTCTGTGACTTTTTATTATCAGAAATCACACTTTGACTTTGCAGCAATGCTTGCCTATGCAGAAGACAAAACAAATACCATATGACATCAATTTTGATTTAGAACAATGAAAATAGTGTCATGTTCATTGTTTTTCATCAAACAAAAGAAATTGTCTTCAATTTAAAAACACAGTTAACTTCTCTTAAAACCTGATATTGATCTATTATCTGTTTATTTGACATAACATAGCAGGTATCCTTTTCGTTATCAGGCATTAACTAACAACCAATATGCCTCTTTAACATTCAGAAACAGCCATTTTGCTTTACATCTGTTGAGCGTCTTTTAGAATGAAGGCTTCATATTCTATTTTGTTGTTTGAAGCAAAAAAAAAAACAAAAAGTGTACTTACCAGAAACATTTACGGAGGTTCCAGCATCAATGGTGCCACTGTTTGGGCGCACACAGTATCTGCGAGGAGCTGTTGTCTTGACTTTGAAACACACATTTCTATCTGTGGGGTTGGTGAGCTTCAGAGTGGCAGTGACAACATCTGTAAAAGGACCTACAGTGGACAGAGAGACAACAATCTCATAACTAAAAAGCATGTGCAAATTTGTGACATATGTATGGGTCAATGATGTGACAGTTTTTTTTATATGTTCCCATGGTTTACTTAAATTTAAAAAGGCTAAAATTCCAAAATAAACTCACCAATTACTTGGATACATTCTCTTTTTGAAGACCTTGTCTAAAATTTCTGGATTTTATCCATTTTGAGAGGATATTCAGGGAATAATGGGAAAAATGTCAATGTGGTGTAACCATAAAAACGCAGGAAACTGGTTTGTGTCAATTGGTGTAACCCATATTTTTCATTAAAAAGTATATATTATTCAGGAAAATGCATGGGGAATGGAATGTACTCATCTACTGCAATGCATTAATATATATCTTAACAGTTTCTACAAGGTTTGTCAAATGTTATTTAGAAAATGCCATCCGTTTAAGCATTTCTCCTGCTCTATATTGCAAAATGCATCAAATTTTTTGGCAAAAAAAAATCCTAACAAAATGTATTTTTAACTGATACATTATGATTAAGTAACTTTTTGCTCAAGTATGCTTGCATACACTGTAGGTGGAAATAAGTATTTAATATTTCCCCTTTTGTTGTGGTTACACCACAAGACATTTTCAAGGGAAATCCATCTTCATTTTGTAAAAAAAAAAAGGTTTAAATGCTATTTGAAATCATATGAAACCAACAGATACAAAATATACATCTTTGCAAACCTAATGCAAACTTTTAAAACAATTTATTAAGCCATTTTTTAATTACTCATTATGCAAACCCTTATTTGTCACTGACCCGTATATTTTCTTATCAAAATGGGAGGAAACCTAAAAATATGTTTGTTTGTTGCCATTGACATATGTCTGCAAGGAACATTGTGTGAATAGTGTTATAAGCACCAACACAGGGCATGTCATTAATACTTTACATTTACATTCAATAACTGACATGAGCAGTAAAGGGCAGTCTTCATTACTTTAACCATTTCCAGTCCAAAGACCCTAATCAGATGCTGTATAAAACCCACCACTCACTTATTGGCCGTCTTGTAGGGATGAGTTATGTTGATAGTTTATGTTGCTTTTGTGGAATTTAGACAGTATCACTCACAAGTCTGTCTGAGCATGCTTGAACGTCAAACGCCTAAGACAACTCAACCTTGGTTTTCAAAATGTATGTTAGTCGAACAACCTAACTCTGCTCCTTCCTCTAGTGAGCTATGCTGTGTATCACAAACTGAGTGGGTGTTGCATTTTCTAAATCATCATTGCCAATAAAAGCTCTGCAGTAATCAGTCAGCTGCAAACCCAGCAAACTGATCCGATCGCCTTTCTTTAGCTTTATCAAACCCAAATGTAATTATCCCGGAATTCACCAATACTCCTGACACCTAAACTCAGTCTGTATTTCACCAATAGTTCTCAATTGCGAGGGATAGGGGGGAATGAAGGGAAATCTCATAGCATGTAATATTGGGAAACAATCGTAGTAATGAGGATCGTAGAAAATGCTAGAATAGTCACTTCCTGTCATCACGGTTTTAACAACCCTGCCACACAGCAATAAGCGAAGTATTCACCAAATACATAGAATAGTGTCAAATGTGGGTAAAAGTCTAAAAAGTAAAATAAAGGAACAAAGTACTGTAAATTAAGGAAATGGGACACTGGGCCTGTCCTGACGCTACAATGACAGCTAGCATACCTTGGCTAGCTGAATGCTACCTAGCTGGTTAGCGCTGTCACAGTGTGGCTTTACCTGTGATCGTCACAGCAGTCACACACTTAAACAAAGCTATACACTCTCTGATGGTACGAAAACAAGTGAAAACACTAAGCAAATGTAAAACACCTAAAGATGGATTTTGTAGACTATTTTTAACAGCTTCTGTGATGGCCCGGCCCTGCCTTCAACGTTACCTCTGAATTTTAGTTCGTGTTGTGGCTCTAGCACTAGGACTTGTTCTTGTCTTGCCATGTCCCGAGGCGTCTTCCTTTCTTGACGGCGAAAACGACGATAATCTTATTTTCCCACAGAAAGCCCGGCAATGAGATAAAGCAGGCTCTCGATGAAGCGACCGGCCCGTTCAATGTTTTCTCCAAGTGGGAAGTACGGGGAAGGAATAACACAAATGCATCAGCACTTGCACTGACAGACTGCTTGATTGACTGCCACGGATAGCTGCAGAGGGCTAATGGTTTATGCTAGTAACGGGTGAGACGAAAGGAGGGTGGAGAGCGACGTCACTTGAGGGGCGGGCACATGCGGAACGTTCAGTTGTTGATTTTTGCACCGTTTGACAAAGAGATGCAACTTTGGAAAGCTTAAAAGTCAATGTGACGTGTACACGTGTATTAAAGCAATTTCAAAAGCTTCTCTTCGCTAAAGCTTACTGTCCATTTGATTCGGAAAAAAGAAATATATATATATATATATATATATATATATATATATATATATATATATATATATGTGTGTGTGTGTGTGTGTGTGTGTGTGTGTATACTACAGGCCAAAAGTTTGGAAGCAAGATCAGATTTGTACAAAAAAAGACCATAGTTTCATATATGTAATTTGCAACACAGTAAACATGACTATTGTGTAAAGAGTAACTTATCAGAAGACATTTTGACTATAATCATGAGGTATTTGAGTTATTGTTGCTTAGACTTTGCTTTCTGTAAAGTAACCTGCTCTTGCTTTAACAACAGCTTGGCATATACCAGGCATTCGTTCCACAGGTTTTCTAAAGTATGTTCCAGGGATTGCATTCCAAGTTTTCTTAAGTTAATTAAAGAGAGACTGCTGATTCGTGGGACGCGTTTTTTTTTGACCAGTCGATCCAATTCATCCCGCACAAGCTCAATTGGAGAAAGGTCTGGAGACTGAGGGGGCCAAACCATCTTTTGAAAAACACCTTCCTCTTCTTTTTTGTCTAGGTAACCCTGACAGAGCTTGGCAGAGTGCTTAGGGTCATTGTCTTGCTGCAAAACAAACTTATGAGCCACAAGTCTGAGTCCAGATGGAACAGCATGGTGCTGGAGGATGGAGTGGTACTGTTCTTTCTTCATGATACCCTTTACTTCAAACAAATCTCCTACTCCATCACCTGCAAAACATCCCCATACCATGGAACTACCACCTCCATGCTGAATTGTGGGTGTAACACATGGTGCTTTCAGACGTTCACCAGTTTGTCTGCGGACATAGGCTCTGCATTTTGAACCAAACAGTGCAAACTTGTTTAAGTCCAATTTTTGTAAGCTTTTGCCCACTCATATCTCTTTTTCTTGTTCTGTGGACAAAGTAGTGTTTTTTGCAGATACACAAACCTTCAGACCAGCCTTTCTCAAATGTCATTTCACAGTTGTCAGAGATATGGGTTTCGACCTTGTCATGTTGATTTCCTCCCTTATCTTTGGTGCTGTCTTTCGCCGATCTCTCTTACTGGTGACAATGCTATGTTTATCCTCTGCTTTTTTAGTAACTCTCTTTCGTCCAGGTCTTTTTCTATCATCATAACTTCCAGGTTCCTCTAGTCTCTTCAGAGTGTAGTGGACTCCTTTGTTAAACACCTTTAGGCGTTTTGCAATTTCTCTTTCTGTGTATCCTTCTTTCCTCAATGTACAAATCTGTACTTTTGTTTCTTTAATCAGTTGCTTCTTTCTAGCCATTTTTGCGGCAGTCTAAACGCAGTTAAGATTTATTAGGGTTTTTGTATGCAGACTCTCAAAAGCCAAAAACTTGAAGTGAATAATCCAACTGTGTTTTGTTTTTTTGCTTTTGCACTTAAGTTGTGACTCTTGCAAATGTTTTCAACCCTAAAACTAAGCCCTTATCTTTTGCAGACATATATTTAGCAATGGTCTGTTAACATCAATGTATATCTAAAGGTAAAGGGAGTAAAATGGTGCATTTCCATGAAAGCAACATCTGATCATGGAGTAAATACATCCCAAAATACATAAAACTGCTGGATTTAAAAAAAGCATTGTGATCAAAAACTTGAAGTTACTCCCAACTGCTCAGCCTGAAATGGCCTTGCTTCCAAACTTTTGGCCTGTAGTGTACACACACACACACACACACACACACACACACACACACACACACACACACACACACACACACACACACACACACACACATATATATATATATGTAAATATTTTCACAACTTTTCCCACCTTTAATGCGACCTATAACCTGTACAATGCTATTGAAAAACAAACGGAAACCTTAAGGGAAAAAATAAAGAATAAAAAAACTAGCGGCACCTTTGGCTTTGGCAGCACTCAGTCTTTTTGGGTAGGAGTCTATCAGCGTGGCACATCTTGATGTGGCAATATTTGCCCACTCTTCTTTGCAAAACCGCTCCAAATCTGACAGATTGCAAGGGCATCTCCTGTGCACAGCCCTCTTCAGATCACTCACAAATGTTCAATGGGATTCAGGTCTGGGCTCTGGCTGGTCCATTCCAAAGTCTCAATCTTATTCCGGTGAAGCCATTCTTTTATTGATTTAGATGTGTGCTTTGGGTTATTGTCGTGCTGAAAGATGCAGTTCCTCTCCATCTTCAGCTTTCTAGCAGAAGGCCGTAGGTGTTGTGCCAACACTGACTGGTATTTGGAACTGTTCATAATTCCCTCCACCCTGACTAAGGCACCAGTTCCAGCTGAAGAAAAACAGCCCCAAAGCATGATGCTGCCACCACCATGTTTCACTGTGGGTATGGTGTTCTTTTGGTGATGAGCAGTGTTAATTTTGTGCCAAGTATACCTTTGGCAATGATGCCCAAAAAGTTCAACTTTGGTTTCATCAGACCATAACACATTTTCCCACGTGTTTAGAGATTTCAGATGTCTTTTTGCAAAATTAAGCCGGGCTTTGATGTTTTTCTTTGTAAGATAAGGCTTCCGTCTTGCCACCCTACCCGATAGCCCAGACATATGAAGGCAGCAGTAGATTGTTGTCACATGTGCTACACAGCCAGTACTTGCCAGAAATTCCTGCAGCTCCTTCAGTGTTGCTGTCGGCCTCTTGGTAGCCTCCCTGACCAGTTTTCTTTTTGTCTTATCAATTTTGGACGGACGTCCTGTTCTTGGTAATGTCACTGTTGTGCCATATTTTTTCCACTTGATGACGACGGTCTTTACTATGTTCCATGGTATATTTAATTCCTTGGTAATTCTTTTGTAGCCCTCACCTGACTGGTATCTTTGAATAATGAAATCCTTCTGATGCTTTGGAAGCTCTCTGTGGACCATAGCTTGTGCTGGAAGATGTGGCTACAAAAATGTCAGGAAAAGCCTACCAGAACAGCTGAACTTTATTTGGGGTTGATCAGAGGCACTTTAATTGGTGACAGGTGTGTGCTGACTCCAATTCAACCTGAGTTTGACTGTTATTGGTTAAATCTGAACACAGCCACATCCCCAGTTATTAAACGGTGTGCACACTTATGCAACCATATGATCTCAGTTGTTTATTTTTACTTCACCTCCCTGAAAGATTCCTGTTTGTTTTTCAATTGTGTTGTACAGGTTATAGGTCACATTAAAGGTGGAAGAAGTTGTGAAATTATTTATCTTGATTAAATTTTTTTACATGACAAAAACCTGGCAGTTGAACAGGGGTGTGTAGACTTTTCATATCCACTGTATGTGTGTGTGTGTGTGTGTGTGTGTGTGTGTGTATATATATATATATATATATATATATATATATATATATATATATATATACACACACACACACACACATACGGATTAGTTACATGTTATAAGATAATAGTATCACCTGGGCCTTCATAACACTTTATCAGTACCACAGACTGATCACGTCCATGCAACGCCAAATTGCTGCAAAGAGAGCCCAAACCAAGAATGACATACATGCTCATTCCTTCAGTAGTCCAACATTTCTGTGTGGTAAATCACTGGGATGAAGTTAGTCTTAAATTGAGTATTCAACAGGCATATATAAAAATAAAAAATGTATATGAACAGATTTGGAATGTATAAACAAAATGTGTATTTCATGCAGCCAGTAGAGTACTATGATCCCACATTGATTTTGAGTCAATTGATCACATTACCTGGAAGCTGCTTGAGACACACCTCTTGCTTTTTCATTTTCAATATGTTCAGAATTTTTATATATAAAGAAGCATTTCCCCTGGAGCAAACGCCTGTTGAATAACCACATCACAACCAACTACCCTGGTTCGAAAATCTGTTTCTACTGGTCTTAACTAATCATTGACTGTAAGTTACGATCATGAAAATGAAAAATATACACTTGAAATATAATAGTCTGTGTGTGATGAAACTATATAATATAGGAGTTTGATTTTTTAAACTGAATTACTAAATATCAAGTTTTTGGTGATATTCTAATTCATTGAGATGCTCCTGTATTCCTGAAACTATAAAAACTATGGGATAAAGCATCTTGCCGCCGAAACCCATGTCCTCTGGTGCAATACTCAGTTTTTAAATCAGGCAATTTAACAGACTTAAGTTCTTTCAAGGATACCATTTCAGAGCATGCTGCTGAAATGTTCTTTGCATCTTGTGAGCAAGCTACTTGTCCTAGAATCATTCAGAGAAGTTATTCAAGTCTTTTGTCAAAAACTGTTTAAGTGCCAAGTTTTGTTGTAATTTTGTGTGACAAATGGAAACTTTGAACTGAAAAGTTAAAAAACAACAACAACAAAAAAACAAAATAAATAAAACAAGGATCAAAAGGGTGGAGTTTATGAGTGGAGCCATTACACTGACCAAGTAATATTAAAATATAAATAAATGAATGTGTAATCCTCACACTTTCACACAAAATAAGATTGTTTTCATTGATAATTGTCCCTGCCATTGAAGAGGTTCACATATGAACTGGATAAAACCTTGTTCTTATTTGATCACTAATATCTCTCTATAGTAATTTCAGAGCTTATCTTATTTCTACATTCCCAAATTACAAATGGAATAGAAAAAATACTACCCACATACAGCATGTCTTTACTACTTAAAGAGGGTTGGTGGTGGGGGTTACAGAGACAGCAACTAAAATGTAGCTTTTCAGATGAAGGCTGAAATAATATTTTAATACAACAGAGTGAGAAATTCGATGCTTTTTTGATCTGAAAATAAAGTATTTGATCATTAGAATAAATATCAAGTTTGTGGTTTTGTTTCTCTCTGCAAAAGTCTTCTGCAAGTAGTTTTCCTGTTAACATTGAAAGTAGTAAAAAGTCAGGGCAAAGTTAAGATGTGGCACATCTCATTTTTGTATACTTTGGCCTGAAGTTCTAACCTGAGGCAGATGTCAGCTTGTTTAAACTCACCTTAATGTCCGCTGAAACCCTAGTTACCTGCTGAAAGTAACTGATCCTGAAGTGCTGCCTCACAATCTCATATGTATCTGGTTTACATGCACAGCAAAAGAAAACAATTTGTTCACCATTCAACAAGGGTAGGCTTAATATATGGGAAAAATACAATGCCCCAGACATTTTTGTCAGCTATGTATATTAAGTGTCTTGAGCACAAAATTTGGTTTCAGAATGATAAATATTTGATTTGGTTTTGAATATACAGTCTAAGATACATTAATATTGATTCCAATAGTTTGTGTGTTCGGTATGAGGTAAACTCAGAGTGTTTCTGATTTAGAATTTAAACTTATCAAATGAAATTAATAATCACCAAAATTTAATTTGAGATTCAATTATTTCTGTCAAGGGTCTGTTCCTATGACGACTTAGCAAAAGAGGAAAAAAATCCATGATATCAGGAAACATGAATCAGAAGTTGTTTCCCACAGGATCTGATATTCAGCTCATTCAGTCACACACTGAGGAGGCAATTACTGGATAATAGCAGGTCCAGTGTCCTTTTGAGAGAAATAAAATTTTTTTCTCTTTTCTTGTTTTGTGAAATGTTATGTGTTGACATGCATAATGACAGACCTGTTGCTGTCTGCATCAAAAAACCTTTATTTCTTAGAGCTTCTGTTCAGAAAGTTGAGATCCATATTTGATGTACACATTAAATGAAGACTATGGCACTGAAATGAGAGAGATACTAATACTGTACAGTCTGCCACTGCTGTGCAAGGCTAGGAAGGAGGGCTCCTCCTCCTTCACCTGAAACCAAACTGCTCATTTTGGGGGGCTTTTTCTAAACAAAAGAAGATTTGTATAGAAACAAGCAGTGTTTTGCATCTCAAAAACCCTTCATAATGTCTTTTGCAGATGACCAAAGAAAACAACTGAGACCTGAAAACAACTTCCGTTAAATGGATTTAAGTTATAGTAATACGCACACTATCAAGTGTACAATTTGTCAAGGTTCATTTGATTCTAATAAAATACTTTTTTAAAAACCCATATACATTTCATATAGTTATCTTTTTTGGGGTATATGGATCCAAAAATAAACATTTAAATCATAAGGAGTGAATCAAAGAATAGGGGAGAGACATAAAACTACAAGGCTACAAATCCTTGTCTTCTGTCCCAAGGAAAGGGAGAGGGAGAAAAAGAAAATGGTTAAAGAATAAAGAGAGAAAGTTAGTGGTTTAGGGGAAAAGAAGTCGGGAGGGGATTGGCCAAGCTATACAGCGCAGTATGACACCCACTTTAGCTCATTACACACATACAGTCGTAATCAAGGCACAGGGATCTTCTAAAAGTTTTTTTTCATAAAGTTGTACAAAATAATACATTTTACAGTCTGTACAAGAATAATAGTTCAGCAATAAAGTAGACACACGTAAAAAGGAGCTTGAGGTTGGGAAGGAGAAGGGAAAAGCAAAGACAAAGCAAAGGAATGAAAAAAAGTGTCCCATTAGTTTTTGCCATCTTCTTCATTGTCATATATCAGGGTGATTATTATATTTATATTTTTCTCTTATACCAAAAGAGCACTGCTAGGAAGGTAAAGGTGCAAGGGAGGGATGATGGTGGTGGTGTGGAGAAGTGAGAGTAGAGGGGAAAACAATAGAAAGGGGGAGCAAAGTGTGGCAAGAATGAGTGAGGGACAAATAAAGAGAGACAGAGAATGAAGAGTAAAGATAAAAAGAGAGAAAGAAAGAGAGAAAGAAAGAGAGAGAGGGAGAGAGTGAGAGAGAGAGAGAGCACATGGCACAATGGCACAAAAGTCTACACAGACAAAAACAGCTGTGGAGACAGTAAAACAGAGTCAATCATGACAAGATGAGAGTTCTCTTTAACTTACACAGTATGGATGCTTTTTGCCCTGTTTGTCTATTCCTATAAAAGGTGGCTTATTTTTGTTTGCTTTTGTTTTTAACTCGCTTCATCCGTCTCAAATTTCGCTTCACGAAATTTCCAACAAGGCAAAGTCAGGTGGCAAAGCAGTTCTGTTGAGAAGTCTAGTGACTGTCAGGGGTCCCTTGACAATCATATCAAGAAATTCACATCGAAGTTGGCCCAGTCCTTTTTTGTCAACCCTCATTCACAGCCTGACTTATCACAGCACACCCTTGGTCCATTTAGTCCATGCTACTCAGGGCTTGGCTGTGCAGTCATCCACTCAGACTGTGTAATCTCAAAGCACTGCGCTGAAAAAAGCTCAGCGTACCTGCTGCTTGATGGTAGATGAGCAAGTTTCAAGATGCATCCTGTTTTTCTTAGTCTACTAGAAAGCAGTTTGATACTTTTCAGTGTGCAAGCAGATCCTGTGGTTAGGTTTCTGGGTGTGTGTAAGTGGTAAGATGGACTGGTGTACAATCTTGATTTTTTTAAGTTAAGTCCTGAGCAGAGTGCTTGTGATAGATACAGTGTTCAGCTGATCTGTTCCAACATGTTTTCTTTTTCTTTATGCAGTAATTAAACAGTGGCACTTAAGTAGTAACTCTCTCGGCTATTATCTTGAACCCAGCAAGTGGCAAATCTCAACTGCTGCTCAAACTTTGATCACTGCAGGAAAACAGTCTAAAATGGGCCACTGCGGGTTTTCAGACAGGCAAAGGTAACACGTTAGGAGTCAATATGTGATGGTAAGAAGAAGTGCCAAGAGTATGGCTGAATGCCGATCAAAGTCTATCTGTACTTGACCATCAAACCCTCCCATCAAAGTAACTTTGCCTTCTAAGTTTACATGAGGGGGAGTTCTAGGTTTAGAGTAACTATCGAGTGTAAATGTGTGTGTGTGTGTGTGTTTGTGTGTGAGTGTGTGCTTGTGTGCATGTCTTGGCCCCTGTTACTTTACAAGAGCTCGCACACTTCTGTGGAAGAGGGATTTAGGAGACTCAGGGTTCAGGGTTTTTGATAGTCCCATGTTTTCTTTGTGTTACTGGCTGAACACTTTCTTGACATCACAACAGCTCATACTGCCGCAGGTGCATCCGCTGAATTATGTCCCGACAGTCGTTGAAGACTCTGCGAATATTTTCTGTGTCGACAGCACATGTAAAGTGGGGGTAACAGTAGTGCCTTCCATCCCCACTTGCTGTACTAATCCTCTGTAAAAGAGAAAGGAAAAAAGGGAAACTATTCACAATGTATACATGAATGTCTATATATATGTTATGCCAATTACGTATTGCATGGATGGGCCCACTAACAGATTGATGTCTTGGTAATTCCATAAACTTTTGTGCCGATCATACGTAAATCGCTATTTTTGACTTTCTGAATTTAATTTAAACTCTGCTTATAACAAAAATAAGAGACTACAGATAGAATACTGCTCTGCCTTTGAAGAAAACCAAAACTTACAACTGTTTCATTTATATGGAACCAATTTATGTGGATTTGGTTCCCTCTGGGCTCTTCCATCACTCACAGCATATCAGTCTTCTAGGATCCACTACTATAGTTCCAATTTCAATCATAATGAAGGAACACATCACCCAGTGCAACATTCAATGCGTTGAATTTTGGTCTACAATGAGTAGCCAAGAGGAAAGAGATATATTGAGCAATACATGTTAGTGGTGTCACCTCATTGCAAACATGGATCATTGCTGGACCTCCCCCAAAAACAAATCTTTATCTGAGCACTTACCAGGAATTCATCTCTTATAAAGTACTTAGCCCTGGTTACACGGGGGTCCTCTCCAGGCTCAGGGGTCGCTGAGGGAGGAGAGAAGGGAAGTCAGCAAGTCTCAAATGGCATGGGACTTCTTAGGTCAACCAAGAGTTGATCATACAATTACCAGAATCATCTTTGGTACTCAAAAGAAAGCACATATATATTATTATGAGAGAAATAGTGAAACAAATGTCAAATTTTGCAGTGATTCTGCATTCTCTGAAATTTTTGAGGACAAGCAAAAAATTCTTAGAAACTGGGAAATAGTTTGAATAAAGAGGAGAGAATTGGGACATCTTGGTATTTTTCAGAGGTCATTGTTCAGTTGTGACAATTTATAGATCTAAAATTGAGAGGAAGTTTATCAAGTTCATATAAAGTTGAAAAAGGCCAACTGTAATCGAACATGCCATGGCCCTGGTTGTCAAGAACAAACTGTGAATATCTTGGCTGTGGTCAGCAGGGACGATTCTGGGATCAGAGTGTTCGGGGGTGCTCAGAGTGCTAGCCGGCCAAGCAAGAGAAGTTTCTGTTTTCTACATATATATGCAATTTTGGAGTACATTTTCTGTTATCAAAAGCTCATCTTTCTTCATTGTGTACCTATATTTCTGAAAGGAAAGCATAACACATTTTGGGTAGGGGGAGGGACGAATTAAACCAAAAAATCAGTTTAAATGCTGAGCAACAGCAGAGGAATGGACTGGAATCATAAAAGAAATCTATAACATGAAAAAGCAAACTTTATCTCTGAACTCCTGACAAATTGACTAATTTCTGCAGGAAGACAACATGTTTTTTATACAGCAACTCATCAACAAATACATATACACTTAAAGGGCATATATATATGTGTTTCTAAAGTAAAACTGCCCCTATGATGAGTACCATGAGTATTGTGAATAGAAACACCTATGCTGTTCAGATTCTCCAGTTTAAATAAATGGCAGTATGAATCTCTGCAAGTGAAAAAAGTCACAACTTCTCACCATCATCAGGTGTTGTGTAGCGAGCAAATTCAGGAAAGTATTCCTCAATTTTTGACTTTCCTGCCAACACCTTCTCTGCTAGCAAGTCCTGTTTATTAAGGAACAAGATGACAGAAATGGTCCGCAGCCACCTGAAGAGAACAAAACACTTATAACCAAATGCACACACTGCACCAGGAGACAGTTTGCTTATAAAGATACATACGAGAACAAATCACTGCTGTCACACAGTCAAATAAATAAAACTGTGTGAGCTTCAAAAAAGATAAGGCAGGGCCATATCTACCGCCCTATTTCATCAGCTCTTTTGAGAACAACATTTTAAGCATTTAGGAACCGAAGAGACCAACTGCTGTCAGTTTGAGAGTGGGATATTTACACACTTTTGCCAGATATACAGATTGAAAAGCTGCTAAACAGTTCAGGGTCTATTTTGTTGCATTTTATGTTTCATATTATGCCAGATATTTTCAAAGGGTGACAATTTAGGACTGCAGCTAAGCCAGTCAAGCACCCTAACTCTTTACTACAGGGACATGCTGTTTTATGGTGCAGAATGTAGTTAAGTATGGTCTTGCTTATATATGCAAGTTATCCCATGATGAACACGTTGAGTTGACAACATATATTGCTCTAAAACCTGTAAATATCATTCAGCATTAATGGGTGCCGTCATTAATGCACAGGTTACCCATGGCACATGCCCTAAAGCACTGTCATGGATTCTGGCATTGGGATTGTGTGCTGGTAAGTGAGGTAGACCTCCTTATCTTCAGCCCTTTCAGTCTCCATGATTTCCAAATAGAATATCACATTTTGATTTGCCTGATCAATGAACATTTTTCCACTACACCGCAGTCTATCATGGATTAGCTCAGCCCCAGCATCGGGGATGAATATATGGTCTTCTCTTTGCATGGCACAGTTCACAGACAAATGGTTCTTGGAAGTGTTCCTAATGCAGTGTTGTCAACTAAGTGAATTGTGTGTTTTTTATCGTTAATTAATTTAATGTAATTTAATTCAATTAATTAATTAATTTATTTTGTGTGTGTGTGTGTGTGTGTGTGTGTGTGTGTGTGTGGGGGGGGGGGTGTTGGATAATTGATATAATTACAAGATGAGAGTGCCACATTTTCCTATTTTTATCTAGTTGATTGGCTCCATAAAGTTGTTTGAATTAATTCTTTAAACCTGGATGACAATCACGGATGTTTTTTGTAATTCTTGTGCATATAAATAACAAAACCCTCAGAGTTGGTTTCAGTGGACATTTAACTAAGGTACAAATAAGCAACAAATAAAAGGACTTTGATGGTTAATTATAGCTTTTCCTTAGATCTTTGAGTGATCTAAAACCCTCATTATTGAGGATATAAAAGAGGGTACAATAAACACTGTAAGATCCAACGATAGGTCATGGGTCTGCTCTTTTAATTGAGAAGCTTAAAAAAAATGCTTGTTCCGTGTGCATTGTTTTCCCTACCTTCAGAGCCTGATAAGTTTGGGTTCAGAAACAATAGGTCCAATGTTTCTTTTACAGGATTGCTTACAAAAAACACAAAACATAAATCCATCTAACTTATAGGGAGGAACACTATACCAAACAGCTACCAAATGGGGACATGTTGATTCCGAGAGACAACTTACAAGGAGGCCGGACATAAATGACAAGTAAAACAACCTCAAATTTGGTAAACCACTTCATTCTGTAATTTTCTTTGGCAACAATTTCTTTTTCTTTTTTCTTTAATGTCTTCTTACCTGTTGTTCCAGATGTTCTTGAAGAGGTTGAGGGCCTCCTGTAAACGGTTGGTCTGATTGTCCTCTCTGATCACCATATTATAACTGCTACTGGCTACCACAAAGATGATGGCTGTTACATCTGAGGATGTGACAGAGACAAAGAGAGTCAGACACATTGAGATAAAAAGAACTGGGATGAGAGGAGTAAGCGGAGGCAGAAATAAACAAAGAACTACCGTTAAAGCACTGAATCCATTTGCGGCGTTCATCTCTTTGACCGCCGACATCAAACATACTGTGTGATTAAAACAAGGAAATTTAGGTTATCAGGTTAAATACTGCCTTTATGTGGACTTAATGCACATCTTGAGTTCTATACCATGGTCTCTTTGTATTAGCTTTGTAAAACAAAAATATTTATTGCCTTGTTAGCCAGATTTTTACTCACTGGAAATTAACTTTGTCCACTTGAAATCTTGTCTCGAAGATTCCTGAAGTCAGCACTCTGCATCGCAGCAAATCCTGATATAGATACAACAGTCATAAAAAGGTTGCCGAGATCATTTCAAATTATGCACCTACACTACAGGCCAAAAGTTTGGAAGAAAGATCAGATTTGTACAAAAAAAGACCATAGTTTCATATATATATAATTTGCAACACAATAAACATGACTATTGTGTAAAGAGTAACTTATAAGAAGACATTTTGACTATAACTATTAGGTATTTAAGCTTTTCTTGCTTAGACTTTGCTTTCTTTAAAGTAACCTCCTCTGGCTTTAACAACAGCTTGGCATATACCAGGCATTCATTCCACAAGTTTTTTAAGGTATGTTCCAGGGATTGCATTCCAAGCTTTCTTAAGTTCATTAAAAAAGAGACTGCTGAGTCGTGGGACGCGTTTTTCTGACTGATTGATCCAAGTCATCCCGCACAAGCTCAATTGGAGAAAGGTCTGGAGACTGAGGGGGCCAAACCATCTTTTGAAGAACACCTTCCTCTTCTTTTTTGTCTAGGTAACCCTGACAGAGCTTGGCAGAGTGCTTAGGGTCATTGTCTTGCTGCAAAACAAACTTATGAGCCACAAGTCTGAGTCCAGATGGAACAGCATGGTGCTGGAAGGTGGAGTGGTATTGATCCTTCTTCATAATACCCTTTACTTTAAACAAATCTCCTACTCCATCACCTGCAAAACATCCCCATACCATGGAACTACCACCTCCATGCGGAATTGTGGGTGTAACACATGGTGCTTTCAGATGTTCACCAGTTTGTCTGCGGACATAGGCTCTGCGTTTTGAACCAAACAGTTCAAACATGTTTCTAGTCATCATAAGTCCAATTTTTGTGAGCTTTTGCATACTCATATCTCTTTTTCTTGTTCTGTGGATGAAGTCGTGTTTTTTTGCAGATACACAAACCTTCAGACCAGCCTTTCTCAAACGTCATTTCACGGTTGTCAGAGATATGGGTTTCGACCTTGTCATGTTGATTTCCTCCCTTATTTTTGGTGCTGTCTTTCGCCGATCTCTCTTACTGGTGACAATGCTATGTTTTTTTCTATCATCATAACTTCCAGGTTCCTCTAGTCTCTTCAGAGTGTAGTGGACTCCTTTGTTAAACACCTTTAGGTGTTTTGCAATTTCTCTTTCTGTGTATCCTTCTTTCCTCAATGTACAAATCTGTACTTTTGTTTCTTTACTCAGTTGCTTCTTTCTAGCCATTTTTGGGGTAGTTTGAACACAGTTAAGATTTATTAGGATTTTTGTATGCAGGCTCTTTAAAGCCAAAAAGTTGAAGTGAATAATCCAACTGTGATTTTTTTTTTTTTTGCTTTTGCACTTAAGTTGTGACTCTTGCAAATGTTTTCAACCCTAAAACTAAGCCCTTATCTTTTGCAGACATATATTTAGCAATGGTCTGTTAACATCAATGTATATCTAAAGGTAAAGGGAGTAAAATGGTGCATTTCCATGAAAGCAACATCTGATCATGGAGTAAATACATCCCAAAATACATAAAACTGCTGGATTTAAAAAAAAGCATTGTGAACAAAAACTTGAAGTTACTCCCAACTGTTCGGCCTGTAATGGCCTTGCTTCCAAACTTTTGGTCTGTAGTGTATGTCATGCACTACATATTGCCCCAGTGCCCTTTTGATAATTCCTTTATTATCAGCTGAAAAAAATGGCATGATTTGTTCTTTCCTTATAAAGTAAAATAAAACTTTGATAAGTGATGCATAACAAAATTCAAGATTTGAGTTTCAAGATATTCAAACAAAAGTGTGTGCTGTATGAAATTTGAATTATGGCCATGTAAAACTCAGGGGACTATTTGTTAATATCTGATACAAGCCACATTGGAAAAGCCTCTTCTATTGAAATCTCTTAATGAAGATAATTAACTTACATGTTTCATAAGGGATGGGTAATATTAATTAAGAGATGACACAGGGTAACCCACCTGGTCCGTTGGAGTGTAGTCACTCTGTTTCACTATGTCGATTTTATCTAAAAAGCTGAAGTGAAAGAAAAAAGGAACATGTAAAAACACTGTTTATTTTACAGAAGAGATAGTGCTTCATCAATGAAGAAAGTTGAGCTTTGTTTACAGAATCTACTAAAAAGAAAAAAAAAACATAGGTTAAAAGAAAACAAACAAAAAAAACAAAACAGTTTAACCACCAATTATAATATTTGACTTCTCTGCTTCATTCCTATAATGGCAATAAAAAGCAGTAATAAAAGTATCTAAAAATGTTCAGCTCTGTGCAACTCTATTCACTTAATCACTGACTCTTTTTTTCACTTGGCAATCACTGCCAAGTCTAATGTTTCTGCTGTCAAGTACTGTTTTAGAGCTACAATTAAGACAAAATTTACATTTATTTTTGTATTTTGTGCAGACGAAACATTTTTATCTGAAAGAGTTATCTTCTGTTATTGACAAGGAGAAGAAGGGCCACTCCGAGCCTCTGCCATTAACTCAAATCTTCAGATCCTAAAGGTGAGATTAACCACCACACGTACAGGTTAACATAGAAAAACTCATTCACTTGTGCCAAAAAAGAACAACAGCAAAACATGTTTTCATTTTTAAACTTTAAGCTTATCCGTCAGCATAAAATGCAAGTCATCTGTAAACAATGGCCACTTTATTAGGTACACCTGTTCAATAGCTTGTTTACACACATAGCTTATCAGCCAATCACATAGCAGCAACTCAATGCATTTAGGCATGTAGACATGGTCAAGAAGGAAAAATGGAAGTCAACAACCACGTGCTGCAAACCAAGTATGCAGAATACCATCTCTGAACACACAACACATCGAAACTTGGCTACAGCAGCAGAGGTGACTATTTGCACAAGCTCACCACAGAAGATTAGAAAATGTTGCTTGGTCTTATGAATCCAGATTTTAGCCACAACATTAAGTTGGTGGATCAGAATTTGGTGTAAACAACTAGAAAGCATGGATTCATCCTGCCTTGAATCAATGATTCAGGCTGGTGGTGGTGTAATTGTGTGGGGGATACTTTGTGCCCCCTCGTATCAACTGAGCATCATTTCAACTCCACAGCCTACCTAAGTATTGTTACTGACTATGCCCATCCTTCATGACCATAGTGTACCATCTTCTGATGGTTACAAGCAAGGTGAACCTAATAAAGTGGCTGGTGAGTGTATTTTTATCATATTATGCAGAGATTTACATACTGTCACTTTACCATGTATTCTGGTTATCAGACAATTTTGTGTTTGACATCTCAGTTGGTAGAAAAAAAGAGAAGGACAAAGAAAGAAAAACAGAATGAAATACCAGTGGCGCCTGTCTGACATTACAGAGCAGATTTCAAAAATAGCTTCCCAGCGCCCTGGCCTCCAGCATGGTTACCATGGAGACCCAACCATAGATGCTATTAATAGTCCATCAGCTTCAAATCTACAGCAGCTTGAGTAGCTCAAGAAAAAATACAGACAGCCATACAAATTGAGGTAGAAAAAAGACAGACAGAAAAGAAAAAGAAAGCAAAGCCCAGATTTGCCTGTGTTTTTGAGCTGGATGTGTGGGCAAAAAAGTAACGTAGTAATGAACTGGAATGTGCCATCACAACCACCTGAAGGTGAAAGAATTGGTAACAGTTTAACTTAGAGTGCATCTTAAACACAAAACAAACCAACAAAAGTGATATGTATACTAAACAGTGAGGTTACAGGCATGTAATCCACAGCTGTTCTGCCATAACATCACCCCTGTCCTTCCTTAAATCTCCACTGATCTGTGGATGACTCAGCCTTAGCCATGTTTGCTCCAAAACACTGCAAAATGCTACTGTTTCATTTCAGGGAAACTCTGAAATAATATAAATAATAACTAAAAAAAGCTGTTGCAATCACTTATGAGCTGTCAAAATCACACTACATTCACTCTTGTGCAATTTCTTAATAATGTATTTCCAAAAACAAGTTTTTAAATTCCAATGGTTTGTTTGAGAACATAAGAAGATGCATGGACAACACATAAGGCACTGTGGTTGAAAGAAATCTTGGAAGACTGGGTCTATATGGGCTAAGATGTGTGCCTGGATATAAATAATTATATTGAATTTAAAAAGCTTGATTTGAAATTGAAATTAATGTTTTGAAGCTGAATTTATCTGCTTTGAAACTGTATTTAACCTACATGAAAATTCAACTCTATTTTTCTTATATTCAAAAATAAAAAAATCTGTTTCAGTTCACACAGTTCAGATTCAGTTTTACAATTCAATTTCAGTTCAGCGTGGCACAACCATTACATCATCTACATCCATGAGGAAGAGTAATGAAGAGATTCACACAGCTCCTATTCACGTCTGCCAAGACTCCTCTATGGTCTGTGGCTTCACAGATAAATGTCCACCTTATCTCTTGTCCTTACCATAGGCACTTTTCAGCTGGTTAGACTTAACTTTCAAACACATTCTCACTCAGTAAAACACATTGTGCACTGTGATGTACTTGTGTTGTACAATGGTAAGCACAGCAAATGTTGGACACATTTAAAGCTTAGGTGTCACAGCTTAAACACAACAACTCAAAAATTGCTCACACTTGTGGCTAATGATGCGAGGAAACAAACATACGCCAGTTCAGAGGGGGTTGTCCCCTGTTGCCTGGTCAGTGAGAATGTGGCCTGTGATGTGGATGAAGTCCTGTGGCCTGACCCAGCATACAGACATGATGATGTGGCTGAACGATTGTAGATACTGTAAGCACTTGAGTTTGATTTTGTGGTTTACACTGTAATGTGCTTCTTGTTTATATTTGCTTTTACTTTATTTTTACTGTATACAGGTGATAATTTCACAGAGGATTTTCTTTTTTATTTGCAAAATTCATTTAGCCTACGTGAACAATAATTTCTACAGTTTTATGTCCTGAGCATTGTGTTTTCCATTTCTTATGTAGTGTAATGACTGCTCAGTAGTGTTTTTCATTTTGATTGATTTGGGCTATGATCTGACAACATTAATATTAATATTTTATTTTCACATTTAAGGAAATAGAGTTGAATTTTCATGTAGGTCAATTCATGAAGATCAATTCAGCTTCAAAACATTAATTTCAGTTTCAAATCATGCTTTAAAAATTCAATATAATGATTCAATTTTAGTTTCTAGTGGCACAAATCTCAGCCTGTAGGTCTAGATAATCAAGGAGCCCCAGAAACTTACACTTGCATGTATTTGACACTGTGAATTGCATCACTTAAAGATGGATTGGTTGGCTACACTGTACAAAAATGTAAAAACAGTTTACGACTTCTTCCATTAATATTAACAAAACCTTTGAATAGGCAGGATGTACTGATGCAAATTTACCCACTGAGTGCAAAACTTCAGGTGATATTATACAGCTGCCACTAGATGTTACTGTGGAGCCAAGAACAGTATCAGTTATGTATATCATCACTTTACTCCTAAGATTTAATCTTGCTAAATATATGTAAGACACACACACAGGAGATGCTGATGAGCACAGCCCTTATTAAAAGCTGCAAAGGGAGATATCACAGCTCTGTGCCACAGAACTTGGAGCAAAATGTCATTTTCTCAAAGTCTGAGCTACATATTTTATAGCTTCACTCCTTAAGCTTGCATTAAAACAGCTCTTTTCTCAAAGAGTATTCATTTGACCATGTGGGGCACTGTTTGACCATGCATGCATCAAACAGCAGCAGCAGCAGCAGCAGCAGCAGCAACAGAACAGCTGTTTTGGTCAGCTGTGGATAGGGGAAACATGTCATGTTGACAAACTGCCATCCACAGTGAGGATTATTATAAAGTGGATGCCTAAATGAACCAGAAGATAAAGAGGTATAACTTTTAACTTAGGCATAAAAAAGGAAGGGAAAGTTTGGTGAGTGTTAGCTAAGTTAATTTATGTATTCATTGATTAAATGTCAGCTCAGGCAACTTAAGTGTTGTGTACCACAGCAAATTTTTACCCAAACATCCTATCAAAAATGTTAAAAAGCTCACATGCCCTTAGGCAACACAGCATATACTGTACAGAAATAGGCTGCCTGACTGAACAATGTCATATACTGGTATTCAAACAACAGCATACACCACTCAGACTAATAGTGATTCTACTCAAAGTGGGAGGGACTCCAGAAGCTCTGAGTAAGATTAGCTCTGTGTTGCTTTTCCAACCAACCAGCGTTAAAAAATGGTGATAGTATTGACTGCCATCTATTCATTACTCTCATGTTTCAGAAGTATTTCATGCAAACTCATTTGTTGTGCTTTTTAAATTGGAACTTAAGCAATGTTCTGACAGCAATTTGTGTGTAGCCCCATCTTCTATAGCTGCCATTACTGTGGTGGCAAACTGTCATTTGTTTCTGATAAATAAGTTTGGACAGCCATCGATGACAGTATCTTGAACAGACCATCTTAACATTATCTGATTTTACATACGAGGCTAAGACCTTTCAAAATCGTATGCAAGACATTTTATGAAGTTTTAAGAGAATTTTGGACATTTTAAGGCCTTATATTCAAAATTATTGGATTTTAAAAGTTCTAAGACTTTTTAAGACCCCCCTGGATACCCTGTTAAATTTAATCATCGCAGACATGTTGCCTTAGCATTGTGGCATTTCCTATACTCTTGCTGATGTGGACTGACTGTGAGGATTTCATGCATCTCTTCCCTTATTAACTCGTTAGTACAGGAATGACCTGAAACCATTTTGTTTACGACCTGGAGATAATCAACAAAATGCCATCCACAATTCACAGTCATACGGACAAAAGAGCAAATACTTGTAATATTATTCATCTAAAGATATCTAAAGGGTTACTAAAGACAGTGGTTCCCAAACTTTTTCTGCCAGGCCCCCCTTTGGCAGATAAAAATTATTTCAGGCCCCCCTACCCCTGACCGTACACTTCAACTTGTAAATGAAAAATATGTAAATGGATAAAAAACACACCGTCTGTCACAAACCGCTATTGTTTTCTCACTGCACGTCTGGAGAGATGTGCATTATGAGCGCCTGCAGCCCTCCCTGTCTCCCAGCAATTGTTTGAGCCCCGTCTGTGCAGATTCCCACACAGTCCTTCCATTTTAAATCAGCATTTTTTCAACTAAGTGTAAATGATGTTAAACAACTCATCCGCAGTGGCCCTGTTTTTTTACAGGTTTACAAAGAAGCAATTCCTCCCTCAAATCATCAGTAGAGACGAATCTGACGTATGTTATCAATAAACAGTCCTTGTTGCTATCAGTGGCCTCGTCCACCTGCAGAGCAAAATGGCTGTCTCGTATCTTGTCATTGAGCTGTTCCTCAATATCTTTTGACATGTCATAAATGCGCCGTGCAATGGTACTGTTTGATAGAGGGATAGTCCTCAGTTTGTTGGCAGCTTCATCAATCATTGTTGAAACCATATCAATAGCTGCAGGCCATATTAATTCCTCAGCAATGGTGTGTGGTTTCTTACATTTTGAAACTCTGTAGGCTACTTTATAGAAGGCAAGTTGCACATTTGATGTAGAAACAACTGTGCTTGTAAACGCATTCTGTTGTGTACAACAGCTGAGAAGTTTTTTCCTAAAGAATTCCACAGGTTTGTCTGTGTGTGGTGTAAGTGGCATTTTAGCTTGTTTGGCTTCATGCTGTCAGAAGCTAGTTCTTTTAGGCATAGCACACATTACGGTCTCTCTTCATTATCCATGTTGTATAGGTGAAGGTAAAGGCGAGATATAAATCATCATATTTTCTTGACTTTGCTTTAGTATTTTTTTGTTGTAGTGTCATTGTCGCCGTTGCGTTTTCCCAGAGGTCCATTGACATTTGCCGTGGTTAGCAGTGCAACACAATGTGCATTGTTTTTATTTACCCTTGTCGCAGCCCCTCTGGTTTTTTTTTGTTCAAAGTTAACAAAATGTTAGTTTGTAACAGCCTGCATTGGAACATGCCAATGTTAAGGAGACACACCCCTGAAGGAATGGCAGCTTGATGACTTCTGGTAATTTGTCGGACTTGTCAATACCAGTCACTAGTCCTCTTTAGATTAATACAAATGGCTTAGGTTTACAAAACAAAACCACCACAATATTTCAAAAGCCACCTTTCTACACTTGTAATTTGGCAGTGCAAACAAATAAAAAAAAAAAAAATGCAACATAGTTAAAAAAAAAGGACAGTAGTTATGCAGGGGCCTATATGATTTCTTCACAACTGTTGTAGTGTATTGCACTTAGTGTTCAAGTGTATCTGGACTTGCAGTGGGCACTTACTATTGGGCACAGTCAATCAGCTGGTACTCATTAGATCTCTCGTAGCACGCTCTGACCCCCTCATCCTGCCACAGCGTCTTCGCATGGTCGTAAAACTCCTATGTAGTGGGGTATATAAATACATAACTGTCAGACATCGGACACTTACAATACATAATTTATTCTTCCTGCTTAAAGAAAAACATGATATTCATTGCAATTATATAGAGCTTATTTAATATAAATAAATAAATAATAAATAAAACAGGGACACATAAACTCAACTCTATTCAAAAGCAAAGTCTGATTACCTGCTGCATTGTCAGTGAAATATCCTACAACTTTTCTTTGATTTTAAAAGGCAAATAAATAGTTTATTAGCTCAAAGAATTTAAAGTGCTGTTACAAGCAGGAAGAATATGTACCATCCACAGTGTGTATCTAAGGGCACCATGACAAGCTGTGCTTTTGTTGATACCACATGCAGTGTTCGTTGAACCGAGGCAATGCCTGGGTACATGTCAATAAAGGTAAATAGAGGTGGAAAGAGAAGACATTTCACAGCACCAAGGCCCTGTAGACAGACTCACTCACATGCTTGGATACATCATCAATTAACAATTTCATGAATGGAAGGTGTCAGCTAGAAACTTTTTTAACAATGCTGAAAAACCGTCTAAACTCAGTGATCCAAGTACAACACTCAAGCTAGTATGCATTGATAATAGGCACTGTCGTACAATTAGATTAAGTTTAGGGACTGAGCATCCTGAATAATAACTCAGCAGTGGTGTCAATATAATAACTTTTTTGTTTTGTTTTGTGTCACAAAACAAACAAACAAGCAAGCAAAATAGAGTTGTACGCTGTTAGTCAAAAGCAGCCATAACAAAAGACTTCGTTATTAGTTTGTTTATGTATTTTGACAAGAAGTTTCCTGGAATATTTCATCAATCGGTTTATCATTTACAAATTTGAATATTTTTTGCTTTATTGCTTTATTTGCAACCATAAAACTTAAGTTTAAGGTGTGTGAATTTAAAGGGACATTCTGGCGTAAAATTAATTTAGAGTCAAACACACCGTAACACATTACTTTATAATTTCCTTGAAGTAATAATCATCATATTAATTATTTTGCACTGCAGACGCAGTAGTTCTTCTGCCTTAGTGTCTTGGTCTGATTGTATTTCCATGAAGAAATGATCATAAATGTTCTTCCTTGAGCTGTGTCACCCCGCTGTAGTCCATAATGGACTGGCCTGAGGTCTCGCTGCAAACAAGCAGCTGCTGGAAGAGAGTAGGTGAGGTGTGTTTAGTCTCTTTACTAAAGAATTTAGGCAAATCTAAAAAGATGAATGGTGGCTAATAGTATGGCCAGGACCCTATATGTACTGTTGATGAAGTTAGGTGCTGTTCTGAGCATTATTCGTGGCTATAGAGTGGCGTTTTGGTTGAGGTTTTTTTATGGCTCCTCGGACCGCTGTGTATTACTATCGTGTGGTGGTAAATAAAGTTGGTATAACTAGAGAAGCAAGCGGTTGGCAACATTCATCTCTCGAGGGGGTGTCTAATTCGGTGTTGCAGTGTGTTTCACCCTAAATTAATTTTACACCGGAATATCCCTTTAACAAAGCACATACGGATCAGGCCAACAAAAGCGTTTTTAGTATGTGTACAGCCAGCACAGTGAATTTGTTTTTTTACACTGTAACCATGACTTATTAACCTGGTCACAACTTTTCTTTCTGGGATCAATGACAATAAAAAATAAAAAAGAAGATCAAACTATGGAAAAGAAAGGAAACATTAGAAAAAGCAACAAAAAAATTAACACATGCAAAACAGGATGATTCAAACATTTCACAGTGTCACTAAGACTGCAGATAGTTATAACGGTAGTTCATGCAGTTACAATAGCTTTATTTTATTCAACAAAGTCTTTCAAATATTATTCCCATATACAAGGTTAAACCTTTTTTTGAATAATTGGTTTGACAGCGTTTTTGAAACATTGAGTTTTGACATTGGATGGGTATCAATAACCAGTTCCTGTTAAGAATCCATTCGGATTGTTTCATTCCATTTACATCATTAGCCTTTGTGCTTAACAATTCCCTTGTCAATTCTTTACATTACAAAGGAGCGGCAGGACCTTACATCTATGCAAGGTGACGTGCCACTTGTCAATCATGCTCATCAGTGAGCACCAGAATTTCCAAGACAATGGCAGAGAGATTTAAGCAACCAAACGTTGGATTCACTTTACCAAAAACAACACTAACAATGCAAAGTGAAATTTGTGCAATGCTGTAATATCATGCATGGGCAACACCACCAACATATTAAAACATTTGTCGACTCACAGCCTTAAATACCAAGAGTGTCATGAGTTCGACAAACATTGGACAAGTGTAGCCGCTGCAACTTCTCTGCAGAGCAAAGCAGTAAGTTTCAACGACAGATTCTGTGACATTATTTGACAAAGATGAAACAAATGCTCTACAAATATTCTGTCATTAGATCCATTTTAGACAATACTACAGGTAGACAGAGCATCTCTGCTGTCTGCCCTTGCTCTCAGCACTTTTGGCTACCTATTTGTATGTCCAAGCATCTTCAATCTTTAGTGGAATTGATAATGACATTGGTATCAATAAAATCTTATCAATACCCATCCTTAGTTTCGACAGAGGTGAGCTGACATGCAGTAAACAAAAACATCTGTAATGCAACTGTGAATAATGTCATAACAAAGGGGCATTCTCATGTAAAAATCAAGGTTTGAAAATTCTCCACTAAAACAAACACTGTTATTAGTGCTTTGGTTAAGAGCTTCCTAAAAACAGCTAAACTACATACACTATCTTTAAAAATATATTTCTTCAACAGCGGCTTGGTAGTTGTTTTATAACTGATGTTTTCAAGGCTGATTGAGGCAATTCATTCCAACAGTATATGATCATTTATATAAGGGAATTTGGATGTGGCCAGTGATATGTTTGTAGAGGTGTAAAAAGGTGTTCTTAAAGATGACTACTTGTTTTTTATCAAAATGTAAACAGGCTATCAATGTCATATTAAAACTATGGACCAATTAAACTGGGCAAAAAGAGAACCTCAGATGTGACACTATTCATTCCCATAGGAAGGTTTAAATTCAATATCAGTTTCAATGTAGGCCATACAAACAAGTAAAACTAAAAGTTTTGATAAGGGTCATGCTTCTGCCTCTGCATCTTAACTTTCACTTAGTCCAATTAAAAAGAAAAAATATTCAAAACCATTTTAAGAACATAAGAAACATAGCCACTGGAGCTGGTAGGCAGACACTGTCTCAGAATTGTGTGCAAGTTCAGCAATACAACTGTCTGCAGAAGGACATCATAAGTCTGTATGTTCATGAACAAGAAACACTTAAAGCTGCCTTAAGTCCTCCATAAGTCCTCCATAACTGTCTATATCATACACAAGATGTTGAACTAATTAGTTCCTTGTGTCAACTGATACATTTATTAGCACAAATAAAACCACTCTTCTTTGAAGAACACATAGACACAATCACATAAGGAACATAAGGACACTTATTCTAATCCAACACATAGACTCTTGGTATGGTGACCAAACTGCAGATCTGCCAAAAACACACACAACCCAATTCCAACTAAGTTAAAATATCAATTAAAAAACAGAATACAATGAGTTTCAAGTCCTTTTAGACCTATATTCAGTTGTATATGCTACAAAGACAAGATATTTAACATTCAAACTGACAAACTTAATTGTTTTTTTTTTTTGTCTTTTTGCAAATATTTACCCATTATAAATTTGACGCCTGCAACATGTTTGAAAAAATTGGGATAGAGCAACAAAAGACTGGGGAAATTGAGAAAAACTGAAAAAATGCCAGTTTGACCATTTCACAAGTGAACAGGTTCATAAGAAACGGATAACTGTCATGACTGGGTATAAAAGGAGCCCCCTTGAAAAGCTCAGTCGTTTACAAGCAAAGATGGGGTGAGGTTCACCACTTTGGAAACAACTGCCTGAACAAATAGTCCAAGAGTTTGAGAACAACTTCTCTGAACACTCAATTGCAGGAATTTAGGGATTCATCATCTACAGACCATAATATCATCAAAAGATTCAGAGAATCTGGAGAAATCTCTTCACGTTAGCAGCAAGAACCAAAAACAATGTTGAATGATCGTGACCTTTCACCCCTCAGGTGGCACTGCAATAAAAAACTGACATCATTCTTAAAAGGATTTTACCATGCAGGCTCAGGAGGACTTCAGGAAACCACTGTCATTTAACTCAGTTTGTTGCTACATCAACCAGTGCAAGGTCAAACTCTACCATGCAAAAACAGAGCCAGATATCAACAACAGCCAGAAACACCATTGGCTTCTTCAGGTCTGAGCTCATCTGAGATGGACTGAGGAAAAGTGGAAAAGTGTGCTGTGATCTGATGAGTCCACATTTCGAGTTGTTTTTGGACATCATGGACTTTAGTCTTAAAGATGAAAAGGACCATCCAGATTAATATCAGGTCAAAGTTTAAAAGCCAGCATCTGTGATGGTCTGGGGGTGTGTTAGTGCCCACGGCATGGGTAACTGTCACATGGGGAAAGGCTTCATTAATGCTGAGAGGTACATACAGCTATTGGATCAACATATGCTGCCATCAGAGCCACGTCTTTTTCATGGACGCCCCTTGCTAATTTTGACAAAACAATGCCAAGACACATTTTGCACGTGTTACAACAGTGTGGTTTCTTAGTGAAGAGTGCGGGTACTCGACTGGCCTGCCATCAGTCCAGACATGTCTCCCTGAAAATGTGTAGTGCATTATGAAGCGCAAAATACGAAGACAGAAACCCCAGATTGTTGAGCCACTAAAGTCATTCCTCAAGCAAGAATGATAAAAAATTAGTGAACTAGTGTCCTCAGTTCACAAAGGCTTTTTGAGTGTTGTTAAAAGGAAAGGTGATGTAACACAGCAGTAAACATGTTCCTGTCCCAGCTTTTTTGGAGCGTGTTGTGGACATGAGTAAACGTTTACAAAAAACAATAGAGTTTATCAGTTTGCACTTTATTGTATTCTGTTTTTATTTGCGTTTTACACATCTCAACCTCAATACAACTTGGGGTTTGTACTATACTTTCCATTAATTTTTAATCATTAATCATTAATGCTTCAGACAGTCCTCAAAAAATATAGTTACAAAAATGTTTTTGATTACTTTAAATCTATAAAAATACAAATCAATATTTAAATGCTCACTTAAATATGATCAGTTTTCGGTTCTTAACTCTCTTGTGCTTTCCACAAGCAGGTAAATTGAAAATTTAATCAAGCCTGGCACCAATGGCTGTGAATAAACAATTGAGGCTGAGGTTTAGTCTCTTAGCTTGGACAATTAGTAAATGAGAAACCCCCTGTACTGATCCCAAGACTAAACTTAGACAGAAATTACCCATAAGTCCTCGGCAAACCTCGTAGAGTACTTCCTATATCAGGGGACTATCATCTGAGACTTGAGAACAACCAAATTGAGTGTAACACAGGGCACTGAGGAAATGTTCCTCAAATTTGTTAAGAAGCAACTAGAGCAAGTAAAATATGTCAGTGCAGCTATTCGAAGTTAAAGAATTAAGTAGTTCTACTCAAAGTCAATTTTAATCACATGGTAAAAAAAAGTGTTTTATACAGAATATGTTTTTTAAATTATCCCATTTCTGAGAATGTGTTTTGTATGTGTAAGTGTTTTTTCACTTTCTATTTTGTAATACTCACAGAGGGAAACTCAAAGTCCTTCTGGTTGACAAGGTTGAGGATGTATTCGATCTGGTACCTGTTTTCTGGGCACGCCAACTGCACAGGTGGTGTAAGAGTGCTCATGGCTGTAACTATGGTCTGACAAAAACATAAAAACAAAATGTAGAGAAGGTTTTAAAGACAGAAGACATACTTCAATACAACCAAGACAGCAAGACAATTTGATTCAACCAAATGAGGTAACTGGACTTGTTTTGGTGTTTTAGTGAACTGATGAAAAAAGGCGCTTACACAGCCACTTACCTCAATAGCTTCTTTGATATTATTTTTGATGTCCTGGATTTTTTGCTTCTTCTCTCTGAAACAGACACACAGTGACAGAGAAAATCATGCCAGGGAACATTGCTGTAGTGCTCTACCCTGCAGACATGGATGAGTTCAGGCAAGAAGTATTTGAAAAAACAACAAGATAAGACATTCAAAAGCTCAATAGTTTTCAATGACGCCATTTTCACTCTTGCTTTTGTTGAGGATAACTAAAAATAACTTAATTATAATAAAGGATAATCACTCCATGAACACTGCTTACAAAACCACTCAAACTAAAATGAATAAACATAGAGACATTCAAAAATTTTGCCATTTTGTATTCACCATAGAAACTAGCCATTAAAGATGACATGGTCTTTTTTTGTCCTCAACAGAGGATCCAGGATGCAAGTAATGTTTTTCACATAGCAGAAAATGCACTCAATGTTACTCTGACATGGTTAACCACAAAGTGCTGTTAATGTTGACTTTGAAAAACAAACAGATAAGTGCATGTATGATAGGGAAATTGTGCCTGCTATAAACACAACTTTTGGAATCCCTTTGGCAGAAGTTATATTATGTGCCACTAGAAAGACAGTCTGGCCAACAGGATGCTATTTTTTGCAGTTGCTTTTTAATCTTACATTAACATATGTAAGATTAGAATATGTTTTCAAGACTATCTGAATTCAAATATTTATTAGATTTTTAGACAAAAGCCATTTGCATTCTAAAATGTAGATTAGATGAGATTAGATTGGATTGAATTAGATCAGATGCAACTTTATTTATCATTTTGGGAGTTCCCTCAAGAAAATTAAAACATTGTATCCATATGTCTGACAAAAACAAAGGCTGAATAATTCTTTAACAACCTAATGACTCTAAAAAAAGAAGATATTTATTGCTACCCTCTCATCCCTGGAATTGGGTTAAAAAATGGTTATGGTGCATGGTGATGTGACCGTAAACTAGTCCACTCAGGAAAGCTCTGAGTTCAAACCTGACTTGGGTTTTCTTTGTGGAATTTGAAGATTTTCCCTTGGTCCACTTTAGCTTTAATAGGATGCACTTATTATAATAAGACAAGAAAGTTACATTAATTGTTCCTTCTAACTTTAGGTAGGTAAGTTCTCTTTGTCTCTATGTGTTTGCTTTGTAGTAGACTGGCAACCTGTTTAAGGTGCCCATCATCTCAAGGCCCTCTAAGGATAAGTAGCATAGCTTATGGATCATCAATTTCATGCCTCAGCAATGTTTTGATGATTAAAAACAAGTCGAAAATAACGTCATGTGTTGTTGTGCTCACACAGTGCGAGTAGAAATCATTAGTGGCGCATTGATATTAATGATCATGCGAAATTTCAGTTACGGCGCACGCAATTCAGCCGCAGCGATGTGCCGCTGCTGAATGAATGTAGGGGAAACACGGTATTTGTATTAACTAATCCCATTCACACATTGCTGGACACAACCGGCAGGACAGGCTGGGGTCAACTGTCTTGTCAGGAACAATTTGGCAAGTGGATCCTGGGATCGAACCCCTGACCTCCCGACTGATCGATGACTGACACTACCACTGAGTCACATCCGCCGCTTTAGTCAGTTAATGATGAGGATGTATTTGCTCAGACTAAAACACAAATTGTTAACAAAAGCTGATTTTTGTGGTCTGCAAATCATTTAAATCCTCTATATGTAATTCAAAACGGACCAAGACAGCATGTCAAATTTTGGAATTGAAATTTCTGAATTTCTGAGATTGATGCTACAAACTCATTTCAAAATAGTTGGGATAGGCATGCACAGCAATGTGTGTCCTCATATCTTTTTTCAACAACTCTCAGTTATCAGCATTTTACATGGTACCCAGCTTTTTGGGGTTGTACATCTTTATTTACTTATGCTGGGATACTGTACATACTTTCTTGCTGCAATGCTATGATACTCAGAAACTTGTGATAGGTACGTGTCACAATATTTGTTCTTTAACAAATTCCATCAAAAATTCACTTTAATGCACAAGTAAAACCAATTGCAACTCCTACAGTCAGGTTAAACAAATCTTAAATTTATTGTGTATGTCTTGAATTCTATTTTAGAATTTGATTCATGAAAGCTTGATTTATTCTCACAGTACCTTCACAAATTAATTTCTATGTAGTTGACAGAAAAATAAAACTAGATTAAAAAAAAAATTAAAAAGAGGGTAAGAGATCAAGCGGTTCATATCAGGGGGCCTTGTTTAAACCTGTAACTTGTAAGCCATTAAGAATGACATGTTTTTGTGTAAGCTCATCAAGTTTACTGTACCATCTACATGCACATGTGGATACAGAGAGGGAAAAAGACAAGAGAGTAAATACAACTTCTTGCAGTGATGCTAACAAGGTATACATTCAGGTAACCTAATATACTGTAGAAGATTTTTGTTAGAGGACAAGCAGATGACACAGTCTGTAACTGGAATCAAAAGTGGAACTTCCAGAGCTGTCTCATACAGCTTCTGAACCCTTCAAAAACACAAGTGATGCAACTCTCAACAGAACGCCATACCCAGAGGCAGCTCATTCATAGTTCAGAAGGAAAGATAAGTAACTTCACCAGTTAGGCATCCTTTCCTGAGAAAATCAGGCCACCAATTGGAGTCGGAATTCATCTTGTCACTTATCCCACTTAGTCTTACCATTAGGTAAGCACAACAGTTATTTCTGTCAACCAAACTTTCACCACAAATTTTTAGGACCTTTTTAATCCAAAATCAGTTAATTTGTGCTCTGCCTGAATCGAGACCTTTTGAAACCTGTCTCTATGCAATGTGGAGGCCCATGGTCTGTTTAAGCAGAATCTTTAAAACAGACATTCATTTTCTCACACAAAAGCAACACCGATAACAAGTTCAACGATAAAAATACATAAAAGCAAAATGTTAATCATTTAAAGATCACAGCTCACTACAAATACAGATAAATGGCTATACATCCTTAAAATCCAAGCATGCAAAATGTCACACAGAAGTGATGATGTGAATAGCGAATAGAGACGTCCACCTACCGGACACACACAGCTCAATGTTGTGGAGTCATGCTCTGGGTCATATGCTATTGGTTGCTTTTGGTGTAAACTCTCATGATAAACCTTGCTTAGTATGCCAGCAGTACGCAAACATGCAAGTAACCTACTGTAACCAAGCGATTTAAGTTTACCTTACTGTACACACTTAGCAACAAAAAAATTCACATACATCAATGTGGAACTGCAATAAATTCATCACAGCAATCTAGATTACGGCTAAAACAACTGCTTTATGGCAGCACACGTTAACTCTCTAAAAACACATTGTTCAAAAAGGCGAGCGCAGAATACTATCACATAAAACTCAGTTACATTAGCATGAGCAACCCCCTGGCTTAAAGCTATGGTCTACCATTTGGAAGCTTGGTACTTATTAATAGCATCGTTTATAGGGCAGCTATGGTCCTATGGTCCTATGGTCCGATCTACGCAATGCATCTGATACAATACATACAGATCAAAAAGAACGAAAAAAATCCATTCAGTATATCCGCTGCCAAAAGGCATAATAATCGACCAAGAGTGGTCCGTAAATCCATCCAATCCCCTGTCTCCCCTGCTCTGCACTGTCCCGCCCATGGTCCCGCCTCCTTCCCACTACCCCCCTCATGTACATGTGATTAGCTAGCTGCACAGCTAATGAAGGGTAATGGAGCCTGAGAAGACAAACACCGAAACCAGGAGGCCACTTCTGTTACCCTCCACATCAAGGAAGTTTCGAGGAAAAGGCTGAAGTAGGGAAGAAATATGAGCGATACAGGTGCCAACGGAGCGTCTACATTGGAGAAACGTACGACCGGTGTTGTGCTGTAGAATGTACCCCTGCCGTAGAATGCACCCCTCCATTCCATCCACTCATTACCTTCTTAAAGTGGAGGAGAATGATCTCATATTTAAAAAAAAAAAAACAACGAATATTAGATCATGACAGCATGTCAAATGGAGCAGCAAACTTTCTTTCTGTTTTTATGTGGCTCAAAAATGCACATATAGAGGTGTACTTGGGTATATAAACTGTACAGTAAACTGTCAAGTTAGAGAACATTATATTTTCGGGACAGCAAATATTCCGAATCACAGGGCTATTTTTTCGGCTCATCTGAATAGTCTGAATGAAATCATTAAAGGCACACGCTTTTGAATCCACCCAACGGTAAGGAAAACTTGTATTATTTTGCCTTGTTATGTACTTTCAACCGCACTCCCATCAGGGGGGGCATTCTACGGGGTAGGATCTTGGAACACGGAGGGGAGGGGTGAGTGAAGGGGGGGCAGGCTGCAATTTTTAATCTGTCTCAACAGCCAAACTGGTTTTCAGATCGTAGACCATAGCTTTAAACGGAAGTATTGAGGAAATACATTAAACTAGAAAGTGAAAACATCCAACAGCCACTTGAAATATAATATAGTGGTTTGTCTTATAATGTTTTATCATACTCACTCTGCATTGAAGCCGTTGACATGTAAGATTCTCATCTGTTTTACTATGGTGCTCTTTCCTGATTCTCCAGCTCCTGATAAGAAAAGAAGAGAAGATTAGGGACCTGAAATACAAGACCACACACAAACTTGGTGTGTTATTGTTTTTTTCCCCTGATCTTATTAACAATATCTCTTTACCTGACTAAAACATTGTCAGGTTTGAAGTTTTTAAGCTCTTTTGGCTGTGACTCATGTCATGAACATAAATGAAATTTAACAGACATTGTTTGGCAGGTAGCACAAAACTTTACAAAAAAAGGACAAACTTTGGGTCAGACACATGAGGTAGTCCTACTTTAGACTTGGCTCTTACTGTGGGTCTTCTGAATCGAAAATGTTTCCCCTGCCTAAATGACGATCACAGATAATTGATGCATATGTGATGTATTTCTATTGCGTTTAAGGGAAAGGTTTAAGGCCTCTTATGTTTTAAGATGTTGTTGCATGTGTTGCCCAACAGACTCCTGAGAAGAATACCATTAATAAAAAAACATGAAGAAGTGCAGACCTGTCTTGCCTTTATTGGTGTTCTTATGCATTTGTCATTAAGTTCTGGACCCTGCATAAAAGTATTAAATAAATTATGCAGCTCTGAAATATTTCACGTTTGACATTCATAAAAAACAGGAAACCTATTGTTATGAATGTCAAACGTGAAATATTACATGTTTGACATTCATAAAAAAAAAAAGTACAAAACACCATTTTTCAAAACACTCCGTTAAAGAAGAAGGCATTTTTGTTGTTCATCAATCAGATTCACGAGCCAAAGTTTTTTAAGAGTAGGATGCCACCACGTTTCAAGAATTCTTGCTTTGCCTTTACTGCAACTTCTCTTTAATTTTATAGAAAATGCTTTTGTTTTTTTTTATCTGTAAATTTTGCTTGTTTTGACTAGAGGTCTCTGTGAGGAGTTTTCAACTTATTTTAGGACTAAAATTAATTCTGATGCATCCTTATGACCTATAAAAGCAAAGAACATCATCAAGATGAACAATTTCTACATCATAGGTATAGGTGCCTGAAGCCGCTGTGAGGAGATAGGTGTCAAACCAGATGACTTGCAGCAAGTGGAAGAAACTACCTTTCTCTATTTTTTAACAGAGATGATTCGCGATGAATGACAAAATTAACTTTGAAGAGAGCAGGAAGAGATTTTTGTACAAAAAATGCTACCGCTGCATGCACAGGACTAGACCAGCAAAAAGGGAAGATGAACATTGTTTGGCACACTGGAGGTGCCAAAATCAATACAAACCCAAAGTTCCTCACAGCAGTTTCTAGAAGAGCAAAACAAAAACATCCACTTTTTGGCAGAGGTAATACATGGCTACTTAAGAAACCTATCAAGCATTATTTTTTCCTATGAGGAAAATGAGACTACGGTTTACATCTGGAATATTTTTTTGGTAATTAAGTTTGTGAGTGATGGGAGCCAAAGAGGATTCAATTCTACAAAGTGTTTCTAAGCATGCTACAGGTTCCTGGATGTTTTTTCTGTGTTTTCTGCTAAATTTAAGTTTACATCTGCTGCTCTTATACCACAACTGTACAACTGCATGAAGAGAGAGAAGCTTCAAGTTTAAGGGATATTCCGGTGTTAGGGTCAAACACACCATAACACTGAGTTAGACTAGCCTGGCTGGGCCATCCAGTTGCGTGAATCACTTGCCGTTCCTTCCCACAACAGTCTGGACTTCTGCCAATTGGGAGCCCTAAAAGTGGGCGGGAGTACTTTCCTTGATAGACAGACTACTGTAACCAATCACCGTAACCAAACATCTGACGTCATCACAGTGAGCAACTGTGTTCCCTGCAGGGCTCTCAAGCATCAAGTAGAGGTTTGGTAATATTTCAATGTGTACGAGCAAACAATGTATTTTACGTCTTCTTCAGCGGATATAAACGATTTCTGCCGACTTTGCAAAGTCAACTGCAGAATTAACGGCGTTCTGAATGAACAGCGCTTTGAAAAGTCCCGCAGCATGTGTTAGACATCACCATCTACACATGGACCAATCAAGGGCTGCCTTTCCCTGTTGTCCGGGGAACAGTGGAAACACAGTCACTGATTGGCCCGGTTATTTTCTGATTTCTAATACACGCTCCCAATGGGCCGAAGTCCAGACTGTTGTGGGAAGGAACGGCAAGTGATTCACGCAACTGGATGGCCCAGCCAGGCTAGAGTTAGACACCCCCTCGAGAGATGAATGTTGCTGACCACTTGCTTCTCTAGTTATACCAACTTTAGTAACGATAGCTATATACAGCAGTCTACGTCTCCACACGCAAACCTCAACCAAAAAGCCACTCTATCCGGCTGTTAAGCCGTGACTAGCCGCGTTCTCTTTTTCCACTTCCGGGTCCAGCGGAGTTGTCGTTATAATGCCTCAGTGCTATGTCCCTTGCTGCTTAAACTGATCAGAGACAAAAGCAGCGACTAAACTATCATTCTACATATTTCCTCCCAACAACAGAGACAACAAAATGACTTTATCATTTCTGTATTGTATCCATAGACTGTATACAGTCTATGATTGTATCACAAACACACGGCATCACATCCATTCATTCATTGAATTCAAAGCTTTGCACACCAAAGCCTCGGGGTGTCTTTGGTTTATCGTTTTACATTTATTGTCCACTTGATGGCGCAATAGAGCAAATGAAGCACGATCATGAAGCTTCGGCCCAGGAGGCGAGTAATTGGATGAAAAGCTTCGATGCTTCATGAGGCTTCATCTCGCCATCACTAAAATTTACGTTAATAACTCTATCCGAGTTGAAAGCTTTAAGTCCCTTTTTAACTCTGAGTGGTTCCCTTCTGAAAAAGGAGGTTATTTTACAGAGATTCACGGGTTCCGCCATTGTTGTTTTGAATGGAGAGTGAATGGAGGCTGATTCCCCATGGACCCGGAAGCCGCTCCGCTCACAAAATGACGTCACGCTTAACAGCCGGATAGTCGCAAATAATGCTCAGAACAGCACCTAACTTCATCAACAGTACATATAGGGTCCCAGCAATAGTACTAGCCACCAAACATCTTTTTAGCTTTGCCTAATTTCTTTAGCAAAAAGACCAAACACAACTCACCCATTCTACTCCAGCAGCTGCTTGTTTGCAGGGGGAGCCCTAATGAGTCAATCAGCGAGTGCAGCAGAGTTTTGTTGCTCAAGGAAGAACATTTATGATCATTTATGAACTACCACATCTGCAGTGCAAAATGATTATTATGATGATTATTACTGCATGGAAATGATCCGCTGCACTTGGGGATCGACTAGTCAGGGCTCCCCCACAAACGAGCAGCTGCTGGAAGAGAGTAGGTGTGTTGTGTTTAGTCTCTTTACTAAAGAAATTAGGCAAAGCTAAAAAGATGTTTGATGGCTAGTACTATGGCTGGGACCCTATATGTACTGTTGATGAAGTTACGTGCTTTTCTGAGCATTATTTGTGGCTATAGAGTGCCTTTTTGGTTGAGGTTTGTATATGGCTCCTCAGACCGTTGTGTGCTGCTATAGTGTGGCCGTTATTAAAGTTGGTATAACTAGAGAAGCAAGCAGTCAGCCAAATTCATCTCTAGAGGGGGTGTCTAACTCTGTGTTTGACCCTAAATTAATTTTACACCGGAATATCCCTTTAAGCTCTTTGAGAGAACTTTAAGAGAACTATCCTAACTAATCTGAACTAGCACAGAAACCCTGTTAGATAAAACAAATTTAAAAAAAAACATAATAAATGAGATAATCAATTTATCTTGTATTAAAATGCATAAAGCAGATTGTACATCCAGAACAAATGAATACATATGTTTTCAAGACAATATTTGCTTGGGATGTTTAGTAAATGTGTGCATTGGTTTTGTTCCTGCAAGCTAATTACAGCAAATTATGACTCCTGGGGATTTTAGGATTGGAAATTTAACTAAGGACTTTCTCATGTTATAGCTCTCCAACAGAAAGAAAATAGGCAACGGTCAAACAACTACCACAACTTGTATAATGTCTTAAAAAAAAAAAAAAGAATCTACATTTTTTTACTGGTTCAACAGATACAAGCCAGACATTGTCATCATTAGTAGATAATATCTATCAAATGAAAATCTTACTACAAATGTTGTAGTTTGAGTGGCTGGCAGTTAGCAACAACTTTGTTCAGGACACAATAACCAGAACTTCCACCCTGACCCCTAGTAGTCTGGCATATTTTCAGACAAGCCACAGGGAGTCTGAAACTGGGCATTTTAGTTGCTTAACAAACTACAGAGCATATCATCAATGTATGCCCTCAAGTCCCAAAGTCAGTTCTGCTCTTTCTCTCCCATCGTTCAGTGTCTTCCCAGGCCTTGTTGTCTGTTGAATAAAGTAGGGCCAAAGCTTCCAACAAAATGACCGCATTAACCCATAGACTATTTTTTTGTTGTTGTTATTGGGGGCCTGTGTATCATGAAAAAACATTTTTAATTGCATGCTTGGGAAAGTCAAGTGTGTAAAAAGTCAGAATCAGGTCTTTTAAACACTGTCTACAGTACAAAGTTTTATAAATACCCCTAGACACTATTGCAGATTTTAAGTCTTTTATATTCATGTCATTTTTTAAAATACAGGTTGTTACTTGCATTTTTTTATTTTGTTCTATACATTCATGTTTTGCCTGTATAGTTCTCATAGGCTTACACAAAAGTCATGGTATAAGAATCTGGAATTGGCCATGATACACTTGCGGTGAAAATATAGGCCTTATCATTTTCAGTGACAGATGGCTTCTGGGTAATTCTAATCATCTCCAGTTAGGACCCTCAACATGTCTCAGGCTCACATCAGTTGTCAATGTAATCTGAACCTGAAACATGGAAATACATATTCTAATGTTGCCATTGCAGACACTATGCTAAATGTAAACACAGACATTATGCTAAATGTGCTGTTTGTTGATGAGCAGCAAGACGAAAGACAACTAATTTGATCAGGTCCAAAGTGAATTCATTCTATTTCAAGATGCAATGTTTTGGTCAAATGTTGTGCATCAGTGGTACACACGCACTTGCTAAGTTTTCATACACAAGAATCATATTTTGGCAAATACTGTGACGATATTGCACTGCATTTACACTGTCAACTGAAAGACTTGCCACGATGGTTTAAAGATTTGTTCAGTATCTTTTGCCCGTTAGATGGTAATTATAACCACATCAGATTACTGTACAGTTGTTTTAGCTGAATCTGTTCATTTACAGACTGTTTGAGGAATAAATCATTCTGAAACAGGACAAAAAATAAATATAGAAGTAACTGCTGGAATAAATGTAAGACAAAGTCAATGACATCCACTACTTATCCTCTTGTGTTGTGCTTACCGACAGCATCAATATCTTAGCCATTTCAAAAGTGGTTCAAATCACAAACACAGTGATAAAATATTTATGGTTTTAAAAAAAGTACCTGCAGGTCATCTCTGAGTACAAGGGAATATTTTTTTGATGTGTTACTCTGAATAACTGCTTTTTCTTTATACAATTTATCATTTAAGTCATTGGTCAATCTGTAGTTGTCAGATTTTTTAGTGTGACACCCTGTTTGATTTAGTTAACCCAGTGACCTGTCTATTTAATCTGTTGACCAGAACAGTTGAGGATATGGTTATGCTGAGCAACACCTTCAAGTGATCAAGTACATAAGCCTGGTGGAAAAAAGAAAAAATGTAAGCTCTGCAATGCAAACTGATGCCATCCATTTCAGTACCCTGTAACAAGAGCTGGACAATTCCCTTGTGTGGTTCCTGGTTACCACTGCTGATAGAGTATTCTTTGTAATAAAACCCCTGATTGTGCTACTTAAAATAGATACTTGTTTCAATATTTCAAAAACCAACATACAGCCTGATGTACATTTTTCAGCTGCAAGATGTTTGAATAATAAATGAGCTCTAATGATTTATTTGGCTCAGTTCACCTCTTAAATACACGAACAAATACTCTATGATATTTAAAATTGCAAATAACTGCTGGGTGGTCTAGTAGACTGGAATATCAACAGGTTGGTAACTTTAAAGCAAATATTTTGTTTTGGTGGACATGTTGGCCCCATCCTGGTAAGTCACCACAACTACTCCCCATCATTAACACAAGTGCGCTATCCTCATTAGTGTTTCTGTGATAGAATATATATATATATATATATATATATGTATATATATAATTATATATATATAATTTATTCTTTTTTTTTTTATTTTACAAAGGACGGCATGAATTTCTGAGTGTTAAGCCTGTGACTGGACAAACATGGATGGTAGAGAAGAAAGCCAGGCAGGGAAAATTAAGACACTGCTACTAGTCTCTTATGTATTATGGAGACCTAGCACCTCCAATTCATTGACACACTCAACCACATGTTGAGTTCTGTTTATTTCTCCTTAGAGTGTGTTCTTTCTCGCATCCATGCTATCTGATTATACTGTTTGAGAACACTTGAACTTAAGCTAGTCAAGTGACTGTTTTCATAAATATTGTATAAATTGTTTTGAAGTCACATGCAAACATGCCTGAAACGATAGCACTTACATTGAAAAACATGTGTATGTCATTACTTAATAGAAAGGAAACCGGGAAGAGTGCTTTTAGTTGATGTTAGGGCCTGTATATTCTGTAATGATCAGTGATATCAGTGCACTCACCTCATGTGTTAGCCACTGAAACACTAAACATTGTCAAACCAACACATGGTGTCAGCTACAGCAGGTTTGGGCTTTTGTAGTGGTAGATGGTGTCAGTTTGACAGCAACAAGCTGAATTCATAGCAGTGTTGCAGGTTATGCCTTTTGCCATATAAAGTTACACTGTTGACATTATTTCCCAAAACAACATCCCAGAGAGTTGTGCAGAGAAGCAGCATTGCCTCAAATAAGAGTGGGGACCTGCTTGTGTAACTTCAAGCATAAAAGAAGAGTTTATAAAGAATACAAACTCACCTAAAAGTAGTAGTCTGTGTGTTGCTCTGTATATCTGTTTGTCTTTTTGAAGCTGCTTCTCTATCTTTTTGTTTGCTTCTCTTTGTGCCTTCTCCTCATTTCTCTGGTCTTCGGTCTTACTGTTGCCCAAACAACCCATCTTCCCGCAAGAAAAAAAAAGAAAAAAGGGGTCCAGGGGAGGAGGAGGTGAAGGGAGTAAGTGTAAAGAAAGAAAAATGACCTAAAGTAATCTAGATCCTTCGTAAGTCATGCGGCTTTTGTAACAAGAACACCCCAATTCGCACCATATAACGTTCCTAGCCTGCTCCAAGCACAGTCCGTGGTGCAGCACTGAAGAAATTATGTGTCCATAACGCGTATTTTGCTGTCAGAGAGAGGGCAGGATACTGTTGCTGACGACACCGAGGCCGCCTCTGTTTGCTGAATCCTGCTCGGGCTTTCCTCCTTCACATGCAGGATACTTTTATCTTTCCTCACTCACTCTGCCCACGTAAAATCTGGAAAGTAGAGAACTGAAACCCACAACGTATGTAAGGACACAAAAACTCGCGGTTTCACCTCAAACGGAGGCAGACTGAAAAGCCAAATTTGCATCTCAAAAAAAGCCCGGGTCTTGCGTCTCACTGCTGCCCGTGACAAGGAGCCAAAGTCTGCGTGTCTGAAAACCTCACTCGTGCTGTGGCGCGGCTGGTCTCCACGACTCCTTGCATGATAAACAATTCCAAGGGTATAATATATTCGCTATAACTCCGTCTCTCCGACGTGTCTCTTTGTCGGGGGGGAGGAGGGGGGAGGCTGGACAGGGAGAAGAAAATAACATTTACATCCGAACGAGCTACATGTGTGATACTGTCATTGCTTCCGTCGTCATCCGGCTTTTTTTTCAGTTGCTGCAGCAAATCAACCTTCAACCGTTCCAAACTCACTGCGGTTGTCTTTTCGACAGGTTCCCCACAACCTTTAACTCCGACACGATGCAGTTTCCCCGAATTGTCCTCCTTATTTGTGATGGCTGTTCCTTGCTGTGTTTTCTCCACCAAAGGGCCTCCTTTCACTCCCTGCCCCTAGCTTTTGTTGCTGAAATGTGTTATCAGCCTCTCACATCACCAACGAGCAACCAAAACTGCGCACAGATGGTCTCTGTTTAATTCCCCGACTCGGCTCCGATAAATCCATTCAAGTAAAGAATCATTTCTAAGATTTGAAAAAGGAAAAAAAAATAAAACTTGAAAAAGATGTGTAAATCCCCCGTAATTTAGCCACGTTTCTTGCAGGTGAAAAAAAGCCGATGTCAGGCTCAGTTTCTACAGCCTACACAGGGCCTGTGTGCACACATAGAGATACTCATGCAAAAGACTTAAGAGTTTATATCCCTGTTGAATCCGAGGTGGAAAAAAATTGGCATCAGGCTTGACACTACATGTGCATATACATTCACAAAAAATAGGACGCGGGGTTGTTGTAGCAGCACATTCCCGCCGCGAAGGCCGCTCTCCTCCTGCAGATGGTCGTGGAAGGTGAAAGACAGGAAAAAACAGTAACTGGAGGTTATTAATTTCTTTCTTTCTCTCTCGCTTTCCCTTTCTTCGAGTGTAGTAGCCTACATAGAGGAGATAGACAGTGCTGTAGATAGACGGGGTGGGGCCACACAACGCTCATTGAACCCTGGGAAGTAAGGACCGAGAGGTGGAGAAGAGAGGCCGCTTCGTCTCGTCACGTGGCTTGCGTGCGGAGCTGCGTCAGTGGCGCGCCGCTGCGGAGAAAAAGGCGCTATCTTCAAAGAAAATGACCGCCTAAGTTTTGAAGGTCGGAAGTCATATCTGCATGGCTTTGGACTTAAGAAGTAACAGCATCAACTGAGGAAAATCCAGGGACACTGTGAGGACATAAGCAACACTCCATGTGAGCCCAAACCCAGTTACTTCATACTGTCACGCTGTCATTGTTGATCCAAAGCACAATGTTGACATAGTGTAGGGGAGAGTGGGGTAAGATGAGCCATTTTCCATATTTCGGATCACTACTTCAAGTCAATCCTAGTTTTGTCTGTAACTAGTGAATCTGCATATATTTCAAGTTGTTGTGCATCCCTGCAAACCAACAGAATGAGTGTAAACATAACTGTCTTCATAATATAGCATGCCAAAAAAATGGGCTCAGTTAAGCCGTATCCCTGCTACCCCCCCCCCCCCCCACACACACACACACACATACACTCTCCACCCCAGCCCTCCCTCATCTTCTCTCACCCTAGATAACAGTCACTTCTTCACATTCATGTGTATTTTTCATCTATTTTATGCTATTCAACAGATACAATATATTTTTATTATAATTGAATATAACTACTAAAAAGCTGTTTTGTAAAAAAAACATTTTAACATGAGAATATATAAAGTGCGATTCAGAAGGTTCAGAACTCTCACAGCTGTATTTTTTTGAAAAAAAAAAAAAAAAAAGTAACACATTTCAACAATCTGAACTGAAACTCTGATCCTCTCATCAGACTCCTTTACTTTCTCAGTTAAGCCACGGGCTCAACTTACCCCAGAACTACTATTATGACTTTATTCGTCCTCTAAGCTAAAATGGTGGACTTTTATGAGTATAAGTTTTTGACCTCATGTTGTAGCTCATAAATACCCCAATTGATGTATAAAACAAATTTAAAATGATCTTTTTTTGGTCTAAACACAATTCTAATAAAACTTATGACAGACTAAATTCACTTTCAAGAGTGAATAATGTTGTTTTTTTTTTTTTAAATAAATGTCTAACCCTTTCACCCATGTGCTTCTAACCCTCACAGGATTGATGTCCATCTCCTAAATATTTGGTCACATGATCAATTATTTTCACCATTTCCAAGCAACAGAGGGTGGCTCAACTAACCCTTTGGCTCAACTTACCCCAGTCTCCCCTACCCGTGGTAGAATTGAAAAACTTATCAGCGCCTCACAGCAATGTAAAAAGGTCGGATAATTATCACAACTAACAAACTATTTGAAGTCTCAGGTTGCCCTGCATTAGATAATACTTTCACACTTGCCAGGGAAAACACAATCAGTTGGGATAATAAAACAAGAACCCAATGCTCAGCCTTGGTATACTGGATAAAGAGTGGAATAAGTCAATAACATAAGTAAAAAAAATATCTTTTTAAGTGTTGAAGTGTTGACTAATCAACGTAATAAACAAGAATAACATTTTAACACAGATATTTGTAACTCTTACAATAAAAACAGCTATCACTTTTACCAGCCTGTACATTTATTTATTTATTGACAAAATATTTTTTTTCAAATACAAGTAGTCAGGGGAGCAATGCTTTAAATGCTGTTAACCATGTTGAACATTAGGTGGCAGCAGTCATCTTAATCTGAGCAAAGATCTTTTTTTTTTAAGTCATCCAAAACAGTTACATTATTTTTATATATTAAACAACGTGGTGGTTGTTGCCCCCCCCCCAAAAATAAAATAAAATAAATAAATAAATAAAATAAAAAATAAAATAAATAAATAAATATATAATTAAATTAAATTAAATAAATACAAACAAACAAAACAACAACAACAAAACAAAACAAAAAACAAAAAATCCTTTCCATCCAATCAAAATAGTTTCCAAAGCTTATGAAAGATTTAAGGGTTTCACTTGGACAAAAATTAAGACCAAAAATACTTACTATTGTGGAAGTGAGAGTACTGAATTGGTTGTTTTTTTTTTTTTTCTGTTGTGATGGTTGGTGTCCATGAGACCACTCAGCCCTCTAGAGTTGTAAAATATCTTCTATTGTCATCCAGCAGGACAATGCCAATTAATATAAGATTAAAGTAGTCCCGTCTTTCTGTTGGGCCAACATTAAAAACATACCTGCCACACCCTCTTTCCTTTTTGTCCAGAAAATTAACATGATTTATGAATCCATGGAAACATTGTTCATGTCATCATGTAAACATTTTGTCGTAAATTATTTGTAGATTTGGCTTGCCATAAAAATGTCAATTTCAGTGCCTCTTACAAAAACACTGTAGCTTTCCATTAAGCACTTTTGTTTTGGTAAATTGTAGACACACATTTTGTCATAAAGCCAGGGTCAACAAGCATGCAATTCAGTTTTAACTGCAGGCCTGCAATCGTTGTGTTTTTTTTACCAGGAGTCTTATCTCTTTGCATTTTGAGACTCTATAGCTGTGTTTCACTGACAGTAAATGGTACATGGACTATGTTTATATAGTGCTTTCTCTAGTCTTCTGACCACTCAAAGTGCTTTACATCATGTCACATTCACACACATTCACATTCTGATGGCAGAAGCTGCTATTTATAGAGTCCATCAGTTTGGACTAATTCCATTCACACACCACTGAGGATACCCAAGGACACTTCGGCATGTGAACAGCCCTGACCTTCCCCTGACCTTCTGATTTAAGGATGATCACCTCTACTAACTGGAAAATAAAATTAAAGGAACTAAAATAAGACTATTTACAGCAACATTTAAACATTTCAGCATTTATCAAAACAAGGAAACTTGCGAGATCTTTTAAACATTAAAAGCTTCACATCAGTCGTTATTCTCCTCAACAGGGATACAGTTTGCGACTTTTTTTTGTACTAAATTGACCACCATTTTTTGCTATATACTTCAGCACTTTTATCTTGCAACAGTATAAGTGAAGCACACAGCTGGACAAACCTTTAGACTATTAAAAACTTAACATGATGTTTCAAGCTTGCTTTGCCTTGTAAATAAACACACAAACATGCACAAACACACGCACGTGCGCACCTACACACACACACACACACACACACACACACACACATTTTTTTTCTTTTAACATCACCATCTGAGACCCACACATTAGCTTTCAGCTCTTGTGAATTGCACTGTCATGAAATTTACACTGCTTACTCAGCACTCATTCTTATCATGATCAATGTAGAACTGCTGCAGAGAAGTAATTGAGTGTATTTTACTTTGATGAGTTGGAGTTTATCCACCATCAATGTTTATCTGATATCTTAGCAACAAATACACATACAAACTCTTTTGGCTAAGTATTACTTAAGTTAACCTGGTTACCAATTTCTAGATTACTTAATAATTAACCTAGGGCTAACTAACTCCATTTCATTATATTGTTAGTATTTTTGCAAATTTTTTAAGAAAAAAGGAACTTTGTTCTCCATCCATCCCTCTTATTTCTCTGTTGCTTTTACAAAAAGTCTTATTTTCTACCTCACTATGTTGACAATCACCATACCGACCAAGAGTCACAGCTCTCATAATATGGATTCTTTAGATGTTCAAATATTGCTTTACTTATAATTTTTACCTCATTTTGTTGACATTAATTTTTATAACTCAGCTAGTTACACTTTAGAAATTCAACCGAAACAACATCAAAGAGAAAGAATATAAATATCAGAATTAACATAGTTTTCTAAAATTGTACAAGCACTTATTAAATTAAATAAGATTAAGTATCATTTTTACACCTTAAATTAAGAGGACTTTGCAGCATTTAATGAACAAAGTCTCTTCTAATTTCATTAGTATTCTTTTGTAATTAAAAAATCTATTTGCAATAAAAAAATGAATTAACAAACTTCTTTAATTCATTCCTCATGGAGCAATTCTAAAGGCAAAGTCACGGCTCTAATTGTCATTTGACACAAAACATCATTAGATGGAGTATTGTGCAGTTTTCCCTTTTTACTCTGTTGTAAAGTAAATGTTTTTGTTCGCCTCAGCTCTTGCATTGATCATTCCTCTGTAGTCACACCAGCTCTTAATGGCCTAACAGCCATGAATATTAGATACACTTCCCTTCACCCCCACCTGGCTCATCATATTTGCTGTGATGAGCCAGGCTGTTGCAGCTGTGCGGAAACAAGCACAGAACTGTACATCTGTCTGGGGTTCAGTCCACAAATCAGACCATGGTCTCAACATATTCTGTCAGTGCTAAGATGCTGACTTGAAACTATCGATAAACATGAAAAAGATTTTTAAGTACAAGCCCAGTCAAAGCCTTCATAATATTGTGTGGGGAGACATTGTTAATCTTATATCTGTTTCTTGTCCCCTTGTGTGTATTATTGGCAACATGTTTTTAGTCATGAAATGATGTCATGAAATGATGTTAACATTCTCCTGAGTGAAATTATGTTCATGATAAGCACAGGAACAGAGATGCTGGGTTACAGCCCATTATGTCTGGGAGAGAGAGAGAGAGAGAGAGAGAGAGAGAGAGAGAGAGAGAGAGAGAGAGAGAGAGGGGGGAAAGGAGGGTGCAACAGAGACACAGGCAAAGAGTGGAGGGAGTCACCCTCGTCACACAGTTGTAAATCAAGATTCTCTTTTTTTACCGCTATTTGTTAGTGGATGTACATCCTCTCTGTTTTAGATATGTGCCGGATTTCCTGTATTTTCATTGGTGTATTTGTGGATGTCTTGACAAAGGCTGCTTTCATTTTTCTCTGAAAAATGTGTGAGCAGGTTAGATTTTCCCTCCTCTATGCTCAGACATTCACCCATTTGTGCGGGCATCTGGAGTACAGGAGTATCTAACGAAGCAGTGTCAGTGCCTCCAAAACAAAAGAGACATGGCCGGGGACCTCGTGGTTGGAATGCTGTATAACTTGATACTTCCCCTGCTACTATTAATTGGTGAGTCAACCTCTGTTGAATTTTTTGATCTTTGTATACCAATAAACAAATGGTATTGCGACAGTAATTTTAGATCCCATATTAAGAACTGTTGTCTTAATAAGAACTTTCTGTTGATGCTGAGGGAGCTGCAGTATCAGAAAAAAATGATGACTGTACAAATGTTCTTTTGAATAGCATGCATATTTCTTAATAAACAAATAGAATTTTTGCATGCTAACTTCAGCTCCACAAATGCAAAACCCCGTATTTCTTTTTTATGTATTACAAAAGGACATTGTTTAATAACACATAAGATTATGCTGTATTCTCATTAAGCTGCCAAATATTTGCTAAATGATAGGAAATATTTGCTGTATAGGACTTCTTCAATTTTGAATGTATACAATGCAATGTTGAGGGGAAAATGTCAAAAATTGAATAGTTGTTGAATAATAAAAAAAAAAAACAGTGGACCAAGCACATATGAAATGCACTGTGAAAGGGCATGCTCTCTGTAGCCATTCCTGGTGAATTAGCATGAGAAATAGTCATGCTGCGGTCAGTAAAATATCACAAAACATACTGTTGTTAGCATGTGAACTACACAAGATTTACACTGCGAAAAAAAAAAACCCAAAACACTGATTTGTTTTTTTCAGTCACAGCACTTGCTGGTCAGTGGAATCTTTCCATTGGAAAAATTATTTGTGCAATAAGGGAACTTAAAGTACTCTTCGCCTATTCAGCTTTTTTGACCCCCTCCCCCAATGTGGAATGCTAGTGGTTTATAGAGTGCAATTATAAAAATGCATGTTTTAATTTTTTCTGGATAAGTGAATGTATCAAGTCTTCTTGTTGGGGCTGATAAAGAGTGTCATTTTCTGTCTTACCTCAGCTTCTTCGTTCCGCTACAATGGTCTGTCAGTGGTATATTTCCTGTATTTGCTCACCTTACCACTGCTTCCAAATCCCAGCCTGGTTACCATGAAAGGTGAGATGTGCTGAAAAGGGGCACAACATAATTCCACTTGTTCTGCAGAGACTCCATTATAGAGTGTAAAGGATTGATGCAAATTTAGACAATTGTAACCACAAGGGATGTTCAAATTAGAGGATTAAATTAGATTTACATCATTCCAACATGAGCAAAAAATGTTTCCGGCCCAATTTTTTAGAATGAAGAGAAAAGTTGGATTGGAAATTTTTTTAATGAATTACTTATGACATGATGAACTGAAAACTTAACAGCAGTAATCTAAATAAGCTTTAAACTGTTCATTCAGAGTCTGTCAAACAACGAAAGAAAGAAGCCGAAACAATTTAGAAGAGGCAACATTGAGTGTTAAATAAGACTACAAAGTGCGTGTGTGTGTGTGTGTGTGTGTGTGTGTGTGTGTGTGTGTGTGTGTGTGTGTGTGTGTGTGTGTGTGTGTGCTTGTGTGTGTGCACGCGCAAGTGCTTTCTCTGTATTGATTACTGCCTGCTGATGAATTAAAGTTTCTGCACCCCTCCCTCAAACTACTTTGTAAAGAGGATACGGTTTGAATGGGAAAATCAATTATACATAACCTGGTAATTACAGTGTAGAATTAAAAGATGTGATGTCAGCATTTTCACAGCATTTTTTCTTTCACTTTACATCCTTCCATCTAAAAACTGTCCACCTCCCCCCTGTCTTTGAGAGCTCCACAGAGCCCACAGGGGTCTTCATCTGTATATGTTCTACTCTCCATGGGCTAAGTGGTAGAGTGTGTATATCCTGTGTGTGAATCATGGGTTTATGTGCATCCATCTAGATACTTGGGAGTGTGTAAATGTGTGCGTGATTATGTATTTCCTTATTGGGATGCATTGAAGTGTAAGTGAAACAAAGCTTTTAGTAAAAACCCTGGACACCGACAGCACTTTTGCACACTCAGCTGAAGTTAAGCCACATCAGCAATTATAGCTTTTTGTCTCCAATGTCTTGGTTTCAAACATCAACCTCTATACTGAGTCTTTGAACTGATACCTTTCATTGAAACCAAATATTGAACTCTCATGAACACACACTCAGGCACATTTGCAAACATTGTTTTAATAGATGCAGACTTCGTTTGAATATTTATTGTTTAGACCTTTTTATGAGTCTTTAACAGATTATTGAAAAAATCAATTTCATTTTGATGCACATAAACTCATCTGTGTAAAAAAATCAGTAGCTCCACCAGGCCAACAAAACACAGACTGAAAACCCATTTTTGAAGCACATTAGGAACAAATTAGAAAAAGTTCCTTGTTTAAGAAAAAATACAAAACAGAACACACCTATACACAGGGCAGGAACAGCAAAGACTATAGATGTACTGCTCAAGCCAATTCACCCACCGCTTTGATAGAAGCGAAACATCAGCATTCAATACAACTGTGAGACTGTCTGTGGGCAAGGTCTTACAGTTCACTGTTTGTGCTAAAGTCTTGTCAAACAAACAACGTGCCACAGTCAATAGTAATAATGTACTCGTTCCTTCACTGCGCCAAGCATTTAATTGTTGCCCTTGTGACCACTAGAAAAAAAGATTACATGAAAATGATGCACTGTCTTAAATTCTAACCAGCACTCTGAGTTTAGCTTTTCCTTTTCATTAAAACGTTGTTTTGAGTATCCATCTGTATTACTGTAGTTAACCTATTATTTTAATAAGATAAATGCAAATTGTTTAACCATGTGTGTCAGTATGTCTTTTTAACCACAGATCTCAGCCAAAGCCCACAGATTATGTTTCTTCCATGTGTTTTGTAGTTCGTTGTTTGTTTGTTTATGTGAAGTTATAATATCTTTCATGACAGGGGAAAAGTTAAAACCTAGTTTGGGAAAAACTACAAACAGTCAAACAAATCCAGCTCTTAAAACTCTTCAAATGCCTGCTAGTCAGACTTTATGTTAAATAAAGAATTGTGAAAATATTCACAAGGGTGGGATAGTTAACTACAGAGACTGTAAATTTAAGCAAGGTCCATGGTGTGGTGCATGATTCTCTCTAATTTTATTAAAGACATGGTTCACTAACTAGTTTGTCAGCTGTGACTTTTGCCTCTTCCTGGTTTTAACCAATTGCTACTCTGCTTAGGTAAAACAGGCCAGTTCTTGAGGCTGATCATCTACACCAGCCTGACCTTTCTGGCCTTACAGTGCTTCATGCAGATCCCCTTCGCCTACATACCTCCACATGGTAAAAAATAAAAAAATGGTGACACTTCTTTGTTATTTTTATTAGTGAGCATAGAAGCTGTTCCCAATAATGAACTTTCATAAATTTGGGTTTAAATGATTTGAAAAAATTACATTGTCTTTTATAGAATAAATATCTCTGAAAGTCTCTCAGTTTGTGAAAGTTTGATTCACTATGGGAAAGACTTTGTTCACAGCATGATGACTATGCTTTTTATTTAACAGTCAGCGGCTTCTGGGAAGATTTCTTCTACCACGTGGGAATTATAAGGTATGGGAATGCATTTAGGAGTCATGCATTATACGGGGGGTTAAAAGACTAATATCAAACAAATATCACATTCTGGCATTGTCGTAATTTTAACAAATTGCACAATTGATTTTATTTAATTTCCCTCAGGGAACCTTCCATAAAGGATCAATAAAGTTCTATCTAATCTAATCTAATCTAATCTAATCCGATTTAATATAATCTCATCTAATCTAATGTGTTTTGAGGAAATTTCAAATCCAATCTTAGCTGAAGAAAGATTATCAGTGGAGATCAAATCCATGAATATTTGTGTGTTTTCAGATTCAGCTCGGTTGACCCTGGAAATGTTGTACGTCTTCTGGCTCCAGATCTGGGCCTTTTGTTCTCTTCCCTTTTCATTCTCCGACTGTGTAAAAAACTACTGCGTCCAGTGCCACAAGTCAGTATCCATGAAAACGGCATACAATCATCCGACCCTGAGGTAACACATCAACTGATATAACACTATATGCTAGGAATGCATAATGATACCAATCTAATCATTAAATGGATCTTACAGGAAGTGGAAACATCTGAAACAGAGTCTGAGGAAGGAAGTGACTCAGAGGACTCATCTTTTGATAGCTCAGATGAGACCACTGTGCCAGTTCAGTCAGGTCCACCCCAGTTTGTCCAGAAGCTGGTTGTGTTTGCAGCTGGGCTGAGGCTGCTGCTTTCTGCAGTCATGAACACAGCAGGGAAGGTGGTTGTGACTTTGCTGCTTGGACTCTCGGGTAAAATGTTTTAGCTGGTGTGAAGACACAAGTGTATCTAATCTTTAGATTGCTAATTCAAAAACGTACTTGATTCATGCTTTAATTGGTCTGTGCATGTGCATGTGTGTGTGTCCATGTGTGTCCACGTTTGTGTGTGAGAGCAGGCATCACACTGCCCTCCCTCACCTCAGGTGTATATTTTGGAGTGTTTCTCGGGCTCGTGTGGTGGTGGGTTTTCAGTCATTCCATCAGCTTGCTACTATTCAGCTCCTTATGTGTGATGATGGCCATCTTTAGCGGAGGGCACCTTTTGGCTCTGTACCTCTACCAGCTACCCCTGTCCCAGCAGCTTGTGCCAACAGAGGATGTTTATGCCAGGTATAGAATTCATTATAAAATAAATGAGACACAAACTTTGTGCAGATATTGGAAGCAGATATGTCATTTGTATAACCCCTTTTAGAATTTGGTGTTTATCATTTGAAATCTTTTTAGATATAAAATGAGCCTGTGTTGAATTCTGTACCTCTTCTCCACCTCTTACACTCTTTTAAATCTCCTTATCTTCTAATTTCACTTAAATCTTTCTCTACCTGTCTCAGGTTGTTTGGCATGACTGGAGTAATTTGGACTAACAGTTCAGACCCACACACTCTTGGTCTGCACCCTCATGTCAGTTGGCCTGACTTTGTCAACCCTTTGGTTTTGCTACTGCTTTATTACACTCTGGTGGCTCTACTGCACAAATGGGTCCATATAGAAATAGAGGTTTGTATGATTGTATTCATGCACTTGTCAAGAGATATACAGGCATGTGTGAGTACAGTGAATAATGTTGGTGCCCCTCATGTATGTATGGTTACACAGAGTTTTTCACTTATACTACAACCTTATTGCCACAAGTGCTGAAACTTGTGCTAATAACCCTATTACCAGCACAACTTAAATTAATTCTCCTTTAAAAACTGAACTAGTGTTCAAATAGTAGACAGTATTAACTTTCATGATGGGCTTTTAAAAGCATATTTGTTTCAGGAAAATGTTGATGATGAAGAGTCTGAGAATCCATTGGAAAGTCCAGAAGCTCCTCCAAGTTTCTCAAGGGTTATCTACATCTCAGGCGATAAGCAAGAGGTAAAATAAGAGCAGAGATACACTTCTCCTCTGTTTTATTTCTGTGATTATTAGTGCTTGTATTGGGTCAGTCAAAAGGACTAAGGCCAGATCATTTTACTCATTGTTGGTTGTTCCCGATAAAGTTATCTAAGCATCTGTGAACAGCATACTTCTACTTCCTTCCGACCTACACAAGTCAGCATGTGAAATTTGTGTTCTTCATTTCAAATATCATATTTTACATTTCATTTATTAAAGTTTTTCTTTATTCCTTAGCTTTTAAGTAGTACAGATGAGGAAACCTACCTCCCTGACGAGGTGAGTTATTTTCTGGCTCAAAATGTTTGTTTTACAGATAAATGTAGGACATATAGATATTTGTAATTGATATTTGTAACTTACAGTATTTGGTTCTCTCTTTCCCCAGCCAATTATTTTAATGACACAGGGTTCTTGGCAAGATGTCCAGATAAACGACCTGGGATCTTTGTCACCAGGGGCAGGGTACACAAACTGTTACTCTCCACCACAGTATGAAGACAAAGACTCCCCCTTACATGGTAATCTTGATACTGAAATCTCTCATTACACAGCCTCAGCAACAACATCACTACAACCACTGTCAATCAATTCATGCAAATATTTTATACAGCATGTGTGGTTCTCCTGAAACCCCAGTAACCCACACATGAACTCTATCCAACAGGGGTATCAAGGGTTAAAGTCTGTCTTTTGTTTAACTCAAGTTTCCCTTTTATCCTCAAGTTTTTCTTTCCTTTGTGCTAGAGACAAAAAGTGAGAAAGAAATGGGAGAAGAGTCTGAGAGGAAGTTGGCAGCAGAAACATCACCTCCAACCACAGGACCAAGTGGCCTGGTCATTTTTGGACAACTGGTGCAAAAACACAGCTATGTCAGCGCCCTCATCATCATGATGGTATATGATGCTAATAATCAGTTTGGAGGTTTTTTGACAAATCTTTCAGTATCTATGACTATAACAGTCAGGTTGGTCAACTGGAGAGAATTTTTTTTTATTCAAGCTTAGGTCAGCTTAGTAATGTAATAGTACTTTAGGGTTAGATTCGGAAGGACCTTCAGGATTTCAGTTCCATTGCCAACAATTCTCCAAATTCCTGACATAATATTGCAAAAGCATCATGGGATTAAAAACAACAACTTTTTTTTAGGTGTGGAGTATCACCTACAACAACTGGCTGACTTTTGCTCTGTTGGTGTGGTCCTGTATAATTTGGATGATGCGAGACCGACGCCATTATGCCATGATGTCTGCCCCATTCCTTGCTATATATGGCACTGTCCTAGTGGTGCTCGGATTTCTGAGTGGGCTACGTCTGAGCAGGGCCGAGCTGTATCCTGGTCTTCCCCCAGCTGTGATCGTGGATTTTGACCTTAACAGCTACCACCCTTCACCCTGTGTTCATCTAGGAGCCAAGGTGAGGTGTAGAGGGTTTAAAGAACAGGAAGAGCAATTAAAAAAACATATTTTAAAAAGGTTCATGTTTTAGAAGAGACAGTGCAGACCACAGAAGAACAAAACCTTATCAATTTCATTGTGTGTTAAGATTTTTCCGACCACTTGTTTTTTCTTTTCTTTTTTTGTAAGTTTTTCAATATATTTGACTACTAGTCGACTTAGAGTTATGAAAGAAACCACCAATTATTGGTTAAAGGGGTCAGCTTGTTGATTAGTTGGCGAAACCCCTACAGTGTCAATAGTTCCAACTATTGGGGGCAGTGTGATTAGATTTACTTGACATTGGCCTTGTCATATACATTACAAGTAATAAGTTGAAAAGAAGTAAAAAGTCTCAATATGAAAATGACCAGGACATCACATCAACAAATAATAATGTCTTCACATAAGATAAAACAGTAAGAAACTCTGAAGTGTATATTATTATTACGTAAATCAAGCTGTTCATCAGTGACAATCACCCACTTTTAGGTTTATGTATTTAGTGTAAGATGTTTTTTCAACCCCACAGATTGAGGTCTTAAATCTATGCACTGACAAGAGATTCCTAATTTCATGCTTGTGCTCATTGGATTTTAGTACAACTGTGCACATCCAAATGAACTATCTTGACCATTGCATTTTGACCAACTCTGTGTGAGTATACATATTTGTTTTGTGCTCATGATACGTTGTGTGTTGCAGGTTTTCTACAGCTTCAGCTTCTGGTTAATGTTTCGTCAGCAGCTGAAAGAGAGACAGGAGGAGCAAAGTTTAAAAGAGCAATCTATAGAAGAAGTCAAAGCTGTGTTGAGTAAGCCACTCTCTAATGTTTTCATACATATTACAACTGTCCATTCAGTTGTAGTCTAGACTAACCTCTCATGGGTGTTGGGGTAAGGAAACAATACGATCTTTTGGAGAAGTTACATGGCCACCTATGGAAAAGAAATAATTTTAATGAACCCCTGTAAATTACCCTGAAAAAAGCCAAGCTACACAACTGACTTAATTTGATGAAATGTTAAAAATGGTTTCTACTCTCTCTTTATCCAACTGCTGACTTTCCCCTCCTATTTTTCTTTGTTTTCCCCATATCAGCGGAGGAAAATCAGCCATCACCTCTTGTAGCAATGCTGATCTCAGGGGTGAAAGGGACACTGGTGAAATACTGGATCTTATTCTGCTGCTCCATGTTCTTTGTGGTTAGCTTCTCAGGAAAGGTAAGGTTTCTATTAGAAAAAAAAATAAAAAATACACAAAACAGGAAAATTTCCAACCTCCTTCCCCGTGAAATAACAAAGATTTACAACTCCTGATAGTTTTTGAGAAAATTCTGCAACAGTAGTTAAAGGTTGATGTGAGGTTAGATATAAAGAATGTATTTTACTGATTACAGATGAGCTGCATGTTTGAGCAAATCAGCTGAGGTCTCTCAGGCAATGGTTCCGATATTTGTTTGCACAGTCTTCCTTGTAATTTTCATAACTTTGCATTTGCCTTTAGGACTCACATTTTTCTCTGCACTCCTATAACCTTAACGTCATGCGTCATTCAACATTGCATCTCATGCATTTGAACAAAAAAATCTGTAAAACACTGAGAGAAATGCATTATACAATTCTAACTTGCAATCTAGAATAATGGATTTGCATGGCGTATAACTGCTGTCTGTAGTCTGTTTGGGGGTTGGTTGCCCAGACAGTTGTCGGCAGATTTTTTCCCTTAAGCAAATGAAATTGAGCCACATACTAAATTGATCGTTTTTTTGTGTTTTATCATCTTAAGGTGGTGGTCTACAAGATCCTCTACATTGTTCTTTTCCTATACTGTGTTGTCCTGTACCAGGTTAGTGATTTTTTTTCCGAGGTAAGATACTGAATATTTTCTGCCAGGTTTGTTATTTTAGAGAGGTGGTCATTAAAAAACAGCAAATGTGTAGTTCCATTATCTTCTGAAGACAAGGCTTCAGACATTCAGTTTCTTAAGTGAGACAAGATCTGTTAAAGGAGTTAAGAGTAGCACAGAGGCTATTACGATGTTTGACTCAGAATCGACTCGTCTATTCGACAAATCACATTAATGGTATAGTAGTTGAAACTCATACCCTTTGAAATTCCACACAATGAATCTACTCAGTAATCAGTCATAACTTAGCTGTAAATCAGAGCATATATATATATATATATATTCACACACACACACACGCACGCACACACGCACACACGCACACAACCTAGAATAGATTAATTGAGGCCACTGTAACGTTAAGATCCCCAGTATACCAGAACCCAGCATTCTGTAAGCCTCCTTCACTGTTGCCATACAAGAAAGAGGTGTTTCTTTCTATAAAATGACAAATTTGCTGTTTTAGGGAGATTTACTGTCTGCTGATGTAAGGATTTGAGCAAAAGTCTAATATTGATTCTGCTGAATTTTTAACGAGATATACAGAGCACCCTGGAGATTACTTCCACACACGTAAACCTTGCAATCTGAAACTTTGCTGCTGTATAGTACTGATGCCCAAGATTTTAACTCAAGACTCGTTTTACAATCCCACCTATGTAAAAATTGGCTTTATTAGTCTAGGTTTACAAGCAATGCACTGAGAAGGAGACCTGAACGAGGACACAGATGTCAGCAGAAGTCCTGTCCACCACTCTGAAATGAAAATGTTTAATTTAACGTGAAGTATAACAGATAAGCGAGCTAATATCATAACTTGACTGTGAATTGAAATGTTCAGTTTAATGTTAATTCATTTCACAAGAAGCTGATGAGAGTCTGTTGCCGTGGAAGCGTAATGAGCCGTGGAAATGGAGGATTTACTTTCTACCCGTTTAAATATCTCTTCATCAAATCAACTAAATCAACATTTTGAGTCAGCTTGGCTGTATTTTTAGTTGGTAGCCAAGTACTGTATAGTGAGGAGGTGGTTACAAAAGAGGAATCCCTTCAGGGTGAGTGAGTAAGACCCCTCTGCTTATTGTAGGGTCCCATTCACCCTGTTGAGATTCTACTTTGCATTACCATCTGCTCAGCATATATAAACCCTTTCATAAAAAAAACAAAAGTACCATTTACAGAGTAGATCTAGTCCCCAACATACACAGCTGCTGTCATCTTCTGTGAACTACTTCACAGCATCAACTCAAGAGCAGTGCCAACCTGTTTCATTTCCTGGTTCAGTACCCTTAACTCCAAATAAACCATACTAAAAAGACACTGAAAGTGAATTGCTCTGTTTTACATGTACATTTTATTTCTCAATCTATATTGCTCACATAGTCAAGAAGATAATGTGGTTTTGATATAGCAGGATTTTATCAGCAGAGAAGGAACATTTCTTATTAAAGTTGAGCTGCTGCATAACACAAAAAGGCAAAACAGTTTCATCTAACACTGTGAGGTGTTGATGCCTAAATTATCTTCAATATTTCAGAAAAGCTTTGGCTTTTACACAGTCTCTGGGAATACATGCACTAAAAGTCTGTATTCTGCTTATTGATCCAATTTTATTGTTAAAAGTATTGATTAAGTGTCGTAAACACATACACATTTTTGCTGCTGTTTTTCCTGTTTTCTCCTAAATCATGTTTCTGCTGACCTTTTAGAAACACAGCAGACAGTTACAGGAAGGCCTAATGGCTGTGATGGGGACAGAATATAAGACAATGCCATGAGCCTTGTTCAAAGCATCTTAAATGCACAGTTCAAAGCACAATAAAAAGGAAATTATGGTACCTACCTACCTACCTACCTACCTACCTACCTACCTACCTACCCACCCACCCACCTATCTATCTATCTATCTATCTATCTATCTATCTATCTATCTATCTATCTATCTATCTATCTATCTATCTATCTATCTAGCTATCTATCTATCTTATAGATGAACACTGACTGCAGAAGATTGGTTACTGCAAATAATGCCCATATTACAGTTTTTCTCAGTCACTTTGGTGCATTTTTTACGTCACTTTTAACATTTGCTCAACAGTTAGTGCATTTCTTAAAACAGTAAGTTTGAACTGCAAAATCTAGTTGATCACCTGCCAAAGCGGGTCGCTTACTCAAAATGGAGAGTTTGTTCCTGAAAAGCTATTATTCATATCAATGAAAGTGTTCATATCATCATTATAAAACCCCACCCACAGGCTGAAAAAATCATAATCCACACAGGCACTAACGACAACTCCAAACAGCAGTCCGAACTTCTGAAACAGGATTTTCACTACCTGTTCCACATTGGCTGTGTCTCAATTCAGAGACTGCATACGGCTTAGCCCACTTAAGCGTGCTCAGCCGTAACCTCAGGAGAATTAAGTCATAAAGTAAATAAAGTCATAAAGCTGCTTTGGTAGAGGGGGAAATGGCTGGAGCTGGTCAATTACAGGGTTATCTGTGGATGCATCAGCGAGCCATTCAGAGAGCTTTTGTGGTTTTTCAAGAAACAATCCAACTGATGATCAACATTTGTGATCCAGAGGGAGTCGAGCTTTGATGAGCACCACATCTCTGGCACAGGCGGTAACCTACACCTGCAGAGACACCAACGCCTTATTATGGCATATTGGATTCATATCATAAAATAAAGCTCAATACCATTCACGGCTATTTACGGCTGCATTGACGGATTTATCTGCAGCATATCCATTTCTGCCTCCACAAAAGCAGCGATTTCCTCCAAGTCCACCTGTTTTCTCTGGAGAAAAGATACATTTCTCGAAAAGTCCTTATCAGTCCTCTTTAAAGTCCTTATACCTATGACAATGTAATGCTGATGTGCCAAAGGATAAAGTTTCTCCTTGTTTGTGAAACATATACTGAAGCACAGTTCCTTCAAATGCTCCATGGCCCTAATTTTAACAACTCTCCTTTGAAATAACAGGTAACTTTACAACTTTATTCTCATAAGTTATTGACTTTATTCTTGTAAATTTACGACTTTAATCTCGAAGTCTTTAAAAAAAAAATCTCAATGTGGCCCTCATACTCTGTCCTACAAAACATGCAATCATTGGATGAATTTTGTGGAAATGATCTGTAAAGTCCTTTCCTCTTTTTGGTCACTTTGTTGTATTTAGTAACTCCTGTGTGCTTGTACGTATGTATTGTTTTGTGTCTGTGTCTTTTGTTTTGTGTCTGTATTATATGTATGCAAGGTCGCACAATTAAAAAATAACTGCTGTGCTCCGCGGCTTTTCTTCAAGTGAGTCATGATGCGAGCCTGAGGGCGGGGACATTTGGCGACTCAACCAGGAAGTGCTCCGAAGGGTAGACCGTCCCAATTCACAAAAGTCGAACCACCTCACCCAGGGTACTCAAGTCCAAAGAAGGGCAGTTCGCTCAGCTGAGCGCGCTCAAGTGCATGCAGTCTCTGAGATGAGACACAGCCATTGTTAATCAGTTCAGAGCGCAAGTTTACATTTCCGGCTCCACTCCCACCCGTGGAAAGGCTGAGCCTCAACACCTAGCTGTCCTCTGTTTGTGGTGTCCACAATATGGGCTTCATTGACAATTTTAATTTATTCTTGGGTCAGGAGGCATCTGTTTGGGGCTGATGGACTCCACCTCAACATAGCTGGTATCTGTCTGCTGTCTTTTAATCTGGCTTATGGTAAGCAATCAACATTCTGCCCCTCTGAGCCTGCACTTACTAATCAGCCTGTTACTAATTGATGTCCCCCAGGTCCCAGTTCCTATGGTTTTAGTTCCACCTCTGACTACTCTGACACAGTACTGGACTTGGACCCTCTGTTTTCACCCATTCCTGTCATCATTACTCATCATAAGAAAACCAGACTCCATCAAGTTCACTCTGTGAACTTTAATAACCTCAGACCTCTCCCAGAACATCAACAGTCCACCCATACAGTCTGTAAATCACTGGTCACCATCAACATGGCACTTTTAAATATTCACTCTCTTTTAAACAAATCCTTTATTATCCATGAGCTGATTTTAGACAACGAGGTTGATTGTTTATTCTTAACTGAAATGTGGCTGGGTACAGACCCTCCATCATGCAGTCATGTTTAACAGTCCCTTAATTCTCTGTATTTCTGTTTACAGACCACCAAAACATGATGCTCCTTTTATCAGTGAATTTTCTGAATTTTTAGCAATAATCCATGCCACTTACAATTTTATTATTATATCTGGTGATTTTAATTTACACATAGACAATCCATCTGATTACATGGCAAAGGAGTTTTTAAATCTACTGAGTTGCTTGGATTTTAAACAACATGTCACACAGCCAAATCAACAGAGGACACACTTTGGATCTAGTCCTCAGCTATGGCCTGTAAGCCAGTGTGTCCTCTGTCGTTGACCTGGCTGTGTCAGACCATTATTGTGTGTTTTTTTATATCACCAGCTTTATTCAGCGGTAGACCTCGATGTCAACTGTCAGGGAATTTTATTTTACCTCAGAAGTGGCTGCAAACCTTATTGAAATCTTGAGCAAGCATCCCTCAGCTACTTTACCTGCCTCCTGAGATTTTATTGATCAAAATTTTATCAACAAACTTGAAACAACACTTGACCTCATAGCTCCACTGACAACAAAAAAGGTACTGCCTAAGCGCACATCTCTGTGGAGAAATGAGGAAAGAAAAAAAAATGAAAAGAAATTGCAGGGTAGCTGAACCGGGATGGAGTTAATCATCAAATATACTGTGGGCAACTGAAAATTTACAATTCTGCTCGCAGGCAGGCAAGATCCACCTATTTCACTGATATAATCATGGATCATAAAAATAACCCTAAAATCCTCTTTAGTACTATTGATCTTTTAATCAACCTGGTTTTTAATAAAGATCAGATCACTCCTTCAGACACTTTGTGAAGGTTTTACAGACCACTTCAGGGGTAAAATTGATTCTGTACGTTTTTCTATTGTATCTATTCAAAACACTGTGTCTAATACAGTAGAAAGCTTGTTTTTACCTGAGGAAACACGGGACAGTTTTTTCCTGGTTGATGCTGAGATGCTTGGTAGAGTTTTCTCCCAAGTAAAACCAACAACCTGCCTTTTAGACCCAATTCCCACATCACTTTTTAAAATGTTTTATGGTTTCTTTGAAGGCGAGCTTTTAAATATAGTGAATTGTTCCCTTCGGACAGGCTCTTTCCCTGCTGCCCTTAAAACGGCTGAAGTGAGACCACTTCTGAAGAAGAACAGTTTGGACCCTCATGTTCTTATTAACTACAGACCAGTGTCCAACTTACCATTTTTAAGCAAAATTTTTTGAAAAACTTGTTTTTATTCAGTTGAATGATTTTTTAAATAACCGTTGCATCCTAAAGAAACTTCAATCTGGACGTACCACAGTACAGAGACTGCACTACTGAAAATTGTTATTGATCTTAGGTGCAACTTGGACTCACACAAGCTTACAGTCCTTGTGCTACTGGATCTAAGCGCTGCTTTTGATACAGTAGATCACACAATTATTTAAAATAGACTAAGGCACCTTGCAGGCCTCTCTGGTAGTGCCTTTCAATGGTTTAACTCCTATCTCACAGATCGTAAATTTCTTGTAAGTTTGGACACATGCTCTTCAGGAATTCATAGCATTAAATATGGTGTGCCCCAAGGGTCAATCTTAGGTCCCGTACTATTCAATTTATATATGCTCCCACTGGGAGATATCATCAGACGCCATGGTATCACTTTTCACAGCTGATGACACACAGCTGTACATATCCATGTCTCCTGATGACACAGGGCCAATTGATGCCCTTTTTAGCTGTATCCTAGACATTGAATCCTGGATGGCAGAAAACTCCCTACAGCTCAACCAGGACAAAACTGAGGTTTTAATTATCGATCCTAAGGCTCAGGAAGAGAAACTTTTAACAAAACTGAAAACCCTGTCTTTAATTCCATCAAATCAGGTAAAAAGTCTGGGCATCATCGTTGACTCTGAGCTGACTTTTATTCCACATATTAAAAACATAACAAAAACAGGATTTTATCATTTAAAGAACATAGCCAGAGTCCGCCCCTTTCTCTCCCAGGCTAACACAGAGACGCTAATGCATGCTTTTATCTCTAGTCATCTTGACTATTGTAACGCCCTGCTTTCTGGTCTTCCAAAAAGAAACATCTCAAGTTTACAAGTGTAACAAAACTCAGCAAAACTTGTGCTGACGAAGACCAGAAGGCAGGCACATGTTACACCATTTTAAAATCACTGCGTTGGCTCCCTGTGTGTTTGATTTGATTTGATCAAAATGAAAAATCCTAACTCCTTTGTTTATGAACAAGGTAGTCAACAGGCTTTGTCATTTTTTCATTATGACAGTTCACTCTGTAAGTGTTTTCAAATGAAAAAAAAAAATACAGTCAGATCTTGGTGACACTATCTGAAAATGCTCAAGACAGCACTATACACTGTTTGCACAGCCATTTGAAAGCTACAGTAAAGTTACACATTACTGTATTTACAGTTTTTCTCTGTCACGTTGGTGCATTTCTTAAATCAGAATTAAACTTCTCATAACTGTTAGTTCAACCTCCACAACATTCAGCCATCTGTGCACATCATAGCAGCAGTTTATCATTCCTTCCACCAAATTGCAAATGCTTTTGGACATGTATCAGCTACTTTCATACAATTCTCTTCTGTTTCATAACATTATCATCTGCTTTTGTCATGTCATGCTGAATGCTGAATAGTCACTGCCTCTGGAAAAATAGTCCTCATTTCACTGCTTGAGTCATTACATACAAAAATGTTGAAGTATTTATCAAAGTCTGTTAGATAGATTTTAAACATTTCTTTATACATTTTTTCCTGAAAATGTCTCTGACCTAAAATTAACTATTTCTCTCAGGTGAACCTCAGCTTTCACTGAGGAGGGCTGCGTAAAGTATTAGATGCAACCACTGATAAGCCACTTCTACACAGTCACTCAGAGATGAATCCCATGAACCTTCTCTTGGCTAACATATATGAACTGAGCAGGGCATAGTGTGTACCATTTCTGCAATACTGTGACACAGAAATGGAAGGTCAGCATGGTGAAAAAGGGCTGAGGATGCTGGGAGGAAGGGGAAGGGGACAAAACAAAAGAAGAGGAAGAAGAGGCCAAGTGATGAAATTACAGTTTTTCGCAGTCACTTTGGTACATTTCTGAGATCAGAATGAAAATTCTCACAGCTATTAGTTTAACCTCCACAACACTGAGTCATTTGTGCACATCATCGTAGCAGTTTCTCATTTCTCTGAACAAATTGTAAATGCTCTCGGACATGTATCAGTTACTTTCAGACAATTCTCTGCTGTTTTTTAAAATGATCATTTGCTTATGTCATATCAGTCAAAATGAAACATACTTATGAAAGCTGAATTTGCATTCCCTTTAAAACTAATAGTCCTCATTTCATTGCTTGAGTCATTACAAGCAAAATTCTCGAACTAGTTGTCAAAACCTGTCAAGCTGATTTCATGCATTCTTTTTATCATTTTTTCCCCTGAAAATGTCTCCTAAATTGAACAATTGCTCTTAGGTGAACCTCAGCTTTAACTCATGAGGAGGTGTGTGATGCATTAGTTGTTACCAATGTCAAGCCACTTGTCCACAGTCACTCAGAGCTAAATCCCATAAACCCTCCCTGGGCAAGCATATATAAACGAAGCAGGACATGTGTACCATTTCTACAATTCTGTGACACAAAAATGGAAGGTCAGCGTCATGGAGGAGGGGTGAGAATGTGGTGAGGAAGGGGACAAAGCAGGGGCAAAGGAAGAAAAGGTGAAGTACATGGGCGAATCCCTGATAAAATTAGGGCTACACTTGTGGACCATGTTGTCAATCACGGCCTCACTATGGCTGAGGCAGGTTGACGGGTGCAACCAAATGTAGGGAGAATCACTGTGAATCTCCAGGAAAAATATATGTTCAGTTTACAGTAATATGTACCTTTATATTGTTTATAATTGTGCACAGTTCTACCAAAATGGTATTTCTTACGTTTGTTCTAAATAAGTGACTGTGAAATTTTTGTTTTGCACAATGCTGTAGAATTGCAAAGAACATATGCAGTAAATATGTGAAACATACAAGTGTCTTGTATTCAGTTACCTGACTTAATACAGTAATGTGTAACTTTACTGCAGTTTTCAAATGGCTGTACAGGTAGTGTATAGTGCTGTCTCGAGCATTTTCAGGTAGTGTCACCAAGATCTGACTTTTTTTGCACAGGAAAACACAGAGAGAGGAAAGTGTCATAATGAAAACACGACAAAGTCATTTGACTGTCATGTTCATAAACAGTGGTGTCAGGACTGATTATTTTGATGACACAGACAGTTTCATTGACATGAATACTTGCTTTTGAGGAATCAACTATTGATTTTGAGCAAATGATGCGCTTTTGCAGGTTATCCACTTGGCTTTGCAGTTTGTACTTATTGTGCTGAGAAATGCACCAACTGTTGTGCAAATCTTAATAGTAATGTGAGAAATGCACCAGAGCAACTGAGAAAAACTGTTGAGCTACAATTGTGGACCATTTTGTCAATCACAACCTCAGGATGACTGAGGCTGTGTAAGGGTGCAGCCAAATGTTGGGAGAAACACAGTAAATACGATTACTCAAACACTTGGTCAGGAGAACAGGTGTGTAACTAAAATAAAAATGAAAAGTAAAATTTAAAAAAAAGATTTTAACAACCAGGAACATAACATTTACCTTAACTAGATGGTCTAATTCTCAAATTAATTTAAACCTAAAATAAGACTTCACACACTGTCAGTATTTACACAATTGAAAGGTAGTTTTATAAATAAACTTTTAAAAATCCCTTCTCAAAGTAATTTATAAAGCACAACAGATGTAGAGCTGAACTTTTTTCTTTCTTTCTTATTTTGGCTTGTTTTTTAATTTTTTTTGATAGCAAATTAACAGCTCAAAAATCTTCTTTCTCTCCTCTCCTATCTTATTTCTCTCACTCCTCCTTACTCCATTCTCTTTTCTCTCCACTCCACTCTACAACAACAGTCTCCTGTTTCCCTTTGCAAAAACTCTCACAAATTTATCCCTGTCCAAGTTATTTGCTATGGACTTCTCATGGGCAAAGATCACAAAAAAAAAAAAAATAATAATAATAATAAATAAAATAAATAAAATAAAAGAATTTTCTTTGTCACACTATATGCAAAATAGATTTTTTATGCTGAATTATTATGATTATTATGACAGCCAGGGATATGTCAATGATCACCAGCATTGTTCCATCAACATTTTACTACCATTGCAATGAACAGGACATTGATTTCCAAAAATAAACAGCAGCTAACTTAGATTTAGCAACAAAAAAATGTGTGTCAGACAGACAGTGAGTCACAGAGTGAGACAGACCGATTATTGTTACCTACAAATTCAAGAGGCTCAAAAATATTGTAAAGTTAAATGATAAGATATAAGATAAGATATTCATTTATTAGTCCCACAATGGGAAATTATCATTACAAAACCAAATAGATAAAAAATAAGCAAAGGAGGAATAATTTTCAAATAGTAGCATAATGACTAAAGTTATTCTCTTGACAGTTAATGATGCTTTTGGACTCCCCCCCAGGTCCGTTATGATGTGTGGCGTCGGCTTCTGAAGACATTCTGGGCGGTAGTTGTTGGCTACTCCATGGTGGTATTAATAGCCATCTACATGTACCAGTTCAGGAGTGTGTCTAGTCTGTTTAGACAGATCATGGGCATGTCAGAGGAAGGGTGAGTCTTTTTTGTTTGTATGTGTTTTATTATTTAACTTTTTTAAATGAAGCACAAAAATGTACCGCAATGTAATGCTAAATTTCTTAGGCCTGTTTTCTTAAGTTATCATCTGTCCCTTTATTAGTCTTCGGGACCTTGGCTTGGAGCAGTATGACACAGTGGAACTGTTTGCACGCATCCTGCTTCCTGCTGCATTCCTATTGGCCTGTATCCTCCAGCTACACTACTTTAACTCAGACTTCCTGAGTCTCACTGACCTTGAAAATGTACCTGTCAGACAGGCCTCCAGGTGAGACTGTATGCATAGAGTTTATGCATTATTAATGAAATGTCAGCATTTCCACCTATAAACCTATTTAGCCATGGGTTAACATTTAAAAGGGGCTTAAGCAGTTGCAGCAGTTGTGGTGTAACTGATTACATGTAGATGGCTGTGAAGAATGACTTCCTGTGATGCTTTGTGATGCATTCAGGGGGAACGAGTCTAGCACTGAATGTGCTCCTGTGTTTCATCAGCATGTTTTGGAAGGGGTGGTGGACTCTGTCCAAGATTTCTTGTAATTTTGACAACATCCACCTCTCTGTCTTCACCATCTGAGAGTCCAGCTCTAACCCCACAATGTCACTGGTCTTGAGAATAAGTTTGTTAAGTCTGTTGGCGTGTGATACCCTCAGTCTACTGCCCTAGCACACAACAGCAAACAGGATTGCATTGGCCACCTCAGACTCTTAACACATCCTTAGCATAGTCCTGCTGATGTGAAAGGTCCTCAGCCTCCTGATGAAGCACAGATGGCTGAGGCCCTTCTTGTAGACTAATTCAGAGTTCTTAGACCAGCCCAGTTTGATGCCCAACTAAGGGCAAGGGGACCTCTTTACAGCCATAAAGACCCCCTCCCCCATCCCCCGCCTCTCCCCCTTAGTTAGGCAGCTCACATATTGTGTGAAAATAGTCAGGGTTTTTGCCACGGTGACATGACTGAAGTCCCCCGAGATAATGAAGAGGGCACTTGGGTGGTCTGTCTGTGGCAGTGGTGTGTACAACACTGCACACTGTTGTTGGTTTAGCTTCAATAGCATAATTCAGACCACAGTGGGAGGATCCAGGCTATACTAGCTGAACTTCAGTAAGCCACTGCTGGGGAATTTTTTAAACCAGTAATGGCCTTTAGCTGATATAGAATACATAATTTACTACTTACATGATTACTTGAGTGCACACACTGTGATATCCATCTGTTGCTGTGGCCTTAAAATCTGCATAAAGTACACATCCGTGACTGATGCCATGAACTATTGCTTTTTCATTTACTAACAAACCACTTTACCAATGGCTACATATGTTGTTTGTCTAAGTGATTGTCTCTTGTTTGATCCATCATTCTCACTCAGAGAAGAAGAGCTCAGGAGTTCAGTCAGTGTGATATCTGAGACGTAAGTGCCACATCTATTTGTCAATCTATGTTTGTTGCAGTTAATGTATATTTTAAACATTTTTACTTTACATGTAAAAACCAGTCTTTACTGTTTCTTGTGTTGTTACCTATCAACATAGTTGGTTTGAACTAAAAGTAGCTGAACACACTGTATTGTACTGTTTGTGAGAGGCACAGTGCTCCAAAGAGCTATGTGAATAAAATTAACTGTTATTCATATACAGAGGAGATTCTGATAATTGATTTCACAATATTTTCTGTAATATTGTAAAACCGTCTAAAATTTGGATCTTTGAGTCTTTTTTCTTTTTTTTTTTCAGAATCAAAGAAAATCTTGCAAAACTCAAGAAAAGGTAAGAATGCCTCTTAAGATCATGATGCACACTGTTATAAGATTGGGTAGATTTTTTTTTTTGATTTTTTTTTTTAAGGAACGGGGCAATTCCTTAGACCTACATTATTTAGTTGAATGTTGACTGGTAAAAATGTCATGCAGCCTGACACAGAACTCCCACCACATGAGATCCATTTGCATTTCTCCAAGTCTCTTTTCAAAATCCGTCAAGGTTTTAAAACACCTCTTTTCCTAGGCTTGTCAAAGAGCAGATGGGAAATGGAAAAAGCAAGGAGACTCTGGACAGCATTGGGCTCCAAACCTCCCAAGACAAAGAAGCTGAGGGACAGGAGGAGCTGTCAAGAGAGGGTAAATACAGCTTGAGACCAAAAATGGTTCTTTTGCCTGTTTTTGCCTGAATGTTTTAGTTATAAATCTCAGATTGCCATTATTTGCTGTCAGATCAACATTGTATGACAAGTGCAGCAGTGTTATGTTCATTTAAGGTCTGATGTTCTTACTCCTCCTGTTACTATCTCTTCCTCCCAGAGCCTCTTCACAGCGATTGTGAGGACAAGTGGGTTGTGATTGTGGATAGAGCAAGCGTCCTGCTAATCCATGCACTGTTAGGACTCAATAAGTTCCAAGAGCAAAGCTGGAGACTATTGGAGCTTCACAGCCTTAAAATTGTTTCCTCTGGCATCATTTGGGTGTCCCTGCAAGAGGTGGGGTTTGGCCTGTATGATCTATGTATGTATAAAGTCACGTAATTGAAAAAGTGTGGACATGGGCTTGTTGACTATTTGTTCAACAGAAAAAAACATGGGTTTCCTGTACTCTGTGCACACTTGACATAAAACTGTTTCTTTATGCAATATAGCTGCAAATTTTCAATGCCAGAAGTTGAGTAAATTCAGATAAGAAACACTTTTTTTTCAGCCTTTAGCCAAATTGTTGACATTTTCTGCTTTGAGAAAATCTGTGACCAGTTTTGTCAATTTTACTCACATTGTGCTCTCTTATATAAAAAGATAAAAGTTGTAAATGACATTTAACAGGTATCTCTGATGAACCTGCTCTTCCTGGTTCTGTGGGTTTTTGCACTCCCATTTCCACGGCTACGACCTTGGGCATCCAGCATTTCTGCTGTGTGGGCCTGTGTCATGGTGGTGTGTAAGATGTTTTACCAGCTCAAAATAATCAAACCCCTTGATTACGCCTCCAACTGCACAGCTGTGAGTATCCATAACTATGTGTTTGTAATAGTAATCTTGCACTCCATACTTTCATGTCTCTGTTGGGTTTAACTGTCCTGTGCACTTTTCTTTGCTGTGTAAACTTGCAATCATCTTTCATATATCTTTTGTTGAAAATTACAAGCAAAATTTCCACCTAACAAATATTTAGCATTTTTTATTAGGGCCTAATACCATCCAATAGCACAGATTTAGATGATGGAGTGGAGCTACGAGGGAACCTGTTGGAGTTGCTTAGGAGATCTATTCTCTACACTGAGCCCGTAGACCCTGTCTACTGGTGTGGAGCGCTGCGTAAATGTGAAGGCAGGATTCTCCCATGTCTGCGGGTATGGTCTAAAACTTTATTTATATGGGTGGGTTCTAATGATGCAAATGTTTCGGTTTGTCTGTTTTCTTACCATGTTTCAATTGCTGTTACGATAGAGATGATGCATAAGATCTTGCAAAAAAAAGATAGTTTGAGATATCCTGATGGCACCACCCTAACCTGAAAGGCTCAGCAGCTTCTAAGTCTTTTGAGAAATACTTGCTTTGTTTCTTTTTTGTCAAGATTTTCATTCATCCACTAAAATAGAATAACAAGTGATGGTGCAAAAACCCCTTTCTCATCCCTTTTCACCACTACAAAATATCTTTTGGTGTGAATTGTTTTTTGCACTCTGTCTACTATGGTTTCCTTGCTCCCTAAAAGGAAGAGAAAGGTGCTGGATGTATTCCCAAAGAATTAAAGGTCTATTCTGGCGTAAAATTAATGTAGGGTGAAACAAACCGTATCATCGAGTTAGACACCCCGTCAAGAGATGAATGTTGCCGACTGCTTGCTTCTCCAGTTATACCAACTTAAGTAAAGATGGCATGATCGCATTACACAGTGGTCTCAAGAGCCACACACAAACCTCAACCAAAACGCCACTCTGTAGCCACAAATAATGCTCAGAACAGCACCGAACTTCATCAACAGGACATATAGGGTCCCAGCCATAGTACTAGCTATCAAACATCTCTAGCTTTGCCTGATTTCTTTAGCAAAGAGACTAAACACAACTCACCTACTCTCTTTTAGCAGCCGCTTGTTTGTAGCGAGACCTCGGGCCAGTCCATTACGGACTGCAACGGGGTGACACAGCTCAAGGAGGAACATTTATGATCATTATTGTATCATTTCCTCAAAGTAATGATCATCATATTAATCCCTTTTTACTGCAGATGCGGTAGTTCATCTGCCTTAGCGTCTTGGTCTGATTGCATTTCCATGAAGATATGATTCAAGAATTCATTCAAGATTTTGAAACGGTTTCAGTCTCAGTATCCCCACACTCCCCCCTCCTTTTCTCTAAACGAGTATTCTGTGTTACAGAACCACCTGATGGTGCTGGGATTACTGGTTTTTGAAGCAACTGTCCAGAGGCACCAGCTCTACTTCCGCCTTCGTAACGATCTCAAGCCCCCACCCTTTAGCATTATCTTTCAAGGCATCACGAGGCAGCACCTTGACCATGGCATTCTGCCTTGTATCAAGTACTTCATCAACTATTGTTTCTACAAGTTTGGACTAGAGGTGCTTTTACAGACCAAAGTTTTTTCTTTTTAATCTCTATTGACTTTAAATGTGTCTTACATACTATACCACTTGCTGACTGATACTGTTTTCTTAGATCAGCTTGATTGTGGCGGTGAATGTAATTGGTCAGAGGATGGATTTCTATGCCTTGCTCCACTCCTGCGCTCTAATGGCTGTGCTGTCACGGCGACGCAGGAAGGCGATAGGAGAGGTGTGGCCGAAATACTGCTGCTTCACTGCTGGGCTCATGGTGCTGCAGTACCTGCTCTGTGTTGGCATCCCTCCTGCTCTCTGTGTTGGTATGGATTTTATATTGATGTGTGAAACTTTTGTATAGAGGAATGTCATCATTTCATTTACATTATTATAATGTAATAATAATATCATAATGTTTGATACATCCATGTATTGGCAGTGTTAAGAAATGGTTCACAACATGCAAAAAGCAGAAAGAAGCTTAGATAATTCAATTAGATCATTTAGAAAGCTTAACTGTCCAACAAACTATCTGAAGCCAGAGGATATTAAGTTACGCTAAAATAAAGATTAAAAAAATAAATAAATAACAGATCCTTGCATTTTGGAAATTTAAGGCATAACTGTTATATGTCCAATGTAAATGAATTATCTATTTCTGAAGCAGTTTCTAGTTAAATCTGTGTCTATGAATCTGAAGTAGAGAAACCAGCTAATTTCTTTCTTGTAATTTAATCTTCTTATGTTTTTTTGTCTTCATCTATTGACAATTTGGCTTTCAAAATTTAAGGTAATATAGGATAGCAGTTTAATATCTGAAAGGTAACGGTAAAATCATTTTTTATGTTCAAATAAATAAGTAAGAAATTAAAAATCAGAAATGTAATATTATGACATTTATTAGTCATGAAATATTTTCAGGTTCCCCTTTGTCAATTTACAAGTAGGTTGTTGACATGTTTCTGTTTTTAACACAACATTTATGTCTGTGTTTGTAAAAGTGTTGCATGGTTGTCAATAGGGCTGCAACGATTAGTCGACGTAATCGATTACGTCGACGCGACAGATTCATTGACACGAAAACGAAGCGTCGACGCGTCGTGTTATTGTTGTTAAGAATCACATGCCGGCACCTCATGCTCATCTATAACTGCAGTGCACTACAGGATGTGCAGGGGGCAGTAGCGTTCGCTGTTTACATCCCGCGAGCAAACACAGAAGAAGAGTGCACACATTATGGCAGAACAAACTGAAAAAGACGCTCCAAAACGCCGACCCAAAACTTCAAAAGTTTGGGAACATTTTTCGGAGAACAAACCAAAAAAACACGTCGATCGAAGCTCAGCTCTCCTACCATGGCAGCAACACGGCGATGTATGAGCACCTGAAACGCCGACACCCCGGAAATAGGTGTTTATAAATAAAGAAGATAGTGATTAATCGTGATTAATCGGACGAGTAGTCGGACGACTAGTCGACAAAAAAATAATCGTTAGTTGCAGCACTAGTTGTCAACTCTGTCAAATTGTATACTTCTCTTTTCAGATTACCCCTGGAGAACTGCAATTCAACCTTTGACCTCCAATGTTATTAAATGGTTTTACCTGCCCGACTTTGCTATGAGACCCAATCCTCTCTTTATATTCTGTGAGTTCATCTTCACCTCTTCCTGCTCTACCTTGTCTTTGAACCTTTTCAACCCACTGGCCAATTTTTGACCCCTCACCTCTCCTGCTCACTGCAGATGACCACCTCCTGTTGCTCTGCTCATCTCTTCAGTGGCAGATGTTTGAGGAGGAGAACCGAGCAGCAGTACGACTGCTGGCTGGAGAAAATGTTGAGATCAGTCGTAGTCTCGATCCTTGTTCCTTTAACCAGTACATACCTGTTGATAACTTCCTTCATTGCAGGTCAGACTTTTCAACCTCCTTTTTTTGTTAACAACTCTCCTCTCCATTTATGAGACCCACTCTGAAAGTATAAGATTAAAGATAAAAGCAGAAAATAGCCCAAATTTTGTGATTTAGCTTCTGGTGAATCTTTCCTCTCTCTGTAGGTTACACTGCATGCTGAGATTCAGGACTCTATTGTGCTGATTTATGGTCTATATGTTAATTACGGGTTGAATTAGCATACCAATCAACCATATGTGTGTGTCAATGCAATAAAATCTGCCATGGACAACTGGAACAGCTAAAGGCAGCAATCACAGACATCTAACATTTCCTTGACAAGCATGTGCCATCTTTTGTGCTCTATATCAGAGTCTTTCGCAGACTTGCCATCTTGCCGGTATCAGAACCGAATAAAATGTTGAACAGGAAATGAAAGCAAAAAATATGTTTTTAGACATTTTACTTGTTAGACAATCAATTTTGTTCATAATTTTTCTTAAATAGAAGGAGGTTTTTTTTTATTATAAATGTAACAGGTATTTAATGGACTTTTAATGTCTGCAAAATAAGGATATCTTTTTGCAGACAATGCAGCCTGTAATCTTCCAAACACTGATAATTCGTGTAGCTGGTGGAATCTTTGGTCTTATCCTTTGAAGCCGTAAATCTGTTGGTGTTTGGATGCATGTCACTATGCTTCTCTTTCAGAGCAGTACAATATTCCTCTCTGTCTGCTTGGCAGGAGCTACCTTGACATGGTGAAGGTGTTTGTGTTTAGCTATTTCTTTTGGCTGGTGCTTTGCCTCATCTTCATCACTGGTACCACGCGGATCAACATCTTCTGTCTGGGCTACCTGGTAGCTTGTTTCTACTTCATGTTGTTTGGCGGCAGTGTGTTGATGCAGCCTGTCAGATACATTTTGAGACTTTGGGACTGGCTCATTGGATACACCTGCTTTGTGATTACCATGAAGAACCTGCTATCTGTGAGTTACCACAGTGAGAAAACACTTAACAGTTGTGCACAAAGTAATTTAGGGCACACATTGTCTCATGAATTATTTCGTGGTTTGTACTATTCCTGTGTTTTTGTGATTAGCTTGGGTCTTGTGCGTACTTGGACAGCCTGCTGAAGAATGGCTGCTGGTTGATTCAAGCCTTCAGTATGTTCTGCACCATCAAAGGCTACGATGTTCGTAAGTGTCCTTTGAACCTTGAACCAATAGTGTAAATAAAGCCGTTGTTCAGACAGTGAATTCATTGAGTAATTAAAAAGAGGATTTTCCCTTTGTTTTTTAGCTGAGCCTGATGATAAGTGTGAACTACCTGAGGGTGAGGCTGGCATCGTCTGGGATGCAATCTGTTTCGCTGTTCTCCTGGCACAGAGGAGGGTCTTCCTTAGTTACTACTTCCTCTATGTAGTGGCTGAACTCAAGTCTTCTAAGATATTGGCCTCCAGGTCTGTACTTCACTTATGCTGTAGTCTAGATCCTTATGTTTATGTTGTAAACAAAAAACTGTTGGGCAGGGCAAACTCTACCACACAGGAAAAGGAAAATTATTTTATTTTGAAAAAAGAGAGGCAACCTAGAAAATCTCTTGTCTGTTAAAATGGAAGACCATACCAATGTAACCTTCACTTTCTTTTGATATTTACTTTTTTGCACTTTACATCAGTTTGTGATTTAGCAATATTTTGACTGAAGCATCTCGATCAGGGAGGATGGAAACAAACTCTTTAATACAACCTCTTTATGCAACCAGTGGATTACAAAAGCCGGTCCAAATTCATTACTGTTGTCATAATACATCATTAAAAGAGGTCACTGACTGCCAGTAAGGGAGAAAAGCTGCAGAAATAAAATGAACAGATACACAGTGCACAAACAGTTCATGTAAATAAGCCATACTTTACTCTTTACCTCTCTCCGCTAGAGGAGCTGAGCTGTTTGAGGCAAAAGTGAAGAAGCTGGTTGCAGCCCGCCTTGAGATGGAGAAGAAATCTGTGGAGACACTGAAGAAACAGTAAGAGGAAACAACTAATATACAAAAAGCTGGTAACACTTAATAGGGGTACAATTTTATTGTAAATGAATGCTTAATTAATGTTGAAGAAAGGCATGACTCATGTTGAATTTCTGTTTAATTCCATGTGGGAGACATCATTAAATCCTGTTGCTTATCATGAATGATGACCAAGTTACTATGGCTTTACATAATGAGTACATGTTTAATCTATCACAAATTAAGGTATATGTTACTTCAAACTGTAAATCATACATGACCAAATTAGTTACTTTGGGACTATGGATAGGATCAGTCTCTCAAATTGATACTAGAACTTCATTTTTTAAAGCTAGGTCAAAATTTTTTTCGATTTTTATTCACAAAAAAAAAAAAAAAATCAGAACCCTTATGTTAAGTATCACCAAAATGTATAATGTATATTTTCAACATTTCAGCTCCCTTTTCCAAATTCTGACTGTGACTGACGCTCTAAAGAATTACAGTGACATATCTCCTATGTATATCCTCTTTAAAATAGTTTACAATTATCTTGCTTTTACACCCTTTCCCTGAAGGATGGAGAAAATCAAATCCAAACAAAAGGGTAGACCGACAGCAGCAGAGAAACCAGCCCTTCCTGCTGATCCGGTGCAGGGGACACTAGGTAATACTGCTTTTAATGTCTTTACCTTTAGCTAAACCAGCAAAGCTTGCGAGGGAAGTGTATGAAGTGTACCAACTGTGAGAGGACGCACTATTAAAGACACACAGGGTTGGAGAAGGACCCTTGGGCCAGGGAAAGACCCTTTCTTCAAATGTTTTGACACAAAGCCAGTCTACAGATTTAATGAAAAGCAGGAGACATGCATTTGATTTACAGGTAGGATCTGTTTATTTATAGTTGCTAAGACTCTCAAGTAAAAAATACCTACAAGAAAGAGGGAACACCATTAGTCACAACAATTATTAAGTTAGGGTCATAAATAAACAAAACCTTCTGAGGTCAAAGACAAACTGGACTCCCTGCAGTTTGCATACAAAGAACACTGGAGTGGATGATGCTGTCCTCTACATGCTTCACCGTCCCCTGCCTCATCTGGAGGAACCTGGGGTTTATGTGAGGATCATGTTCTTCGACTTTTCAAGTGCATTCAACACCATCCAACCCACCATACTCAAAGACAGGCTCACAGAGATGGGAGTGGATCCTTCCTGTGTTTCCTGGATCACAGATTACCTGACAGGAAGGCCACAGTTTGTCAGGCTGGGGAACTGTGTTTCTGGGACATTAATGAGCAGTACAGGGGCTCCACAAAGGACAGTGCACCATTCCTGTTCACACTGTATACATCAGACTTCAAATACAGTACTGAGTCCTGCCACACCCAGAAATACTCAGATGACACCGCTATTGTGGCATGTATCAGAAATGGACAAGAAGCTGAATACAGAGATCTGATAAGAACCTTCAGTGACTGGAGTCACAAAACTGCCTCCTCCTCAACACCTCAAAGACAAAGGAGATGGTCATAGACTTCTGTAGATCCAAACCCCCTCTTCAGCCAGTGAACACCTGTGGAGTGGAGTGTTTTGTTTGTTTTTGTTTCCAAAGGTGGAAACATACAGAACTTGCATTTGTATGTTGTTTTTTTTGTATGGCACACTACCTGCAAACCCCGCCGTACGTGTGCACTGGTGCAGGCTCACTATTTAAGGGCTGAACAGTCCACTTGCCCACCGCACTCTGTGGCTTGGGATGGCCTTCAATATGGCAGAGCCTCTGCGAGGACGCCCAAACGGAGGGGGAGTGTGTAGGGCGAGTGTGTAGGGGGCGGTTTGGGATGGGACCATAGACTTTCTCAACTGGCTTGTGATTGGCTGACACTGCCTGTCACAGCCCACATTTTCTCAAGCCTCCTTACAAAGCAAGGAGGAGAGGCAGAAATGTGATCTTCTCTTGGATCATTTCAAATTCAATACGATGAAAAGTCATTCTGATATTTTTGAAAAATTATAAAAAAAATTATTCAGCCTACTGCACCTTTAACCAAATCTCAAAGAAATTTAAATTTTATGACTAGAAACATTTCCGAAGATCAACCTGTGACTAGTGTTTTTTCAGTGACACAAATGAACTTCTTACTTATACCAACAGCTGCATAAGTTTTTTTTTTAACTTTTGATTTATTTTTTTTTTTATTAACGGGGCTAAAATCTGACAATATATTTAGTTATTCAACAAACTGATCTGTTTTCCAGGTGATGACGAGAAGGCTATGAAAGATGCAGGAAAATGGTGGAAGCCTTGGGTGTCTAAACCAGGAGGTCAGCCCCAACATCACACAGACTATTTGCTTATTGTAATGCACAATTATTAAAAAAAACATTAGGAAGGATGAATAACTACATGATATTTGTAGCCCAGGCTGAAGAATGAAAAAAATCCTCCCTCACTTCACATTGCAGATTTGCTGGAGCAGCTTTGGGAAGGATGAGGGGGGCTCAACAGTAGCTATGCATTGACGTCAGTCTATTTTTTTGTACAGTGGAAAACAACTGTGGCTACCACCTGTTTGAAAGTGACAGTGAGGAAGAGGAAGAGGAAGCTCCAGAGAAGAAAGAAGAGGAGGAACCACCAAAGAAAAAGTCTGCTTTCCAGGTAAGGATTTGGGAGAGAAACAGAATGTGCACTGGCTCTCCAAGTTTACATATTATGTGCATTTATTAATGTGAATTTCCCAGTTTGGGATCAATAAAATCTACCTATCTATCTATCTATCTATCTATCTATCTATCTATCTATCTATCTATCTATCTATCTATCTATCTATCTATCTATCTATCTATCTATCTATCTATCTATCTATCTATCTATCTATCTATCTATCTATCTATCTATCTACTAATAAGATCCCAAATAATGGGCGCTAAATTGCATGTGCAAACCAAAGAATTGCGCTTGCTATTAGTTGGCGTGTTGTGGACGATGTACTATGATTGCGTGCACAATTGATAACAAGTGCAAAAGTGGTGCGGACCGCCCTATAGAAATTAAGATTTTGCATGCACTATCACATTTTATACATGCAAACCTTTGTAAGATAAGGTCCCAAAGATGCTCCTGCAAAAGACAATAAGCTACTGGCAGTTATACATGGTGTACATCCAATGCCTCTGATTATAAAATCATAGATCAGAACATGTATCTGTTGTCTCTGATATCTCAGTTGGCATATGAAGCCTGGGTCACCAGCTCCAAGAGTGCTCTGAAGGACCTTAAGAAGGAGAAGAAAAAAATGAAAAAAGAAGAGAAGAAGAGGGCAAAGAGAGAGCTACAGAAACAGCAAGGTGAGAGAACAACATCTGATTTTATTTCAAGACACATAGAAAAGGTAAAAGTGATTAAGAATCATCATCAGTGGATGCGGATTTTTTATTTGTGGGACTTGGGACTCTGTCTAAATGACTTTTTTGTTTGTTTTTTTGCTAGGCATTGAAAGAACAGACTCAAGTGAGGATGAACTAGAAGAAAGCACTGTGGAAGAAGAGGTGGTTGAGGAGAAGGGTAAAGAAACATGCTGGATTTGGTAACCTTTTCATATCATACCTTCATAAAAAGGAAATCTCATAACAAAGACAACTCAGTACAAAAACAGCAAAACAATCAATTAAGAGCAGGAAAGTCCTTAAATGTACCAATACCTTCACACTCAACTCCAATCAAAGCAATGCATGGCAAGCTTATTAATTAATATAGCACATTTTAGCAACAAGGCAATTTAAAGTGTTTAGCCCAAGGCATTAAAAGGATCATAACAAAGGTCAGAAAAACAGAGAAGGAAACATTTCAAAATCAATAAAAGCTGACTTTTAGCTATATTCAGACAAGAATAAAAAATCAGAGCAAAAAAAAAATGAAATGAAACAGCGAAAAGAGAGGGTTCAAATATGACACTCAAATACTTCTCATCTTTCTACAGAAAACATACTGCAACGTGTCATTAGCACCATAAAGTTCTCCTGGGTGTTTGTTCAGTCCCTTCTTGATGACCTAACGGAGGGTCTGAATTCTTTCTGTAAAGACAACCTGGACATTTCCAAGGTGCTCCGTTTTGAGAGGGCATTACTCAACCAACAGCAGAAAAAGGTGAGTGCAAAGCTGATTAATGTGAATCAAAAATGTGTCATGGAAAAAAAAAATCTGCATCCTACATGAAACTGATGTAGTTCAAGGTGTTCAACATTGTAAATATTTCCTAAATATTTTCAATCCCAGCAAACATTTTCTTTAAATATTGAATTATTATTTTTCTCATCATCACAAACTGTGGTCTGCGATCCAGGAAACACAGGAAGGATCCACTCCCATCTCTGTGAGCTTGTCTTTGAGTATGGTGGGTTGGATGGTGTTGAATGCACTTGAAAAGTCAAAGAACATGATCCTCACATAAACCCCTGGTTCCTCCAGATGAGACAGGGCACAGTGAAACATGTAGAGGACAGCATCATCCACTCCAATGTGTTCTTTGTTTGCAAAGTGCAGGGAGTCCAGTTTGTCTTTGACCTCAGACCTCAGAAGGTGTAGAATCAGCCGCTCCAGGGTTTTTCATGATGTCACAATAATTGTGATGTTAAATTTAGCTGGGACACTATATGTACTGTTGATGAAGTTAGGTGCTGTTCTGAGCATTATTTGTGGCTATAGAGTGGCTTTTTTGTTGAGCGCGTGGCACTGTGTATTGCTATCTGCGGTCGTTACTGAAGTTGGTATCACTAGAAAAGCAAGCAGTCTGCAACATTCATCTCTCAAGGGGGTGTCTATCTCAGTGTTACGGTGTGTTTGACCATAACTTAATTTTACACTGAAATATCCCTTTGAGCTGCAAAAAAGTTATAATAATAATAACAACAACAACAATAATAATAATTAGAAGTAGTAGTAGTATTATAATATTTTCAAAATAGATAAACAACTGAGCAAACTAAGGGAACACCATCACAAGGGCTCAACAAGGGAACACATTTGAAATATGTCTACATTAGAAAATCACCCATAGTAAAAAAAAAAGTCATATTGATTAAATTTTATTAATTTAATAATTTTGTTAATTAAAAAGTGAGGAAAATCTGCCAAAATACTGCCAAAAACACACCCTTCACAGTATTGCAGCTGCATGGCTGCAGGTGTGTCCTGGTCCTGCAGAACATGAGCAGCCAACTGTGTGAATTTCACATGGGACTGGTTATCAAACCCAGGCATGGTGATGTGGGACATTGAGGCTCTGATTTGGCTCATGTCCTCTTTTAACAAAACATGACCGAACTTGTTGCTGTATACTGTAAGTACAGATAAGCCACAGCCTCCCTGTCTACAGCAACAGAGCAGACAAAGTAGCTAAATATGCTAGTATTATTTGTGGCCATTTCTTTATATTGTCTCCCTCCTACCCCTCGAATGAGGAGGGCATTGGAATGATAATATTGCCCTGTTTAAGGAGTGATAGATTATGTTCCCACATTGTTTTTAATCCTCAATTGCTTTTAAATTCACGTTGAGCGTACAGTTGCCGAGGAAAATGTTGACTCCGCATCAATTTGAGAATTAAATCAAAAGACGCATCCATTGTGTATCCACAGACCATAGAAGAGTTTTGGCAGACGTGAATAGGAGCGGTGTGAGTCAGTACTCTTCCTCTTCCTCACTTAAGTACATGGCATAATGGCTGTACCACGCTGAACTAAGATTGAATTGTAAAACTGAATCTGAATCGTGCGAATTGAGATTGAGTGTTTTACCTTTGAATGTAGGTTGAATAAAATTTCAAATCAAATAAATTCAGTTTCAAACATTACTTTCAATTTCAAATCCTGCTTTTCAAATTCAATATAATTATTCAATTTCTGTTTCTAGTGGCACAAATCTCAGCCCATAACTTTTACCTCCATCTTCTGCAAATTCAAAATCCACATATGCTATAAAAATAGCCAAAGCAAAAAGGCAGATTTCTCAGTTTGTGCATCAATTCAGGAAAAGGAGTAAGAATTATTGAAAATACACACGGGAAATTGTGTGGTGGCAGATTGATCAAGGAAAATAGAAGTCTGAGAAGGGCAGGGATTCCATTTGAGCCTCATCACCCACTCACCATAAATCATCCCACTTATTACCCACATGCCGACTTAAGATAAAAACAAGTTGATACTTAGCAGTGGTGTATGCTTCTATAGAATAAAGCATAATAAAATGCCCTCTCTGGTGCTTTGTCCATGGGAGGTGCATTAAAAACTATTTAGTACCTGCTATTTTGGATGATACATGACAGAGTGCTCACTGGTTGCTGTCAAAATGTAAAAAAGAATTGAGGCTTCAACATGAGTTGTAGTGTTGTTGACAAATAGCAGCTGTTCAGGTTATTTTGAGCAGCTCTTCTTCTCTTTTCTGATGGGATGTATTCACATATTTTGCTGCTTCCAAAGCCGTGACCCTTTGTTCTCCTAAGAGATGTCAAACTTTTCCTGGTCAGTGAGTTGGGTGAAGTTGGGTGTTATGTGTGTGAGTTTAGTGTACGTGTGTGTCCTGATGGGTGAATGTGTCACAGTGTTACAGGAAAAGCTGCTCTGTTTCCATCTGTGTGTGAGGACAGAGCTGATACAGCTGCTCCTCTCTGGGCAGCCAGGTCTGTCTGTGGTGGCCGCTCTCTATGGCCAGGCTGTGGTTGCTGAGTCTGTCCACAGTCAAGGTTCTCCTCTTCTCTGGGGTCAGTTACCAAACTCAGGTAATCTGCCATGAGTATTGTCTGATTAGGGCCAGATAGCATAGGAGTTTGCTTTGGGTTTGGGTTGTAAATGTCCAATAGTTGATGTAGTTGTCTTTTTGTTTTTGTATAATTTGGTTGAGGGGTGTTATTGTGTGAGGGTGGTCTTGGTGCTCGGAGCTGGTGAAGCTGAGCTTGTGGACCAGCTGGCTGAGGGGACTCCTGTCTCTGCTCCCCTCTTGACTTTGCAGGGCTTTGTAGTGGTAGGAGCTGGGGTGGCTGGCTTTGAGGTGTTGGTAGAATTTGATTGCCCTTTTTTGGATCCAAATTACTGGGGAAATTATCCTAATTCAGCTCTGCATCCATTATTGGGGGTGTTTCTGTGGACTTTAAGAATGCTTTTAAAAATCTCAGTGTGCAGACTTTCGATTGGGTGTTCATCCCATCTCTCAAAGTCTTGGTTTACAAGTGGACCCCACACTTCACTACCATCTAATATAATGGGTTCAAATACAGACTAAAATACTTTGATCCAGATTCTGACTGGAATATCAACATGTGGAGATTTTTTAATAGACCAGACGGCTCTTCTGCCCTTGTCTCGCAGACCGTTAATGGCCAGATTGAAATTTCCTGTAGGTGTGATGTTAAGTCTGAGGTATGTGTAGCTGTGTGTGTGTTGTATGGGTGGGGCTGAGAATGCAGCCCAGCTTTACCCCTCTACTTTGGGGGAAGAAGTCTGTTTCTATGGTTCCAATTTTCACCACATATTGATATTTATGTACATTGTTTTAATGATATCATAGATTTTTCCCCCAATACCTTTCTCTAGTGATTTCAGAAATAAACCCTGAAGCCAAATTAAATCAAATGCTTTTTTGGAAATCCACAAAACAAGCAAAGATTTTGTTTTTGTCGCGGTGAACATGTTTCTGGATGAGGGTGTAGATGTGGTCAGTGGTTCTGTGTTGTGGTATGAATACAATCTGACTCTTGCTCAGGACATGGTGCTCACTGAGGAAGTTTTGCAGATGGCTGTTAACAAGGCTGCAGAATTACTTCCCTAGGCTGCTGCTGACACATATGCCTCTGTGGTTGTTGGGCTCATACTTGTCTCCACTTTTGTGGACTGGAGTGATTATTCGTCAGTTCCAGGCGTCAGGAAAATGTTCAATGATCAGAATAAGATTGAATATTTTCAATATGGCAGTCCTCATTTTATGGCTGTTAAACTGAAGCATTTCATTTAAAGTTCGATCCGGTCCACTTGCCTTCCTTGGCTGAAGAGCCTGGATCTTGGTCAGCAGCTCCTCCTCACTAATTACATAATCTAGAGGGGTTTGATTGTCTTTATTGTCTGATTCAAGGGCTTCTACTTTGTTAAGCAGATTGTTTTGCGCTGAATCCAGAGTGATTGCACTGTATAGATTTTCAAAGTGCTTTTTCCAAATGTCACCGTTTTGAATGACCAGTTCTTCCTTGTCAGATTTCTTAAATGAATGCCATTTTTTCCAAAAATTATTGGAGTCAATAGACTCTTCAATTTCTTCTAGGAGGTGCTGTTCATGTTGTTTCTTATTAGTGCTCAGTGTTTTTCTATATAACTTCAGTGATTCCCAGTTACGAGGGTGGCGCTCCTGATTGTCAGGTTGCTGTTTTTTTTTTTTATTTGACAATTTACGGAGTGTTTTTCTCAGAGATCTGCAGTCAGAATCAAACCACTTTTCATCATTTGATTTGTTTGAACTATGACATTTAGATTTGTTTAGATTGGATCGAGATGCTGTTTGGTCAAATATATCGTTAATATCCCTAACAGCCTGATTGAGGCTATCATTACTGTAGGGATATGGGGTGGAGAGAAAAAGGTCCAACTTCGTTTCGATAGTTGGGTGCCCAATTGCTCTGATAGTCATCTTTGCTATGACTTGTCCACCCGTAAGGCTGTTTGGAGTGGTTGAGCCTACTGGGCTGTGCTACATGAGGGTCTGTTGGGGTCCTCCTAATCTACAGGGTGATTTTGATCTGATAAGGGCTGATGGTGAATTCCCTAAGATAGAAGGGGTCTAGGTCTGTAATATTATAGTCTACTGTGCTGTTGCCAAGAAGTGAGCTGTGTGTGTAGTGACCGAAGGAGTCCCCTCGAAGCCGACTGTGTGCGACACATCTGCAGCAGTTGGTGCCTATTTCTGTTGACAGTTTTACCAAAGTTGTTGCAGTACAGATGTGGAGGAGGAGGGATGCTGATCCGACCAGGTATGGGTTTGTCTCCCTGTGCATTAATTAAATCAGGATCTGTGGCTGTTCTGGCATCAAGATCACCACAGATCATCTGTGTGTGGTAACAGCTGATCTCGTCTTCCAGAATGGGGAAAGTCTTTTCGTTATAATAAGGAGTCTCTGATGGGGGGATATAGGCTGCACATAATGATTAGGTCTTTGTCCGGGGAGATAACCTCTTTTTTTATTTTAAACCAAATTGAAAAATCTCCTGTGTGTCAGGGGTGTGTGAGGTTTGTCTTGTACCAGATCAACATCCCTCCTGAATCTCTGCCTTGGCTTTCAGGTAGATGGAAAAATTACTTCTCTATAACTCAAAGGACAACCAGTGGGCATGTCTCCTCTACTCCAAGTCTCCAGCAGTACAATGATGTCTGACTTTTCTAACTGCCTATTAAAGTCTGGGGTCCTGCTTTTAAGGCCAAAAGTTGTGGACTTCAAACCCTGGATGTTCCAACATGAGATAATAAAAGATTTAGATTTTATTAACTTTAATGAAACTCTTTAACTCTCTCTCTCTCTTCAGGGCAGAGAGGTGAGCCAAGAAAGCGTGAAGCAGTTTTATGATAACTGGATCTCCCGTCAAAACACATTTTCATCTCAAGATGAACTAGATGACTTGTCGCCTCCTCCCTCCTCCCCACCTGCTGTCCCCTCTTCAGACCATGCCTATGCTAAGCTTAAGAACCAATCCTCAAAATTGTCATGGGGTAGCAGTGTTTCCAGGTAGGTCACTTAACACCAAGTCCGTTATATGTTTTTTTTTTGGCCATTTCTCTGTTTTCTCCTGCTACTTCTGTCATTTATTGAAATGTCTGCAAATACATGGAGAAGAAAATCTGCAAATATGATGTGGACTTGAAAAACAAAGATACAGTTGATCAACACCAATCAGCACATCGATGTTCATGCACATCCTGAAATACCTTCCACCAGGCTCACAGTGAGCCTGACCCTTAACCCAACACCCATGACTTTGTGACCAACTGTAATGAGCGCAGTATTATCAAAATTAACCACCTAGAGGTGAATGAAGAAACTATTCCAGGCTTGTCCAGCGCAAAGCAAGAATGAAGGGTCTACCAGTTTGGGCTATCAGTACTTTTATCTATATTCTGTCATAATATTTTTATTAAATTTTAGTCCATACAGTCAGTACAACCATAATGTAAACTAGAAAATTCCCTCTGGGGAATTATGAAAGGGCCTTGAGGGCTACTGCCAGGGTGTTTACATTATGATGAGATTCTTCAGAGATTTCAAATAACTAATGCTAGTAGCATTGTGATAGTATAAAAAAGGAGCACACATACAAATATCATTCCTTTTTCCAAGTATTTATTTATACAACAGAAAAAAATGGAGCTGGAGCAGTTGACATTTGAAAAACTCCAATAATTGCCCTTGTTTTTGGCTTGACTTCAATGCAAACCTTTCCACGGTTTCTTATGACTTACAACTCACTGTTGAATAGAGGACTGTGCTTCCATTCATTTGCCCCGTGGCCCTAATAAACCTAAATGATCTTACAACACGCTGCAGACACATTAAAAAATCTATGTCCAGAGTAATGCCTACACTGAAATAGAGTGGCAATGAGAAATTGCAGGTTTTCACTTCTGTGCAGGAAATAAAATAAAACCTTTTTAATCAAGCAAAAACAAAGCATGCAGTTACATTTCCTACTCAAATAATGATTGAATAAAACAGAGTTTACTTTCAGACTTAATTTCAAGAAAGTTATTTCAGGCTAACCTTACTTTCAGTTCTACACTGTGTTGGGAGAAAATGTAAAATTCAATTTCAACTGCCTTGATGATAAATCATACCAAAAAAAGTGCAACAAAATCTCTCTGTCCTCAGTCAAACACAACAATCAATCATTGGGCTTGAGCATAAACAAAATAGTATCAGGTGGAGATCATTTTACAATCTCAGGCAAAAGAGCTGGAAAAATATTTGCCTATGGGGGAAAGCTTTCTAACCTGTTAAGTAGGACTGTATATGAACAAGGATGCCCATTTTTGTGGTATCAGGACTGTAAGCTATAACTTTGATCCTCACATAAGACTTCAGCTTCTCATCAGTGAGGCAGTATCAGTTTATTGAATTTGATGCAGTGCATTGATGAGAAAATTTGCTCACATTAAATCTGGTAGGTTGAGTAAAAGATGAACAGGCCTCTGAATGCATATTTCATCATGTAGGTCTATCAAAACTCTGGAATAGCATCCATGTTTGACAAAATTTTGCAGAAAGTAATTGTAATTTGGCACCAAGGCTACATAGTTTTTACAGATAAACAATGTTAAACGCTACACTAAAAAGTTACGCAAAATATAAAAAGAAAAAAAAATTGAAGCAGAGTCACATGGACAAAGAGCCACTGGAGAGAGGCAAAAGAGCACCATGCTGCTCTGGAGCAATCAATCAATCAATCAATCAAACTTTATTTATATAGCACCTTTCATGCTTTTAAGCTGCAACACAAAGTGCTTTACAAAGAGGTAAAAACAAACAACGTTAAAAAAGAAAAAAAAACAAAACAAAACAAATAACAGTAAATATAGGGCACTTAAATAGGCATAAAACCCGTCCCTTCCACCCACAGCAGCATATACAGGCATGCACAGCAGCCCAACCCACACACACATACACGCACACACGTATCCACACACCCACACAGTAACTGTCAGTAAAAACATGGCAAGGCACTGATGATTCTGGTAAGGAAAGACCACCTATGGGAGCCGTCCACACCGAGAGGAGCCACAGCCCACCCCCACAGGGAGCACCGCTCCCGAGACCCCCCGACCCAGACAGCCCGGGTGCACCCTGCACATAGTGCAGAGCCCCCTAACCGTCCGGGCCTGGACGATCCCAAGGACCGCGCCCCCCGGGGGCGGACCAGACATACCTCCCAGTGTGGAGGGCCCCCACGAGGAAACTCTGGAGCTAAAAAGACTAGGGCATAGAAGGAATTAAAATAATATTAAAATATCTAAATGACGTAAAAATGTGATAAAAGTAAAGGATAAAATAAACTAAAACCAAATTAGAATAATGTTAGAATATCTAAGTGACATAAAAATGTGATAAAAGTAAAGGATAAAATAAACTAAAACCAAATTAGAATAATGTTAGAATATCTAAGTGACATAAAAATGTGATAAATGTAAAGGATAAAATAAACTAAAACAGTTAAATCAGCTAAAAGCCAAACTAAAAAGGTGGGTCTTGAGCCTCCTTTTAAAAACATCAACAGTCTCTGCGGTCCTGATGTTCTCTGGCAGGCTGTTCCATAACTTTGGGTTACCAACCTATGGCTGAGATTTAGTAGCATTCAGCAGGATGAGCTTGGCTGTTCATTGCCACAGACAACGGGACCACCCAGCTATTTAACTGGTGTTTCTGGGGCAACACATGATCATTGATCACAAGGACATCCCATCATATGTAGATGTTCCCGAAAGAGTAGTTGGGGCCAAAAGCACTGGTGAGCTAGTCACATGCATGGAGAACCAGATAACTAGTTGTCTGAGAATGACCAGATATTGAGTGAATGAATGATAATGATGTAAACCTAGTGTCTTATGCAGCTTAGTGCAATTATTCAAAGAACACATTCAAGCTCCAACTGACCTGACCTGGTCCCATAAAGCAAAATAACATGGATATACAGTATAATACAATATTTCTCAATTGCTAAAACACTTAACCGCATTGTCTAAACCAAATGCTCAGCAGCCTGAACCCATTGATTGAATCAGTCACTCTTTTGGCAAAACCATAACCAAAACCAGCACTTTTCAGCTGTGCACAGTGATTCCAGTTTAGAGGGGGTTGTCCCCTGTTGCTTGGTCAGTGAGAATGTGGCCTGTGATGTGGATGAAGTCCTGTGGCCAACCCAGCATACAGACATGATGATGTGGCTGAACGATTGTAGATACTGTAAGCAATTGAGTTTGATTTAGTGGTTTACATGTGCTTAATGTGCTTTAATGTGCTTCTCATTTATTTTTGCTTTTACTTAATTTTTATTGTATACAGGTGATAATTTCACAGAGGATTTTCTTTTTTATTTGCAAAATTCATTTAGCCTACTGTGAACAATAACTTTGACAGTTTCGTGTCCTGAGCATTGTGTTTTCCATTTTTTAAGTAGTATGTAATGACTGCTCAGTAGTGTTCATTTTAATTGACTTGGGCAATGATCTGACAACATTGTTTGGTTTTGCAGGAAGAGTCAGAGGTTTGGTGAATGTAGTTTGAAAATTGGGTTTTGTGCTTATTGAGAAAAGGATGGGGGATGTCAAGAAATGTTTTTGACTAAAACTGTAACATACCATGTACATTACTGCTTTCTCTCTTCGACTTTTCCTCTGCTTTTCCTTCTCTCTTTTCTTAATCTTCAGCTGTATGACAGATGAAACAATGCTTGGTTCCCGTCAGCCGACCCATGAAGAGCTTGATGAGCCCCCTGCTGTCCCTCCTGCAGCTGACCAGCTCAGAAGAAGACTCCTGAGAACAACAAATATTGACCTGACCTCTGTTGGGCCTGATGAAATTTCACCAAGGTATGTAAATTAAACAGGTTTTCATACTAAGGTTGGTGTCATCATCTGTGGGGAGGATCTATCTGTTAGCACTGTGCTTAACTGTCTTTAAGACCCATCTGCCTCTATACTTGTGCAGATGTAAAATATTGTTGATATATTTGTTTTATATTTTGAATTAAAAAATGTACCCTTTTCTATTCTTATTGAAAAAGCTATGAGGATAGCTTTCTTTTAAGGGACGACCACTCACAAAATGAAAATAAGGAGGGGGTCACTGAGACTGTGATGGAGCATGAGCAAGAACATAAAGAGACAGAGGAAAAGGAAGTGGATTATGAGGAAGAAGGTTTGAAAGAAGAAACACAACAGACAGAAAACGAAGAGTGCTCCAATTACCCAGGATGCATGTCATTGGGCTTCAGGGAGAGTGATGGAGAAAAAAGCCTGGACCTCACAGAACCTTTAAAACCTTTGAGCCAGGAAACAAGGAACCTCACTGCTAGTGAGCTGCTGCTGAACAAGTAGGTGATTGCAAAGAAAGTATCTCTTGTACGTCAAGTTTTGGCCTTTTCCTTTTTTTGCAAGCCTTAAGACCTTAAGATCATTTTCTTGTTCACATCTGTCATTTCTGTCTTTCTTCCTTCCTACCATGTAGCATGTTTGAAAATGATGAGATCTCTGAGTCTTATAAATTTTTCACCATATTGCCAAGGCCACTGAAGCTGCTTTTTGCCCTCTATAACACCATGGTGTCCAAGTCAGAGATGTTATGCTACTTTGTTATCATCCTCAACCACATCGTGTCAGCCTCACTTCTCTCCCTCATCCTGCCCATCCTTATCTTCCTCTGGGCCATGCTGTCAGTCCCCAGGCCAACCAAGCGCTTCTGGATGACAGCCATCATTTACACAGAGGTATCTGGTTATGACCTTGCATAATCTTCAGACGTGTAGGGCTTCTTTAAATTATAATGATATTTTAAGAATAAGAATAACTTTATTGATAATAAATTATTGATAATTAATTGATAATAAATCAAAAACAGAGCAGTAATCAGTTCGCTATTTATTATCAATAACTTTGTCATAACTAAAATGGGTTCATTTAGGATGCCATGCAAAATCAAAATAACACAACATATTTTTCTAAGTGTTACACAGGAATAATTTTTTTTTTCTAATGTTGCCTAGCAAATACTTGTGCATGTGTGTTTGCCAATATTTAGTTCATTTTTCTGAACTTAGTCCTTTAATCTGCTTGATTTTTAGGATTTCAGAGTTTTACACACACAAAATTAAAATTAGTTTGACCATTTTTCATAGTCAGTAATACTATGTCTATCAATCTAGTGCATTTTGAGTGCAGGACAACGCAGGCAATATCACAGGAAATCCTTAAACACAGTGTTTCCATTATTTTTGCTGATGTGTAATCACCAATTGTGTTTTATCTTTTTCTTAGCTGACTGTAGTGGTAAAGTACTTTTTCCAGTTTGGTTTCTTCCCTTGGACCACCTCTGCCTATCGAGGTATCAATGCTGACAGGCCCTTTGCCCTCCCGAACATTATTGGGGTGGAGAAAAAAAATGGCTATGTCCTCTTTGATCTCATTCAGCTGCTTGCTCTATTCTTTCACCGCTCGATTCTGAAGGTACCCTCAGAAAATTAACATTGAAATTTAGATGAATTTCATTTTATTTAACTGAACTCTGATGCTTTGTGTACAAAACAATACTATGCACATAACAAATCTGTATGTATCAATTTCTGAACAGTGCCATGGGCTGTGGGACAACAAAGAGGTTGAGATGCCAGATTTTTTCAAGAAGATGAAGAGGAAAGTGGACAAAAAAAAGATGTCAGGGGGTGATAAGACAGGCAACAAAGACAAACCTCAACGCAGACTTAAGTTTCTTCCCTTACAGGCTTCAACAACCTCCATATTCTGTAAAAGAAGGAGGGTGGACTCACCAGAATCAAATGGTAAATATAAAAAAAAATAAACCTGAAGGAAATGTGCTGTAAATCAGACTAAAAAGTTCACTTGAGTAGATCCAGTGTAAGAACTCTACTGCTCTTTCTTTTTTTTTTGTTTCACACATGTATTTCATTTGTTTAATGGAGAGGTGAAGCCAAAAAAGCAGCGCAGCAAGAGGAAAAGACAAAAACACCAGGCTCCTCTGACCAGGAAGCAGAGGATCAGACAACATATCAGAGAAAGGATGCTACAGGCCAAAGCTGCTGTCATAGAAGTGTACGTTTGTTTTTGTTCAAGTGTGCATTACAACACCCTTCCTTGTGTTTGAGAGTGTCTTTATAACTAAAATACGTGAGTAATATTTTTTAGAGTGAACAGTTTTTCCATATTAGGTCAAACATCAGTTTCGATGTTGTATAAAATCTTGCGTTTATGTGTGCACCATGGTTTACTGCAGCTGCTCCATGAGAACTTTATGTGGGTGTTTAGGAAGCAGCTTCAGGTTTTGATTGTTGTTATAAGAAATGTCCTTGCTTAACATGAAAATGTGATTGAAAATTAAAAAATATACAGTCCCATTCAGGGGGAAGTTACTACATAGTTGTTTTTAAAGACCAGGTCAAAACTATAATCAGCAAAAGTAAAATACAGTAATGACCAAAATATTAATCTGAATTGATCTGTTGAGATATTTGCCTAAATCAGCGAAATTAGACACTTACAGGTCCAATTCATGCTCAGTACACTCAAAAATTAGATTTGTGTTTTAGTGTAGCACTGTCTGACTATGAAGTTTTGTGTACACATTTAACAGTTTTCCACTTTTTTTTCCAGTGCTCTTCACATTTATTTACCCATAAGGCAGTTTTTCTATGACATCATCCACCCTGACTACAGTCCTGTGTGTGATGTCTACGCCCTTATGTTTCTTATTGATGTAGTCAACTTCATCATTACTATATATGGATACTGGGCTTTCGGGGTAAGAGTCTGTGTTGCCTCACATCAAAACAAGGATAGACATTTTTTCTCATTGTTGTCTAACATTATTGCACTGTTTTTCTTGCTCGCCACAGAAATACTCTGCTGTGGCTGACATCACAGAGTCTTTGTCAGAGGACCAGGTTCCAGAGGCTTTCCTGGTTATGTTGCTCATGCAGTTTGGCACCATGATAGTGGACCGGGCCCTCTACTTAAAGAAGTCCCTGCTGGGAAAGTGCGTCTTTCAGGTGGTGCTTGTATTTGGTATACACTTCTGGATGTTCTTTATCCTGCCCGGGGTCACAGAGAGGTCAGTAACTGGTTTTGTAAATCAGCCAAATCTCCACTGTTAACTTTAGAAACCACCTCAAAACTACAGACCCTCTAACACATCTGAATGGAATTCACAGGAGGTTCAACAGGAACCCAATTGCTCAGCTCTGGTACTTTGTAAAGTGTATCTACTTTGGACTGTCAGCCTATCAGATCAAATGTGGCTACCCAAATCGCATTCTTGGCAACTTTCTCACCAAGAACTACAACTACCTGAACCTCTTTCTCTTCCAAGGGTAAGAGAACTGGCTATGACTGAAAATAAATTTCTGTTCCCAAATGCAGTTAAAATCCCTTTATTAAAGATATACTTTATGTTGTGTAAACCAACTTGAAAAGAGAATCTAGAATAATAATGATGCATCTCTTTTTTGGAAGTATTTTTATTGTTATTCTTTTCCAAGGTACACTTGCAAAATGTATCAAATATTCCCCTGAATTATTTATCTTTGTAATTTTTCTATCATCTCAATCTTCAGGTTTCGTTTGGTTCCCTTCCTAACAGAGTTGAGGGCTGTGATGGATTGGGTTTGGACTGACACCACTCTGTCTCTTTCAAGCTGGATCTGTGTTGAAGACATCTATGCAAATATTTTTATCCTAAAGTGCTGGAGGGAGTCTGAGAAAGTAATTAAGAGCTTGAACTAAATAATTTTCTCAGTGCATAGGGTTTTCTATATCATCAAGTCAGCACGGATATTGGATTTAGATTGTATAATTTATGATTTAAACCTGCTGGAAGAATATAATTCTCTGTATTGTTTGGGTACTCTGTGAAGAATATATGCCTTGTATGGAACTTGTTGGCTAAGGAAAAAAAATACGAATGTAATTGTTCTAGCTGATAGGTACAGCCAGAGATCTACAGTGGTTTGATTTCCGTATTTTTTCCTAGAAATACCCCCACACTCCAGGGCAGAAAAAGAAGAAAGTGGTGAAATATGGGATGGGAGGGTTCATCATCTTTGCCCTGATTAGCATCATTTGGTTCCCCCTACTCTTCATGTCATTGGTACAGTCAGCAGCTGGGGTGACCAATCAACCAGTAGATGTCTCCATTCAGCTCAGCATAGCAGGATATGAGGTCAGAACTGTAATAAAAACTGAGTTTCTGTGAGATAACTTTGTGTACTGTGTTTTTGTGCTCATAATCTGAATCAAAGAATCCAAATGAATGCTTCATACAGAGACTCAAACTCAGAAACATAAAGCAGTTTTACATAAAGTGTTTTACTGAAAAGTTCCAGTGTATAATGCTGATAGTTTTATCAACACTTAACAGACATTACAGTCATAGTTGCAGTTCTGAGAGGCTATTCTGAAGCGCAGCTGTGCTTTGAGTTGAATGCTAATTGTAATAATGATGATGTCTTACTTTTAATGGTGTCTTACTTTGTTTTTGCAGCCTCTGTTTACAATGAGTGCCCAGGAGCAGAACTTGATTGCATATACAGAAAGAGATTTCAACCAACTCACCAACAAGTATGCAACCCATAAGGTAGGAGGCAACACATTCAAGTTATCTTAGCGTAGAAAAAGAAGTTAAATGAAATACAGAACCACCCACCACCAGAGATGGAGCACAATTATACTCCAAGTGTACTACTCTATGGTTTCAGATAAAAGGACTTAGTATATTTCAGCTGTGGCAACATTTCTTTGAGTAACTGTCAAAATTCATTACCCTCTCATCTCTCCATCCAAGTCGGCAATGCAGTTCATAATGAACTATGTGGCGGATGACATTGTTACTGCTAAAATCAAAAGTGATGCCAGTCTGCTGTGGAGCATAAGCCCGGCCAGTCGAGAAGCCATGATACAGGAGCTCAGCAACTCCTCCCACATATACATTACCTTACGCTGGACGCTGCTCAGGTCAGTGTTTGCTTGTACAACATGAGTGAGTGTTTTCTGTGTTTATAGTGCAGTGTAGATGCACAAGGCTTATTATAAATTAAAATATAATTCTAATACTTCGTTTCAAGTTTCTATATCATTTATTCTGCTTTGATTTTAGCCATTGTGGGAGCTTTTCTAGGTTTTAAAGAAAAAGGAAAAATCAAGCTAGTGGAAGCCTTCATTATAATACGTGGCAGAATGTGAACAGTTGATATACCTCCAAATTTTTTAACCATATTCAGACTACATGTAAGACTTGTGGAGGCTTATTTTTGGTTCTTTTTAATTCTGAACAATGAACTTACTGAATGATTTTCTCCTGCTCATGTAAGGAATGCATCCATATCAATGAATGCAGAGACAGTGGGGGAACACACTGTGAAGTTTGAGGACAAGGCCTTGAAGGAAGAAATCATCCATATGCTCAAAGGAAACAGCAGCAAACCTGTGTGAGTCTCATCAAAGAAACGTGATTTTTTCATGATTGCATTTTCACTGTTGGTCTCCTATGTATGGAAGCCCATTTCCGCCAGTCAAAAAAAAAAAAAAAAAGTCGAAATTATGAGATAAAAAGTCATAATTATGAGATTAAAAAGTCATAATTATGAGATAAAAAGTCATAATTATGAGATTAAAAAGTCATAATTATGAGATAAAAAGTCATAATTATGAGATTAAAAAGTCATAATTATGAGATAAAAAGTCAAAATTATGAGATTTAAAAGTCGAAATTATGAGATAAAAAGTCATAATTATGAGATAAAAAGTCGAAATTATGAGATTTTAAAGTCGAAATTATGAGTGCACAGTGTACAATTTTCGCATGACTTTTCAACATGCTGGAGAACACAGCGTTACATGTAAAACTGGTGGAGACATTTGTAGCCGACTCTAAGTAACATAATTCAACTCACAGGTAGAAAGTACGGACACTGTTCCTGTCTCAGTGTCACCATCTAGTGGCATAAACGTTACTTCAAAACGATGATTCACTGACAGCTGAAAGATATTGTCAAAATAACGTAATTTGTTTAGCAGCACGGACGGGCTGATTAAATGAATAGTAATATTTAATATCTATCAAAGACACCTATAATACTTTCCTAATTTACTGATGAGTATTGTTTGCATGGTGCATCCGGTGAGTTGAAGTGAGACCTTGAAGACGGCGCCATAAAACATGCGCACTTACTATCACATAATTTCGATTTTTAATCTCATAATTATGACTTTTTAATCTCATAATTTCGACTTTTTATCTCATAATTTCGACTTTTTTTTTTTTTTTTGACTGGCGGAAACGGGCTTCCATACCTATGGGTATTAAAAAACAGCATGTAAAATAACTGATAAAACCAACATGCTCATGGGGGGCTGGCATGGGCAAGAGTTGAGACTGTAGTCCTCAAGTGGGCAGCCTGGATTCAATTCCAACTTGTGGCCCTTTTCCCACATGGCACCCTCCATCTTCTCTGCATGGTTTCCTGCTCTATTTTTTTTCCAAAGAAAAGGGGATGAAAGGTTAAAATTATGTCAATTAAAAAAGAGCACACTCACAAGAAAGTTGTACCCCCCCAAAAAAAAAGACTTTGCTAAGGCTAAGGTTGTAAAAATGCTCGTTTCTAAACATCTATACTACCAAGACATCCAGCACAACTTTGCATGTATTTTGACCAGTGAGTATTTTAGCCTTCTGACATGAGCTTCTGTTCTGTAGGATTATCAACTCTTTGCTGCCAAAATACATCAGAGGTCCCAAAGGAACGGTGTCGAAGATGGCAACAAGGATGACAGTAGGCAAGTTACAGTTGTCATACATTGAACATGATATGGACTTTCATGCCTCTGTGCCAATAAGTTGTTACAGGAAACATTCTGCTTTGGGCCACCCATCTTTCCTGTTCTTGTGAATGCAACATTTCAAGAACACCTGGGGAGAAAACATTTTAGTAATATATCAGCCCCTTCATTTGGACTCATAGATAAACTGTTCATAAAGGTTGGTGACCCTTTTTCTGGCTGTGGTGTTACCTTTCCTGTTCAATGTAGGCCTACTTTAGCTGCTGTTTGAGTTTTGGGCTAAGTATTGATTCTCTTTTTTTAAATATAACAAATATATTATGATTCTGCATTTATCATATTTGCCTGTAATTCTCATTATTCTGTAGATTGAAACAACAGTGTACCTTAAAACAGATAATTCCATTTATCTTGGTTGTTACATGTATCTTGGTTTCTTTTGAATTCAGGTGATTGAATGCCTACTTTCTCTCTTTTTTCCCCTCTCATTTCTGTCTGGGCATAACAGGCCTTACTTTTGTGTGGAGGAAGCTCTCTGAGCTACAAGTTAGGGAGATAATCTATCAGCTAAAGAGACTGATCCATCTTGTACTTATCTTCTTTGCATCTTTCTGACATGTCCTCCACTAGATCCCGCAATCCAAGCACTAGCCTTCTTCAGGCCTATGTCAGTCAAACTTCAACAGGTCGCTGGGACTTCAGAAAAGAACACAGATCAGTGGTGGGTTGTGGAGGAGTGCTCCCCTGTTCTCATCCACAACCACAAATGTGACAGCATCGAGATAACTGTGTTCAGTGATAAAGTCAGCCCCTCCAGTCTTGGCTTCCTGGCTGGACACGGGTATAAACCATTTCATTTCACCTGCAGTTTGTTAAAAATTAAAAATAATGCTTATAATTATTGCTGTTGTTTTGTATTATTATTATTGTTAATGTCATTTTTATTTGGAATCTGTCTGCTTTATTCCTTTAAATCCTGTGTTTTAATTATTACAGTGTGTTTAACAGCTTTTTACCAGCTGTATCTTAGTTTAACAAGATCCAAAGACTGGATTTAGCCTTAAAGGGATATTCGGGTGTAAAATTAATTTAGGGTCAAACATACCATAACACTGAGTTTAGACACCCCCTCGAGAGATGAATGTTGCCGACCACTTGCATCTCTAGTTATACCAACTTTAGTAACAACCACGATAGCAATACACAGCAATACACAACAGGTGCTGTTCTGAGCATTATTTGTGGCTATAGAATGGCTTTTTGGTTGAGGTTTGTTTATGGCTCCTCAGACCACTGTGTATTGTATCGTTACTAAAGTTTGTATATCTAGATAAGCAAGCAGTCGGCAACATTCATCTCTCAAGGGGGTGTCTAACTCGGTGCTACAGTGTGTTTGACCATAACTTAATTTTACGATGGAATATCCCTTTAAATCAACAGTGTGTCACCTAACTTTTCATGGTGATAATCTACAAATCCAATTTTTAATACAAGTTACCTCCACTTGCAGCAGAACGGAGGGTGTGGATGATGCCCTCATCAATTATTGGCCTCCTCTAAATTGTCCATTAGTCTGTAAAATGTGATACCCAGATTAATAGATACAATTCCAACCTGTGCTGTACTTACTCAGAAGTGACAGCTTTGTTTGGCTAGCACTTCTGCCAGAGTTTTATAGTTACCCCAGGTGTCACGTTTAAACTTTTTGTTTTGTGTGCACTTCATTTTTGCATGCACCCTGTCTTTTTCATTTACTTAATACTTACGGAATTTTTCAAAGGTGCTTTTCTCTCCCACTAAAGGGTCAATATTTTTTATCAGTACCCCTGTTCTCTTTGTTGCAGCATTGTAGGCCTTTACATGTCTGTGGTGCTGGTCATCGGAAAGTTTGTCAGAGAGTTCTTCAATGGGATCTCCAGGTCTATCATGTTTGAGGAGCTGCCATGCGTGGACCGGGTCCTTAAGCTCTGCACGGACATTTTTGTTGTTCGAGAAACTGGAGAAATGGAGCTTGAGGAGACACTGTTTGAAAAACTCATCTTCCTTTACCGATCCCCTGAGACCATGATCAAGATGACCAGGGAGAAAAAGGACAGTTAGGGTTTGAGTATTAAACTTAGTTTAGGACAATAAAACGATGTTAAACTTCCTTCATTAAAAACAGATAAGAGCTTTTAATTTTTTGTCTTTTTAATAAAATTAGAGAACTAATGCAATATGACAAGTGAAAAATTATTTGTGGCAGGAGGTGAAGCAGGGAGGACTTGTAATTTCTGGTCTACTTCTCATCAGAACAATGCTCATGTTTCACTTAGGATCACCTGTCTCATACCCTACTGTCTCTTGAACTATAATCTCCCAGGCGAGTGATCTACATGCAGTGGATTTTTCATCCATGGCAGGTACAGCTAAGACAGAGTAATGGATTTTTATTGTGAAAATAACATCCTGGCTTGCCTGGAGAGAATTTGTACCAAATAGGATTGTGTGCAAGCAATCCACTGTAATATGAATGTTACATAATCTAAGAGGCACTAACTTGTAATAACTAGTAGTCCCTTCCAGTGATTTGCCAGTTTTAGACCAGTGAGAAGTGCATGCATTTGCAGTGAATTTAAATTGTTTTTCACAAAGCATCATATTGCTTTACCTAAGAGTAACACTAAAATGTCAAGAACGAAACACATATCAGTGCATTCATATATCTGTAAATATGTTTCTGTAAACGACAATTAAATGTTTCATTTATACCAAAATAAAATTGGCTCCTGACAAACTGTTTTAATGCATGTAAACTATATTATCACCATCTTCAAGACAGGAGTAAAGGGATACAAAGACACTTAATGTAATTTGGATATTCATCTTTAATGCAACTTTCATTACAAATTAAAGGGGACAAACAGCAAATTCATCCAGGTCCCTCCAGATCCAAACATGCAGTTTCGATGTTATCCATTTTTTTCTTCTTTGAAGAATGAGATAGTGACAGGACCTCATAACTCATAGAAATAAAAACTATCTACATTGTGGTCTTGAATCCTGGAAGGCAAACACAACAGAAGAGTAGAAATATTAATAACTGAAACTACTATTAAGCTACTTGCTACACAAAAAATGATACGTAAGAGTTGTTGATACAATTTCAGTTTGTCTAATACAACATTGCATTTCAAACTCTGAAAGAGAATTTCAATAAGAAACAAGGAAACGCAGCAGAACTTGGACATGATCTATATTATATCCACAAGATCCACCCCAATGACAATTAAAATATCTTACATTCCACGAAGAAGGGGAAATTTGCAAGACACAAATTCTGCCTTACTATTCTGTATATGAGTGATTGCACCAACTTGGAGTGTGATGCAATCACTCCATATACAGAGTAGTAAGACAGCTAATGACACATTCATCTCAGGAAACCTTAATAGAGGACGCGCCATAATTCATTTCCCAAATGGATAAGTTTGATGATGTACACTTGGGTTTACATTAATGAGAGGTATATCAATGTAAGCAAGGAAATGATGTCTATGAATTTATTCAGTAGCGGTGAAAAAATTTGATACAGCTTCACAAGATACAACAATACAATGACGGTGAAAGGTGAGTGCATAAACAGAGCCAAGACGAAAAGAAATGTTAACACAATGTCAAGACGCCCCTCGTCGCCCAGTCCCCATTACCTGATAATAATCATTTCATGTCCTGATATACTTTTTTTTTCTTCTTCGTTCTGACAATATTGGACGACTGAATATTTAATATTGACTGATAAACTTACATGCTGTTTTTGGTTTGAGGACTTTGACGCTGGCTTCTGCGGCCTTGATTGCCTCGGTCTTGAATTGCGGCTTCATCGCAGCACGCACTGCGCTGGCGCAGATCGCAGAGAAGCGAATGTAGCTACAGAGCAATGAAACAAACGTTAGCCACATGCTGAAAGGCAGGTAATTTCGACACTAACTAGGGTGAATAGTTTCAAAAGAGGCCAGTTTACGAACATTTAACGTCTGAATACATTTCCAGCTGGTCATTCTTTTTATGGTTGGTTTTAGCTCCTTTAGCACTGTATGTTTAAGAAGATAGCAAATTGACACAGAAGTTATGCAGCTCTCTGAATGATTTGTTGAGCGGTACATGATACGGGACAATGTCAAGGTATGGTATTTTCAAGAAAAATTCTCATGAAGTACAAAACATCACGCTAACCATAAATAAACCATTAAATATATGAGTTCTTTGGAACAAATTTACCTTAAGCCTGCTTGTCTCCAGTATGCAACCATCTTGCCTGAGCTGCGGCTTCAAGGACAGGTCGGGTAAGCTCTTCTTCTTCTTCTGTAGTATTTAAGGGCATACACGCATCTTTACCGCCACGCTCAGGAGACTGTGGGTAGTGCATAGTTATTTACAGTGTTTATGACTTTAATGTGACAGGTATTATCAAAACTAGAAAAAATTGCATTTCCTTGCAGAAAATGCGTGGAAATGCTGAGTGCTGGAAGCTGAAAAAGCAATGCTAAACTGCTAAATGGAGGAAGGTTTAAATGTAAACTTGGTTAAAGAGCTGGAGAAAGAAAAGTAGAAGTTAGATGAAAGTGAAAATTGCTGAAGTACAAATAGTATGAATGTTCTTCATAAATTAAAATTGCATTCATGCTGAATAAGGCTAGAAAAACTGTCTGAAATTTCAAAAAAACCCCTAAGGAAGAAAATTACCTTAAAACACAGAAAAGTAAGAAGCGGCATAAGTTTAAGTTGAAGTACTAGAAGAAGTATGATAATAGGTCGTTGTACTAGTGATATTAGTAGTCATGTAAGCAGTAGAAGTAGTTTTAGAATAGAAGAAGTAGAAGTCAAAGCAGTAGAGCTCGTGGTAGAAGTAAAAAAAATATTAAGAGAAGCAAGAGCAGTGGAGGTAGAAGTGAAGATACAAGTTTAAGTGATATAAGTAGTAATTGTAGTGGTAGAACTGGGATTTTGTTTGAAGAATTAAAACATACATAAATAATGGGAATGATTTTGAAGTGGGAACAATTTAAAATAATTAGAAGTCCTAAAGTGTTAAACAGGTTTGAAGTATCAGAAAGGTTTGAATCCGTTTGAATGAGTTTGGATTTGTCTGACGAATTTAATAATGTATGAATAATGAGAATAATTTTAAAGTGGGGAAAAGTTAAATGAATAAAATACTGAGTATGACCCTAAGCACTCTGCCAAGCTCTGTCAGGGTTACCTAGACAAAAAAGAAGAGGAAGGTGTTCTTCAAAAGATGGTTTGGCCCCCTCAGTCTCCAGACCTTTCTCCAATAGAGCTTGTGAGGGATAAATTGGATCGATCGGTCAGAAAAATCGTCCCACGAATCAGCAGTCTCTTTTTAATGAACTTAAGAAAGCTTGGAATGCAATCCCTGGAACATACCTTAAAAACTTGTGGAATGAATGCCTGGTATATGCCAAGCTGTTGTTAAAGCCAGAGGAGGTTACTTTAAAGAAAGCAAAGTCTAAGCAACAATAACTCAAATACCTAATAATTATAGTCAAAATGTCTTCTGATAAGTTACTCTTTACACAATAGTCATGTTTATTGTGTTGCAAATTATATATATGAAACTATGATCTTTTTTTGTACAAGTCTGATCTTGCTTCCAAACTTTTGGCCTGTAGTATAAAATATATATATATATATATATATATATATATATGTACACTACAGGCTGAAATATGATGGGCATGCATTTTGTAAGTGTTATAATCATAGGTATGACCATAACTACGACTGAATGACTGTGTATAAGTGTGTTTGTGTGTCTTCTTCCGCTTCTTCTTCTTTCCGACGGAGTACACGCCGCAAGCAGTATTACTGCCCTCCACTGGTCTCTTGTTTAATTAGCTCTTGTTATAAACTCTAGTTTCATGCAAGAATTGTGGCACACTTGGAACAGCGTCAGCACAAGGTAGTTATGTACACAGACGGATCTAAAGAACCAGAGAATGGACACACCGGTGCTGCTTTTTACATCCCACAGTAGGGCATAGCAGTCAAAAAGAGACTCTCAAATCACGTTTCAGTATTCACAGCTGAATTAAATGCAATACTTTTAGCATTACAGTGGGTGCAAGAAAATAAAGAAAGGAAAAATGTCATAATTGCCTCAGACAGTCTTTCCACGCTGGAAAGCATAAGATCAGGGAAGTCGTTATGCAGACAGGACATTGTTTATGACATAATAAATCTCCTTCTTTGCCGACATGTAGAAGGACAAGTTATCTCTTTCCTTGGGTCCCTGCTCATGAAGGAGTCAAAGGGAATGAAAAGGTTGATTTGTTGGAAAAAACTGCAATGATTTCACAGGAAATAGACTTAGTTGTAACACTTCCCAAAACAGAAGTAAAATCTATTATAAAGAGCCACACTTTAAAACTATGGCAAGAATATTGGAATATATAGCTGACACAGGAAGACATCTGTACAATATTCAAAAACATGTTGGCAGAACAGCTACGCAAGGCAGAAACACAAAGAAGGAGACAATATTTACTGGTCTGAGAATTGGGCATACAGGGCTCAATCAGAGCATATATTTGATAAAAAAAAACACTCAACAAGACTGTGTGATTACTATAAGACAAAGGAAACAATTAAACATGTGCTAATTGATTGTGTTAAAGACACAAAAAAGGCAACAGGTTAGTCACCAACTCAAAAAAGAAAATCTCGATCTCGCTGTAGAGAATCTGTTAGGGTCAGCATCTGACGAAGTATTCAAGGCATTAATGAAGTATCTGAGGGAGACTGGCCTATTCTACAGAGTTTAAATTTAGAGCCTAATGAGTATATATAAGTATATGCATATATCTTTTTTTTTCCTGCTCAATTTCTTGTGCCACACTCCAATCTAGTAGGTGGCGGTAATGCTCCTTAAGTTGGTTGCCAACCGCCATAAAAACGAAGAAGAAGAAGAAGAGGAATTGCGGCAGTGCTGCAAATAGCATTTCTTGGTTCACATTTTGGCCAAATAAAAAAAAAGACCTCCATTCCTCGCTCTGACATTCTTGCAAATAAACGGCTCCTTTCTGTGCTCTCACCACTACATTCTAGAAGCACACGTGTAACTGTTTCAGGCTGTCCACATTGACATTGCCCTGTGCCATGTTTTCTTGTTGCAAACAGATACTGATTTAACCCACAGTGTCCGGGGCAGTGTCTGTGCGTCGCTGACCCCCCCTCCCCCCTCCCCCACGCCGGAGCTCCGCTGTCAGTAGTCGCCGGGGCTCCCAAGCCCTGACAAAAAGCCTTTACAATGAAGATCTGGGCGTCAGAGCACATTTTCAAGTAAGTTGTTTAGGTCCCGGAGAGAAGTCTCGAACAAATAAACCCGTTAAGTCAGAGCTTATCTTTCGTATTGTGAGTTTTTATGGGCTTTCCACACTGTCTGAAACTGTGCTGCTAGCCGTCATAGCAGCAGTGGTGAGGCTGTGCTACAGTTAGGTAACTTTACCAAAGAGACTAACGCTAAATTACCCAACTTTGGGTCTCTTGTGCTGTTTGAAGTAAATGTAACCCCTGCCGTCATTGCGTTTAAATTTTAAAGATATACAGATACATTTCGGGATCTTTATGTTCTCAAAACAAGTTATCCAGGCGAAGCCAGCTGGGGTTGGCTCTTCGCTGAGAAGCGTTGGTTAGCCAATGAGCCAAAGTTAGCTATCGGATCCTGAAACGTTCATAGCTTTATGTTAACGCTTGAATTTATTTACTCATTGCGCCATTTTAGTGCATATATAAACACAATGTATTTTATAACATTGTGTCTGCCCGTCGGAAACGAACATCCCACGAAAACAGCGAACCGTGTGTTTTCAGTTCAGCATGCAGGCTGGACACTGCTCCGACCATAGACAACACACATTTAGTCCTTTGCCAGAAGTTTCCAGATAAATCCGTGATGGACGAGGATGGGGGGCGATCCTCATTTCATTCTCCTCCATTTTGTAACTGATGTATTCGTTAATTTCCAGTTCATCTAAGAAGCCATTAAAATATCTGTATAAATGTTAAGTTATTAACTTGTCTTTTAAATATTATATTTTTTCTTAATTAACTATATAAAGACCTCCTTTTGTTTCAGATGACTGTGCACACTTTTTAAAAATGCATTTGCACAACCATTACATTTAAGATAAAAACAAATGCTAGTTTGTGATGCAACTATTTAATACAGTATATTGTTGACTTTGTTAAATTTCTCTGTCATTTTGTGTCAACTTACAAAAGACAAAGGTGAAGTGTGTGTGTTCTTTTCATTTTCTTAGCTGTTGCTGTTATCCAGCAGTGAAAATGACAGAAATTAATGTGTTCATCTCTTAATATTTAATTTTGTCACATAACACATCAATGCATTGGAATGTTATTTTTGTATTTTATGTATACTAGCAGCATCACATTTGCTAAAATTAAATTGTTTGCAGCTTAATGTGGACAACTTGAATCTGGCATCAACTGCTGTGCTCATAAATGACTTGTGTGGATTAGCTTTTTCCTAACATTAGTACATATATCCTTTTAACAGCCATCCGTGGGAGACGGTGATCAATGCAGCAATGCAGAAATATCCCAACCCAATGAACCCCAGCGTGTTTGGTGTAGATGTTCTGGACAGAAGTGTGGACACACAGGGCCGGTTACACAGCACCAGACTACTCAGCACAGAGTGGGGGCTCCCTGCTATGGCAAAGTCTGTAAGTCATATGATGGAGGAGGCACTTAAGGCAGGGGTGGAGGGGCTTTAAATTTTACTGTATTATGGACATATTTTAGAATAGCTGTGAAGTGGGAGGGGTCAAGGTATTGGCAGGAGCCACAAAAACTGTCAAAGTAGCTAGTGTCCAGCAGCCTTTGCTGGAAGTAACAGGAGCTCAGTGTCATAAGACATCAAAAGGCCATATTACTGCTTTTTTTAAAATAAGTTATTTTGTAAACTGATTCATTTTGATGGTGATCATGACCATAGACTGTATATAGAATGGGCAGCATATGACTCCTCGCTGGGTGAAGCCACCCAAGAACTGCACACTCTGGTGATGGGCTGCAACTGCCACAACCAGCCATCCCTATGGAGCTGTGGACAAACTTTAGAAATTTATTACACAGAATATACATTTTTCTCCCCCCTGCTTACGATGTTGACATGACTGTAAGACTGGTTTGTGCTCAAGTCCTTTTTTCTGTGCAGCTCCGTTTTTAAAAGTTATTAAGGAGTTCATGTTTTCTATAATTGACCCTTGCCTGTACAGCCTATGGGCGTACGGAGATTGAGTAGCTCACTGGAAGGATACACTGTTTGGGCCGAGCGTCATCACAGCAAATCAGTGCCGAATGCGTACAGTACTACTGTATTGTACGCATGGTGGAGTGTGTACAACGTTTCTGCGCAATGTTGGTTTCAGGAAGTAGAGAAAAAACATGCAATTACAGAAAGCTTTACAGCTTCAAATCCGTATATGGAACCAAGTTCCATATACCAAGGAGGAACCAAGTTGTCCATAGTATATACAGTCTATGATCATGACAGGACTCATAGGAGTTTACCTCCCAATTACTAAATTGTTTGATTTCAACATTTGGATTGACTTGCAATATCATGTAATACAGCCTCTATGTCCATTTGCTACAGAATCCCAACATCCAGATTTCCAGTAGATGCTAATTACAGGTTTTCAAATACCAATTCCTGATAATGAGAAAGCAAGTCAGCTGATGGCCAGTATACACTGCCTGGCCAAAATAAAAGTCACCACCCGGATTTAACAAAGGAAATAGTTACAAGCCTCCTATTGGATAATTACTGCATAGGTGATTATCTTTCAGCTAGCAACAAGCATTTAACCCTAGCTGATGCAATGAGTTACTTCTAATTTCTTAAACAGCCACGTCAAAAGACACATCCTGTGTAGTGGAAAAAATATTAGCCTGTCTGAGAGTAGAAAGTATTTCAAATGTGAAATAATTTGAAAATTTGCTAATCTTTGAGATAAAAAATAGTGTTACAATTTCAGGACAAACTGCAAACCAACAACAAAAATTAATCTAAAATGTAATTCCTTTCCTGCATCTACATCTCCCACAGGTGCAGCTAGACCTGAAAAGCTTTCACTGTCATAAATGTCAGCAATCAACATTTTGTCTTGTGGTGCCATCTAGTGGTGTATTCTTTTAATGCAGGGCATTAGCTCCACAAACAAGACACTGGTTTGCCCCAAGTGTAAGCAAACAGGTATTTTGCCCCCCATATAATTTGAAAGTCCCTGTTTCACAGACTATTTTTTGTATTGCCATTTATTTTGAAGGTTAACTAAAATGAAACCCCAAAATAAATGGGCTTTGAGTTTGACATACCTGTTGTACATTATTTCATAGTACCATTTATTGACCCAATTTATTATTATTATTATTATTATTATTATTATTAGTAGTAGTAGTAGTAATAACTATTGTTATTTTGGGTGTTTTTTGCCTTAATTGGATAGGGCAGAGAGGAAACATTGGAGATAGAGATAGGGGATGACATGTAGCACGTGGTAGGGGCCAGACTCGAAGAAAGGGAAACACACTGTCCAACTTGCAGAGAAAGACACAATTTAATGCATCATGTTGGTACTAGACCTTCATCAGGCAAACTATTTGTTCAGGAGAGCAAGACAAGTAAAATAGGAGGTGGCCTCACACCTGCAGGCACCTTCTCATCATGGGCCAGACTCGAACCCGCCACCACTGTTGGGACCATGGTCCACATACATGGAGTGCACTAACCCCCTAGGCTATCTTTGTCTATTTCTATTTTTACGTTTTTTTTTTTTGTTTAATGGTTAATTGGTTCATAAAAGAAAGCAATAATTGCCATGAAGTTTACATGGCCCGTTAAAAACACAACTTTGTGTGTACTGTGTAGGTAATGATTTATTGAATTAGTATGATGTCATATGAACTTGGATATTATATGCCTCCTTCTGCAGATCATTGGGGTGACAAGAACATGCACCTATGTCCAGGAACAATCAGTGGTGGACCCCAAAGAAAAGACCTTTGAGCTGAAATCTACAAATGTGAGTTGGGTTGTTATGGTGGTGAATTTGACACTTGTAGGAAAAAGCTTTTGTTTCTTTAGCATGTTATTTTATCTGAAGCACAGTGGCCAGTATTCAGTCATTGCAAACCATGTAAATATGGTCTATTCCTTTTTGTCTTCATATCAGGTTTCCTTCACTAACCTGGTATCTGTGGATGAGAAGTTGACATACAAGCCACATCCCCAGGATCCTGAAAAGTAAATGACTTTAATTTTTTTTCTTTTGACAAGTTTAACATTTAGCCAGTAAGTTATTAATAAGTTGTTGTTAATTTAAATACAATATTAAAAAATGGATACAAAAGTAAATTTCAAACACTGGAGAATGATGATGATGGTATGTTTGTAATTTTTAATGTGTACTATTTATGAGTACTATTTGCACACTACTCCACACTGCCATTTGAAATGTTGCCTATGATGTGCCTTGGTGCTCTTCGACTTTTTACTTGTGTTGCACTATAATTTTTTGCACAAATGTTTCCTTCTCTTTGATATTTTTACATTTGATTTATACTTTTATACTATTTATTGTATACTGAATATTTACCATTGCACTACGAGCCCTTGAGTGACACAATTTCAGTCCTCTGTATGTGTTTCACATACTGCAGAATTGACAATAAAGCTACCTTTCACTTATTTGTATTATTGTGTATCCAGGACGGTGCTGACTCAAGAGGCTTTGATCAGTGTTAAAGGTATCAGTCTAAGCAGCTACCTCGAGAGTCTAATGGCTAAGACTATCTCAGTCAATGCAGGCAAGGTAAATCGTCTCAGAAAACTTCTGTTAATGATTGCCCAACACTTTTGAGTGACAGCACATAACCTGCCACTGCACATTGTGTGTATTAATACCATTCTGTATCTCAGGGTCGGGAGGCAATGGAATGGGTCATCAGACGATTAAATACAGAAATTGAGGAGTTTGCAGCAACAGCTTGTGGCAGTCTACGTGTTCCCATGGCAGCAGCTGTTGCAGACAAATGATCCCAGCCTTTCCAGCTGCTTTCCCCTCCATCATTAACATACAGACCTCTCAAACATTTCCTATCACCTCATCTGCCAGCATTGTCTTCTCCACAACACCAACCTTGTTCTTCTTCTTCTTGCTTCTGCACAGCAAGGTTGATTCTTGCCAGGGGAGGCAGTGACGGGGAGTACTGAGCAGATGATAGTCAAATATATACAGGGTTAAACCAGTCTGCACTTGAAGCTGATAGGACTCTGTATTGGGACGTAACAGCTCTGAAAAAATCACACTGTGCCTCAACTTATCTGGTGAATTTTGTCTTTTTTTGTGTCTCTCTTCCACATCCATTTTATTTTATTTTTTCATGTTCTTAAACTGTTTCCGTAGCTTTTTTTTTTCTTTTACAAGTTCTCACAGACCCTGAAATGAAGTATTCAGGATGGCTGACCTCACTCCATTTAGAAAATCAGATCAAAATATTTTAAGACCAAAAAAAAAAACAAAAAAAACATTACTTTGAACAGGCTTTAACAAAGTTCAAGATTAACAACAGATTTGATGCTGCAACAGCTGACTGGTCTTGCCTTCGGTGCTAATGGCTTGCCCCCCTTTACTTGGTATTTTCTGTCAGGTTAACGCATTACATCTTATAGTAAGGTGTTACAGTCTAAGATAGTTCTTACTTGAATGTCTAACTTATTTAATGTACATTAACTTAAATACAATTACTGCTGGGGGTGGGGCATGGGGTGGGGGGGTATACCAACACTCAAAATTTGTATTAGCACCTGTCATAAGCAATGACAACAGGATTTAATGCAGTGTTTCATGTGTTGTGAGCATTCACATACATGTTCAAAGAGGAGCTCTACAGGGTCCTATTTAGGATCTCTGGATGCACAGACATTAAATGTGCAGGTCTGAGTTTTTTTTAAATGCTGGTTATGATTTATGATTGGCTGACAGTTACTCAGTTTGTGATACAATATCCAGCTCCGAATCATTCAGTTTGAATTACAGATGTGATGTTTTTCAGTTGGGAACATTTTATGAGCAGTGGCTGTAAATACTTACATTTTTATTTTTGAGATGTTACATTCCAAGAATGTGAACTTGTGAAAGACTCTAAAAAGTGCACACTGAAATATTTCAAAATAAAGAAATGTCATTGTTTCACAAATTTTGTGATTATTTTGATTATTTTGTTTTGTCTTCTTCATAAGCTCTTAAAATGTAATCTTCCAAACCCCCTAATAATGAAATAAAAAGCTTAAGTTAGAAAGAAGAGGCTTTAGGTTTCATTTGTGTTGTTAATTTAAGGCACATTTGAGTCTTTTGTCTCTAGGGTTTGGCCTCCAATTAATAAAGCAGACTACTAGTTAATGCCAGTTGATTGTGAGACTGAGCCCAAACTAAACTGTTAGTTACACACACCTTAAATATATGGATAATAAAATTTATGAAATGTCAAACAGATTTATATTTTTCCACCTAATGGTATTGCTGAACTTTCTCTCAGGTAATGAATTCAGTTGTGCATAGAAAAAATCTAAGTATTGGTATATGAAAATTCGCATTTTTCAGCATCCCCTAGGTATTTGTGTAAAAATAAAATAAGTCCTCACATCTCCATTTTGTAACGCATTTCCAGGACAATGTATTCTTTATATCAAGTGCTCTCTGGTGATAGTAAAAATATCTGCAATGGTGTAATATATGCTTGAACAAACCCTCATTAGCAAGTAAATGTGTGAAAACTAACAACAAAAAAAGATATTTTTAAAAATCTAATGTTAAAAAAAGACCTCCCTAGAGATGAAGAGTTAGCAAAGTTGAAAAAACCATTCCAAAAACGTTTGGATTTTTGAGTAAGTTAATTAAGTTAATTACAACATTATAGATGCTAAATTTGTTTGGAAACAGTGCAACGATGGGCCTGAGCTCATCTAAGATGGACTGATGCAAAGTGGAAAAGTGTTCTGTGGTCTGACAAGTCCACATTTCAAATTGCTTTTGGAAATAGTAGACGTTGTGTCCTCCAGGCCAAAGAGGAAAAGAATCATCCGGACTGTTATCGACGCAAAGTTCAAAAGCCAGCATCTGTGATGGTATGAGGGTGCATTAGTGCCCAAGGCATGGGTAACTTACACATCTGTGACGGCAACATTAATGCTAAAAGGTACATACAGGTTTTGGAGCAACATATGCTGCCATCAAACAACGTCTTTTTCATGGAGGCCCCGCTTATTTCAGCCAGACAATGCCAAGCCACATTCTGCACGTGTTACAACAGGGTGGCTTTGTAGTAAAAGAGTGCGGGTACTCGACCGGCCTGCCTGAAGTCCAGACCTGTCTCCCATTGAAAATGTGTGGCGCATTATGAAGTGTAAAATACGACAACGGAGACCCTGGCCTGTTGAACAACTGAAGCTGTACATCAAGCAAGAATGGGAAAGAATTTCACCTTCAAAGCTTCAACAATTAGTCTCCTCAGTTCCAAAACATTTATTGAGTGTTGTTAAAAGGAGAGGTGATGTAACACAGTGGTAAACATGCCCCTGTCCCAACTTCTTTGGCACGTGTTGCAGCCATGAAATTCTGAAGTTAATTATTATTTAATTATAATATTATAGAAAAAAAATAAAGTTTATGAGTTTAAACATTAAATATTTTGTCTTTGTAGTGTATTCAATTGAATATAGCTTGAAAAGGATTTGCAAATCATTGAATTATGTTTTTATTTACATTTATCACAATTTCCAGGAAGCTGAGAGGGGAAGAGGTTCACAATTCAGTCAGAGACTGCATGAGCAAATAGTTCAACTATTGCAGACTAATGTTCCAGAGCATAAAATTGTAAAGAAATAGAAGATATTATCATCTTTAAAGATGATACACAATATTATTGAACAACTCTGAGAATCAAAATTCAGAAAAATTTCTGAGGTCTAAAACAGATGGATGACCATGATGTTTGGGTCCTTTGACCACACAGACTCTTTAGTAGTAAATGGGCTTTAAATCACTTATAAAAATATTAAATGTGAACCCTGTTTGTTGCTGTATGCATAAATGAAGGTTAAAACTATACTTTGCAAAAAGGAAACAATGTAAATATCCAGACATATCAGAAGCCCAGGCCCATTCAAGATAACTAAAGGCAAAGTGAAAAACTGTCTTGTAGCCGGACAAACCAGAATTTAACTTCTTTTTGGAGGTCATGGGCATTATGACCTCTGATTTACAGTACAGATGGATCACTTTGGCCTCCTATCAACCTTAAGGTCAAAAACCGGCATCTGTGGTGGCATGGAGCTTACACTTCTGGGAAGAAACTAGCCCTGAACAACAAAGGTTTTGGAGCATCCTCCATAGAAGAAGAGTCTGGAGCTGAACCGGCCTGCTTGCATTCCCGATTCGTTGCTAGGTGAAAACTTCAGTGCATCATGAAATGGAAAACACAACAAAGACGACCTAAACTGTTGAGCACCTGGCATGGCATATATTTCCAGTTCCAACAACTGATATATTTTCTTCGCACTATTTTGAATCAAACCTGGGGATTAAAGGGTTTGCAAACCATCAAATTTTGTTTTTTCCGAGTTTTTTTTTTTTGGGGGGAATTTTATCTGTACAACCCCTCTATTGGCTTAATTCTTAATATCTTAAAATCAAAATCAGATGACATGAACATGTACACACACAAATGCATTAGAAATATTTAATCCATAATGAGCTAACAAAGTTAATACAACTTCACTAGTATTGGTACAGTTGCCCTGAAAGTTTGATTACTGTTGATTTGACATGAAGGTTGTACATGTGTAAATTAATTAATGCACAAAAATATTGATCACAACCTGAGCAGCAAGGATTATTTATGTTTAAGAAACCAGACAGATACATTTGCCTTTAACTGCTAAATTAAGAAGCACACTTTTGTGTGCTCGACCTAAATTCTTTACTGAGTTAAAATGTAAAAGTGAGTACTGAGATGCAGAGCAGTCTAATTTGATGTACCAACATTTGACAGGTCTGTTAGTCAGTTGAACCCTCCATCTGTTAGCAGCACTTGAGTATCTGAAAAGACAGTCATGAATCCCTGTTGAAAACAAAGACAGTGGTTAGCCCCAAAATTCTAAATGCCACATTACTTAGTGTGTTTTCTTTTCGTATAACTCACCTTGTTCACCTCCAAAACTGAGTTGACCAGCTGTGCTTGTCTCATTCTGGGTAAGGCAATACCTTTGCCCAGTTCCTCTGAAACAGAAAGTTGAATGCTATGAAAGTTCTGTCGATATACACGCAACTCATAGCTTTCACATAAACCCAATCAGAGCAGTCTAATACTGTCCCGTTGTGATAGAAAAATACATTGCCCCCTTCATAGCTGGACTTATCAGATAAAACAAAACTGTCTACAGAAAAAAGTATGGTAAAATAAAGAGAGAATGATTCCTATGAAGTAGAGCAGAACTTCCTGTGTGTTAGCTGCATGAGCTCAGGCTGATGCCCAAAGAACAGAAGAGAGATAGGTAGTGCTAAAAGAGTGATAAAAAGTAAACAGTTTTTAAAATGTCCCAGGCTGACCATTCAGTTTTGCCAGAGCCAGTGCTGTTCCCATCCTCCCCAACTTCTCCAGATTATCAGTCTACAAAGAAACAAAATAACAAAGTGTTCATAGTTAGCATCTCAGTTGTTTGTACAATCATATGGTTGTTGCTGACATCCAAATTGAGGAAGTTTTTGATTGAGGAATTGTACCTTAAAAAAACCCACTTCAGTCGCCACCAGTGTGAGTGTGAAACTGTTGGAAAGAAAGTGGTATTAATACTTTGTTTGCTTTGACAGCTTATGTTCAGGGGTACATTTATAAAAACAGGGTTGTGCTCACTTGTTTATTTTCCCAAAGCCCTTCAGTTTTCCATTTGCAATCCAAACTTGACTGCTGAATTCTGAATCCTGACAAAAAGAGAGTTTTGATTGTAACCACAGCAAATGATCATTATGACTGATCTCTTGGCTGTCTTTCATAGCCATGTAATATCATACCAATATATTGTTTAGCTACATGTCAGATACCTTATATTTGACACGCTGTAATCTTTCCTGACCATATGGTAAACGATTTCAAAATAGTAGTCTAACTGTCTAACTGCTTTGGATGCTGCACAACACTTGCAAGTAATTATCTTGTCCAAAGGTGTTTGCTACAAAATAGTTATTCTTTGAGCAAAAAACCTTCTCTAATGTGTTCCCTTTCAAAGCAAAAGTATTTTTCTGTAGCTCATCAGTGCAAAAATGAGGCTCAAAAATAATGCCACTTGCAAGATGTGTATTACTGATGTATCTCTTGTACACTGCATTTTAGAACAAAACAATAAAAATAGTGAAGAAGGCAAAAAGGTCACAGACTATTCCAATGATTCATTATTCATTCAGGTAAACTGGAGGCCAGAAACAGCTTTACTCACAACATCGAGTTTGAACAGTGGGGTTTGAGTGCCATTTGGCTGGATGACAAAAGCCTTTATGGCTCCCTGGAAGCCTAGATTTACACTTCCAGGCAGAAAGGAAAACAGCGGAATCTCTCTGGCATAACACTGAAGATCCATCAGAAGTCCTGGGAAAAGTTTAGGAAGCTGCAGAAAAAGAAGGAATGGACCATTTAATTTACTTTGTTTTCTCTCCCCCCATTTTTTGCTTTTGGCAACTTTCAACATTTTTTTAGATGATCTACTGTGTCACAGGCAGGATTTACTACATGTAAAACATTGAATTAACTGAGAGTATGATACTATTTATTTTCAATGCGCAGGTCAGACAAATAGATGAATTTAAAGAAGCTAAATTTAAAGGAGCAGTAGTTCAGTATATAAAAGAGCATTTTTTCATTAAATCAACTGTTATTTTAAATAAAATTTAAATTGATTTTTAAATCAGCAGTACTGTATTGTAATGATCCAAATTTAAGTTAACCGGAATTTGTGCCAGCCATTAATCAAGGAGCAAATCATAGGTATGATGTTTGCGATTCTTCATTTCACTTAATTACTTTCTGATGAGCGCTTCAGCCAGCCACACACCCCATGTGGTCTTTAACATAATATACGTAGACACCTCAAAGCCCGCCATCTTGGATGGGTCCCCCATGCGCCTCCAGTACATTAGGGTAGGTAGGAATGTTCAACCATATTGATAATATGTCTCCAAATCTCTGCCCGGTTTTCACACTGTTTGGTTTGTTACAACGGCAGGGATGTCATTTGGATGTAAATTCGTCTGTAATTTTTGTTTGGTTAGACTAGTTAGAAGAGTTTGATTTCCATTTTTGTTTTAGAAGGAGCAGTGTCTATGTGTTGACTCTAGGTCAGAGATTATTTTGGTTTCTTTGATGATTTGAACAACACTCGCCTTTTTCCCTGCCTCACTCTTGTTATGATTTAATCGCACTTCCTTGTAATAAATAACACTTAATACCACAAACTGGGTCTATGTTGCTCCCCTTTTCCCTTGACGAATCGGGTCGTAACACTGAGCCACTATAAAAACATGGATTTGTGTGCTTGAGGGTTAAACAGTGCTTAAACCACAATCTTTGTCTCAACAGGAAGTTCGTTATCAAATCTCAACGAGTCATTGTCCTTCCCTCTTCCTCCTGACCTTAAAAAATCTTTTTCAATGGAAACCCCAGTACAACCATGGATGAAGAAGTTGAAGTAACAGCCTGTAGTTTAGTCTTTTAACAGGCTGAGGTAAACACTGTCCAATTATCTGTGTTCAATAGCTAGAAAGCCAATTCGGGTTGACATGAACTGTGCTTAAAGATTCACACCAATGGAACATACTAATATGAGGCCTGTAACTAACACGGCATCACCTTGAGATAATGGTCTAAGTCATTTTCTGACAAAACTTAGTCTTTTGCCCAAGTCAGTCCTCTATGATGCTGGTCTGTAGTAGAATTGTGTACATCCTCAGTTGAACAGATCATGTGATCCTACCCTTGTAGTTTCATTGCCTCTGTCAAGAGTGTGAATGAGGCAAATTTCAGAAAATATTCATTAAATGTTCTGAAGAGCATAATGTGACTAAGGCCATTATTTTTAGAGGGTGACGATGAAATTATTAATCTCCAGTGTTAACAAATTCCCCTTGTAGATAAACATACCTGAGGGATAAATTGCCCCATTGAGCTGGTATTGAGGTGAACAGGAAATCTTGGTGGTATCTGAAGTGATAATGACAACATCAACATCACATGGTCTGCAGAGGAAGGAGACTTTGTGTAGGACAGAAAGTGATACGTTTTTGAAAAGTGCAAAAAATGAATGGACTGACCAAATGTCAAACTTGCAGGAAATCAGACCAAACTTGAAGCAAAATGTCTGTGTGTATGATCTACTTTTTCCTTTTGTCAGTCTATGACTATTTTCAGGGGCACTCACCATGCTATCATTGATGAGGGCTTTGAGCAGTCCAGCTGAGTAGTATCCATATGAGGCTGAATTCAGAGTGAATTCAGACAGGCCCATTGACAGCATGTAGTCTGGGCGCTCAGGCATGGTGAAAGGCTGAGCCTCAAAGGGAGGCTCTGTGGGACTTTTGATACTATAGAATTCCCCCTTTAAATCAAGAGTTGCAAAGGATTATATAATTTTAATGATAATTTTGTTTGTCATGTGTTAACAAGAGCTGCACAAGTAATGTGGCCAAAAGACCATGCAAAAATGGTTCATATGAAGCCCCTTGTGTGTTTCTCCTTACCTTAAGACCCAGATTCAGGCTTGAAGCATCAATAATAGGTAAGCTGCTCAGAGGAAGGTCAATCTTAAGGTCTTGATTCACATCGAAGGAAACTAAACAGGATAGAATCATTTGTAAACCTATTTATTTATTTATTCATGCATGTATTCACATATTTGTCTGACAATGATTTTACTCAGGTATATATTCTTTGGCCTGCATTGTTGTTATCATTGTTTTGGAGATGTAGAGTCTCTATGAAGATGTTACTGTCTACAGTACCGTTCATGGCCTGTAGGTGGTACTCCAAGTTAAGAATGTATTCCTCAACAGCAGGGCAGATCTACAAAGAAACATGTCCTGTGCTTACCACTGGAAATCTATAGATTTTCTATAATTATTATTATTATTGATATCTCATGACCATTATCTGATGATTCTAGAGAATACACCAAGCCTCCATGATATATATCACAGAAATATCGAGGAACACTTACTTTATTCTCTAATTCACCTCTGATACGGCCCTTTAAATGGTCCACAAAAGGCTGAATGATCCAACTAATGACAAATAACATCACAGGGTTAAAATCTTGACAGCAGCATAGCCTCATTCATATGCCTCACCCTCTGTCCTACAGTACCTGGCTCCACCATGGAAGTGAATGTTCATATCCTTGACTTGAGCATCACAGCTGACACTGGTGACTGTCGGATGGCCATCAGGATCTTTCCCTAGGTTCACAACCGAGGTCACATCAATACCAAATATTGCCATGTTGAACGATCCTTGACCATGTCTGAAAATACACAGCAAAAGCATATGCATTACATAGAGCTGTCAGTGAACCTATATCCCCCAAAGTCACTGCAACCCTTTACCATATGAATACATTTGTGGAGATATTTCTTAAATCCCACATGTTTGCAATAAAAAGGATAATCTCCTTTTCTGACTTATCTTCTGACTTATTTTCTTCCTTGAATTATCTTTGTGCCATTAGAAATATTAAAGTGAATACTTTTCACTAGAGAAGTGAAAAAGACCTTTGGCTTGACATAATAATATCCACAGTAAACTCCTCCTTTTTTGTCTAATATTTACAGGAAAGATAGTAGTAGGTTGACATATACTGAAAATGAGGTGTATACTATACATATGCTTCAAAAATGGAATATATATATTATGATGAAAAGTAAACTGATACCAATCAAGAATAAGCAGGATGTAACCAAAATCTCTGGTTTGTATATTTCGGAGTGTGAGTTTGGCTAGTGTGTGTGTGTGTGTGTGTGTGTGTGTGTGTGTGTGTGTGTGTGTGTGTGTGTGTGTCCCTCCACCCAAATGATTTTTAAATGTCTTAATTAATCATATGGCCTTTCTTTAAAGGTACAACACCATAGATTACTGACTAACTTATCAGAAAGACATTTGAGTCTATCAGGTTGACTAGAGAACAGGGCCGTAATGTACAATGACGGTGGACATTGAAAGAGACATAGAGATCCTCAGATCAAACTGAGAGCAGAGATCGAAACCAGCCTTAAACAAGAACTAGCAGCAGAGCCACTTTGCTGGAAGAACAGTAAATGAAACTTTGAACTGAAACCTTTGATTTCACTTCTTCATTCTGTCCTTATGAATATCTTTATATTTGATTTGTTGTACTTACACTCCTTAACTTCATGATTTACATGACTTTCATTATTATGGATATTTATACATTGTGGTGATGTGGATGAATAGTATACATCAGAGGTTTGTAGACTTGTGTTTTATCTTACAAAACAATATGACAAACACTGATTGAACAACTGTGGACAAGTGGTTTTAGAATCAAGTAAACTGAGATAGAAAATAGAAAATAAAAAAACTCACAGAATGCCATAGTTTATTCTCCACCCTCCTTTTGTTGCAACACTTAGATCGAAGATGGATGTTTTCAATCCAGTGGCATCTTGATAGAACTCCACAGACGGCTCTGGAAAGTCGCACTTTGTTATGGTGACGCTAGTACACACAGGGAAAGAAGTAAAATCAACCATAAGTATTGTAGGCATATAAATTATTGACCAGGTCAGGAACATATTTATTCATCCTAGAGCCTCTTCTTTTTTATGAGTCAAATGGTCAGGAAGAGATAATGCTTGCCAAAAGAAGGATTGTATAAATTTAACTCTAACTAAATAGACATCCCAAAACTTATCAATGAAAAATGGAATCCTACCCAGTTAGTGTGTAGAATACAGTGCCAAGGATGTAAACGTCAATCTCCCCACTGATATCAGGAAGAGTGATGAGCTCCAGCTGCTCCTGAATCCATCCTGCACCTATATGTTTTCCTGGCACATACAGAACAAACATTTAAAAAGTGACTGTGTTCCCATCCTAATCTAATTTGAACTCTATTGGGTCTTTTTAACATACATTAGACTAAAAACAATGTGAAGCCTTGTTAAGCAGTTTTTGTGTATAAATAATGACTGATAAGGATATAAAACCATCAAAAATTGCCTTACCATACTGAAGACCTTTACTGTTCAAAATGAGTTGTATTGCAGGGTTCTCTCCACAGGCTAAAGGAATGAGCATGAGCACCACTGTCACAGGTAGTGGCATTTTCTTCAGTTTCCTGTGGAATTAGCAACAACTTTACAACAGCAAATATACCTGTAGGCTGGACAAAGAACTCTTGAGACATTTGTATTTCAAGCCTGATACATAAACTTAAAAGTCATTATCAAAAAACATACCTGACTTGAAAGATGTTTAACACTTCGCTTTATTTAGCTGCTGGTCTGAACACACGCCCTGACTGTGACACTGCTGTCGAGTTATATGCTGCAGCTTTCACTTCCTGTAAAACTGAGAAGTGAAACTTACCAACATTTAAAAACAGACAAACAGGCCTAAGTTTTTGTGTCCTTGCTGGTGTTAACCAAATAACTGTCAGAATAAGGATGTAAAAACACACAACATTCTGCACAAAATTAAACTAGGAGTCAAATGATGAAAGAAATATTCTGTTAAATGTGTAGAAATGTTTCTATCAATATCTGGGCTTGTCTAATAGTAAAAAAACAGTAAGAATAAAAGCCACTATATTTTGTAAGATTGATGACGGTTATATCAGGCTCCAGATATCAAGACAAGTCATGTGATTCATCTTGGGTTAGTCACATGTCATGGTTTTCTGACACATTTTGTATCACTCAAACCATTTTCGACACAGTCAGCTTTAATGTACGTGTACAGCCAAAAGACAGTGACACAAGGTCAGGCTTATTAAACTTGGGTAGTTAATATGTGTACATATGTGAGCACGTGATATTTCAAAGGTGTACAGCATGGCAGGTATCAAGTTAACTGCAGTTATTTTCAGAAATTTATTCATTCATTCACAAGATGTTTGAGGCCAATTTTGAGGTCAGCTGAAAATTTGGCGTCATGTAATTTCATGTGTTGCAACCTACAGTGTTGTCTTTGAATACTCCCGCTGCTGGTTTTAGAGAGGGGAAGATTTATGAACAACGAGGATGGCCTTGACCTGTACTTTTGGAAAGCATCTTGGGATAACGACTGTTGTGATTTGGTGGTATATGAATAAAGTGGATTGATTAAAATCAATTGAGGAGCCTTTTTATGATCTGAGCCTAATGCCTAGAATGCTAAAACCTCAAGTAAAAGTCCAAGTATCTCTGTGTCTCAGTAGACTATATTTCAAGGAAACAGTAGAATCACCAGCCATAAAATATTTCATTTATTTATCTCTTAATTCGACAAATACTCTTTATCTTACACACCATAATGAGTTCCATTAAATCACAATAAACAAGTTCAATAGGAGGAGAATATTATCGACAGACATTTTTCAAATTACACAATCAGGACCAACTTGCTTGCACTTTGTATTCACTTCATCCAGAATGACATTTGAAACATCAAGAAAACAAACGAGCCAATGAAGAGTACCACAGTTATAGGATGGAAAAAAGAAAAGGATTCTGTTTAAATGACTACACACCAGTAATTTGTTTATTAAACCCAAAGAGAGCCCTCTGAACCCAGGGGTTCCGCAGACTTGTATTTTTCTCAGGAGTGGAATAAATTATACAGCCTATATATAGCAGCTCAAAACCTTATAACATATTCACACCATGGTTTTCCCACATATTTCATCCCCCAGATATAAACACGAACACACTCACATTTAGACCCGTGGTAAACATGACACTGGATCTGACACAACTTTGCATGGAGACTGTTAGGCCTACCTGGACAGGCATATTAATGCCCGCATATTTCATCACCTCATTCATGCAGAGGTTGCTTCTGTCCATTTATTATTACATGTTTTCTGGTATGACTTGTCTACCTTGCACTATGATTGTAGAGTTTATTATTGCACATTATCACGAAGGCAAAATTAAAAATGTAGGCTACATTTCACACTAATAATTGTCCTCATGAGCCACTATATCAAGTGGTCAATGTGATGTTTGACAAGATTGAGAGTGACATTTTAGGGCATTTCCATTCAATAGAGGTCATCTCTGGAACTTTCAGTCATGGATATTGTACCTGAACGCTTCTATGAGCCCTTCAATTGAATGAATGAAGCCAGATATGGCGCATATGCCTCCAATGACAAAAATGGCAACGTCAAAGAAGACATGGTGCCACATGAGATTCCTCCACTGGAGCTTCAGATGGAAGAGGCTCGGAAGGAGGAAGCACAGGCCGGCGCCGGTCAGACTCCCAGTTAAACCCATGAGGAGGGCAAAATGGGGGACAAAGACGGCCATAAGCAGAGTAAAGACTACCAGGGCAATGCGGAGGCCCAAACCCCACGATTTTAACTGTCCACCAGGGCCGTAGCAGTCAGGGAAGAGAGCCCTCCCACCATCCTGGAACAGTGATTTCTCCAGAACTTCGACTGCAGCAAAGAAGGGCAGTGGGTAGGACAACAGCGCCTTGGCTACAAGAAAGAGGTTCACTACAGCCCTGATAGTTGAAGGCAGGTTATCCGTGATGACCTCTTTGGTGGCATCTGCCCAAGTCAGGTATGCCACAAGGGCGAAGAGGCCTTTGAGGATGCAAGCTGCAATGTGTGTCCACTCCATCATGCAGTGAAACTCGCTTGGTTTCTGCATGTTCCCTTCTAGGGAGGGCAGGAAGATCTGGGAGGTGTAGCTGAACACGATGATGCCGATTGAAATTGGGAATTTCTTTACGTCGATATAAAATTTGACCTTCTCCCAGGCCCACTCTCGCGCCCTGGAGAGGCAGTAGGCAATTACGAGAACATTGATAATGAAGTGCGCAAGGGTGCAGAGCAAGCTAAACTTGGACACAGCCTTGAGGTTCTTCAGGAACGCGCACGGCAGGAGCGCTAGCGTGGCCACCACTGACCAGGCTTTCTGAGACACAGGGAACCCTGGGAAACTGTTGTACATCAGGTTGCCGCTGACCACTACATACAGAATACAAGTCATGACCAGCTCGATGATCTGAGCCACGTTCACAATGTGCCCACCCAACGCGGGGAACCGAGGGGCACAGCAGGCATTGGCGATGTCTACATAGGAGTCCCTCACGCGTACTTTTATGCCGTCCTCGTTATCCTCGTACAGGCACGCGATGAGGATTTTGCCGGTGTAGCAGCACACCACAGCCGCGAAGATGATGAGGAAGAGACCGAGGTAGCCGCCGTGGAGGATGGCGTACGGCAGGCCGAGGACAAACATGCCCTGCGGAAAGAGAAGCGCAGATGAGTGGAAATGGACGAGGCCCACATCGCAGTGACAGGTCGAGCCAGCCTCGGCATACAATGAATGCCTTACATAGCAAATGTCTTGCATAAGAAAAACAACAAAAAAATTCCAGTTTAAAAAACGACAATGCGATTGAGTGGAAATGTTTCAATTACCAGGGCTTATTCATTTTAAGTGGCTGAATCGCACATTTTTTTTCTGTGCCCTTGGAAAAACTCACGGTTTGCTGAAATACAAGAATTCAATGTCTATGTAAAAACGAGCTTTTTAAAAATTATTATTCATTTGGCTACAATTTTAATTTGATGAGGGCGCTGATAACACGTGGGGCTCATTCAGCCTCAGGGCTATCTAAGTCGAACAGGCCTGACCTGCAGCTCATCTGATAAAAAGATTTGAATAAATAATTTCGACCTACAAGCTGCATTGAATACACCCACACGCACAAAGATTTTTTTAAACCTTCGATTTGGGCAAACGTTTAACCTTGATTAGGTTTTATACTTTCAATAAGCTATCTTTTATACCTCAGCAGTAGGCTATAATGCATTCGACAGTAGGCTGTTGAACGCATACTTTCGTTAAAATCTTGCAATGCCAATTCTCATAGAAATATTTCCCTCGAAAAAATTTTAAATCTTCAGTACGGAAATCTTCAAGGTGACTTTTTATGCTGTGACAGGCCTCAACCACGCCGCACACGATCTTTTCGAAGTCAAGAATACAAGATCAAAGTTACTAGTGTACCTGAATGGCATTGGTGACGTTCCAGCCAGCTTCCCATGAGGTGATTCTTGGCTTATCCACATCCAGTGAGACGCTTGGCTTTAGGGACGAAGGCCTCCGGCCAGTGCCGTCCCTCTGGTAGTGGCTGTCTCCCTCCAGCTCGCCCCCTCCCTCCATGTGCCCCCCTTCCTCCTCGCCCTGAAGGACATCCATTTGCATCCCTTGCCTGTAGTCATAATCCAAGTCATCGCACTCGGCGAAACCCAAGCCCTCCTCGTCCGTCGCGGCCTGGAAGCCCAGTCGGGCGAACACCCCGCTGACCTTGGCTTGAGATTTGTTGGACACCGTGTGGGCTGCATTTGTCAGCTTGTTGGTGAGCTTGTGTCGTATCAGGTGAGCCATACTTAACCGATGAAAAAAAAAACCGTTCTTCAACTGGAAATGGTATTACCGTGTAAGAATCCAAGATGCAGCTGCATGCAAGGTGATTTAACTGCGTTTCACTTGTCACTGTACATCCATGCCTGTTGCCTCTTCAATGTCGTCGCAAAGCTAACCAGCTTTCAAACAGCAGCCCAACTGTTTCACCCAATCCGTTAAAAATCCTTAGCCGCTTTTCTTGGCTTGCTCATCCATATTTCCTCAGAAGGCATCTCTTGGCATGAAGAAAAGAACTGCTCCAAAACAGAGACAAAAACGAGAATATTTGTTCATAAGTGGAAAAGAAAAACTAAGAAATAAGACGTTTTCCAAATAGGATCTGTCAGTTAAGAGTCTTGGTGGCCGCGAAAGCGCTAGAATCTGACAGCATCACCCATACAGAGAGAGAGAGAGAGAGAGAGAGAGAGAGAGAGAGAGAGAGAGAGAGAGGGGGGGGGGGGGGGGGGGGGCATGCACGTGTAGGCATGGAGTGCCAGTGGCAGGAGTCGCGCGCAGGAGAACTGTCACGAATAGCAAAGGCAAGAGAGAGAGAGAGAGAGAGAGAGAGAGAGAGAGAGAGAGAGAGAGAGAGAGAGACTGCCAAAGGGACTTTATTTCACCACTGACGAGAATAAGAACGGTCATCTCATTACGACAAAGGGAAGAATTGTACATGGCATTGTGCACGAATGGAAAGATAAAAGATTTCATCTGTTTTTAAACCCCTTTCTTCAAAAGGTCAATAGCATTGCTACCAACCACAGCAGACGACACAGCCTACATTACTCTAATTAAAAAAAAACTATGGCAGATTTTATAATGGACTGATCAGAGGATCGTTTAAATCACAAATGTATTCGTCATGCAGTTCGTCCGAAGCCACAGATACAACAAGTGAGCTATAAATCACGACACGTATAGAATAAAAGAGGGATCTCTTTCGTTGAGGAAGACGCACTGTTCCGGGCGTATCGTTTCAATGTCTACACAAGTCTATCGCTTATTTGTGAAGTAAAGCACGCGGTGTGCACCATTCCGCTCTTGTACTGCGTAGGCCTACTGTCAAATTTGGAGTCCACGGGCGTCAGCACATCATATGAGGATTCTTCTGAAATAAAAAGAGAAAAGGCCTCGTTGCTCCCGTGTACGAAAATCATTTTCTGTTTTAGGAAAAAAAAGAGTATTTCTAAATTATAGTGATATTTCTAAATAGAAGCAATTTTTTTCAACATTTTCCTATAATCTTATTTTTATTTATTTTTTCTTATACATAAAAACGGGCCCCATTTTAAAAACCTTTCCCCCCAAAATAATTAATTGCTTTTGTTTTAATTTTACCCAAGGCTCTTGAGTTGCCCTCTCATTTGGATTCCAGATGAATCTGTTAAGCGGACTGTGAAAAGATGCAACTCGTTGTTGATATGATGAACATGCAGCAGCTGGCATAATGCAGCACACTGGCAGCACCACGGACAGCTCCTCAAACACGGACAAAATTAATCCTCATCTTTTTTTTTTTTTCCAGACAGAACAAAATGGCAGGAAAAAGGAATCCGCACTTCGTATCCTGCATTTATTTCATGGGCTTTTTTCCCATTATTGTATTTTAGTGGGTTTCATAGATAAAAGTCTGCACGATGGGGAAAAGGCTAGAGAAATACTTGTTCTCCGCCTCTGTTCAAAATCTCAGGAATACGACGCACCTCGTCCTGTCCTCCCTTATCTGCTGCGACAAGGCTGGGCAAAAACTGTCATCAGTTTGGCCCAGCCTGCTTGCAGAAAAGTGGCCCACTGTGACAAGAACGGCAAAAAATTTTGCATTTCTTTCATTACCACGATTACCATTCTTTATATACGATTCTTTCCGTTGAGCGCCCTATAGGAAAAACCGAGTTCGTGAGGTTCTTGGTATTTTCATGATGTGAGTAAAGTTAATATTAGACAATAATCAAGACAATAATTTCCGGGCTTCGTTGTGAGACAAAAAAAAACCCGTACCACGGACGAGAGAGGTCTAAATTTAGAAACCAGCCACAGGACAAAAAAAAGTACCGCATATTTTCATGCTCGGCTTGGGCTGCTCTGCCAGCTGCTATTTGTGTTCAGGCCAACAAAGTGTTTGTTAGTGAGCGTGTGTCATCCATGTCTGGGGGTATGTAGAAGGCCCAAGGAGCGCACGCCTGTGTGTGTGTGTGTGTGTGTGTGTGTGTGTGTGTGAGAGAGAGAGAGAGAGAGAGAGAGAGAGAGAGAGAGAGAGAGAGAGAGAGAGAAAAGAGAGAGAGATGCTGTGAGGAAATGGGAAGAGTCCTTAAGGCATCTCTCCCTCCCCCATCACACGCACAATCCGTGGGCTAACGCTTGGGTATCGGCTGCAAATGTCACTCACGCGCGCACAAAAAACGCAAGTATGCAAAAATCTGCTGCTTCACTCTGAATGTGCAAGATGAAGACCGGCTTCAGTATTTAGAAAAAAAAATTAAACAACAACAACAACAACAACAACAAAAGAAACCTTAACGGTGCAAATGTTTGAGTTATCTTGCGGGAACTGATCAGCACTTAACTCAATATTTGAAAAAAATCTCAAATACAGTTCGAAATGATGCATGCCATTTGAGTTAGGTTATAACCTCTTACATATTCATGGCGAAATGGATTTCCACAATGTTTTTTTTTATTTGAAAAGGATTTCAGATTGGTTGCTGAGGCGACCAATTAAGCTTCTAAGGATACAAAAAGAGGGATTAATTCACGCTTAATGTGTGTGTGTGTGTGTGTGTGTGTGTGTGTGTGTGTGTGCGTGTGTGTGTGTGTGTGTGTGTGTGTGTGTGTGTGTGTGTGTGTGTGTGTGGATACTCAGCTAGCGGTATATGAGCAAGCATGCCGGATTCAGAGTGTGTAAGCGTGTGAGTGTGTTAGGGAGAGATTGAGAGAGAGAATGGTGTGTGTGTGTGTGCCTTGGCGTTTTGGAGGGGGCTCGTCCAACAACCATGCAGTGCTGACTGGAAGCAATAATCTCTGATAGTTGCCATGGCCACGGTAATTGGACAGGGTGTGTGCATGTTGTGCGTCTGTTAAGATTTTAGAGAAAGGAGGTTTTCTCGTGCACTCGTTTTGGGGGCTTAAAAGCCACGACTGGGTGTAGGATAATGAAAAACAGCAGTCTGACTTTAGTAGCTTATGCGAAAAAAAGAAAGGAATAGAAATGGCCTCACTATTGAGATTTCTTGTTCTTTGCATCTGAAGAAGCGTCACAATGCCACGTTTTAATTTTTCATTAAGAATCGTCATGGGCAAGTGCATTCTTTTGTCGCGAAAGGTGGCAGGCTCATGCGTGCATATTTATCAAAGGGAAATTATGCACCTACCCCATTGTTTTTTTTACACAATATTGTTAGCATAGCCTGGCCGCATGAACAGACATATTTAGCTCATAAGAATATAAGATGAGGGGATACTGTTCGGTCCAGGGGAGCAGGGTGCCCTCTCCTCCTCTGTCGCGCCTGCTGCTTCTGCGAGCACGCGCCCTCACGCGTCCGAGCACACGTGCATGGTGCACAAACAGGCATCAGGTATGCGGATTGGGTGCGATCATAACCGTCGTTCATTTGTCTTCTTCATTGATGGAAATGCTCCAAATTGCTTGGCAGAAAGAGTGTGCATTTGAAACTATTTTCCAGTTCAAAATATCCGCACCAAGCAGTGAATCATTCTGCCAGTATTGTCATGCCGAACAACTGTAATGTGGATGGTAGCGCTATTAGGTCTCAATCACTAAACCTAGGAGCAAAGTCCCATAGCACCACAGCAATACTCTACAGTCTAACTAAAAAGTTGATACAGTGACAATAGCCTTTGAAAAGTAGAAAATTAAATGAGTCAGATGGCGAACGTTAGGTGACTCTCACTCCCACCCCTGACACGCCATGAAAACAAACATTCAGTTTTCGGTGAAGTGGCTCGCCGTCAGTACTTAAGGGTGTTTTAATAAAGACAGCGGATAACAGACAAATAGTGATAACTGATAAACAATAATGACTCATTCTATTAATGTCATTAATGTTGTGTATAAAAGAGTGTGTTGTTTTGTGAGGTTAATTGCCTCTGCTGTGTGTGGCAACCAGATAGCCGACATTGGTGAAAAAGGTGAGACCCAGTATTACTTTTGTGCACTGTAGTGCACATTGAGCTTTAAAATGATGTGACATGTGTGGGGGTGTGGCCTTGGCAACTCATCTTTTCCTGTCTTTTCAAAATGGCTGGTATCCCCACAAGTACGTTCTAAAAACACTTGGGTTATTTCTTCAACCCAATTCCTGGGTTTTACGTGTTGAGTTTAATTTGTGGGTTATTTTTCAGATCCATACCCATTTCTTGGGTCATATGGATTCTATTGTAACCCAATTTGAGGGTTTTTGGAATGGGATAATAATTATGGGTTATTTTTCTGAGAGTGCTACCCCAGTATATATCGGGCAGCTGTGGTAGTTTAGCAGGTAGAGCATCCAGTTCCCAATCGGGGGTTGGGGTTCAAATCCCGCATGAGACACATCTGTAAGGAGCGAAGTACATCTACCTGTGTGGGTCCTTCGTCAAGTCCCTTACTCTATAGCCTAACTCATAAACATGAGTGTGCACCATTGAAAGCCATACCGGCTCAGACGGTGCAGGTTGTTAAAGTAAAGCTCCCAAAATGTATATATCAATTTAACCCAAGATCATGAGTCAAATTAACTTGAAGATTGGGTTAACTTGACCCTTAAAAAGAGTTATTGAGCCAACCCAAAATTAGGGTTAATTTAAATGACCATTCTCAGTCGAAATAACCCAATTAGTAGTCAGTCCCTTTTCAACCCTGGTGCTGGGTTAAAAGCAACCCAAGTTGGGTTGGGGTTTTTAGAGTGTAGCCTACATTTTATGAAAGACACAAAGGTAAGAGTGATATTTATACTTAAAATGTTTTTTATGTTACATTTTGATTAATTTTTCAATACAAACATCTAATAATTAATTTGAGTGAGTTTTCAGAACTAAGCTTATTGAGTTTCCCAATGAAAATGACTAATTTATTAATGTTTACTGTAGTGCACATCAGGACTTTGTACTTTGGTTTATATCACTTTTCTCTAGTGGAAGGGTCTTTGGCAGAGGCAGCAAGAATCATATCAGAATCATTGAGGTAGATTCAGACATGGATCTCTCAGAGGATGAGAGTCCAGAAAGCCAGACAGAAGAAGGCGATAGCCCAGATGAGGAACCAGAGGGGGATGAAGAAGGTGAAGTGGACCAAGATGCAGGGCCAGATGTAGTGTGCAGTAGTCCTATCTGGGCCAAACCCAACATAGGGATCTGGAATTTTTGATTTCTACTTCTACTTCTTAATATCGTGTAAAATTGTTGTAGGTGAAGTATCCTGGATATCTGAGAAAATAATTAATGTCAATTTAATAAAGCTATGTTAATTCAGCTAAATTATGTTTTGCTAAATTCTTTTTCTTTCCCTGAGTTTTATGCCTGTGTCGGAAGAACACAGTGATTGGAGCCCACAGCAGTACTACCAGCAGTACATGGACAAAAAAAACATTCAGGACCAGTCCTTCTTTACTGACCAGTGTATGGTACAAGATTCAGGGTGTAATTTAGGCACAACCCCAGAAGAGATCAACACCTTCATAGGAATCTCTGTGTACATGGCATGCCTAGGCTATCCAAGAATAAAAATGTATTGGGCTGCGAAAACTAGGGTCCCAATTATAGCTGATTCCGTGACCTGTGATCATTTCTGCAAGATCAGGTCTTCATTAAAGGCCTAAAATGGTCAACAGTCCAAGTCCTTTCAGGTGCAGAATGCCTGGGTGCAACAGTAAAACATATGTGAAATGTGTGAAGTGCCAAATGTTCCTCTGTTTCTCCAAAAAAACTTCCCAGTGCTTTCTCAGGTATCATAAATGAATGGACTTTTGTCAAATAGAAAGCCCAGTGTCTCATGAAAAGTCACTAAGTTCTAAGTTGAACCAGGAACTACTTTCCCAGGATGTTTTAAATATGTTGAATATGTTTTGATATACTGCTCATAAAAATATTTTACCCAAGATTTCAATTTTCATAAGCAGAAAGAGAGAAACAATCCGCACACCTCTGGTCTGTCGCAAAAAGACCTTCGGTTGGACCTTCATCAAGGCAGAGTGCAGGTTACAAACAGTGCTAGGGGTTAATATGCTTGATTAGCAGCACCTGTCAGCGGTGAAGTACTCTGGGTCAGTAGAGCATCATGGGAAATTCAGTAAGCAAAGACATGAAACAAACAGAGAGGAAAAAAAGAACAAGTTCATGCTGTGTACACATCAGGCTTTAGCCATCATAAAACAAAGCACAAAAAGTTCAGAATGAAATAGTTAAGTTATATAAACACACTCGTGTCAAAATCCTCGTTTAGACCTGATGGTTGTAGTGCATCTAAAGTATAAATCCAAAATAGTTCCCGTTGGCATAATTTCCTGTCGACGTCACCCCCTCTGTGTAGGGTTACTTGTTCTATACCCCGAAATCTAAGGGAAGAGAGAGGGTGTGACAGATCATTAAAATGACAGGCAACAGAATAGTTTTCATCTCTTCTCCTAATGGAGCTCTTATGTTCACTTATCCTATATGTGTTTTTGGAAAGAAAAAGTAACACATTGCAACAATCTGAACTGAAACTCTGATCCTCTCATTAGGGATAGGCGATACATTATAGTTCACGATATATTGTCAGAAAAATCCTCCATGATAAATATTTGCCATCTCATAATGAATACAATAAATGCAAGTTGATGATGTAAGCACGAGCGACGGACTCGCAGCCATAGCCCACACAGAGCGGAATAACAAACAAACATAGCCGAAGGTAATGAAGAAGATGTTTCTGAGCAGCTCATGGCTGAACTAGGCTCCACATGAGGGATTTCCTTCAAGATTGGGGCTTCGATATGCAGAATCAGGTATGCCTGACATCGGACAGTGGATTTGCTGCTGCTGTACACTCTGTGAAAAAAGAGATTTTGACAAATGATGAAAATGTTTTCAAATTTGGGACTTGTTTGACGTCATTAGTTTTCTCCATAACCTACCACTCAAACTTCTGGTTAAGTATCTTTCTTGACTATTCCAACTGGTGTTCTCAAGACAAAATAGGTCAAAATATTTGGATTGGAATTGTAATAATTTTCATCAGGACTTTTTACTACAGAACTACATTATGACTTTATTTGTCCTCTAAGCTAAAATGGTGGACTTTTATGCTAGATTTTTGACCTGATATTGTAGTTCATAGATACCACAATTGATGTATAAAACAAATTTAAAATGATCTTTTTTGGTCTTAACTCAATTCTAATAAAACTTATGACAAGACTAAATTCACTTTCAAGGGTGAAAAATGTTTTTTTGGAAATAAATGTCTGACCCTTCACCCATGTGTTTCTTACCATCACAGACTCCATGAATTGATGCCCATCTCCTAAATATTTGGTCACATGATCAATTCCTTTTACCATTTCTAAGCAGCAGGGGGTGGCTCAACTTACCCTTTGGCTAAACTTACTTACCTCAGGCTCACCTAGCTGTAAACACAAGCAAACTTCTTCTGAAAAAAATGGATGTGATGAACATGGAGGTAGTTGAATACAGGCAGACATTCTGCCAGAGGATATGCACCTTTGTGCGGTTGTAATCCTCACAGGGATGCATAGATGGGGACTTGAGTTTGAGACTTGGACTCGAATTGCACCTTATTCTCACACTAACGCAGTGGTTCTCAAATCCAGTCCTCGAGCCCCCCCGTACTGCATGTTTTGGATGTTTCCCTGCTCCAACACACCTGATTCAAATGATCAGCTCGTTATCAAGTCATTACAGAGCTTGATAACGAGCTGATCATTTGAATCAGGTGTGTTGGAGCAGGGAAACATCCAAAACATGCAGGACGGGGGGGCTCGAGGACTGGACTTGAGAACCACTGCACTAACGTGACTTCAGACTTGCTTGAGCAAGTCTAGCTTTTTATTTAATATTTTTGTGCTAGAGACATCAAGAGCTCAATATATTTCCCTCATTTGATAATCACTTTATATATCATGCCTTATGTTCTGTGTCTTGTACGCTTCCTGCTGTTACAATGACACAGTGTTTCTAGATATGGAAGGGCTGTTTGAGCACACAATTATAACAATTATAAATAATATTTCATCTGAATGGTACCGGTATCTGGTCAATAATGAATGATTACTGCTCACTCTTTACTCCTGTGTATGTTAGCAGAGTGAGTGAGTGTGAGAGAGAGAGTGAAAGACAGAGAGACATGGTCGATCCCTCCTTTTTACATAGGCTAATGACTGAGATCAACGTCTCACTTTAAATAGAAACCTTCTCATACTGCTGTTTCAAAGGTTTTATGCAGCTGATTGCTGTCACTCTGAGTTTTTGGATCACTAATCCATTTAGTTATTTATTCAAACTATCAGACACGGAAATCCATAATTAAACTGAATGAAATAAGTAACCGCACTGCTGAGGAGAAATGTGGAGTCAGGGGTGGATTTAGGGAATATAACTCAGGGTGCCCTGGCCCAAATTAATTATACACCCCAAAATTCTAAACTATGACTAGCTCTTTACCTTTTCACAGATGAGACTTCAGTTACAATCAACCATTTTGGTTATCCACCAGGACCTAAAGCATTGTGTAGCTGTCTTTGCAACTCAGAGCAGCACATTTTCATGTGTAACTTTGAGTGATTATGTCACTTTGAGTTCATAAAGATTTAAGCTTGGAAAATTCTGCTTATTTGTTGCCACCTTGTTGTTACTTCTCACCATAGACCTCTACCCTCTAAACCTCTCACGGATGGAGGTGTTTTTATTTTTTCCCCTCCTCCCTTTTTCCTTTCCTTACTCTTCCTGCTTCTCATTTCTACTTTCCTTATTTTTCTCTTTTTCTTTCCCTGCCTTGAATTTGAATCAACCATTTCAAAGGCAGCCTTGACTACTCCACCATAGGCCTGCCTGTCTGTGCTTGCCGATGTAGGTCACTCCATTTTGACATTTTGGCACTGAGAGGAAAAGATTACATACCCATCTGACATGGAAAGTCCCTTACCAGGCTCTGAACCCACAGAGGAAGGGAATTCTAACCACCACTTCAGGCCAGTCTGGCTGTGCTAGCCTTTTAAGTTATTTTTGTTCTGATTTTATTTATGGTTGCCTAAAAGCTGGATTCAGACTATAGTGGGAGGAGACATTTAAATTCTATGTCACAAGGTAAGTCTGGCCAGATCTTGAACCCTGAAAGCAGGCAGACCTCAGGACAAACCTCAGGACAGCCTGGCAGAGCTTGTCTCGTTTGATCAATTAATTTCACCATAAGCATTATTGAAAGAAAAAAAAAGAAGCGTTATATATCTCAACTATGTTTTGAGAAGTTAGCCACGAGGGGTCAGTGCTCATTTGCCACCTACAGAGCCCCTTTTTGCAGAGCTGATTTTTCAGGTAATTTTCTTTTTATTTCACCACGTTGATTTAAAGACATGAGCTGGAAATGCAGTGGTAGGATCCAAGCCATTCCAAGCCAACCAACTTCACAGGAGTGAGCCATGAAATTCAAACCTTTGAACTTTTTTTCTGAAAGCCATGCTAACTGCCACTGTTTGGAGCCACTAAGAAACATTTCCTGGTCCTAGCTTATCTGCTTTCTGTAAGACAATGGTGATGCAATTTCTTGCTTTGACCACTAGTGGGAGAACCGGAACCTTCTAGCTCAGGGGTCGGCAACCTTAAACACTCAAAGAGCCACTTGGACCAGTTTCCCACAGAAAAGAAAACACAGGGAGCCACAAAACCTCTTTGACATCTAAAATGAAGATAACATTGCATATATCTTTTTTTTTTTTTTTACCTTTATACAAAGTATATAAAAAACTGTAGCGAGTTGCATTTATGAAATAAATGAACTATTTCGGCGAGTGTCTGTCTTCTTCTGTAGTTAAACCGCAAGATGTCAAAATCTACCCGGATACAGCAATGCTGCTTTTTGATTGGCTGTTCAGTAGATATACTTTATTTGATTGGCTTGTGCGTGGCACGCAGCTTCTGAACTCTCAGAGGAACTCAGTTGATTTCCCCCAGTTCCATAGTTGAAGAAGTGCAACTTGGTGGACATCACCGTGTTCATTTAAATGCGTGAGAAATACAATGTGTGGTGTGTGAGCGTGTGAACGAGTGGGAATGCGTGTGTCATACGCTGAATGCGTGAGACTTGAGAGCCCTGTGCTCACGCATCATCGATGTACTCCCGAGCCATGCAAAATGGTCTTTGCAAATGTTTCA